CACATTAATATTCTACCTGCATAAAAGTCATCAATTCTACCCTCACTGTGTCTCAAGGCTTGTTGTACTTAGACGCATGTATCTAGTAAACATGTTTCCTGTTGTGAAAAATTCTGGGTAAATAGGTTGCATGACTCAACCACAGACGGGTCATTCAGTGCATTTTTCAAAGCTATTTTGGCAACCATTTTATTTTGGTAATTCTCCATATATGTCTCATTCTGTAGCTTTTTCATATAACTCATCTGTATACATGTATACATAGCAAGAACTATGTAGAGGCTATAGATGCTATTATAGTATATTTGGGTTTGATTTGATATATATGATCCAATGGAAGGAGATTACTAAAATAGATTCATTATCAAATAGTTTCAAGCTCATCTATTCAGAAGTCTGCTCTATACTTATCTAATATGCCGTAACATAGTAACCAGAAATTAAATATTAGCTAATCTCATGCTAGCTGAGACTACAATTCCCAATTGCATAACATATTCTAATATCCACAGAGATGGGATTAGCTGAAATTCTAGGCATGCCTCTATTCCTAAGGGGTTAGCTAATACTGAACTATTTCTTGGTTCAGCTGAGTTCACTATAGGCAAATATTATGTAACTCAGTCTTCACTATATCCAGAATATCAATATAGCAGCATTGATTCAGTATTTAATCTCCATTTACAATTTTCAGGGTGATATTTCTGTGTGTTTTTTTTTTACATTTTGGTAACAGTTTTGAGTTGGTTATGTTGGCATTTCCCTCAGACGTCCTGGGTAGTCCTTATATACTTTGTGATGATCGGAGACCTAGGAATTCCTGCAGTATAAACTATTAAAAGGGCCCCTGACAAAAACCTCTGTGTCAGACAAAACAAAAAGTTCTACAATTTAAAACAATTTATGTTATGAAATTCTTTTTCCCGAATTGAGACATTGGTTGGTTATTCTTTTCAACATACTAGAACATAATATTTATTATTGCTATTCTTAATGAAATATTAGCTGATGATGTATGAGAAACAAGTGCTGAAATACAAAGTAGAGACTGGAGAGATTATGGAAAAGTAGAGACACAAATATAACTTTGTTGAGTCAGTGTTTAGTCTATCAATCTGCTTCCATAGCCAACTTGCCAAGTGGAAATTTGAGCTTATCTTGGCAAAATAACAGTTTTACATTTTCATGATTTCTTTAAAACAGACAATATAAATCTCTTATGATTTAAACCTCTTTTTATATATGGGAATACAGAATTGATTATCGGCAATATGTTCATCTTTGACTGAGCCAAACCAGAGGATCGTTGCTATAATTTTTGAAAGAGACAAAACAAGATGTGGGTTTCTCAAAGTTTTGAAAGCTGATTCTACATGGTGGATAATGATGCAGTGATGCTATTGGTATTGGTTATGCTGATATTGATTTTCTAAAAAAACGCTGGTATTTAATTATGATTTGTATGTCTGTATGATAAATTGATCTTGTTTATTGGGTTGATAGGCATTGACTGACAGCAGATGGAATTCTACCTGTCTGCTATGATGAGCTCTCCCGCCACAAGAATCTGTACCGACTTAACACACTGTGCCAAATATATCCTGACTAATACAACTTTGGTTAATTTGGCCAGACTGTGGGACTTAGTCATCAATACGGGTCACTTGGTGCATTCCTATTAAACTTTTTTAATGCCCACAATTTTTGAATTGTATGAGACCTTTTATATATCAAGTGGAGATATTTCAATATGTTATTAAATCAGCATTGTCCTCAGTCATTAGCCTGAGTGTGTTGTAATGATAGTATGTGTCCGCCCACATTTGCCTGCCGTACTTTACCAAGTTTGCTATTGTAATTGTAATTGATTATCTAGTGAGGTCATTTGAGGTGTCTCCTAACATTGTACTTTTCCATAGTATTGTATTATAGGGTCATTGTTCTGATGCTTGGCTCTTGTTATTTGAGTGTAGTGTTATGTCACTGTATATGGGCTCTTTTCATCTGTCTAGTCAGTTGGGATTTCTTCAACTTGTAGGGTTACATATGTTTTTTGTACTCAAAACACCCTGAATGGTCTGTTCAGCATATGTTAAAAACCTGTTACTATTAAAGGGAGACTCCTACGATATATTATATATTGTTTTGTAGCAGACTTTAAACTTTGTACCCTTGTCAATATTTTGCTATGGCCTGTCTACCTGGACAATTTGTCTTAAGTAGTTTTGGGCCGATAACAAATAACCTCATCAATCACTCCCATAAATTGTGTTTTAACATTCAATACCAACAGACGGCTATATGATTTATCAAAGCTAGGGGATCAATAAGTGAATGACTAGCCTATTGGCCAATTGTGAGCTCCTTATTTGTAGACTCATGGTCAGTAGACGGTAGACTAGTCTGGCAGGTGTAAGAGAGGCAGCACTGTTATTTAAGGTCAATGACACGCCATGCTTTCAGGCGTAAATTGTGTAATTTTAAGGACATGTTTTATTATTTTTATGCAATTTAATGATTTAAAATCAAACGTGACTGGTGAACTTTGTTTCACCTAGGGATATTTAAGGTCAATTATGTATTAATTCATGTATATTCATTATTTATAGCACCGTGATATTATATTGCAGCAACTGGTTTAATATGTTTAATAAGTATGTGTATACTATTGGCTTGGTTTAACAAGATGGATTTATTTTTTCTATTTTATTGCTTGAGTTTCATAAATGTGTATAGTGTACATAGTACAATATTCTGAATGTCAATGTTGCATGGTTCTCAAATCATTTTAATCTTGTATTTGACCATTTTACACATTTACTGATCTTATAAAAAATTTATGTTCTCTGGCCTCAGACCTTAAGTGCCACCTTAGAAGTGTATATAGACCTTGAAATGTCAGATTTGGAACAATGAAAAAAAACGGTTTAGTGTGAGATAAGGTTCCAAGGCTAAATATAGAAAAAGTATGCTGTTAAAGAGCAAATATTGAAATAAAATGCTTCAACACCAAATGTACTAATTTGAGCTTTCCGGTTTTGACTCATATTTTTTATTCATGAAATATTCCTTTACTTTCTCTGAAATGTGAGATTTTCCACATTTACTAATCTGGTAGCCTGTATTCAGTGGTCTGTTCTTTGTAAGAAAGTGTTCTTTATGTACTTTTTGCAATGCTATGTGATTTACCAGAGCTAACGTGCACCATGCAATGGGTAATTGAATACCATATGAATAGAGAGCTTTTAGAGAGACTGATAAATCAGAGTGCTTGATAACTATGCATACCACAATGAAAGTACTGAAACACAAGATACTGCTAGATGTGAGAAGAAATACTTGATTCAAATCATTAAAAATTAAAAATTCAGTCAAAGTGATATCATATTTGAAATTTACATGCAAAATTACATTTAGAATCGTGGTTTTAAAAAGTGTTTAATCAACTTTGAAAAATTTAATTTTCTCTGAAAATGTAATTTCTATGTTAGGAGAGATTCCCCATATTTTTCTTATCTTGGTCAGATAATATTTTACTTTTACTGGACATATTTTGATTTGTATAGCTATCAGATACATAAGGGTAATATGAAAATTGAACCACTTAACTGGTGAATATTCAAGTTATTGAGTACTTTTTAATACCCTGCCATGTTATCGACCCCGAATCAGCCACCTGGTGGTGAAAATGGTAACTACCTACTCGCATCTGTGCAATTCTATTATGAATTTTCACTAATCTATAGTTAATTTGGGCTGGGTTATAGTTATATGTATATTTCAATTTTTTTTTATATATAGCATTAGAGGATTTGAGCTTACCTACCTGTGGACTTAACTACAATACCACTATATTTTCACACATACTTTTCCTCCGGCCTTTGTCTTATTAAAACAGACCAACCTTTCAAACTATTTATGATATATGGGGATGCATATGCTGCCCTATATCCATTATCTAAGTTTGATACAAAACAACATTACCATTTACAAGTTGTAAGCTACAAAGGCCAAGTGTTGTATGTAGTCCTGGTTACAGGACAGGGCAGATAGAGTTCAGTGCTATAATTGCTTGTTATAATGAATTAAGATATGATTCTCATTATTCAACCTATATAGCCTATCTTCACAATGTACTTTTATTTTTACAATTGTTGTTATATGGTTATAATTATCTATAATTGTGTTTGTCACAATGTTAACAAATCATCCTTGTTTCTTTTTTATTTTTACATGGTCGTTTTATTGGCTATTAGCAAAAATATAAAAGTAGAGTTTTTGTTATTGATTCATTATTAGTTATATGTATGGCGCCTTATTGCATGCTACAGTGTACTGTTCAATATTCTTTCTGCATTGAAATTGTTTTATAATGCAAATATGAATGTTGTTAGGAAGATCTATATCGTAAGCATATTCATAGTAGATATTCATATGTCCATTATAAATTACATCTACTAGAACATGTCCCTGGCGTTGAAAAGTTTTGCCTTAAGCTTATCTATTTCAGTATTTATTATTTTATCAATAATTAATTTTTTTCATATTCATTTGTTAAATATGATAAATAATTAATCCATTTGGAATGATTTTTTTTATAATCGTATTTACAATTTTTGTAATCGTTATTGTGAGAATTGGTACTCCTCACCTTCTACAATCCTTAATATTCTTTTCACCTGTTTATAGAGAGCTGTCAGCTTGTGGCCTGATATGACCCTCACCCCTTGTTGTGCTGGTGACATTGTATGAACTTGGCACAACCACTGCCAAGATAATTTATAATGTCATGTGAGCATTCAGTTTTGCTGTATTAGGTTAATTGCTCAAAACATCCCACAATTTGCAATTTGATTCATGTTTGTTTGTCAGAGCTCTCCGATCTCCTTTTCAAATCCTGAACTCCTTTTCAAATCCTGAACTCCTTTTCAAATCCTGAACTCCTTTTCAAATCCTGAACTCCTTTTCAAATCCTGAACTCCTTATGTTATGTTTTCCAGAGTCCAAGTCCATCGCGGGAAGATACAAAACGGCAACGTCACCAAGATGAGAGTACTTCACCTCAACAGGGAGATCCTACATGGCCCGAGAGTAGTCATCTTCGCCATCTATCAGCATTCAGACCCTGGTCCCCCAGTGTCCTCAATCTGCTTAAAGATGGTGGTGGTCTACCCCCACCCCCTGCACATATGAGAGAAACGTAAGTAACATGGTTTAATGATAGAGTCGAAAACATGATCGAGTTATACATAGTAAATTGGCAGTACTTATCAAAAAGGCAAAGTGTCCTTATCTGTTACACTAACCTATGTGTTTTAAGTTTTTGACTTAAGACTAACAATAGTTTAGTCTATAAAGTGAAAAAAGGCAATTACACTCAAAAATAGGAAACTGAAAATATTTATATCCTGTAGTAGGAGTGGCTTAGAACTAAAGTGATTAATGAGTTCACATCAGACAGACAGTGATTAATTCACAAAGAAAAAATAATCAGTAGATGAAAGTTTTCCTGTTCAGTAGTTGCAGAGCTTTGTTAATGTGTTTTTAAGGATATATATTTCCCTGGTTTGTTTATCTCTCAGCTAATACACTTTGAGGGGTCAATTCATTGGGTTCAACATTCAATTCATTTGGTTCAATAGATTTGTTTTTCTACTAGCTTATACTTGGACTAAAAGGGGTCAACATATGGAGGTCAAAGTTAAGTTTATAAGATGAAGTCAACTTGTGAATGTATTTTTAATCAACTGTATTTCTTATATCAGCTTATGTTAAATGTCGTTGAAATTCTATTTTGGCTTATTTTTCTGAATTTCCCACTTGTAAAAGCCAGTACTTATCAATATAGTTTATTTGTCCAAGATGTCTGGATCTCAAAATTGAAGCAATCTTCCTCAATGGCAAGTCATTGCAGAATCTCCTTACAAATAAATCCCTTATTTAAACTACTTGATACTTGGCATGCTTACGTCAGATGGCAGAGTTATTACACAAACTTTGATTGTTAATCAATATTGAACCGTATACTCAGAACCGTCTACCTGAGTATACGTATGTTTGATTCAGGTTAGGATCAAAGGCATCCATAATAGAAAATGTATTAATAGTAGATTGGTGTATTTTTTACATCTGAGTGGCGAATATATCTTAATTTTTTCAGTTATATATGTTAAAGAGGGGTGTGATCATATAAGATATGTTTTTCAAATTAAGTTTTTCGAGAATTGCATATTAGAACAAGACGAAGTTGAGTGCCAATACAGGATATCGAGAGCAGAATATATCCTGTATTGCACTTCAAATCATTCTATAACGTTTCTATCGTGTGATCCTCTGTATTGCTAATGAGAATGTCCCCTCCGTGATAATATTTTCTGTATTGTGACAGAGATGATCAATGGGGACAATCTCAGTAGCAATACAGATCGGTACAGCACAAGAACTGACCAATCAGAAGGCTTCATTTTACAGATCATGATAATAGTACATATGACAACTGATACGGCAAACACATGTGTACAATTCAGGAGCGATCTTTGTTTATTCTATTGTGTGATGTTATAGAGTAAGATCATATAAATAGCAAAGATAATGAACATTCAGGTTATTCACCCTTGCACTTGTCACCCATTGAATAATTAAAACCATGACAAGCTAATACTGCCCTGATAATGTCTTCATCTTTTTTTTTTCTTAATGGCAGATATAATGCTCGCAAAAAAGCAATTGAATACTCAGCCATTTATGTATGATGAAATAAGATTTGTACATTTGATATTCTATGGTAACATGCCTAAAAGCATGGGGTTTCTCTTGAAAGCCCATGCTAAAAGGAAATTGATGTTTTTTCTTTTAATATCAGTGGTATTGAAAATCTTATTGTATATGCTCATTGAGACATGAGTCTGTGCTTGTGCTGTCTGTCATCCATTTTGACTGGATGCTGTGAGCAGACATATCATTTAAAGTGTTTATATCCTCATAGTGTCATGCACTCTACTTGTTCATTGACTTTGAAATGGTAGTGGCCTATATATCCTCTAAATACTTGTGTACTTTTTCATGATTACAAAAGATCACTGAAAGATTTATGCATTTATGTGTATTTTAGTTCATATTGTTAACATGTCAGCTTTGTCACTTCTATTTATATGCAGTTTGGAAATGGGATGTTGTGTATATAATGAGGTGTTGAACTTTCTATATGCAATATTTCCATTTTGTGATCACCACCCAAACCAATTAATCATTGTATTATCTTTCTCTACAGAATTTGCTAATGTATTGTGAAAATCATTGGGTCCTGTCCCTTCACCAGTAAGTGGAATCCCCTTACTTCAAAATAAGATTTTAGATTTTGTTTTAAAAGCTCTAGTTCTTGTTATTCCAGTGTGCCAAGACAGCCTGTACCATCATTCCTCCATACAGGAGCCCCTGTCTTATTGAACCCAGAACGAGTTATACCCCACACAGATAACACCCAGTAAGTTGATTGCTCCTTGGCTAACAAAATTGAAAAGAGTAACTCACGGAAGTTGTAAAAATATATATTGCTTTTGAAAGAACGTAAAGACCCATTCTGAAACTCATAACATCTTTCTGTTTCACCAGAAATATCTTGTGGCTTAGACAAAATGAGTTGTCATTGTTTATTTTGATGGTAAATGCCTTCATTTATTAAAAAGTCAAGAGAAATATTGTATGATCATTTTTGATATATTTTAGGCGTGAACGTCACTTTGCACCAAATGTATCACTAGCGCCACCTGCAGCGCAGAAGATTAAGAAGGAACCAGAATTTGATGAAAATACTGAAATCAAAACTGAGGTCGAAGATGAAGAGTTCATTGATGTGTCTACTGATAGTGGCGACGATACTTCAGTTGATCACTCAGGTTGGTGACATCATAGGGAGAATAGTATAAGATATTACCAGGAGCATAGCTCTTTCTTTAATCAATCAGAAAACACTGACTGTGACCTGTGAGCATTTATTTCATTTTATTGGGAGAATGAAGGCACAATTTGACTTTTCAGTGATACAGGCTCGGTAGCTTAAGTTACCAGTAATAGATCTTGTAATATTTCTCCCTTGTTTTTCACAGAATTTGAATCAGTGTTTTCATTAACTAATATGATATGATCGTATATCGAATTACTTGTTATATAGCTGAACAAAATCCGCTCGATCATGGATTTATAATTAATATCCCTGATATATATTGAATTTAATTCAATATTGTGTATCGAAGAAAGACTTATAATTACAGATATACAAAAATAGTAAATTGGCCTTTCATGCTGTTGTGTAACTGACATTTTGTTCTTGAGTTTCAAATTCCTTTAGCATACTATAGTAAATAGGCACAAAAGACTATTTCAACCCAAAAGACTATATTGAATTCTGATTTCAATTCAATTTCATTAACATTTTAACAAACTGTACATAACCTTATTTTGATTTATATTTTTACTTTATAGTGTCGAGTCCACCAGAAACACCATTTGGCAAAACACCTGATGATCCCATTGAAGCGGAGATTGAACTACTGCGCCAAGCTCTAGAGGGGAAAATTGGACGAGGGGAGGGTGAACGGAACAGCTACTTGGAAAAGTATCGATCTTTAAGACGCAAGCACTCCCAGCAATTGAGAGATGCTTTGGAAGCAAACTTGGTTCTAAACCAGGTAAGGACTGATTTTCTACCTGTGTCTTGTCTTGGTCTTGTCGGTCAATTAAATCAATACAGATGTTGTTGTCAGCTTGGTGGGTGGGAAAAACTGGCATTGCTCACCTTTCTTCACTGCATCTTTCCAGACAGACTTCATGACAAAAGGATTTGAAAGTTTCAGGGATGTTTCTTAATATAAAAATCAAGTATTGTTTCATTTATTGGCATGTTGGTTAAATTCTAATGTGGTAATTTTTTTGGCGTGTATATTGTTCACTCTGTACCTTGTTTATATAAATAGTCTCACTTTCCTCCATTTACCGACCTCTTGCCAACTAAAGTAATTTGAGAAGGTATGGGGCTATTTCTGTTGCATTACATACATTTTACATGTAGCACAATCATAAATAAGGTTTTCTTTGGTATTACTTTTTGATATCAAGGGAACTATTATTTAGAGTTGTAGGTTGATTTATAATGATTTATAGGTTCAACTAATAGGTTCATTAGAGATCTCAATCGAAGTCAGACCCTAACTAATTCATTTTTTATTGACAATTTAGGCTTTTATCTTTTTTGTTATTCATAGTGTATTTTACATTTGTAGATTGTAGTTATTTATTGTATATCACTTTGATCTTTTATTATTAGGACATTGCTAATTGAACTCACTAAACTTTGGTAATCAATACAGAATAGTGAATATTGTTAATTGATTGTGTTTTACCTGGGTGCATTGCAATTTCCATAAACATCTATAGGACAATGATATTATAGATATTATTGAATTGAATAGTTTTGTCTGGTGTGTAATTATCAAGGCCCATGAATACACTATTGCTTAAAACAAGCCATATATTCATATCATTCTGATTATTGTTGCCCCTTAACGATCAGAATTTAGCAATAAGTCTGAAGTTACAAAAAAACTAATCTTCTGACATTTGTATAATGTGGAATATTGTGAAAGTTACCTGCATCAGTTAATGTTTTACAAACACCTGGATGGTTATTATGAATTCACCAATTGCTGTCATGCACCAACTGCACTAAGAAAATGTGCATATAAGTGATATCATTATAAGGCATGCGGTTTGATGGAGTTAAGGCAGAAAAAACTCTGCCTTGAACTTTCATTACAGTGTATGTAACAGCTGGACTGGCATTTAGATTTTCTCATGATGGTGGAAGTAGGACAAATGTAGGACAATATTGAGTTACCGAATAATGTTCATAGAATGAGTTGCAATATATTGTGTGTTCGTCATAGTCTTGCTTCAAGACCCTGGACCCCCCCCCCATCTTCTTTTCATCAGTATTGTGTTGGGGAAGTAGATAAGGAGGGGTCCACAGTTTTGAAGTAAGACTATGTTTGTCATATCTGGTCAGCATCCACATGTTCCCAGTATTTGTCTAAATGGCCTTGAATGTTATTGTTTGATCTACCTGTCTGCAAGGAAAATGATCCCAGTTTATCACAAGGCCAGTATCTTCCCATGATCCCACCATCTGTCATGTGACCATGCAAAACCAATTACAGCAAAATATTTGATTTATGATGTTTTTTAACTGTATTTGCGCCCCTTAACACTGGACAGCCAAATAAGTCAAGTATTGTACTTTCAGTTTGTTTAATAATACAAGTGGGTTCCCTTGAAAAAATGAACTTTTCACATCCATTATTGGCTTTGTAGTTCTAGCCCAACCAAACACAAATGTAGACATTATTGTAAGGTAAACCCATAATTCAGTCTGCATTTAGAAGTAGTCTAAGATCTAGGTATACATGTATATATGTTAACTACATATCAGCCATATTCTGTAAGATAATAATAATGATTATAATGGAAGAATCATCAAGACTTTGAATGCACGCACAAATGTTTTGTGTGGAACCATACTACATGTACTTATTTTACTTTTCGATGTCAACCATTATTAAAAATCCATTCCTATTGAAATTCAAGATAAGACTTAAAGATGAGTACAAATACTGAAGGTTGTTATATTTCTCCAATGATGCAATGTTAAAAGTACGGTCACAGTACAAAGTTAAACAGTAGTACAGTAATCTGGTTAGATGAAAAGTCCTTTACATTTGTTTGATAACATTTTACACTGCTCATGATCATACTGTTAATATACCTCTTATCTACCAACGTCCAAGTTAATGTCAAGTATTGAATTGTACTCCAACGCGTCATTAGTGTTATACCGAGTCTCAGGATCCCCTCTTATATGAAAGGGGATGAGGTATATATTGGAGGGATGAAGTATATATTGGGGGGACTATGGTACCCTGAATATATATCTAGGATTGATCTGTGTTCTTACATAAGGTTATTCGGTCAAAATTATAAAAATTATTGCATCAACCCCTCTATCACTAACAACCACATCTTCCACACAATCTAGTTAGGAAGATATCGGAAGGGGGGGGGGGAAGTCCAGGCTTTCAGGGTCAAAATCCTTTCAAAAAATACCAATAGATAGATAGATACAAAAATTCATCATATTTGTCATAAACCATTTACTTTTCAATGCAAACTGAAGTCTAAACTAGCCCTATGTAGTCTATAATATTCTAAACTAACCCTATATAGTCTATAATATTGAGTAGCACACTAGAAATATTAAATTATTTATCTCTTCTGTACTTTACATGACATTTTCCAATTACAAAGATTTGGCACCCTTTATATTAGTAATTTCGGAGATTGTTCTGTAAGTAGACACATCCAAGATTGTTTGAGATCTGTGGAGACACTGCATTTATGGTTACTCTTTGTTAATTAAGTTACAATGGATATCTGTTGATTTTTGTAGTAGCTTACTAAGGTAACATTCCTAGATAACCTATCTATCTGCTCTTCATGGCAAGAGTTGCTGTGAACACTAAAGGAAACCAAGGTTACCAAAATGCCTAAAATATCCAGGGTATGCATACTCCCCAGGCGTTCTCAGACCATACTCAACATATACCAGTTTTTTTTATAAATCACTTTATAGGTGAATGATAGTTACTGAGAATAAGCTGAAACTGGACATGAAACATTGAAACCATAGGGTGCCAATATGAAAATCAGAACTCTGTGCTGGGTGATTGTTTCACCAGATTTGCACTTGTTGTCTGACATTTCTCAATAACATGTTCTGTTCTTGAGTTCATTTGCTTGATTAACTATTTTTGCAATACATGTACTAAATATCCAAGACAACCAGAAGGGGTTCCTCTATGCTATTGGCTGGGTTGTATATAGTACAGTACAGTACAATACAGTACAGTACAGTACAGTACAGTACAGTACAGTACAGTACAGTACAGTATACCTCTTCCTTTTGGTACTTGGGCGAGGGTACACTGTTTACAATTATTACCCACAGAGACATTATGCACAGTAAATTGATATACAATTTATTGAACTCCGTCTGATCATAAGTAGACAATTGAGGAGTACCTGTCTGCCATGTTAATTGCAGTCAATACGAATTACATAACAATACCCGAGATATTGAATAAGGGTACAAGATATTGGCTAACACAATCTACGTCCTTACTGATTACATGCAATGTATTATGAAATGGCAATTACCCTTTCCAATCTGTAACAAGTTTTACATATTTGTAATCATTTGCAATATCATAAGCAGAAATGATCAGCTTGACTTCAGCACTTAACATGCAATAAAGTCCACCCGTATAGCTCAGCGGTAGTACAGGTACCTCTTACGCAATAGGTCCCCCGGATTCGTTCCCTGGTTCAGGCAAGACTAAATTTGCTTGTTTGCGTAAAGTACTTCAGTGTGTTTGACTGAGTGGTCCACAACTCGTACAAAAGGCTGTGGTGTGTACTTGTATGTCTATATATGGGTGCACATAAAAGAACACAGGGCTCCTTTGAGGAGGGTTTTCTTCCAGACTTATTACGTTAATTACGACTGTATATATACGGGATATACCTACGAGGTATTGCTCCCTTTCATTGGTGATAAACAAAATACAATAAGATATACATGCGCTGATTATGTTTTTAAGTTTCAACAGATTTTTTGCTTTATCTTTTATCCTGGCATCAATTTAGGATGTCTAAAATTTTGTAACATGATATTAATTCAAGGAGAAATGAACTTAAATTGGAGGCTATATTATTATGAATTCCTATATACATTGTATACATATATTATAATGTCCAGATTTTGGATAAAATCTGTTGCCTTGTCAACAAATAATGGGATTCGAACACTTCTTATATTTGTTACATAGTGGTAACTCAAGGAGTCTTAGTCAGGTTGATATTGGTTTCCATGGTAATAAGTTACACCTACATACGTTTTCACTCTTTAATACTTTGTGCAACAAGGTAATGTCAACTGTCATATCTCATTTTTATTGTTTATTCCATGGGCTTAGAGGTTTTTTTAATAACACGCAGAGGTTCATCAACAGGTAAAGTATCGCTAAAGGCATTGTCTGCAGCTGGATGTCCTTGTCTGGATATATGTGAAAAGTTCATCTAACATCAGCAGTCCTTCACTTGTCATTAATGTCAGCAAAATGATGTATGTCATCTGAAATTGTAAAGTACAATAGGGAGTAGTGGCCAGTCCTGTCAGTTGCAGTTTTATTAAGTGTGTCAGTTAGTCATTATTATATACCATACATTTGTTTTTATGTGGTCCTGTCGTATGATTCTGCTTTCTAGTCGTGCTTTACAGCTGTCTGAGAAGCTGTAAGTAGTTATCATAAAGAAGGATAAGGTAACACATAAACTAGGAGTCATTCCTTTTATAGGTGAAACTAGGTATTTGATGGGGGGTGATATCTGGCTGGGAGGCTTCTCCTTTAGGAGACATTGGGATATGACTGATATTGCTCCTTAACTGTGGCATCATATTGCCAAAACCAGTCAACCAATATATTATGTCATTGTAAATTCTTCAATAACAGCGTGGTTCAATAATGGATATTGTTTCAGATTCTAAAATATTTCTCGATGAATCATCCCGAGCCACTTAACATTTGATTAACTTGGTGATATGGTGATTATACAAATAGATCTAGGGGTCACAGTTGTTTTATTACTAACTCTCATTAAAGTTGATGTGAGGCGCCTGTATGATATACAGTATACATAGACGGTCTATATCTAGGTTGGCCCTAGAAAGTTGTTTATATCATACAAACCAGGATATATTTAGCTTTTTTATAAAGCTGTTTTTTTAAAAATCAAAATTAAATGTTGAACAATTTGTCATTTGGGATGCTCAGATTTTTTACTTTTCTTTGAAGTCTGCCATTTGTTCCATAAATATGTCATTTTTATTGAGGCCTGAAGGCATAATGACAACGTGACAGAGTGTTCAGTGTTTGTTTAGGACACATATGTGTTTGTTATTTATTATGTTATTTTAGTAATCAAAAATGCAATTTTTCATAGATTATGTTGATATATAGCTTCCTGGTATGAGTTGCCGGTTTTAAAGTTCAGAGTGCATGTGATTACATCACGTAGATAATAAAGTTATGATGACTTGTGCTTGTCATTGAAGGTTGAACTTTTCACAGGGCGTGATAGCCTTTATTTTTAATATGGCATTTTATGCATCATGTTATATTTGAAATAGACTCTTGTAACATTTCATGTCTGCCTTACTCAGAGACTGGCGTGGATTATTAATTAGACTGAACTGTATTTCACACCTCAGAAAATGTTTATCTAAACATTATTTTATAACTATTGTTTTATAGCTGTTTTTATTACAAGGTAGCTATATTGAGTATAGTGTCCTGACTTTATTTATGAACTTCAGAAATCATTTCAAAATGATTCAGACAGGGGCTAGGCAAAATAAACATTTTTTACTCTATAATATATTTACATCTGCATGTACTGTTATATAATACAATCATTACCATATAAGTTGTAGTTGTCTCAGTGAGGGGTTTAACAGGTTACCAAAAACCTCAACCAATATTTACAAAAGTTGCCAAAAACCGTTTCAGTTAATTTTGTTTATTTAATGCTTTATGAAGACGTCCTCATCAAAGTGTTTTCCTTGTGTCTTTTAGGAGCTCGCTTCACTGCGTAAGAGTCAAAATGAAGAGTTCCGGAAAACAAAGGAATTACGAGAGAAGTTTATGTCTGACTTGGATCAGTTACGACAAGAAAATGAGGCACAAGTGAAAGCCCTGGAGGCAAGTCAAGAAAAGTTGAGCGCGGAACTTGAAAGAGAGAGAAAACAACAAAAGTCCAACTCAGATATTGTAAAGGTAAGGTTTCAGGCGTTTCTTGGCTTAGATTTCACATCTATTGTTATTATTTATAACATACTAAAATCAATTCTAACTCTGTTCATGTGAAAGTGCACATGCAAAAATGATGGCAGTTAGACAATGGAAAGAGTCCTAATATTGATCCAACTGCCATCGCCCTCCAAGTATTTTTGTATATACCATTGAATGTTGAAGTTCAAAGCTATAAATTTCCAAGCTGAATATTCCCGCTATGACATTACTAGGTTGATAGATGGCTGTCTGAGTAGAGTTCATTCTGATTAAAAGTGCAAGTAGAATACAGTCGGCCTGGTTGTGTACATCCTCCATTGAGAACAGATTATCAAGACCCAGTTAGTTTGGTCTCAATATCCTATTAGCAGGGACTCAAGATACAGTTAGTAGGGTCTCAAGATACAGTTAGTAGGGTCTCAAGATACAGTTAGTAGGGTATCAAGATACAGTTAGTAGGGCATCAAGATCCAGTAAGTTTGGTCTCAATATCCAATTAGTAGGGACTCAAGATACAGTTAGTAGGTCTCAAGATACAGTTAGTAGGGTATCAAGATACAGTTAGTAGGGCATCAAGATCCAGTAAGTTTGGTCTCAATATCCAATTAGTAGGGACTCAAGATACAGTTAGTAGGGTCTCAGGATACAGTTAGTAGAGTCTCAAGACCTACAACATATAATCATATAATTCAATGTCTGATTGGAAATATTGAACTGTTTTAGCTCATGTATATATTATGCTGTATCAGTTATAAAGGCTGTTATAACATTTCTTCTTGATATTTGATTTAAAAAGCACAGAAAATCATTAACACAATACAACCATCATGTATGATAGATCAATTACGTGTAGATTATCATGTTGATAACGTGCGGTTTATGGAAATTGATATTGGATATTTCCTCTTTTCTTTTTCTTATTACTCAAATAAAACAAGATGATGTATTAGCATATTGTAATTTATTTTCTTCTTTTTTCATCAGTGATGAATGATGAATATATATACATGGACACTACTTTTAAAAAAGGTTACACCCCAAGATGTAGTTATAAGCCACTTAAATAGACTAGCCCATACATGTAGTATGTCTGTTATAAGTTAATACTTTAAGATAAGACCTTATAAGTGAGTAGTGCTTGATTTGTACATACAATACAGGTATATATGATCACATATCCTATAAGATCTTGTTTGAATTATCATTTAACTCCCTATACAGATATTAAACTGTGCCTGGATTTCTATGATGCTTATCAAAATAAAATGTACTTTAAAATAATAAGTTGTGTATCGATCTCATCTGTGTCATTCTAAGTGCATTTAGTATTTAGATTTTGAACTTATCCCGACGTTTATTTATATGTTAAGAGATGTCAGTATAGGTATTGATATAAACTGTAACATTGGTAATGTTTCTTTGAAGCTTTTCCTTCTGGGAATCATGAAAAACTCATATAAATATTATAATACTGCTTTCATATGAGCTTATCGATCATATTTTTATGACACTAGTTTAGTTCAGTGAACTTTCAATATTGTTAAACTGACACATGTGGGAGAAATACACAGGCTTTTTATGTGTTTTTTTATCAACATTAACCTAATTAATATTTCTAAAGTTCAGGGTAGTTCTATTCTTTATGGGATGGTTGTTTATATTTCCCTACTACATACTGTCAAGTCAGAGTTGTTTTGCAAGCTATTAGTATTTTATTTTTTCATGAGGAAGTAACCATTTATAACTATAATTTATATGTATCTCAGTGAATGATCGCTTTAGTATGTTGAGTTAATCTTTCTTAGAGAAAATATTAGCTGTAAACTACCAAACTGCTGAGCCTTGGTGCCTTAAAATGTCAGAAATAAATCATGGAATATTCTAAACACTCAAAATAAGATATTTTAAGATGGCCAGTCTAATAGCCCCTTTTTAATTAAAACAGAGTAGTGTATTAGGTAAAGTGCCCATGTAGATTCTTATAAAATTTAGTGTTGTTCATCAAAGTGGTAGTACCACTGCTCAGTATTGCATATGGAAAACACAATGTCTAGCTCTGGTTTAGGGACAAAGCAAACATGGTGATATCTAGCTCTGGTTTAAGGGACAAAGCAATTAATATAGTTATAGTTAATGAATGATATTCCTGTTTCAGTGGCAAGCAGCATGTTTCAATTATTGTGTGGTTTTATTGTTGTGTTTATGGATGGTAAAAGTCATGGTAGCTCCATTTAAAATGTCAGTATGGTGATTAAGGTTAATTCTTAATATAAGAGTGAATTTGAGAGAAGGAAGCTAGAAATATAGTAAAATAACATGCAGTACAAATTGAATTACATGTACATTGATTTGAAAGAAAAATGAACATTTGATATTTTTTGCAAGAAATTGATGAATAATTTATTAATTAGACGAAGGAGATGCTTCATAGAAAAGAGTAGTGTTCAACTTCTAATTCTTAGAATCCTGTTATTGCGTCATTATGTAGTTAGGCAGTAATGAGAATATAAAATCATCCTGTCATGTCATGGTATTTTTATATAAACATGTATATAAATGTTTTATTAATGTCTATCCATGCTCAGCCATATGTTATCATTAAATTAGGTATTAATAATCAACACACTAGCTATACATCTTACAAATATGTAATTTTGTCCATGCAAAGACGATATTAAAATTGTACTGTTTCCTTCATCTTTTTATGAGCTTGCTTGCATACATAAAAAATGTCATAAAAATACTAGCATGCGTACTATTTTCATTACCTCAGCGTATAAGGCTATTCACCATAGCTCTTAGTAGTGACAAAAACAATTTTCAAGGAAATGTAATTAGATAGAACATTTTACTACAATCCACTGTTAGCAAGCATCATTGAAGTCTTAATGTTATTCAAAGTTTTCTTTTATCTTCTGGCTTTCATCCTCTTAACATGTATTTATTTTCTCATAAAACATTTACTGCTGGTCAGAAAAATGAAATCAACCCAGAATTAATCCTCACATCTCATTATCACGCATATAAAAATGTTATGATTCACTTCAATGGTGTGAAATGAAGCATTGATGAAGTATAAATGTTGTCTTTTAAAATGGTTATCTATCAAGATTGTATTTTGTATTTATGGATGATAAAGGTTGTGTTTTTATTTTTATTTTATATTGTTTGACTAGGGGCTGTGCTTTATATCGATGTACTCTGTCGTTATAGGTGAAGGCACGTTATCGAGCACAAATCACCGAACTACAATCCCAGTTGAGACAACAAGAGCGGGAAACATCAACCTTACGTGATGAGTTAAATCAACTGAAGAAAGAACTCACTCAGTTCAAGCCAGTCAAATCACCCCTTGCACCAGTGAACCTTGTGCAGAAGTCATCATTGGAAGGCCATGTTAAACAAAAGACTAGCGACAATGATGCATGTGAGAATGTGAAATTATCAGTATTAGCTACTGGTGATAAAGACAGTAAAGATAAAGACACTGGTGAGAATAGAGACTTGCATGGGAGTAGCTTGCTAATAGAGAGTGTGGGCACAGCATCAATCGCACCCTCATAAACTACAATGGGTATGTGTATATTGTATGGGATTATGGGTCTAATCTACATACAAGTTTTAGCAAGTAGATGCTATTATTATTGTAAATATGTTAGATCTAAAGTAGCTTAATGTCTACAGAATGTAGAGAACGGAGAATACTCAGCTACTGAAGACTATAATGCCAAGTAAACTTGACACTGGATACAGCCCTGCGAAGGGCCGCATTATACAGGAGCGGGGCCTTGGGTGCTATAATATACAGGGGCTGTGTCCAGGCTAACTGAAGAAATCTTTGTCACTAGAATATATTTGCCAAAGGGTGGCGTTAATGCAGTACTGAATGTATGGAAAGATATGAATGTGATATGAGATCAGAGCTCTTTTGGGTTGGAGGAGAAATAGTCTCTGATAGAGCTCTTCAGTGAAGAAGGGGAAACTAGGGAGTGTAAATATGATATTGTCAACCTGGGGTATGTCCCATATAGTATTGTATATAGCTAAATATTGTACATAGTATGAGAGGATATATTGTATTCAGACATTACATCATGTATAGAGTGATATATATAAGAATCAAGGTAGTAGTGTAAGAGGGGATCTGATGATCATCTTTCTGGAATACTCTAGACATCCCACTTTTCTGATTTGATTTGCAATAATTTTTTTTGTTTATGCTTATGTACCCTAAATTGCAATAGGTAGAGTGCAAAGCAAGTCTGGCTCTCTATTAATATGTGTGTTTTCCGGAACCCAACTTTTTGATATTTCTGTCAGTTTTTACCTCATTATGAATTTAGAACCTGACATGCGAAGTCTTAAGTAAATAATGAGTCATTTTTAAAGCCTGGACATAAAGGTCAAATAAAGTCATATATAAATTTTGATGCAGACTGGTGTTATACATATAAGTAAACATTATAGATTTTATAAATATTCAAATAGAACACAGTACTTGAGATTGACCCGAGTGGTTATATAGTGATATTTACACTAATAGCAAATCACTCTAGATATCCAAAGTCCCCTGACCCTGCATGTAAAACAACGTGCTTCAATTTTGTTCTATTTTTGTAAAACAAGCATTTAGATTTAGCTTAAAATATGATAAGTTCAAAAGGTATAAGTATTGACTAGGTGTCATTTTGGTCATTCAGATTTCACAAAATCAGCCAATATTCTGCCGTGTTACAAGATTCTTCAGTCACAATAACAATGTTCTCTCTTGATCAACAATGTGAATGCCCCAAGCAACTCATGAGCACATGCCAACATTGAACTTGTTTATAACATGATGCTGTATCAGATCTTGTCTGGGTGCAAGGGATTAAAAAGATCTATTTGTGAATAGTTCGAATGTTTTTGTAGCGTCTAGAGCTTCATTGAATCCCAGGTCTTTGCACTTTACTCACCTAGCATCTGTTTAATCAGTCTCTGTAACCATAGCAACAGTTGCATCTGAGACGTCAGCTTAAAAACATCTTTATTTGATCAAAATGAATTCTTATCTAAATATTGGTAAAACATGATCTTTATCAATTAAAATGCTTACCATTATTTTGAATATCGTTAAAATATTGTTAAAAAACATGAGCAATGTTTTTATAGCGAAAATGGAGGATCAATATATGTAAACTTTACTCTTTAGTTTATCTGGTTCAAGCTATGGCCAGGCACTGTTCAAGAGCTTTCTGTATTTGATGAGATCAAGTTTAAAGTGGCATGATACACTAGGTTACCTTATACCAGCTTTTTTTAGCTCTTGTTGTAAACAACTTTTTTTACACAACTTTTTACGAACATACAGTGTTCTTATTTAAGTTGAATCCCTGGATGCATCTAGTACTAGTATACAAGGTGATCAACAGAACCCCTCTCTTACTACACTATGAGGCTCATGTCTTTGACCGGTGTGTGTTATATATGTGAGGTTGATGTTTCCCCACATGTTGTAGCACAGCAGCTATATAGCCATAATGTAGGTGTCAATGAATAGGTGGGTTGATTCTAGTTAAGAAGCGAAGGATTAGAACGTAGGAGTGATTCCACGTACAATAACACTCCTTTCCAGCCTCCTACGCTCCTGAGATCATTTTCACTGGTAATATTGAAAGTTCTTGAATTGTCACAATTTGTCAAGGTTAACAGATATCAACCTATAGAAAAAAGAGTATATTAAAATGTCAAGAGGTTTGGCACTGACAGGCAAAATGTCACCATTTTTAAAATGGCAAACTTCTATCCCACTCTACCCTCCTACGCATTGACACTTACTTATAAGATATTAGGTCAATCAAGCAATGGAGCACTGCATAATGTTTAAAGATCAATGTGTAAATGTAATATGATTTGTTATAAAATCAGTCAACTTTCAATTGTTTCAGTCACCAGTATTTCAGTGCTGATATAAAGGTGTATTTGTTTTTTGTTAGTGTCTATATAAAGCTATTTTAATACGGGTATATTTTAGTAAATGCTGTGTCTACTCCAGCATTAAAAAGCTAGAAATTTACAAATTTCATGGCTGGAGTATGGTGGGGTGTGACAGGTGGCAGATAGTGTAAATACGCCTGGGTAGAGTACTAGAGAAACATATAGTTAGGTAGATAAACTAGTCTCGGCTAAGAGACTTGACAGGGCACTTGGATACGTCATGTAAGCTCTCAATGGTTAAAATTTAGAATAGATGTATATGTAAGGCTACGATTTGCCTTACCACTGAATTATATTGAGCTCAGGGTACCCAATATTACGGGGAAAATTGTGAATGTTTATTACAATACTGAGACATTGCTGCCAAGTGCACTGCTAGAAGCAACAAATCAAACTGTAAATTTCATGTGTGGGACGTATACATGCATTAAGTGTTACTTACACTTGTATGTATAAAGTGTAAGTAACCTGCTTAGATTAAGTGTAATCTACACATTTCAGGTGTAATGTATATAGGTAAGGTAGCTATAGCCAAGTACATGTACTAAGTCTTGGTTTTAGCTCTCAATTTGCAGATACTAAAGGTATCATTACCAAGAACAATGTATTATATTCATCTATGTGATATGGTGGTCCATGAAAAATGGTCAGCCATATGATATGGTGGTCCATGTAAAATGGTCAGCTATGTGATATGGTGGTCCATGAAAAATGGACAGCTATATGATATGGTGGTTCGTGTATAATGGTCAGCTATGTGATATGGTGGTTCGTGTATAATGGTCAGCTATGTGATATGGTGATCCGTTTAAAATGGTGAGCTATTTGATATTGTTATCCATATACCATGTGGTTGGCAATGTATTAAATCGTGTCAAATCTCTAGTCCCTCTCCTTGTCATCAAGTTGATGAGGGGGGGGGTTATCCAGAGATTTGGTAGGAGACAATGCTATGTAATATAGGTCAGCTAGATAATATGGTTTACTTTTAGTGATACAGTCAACTATGTACACTGTACCGTGGGTCATTGTTGCATGTGTTATCTCGAGATGTGCACATGTTCTTAATCTGCGATATTTACCATGAAAATTATACATAGTAGTAAAAATCTGTCAAAGGTTTTTTCACCCTTATTTTTATTTTATGTTGAAAACCTTTCGACAGTTCAGTACGTTTTTGACTTAATTTCTATGTATGTGTTGCAGATTGGGAATATGTTCACATCTAGTTATTTGGTACCATGTTATATATAATAAGCTGAAGATGGCGCCACTTGCTAGGTGTTGGTATAGTAACTTCAATTGGAACAAGCCTTTAACAAATGGTGCATATTAAAATATTCAGGGCATTTCAAATTTTGAGAATTCAGGGATTTTTCAACTAAGACAATTTAGATTTCTCTCTGTTATTTTTAACTTTATTCTATAAATGTGATAGTAGTTAATAGATGTGTCTTATAGTAAAGTTTTTCCATGGTTTCCATGTGAATATTTTCCAATAAACTTTCAAATGTGATTTCTGTGTCATTACAAATAGTCAGATACATAGCCTATTAGTGTAAAAGTCATATTGTTCAAATTTAAAGTAGTAAGCACAATCAGAGACATATAAGTGACAATGTTTTCTATGTCTCTGGCACGATGCACCAGAAGTAAGCTGTTCCACATGCAATATGCTATTCATGTAATATTCTATTCATATTCTGCCAATGTATTCCAATGTTGAACTGTTGAGACTGAGGCCAGTTTCTCAACTTAGTTTATGATTCTAAATTCCAAATTAAAGAAATATTGGCAATTTTTCATGAAATCAAATCAAGGAATTATGTCATGGAGTTATGCCGTGTTCACATTTGCTCCGATTTTTACGACGGCGCCCGGCCGATTGAGTATCTTGTTCAAAATTGAATACAATATTGAATGAACAACACATACAATCGGCTGGGCGCCGGCCGATGGATCAGAGCAAATGTGACCAAGGCATTAGAGTATTTGAAGAGAATACAGGTTCCCTAGATGTATACTGTATATATTGTACATCATCTAAATGCTTTTGTCTGTAATGTCAGATGAGACTCTCGGCTAAATGTTAAAAACATTTTAGTTGCTTGGTGAAAAAATAAATATCACTTTAGGCTGATAAACATAAAAAACAATGTGTTTTTGTTTGCTTTTTTTAAAACAGGTTACCATGACATTTGCAAGTCAGATACTTAATGAAACCTGGCTTCTGCATGTGTTTGGTGTTACTCCATTATATTATGTAGGAATGTCTCTAAGCTCTCGACTATCCACATACTAGCGTGCATACCCTCATTTATTGACATTTGAAAAATCTCCGCATTCGATTCCAAGTAATTAACATTTTCCTTCACATTGCACTGTTCCATATCCCCAGTTATTGACAGCATCCTCCGCCACGTTTCAATATCAATAGCTATTATGTTGTTGATTCACTCTTGAAACAAGCCAGAAGTCAAAAATTTCTTTCGCAGTTTGACATTTCAAAAGTGTAATATGTTTTTGCTCATTAAGGATGTGGCTTTTATTGATGGAAAAGAATTTGATACTGCAGAGGGCATAAGCTTACTGCCTGTGTGTCAAAATATGATCCTCAAAGGTGAATATCGTATTGAATAAAGTTACATTCCATGCGAAATGCAGCATTTTGCTTGGTATGGAAAATAATGATTTAAAATGATACAGGACTGAATCCTTATAGACAGGTTCCAATTCAAATAATTCAAGTTTTTGAGGCATTTTTTAGAAAAAGCAACAGACCTATTTTTACTAGATCAGTTTTTCATGCTGATAAAGATATTAAAAGATGACAGCTCAACCGGGTGGTCACGACACTAAATTTTGGCATTTTTACCCCCCTAGGAAAATATTCTAGGGGGTACTATGAAACTAGTTCATAACTCAAAGGATATATGAGCTATTGTTCTGAGTTGTACACCATACATTGCTAGTACAAATATGAATACTATCCTAAAGTTATGGGTTGATACCCTTATTGGTCTCAGAAAAATACAAAAAACAGGAAAAAGATACGCAATTTTTGTCTTGCCAATTTTATATTTGTAGCTTCAAACACAATATGAGAGCTTTAACAGCTCATAGTAGTATTCTAAAAACATTTCCAAGCTATGTGTGGTATTGTAATACATCTATTTTAGTTATGAAGTACTATTTTGTAATTTTAATATGACTTTATAGTGCCCTACCCCTGAAAAATTGAAGAAAGTGGATGTGGTGAATTTTATCATTTTGCAGCATTAAGTTAGAAACATGTATTGATAGACACCAAATCAATAAATTCATACTATCATCAAATGTTAGGTGACATTCTTATTCATTTATTACTAGAATATAGGACTTAAGATATTTTATATGTAAGTTTTCAATTAAGTACATGTATCATAATGAAATCTAGTGTAATCACATACTAGAGAGGTTGGCATACAGTCTGGACATTGACATAAAGTCTAAACATTATAATCATCAATTGATCTCATTTGAGCAACTAGACTATGGTGGTCATCATGCACAAGTAATGTACAGTAGAACCTGCTAAGTGGAACACTTCCGTAAGTGGAACACCTCCCAAGTGGAACGCCTTTTCAAAGCCCCGTTTTAAAAACCCATTGACTTAATGTTAATTGAACCTCTGTAAGTGGAACACCTCCAAACTTGAACAGTGAACACCCCATATTGAAAAATTAACCTGCTAAGTGGAACAGTCAATTTCCATAGATTTCAATATTGAAATATGTAAACAGAATTAATCTCCTTCAATGATATCTGGGTATGAAAACAGGTAATACTGTGATAATTGGCAAATTAGGATTTTAATGGATTTTAATGGATTAACCTCCTGCAGAGGTCAACATGTGATGCAACCAATAATTAATTTGACAATCAGCAAATTTCATAAGATTTTTATTCAGAAAATTGGATTAACCTCCTGTAGAACTGGACACGTGATGCTACCACTAATTAATATCCCTTGCTGTTTGTTTCAAACTTAATAAGTAAGATTAAAAATGTCATTTAAAAACAATTGAATTATTAGCAGTAGGAACAAGTCTTTAAAATTCAATTGCCTAATCCTTGTACCTGAGACTGGCACAATTAGGAGGATTAAGAATGTCAGAAAACATTTTTGGCAGAATGAGGAGGATTAAGAATGTCCGATACCTTTTTGAGTAAAATAAATGGATTATTAATGGTATATACCTGCCCTGTAATGAAGGGAGAATCATATTTCCAATGATACATATAAATTTTATATTTGATCTTGTATGTTCCCTTTGAACCCAAAACCTCCGTAAGTGGAACACCTTCTAAGTGGAACACTTTGTGGCAGTATGGAGAGTGTTCCACTTACACAGGTTCTACTGTATTTACATAATAATGTTATAAAGGTTATGTAGGTTATCGCAAACAACTTCAGACAATTCTAACTTGAATTATGAATATTTTCTGACCATGAACATGGGTATATCTTTTAGATCTATTCATTATCTTCAAGAAAAGTAAATATAATGATTAATCAGATCTAAGTGATATTAAAGGGAATGGCCCGATCAACATACTTTTTACTAAAAATGTTGACCTAATTTTTACCAAAGATGCAAACTTTAATTATATTGTTGAATGCATAATTAGAATATGCTTTGAGACATGTTCTATTTCCTAAGAGGAAAAGTGGATTGCTCCAGGGACTTTAAAGACACTGAATTTGGATGACCAAAATGAACTGAAACCAATGGATAGCATGAATTTTTTCAAAGGGGAAATAACATGGGGAACACTAATCTTAGGGGAATTCAGTTTTCTTTTCAAGAGCTATTTGATACATTAAAATAAAGAATAGTAATGCATTAAACATTAATAAAATGATAGCATTTTTGGTGAAAATGAGGTCAACAACTTTGAAAAATATATTGATGGGTTGATTGCTAGTGAAATATAAAAAAAATAACAACAAAATGACATAGAACTGATAGATGTTTTCTCCTGTGCGTGTCAGCCTTGGTCTACCAAATTGCTATTCAGTAGGAAGAAACTCATTTTTCAGTTTCCATTTTAATTTCCTGACAAATAGGGTGATCATCCCAGGATTTTTTCTATGATCTATGTGTCACCATAGCAACTTCTGTTTTAGAGAACAACAGAACAATAGAAACGATTACTTTACCATAATTTTGATCATCCCACATTGTAGACATATTTAGAATTAAAAATATGAAGAGAATAAACACATTTCTTAGGAAACAAATAGTGTCATATTCTTGTTACGCTTCCTAGTCAACTCGTAACCCAAGACAACTCGTACCCAAGACAACTTGTACCCAAGACAACTCGTACCCAAGTCAACTGGTACCCAAGACAACTCGTACCCACGTTTATTTTCTGTATTATGGGTCCATATAAGAAAACAAATTGAGTCTGTGTCAAAATGTTTAATGTTATAATGTGCCTCAATATTTTTTCTGAATTTAGAAGACATTTTTTCTTAATGGATTAAGCAAAGCATTTTGTTTTAACTTGGATTACCTTTGAAGTGCTTTGAAGGGCTTGTTCTCAACTTTTTTTGTAATACATATATATAAATGAATATAATTAAAACAGTAACTTTTCAACAAATGAATCAAACAATTAATTTAGCTTAGTGCATTCAGAGAAAATTAATAAGAGAACTTTAATCTGTTCATTTCTTTTCCATTTTGAACTTAATTGGATTATATTTGAACACATGCATGCAAAGTGTATTATATCATGTATGAATAAGTATCAAAATAATATTTGATATTCATATTATTTAGAATATTTTTTATTGCTTAATTTTATGAAGGTGACTTCTTAGAATTATCATTCTTTAATCTGATAATATGAAATCCTAAATAGATTATCTGTTTAATAAAAAATAGGCGCAAGTTTTGAAAATCGTTATATTTTTGATAATACCATATTTCAAGATGAATTAGATCTGATACTTGTTCCAAACACTCATTAACATACAAAAATACCACTAATATTGTGAACAATGATTATGAATATGTGGATTAACATAAATCTCTTCCCTCGAATATCTGAATCTGTGACCAATATATTTGGTCACAACTTTCAATCGATTTCTTCCAAAAAACTCTTACACATACTTCAAACTATTCTGAACTGTATGTAACCGTTATAATATGTATATCTATACCCATTCCCAGCCCAACACTTGATTCAAAACAAAACATATACTTGGGTACAAGTTGTCTTGGGTACGACTTGTCTTGGGTACAAGTTGTCTTGGGTACGACTTGACTTGGTATAGTGTCCTCTGCAGATTTTATCGGATTATATAAGGAAAATGCTCTGAAGAGGGTTGCCGAAGGATGCCACTTAACAGTTCTGGTATTTTTGAGGTCCCAACCCTCTATTCATGGGAATAGTTAACCATTGTAAAGCTACTCATGGTTAACTGACAGAATTGATTGTATCTTCAACTAAGAAGACAATAAAATGTTAAAACCAGAAGAAAACCACACCAACTTTCTTCTATTTACCAGGGGTAGGGCACTATAAAGTCATATTAAAATTACAAAATAGTACTTCATCACTATAATAGATGTATTACAATATCACACATAGCTTGGGAATGTTGTTAGAATACTACTTTAAGCTGTTTAAGTTATCATATTTTGCTTGAAGCTACAAATATAAAATAAGCAAGGAAAAAATGACAAAAATTGCATATTTTTTTCTAATTAATTGTATTTTTCCGAAACCAACAAAGATATCAACCTATAACTTTAGGGTAGTATTCATCTCTGTACTTACAATGTATGCTATAGAACTCAGAACAATAGCTTATATATCCTTTGAGTTATGAACTAATATTATAGTACCCCCTAAAATAATTTCACAGGGGGGTAAAAACGCTAAAATTCAGTGTCGTGACCACCCCGTTGAGCTGTCATCTTTTAATATCTTTATCAGCATGAAAAACTGATCCAGAAAAAATAGGTCTGTTGCTTTTTCTAAAAAATGCCTCAAAAACCCTTTCCCTTGAGATATTCTGAAATTGGAACCTGTCTATTACTTTATTTTGACAATATTTCACAGGAAAATCTGATATTCATGGAATAAATATAGATTATTTCATGGGATGGAGTGATTATGAATTTCCTATGAACAATATGGTACTCACCAAGGAAAAAATCATAGACTACAGTCATTAACCTTATTGCTATTCAATAATTATCAAGGTTAAAATAACTCAAGAGTAAAACAAACAAGTGAAACACCTGTTCAATATTACTCCATTTTACACGCTTGATACACTGCAGCCTTTGCTTTTGGATACAGGGAATATCCCGAGAGAGATATTTATATTTAACATTTTCGTAATATTATTTTTGTTCAAAACAATGAAATTGTAACATTTAAACTAAAAAAAAAAAAATTTAAATTAAAACATTAAAACTTTTGATATTTAAACTTTTTTAAACTTTTGAAAAATTCCCGGGAGCGGGATGGATATATTATATCTGCCCGCATTTGGCCTGGAGCGGGACATATACAATATATCCTGCCCGCTCCTCAGATACGATATATATTCCCGGGTGATATCTACCCCAAACCCACTCAAGTATGAGATACATACCCATATATGGTCTCAATACAGAGAACTGAACAATCAATTCCCTTAAGCATGCACTACATTAATGTCATCCTCCAAAATTGCTGTGAAATGCAATATCTATGTCCACAGGGATAAGGTCATCTTTTTTACAGAGATGAGATGCTCTTTAATACATGCATTTCGTCTTTATTTAAACAAACTAGTGCACATCATGGTACTGTAACATAGGGAGTAGATATATAAATGATGAATATACTTGATACCATAGGTAAGGTGGTTTTGAGTCAAAGGTTCAAGGAAATGGTTGCATAACTTTTGAACATAAGAGAAAATTAATGTTATTTTATTTAGGTATGATACCAAAATAGGTCATAGCCACCTGTTTACTGTATTTGGATACATTGACATTACCATACATACATCCAAAATAACTCTCAGTTGAAGTAATTTAATGATTCATGAAAAATAAAGGTATCTAATCTTTTGAAATTAATTAATTTTTAAATTAATTCCATGTTCCATTAAGTTTCAATTAATACCTAAACCTCTGATCTGAGGTACGTAAAGGTTGCAAATGCCATATGTGGGTTTGAGGTATTCCTGTGCACTTTTGCTGAAGGCCACCATGGAAATGAGAAAACATTGTTTTTGTTCAATGATATTGGATATACCACTAGCCTACACTGCAATTCCCTGACATAATACCAACCTACACTGCAAAAATTAAACAACTGCCAGGCCAAATTGCAGTATCTGGTCAAAGCACTAACCTATACTGCATATATCATATTTGGTGTTTTAAAGGATTTTTTAAACTGAAAATGATGACATCAATGAACGACTTTAGTGAGATATTTTTTTTTTACAAGAGAAAAAGTTATTGATTTTTGGTGAAACTATGACTGAGATGAAGGTCAAGAATGAAGGTTCCAAAATATTACTTTTCAGAAATGTAGAGTATTTTTTAAATTTGAAATTAATTAATTTATAAATTAATTCCACGATCCATTTCCAATTAATTCCTCAACCTCGAGTCTGAGGTACAAGGTTGTAAATGCCATATCTGGGTTTGAGTACCCTTTGCATTTGTTCGACTTTGCTTCTCAAAAGAGAGCTTCGTCTTCCCTCTTTCAGTTTCCAATAAATCTCTTAACTCACCGAGTGAATGAGAGATCGTCGTTGAAATACAGACATATGGACATTTTCTCTAACATAATCGCATAATTATTGTGCACGCATTTAGCACTTGTTCCTTCAAGTTCGCTCATTGGTTGAGAATAGGTCAGCCCAGTAGGTGTGAAATGATTTAAGACCAGAGCTCTCACGGGCATCGGTCGTGGGGAGGGGGCTGCTAAACTGTAATATAGTCTATAGGCAGAGGGTAGTTCATAACTAGACTCAGCGCACAGGGTAGGGTTTGAGGTATTTCTGTGCACTCTTGATGAAGGCCACCATGGATATTAAAAATACATCTAACATCTGTTTTTGATGTTTTATTCAATATCTCCATTCATGCAAAGATATTCTCAAACAATCAATGAATACTTAAATCACAACTTCAAAGTCGTCTCAATTATGAAATATCAATATTATTACAGCTTTCACGTAAAAGGATTTCCCATAGCCGCGACAATATAAAATAATGTGTCTTATCACAAAAGCACTTACTATAGTAATAAAATAGATATAACTGGACAAATTACAATGTAAATGTATGTATTTCGCTATTTTGATTGGACATGGTACATGATATCAGAACTGCATATGCAACATTGTGTTTGACAGTTCAATGTTATCTCTCTTTAAAAAATTACAGTTCGGCTAGTGTCCAACAGTTGAAATAGCCATACTGTTAAGTGTTTATCAATAGATAGGGCTGTCTGTAATTTCCTGGTCTTTTATCCACTGTTCAATCATGAGTTAGCAAACATGCTCCATTATTTAGTGAAAGAGGTTAACACCATCATGACTGTGTAGCTCTTAGCGTAATGCACTTCAAGAGTCTCCAAGAGTTGTGATGTTACCATCATTTCCCTCCTAGTAATCCAGTCCCCTTAAATCCCTCTTCTGGATAATTCACTGAAATCACAAATATAATCTTACATTAACAAGCCATACCAAATAATATAAACATGTAATACAATTATACATGGTGAAAAAGTATGTTAAAAAATAAGCGCAAATAAGGGCACTATCAGGCTGTACCACAAACCTACACTGCAGTATCGAATCATGCCACTAGCCTACACTACAATATCTGATCATGCCACTAGCCTACACTACAATATCTGATCATGCCACTAGCCTACACTACAGTGTCCAATCATGCCACTAGCCTACACTACAGTGTCAAATCATGCCACTACCCTACACTACAGTATCCAATCATGCCACTAGCCTATACTACAGTATCCAATCATGCCACTAGCCTACACTACAGTATCCAATCATGTAACTAGCCTACACTACAGTATCCAATCATGCCACTAGCCTATACTACAGTATCCAATCATGCCACTAGCCTACACTACAGTATCCAATCATGCTACTAGCCTACACTACAGTATCTAATCATGCCACTAGCCTATACTACAGTATCCAATCATGCCACTAGCCTACACTACAATATCCAATCATGCCACTAGCCTACACTACAGTATCTGATCATGCCACTAGTCTACACTACAGAATCTGATCGTGCCACTAGCCTATACTAAAGTATCGAATCATGCCACTAGTCTACACTACAGTGTCCAATCATACCACTAGCCTACACTACAGTATCCAATCATGCCACTAGCCTACACTACAATGTCCAATCATGCCACTAGCCTACACTACAATGTCCAATCATGCCACTAGCCTACACTACAATGTCCAACCATGCCACTAGCCTACACTACAGTGTCCAATCATGCCACTAGCCTACACTACAATGTTCAATCATGCCACTAGCCTACACTACAATGTCCAATCATGCCACTAGCCTACACTACAGTATCTAATCATGCCACTAGCCTACACTACAATATCCAATCATGCCACAAGCCTACACTACAGTATCTGATCATGCCACTAGTCTACACTACAGTATCTGATCATGCCACTAGTCTACACTACAGTATCCGATCATGCCACTAGCCTATACTAAAGTATCCAATCATGTCCCTAGCCTACACTACAGTACCTTATCATGCCATTAGCCTACTGTGCACTTCCAGGTCATATCACATATTATCACTAGCCTAAACTGCACTATTGGGACATACCACTAGCCTAAACTGCACTATTGGGACATACCACTAACCTACATTCATGATTGCACTATCAAGACAAACCACTAGGCTACATTGCACTACTAGGGCATACCATGAGCCTAAACTGCACTATCGGGACATACCACTAGCCTACTGTGCCCCTCTGAAAAACATATCTTAGCCTACATTGCAGTATCAGGATTTACAACTAGCCTACACTGCACTATCGGGACATACAACTAGCCTAGACTGCACTATCAAGACATACTACTAGCCTACACTGCAGTATCAGGACATACCACTAGCCTATATTGCACTACCAGGACATACCACTAGCCTACATTGCAGTATCAAGACATACCACTTGACTACATTGCACTACAAGGACATACCACTAGCCTACATTGCAGTATCAGGACATACCACTAGCCTACATTGCAGTATCAGGACATACCACTAGCCTACATTGCACTACCATGACATACCTCTAGCCTACATTGCAGTATGGGGACATACCACTAGCCTACATTGCACTACCAGGACATACCACTAGCCTACATTGCAGTATCAGGACATACCACTAGCCTACATTGCAGTATCAGGACATACCACTAGCCTACATTGCACTACCAGGACATACCACTAGCCTACATTGCAGTATCAGGACATACCACTAGCCTACACTGCAGTATCAGGACATACCACTAGCCTACATTGCACTACCAGGACATACCACTAGTCTACACTGCAGTATCAGACCATGTCACTAGCCTACATTGCACTACCAGGACATACTACTAGCCTACATTGCACTACCAGGACATACCACTAGCCTATATTGCACTACCAGGACATACCACTAGCCTACATTGCACTACCAGGACATACCACTAGCCTACATTGCAGAACCAGGACATACCACTAGCCTACATTGCAGAACCAGGACATACCACTAGTCTACATTGCACTACCAGGACAAAATTGTACTTTTTCCTTTTTGTTTATATATGAATAGTTACGAATAATTGTAACAAATTTGTATTGCATATAAGTGTATGGTATATTTACTTCGAAGTTCAACACAAATGTTAAATTGATTAACCTTGTTGAATTTTCATTGTATGAAATTAAATGTTATAATATATGAACTTGAAATAAAAATGAATAATAAAAAAAAACTACCAGGACATACCACTAGCCTACATTGCACTACCAGGACATACCACTAGCCTACATTGCACTATCAGGACATACCGCGAGCCTACAATGCACTATAATGACATTCCAAGTCTTCATAATATACATCTTACAGAAAATACTGAAAAGTTCCATTCAACTTCAAATAAAACATCAATTATCATTTTTGTTATTTTTAGAAAATTAAAATTCTGTAGTTAGTGATACCTTGACAACATAGAAACAGGAAAAACAACATATAAAGAAACCAAGTAAAAGAACATATAACAACATAAAAAACACCATATAAACACCATATAAAACAAGTAGGCGATTCCATACGCCCATCATGGGATCAGAAAGTAAATGTCAATGAACAATCCTACTCAAGATATTACTAATTGCTATAATTAATTTTAATTTATGTTGCACAACTGCAGGGGAAGATATTGGCAATTTTCCAAGTATTTATAAATCGAGAAGAATATGAACATCTATATGTGAATTATAATTTTGTTTTAATTAACTGAAAAAATAATATAGGAAAGATGACAAAAAACAGGCCAAGCTGAGTTATATTCAGAGGTAATAAATAATATAATAAAACAGAGCAAGCTTATGAGATTTTACACACAAGCTGCTTGCATTTGCTTTATATTCTTAAACAAACAACCATCATGTTCTCAAGGATTCCAAGAGATGGTCACAAAACGGAATCTGCCATAAAATAGCATAATTATATCAAGGTGCAAATAGATTGTACACGTACATACACTAAAACTCGGTTGCATCTTGCAACTACAGTATACACTCGAATTAAAACATCCAATATGATAACCAGATTTTCACACAAGAGCTATAGAACTTGATACCATTTGGCCAGAGTAGTTTCCTGATGCAGGAAAGGGGGATGTAACACAAGACATAACACAATCATGCTGGGAGTATCAGAGTGACTAAAAGACATTTAATTCACCACTGTAACTTTAGAACAACTTTTCTGAGAACTGAGATTCCCAACTTATACTGAACAGGGGCATAGCAAGGATATTTATTCAGACAGTTTTTTTCTATTGAAACTGTTAATGTCTTATATTATATTTCCTCTAAAAGATTGCATCCTATGTTATATTATTTTTTATGTTTAGCATACCTCTGGACAGATCCTCTATTAGCATGGGGTCCTCATGGCAAGGCTCATCTGCCTACAAATATAAGACATAAAGTACATCAGACATTTAATTGCACTTTACTTGGGACTTCAAATTTCAAATACTTTACATTCAAGAGACATAAATACTAGTTTGAGTTGTCTGATGAAACGGCCACAAACTCTTGTAGTTCCAGTGAAATGTATCCACATTGCTCATAATCAATATAATGATACAGAAACAATGCAGGAAAAGAGACACATTAATCTGAGAAACAGATAAGCGTCATTTAGCAAAATAAGGCATTAACATGCAAAATGTCACCACCATTTGTTACAGACACCAACCACCGATCACCATTACTCTGCCTTTTTGGCCCTTTTTTAATTTTGGCCAAAAATAGGCCTTAAAGGAGTATTGGAGACTGAAGTTAATCACTCTAGTTGAGCATTACCCCTGCTTTGGACAAAGATTTTTTTTACATAATATAGATGAAATGGGCCAAATAACAGGCCTTACATTTTTAGGGCCCCAAATTTTTTATAGGGGCCTAAAAATCTTTTCAATGCAAGAGCGAAAAGATTTTTTTCAGATCTGCCACTGATTGAGCTTTTCTGGCAATGTTATACCACTTGGGCAGTATCTGTACATGTTTCAGTCTAGATGTATATAAACACTGTAGTACATTAATATTTTCATTGTAAATAACTTCCTACCTCATTGTAATCTTTTTAATTCTTTTATATACTGTACATGTATAACTTAATATTAGGAAATAAAACTGAAATTGAATTAAATTGAGCTAATGTCTATGTACCATTTCTACTGTGTAAAACACTGTAAAAGCTGGAGAAAGACTGACATGATTATGAGACAATAAAAGACACACATATATCATGAATCTTGTAATAAGACCCACACAACCAGTAGGGCTTACCTTGAGGTAGATGATAGACTCTGGTATGATATTTAAGGCAGCTAGGGTTTCAGTGTCTCCAATAAGAGCTCTCCCATCCAATGACAGGTTCTGGTCAAATGGTGCTACAGAAAAGTTCCTCAATATCTGAAATACAATGATAAGTTCATTAATATTAAATATACATGTATGTATTCATAACCTTGCTTTGTCAAGGTTTAAACCTCTTTCCTCAGATAGAACATTGTGATTGAGCAAGGGAACGAGCAATGTATTCATTGAATGACCAAGATTGGTCAGACAAGCTAAATGAGGTTTGGCTCCAGGTCAAAGGTCCATTGTACTATGGCCAATAAATAATCCTCCTTGGATCATAATTTAAAACATGTTTGAGTACTTTTAATATCAATTTTTATTTATTTCTCAGAACATCACACTTTTTGGGTGCTAGTTACACGTGGCAATATCAAATACAAGCATGCATGAACTGACGAGATTAGTTAACTCAGATCATTATGAGCCCCATTCTGATACTCAGACCATTTCTGCCATGCACAAGAATGTTCTAGAAGGAAACTGAGAGAAGGCTGTGATATTTCACTATGTATGAGCCAAGACTATAGTCAATTTGGACTAGTTAACTCGTACCCTATAGTCACATTTAAATTATGTAGAGTCATTTATGTTGTATATGGATACTGAAATATTGTAGCTTTAGACAAGACCATGAGGTTTCCAAATAAAGAATCCATTTCATATAATATAAGAGTCATTTCAAAAATTAAGTCAAATGGCAGGAACAAATCTAGCAAAACTACTTCCAAAATTAATCTGGGTCTAAGTTGACTTGGGTCTGAGTTGACTATCAATTGATGTGATGACCTAAATTTTACACAAGTTTCCGAGAACTTTTTTCAAAAAGGAGCATTTTTATGGCCTGATTAAAAGACCTGAATACCAAGGATAACCTATTTGATATGACAATTCTGAATTACCTGTATTTTGAGATCGCGTAATGTTTGAGACGATGAGACAATTATTTCTTTTTCGCCTCGTGTTTTTCTGTGCCGTGTGCTACGTCTTGTGATACTTTCATCGGTTTGTAGGTTCTTTATCGGCACCTCAATCGACCCATCATCAAGTTTCTTTCGTTTTGCCCCCTATCATTTAAAGGACAATGAATTAGCAAGGCATTAACATGCAAAATATCACCACCTGCCATTCGTTAGATGCCAAACGGGGACTGTCAAATGCCAACCACCAAATACCATCCACAAAAATTTTAAAGACAATAACAATATGTCACCACATCTTACTCATTGGTCACATCTATTAATTTTATTGTGAAAGGAAATTCTGTACTTTGTATTTGGAAGTTTAATTATCTGTACAGTTATACGTGTGAATACCTGAGAGAAAAGTGGAATTATCTGCACAAAACATGTGTTTACCTGGGAGAAAAGTGGATCATCTTTGTCTTCTGTGGGACCAGCTAACCTATCAATACTTCCAGGTAAATCTTTGTTGCTCGTTACTTTACGCACATACAGCTTTGCATCTTTGTATTCCAGCCTCTCTTTCATTTCTTGTGCATTGCGGGCAGAACAGCATTCTCGACAGACTTCTGAAGACGAAAGATGCATGAACATTTACTGAGATGACTTTAATTTGATATGAAAAAGCTTATAAACTCTATTTTTGTATGAAGGCTAAATTGATTTCAGCTAAGGAATGGCATGTAGAATCAGATTATAAACTCTATTTTTGTATGAAGGCTAAATTGATTTCAGTTAAGGAATGGCATGTAGAATCAGATTATAAACTCTATTTTTGTATGAAGGCTAAATTGATTTCAGCTAAGGAATGGTATGTAGAATCAGATTATAAACTCTATTTTTGTATGAAGGCTTAATTGATTTCAGCTAAGGAGTGGCATGTAGAATCAGATTATAAACTCTATTTTTGTGTGAAGGCTAAATTGATTTCAGCTAAGGAATGGCATGTAGAATCAGATTATAAACTCTATTTTTGTATGAAGGCTAAATTTATTTCAGCTAAGGAATAGCATGTAGAATCAGATTATAAACTCTATTTTTGTATGAAGGCTAAATTGATTTCAGCTAAGGAATAGCATGTAGAATCAGATTATAAACTCTATTTTTGTATGAAGGCTAAATTGATTTCAGCTAAGGAATAGCATGTAGAATCAGATTATAAACTCTATTTTTGTATGAAGGCTAAATTGATTTCAGCTAAGGAATGGCATGTAGAATCAGATTATAAACTCTATTTTTGTATGAAGGCTAGATTGATTTCAGCTAAGGAATGGCATGTAGAATCAGATTATACAGTTTGCACCATGGTATTATTACTTCATGATAAATACAAGGCATTAACATACAAAAGGTCATCATCTGCAATTTGTTACAGACGCCGAACTCCAAACACCAGATTCTAAACACCATTCACAAAAATGTTGGAGACTATAACAATATGTCAACTAGAAGTGGTGACGTAAATACAAAACAGAGAACCTAGAAATATTATAAAACAAATCCGTCATCCATCTACGTATTTCATTCTCTGACGTATTTTCTGATTAGCACATCTTGGGAGGGCAGCCCTGGGAATGCCCCTTAAATGTGCTAATATGTGCACACTGTACAGGACATCTTTTTATTTTATTAGCATGTTAACACCCTCCTAAATCCCAAATGTGCTAATATGAACTTTTTAAAATTTCATAAGCACAGACAGAAACTGTCTATCCACATGTCTCTGATGTTATGCATGTTACAATACTCTTGGTGTCCATATTTCAATTAGAGCTACCAAAGACTAGAGATGGTAAACTGTAGGAAGTAATCGTTTCAATAAGCATGCCAATGATTCCCTTACAATCCTGATTCTATTTTCTTATAATGGCATTAAGTAATCAAATCAAATTCAGAAGCTACTCGTTAAAAATATTTAATATGCAGAAATATCCAAATTCAATAGAATTGAAAAAGAATTCTTCTAGTCTCACCTGGTTATGTTATGAATGTGACAAGACCCGATTCTTCTCTTTTCACCTGGTTGCGTTATGAATGTGACAAGACCCGATTCTTCTCTTTTCACCTGGTTGCGTTATGAATGTGACAAGACCCAATGCTTCTCTTCTCATCTGGTTGTGTTATGAATGTGACAAGACCCAATTTTTCTATTCTCATCCAGTTATGTTATTAATATGACAAGACCAGACTCTTCTATACTCACCTGGTTGTGTTATGAATATGACAAGACCCGATTCTTCTCTTCTGAACCTTATGTTATTAATATGACAAGACCTGATTTATCTATTCTCACTTGGTTGTGCTGTGAATGTGACAAGACAAGTGATTCTTTTATTCTCACCTGGTTGTGTTAGGAATGTGACAAGACAAGTGATTCTTTTATTCTCACCTGGTTGTGTTAGGAATGTGACAAGACCTGATTTATCTATTCTCTCTTGGTTGTGCTCTGAATGTGACAAGACCCGATTCTTCTCTTTTCACCTGGTTGCGTTATGAATGTGACAAGACCCAATGCTTCTCTTCTCATCTGGTTGTGTTATGAATGTGACAAGACCCAATTTTTCTATTCTCATCCAGTTATGTTATTAATATGACAAGACCAGACTCTTCTATACTCACCTGGTTGTGTTATGAATATGACAAGACCCGATTCTTCTCTTCTGAACCTTATGTTATTTATATGACAAGACCTGATTTATCTATTCTCACTTGGTTGTGCTGTGAATGTGACAAGACAAGTGATTCTTTTATTCTCACCTGGTTGTGTTAGGAATGTGACAAGACCTGACTCCTCTTCTATTCTCGTGACAGCTATTTCTACATCAGAACTTAGGAAACCACAAAGGATGTTCCATTCATCAGGCTTGATGTAACACATACTGGAATAATATGGGATAAAAATGTTTGATAGAGCCCATGGTTTAGATGAGGCAATTTTAAGGCTGATCCAAAATATCAATGTTATTAAAAGTAACTTTATGCGCATTTTCAATGTTCTCAAGCAAAATAATGACTTACTGTCCTTTGCCCTTGTATTTAAGTACTTAATCTTTCATATGACACCAATGACATCTCAAAGGGACCTTACAATTAATCATCAAAAATATTCTCTGATCTCTCAAAGTTTTATGACAAGTTCTATATTTTCAAACGCCAAGTGGTGATGATATTCATGTTACATGATTCATTTATTTTTGGTCTAGAAGTATGCGCCATCTATTCATTAAAAATTAATTGAAAAAAAACACATACAGTATTAGTTAAAAGAGTGCATGCGCTGCTAACTTCTAATGCTACTGGACAAGGTTACACAATCAGTTGATTGTGTAAAAGATTTCCACATTTTTTTCTTTTACTTCTTAAATTCACTTAGAGTGTCTCTCCAAAGCTTAAAGTAAAACTGATAGTTTCCATATTTTCAGTTCAATACAACAAAACAGTTATACAGCAACTTGTCCCTGTTGAGGCAAAATTTAAAATAAAAATACTGGGTTAGAACATGGAGAATTATGGTTATCTATCTGCATCCAATTTTTGATCTACCTTTACTTCAAAAATATGCTTGTGATAATCTCATGATAAAATTGGCTGATTTTGGTCAAAACTACAAGACAAAAGTGACACTTCAAAAATCAAAATTAGCATAAATTGTGAGCTTACCCCTCTCTGAAAATCAAACTGTTCATCTAGCATGACTACCCTTTCCATTTCTACACTTAACAATTTTAATGATGGAAACTCACTGCTCAGTGGACTGGTCTATTCCTATGAGATCAGGTTCAAACATGACACCACCGTGGGGACAGAGCAGAGGTGTATTACATATGGCATCTGGGGGAGATTTGGATGTAGGGCTTCTGAAACAAAAATCATTTGATTTTCTGTTAAAGGGGCAACGAAGGATTGAAACTTGTTGTTTGTCATTAGTCATATTTTATACTCACATCATTCCCTTTCATGCCTATTTTCTCAAGGATCCAATAATCCCATTTTGCAATAATTTAATGAGTATGAATCCGTTTTCAATTCCGATGACTGTATCTTCAAATTCTCAATAGTTTCCATATTTGATTAGGTATCTGAAATCCTTTTTAGAAATTTCAGATGTCATTATATTCGGGTTGTAAGGGAAACATTACATGTAGCTGTTTTTTAAAGGCAACTATAATTCTATTAAGGATCTGAGAGAAGGCTGTGATCACTCTCAATGAAGAGGAGTATAGCTAGTACAGTGGCATCAATTTAAATCATTTATTTCATATTAAAATCACAAGCCTGAAATTATTCAATAAAGCTTACTTGATAAATCTGCGCCAGTTGTCTATGAGATCTTGACTGATAATGTTCAACTGGGATACATTCTTGGACCATTTAGGTCTGTTCTTATCAAGGTAGAGGTCATTAAGTGCAGACTTTTGTTCAACTGCCATATTCTTGTGTAATACTTTCAACTCTTCTTCAGCTACTAACAATTTCTGCAACAGACAGCTGTACTGGTACATGAATTTGAAACATTCAAAATATTGTGATCACGAAAAAATTGATTTCAATAATATGTGTCTACTTCAACTGAAATTTATGAGGAAATATATATATAAAGAAAAATTGCAATAACGTACCTTATACAATTACATAAAGGACAAAGGTCAATCGTGTACCTTTCAGAAATGCATCAAGGTCACATTTTTACACCAAGGAAAAGGGCCACATACCTTACATAAAGGACAAGGTTCCACATCATACTTGAACTGAGGGCAGTCGGGGAAATATTTTCTCAATCTACCCCAGACTTCCTCAGATACCAAACTGCGGCATTTTTCATCAATCACTAACTGATCTGAAAATATCAAATGAGAAATAATAATAGTTGTAACCCATGACAACTAAACTACACTATACAGGTATATTACATCTAAAAATATGACATATAAAACAATTCCAAAAATATCCCTCATTATTATTCAAAACTAGATAACGGCAACTTCGCGGAGTAGCAAATCCCAACAAACAAAATATCAATTACCGAATTCCAATCAATTATACTCATTACTTTGGTTGAAAATGAAAAAATTAGATTTTAAAATTGCGAATTCCTGCAAAGCAGCCATTTTGAATTTTCTGAGGTACAAATCTGAAAAATAATACCATAATTGTGATCTACTCCAAAATTCCTTCAATTTGAGTATAATATAGCCATACTTTGAAGGGATCGAAAAATTATTGCGAAATCGTACATTAGACGGCCATTTTGAATTTTACGAGGCTCCAATCAGAAAAAAATACAATATTTGCAATCTACTCTTAATTGCCTTTCATTTGAGTATAATAAAGCTATACTTCAGAAAGATCTAAAAATTAGCGAAAATTTCTGTTTTCCTGTCCCCCCATACATGGCCCCTGGGGGTCAGGATGAAAAACACGGAATATATGTGAAATAGATAAATGTTGTGAATACACTACCAAAATTTCAAACAATAATATTAATTACTTTGGTTTAGAATGAAAAATTTATGATTTTTGCGAAAAAGTCCCGTCATTTTTAAAACGGCGGCCATCTTGAAAAAAAGATGCGTAAAACTATTCACCAATATACATCTTTCCACTAAATATGAAAAAAATCTGTCGACTAGTATTTGAGTTATCTTCCGGACAGACGGACGGACTGACTGACTGACGGACTGACAGACTGACGGACTGACGGACGGACGGACGGAGGGCTTCACTATATCCCTAACGAACTTCGTTCGTTGGGATAATAATTTCATTTATGGTAATATGAAAGTTGGATTATAAAGGGAGCAATTCAGTCTGATTCAATATTCTTTCATTGTTGAAAGGTTTAGGTGTTAAGACTAAATATTCCACATCCAGGTAATCATAGGCAGGGATTCTTGATAATTCAATTTTTAATGGGAGATCATGAGAGAATCTGATGCACACATTATCATACTCCATTTTAGGATACATCACTTCTCGCAAGTGCAATTTATCCAGTTACATCAATATTAATACAACATATTCATTTCCCTACTTACACAACTAGTTTGGAGCCTTATTTGGCTTGAAAAACTGAGTGGGAGGAAATTAATATTGAGGAGGAATTTATAGTCTTTTTTATCTTTATTTTATTTTTGTTCAGGACTTCTTGTTAATTGAGCTAATTTCTACCCATTTCTTCTCATAATTTTCATTAGCATTTGCTTACTTAGTAGTTTGAACTCAAGTAACCATACCAACAAATTGCCAAATAGAAACTCGCCAAAACAAACCTGTACTGGTGTATAGAGTTCATCTGCAAAGTGAGACATTTCATTTTCAAGATTGGGTATATACAATACAAACTCACCATGCTCAATGCAGAGCAGATCCTCATTAAATCTCAATTTTTCAATTGCACCTTCATGATCAACAGTATCATTTTTCTCAGCTTTCATCTCATTTGTACTATTTGGTTCTGTGTTCACGGGAGGATGATCCTGCTCTGTACTTGAACCAGGCATACAGGAGTGTCCTTCTGGGTGATTATTTTCTAGGAAACAGAAAACATTTTGTTTGAGAGGCAAAGTGAAAATATCAACTAAGCTTATATTTGCGATTACAACCTTTGGCTGTCAACTACCAGATTAACTGAAGATTTTTTTTATTAAATCAACCGTTTATGGAACTTACTTACCTCTTAATTATATGCCATTACCTTAATAAATTGACTAGTCGAAAGGTCTAACACCCCTATTGAATGAACGGATTAGTGAATGAACTCGTCCAATACACTGCCTATCCATGCTTCATGCTACGACCTACTTCATATTACCGAGAGACCTCGAAGATACAAAAAAATAAAATAAAAAATTTCCCTCAAGCGGGGAAGGTGGGTGGGTCTCTGGTAATTAAGAGGTAAGTAAGTTCCATAAACGGTTGATTTAATAAAAAAATCTTCAGTTTATATCACTTACTTCCCTCTTAATTATATGTCATAGCATGTAACATATTGGATAGGTGGGGTGAAAAAAGTTGTTGTGTACTTACTGCACCTGCTACAGGTCGCACACAGTTCCAGCCAGCATCACAGGTCCTAGCTTTCTAGCTTCATCTTGTAGGACTGTGACACCACGCAGATAAAAGTCGATAAAAGTGTTGTTGTGAGCCCAAGAGCAACTTTTCAATATTTCTGTTAGGCTAACATTCGACTGTACTGCATATGAGGCTGATAACGCTCTTATTTCATGTGCGTTAACTTTCCCAATTCTTCTACTCTCAGCTGTGGAATTATTGTAGGTTAGAAGAATCAGATGTTTCATCCAGCTGGATAAAGTATTTAAGTGTAAATTGCTATTACACCCTTTCTTCCAAGGTATGAAGATCCTATTCCTGGTACCTCTGAAGACTCTGGTAGCAGCAAGATAAAATCTGAGTGCTCTAAGTGGGCATAAGCATCGATCTGGATCATTTCCCACATGGCTTGCCAATGATTTCAGATGTATAGGTTGAAATCTGGCTTGTCCCTCTGCTGCTTCCAAGCTCTTTGGCAGAAAACCAATGAATGGATAGAGGAAAACTTCTGTATTGTTATTTTTCCATTGTATCCTTGTAACATCTAAGGCATGTATCTCACTACGTCTCTTGCCCGAGGCTAACAGTAGAAGAAATACAGTCTTTAAAGTCACCCATTTGATATCTGCCGAATTCATAGGTTCAAATGGAGGCTTTAATAGTTCATGAAGTACAAAAACCAAGTCCCATTTGGGTAAGGTAGACTTTGGAATTGCATCTTCTAATTTAAAGGATCTCAACATATCATGTATCACTTGTGATTCTGAGAGATCTTTAGATTGTGTAGATTTCCTGACATTGTTTATAGCTGTTCTGTAGCCCTCGATAGTAGAAAAAGACCTCTTTTTAGTGTTTCTGAGATAAATGAAGAAATCTGCAATCATTGGAATAGATGCCTCGATGGGATTGGTATCTCTTTCCAAACACCAAACAGAGAATAATTTCCACTTTGAATCGTAGATGGCATTGGTAGATTTTCTCCTAGACTTTTGTACTGCTTTGGACACTTCTTCAGAAAACCCCTCCTCTCGCAAGTTATTGTTGATAACAGACAAGCGTGTAGAGACATCTTTTCTGGATCTTGATGAAAAATCGAGGTCCTTGGCATAAGAAGGAGTTTCTTCCATATTGGAATCAGTACAGGAAAATCTACTAGTAGACTGAGAAGGTCTGGGTACCATGGTTGATTGGGCCATTTTGGTACTATCATTACACATTTTGTGTTTTGGTGAGCCTGCAGTTTGTTCAGGACTGCTGCTATCATTGCTGTTGGGGGAAATATGTAGAAGTACATGTTGTCCCAATTCAGTGACATGGCGTCTGTTTTCCACGACTGAAGATCTGGAACTGGAGCCACGTAAACTGGAAGTTTGTGATTGTGAGATGTGGCCATCATGTCCAGATTGGGAGTTGGCCATATTTTCCATAGATTCTTGGTTATGTCTGCATGAAGAGACCACTCTGTGTTGACAATCTGGTTTTTCCAAATAACTGATCTGCCCTTCTGTTCAGTGATCCTGGAATATGATTCGCTCTGAGTACAATTTGCTGATTGTGACACCATAAGAGAATCTCCTGAGTTAACTGGAGTAGTTGAGGGGAATGTGTTCCGCCCTGGTTGTTGATATATGCTGCTACAGTCGTGCTGTCTGTGCAAATCAGAATATTCTGTCCAGTTATCATTTCCTTGAAGAACATCAGAGCTTTCTTGACTGTTAGTAACTCCAGAAAGTTGATGTGATGACTTGATTCCAACTGGGACCAGACTCCAGAGCATTCCTGCGATTGTGTGTGGGCCCCCCATGCTTCCAACGATGCATCTGTGTAGATTGTCATTGTTGGGTGAAATCTGTTGAGAGGCTGACCAGCTTGTAAATTCCTGGGGTCTAGCCACCATAGGAGTGCCCCCTGAGCATCTGGTGAGAGGACAACTAGATGTGACTGGGGCTGAGATAGAGGAGACCACTGTTGGAACAGACAACACTGTAGAGGTCGTAGATGAAGACGACCCAATGGCACTTGTTTCTCCGCAGATGACAACAGGCCTAGTAGAGACTGCCAAGTTTCTGCTGAGGCTATTCCCTTCTCTAGAAGATGTTGTCCAGCTTTCCATATCTTTTCTACTCGATCGTGAGGGGGACGGCAAATTCCCTTGCTGAGATCGTATTCTACTCCCACATAAGTGAACTTCTGAGTTGGTTGTAGTTCCGACTTCTTGAAGTTTATGAGGAAACCCAGAGCCTGAGCCAGTTCCAGCACCATCTGAGTATGTTGTAGAACTACTGTAGGTGAATTGCCTCGAATCAGCCAATCGTCGAGGTAATAATGAAACAGTATGCCTCTGGAGTGAAGATGAGCTGCTAGAGGCCGTAACAGATGTGTCCAAATCATCGGGGCTGATGCCAGACCAAAGGGCAGGGCTTTGAATTGAAGTACTTGGTCCTGAACAACAAAGCGCAGGTATTTCCTGAATGACTGCTTGATTGGGAGATGAAAGTAAGCATCTACGCAGTCTATGGACGTTACCCACTGTTGAGGCTGTACTGCATCCATGATCTGTGCTACTGTTTCCATCTTGAACTTTGGAACTTCTAGATGAAGGTTCAGATGATGCAAGTTGATGACTGGTCTTAGAGAGCCGGATTTTTTTGGGACGAAGAAAAGATGACTGTAAAGGCCTGGACTGGATACGTTCTGGACAACTTCTATGGCCTGTTTCTCCAGAAGTTGAGTGACTGTAGCTGCATAAAGGTCTTTTCTGTCTCTTGTTGATGACTGGAAAGGCCAAGGATTGCATGTAAGGGTAGGTTTTGTGTGAAGTTTCGGCTGGTAACCTTCCTTTATGATCTGTAGAAATCCTCCTAGATCTGTGATTTCTTTCCATTTGGCAAGAAAATGCTGTAGTCTGCCTCCCACTGGTAGCTGTTGAGGGCTTACAGGTAGCTGTGGGAGACAAAGACTTGGAGGACTGGATGATATAGGTAGATAGTCACTGTGATTTTTTCTCTCCTCTTCCCTTGCCACGAAAAGAGTTAGAGCTGTTCTTTTTACCAGGGCCATTGTTGTTATTGAAACTGGACTTTCTGTTGTTGTTGTTGTTGTCTTTCTTATTTGGTTGAGAAGACTTCTTTGATTCAGCTCTCGCATTCATCTTAGCCAAGGAAGTTAAAGCCTGGTTGGTGAGATCAGACTGGTTGGACTTCAAAATTTCAGTGACTGACTCCTGTGGGAATAATTCCTGAGCCAAAGGGTTTATGGGTAGAGTTCTGAGCATTTCCTTTGCTGCAGAAGGGCAAGTCATGTTCTTCAAGAAGCCATCTCTCCTAAGTAGAACTACGTTGGACAGCAGTCTCACATTTTGATCAGTCAGACAGCCAATGGCTTGTGCTGCAGGTTGTAGTAGATCAGACAACATCTTAGTATCAGTGGATGAAGAATCGTTGAGAATTTTGGCCACTGCACCTAACAGCCATTCTGCATATGCCAGAGGTTTCAGTTGGAATCTTAAGCCTTCCTCTAGAAGCCTATACTGGGTCTTGCTGATAGTCAAATCCTTGTCAGCTTTCTTGAAATTTTCTTCAGACATCACCGCTGACAGGCTGGAATTTGGCCTCATACTCGAAACAACAAGTCCTCCGGCTGGAGGAATTGGAAAGCGTGATGCCTTGTCGTTTCGGGAAAGTTGTCCTACTTTTTTGAAGGCGAAATCGTTCGCGATGATCGAGGATCTGTTAGAAAAACAAGTCATCACCGTGGGTGATAATGGTAAGAAAGATTTTTCATTACCTTCAGACTCGTTTTTGAAGAACTGCGATGCCAAGGGCTTGATAACCACCGCTCTGTCTGGAACTTGGTGCGTCAGGTTAGCGTCTGGTAACAGGTTTTTGACTTGTGATATCGCCGCCGCGTTGTACGAAGCCAAAACTTTCTCTTCTTCCGAAATCCTGGAACCGCCATCTTGAAAATTTTCACTGGGCGAGTCCATATCCTCGGGCCCCTCGTGACGTTCGAGACTGTGATTGGTTGAACTTTCTTTCGAAAGTGAAACTGGAGCAATCACTTCCGGGTTAGGTGACCTCGTTCGAACTGGACTTCTGCTTCTAGAGCGGGACTTTGGTCTCCTATGGGGACTTCTGTGCTTGTCTCTGCTGCTACGAAGTGACGGGTCACGTGGTCTAGGCGTGTAACTAGAAGAGACACTAGTTTCACGACTGTAAGACCTACTACGCCTGCGTGGACTGTGTTCACCATGACGGTCATGATGACCTCTTCTCTCCGGCGTATAACGTCTGGGTTCTGGTCTCCTAGGGCTCCAAACTCTGTCCCGACTGCTCGAATGTCTCCCATGTCTCCTGGGGCTGCCACGTCTCGAAGGACTTGCACGTCTCCTGGGACTTGCGTGGCTTCTGGGGTCCTGAAATCTCCATGGGCTAGGGCTCCTGCGGGGACTCCTGTAACTTTTGCGGGGACTTCTGACAAATTCACTCCTTGCCGCTGAGCTTGGTCTGTCCGACCTTGCCTCCTGTTGAAGCCTCCGAGGACTGCTGTGCCTGGTGTTCACACTGTTCCTTGGGCTTTCTTGTTGCTTGTTTTGAAGCATTTCGTTCATCAGAACAGAAATCTTCTCCTTGAGAAAGTTGTCAGTCAGACTCATGTTGAAGTTCTGGTCTGCACTCTCTTGAATCCCTGCTTGCTCTGTGTCTCCATCAGTGCATTCTCCTTCTTCTTGCTGGAGAATGATAGCAGGACATTTCTCTGAGGTGTTCATGTAAACGTCCTCGTTGTTCATCATCTTGACGAATATAGTTGCTCCAAGTTCTGTTGAAGGCTTGTAGCGAGATGGTCGTCGAAAGGTAATATGAAGTAGGTCGTAGCATGAAGCATGGATAGGCAGTGTATTGGACGAGTTCATTCACTAATCCGTTCATTCAATAGGGGTGTTAGACCTTTCGACTAGTCAATTTATTAAGGTAATGGCATATAATTAAGAGGGAAGTAAGTGATATAAACGTACTATTTTATGACCAACTCATTTAAATATGAATGGAATAGTGGCAGGAACTATTCATATTTAAATGGGTTGCCCATAAAATAATAAGTTAATCCTAAAGCTGACAGCCGAAAGTTGCATTCGCGAATACAAGCTGATTTATCCAAGGCTAAGACACTCACTCCCCCTCTTAATTTAATCCTATGAAACATTGAAGTCTATTATCTCTCTCTCTTTTTCTATAAAATTGTAACAACAAAAATTTGGCCAATCATCTGAAACTGAGAGTTGTAACAATGATCAAAGCTACAACGATGCAAGCCGTAACACGCCTGAGTGTCAAGAGAGAAGAAACAAAATGAAGTCAACACAGTATCTCAACACATGGCCTGTGGTAGGAAGTATAAACCTTAAAAATTCATATGAGAGGCAGAAGAGAGAATGTGATACATGCTCATAGTTGGGGTTGTCTGCAAAGGTTATGATTGCTTCTACATTTTTTAATCTAGAAATAAATTTAAGTTGATTCAGAGTGATCTCTATGTCACTGAAAGGGCACTATTTTTTTTTTATTCTTAATGTCGGGATTTGTCAGTATCTGGATTTGTCAGTGTCTGGATTTGTCAGTGTCTGGATTTGTCAGTGTCTGGATTTGTCAGTGTCTGGATTTGTCAGTGTCTGGATTTGTCAGTTTCGTTAATAGATGGGTCAAGTCGCAGTTCAGTGGGTGTGGCTTACATATTATAAATCACCATGCTAACGTAATGTAGGTGAAATGGCTGTTTAATATACTTGCGATCACAATATACTCATAAATTGCCAATGTATACCTGTATTGCATTCCCCATTTGACAATGTGTCTCTGGTCTCCCCATTGGTAGGCACTGTGTTTCTGGAGTCCTCTAAATTCTCAAGTACTAATCTTTTCCAACTTCTCAAGGACTCTTTTCCAACCCAATAACCACTCCTAGATACGGTTATAAAACAAAGCAATTAATTGTATCAATATACGTTTCTGATAAATCATGCCATCTTTTGATCATCAGAGAAACTACAATTTATTGGTTGTACTTTGTCAAAATAAGCAGTAAGTTAGTCCTATTTTTGCATGGACAGATAACTACCTACAACCAATGACATTATCAGTCTTGCCAATATATTATACAGTAGTTTCTCTACTACTACTAATACTCTATTTCTATTTTCTAAGATGGCACTATTTATCCGAAATGTCTATTCATCATATTTTTACATATTACATGTACAATATACATGTATGTCTACAAAAATTCAAATTCAATTTTGGTCACACAACATAAGCCAATTACAACGAAAAATATCCAAATCCATGTGTGAACGGCACACAGTATAAATATTTTACACTTCTATTTCATGTGTACAAATCAGGTATACATGTATTACTACAAGTGCACCATTACTTTTAGAATTATTGTAATAACTTGTACTTTCATGGAAACAACCATACCTTGAGTTTGGAAACATCTGCTTATTTTTCTGTTCTTGCTGTATGAATTTACTGTCTTCTGTTAACCTAGCTTTTGTTCTTATAACTCTACACTTCTCTCGTACGCATTCAATACACATACTGTTACTGGAAGTATAGGAGCATAGGGTTTAATCCTATGTTTTAAATTAACTTAAATTAACGAGGCATAACATGTATTCACAAAATAGTGTAAAGTCCTAAAAGTACAATGTGAAGATAGTTTAAGGAATATTCCTTGCCAAACCATCTCTCTCCTCATGGTCGCTATAACCATATATATGCTTGCCATGTTTAGCAAAACACGCAAAAATGTTTTGATATGGTCAAATTTGATCACTTAGAAATGTGATGCTCAATTCCAGTAAGCTGCCATCTTTTAAAATTTCACACAGGAAGTGATGTCATCGACTCTCAACTTTGCATATAGCATTAGGTGAGGAGCTATTAAGAATTACAAAACCAGCTAAATATTCTTTTTCAACTTTGTATCTTATTTAATCCTTCTGAAAATCTCTTCTTTTATTCTAAGTTGACAAGCCCTGAAAATATTTTTGCACAGAAAGTAATGATCACTTGTCTAGAAGTGATTTTGTGCTACTTTCCTATACTGTTATGGGCAAGGTTATAGAAGTTGAGAGTTGATGACATCACTTCCTGCAAGAAATCTTAAAAGATGGCAGCTCACTGGAAATAAGCACTAGATTTTTAAATGATCAATATTGACCATATTAAAACATTTTCCCATGTTTTGCTAAATATGGATACTATATATATGATTATAGCCACCATATTAAGAGAGAAAGGGTCTGGCAAGGAATATTCCTTTAAAGAAAATGTAAATGGCTACTGTAAACATGTTTTTTTCTAAAATACTAAATATAACATTTAGACTAATTTATCTATTTAAAAGTTGAATATTATTATTTTAAATTACAGTGGCATATAAACTGTATATAATACTAACCTAGTCAGCCTAACATCACCACCATATTTGGTATAGATAATATCTCCTGCTTCTGGACTGATGCATTTCAGCCTTGGAACTTTCTCAGGATCAAGCCTGATAGAGAAATATATATTTTCCTCAAATTAAATATTCACTTTAAGGCATTTTTAGAAAATATATATTACAAGGAATAATACGAGTGAGGCAAACATATTCTAAATTTGAGACAATTTTTTTTTGAAGGTTGCTTGCTAGATCTGATACAACCTTTAATAATGTAAATGTGCCTGGGGAAATAAACATCCACAAGGTAAGAATGAAATACTTTGTTGTATGGAAATTTTAATCTTGAATACAACTCTTCTTCTTCTTACATTTTGAGCAATGCAAAGTGTTTGCAACACGGGGGCTTAGCCAGCTTTCAGTCAGGGGGGTGGGTTCGTTCGCATCCCCCTGGCTACGCCCATGCAACACAAAAGCTGACCTACTTGTTATGTGAGCAGAGGAATGGTGTCATTGTAACAGGGGAGATACGTTTATTTGCTGATACACTGTCCATCATCCACTGAGTCAACCAATCTGTGTGGATCCATGTGTAATCATCACCTTAACAGATCCAATATAAGTTTTTTCTTGGCATGTCAAATCATTGTTTTAACTGCCAAATCAATACTTTATTTCGTGTCCAGGAGTTTCTAAAATAGTTAACATTCGAATGCTGGAAGCCATGCCAATTGTAATTTGGTTTGATTTCAAATGGACATTAAAAGTCACAAACATTGATGTTCGAGTCAAAGGACTATGGATGGCCTAATTAACATAATATCCTGCACCCCACTAACATAATATAAATCAGTAATCACCATTTACTTCAAGTATCTTAAAATAATTACAAGAATTAATTAAATAATAAATCATTTCATCTTCCAATACATGTAATGCTGACATACTGACATAGTTGTTACTGACCTTGATTAGCTGGTAGTATGCAATAGAGCGCTTGGATCTCTTGTTGTCTCTCCCTTCCACTTGTGATGTTACTGGCCTATAACATTATCAACAGCATTTGAAAAATGAACTGTATTATTGAAAGATTACTGAGTTATCCTTATGTAACGGGGCTATTTTATATTCTAAAATAACCTAATTCTTATTTCTATTGGTCATCACACCAATCTATGAGAGATTCAGAATTCTTTATTCCCTTTCTCCTCAAGGAATTGATTTCAGATAAGTAAGCAAGTGATTTACAATGTTTTCTCCAGTGCTACAATCATTTGTTCATTTTTGAATCAAATTGTACTTTACTAATTTATGTTATGCCCTACCCCAAATGTAATGATTTACATTTTCCCAAACTATCATCAATCCTTACCTTCATGGCAGTCATTTCCTCGACCCAGTGTTCAAAGTTTTCATTGTCTCTCATGACATACTCCTGGACAGTGTCTGATATGCCCCCTGGATCACACACAGCCATCTCTACAACATACATGTATATAAAAACATCAAATGACTTGCCCTCAAAATAGTCTTAGATTCTTTTTGTTCATAGAATTATTTAGACATTACAAATTAAACTTGTATTGGTTTTCCTTATAGGATTATAAGCCACTTGATCGAGTCTGATATTTCACCATCTCCATTTTCGAAATCTGCATTAAAATGAGAAGAGGGAAGTAACACTACACTACACTACAGGGGCGTAATGCAAGATTAACCATCAAATGTGGGTTAATATATTTTTGCAGCTTTCTTTCAAGTACCTTGACTATTGTCTTCTTGTGTAAGTTGTTTTCTCCTGTATACCAACATGTAAGCATTCTTTGAGGCATGGGATCCTTTGGTACAACGTGGTTTCTTGCTTGCCTTACCTCCTAGTCAAACATAAAACTTTTGTGTAAAGGTGCAAATAACATAACCCCCCCCCAGGCCAAAAAGTCTTTCAAAATCATGCAGTTTTTCATCATTCTGGGCACTTTTTAAGCGATTTTGGCCATTTTTGAACCAAAATTGTCTAAAGTGAACCCCCCCTGGAATTTCTCAAAAAGTGAACCCCCTTGGCAAATCCTAGCTATGGGACTGTGTCCACATAATTGTAAAGTGTTTACATAAACAATTCAGAAATTGTTTAACATGAAGCTGGGAAGCAATGTAAATATTGGATATACATGTAATTTTTCTGTATTTGTGCCTGATAACTGATGATTACCAAATTATGATCCCGTAACTATATACCTCACGTTTGTTGACCCCTTGCAGTATTACATGAACGGTCTTGTATGTCAATGAACTATTAATTATACATAGGTTTCATTTATGGACATTTATAACCAGAAAATATGGCCTGGTGTGACTGACCATAATTTGGTACTTAAAATCCACCCCAGACACCCAGTTCTAGCAAACAGACTAAAATATTTAAGGAAATATAGTCCATCGGTCTTGTTATTTGAGATAATATAGACCCGGACAATATTTTCCTGGACTTTCTAAGGGACCATATTTAGTACAGTCTATATAAACATTGACACCCTTATAACTAACAAAATATATCAAGGTAGACCCATTTAAGGAGCATACCTTAACTACAACAAACATTACCTGATACCTCATCCTCATTACCAAGCTGTAAGTTTTTTCCCTCCATCTTAACTATTTCCTCATCATTGAATTTGTACCATGTGCCAGAACTGTAGTCCTTTATATGTGCTATGTAGTGTCCACTGTAAGCACTGGGGCCTCTGTGTATAAGTACAGCTGATAGCTCATATATGCAGTCTCCTATGAAAGAATAGTGCAATTCAGACAATTCATAAGCAACCTCTTAAGATAGAACAATGTGTATTACATTGCAAAGACATTTCATATTTAGGCAACCTCTAAGATAGAATAATAGTATTACACATCAGACAATGCATATTTACTATTATTTAGGCAGTGGTTAACAGACAGCTTTGAATGCTGTACATTGTATTGTGTATTCAGGAGAAGTAGGTCAGTAGAACTGGTCAGAACTAGTCAATTTGATTTTGTTCAGGTTGGTCAAAATTTTTCAGGTCTTTAACATGAGAGTCTGAGAGTCTTCTTTGAAGAAGTTGATAACCGATTACATTGGCATTATAATTGAATCCAATTACACCTTCTGGATTTGGGCAAGATAACATGTCAATGTTGACCCAAGAAGCTACACGTATGAATGGCTGTACCCTTTTCCACTTTTCAAGAAGTAGAGAGTAATTACCTGTGTTTGGGGTTTGTGAGTTGTAGGAATGGTCTGCTGCTGCCTTGTTTGGTGCATTCAGGTGGGGGGTCAGATCAATCTCTTCCGGGAACTGGATAAATGTATTCAGCTTCTTCTTGTGACCGGTTTGCCTGGAAAATAACTGTAACATTTCTAGGAATTTTCATAAATATTGCATATTGATCATTTTGTGTTAATCAAGTTACATACACTACTTGATCCCAAAGACCTGTTTACTCACTACAAAAGGTGTCTATGTATTGACTCAAGATATAACTACTTTCTACATGTACCTGTCAAAGACGAATCTTAACAATTGTAGGTTTAGCACTGGTGGTAATCTACAGAGCTGTATACGCCTCCTGGCGTCCTGTTTACTGTTACACACTGCACACATGTACTGATTGTCGCCTTCCAATTTCTCCTCCTAACAAACACCATTGAAACATTTAATTTATATTTCGATATTTAAACATTAAGCAACACAAAAAATTAAAGGGATAGTGCAGACTTTCCTTATACCTAAACAGGTCTCCTTTGCTTTGAAGATATAATGAACAAGGCATTAACATGCAGTGTCATCACTGCCTGCCATTTGTTACAGATGCCGACTGCTGCATGCCAATCGCCAACCACAAAATATGATCCACAAAAAGTTGAAGGCCATAGCATTATGTCACCACTTCTGGTGGTGATACTGTATAAGTGGTTAATTTGCCGATTAAACGATACCAACGTAAAGGCAAATTAACCACTCGGATTAATTACCACTTATACAGTATAAAAACCATGGACATACTTGACAGAATTCTTGTAGACATTCATGCAGTTCCTTGTGTCCCTTTATATTAAGATCCAATTCATAGAAATCAGCACTCCTCTGAGATCCTCCTTGGCAATGATTGCATCTGAAGATAAAAATGAACATGGACTTTATCAAGAACAGACAGGCAATAGTTGGAAAGTAAAATAGTTAGTCAATTTTTGTTAATTTTATTCGATATGCAAACATAATTAATTAATCATTTATTCCTTGTAGGAAAACTGTTGTGATAAAACTCATTGTGCAATATATGCATACTCACTATGTAACTATTTATACTCATTGTGCAACATATGTGTACTCACTGTGCAACATATGCATACTCATTGTTCCATATGTGTACTTACTGTGTGACATATGCATACTGCCCACTGAACTGTTCTCTGATGACATTCTTCACTGTAGGGTCAGGTTGAGAGACAAGGGTATCCTCCAGTAATGAGATGAACAATTTGGAGAATTCTTGCGCATCCTATAATAAACATGTAGCCAAAGTGTGAAAATGAGAATTTGTGAAATTTTATAGTTGAGGGTATATAAGGACGTATTATACATTGTACCTTTGGATACCATGCTTTTAGTGAAAATATATTTCTTAAATCATAATGAGGGACATTTTAGACACCAAAAAGAAAAAAAATGACACCATCACGAGTGGGATACAGTGTGTCAACAGAATTCAATACTGATATTGTTTCACAGGGCGTGAAAATGAGGGTATGTATTCATACCATTTGCATGGGCAAAGCCAGATAACTAGAAGTGAACTCTGAGAATCTTCACGTATGCTTGTGTAAACCCTCATTGAATAAAGAGAGAACTCACCTGTTGTTGCCCTGCATCCAGCCCTAAACAATTAATGAATGGAGTTGGGTCGATATACCTGAAATTCAAATTATCATATATTATAACAAGATTTTAAGAGGAACCATATGAAAAGAGAAATGAAAATTATGATTCGTAAAATGATATCATTGTTGCAGTGTTCTTTTTAGATTTTTCCTAAAGTGGGTGAACAATTCTCATTTTCACAATTTCATGATTTTCTCATTTTTAAGTAGATGTAAAATGGCTTTTTGGGTAGGCGCAATCTTATTTTCACAATCTCAAGTGGGTGTAGCTTCTACTTATTTCAATGCTTGAAAATGCAAACCTACCTCCTGTTGCTGAACTGAAGCAAGGCAAATATTAACTGGAGATGTCCTGGTATTCCAGTTGGAGTGAGATCCTGTAAAGTGTCATTGTTCACAGCAATGCTATCTGTTTGAATGGCACTAGAAGTGTCCCCTGATTTGACACATGTGTCTCCTTTATTGGTAGAGCACTTTTGACCTTGTAGGTCTTCTTCACTAGAAATATGGGGCTTTGGGGTTTTATCTATATCTGTGATGATGTCATCCTTTCCTGAATCATCAGTATTTTCTGTCTTAGTATTATGCTGATCTGAAATACATTTATCCAATGTAATCTGGTCTTTGTTACCAAGGCATTCATTTGAGGATTCTTTAATGTTCACTGTTGGGGAGTCGTTTGCTTTAAATGTGCCATCTGCTTTTTCAATGACAGTCTTGTTGGTTAAAGTTTTTGGATTATATTTAGAATCTTTAGGATTCTTATCTCCTTCATTGTGCATTGCTTCAATATCTGACTGTATAGATTGAATTTTAACATCACTTGTGCCTTCACAAATACTTCCAGTCCTATCTGGAATTTTTGGGCTTGTGTCCTCAGGATTTTTCCACTTATAAATGGCACTGCGGAATTCTTTGTTGTGGAACCAGACTTGTAACAGTGTATTCACATAGCAAGTGGCCCCAAGATTCTTCAGTCCAACAAAGGAGCCCTGGAATTGTGGTAATATTGGGTTAAATATGACATGTTAGAATGGCAAAGGGCTTTCGAGTGCCAATGGAATTGGAAATTTATGGTTTGAATAAATATGAATTGCTGTTCAAAAAATTAGCGAAGAACACAGTCAAGGGTTTACCATAGTCAAATTTTTTGAGCCATAAATGTTTGCAATTTTACCAGTTACAAGTTTCCAAGATGGCCATCAGCACAGCCTTGTTTAAAATTGCAAGTATGAGGAGAAACATAATTTTCTACCTATCCTGATGCCAAGTTTTCTTTTACAATGTAAATGCTTGAGTGAATGAATATATATTTATATACAATTCATACAGTTTAAGAAATAAATGCTTACTTCCTTTCTCCTTTCATTGTTAGGATCTTCAAGATCATGCCAGTTACTATCATCAATTTCCCCAAGCCACTCTTTCTCTCCAAGTCCACCTAAGCAATGAGGGTTACCTTTACAGTTGCGCCTACAATAATTCTAAGTTTATTAAAAGGTGTCGGTGATATTCAGAGGGTTAACTCTCTAAACTGCCCTGAAATACAATGATAATGATAGTAAACATTGCTTTGCTGTTGACATTCCTATATTTCAATATGTAAGCATATACCAAAAGTGATCATCTAATTAGCATATTATAGAAATGACAAGGACTTGATTATAAAAGGTAACATTTTCAAAAGAACAACACTTGCAGAAAGCAGGGGAAGCTGATCAAATTAGATAACTCAAAGAGTCTTAAGCACAAAATGAATCTGTAATACATTAACATCCATTGTTGAACAATTTTTAGATAATTTTCTTGATGACTTTTTTTTAAGCGAAGGCAATTTGCCTGTTGCCAATTACTATTATAGATATTATAAACAATGAATAATAGTTTTCACATGTTGGTGTTTACAAATTATGGTAGAATACATGTACAATTTGAAATTAGATAATATTAATAATCAAATGTTGAAGTGATTAAACTTTGTTGAGAAAGTGTGGAACTGCCTAATTAACCATAAACACCTCTAACAGAAAAACAAAACATCCAAAATGAAAACAGCTTATCCCGTACCAGGACTAAGTCCGGGATATAGTCCTGGCACTGGATAAAAAACAGCACTTTTGTATTACCTGCATGATCCCTGCTTACAGTGAGGTATGTGCATCCTATAAGCTGTCTCTACATTGAGAAGAGAGACATTCTCAGGTTCAGTTGTATCAGCCCAGAGCCAGATAGCCTTATCTATCTGTTGTTTAGTGGGAGGCATTGTCACGAGCGTACACACTTGACTTCACATCCAATTAGGTTTTTGAAGTCCAGGGCAGGGCACAGAAGGCAACGAACTAGCAGACAAGATGGCCAAGAAGGCAGCTGAAAATGCCAAACAGCTCACGGAGACCAACATCACAAAGACTACAGCTTATAATAAGATTAAAAATGGCTGCACTCACAAATGGCAGTCCAGATTTGAGAACTCTAGTAAAGTGAGCTTCATTCAAAACCTGGTCCCTAAGATCAAAACCAAAAGTTTAAGCGTTCAGGTAGGAAATAGGTACAATAGAGTATTAACAAACCAATTTATGTCTGGGCACACACAACTTAACAAACATCTCTCAAAGCTAAACCCTGAGAATAAGTCCCCTAATTGTACTCATTGTATGGTCCCCGAGTCAATACACCATTTTATATTTGACTGCTCCTTATTCCAGGACCAAAGGGAGGAACTACTTGCTCGCATCGACACTATCTTACTAGGAGAACAACACCCGCAAATCATAGACTTACAACTCATACTAGGTCTAAACACAAACATCAACGGACCCACCAACAGAACAATCACAGAAGCGCTGCATCGCTATCTGCAAAATACAAAAAGATTTTAAGCAAACAAAATAAAAAAGAGACAGTGACTCTATACCAAACTCATGAGATAGTGACTCTTTTACAACTTAATACAGGATTAACTATATTTCTACTACCGTCATAATATTGAAATAATATATTCTTAGCGCTCTCTCTCCAACTTAGCAAAGTATAAGTGAAAAGTATAAGTGATAATAGTACCGAAGTGAATAACTGAGTAACCAGTGTCCAAAGGCAGCATTATAGTGCCAATAGTGTCACACGGACACTTAAAAGGATCAAGAAGAAGAAGAAATATCAATTAATGTCTTAAAATAATATTAGTATGAGTTAATATATGCACAGGTCTTGTATTCATGATATGTCTTTTATTTTCAAATGTTGCCAATTCAACAACAAAAATTTTGAACAAACACCGCCAAAAATGAAGTTGATTTTGAACGCAAGTAAATATACAAAACAGCATTACCTTTCAAGCTATAATAGAGACATCGTATGCACTGTTATACCCAAAGTATAATCTATCAATTTGAGGAAATATTAAGATGTAGAAGCAGAGATTTTACCGAATATGTTTAATAATTTCACAAAAACAAAACCAAGATTTTACATCCGGTCATTTATTCTAACGAGCGTGCAAAAAGCTGTGAGACGTGAGTGTCGATATTTTTTATATTATCCATTTCGTGCCGATTTGAAATGATCAAGAATATTATATGCGTGTATAATGTTTTGTACAGAAATGTGTCTCAGGTTTTGTCGTAATCTAACTTTTCTGAATGAGCTTAGTCGTATATTTGAGACAAATATTTCAATATACTCTATTATCGCCCATTGATTTTACAGTTTCCTAAAAGAAGCACAGGAATTCGTCTAGAACTAGAGGTCAGGTTCATAGATGCCCTCAACTCCAATGGATATTTTTATGTATCGAAAACCCTCATATTGATTAATTGATGCAAATTTTTCTTGTTCCAAGAACATCTCGTCGTTCCTCGTTCGTTCTTCGTTCGTTCTTTCATTCATCATTCTCTTCTACCCCCATAAATGTTGAGTTGATTTTTCAAATCACTGTTGACTACTTGTGTATTGAAATCTTGGGGTAGAAAATAAGCTGGACTAATGGTTATGTACATAGGCCAAGGGAAAAGTAATAGTAAGCTGTATATAGAAGAGACTGTCTCCTCTATATACGGCTTACTATTACTTTACCCTTGGCCTATGGTTATGTATTTGAAATTCAGCTTTGAGTGCATCTGTGTTACATGTATCTCGTTCCAAGACTATCTCTATGTTCAGAAACGAAGAGGATGGGCTTGGAACAAGATAACATCTGTGCACATTTATAATACTGTACTACTCCAAGTGATCACTCTTCGGATACATGTAGTTCCGTATTTTCAAGAATTCTCATAGCTTCCAAATTTGAGTTAAATGTTATATTCAGGTACATGTACATGTAACTCACTCCATATGTGGCATACACATAAATGTACCTGGATGTACACATAAATGTACCTAGATGTACACATAAATGTACCTAGATGTACACATAAATGTACCTCGTTGGTTAGTTGAAGGTTAATAAGTTTTAACAATGTCTGAGAATTCAGAAAATTCAGCAACCTACTTTTTAAAAGCACAGTACTAAAAATGAATTCACTCCTTTTATCTGAAATATCTATTTGTGATCAACTAATAATCTAGGTATAGTTGTGTATTCATTGTGTAAAACTGAAAAGTGTAGATCATGAATGGAATGAGTTATGTGTTCCTAGAAATAACATGGAACTAATTAAGAAGCCATTAAAATTTCTGATCATACAGAACTATCTTAATGTGTAACCTTGGACTTAAAGTGTCTCACATATTCGATCAAAATTTGCCATGCAAACATGTTAGTCTACTTTACTGGCTCCCCTTGCTGTAACAAGGAACACAAAACACATTAAAACGTAAACATAAAACAATTAGTCAGACGATCACTTCACTATGAAAGTTAGGGGTGTTCAAGGCAAATGTGTATTAGCAGAATACGCTGTGTGCATGGACTAACACAATGTCAGTGGTCATTTACTGTGTCAACTTAGTAACCCTTGCATATCGTGCTCACTCAAGTATTGAATAACTTTTTTTATGATCTAAATGTTTGTGGTTTATAAAATAATGTGATATATTTTAGTTGGAAATACATTAATAAATATATTCATTCAAACAGCACTAGAATGCTGGAAGAAAGAGCAATGGTGACAAAATGCAGACAGAATTTTCCGTAAGGGTTTCAAACATTTCTGGACACAATCATACATGTACTTCATGTGTACTATTATTTTAGTGCTGTATTTATAGATATAATTTCTCGTATTAAAATCATATTTTCCAGCAATGACTTCAAATTCGGAACCACCCCCATATCACATTTTCTTCAATAACTCCAAACATGTGTAAACATTGACCATGTGCATATAAATTCAGATTTCACGAGCTCTTTCCTATTCGAGTACCTCATACACCCCTGCATGGATTCGAGTTGGATTCGCCTTTTATTCGTGAGCGGTACACATCGCAAACGCTGATTGGATAAAGATTGCGAGAATCTTTAAGTTATGTATCAATAAATGCCCAATCTGAAGTTTCAAAAATGTTTCCACTGTTCAAAATTAGGCCACAGGTTAATAGTAGATTCAATCTTGTAGCGTCTATAAATGTAGACTATTTACTATACCGTTGAAAATACATGATTCCACTAGATCTTATTTGATTATTCCAGCTTTTTTGAATGATAAAGGACTTCTGCTGAAAAGTCATATGCTCTACTGACTTACAGTTTACAATTATGTATTTTCCAGATCTCACACTAACCTGAAGCAACAAAATGGAAAATCGAGAAAGCAATACACCTTCAAGTGAACCTGATGTTAATAATGAAGCAAAAGCCAATAAAACTATCAGTAAAATCAAAAATAAAACACCCCTGACCATCCCTGATCCCTCTACAAATATCGTTGATGGTAAGATGAGATGTGCATTTTATATCCTGAAGAAGAAAAGATACTGTAGATGTGACCCAGCTAATGGTATGACTTATTGTGTAGAACACAGTTACCTACTGAATGGGGTGAGTAAATAAAGCCAAATAATGATTTTGCCTATGTTTAGCTTTGCACTTGGCTTTCCTCAGTGACACAGTAAGGCAATTATAGATGACCTAGTAAAATGAATGGCTTTCTTTTGATTAAATAAAGAGTTTATCCCTTGTCTGGTATTTTTTGTCAAATTACTTGTAATTCAAGTTGCAAGACAATTGGTGGCTTTTAAAAAGAATGATTAATGCATCAAAGGGTAGTATAATCTCAAATTGTATCAAAACTTAAGCATCTTAATACTAAACAGTAAAGCCTATATTCATGTGTATGGAAATCTCTATCATTGTTTTTTTGTTGTTGAGAAATTCTTATTTTAAATATATTTTGCATGTACACTGTAGAATATAACTTTTTTGTAGAAAGACATTGAAAGGAAAAGAGTGGCATGTCCTTTGAATCCTAAACAGTAAGTCGGTGTTTTTTCTTGGAATAGTATTTTATGTCACTTATGATACTAAGGCCATAAGAAGTAGATTCTTTGTTTTGCGTCCTGGCATAATCCAAATCATGCAAGGGTACAAGGAAAACAAACACAAACTCAAGAAAAAACACAACTTGTTTGCTGAGAAATGTATACATATTATGGGCATAAAAGGGATAACATACCAATTTGCAGTGATTACGAATACATATCTATACATTTTATACAATATATTTAAACATAGGTATTCTTTAAGGTTAAAAAATAAGAAAATACACAATGTATGCCAAAGTAATCATTAACGCTGTCAATTTTGACGCACGTCAAATTATCGGCCATTTCGTCTGATTCTGATTGAATAAGATGCGATGGTATTTTCAGACCCTTGTGATTGCTATTTTGATGTGTTTGTTTTTTCTGATTTACTCCAAATCGTGCAAGCAAGGGGACGCAAAACAAAGAATCTACTTCTTATGGCCTAAGTATTATTTATGCTTATGTAAGACAACATAAAATGAAATCAATAACATGTTTTTATAATTAATTGTTTGAGCTTGAAGGGGGGGGGGGGGGGAAGTAAGCTAAATCTCTATAGAGCTACAGTTATTTTCATAATAATGAGAAAATATTGCAATTCAGTAAATTCTGTATATCTGAACACCTCAATGTCAACACTTTTTTATTAATAACACCAATGTTCTATGATACTGCAACCAGATGGTGATATTTGATAGTGTCATTACTTTTTACTTTAATTTTGACCATAATCTTACATTTCTGATTTCTAGTTCTTGCTATGAAGATCAACTTGATAAACATGTAAGGAAGTGTAATGCCAGACAGAGCAATGTTGAGGTAAACTATACATACTATTTACATATCACTACATTACATTGGATGCATCTCAGAAGATGTCAAAAGCAGCTCTTTCCAGGCTGTCATATCATTGAATTGGAAAATAATCTTCCAAAGCATGTAAAAAGGGAATCATTGTAATATATTGAGGTCATTTAAATAATTTTGCTTGTTGGTGTGAAAAAGTACCACTTCAAAATAGCAAAATATCTTCCCAAGTCAATGTTCTACAATCACATTGATTTTTCAATAGAAAAAAAAAATTTTTAGTCTGTTTATTAGACTTCAAGGAAAGGCATACACATCATGCACCTATAACGAGTACATGTTACTGTATATTTACTCTTAATATCATTGCAGCCATATTTTGTGAAAGACATAAACAGTGGTGAGCTGGATGGGAGAAAAGTCACTGAAGTGAAAGAAAAGGTTAGTAATGTTGATAGTATGTCATATGTAGTACAGGGTGTTCAAAAAAAAACGCAACCCAAAGAAATCGCTATATCTTGGAAAATACTTATCCAGTTGCACTCATTTTTTCAGGAAAGAAAGAAGAGACTGTGTATGTAGAGTTCCTGTAGTTATTTAGTTGTAAAACATGAAGCCTTGGACACCTGCTCAAAAGACCTTAGCATTAGAAAGATACGAAAAACGCAGTCAAAGGTGACTGCCACAGCAATAAAACTGATTAACTTTCTAACCATGGTGTTTTGGCACTTCAGATTTGGCACAAATTATCTTCATTCAATGTGTGGTGAATTTGTGGAGTTTCATCAAAATCACTCCAGGGACTTTACAGTCATGGTCATAATACCTTCTTAAGTCTGACTGAACCAGGGCGTTTGACTGTGTTTTGAACGCATTTCGACTATTAACTGCAAAGTCCCTAGAGTGATTTTGATTTCACTCTACAGATTTACCATACTTTGAATGAAGATGATTTGTGCCAAATTTGAAGAGCTAAAACACTATGGTGAGAAAGTTATTCAGTTTTTTGCTGTGGCAGTCTCCCCTGACTTCGTATTTTGTATCTTTCTAATACTAATGTCTTTTGAGCAGGTGTCTAAGGCATCATGTTTTATAACTAACCAACTACAGGAGCTATTCATACACAGTCTCTTCTTTCTTTCCTGAAAAAATGAACATAATTGCATTAGTATTTTCCAAGATATAGCAATTTCTTTGGGTTGCGTTTTTTTTTGAACTAGTGCTCCTCATATCTTCTGTTTTTGGAACTTGCCATGCTTCGAGAAACAAACTTGAAAAAAGGCTCAGACTCTCACATATATTGGGTATGATTGATTTTTCTAGCATTGGAGCATCCCATATTGATGAGTTGTAAAATAATGGAAGATAAGTGGAGGACAGTAAAATAGTTGGTCATGACCTCTCGTTCTCATGCTCCTTGTCAATGGTACCTGCTTCACAGTAGGGTTCAATTGCTTTGTTACAAAGCATTTTGACCAAAAGTATCTTTGTAGCAAAGGACTTTTGAGGAGTTACCCAGGCGCAAAAATACTTTGCCAGGAAGTTTTTGTCAAGATGCTTCTTAATGAATACACTCCTAGTTATGGAATTGTGTATTTCTCTTTAGGTGTCTGTCAATACAATACCTATGGAAGAACTGAAAACATTCATAACTAAAGTGGAGCAGTTATATACAGGTGAGGCTCATTATATATAATTTTACCTGCACAAATATTGTTGTGGAGTGAATGTGATTGTGAGTCTACCAACTGAACAGGCCTTTGAACTGAAATTGTGAACAGTATGTTCTGTAATAACATGATCTTTGCCTCACTTATATAAGTTTGCCTCACCTATTATTCAGTGCCTCTTACAAACTTTATTGCTTCACCTTGAAAATGTAACAAAACACTTTCTAGAACATTATGTACCTACTTTACTATTAAATCAAATATGGCAGACTACATACAATTTTTTGAAGAAATAATCTGTTACATTTTTGAAAACAATTATGAGAGTGTCACATCAAATGGGCATCAATATATTTTACTAATACATGTACATGTACGTATTGTTATACATATGTACCTATGTTATATAAGTTCTGTTTATTTTCTAATAGAGCACTGTCCATTAATAGAGGAAGAGGTCTATTTTCACCCTGTCTTAAAGGATGAGGCTCAAACCCCACTCTATGGTGCCCCAGCATTGAAACACATAAAACAACAGGTAATATTAACTAATCAATGCCCTTTCCCAATCTGAATTGAAAATCCATTGAGACAATCAAAGAAATTTTTAAGGCATTTTCAAAACATTCATTGCTTTTCATGGTTTCACCAAATATTTGTAATCATATGTGAAAAATTCAAACATAGCTCAAGCATTGGGAAATCCATGTAATATCTGTCTGAATAATTTTGCTTTTGCATTGGCCTGTACCTGAAGTACCTTAAACTATAGATTGAAAAAAATATGAACTGTATATGATCTTTTTTACTTTTAAGGCCTCTCTATTAGGTCATATGGAAGAGCTAGGCCTGCTGCAAGATAACATACGCTTCATAGAGTTTGGGTCAGGGAAAGGTATATGTCCTCGTTTTAAAAAAAACGACTTTTGTCATCAACATTTTTGTCATCATTTTTATCATAAAATGGGAAAAACTAGAAATTATTATGTGGAAAAAACAATGTGGTCAACAAAATCAAATGGGGCCATTCAAATACATTGTATGACAGTTTTTACAATTTAATAGTAAACATAAGAACATTGTCAAAGAACAACCAAATACAGACCATCTATAACTTTCTCAACTTTTAAATGACATTACTTCAGAAATAACTAAACGAATCATCACTCCGAAAATTGTTTTGTCCCTCCCCATAAGTAATCCAACAAATGATGCCATTTCATACAATTCAATTAAGTCTTCCATGTTCATACAGTGTCATAAGAATACTTTTCACTTTGTATATATTGTACGCCTGTTGTAAAGTTTTTCCTATTCTGTTCTACACCCTATCATCTTCTTTTAAAGGAGGTCTCTCCCACTGGGCTCAGCTTGCTTTGTCTCACTGTAAGAATTGCAACTTCACTCTTGTTGATAGAGGAGCAGTGAGATACAAGGTAAATTGCAGCTTTCACATTAAATTGTGGTATATTTCAGTTTTACTTGGTTTAACAATAAATATTTTTAGTAGGATACATTAGATTTTCTTGTATAGATTAGTTTAGATCATAGTTTATTTATATATTCATGTATACATTATCTGCTTGATTTGAGTGTATTATGTAATTTTCTAAAGCTGAATTTTATCACTATTTTAATTTTTCAGTTGGATCGTATGCACCGAGAGGAGAATCAGGGGCCAAATTTTGAACGTCTGCGTATGGATATTCAAGACCTTGACCTTTCCAGGGTGCCATCTATTGTGCAACATGCTGGCCCTCTGGTGGCGATGAGTAAACATCTCTGTGGGGCTGCAACAGGTTAGATATTTTCTGCTTATTATCATTGAAAGAAAATGTAATGGAAGAACCTAATACATGAATCTTTGGGAATCTATGAATCATTCATTTTTGCACATGTCACATGTCATCACATGTCATCTTTATTTTATCGAGGGACAATGTTGTCTGATAAAAAGTGAGGTTTCAGTACTCCCATACATACAGTATATTACTGTCACGTTAACAAAATGATAATAAAAATATGAAGCTCTTTTAGCTAATTTAGTAAATTATGTATTTAGATTGAGCGAAAAATCTGTATTTATTTTCCTCTTAATCAAGCTTCATTTGTTCAAAATTTTTTAACTTGGTAATTGCTTTGTTTTAATTTACTTTCAGATCTGAGTATCAACTGTTTATCTCGTATTAGGACATCACCTTTACAAAAAGAACCCATCTGCAGTACAGAACAGGAAAATCATGACCTCAATCAGTCAAATATAGACAATGAAAAGAATGATCTCAATTCTGAAGGGCAAGAGAAGACAGGGGACAAGAGGATGGATACTTTAGAAAGTTTGGCCAAGAAACCAAAGATAGATGGCAGTTGTGGTGTACTGAATAAAAGGTGTCGATCAAACTCTAGTCACTGACAAATCACTGAAATAATTTTAATGAAAAAAGCAAAAATTAACTTTAATTCATCATGTACATGATCTGTAGTCTGAAAATTTTTCTAAACAAATGATACTGTCTCAACTTCGCTCTCCTCTCAAACAGACTTGTTGAGCGTTTACAATAGATTTTTTGTGGTTATCACCATTTTCTGACTGCCAATAGAGGAGTTTCTAAATGATTTTGAAATCTCGCTAATTCTCGTTTTTTCATGAGATTTAAAGAGATTTGCACATTTTACCTCTAATGACTTACCTTTCTTTCTTTATGATAGCATATTTGAATTCAGTGATATGTTTCCTACAATAATAGCTTTGATTTACACAATTATGTCATTTAAATCATTCTCCATGACATTTTAAAAAAACTTGGGCCAAATCTCCATTGATGTTATGCTAAAATTCTTTAAAACCATGGTTTAATCGTATGACAACCAACATTTTCATGTTTAATCACAATATGTTCATTGACAGGGTCATTTAAAGGGTGACGCATATCGTTTAGCAAATCGAACGCTCGTTTCTGGTGTTGCTCACCGTTTAGTATAAAAGGCCCGATCCCGGAATAATACTCAAGGGTTCACAGGCTCGAGGTCGTTGTGTCAACACCTCTAACTGTTATATAGCATAAGTATATTATAGATCGTCACACATTTATAAAAGGGTGATTTTTATTTTGACAAATCAATTCCACATTTATGGGTGAAGTTTCAGGATCTTCTATTTGTGTATAATAAGGAAAAATTGGCATCTAAATTTCCCCATAACGTAATAGCACACAGCTTGGCATATGAAATATCCTACAAATGAAACAAAGCAAGACAAACCGGTTTCTTATACAAGGATTTATATTGGCTGTTGTACATGTATTCTTTGAACGCAATCACTCTTTGGATAACGTTTTCAAAATCATTATAAAAGGATTACTTTATCTCAAAGACAATTTCAATGAACTGGATTTTACAGAACTCCCCTTATTTCTTAAAAATGGACTGATCCAGTTGATTCGCCTGGAGCCGCCATATTGTTTTTATACGGGATGCTAATCGGAACCCTTTAATAGTATGCCATTCAAATTTTCAGACAGATTTAACTAACACTCTTTGATAAATCATGAAATTAAGTGACTATTGCAATCTTTTAGCATAGAACTCAATGGAAGGTTGGCCCAAGATGAACAAAGGTGACATCTATTTCTATTATGTCAGCTTTATTTAGCTATTTAGAAACTATACTATTGCAAGCACTTTTGGCAATGAACTTGGAAAAATAATCTGCCTTTTGGGCAATGGACCAATTGGCAATATGTGGCAATCATGTTTCAGCCTTAGTCCTTCCATGGTCATAAACCATTGAATTTTAAAATTCTTGTTTCCAGTTGGGTGAAAGGAGTTGTCATAGCTCTTTGCTGTCACCACAGGTGTGAATGGCAGAGCTATGTTGGTAAAGACTTTATGTTGCAACATGGCATCAAAGAGAGGGATTTCAAGATTCTGACAACTATGACCAGCTGGCGTACATGCGGCACTAGATCCAGCACAACGCAGACAGAGAAACATAATGCTGAGCATTATAATCATGACAGGTAGGTCCCTACCCCCACCCTCTCCCTATATCCCCATGATTCTATACACATGTTAACCCAGAGCCCAAAACCGTTTACTTCTGATTTAGATCAAAGTGGACTTCTAAAGAAAATCTGGTGACACTCGTAACCTTACCTGTGTTATTCTCCTGAGGTTTCTTGATAGTAATATGTTTGCTAAACTATTTACTCCCTACAGACTCACATATTCGTAATGGTATTGCAAATCGTTTGTTCATTCTTGGAGACATGTATATACACTGTAGATTTAAGTTCATTATACTTTACATGTTATACTTGGGATTCTAAAGCAAAAAAATACAGCACTTCCTGACAGAATTTTTTGAAAGATTATGGGATTTGTTGGGTTAGGGGTGGTGCCCAAATCTAAACATTTGTGAAAAAACAAAGTTAATTTAGATATGCTTTATTATTTATTAACCTCTAGTCTACTCCCCCCTCCTCCCACATAACAAAATTCAAAAATGTTGATTTGTCTTTCACTTGAATTTAAAAAAATGAGTCTTCACGAATGAATTGTAATTAGCCCCTTGTACACCATATTATACACCATATCATACACCAGATATTGTGTATACTTGCAGGTATGGAACTCTAAAACCTGAAGAAAGAGAGGAAATAGGACGTAAATGTAAACTGCTCATAGACATTGGTAGAATGAAACATATGGAAAAACTGGGTTATAATGTCTCTCTAAAGGCATACACCAGTACAGACATTTCACTTGAGAACATTGCACTAATAGCTATTCCAAGGAATACTAGTAATTCTTGATGTTCTGCTGCATGAATGAAATTTTAGTTTTGATTCGAAAGGCATTTTAAAATTTTAATTTTGAATTGTACCATTAAGCCGAGCTAAACATATAGATACAAATAAAAAATTATTGAAACACTAAAGATGTCTTTTGTTTAATTAATTTAAGTAATGCATTGGCTTAAAATGAACTACTGTATGTGTTTTTCTATAAATACCCATCACTTATGTATAAAATATAGTTTCTGTTACAAGAACAATAAACGATTTTGAGTCTCAATTTCCAAACTCTAGGTACAGGGATTAATTTTGTTCAACCTATGTCTGGTTTAATCGTATTTATGTCACCACCACAAGTGATGACATATTGTTATAGTCTTCAACTTTTCTGTGGGCAATGTGGTGTTTTAAGCATTTACGTTCAAGAAATATGCAGACTAGCACGTGACTGTCTAAGTTCGACTCTTGCCTGGTCGATGGCAGGTGTCCCACAATTAACTTGTCTGCATTCCCAGCCAAGGGATTGGTTTGTTTTCAGATATGTTTCTTGGTATAAAGTACAGAACTGAATAGTTTTAAGGCATGCTGAATAAATTTTAAAGTGGCAATTTTGAATTACTGTCCTTAAGCCAGACTATTCAAAGGAACGATTTCAACCTTTCTGGATTGCTGCTTTATATACTAGTAAGTATTGAGAATTAATTAGTTTTTGAGCATGTTTGGTAAAATCAATATGATCATTTTGGATTTTCCATACTCAGGTACTAGAATTGTGTATGTAGTCTTGACTCCTTTGTGTGTTTTCAGCCAAACTATATGATTGAAATTGATTGGTATGAAAATTGAAAACTGGTTAGATTTCAGACATGTTGGGAAACATGTTGAATGCACTTTTTTCAGACAAATCATTCATCTTTTCAGTAAACTTCTTGCTATGAAAATCCAGAATGGATCAGGTTTTGAGCATGTTGGGTAAATCAGTGTCAATCAAGTCAAGAAGGATGTATGAGTATTTGACCTCATACATGATAAGGGGTTAATAATAATACTGCAAGGAATATGTCTTATCTAATGTTTGATTACAACATATTGAGAAACCCTTACTTACTTTTAACAGAGATTCTGAAATGGCTGCTTTTCTTAAAATCCATTACCCTTTTTCTATGTATAACTTATAAATTACAAGTATATCTGTTACATAAATGGGAAAGAAAACATAACTGAATTAATTCAAATCAATTAATTTATTATCAAATTTATTATATCCCAATGGCATGTACAAAATAAAGGCACTCTTTATAAATAATGCATACATCATACAACTTGTATTGCTTGGTTTATGACCATGACATTTCTGTAGCAGAGATGTCCACATGAAAGCAGTTTTTGTATATGTGGGATATTAGAGACACAAAGACTATTCCTAGGTCTACCATTTCTGATATATACTGGTACAGTTCAGGCCATAAATAAATGAGTAGTCGATTTTCTATCACCATTTCCAAACCATGATAGATTGAAAGCCCATAGTTTCCAATAACGTCTTGATACATATCCCCTAAAAGTATATTTTACATTTTGTATAATCTTATCCACTGACAGACTGATGATCCACTCTTGAATATTCTCTTATTTTCAACATGGGAAATCCTCACTTGAGCAATGACTAATTATTTATGGCCCAAACCGAAATGTAATTCCAGTTTGTTTGACAATCACTGGTGATCCACTCGATTACGCTGGTTACCAAAACGATTCGTTTTGGTAACAAAATGTCGGAACATCGAAGGTACGATATTTCTTTTTTCCTTATTTCACACGTTGTAGGCAGAATTCTCATGACATTTTTAACACAAACGTGTATCAGTATCATGTGTTTAAGAAAATGTACATATTTGCGAACAAATAGTTCAGGAGACAATAGAATCGTCGATTTAATTCCGAATCGTTTTGGTAACCAGCGTAATCGAGTGGATCACCAGTGACAATGAGGATATAAAATCTTGAGAAAAAATGACTTTTTAAACTTTAAACTATATATTCCTGTCTGGCTATACATTTTTGTATTTACATAGTACTTTTCAACATGCAGTACAAAGCAGATAAAATTCAACCTGCATGAGGTAATAAGTTTTAGAAATAAGTCAAGTGAGCAAAATACAGGTTAATATCTAATATATATTTATATAATATCACAGTTTTCCACCTGGCACTTTTACCCATAAGCCGAATCATCATGACTCAGCAATAAAATTCTTCATGAAATTATCCATGTTATATGTCTAGCAAACTGATTCACCATGACTTAGCTATAACATTCTTCATCAAATTGCTCATCTTATTTCAAGAATTATCTAGAATTTACTTACTGATTTTCACATGATTGTTATGTTTGAATAATCTTAGGTGTCAATCTATATTCCTAAATGTCAATAATTGCTTTAATGTGGCAATAGGGCACATACACTGTATAAATATATTGTATGATACACTATTGGACTTTTTCTTAAAAAATAGGAAATTCAGGCCCATACGTAGCCAGGTTTTGCCAAGGGGGTCCAATTTTCAAAAAATTCCAGAGAGGTTCACATTTGACAACTTTGGCCCAAAATCACTTGAAAAGTGCTCAGAATGATGAAAGACTGCAAGATTTTGAAATAATTTTTTTAGCCGGGAGACCCCCCCCCACTGATAGGGGCCTGAAATATAATAAAATGGACAAATAAACACCACTCCTGTAAACAAAATATCTATTGTATTTGCACCAAGTAACACGTTGGAAGTACTTGTCATAAATATTAACACGACCTGTCACTGATATGTTTGGGGAATACATTTTTACATACACTATTTACACACAAAATAATATCATAACATTATTAAACACACTTTATAATTTGTAACACATGAAGTAATATCATGACACTGTTACACAAAAATGTGAAAGCATTATTATACATTATCATAAATCACAAATGTATTCTAGATGCTCATTGGCTTATTCATGGTCACATGATATGAAATAGATGAACTAATTCCTCAGAAAGTCCTAAATCCCTGCTAACAGGGAAGATACTAAATCACCAGTTAGGCTATGTGACCAGTCATTAGTACTTTTTATCTTCTTTGCTAGCTGGAATTATAGGAGTTGAATGGCAAAATGCCTTTAAATCCCAATAAGAACCTATAAGCATGACTTCTTATTTTGTTTTTGTTCACAGAGTACTTATCAGGTTTACTGGTATAGTTATACAAATAGTGACTACCACATTTTTCGGAAATGGTGTAAAGATCTTCCCCTTAGGAATACCCACTCTCAGTGGACAGGATATTACCTTGGGAAAAATATTTTGCACTACTTCCCTCAATGGCAGTCAATATTTGTATACTTATGTACATGTACAGGGTGTCAAATAAATATGTTCTACTTATAGCAAGACTATAAACATAAGTGCATTTAGTTCAGCTAGTCATCTGAAACTTTATGATGATTTGCTTCATGTAGCCTAGTTTTAATTTACTGAATAAATACTGCAGACAACAAAGTTATAAAACATTATGTGGATGTAAAAGTTAAGGGGGTGAAAATATTTTTTGGCACCCTGTAAATAAGATCATGACATTATTACACACACATCATGTTATCACAATACACAAAATAACACCATGGCTTGATTACACACTAAATAACATCATGGTATTATTACACATGGAACAACAGCATTGCAGTATTCACAACTAAGTAATATCATGGCACCTATTCATAATATCGTGATATATATCATGATAATACACATTATGAAGTGATTTCTTTCCTCCTAAATATTCTCAGGACGTTTGTCATTTGGAAAGTTTATAAATGGCAGCCCGCATTTCTCCATCAGATCATTGATTGGACAGTGGTCATTAGATACAAGGTCTATGTGGTAGAAATGAACATCATTGCCTGAAACAAAACAGAACATTCACATTTAATACGATTCAAAATCCAGTTATCAAAATTACATACCATGCTATTGGAATCATATTTGCACTCAGTCGCAAGAGTGAAATACTACGATATTTTGACCAAAATAGACCAAATCTAGATCATTTTTCAAAATCTTCCGCAAAACTACAGTTTTTTCAAAAATCTGCCGCAAAAACTACCGCATTTTTTCAAAATCTTCTGCAAAAACTACCATATTCTTTTTAATCTACCGTAAAACTACCGCATTTTTCAAAATCTCCCACAAAACTACAGTTCTTTTCAAAAATCTACCGCAAAACTACCTAATTTTTTCAAAACTACAATAAAACTACTGCATTTTTGTTGAAAAATACTGCAAAAACACTGCATTTTGAAAAAATCTACAGCAAAAATACAGCATTAAAAAAACTACCGCAAATTTTTCGTCTTGGGTTGGCAGGTATGTAATGGGACATCATTGATTGTCTGAGCAAGAAACCTATGGTATACTGCATCTTTAACAGTATCAGAACTGAAGTTTATAAAAGGAATTATATAAGAAGGATAATAGATAAGATGTTTTATGTTTTATAAAGCACTGGTTCAAGGAAAAGAAGACTAACAATTCAACAGATAATATTTCATGAAGGAATCTGTTTTTTGGTTGTTCTAATGTCTTTCGAATTGGGTTAGCATTTTGGGTAGCGTATTTTAAAGGTAGAATATGTCTTAAAGAGTATGAAAAATCTGCTAATAATTATATTATATCTTAACAGAAGATATCTTATCAAATGGTTTAGTTATTCAAGATATAAACTCCAAAGAACAGTATCTTGACATGACATATTTAACTTTCAAAGCTGATACACAGAATCTGATAACACAGAGTGGATGGTAAAGATAGCAAAGAGGAAAAAATGTTCTAAAATTAAGACCCAATTTTTGTGGTTCCTTTTATGCGCCTTAATTGCACTAAATAAAAGATACTAGCATAAAAAGAGGATGTTATGTTCTATAAGCCTCTATTGATTTTGATCATGTATATGAGTGATTTCATTTATATCAAGTGAATATTAACATCTCAAATATTTTTCTAATGGTTCAAAAGTGGCATATTCGGGATAATTAAATAGTGTCAAAATAACCCTCGTCATCAGTATGTTAAATTCAAAAGAATTTGGTGAATGAATCAATCAATTTAATAACATGCACCGCTCGATATTCATTCATACATTGTTCTATCTGAATATTTTGAAACATTTTCGATACCTGGCTCATCTGTTGGCAAACTAGATGCCATATTTATCAGGATTCAGTAAAAACACAAATCGGGGCACTCACTTCCTGGAACGAGTTTCTTTTATACCTTTGAGCTATTTATTTTGCTTATTTTTATGAACTTGGTCAAAATTTGGGATATTACCCAATGGTTTTGCTTTTGCAATTGTTTGGTAATATTGGTAAAACATGAGAAAATTTGGTAAAAGGACAAGTCTTGGTTTAGAAAACAGTATCCTGGGCTAATACTTTTTTTAATGAAAAACATAGAAATATCAAAGAGGAGGATATTTAAATCTACAAGATGTAAAAATATCACAGTTGTCAGAAGCAGGGGTAACCTTTAGTAGACTGATTCAATAAAATGCAAGTCTCAATTTGGACAAAGAAGTTTATCAGTGTAGTGCACTAATATTTTTTTAATGAAAAATCTAGAAATATCACCCAAATTAAATTATGACTATTCAAAAGAAGACATTCAAATCTATATCATGTAAAAAATCAAATTTGTTCAAAGCAGGAGTAATGCTCAATTAGAGTGATGAACTTCGTTAAGAAATTGTAGATGATTTTAAATCTATAGTCAGATTTGAACTTCTGAGAACTCGTAGATGATTTTGAAAAAAAATTAATCAATATGAAACAAGTTGAAAAAATACCTTTTTGACCTTTTTTAACCTTTTTGACCTTCTAAAGGTCATTGAAGGTGAAATCTTAAATCAGCTTTGAACTTCTGAAAATTTATAGATGATTTTGAAAAAAAATTTAAGTCAGTCTAAACAGTATTTGTTATGTTATTGGAAGTTGTAAGAATTTGTTCCAGATGCCACCCGCCAATCGTAAACCTTTTTTGACTTTGGAAAGGTCAATGAAGGTCAAATCTTAAATCTAAAGTCAGATTTGAACTTCTGAAAACTTGGGTAGATGATTTTGAAAATAAATTGAAGTCAATCTAAACAGTATTTGTTAAGTTATTGCAAGTTGAAAAGGAGGAGGGAAGTTAGCGCAACAGATTTTGGACAGTCATATGTTGGATTTCGGCCATTTCCTGGGATTTTAAACAAGTGCATATGTTAGGTGAATGTTTTACCTCCAGGAAAATCACTTCTAGAGATGATAAAATAATTTTGACTTTGAGACAGGGTAGATGCAAACAACCCACCCACATGTTTTTTCTGAAATGTTTTCCTGATTTTCAACCCCTTCCATCCTTTCTTTTTTAATTTTTCTTGCATCAATATGTTGCGTTTTGACACACAGTTGATCCCTTAAAAGGAATAAATGATTCCATTTAGATAAAGTGGAAAACAATATTTCCCATGTTATTTTCCCATAGGAAAAATCATTGCTTTCAGCTAAGTTTGGTCACCCATAATGGGTATCTTTAAAACCCCTGAAGGAATCACTTATTCCTTTAAAGTGGTTAACTATGTGTCAAAATGCAACATATTGATGCAAGAAAAATTAAAAAAGCAGGGATGGAAAGGGTCGAAAAATAGGAAAACATTTCAGAAAAATCATGTGGGTGGGTTGTTTGCATCTAACCTGTCTCAAAGTCGAAATTATTTTATCATCTCAAGAAGAGATTTTCCTGGAGGTAATGCATTGGCCTAACATATGCAATTGTTTAAATCCTCAGAAAATGGCCAAAATCCAAGATATGACTGTACAAAATCTGTTGCGCTAATTTCCCTCCTCCTTTGTTACAGACGCCAACCACCGACCACCAACTGCCATCACAAAAAGGAGATCATAACAATATGTCACCACGCTTTGGTGGTGACATAAAAACCATGTAGAATGGGCATATTTTGGCCAATTTTGGACTGATTTCTGAAAATGAGAATTTTGCACCCACTTGAGAAAAAATCCTGGGGAGAACACTGACATGTATTGTAGAATATGTTATAATATATAGTTTAATGCATTATGTAGAGAATGATGCTTATAATATGATACTTGGATCTCTCTTTTATCCTATTCTTTCCCTCTTCACTAATCATTTTTATGCAATTGCAATTATTAGACTCAGAAAAAACTTATGTAAGTATATTAAATAAGCCATGTTTTTTATAATTGATAATGTTGTAAATGCTCTATATATCCAAGACGATGTCAAGCTTATTATGTATGTTTCAGATATATTAATGCTGAATATAAAAATCAAAATGGGATTTTCCAAGTCTCCCAATTTTCAAATATAAATGTTCTTCAAATTTCAAGGTTTTTTTACAAGGGAGGAAAAATGGGTTCAGATAAAAAGATTTCACTGTACTTTAATTGAGTATAGAAATGATGGGTCGCTTTGTTCTTCTTGCTTTTTTGAAGAGACACTTCCGTTACCATTTTTCTTCATAATGTAGGCAATGGGATGAAGTGCGTGGGATGTTTTTTTTCAACAGTATCCATTCCAGGGCTTGATGCTTACTTTGAGTGGGATGCCCTTGCAAAAATGTAAGGACATTACAGCTCAAGTATTTTCTGATCTCCAGTGGAAAAAAATAAGGATGGCTATTATTTGTCCCAGTTAATTGTATAAAAATAGTTGTAAGTACAAATCAATAGATCATAGCACATTAAAAAATTCTGCACTTGGAAGAAAGGGTAGACTACCAAGTGCCAATCTAATCTGAAGTAGGCCCGTGGTCAAACTGACATTCTATATCATCCCTTATTAAACTGCAGTTGTTCTTTTAGACCCATTTTATTTAACCTACTGGTACTTAAGCATGTTAAAGAAGTCAATGGATTAGATCAATAACCACCCACTATATTCAGAGAATCAGCCCCTTACAAATTCAATGTCTGTTTACAGTGTCTGTTTGAAAATCTTAAAACCTTTCTGTTCTGGTCCACGCAACCCTTTTGTTACCTTTTTATTAGTATTTTAGTAAACATATTTCATTGAAGGTATTTTTGCATCTGAGGTGTATTTTTCCAATGTTAGGACTGAACATAAAGATATCTGGTTACCTTGCCACTTTCCCCAAAATAAAAATAAACAAACTTTTAACTCATATGGGCTTTACTGGAGCAAGCTGACCTGCATGTTATGATCGGCTGATTTTTGGTTTTCCATAAAATAACATGTACTAAATTAAATGAGCGCACTGTCACTAAAATGCAGCAAGTTTTATCACGTTATAGGCCATAAATCAAAGTTGAAACAATCCATCTCCCTATACTGTAGTAGATTAAGACTGCTATGACGAACAGAAATGCATTCAATTTCAAGGTGTGACGTTAAGATGATGTAAGATGACGTTAAAGGGTAGGGAACACCTTATACAAAATTATATATACAAAATGGGATAACAGAATTTAATATAAACTCATGCTTTTTTTGCAAATTATTTATGTATATTTTATATAACTGTCTTTATTAACATTTTTTTGTATGACGAACAGAAATGCGTTCAATTTCAAGGTATCGTTAAGATGACGTTAAAGGGTAGGGAACACCTTATACAAGGTTTAGAATTGAATATAAACTCATGCACAAGTAACAGAATCTTAATCCTTTCCAAGGATCCAATAAGGCCTGTTAGCCAGATGTATTTATTGGCATAAAGACCATCAGGTATGTATGCAACATTTACTGTACAAACAATATATCCATGAGTCATTAAGGAGATCTTATTGGAGATATTTTTGAAAAAATGCTAAACCAGTCATGTCATTTTCTGGTACAATGATGAATGTGTTTCAGGAAAATATCCTTACATTGTCTCTTTTAGTTAATTTGGTAAGAGGTGAATGCTAATTTCAGGAAAAATGTTACTCTAAGAAAAAAAATTCAAAATGGCAGCCTTTACATTCTTTCAAATTTCTTCTCTAAATTTACCAACAACATTAGATTACTATGATTTATTTCTATTTCACCACGCCATATCTAGATGCAACTTTTAAAAGTAAATAAGGAAATACACCCATGTCTTCATCGACATTTTGAACAACAAGACAGGCAGGTATACATTTTTTCAATTATTTTGGCCTACATTTCCCTTAAAGAGGCACATTATTTTAAGATGATGAATATGTTATTTTCTGGATAAATACATGTTGTATTGTATATTGTAAGAATTTAAAAAGCAAAGTAATTTGTTTGTTGAAGTGGGATCCTCAGCTATATATAGGCTAAAACATACCCATAATCTTATATTATTATAAGACATTTGAGGAATACAAAGCTGCCATTTTGAGTTTGGATTTAAATGCACAGTACCTGGTCCCAATATAAAAGCACCACCCTGTTGTTCCATATCCCCCTGCAGCTCCTGGTATCCTGATGTCATTGTCTTCCATACCATCTTCATTAACCCTACCACTTTACCAGATTTCACATGTTTGCTTTCTACAATTAAAACAATATACTGAGCTAGCTGAAGTTATAGGATTTTATCACTTTTTGAGCCTGAAGGGTATTCACAAAAATGGAATGAAATAGAATTCCTCACTGTTTTTTCACTCTCATTTGCAAGAGGTTTGTAGACTTCTGTGTGGGAATTTTTAGGTGTTATTTAATCACTGTCATGTTTGCAATTTCATTATTGGTCGAATCAAGCATACAAAAAGGCCATTTGATATGAATGATACTAGTGATGCATTATACACTTAGATGTACGTCAAACTTAGGGATAGGGAATAATTCATATTATTATCACTGTCAAGCTTGCTTTTCTATATCTTAAATCTCCATGGAATGACACATCGTCAAATTGGAATATTCTTTTTTTTCATGCCCCCTGCTCATCAATCTATTATGCTATGTGACATCTCAACGACGTCTATCTCTTGGACATATGTTTGATCAATTAAAGAATAAGAAACGTGACAATGATATAACAATATAAAGATATCAGACTCCAATAGTTTTGATGATCTAAGTATCTCTTGTAAGTTCATTAATGAAAGGTTACAATTTATAAATGATATAACTTCAAAATGTGAAAGAACAAGGAAGATTGTTTGACAAATGTTTTAAAAGGTTTTTAAAACAGTTTATATTAAATACTCAAAATGAATGTTTTAAGTAAGTTGTAATAATTGTTTTATCTTAATATGTACATTCGACGCACCTTTGCATTGCAGAGCGTGCCACTGTTTCAAAAGTGAAGATCGAAATAAATAAAAAAAATATATATATACCTCTACACATGACTGTTTTTCTTGGTTTATCTAGAAGTCCAATCATTTTGTAAAGTTTCCTCTCTGGGTCAACATAGATGGGGAACTTCAGCTTGGTGTCTTTGATGTATGCCTGGAAAATAGTGATGCAACCTTGAATTATTAGTATCTAAATCTAAGGTAATTACATGTTCTTGATTTTGATTGGTCAAAAGGTGGTCTGCTGACCATGGATTGCATTGTCGGTTAACAGATTTTGGTGATTTTCTAAACATGATGTCATAATAAGTATCTTAAATACAATTAATATTATTTACATGTACTTACATCTAAAAACTTTGTATCAGCACATCCAATAAGAATCAGTTTGACACCAGACTCTTTCAAGTCATCTTCATTTATTTTGACGAGATCTGAAAATATCATTGGTTGTCAAAGTAAATACTAATATACACATATCTATGTACAGTTAAACCTGTCTAATCTGAACACTACTGGGACTGGTCATAAGTGTTCAAACTGGCAGGTGTTCACATTCTAAGTTTTTTTACATGGAAGTCTATGGCAGATTTTAAAAATGGGACTGAAAAAGTGTTGAAATGTGCTCAAATTAGAGAGGTGTTTTGGTAGGTATGTGCAGGTGATACATGATAAAATTAGAAGCTACATGAATATTTTATTGATTGTAAACATATCTTATTGAGGAAATATAATGGTGGTGATAGCGCATGAATGGAATGCTATTTTAGAGAGATTTAACAAATAAGCTGGATTCATTTGGCGTGACTGATTACATAAGTGTTAATAAATGTGCTTACCCTCTACATATTCTCTATACATGAAGCAAAGAAAATTCTGCAAAGACAAAATTTAATATAATGTTACAAGTCAAACATATCCCATAGATCAGTAAATCAATTGTTCTACTTACTCAAGTATTTTGAGGTATTTGACTATTTGGCAATACCCAGAATAAAATCTGAGCTTATATATTTGCCATAACTCATACAATCAAACAATATTCTAATAGGATAAAAGTATTAATATATTTACTTATACATACTGAAAGTTACAATATGTAGCCATTGTAATGGAACATATGTTAGAATTATATTGCATATCAAATATGCATTAAACCAATTCAAATGTGATTTCACATAATACTATACATACAGGGTGAGCCAAAAAGGTAACCCAATCAAATCATATAACTCAGCCATCCGGTATCAAGTCATATTTGGCACAATTTAACCTTGTTCAATGTTCTTCCATGCATCTAAGTTTAATTGGTCTATTCCAAATGGTCATGATATTATGGCCATTTTACAAAACATGATCAAAATGACAGTCTTGTTTTTGGAGGCAAACTTGAACGCATCAGGTGAAGTTTTTCTGATTAAACGCTCATAGATATCTTGTTTAATGGCTCTCATTTGCATTTTAATCTCTAATCTGTGATGCTTGTAGATTTGTTAATGCACAAATCATCTTTGAAATGGCCCCGAAGATAAAATTTCAGGGGTTTCATGTTGGATGATTTTGGTATGTTTTGGCATTTTGAGCATATTTTGTAAAAGTGCCATAAAATCGTGACCATTGGACATATACTAATGGAACATATTAGAATGAAAGAACATTGAACAAAGTTCAACTGTGCTAAATACAACTTAAAACCCATACTGGAGGACTGAGTCATTTGTTTTTTGGCACACCCTGTATAATCGTCCTATTCATTCTTGGAATAACAGGTTGCAAAGGTTAAAATTATTTGTTGAGGATATGGTGATCTACTTTTTGAAAATACACTGAATTTTCTACTTTTTATATTCCTAGAATATTTTTTGTCAATTAAAAATCCAAATGTATTTAGGCACTCTTTAAGTAAACTGAAAGAGGTAGACCATATTTAGTTATGAGTACATGAAAATAACATGAAACTCCAATAGGGAGACCTTTAAGGAGATCTGCATTAATGAGTATTTCGGCTGAAGCTTAAAAATTCCATTCCATAGCAAGTACACATTAGATACATAAAACCCCCTCAACAAACACAATTTGATTGAACATTCTCCCAAAATTCCTTCCTTATATGAATACCAGGAAATGGAAACAGGAATTCAATGATACAATTTTGAAAATTTGATGTCATTCATAGAAAAAGAAAAAGAAACAGTTCCTAATTGTCATTGTAGACACAAATTCCACTATATTTGTATGTTCCGGAATGGAGAAAATAGAGCACTCAATTCACTGAGGTAAGAATTTATGACATATGTGACAGAATGTCTTTCATAGTGTCAGTAATTATTTATGTTCACCACTTTATAGTCAAAACAGTAATGTTTGTGAGTACTTTGAATTTAAAAAATAAGCAATCAAATGACCAAATTGAAACAGTATATGTAAAAATAGAAACATTTATATTTATCCTAACTTGTGTATATTTTAGTTTGTTTTCTAGTTAAGCTATCATATCTGTGGCCTCTTATATTTTGATACTTCTCTGCCATGTTTTTTTCGGAAAAATTAACATGGCTGAAACTCTCTAAATTATTATCTTGTTCCAACACCATCCTCTTCGTTTCTGGTCTTGGAGGGGATCCATTGAAACACACATTATTTTTCAAAAGTCGAAATTTTGAATGCCTGGTCTTACACCTTCTCTGCAGGTGAACCTATTTTCGATATATGCATGAAGGTCCATTCAAAGTTGACGTTTGAACCTTTAAAAAGCCAAATTTAGACTGAGAATTGAAAAGGTTTTAAGAACTTTCATTTTTCTCGGTAGACCGGAAGTAAATTTATTTGTCAAGTAAAAAGTGATAGTGGGGAAGTCAAAACGGGTTTACGGAAAAGACCCACCCCACCGACCGGTCGGTGTTTTCCATAGGTAGCCTCAAAACAGGGTTTGAAAAAATATGTAAAAGACCGACCACTATGTAAAAGACCGACCAAAAGAAAAAAAACCTGCCTTGACACTGACCAATTTTACAAGAAAACAATATTCCTGTTTATGTCCGTACGTAGGCCTATGTCTGTTCGCCGTTTCCGGGCATTAACTCCAATACTGTTGTCCCAATATTGGCTACAGTAACAAGGCCCCCAGAAGAGAAAAAATTTAAATTCTTAATCACATTCCCGGTCCGGGCAAGTCCATGAAGTTCGTAAAGTTGTAGCTACGTTCATCCAGTTCGGACACAGTTTAAAACCAGTTCGGCAACATTTTAAAGAACGCAGTGACAACTTGTTTGGTGTGATAGCTATATTTGTTAATTAAGCTGCAAACTGAACAGGTAAGTGTACTCACGACCTGAATTTACGCCTGACTGCACAACGTCGTAATACGTTTCTAGTAGGATTGAAGTTCGCCCTGTTTCCAGATCGTTCTGCGTTCTTTAAAAACGTGGTCACTCGTTCTGATTACTAAGTTCTGGATGACCTACTCGTTCCAGGGGCGGATCTGGGAACCAACAAGGGGGGGCTCAAACTTCTGGTCTGAGAAAAAACTTCCTAAAATTTGGCCTAAAATTAAAAAATAAGGCCTTAGAAGGCCTATTTATGACCAAAAAAGCCTTCTTTTTGGGGCAACAAGGCCTTTTTTGGCTAAAAACTTTTTTTGGGCCCAATTTTTTTTTCTGGGCCAACCCGAGGGCCCCCCCCCCAGATCCGCCAGTGCGTTCGGGTAGTTTGATAATGGAGAGGTTAAGCAATGCATATAAACGTATGTACACAACTTGTACGTATAAATCGTCCTATACAAATGCATGTAGTTTTCTCACATAAACAATCGTTCAGTTACAGTGTTTACTTAGTCCTTTAATTAGGCTACACATCCTCGTGTAATACGTTATTGATAGTTATATAGCTGGTTTTGTATGATACATACTTTAACAAGCTCGTGTCGTAAGATATTTAAAGCTAAAACATGTATGACATTCATTTTCTTCAGAAAGCATTTAAGCCAAGCTGTTTTGGCCTAAACGCATGTTCGAAGTTATCTTGCGTCAGAAGCAATTAAAAAGATTAATAAAAAGGTATCAACTTTCAGCTGGCTAGTATTCTCTAACACAGTGGCGTGACCTTACATGACCTTTTAATGTTAGTTAACTGCTTAATGTTCAATTAGATAGATAAGTTTAATAAGGGAGCTATATGATACTGTGCATCGAAATCAAAATTGCCAGCATAGTACCCAATAAACATGAGTATAATGATTCCCGTTGACACCAACGTAAAATTGAAAATCTCCCGTTGTAAACAGGAAAATAAAGCTGATCTGATATCTGAAGTAGACTAAGTAGCGCTTGCTTTTTATGTGTGCTATATACATTACTGTATTAATTCATTGACTTTGCATTCACGGTTACGTTGCGAAAAACATCGCTAGCTTAACCTCTCCAAAGTTTAAACGGACCCTAAACGGTTCTTAGTACGTCAAATCTGTTCGTGCACAGTTAAAGTCCGTTTTCGAGAACGTAGTAAGAACTAGTTTGGTGTGATAGTAGGGTAAGAGGAGTCCCACTTATTTGAAAAACAAACGCAACTAGTGATTGTGTAAAAAACCGAACGCTGACCAAGCACCGACCTCTCACCTCATGGACCCAACTGTGGAGAGTGACTGGTCGGTGGTCGGTCTTTTCCGCAAACCCAGTATTATTTAGAACCATTTAAAATTAAACCGACGGCAAAATTGAATTGACTGAAATCTTTATATGTTTTCTTCTTCACGGACCTCAGAGAAGACACTTCCGGTTTAATAATCAGTGATTTTATCGATCAAAAAATATTTCTTTTTGAATTTGTCCGATATCTGCTAATACGGTGTATATTTGTGCTTATTGTTAAATTACAAAATAGGTTGGGTATAGAATATGTCAAAGTCATTTGATCTTGTCCCAGAAGCAATATTTCATCATTTCTGTCGCCTGGAATTCCTTTAAGGCTCTCTAGCAGAATTGGCTATCAAAATGCTAAAGAACCTTAAAATTAAAGGCTCTTTGGCCGGAATGCTAAAGAACCTTAAAATTTAAGGCTCTTTAGCATTTTGGTAACCCATTTGGCTAGAGAGCCTTAAATTTTAAGGCTCTCCAGGCGCGGCCTACATTACTATCTGAAATAAACAAAAGTTAGGATAAATGTAAATGTTTCTATTTTTACTTAAACTGTTTCAATTTGGTCATTTGATTGCTTATTTTTTAAATTCAAAGTACTCACAAACATTACTGTTTTGACTATAGTTTCCTTTTTATAGCTTTATTTTGATAAAAGTGATATTCGGCACCTAAAAATAGCATGGGAGTAAGTCAACCCCTTTCTTCTATTCTCTATGTTTTAATATAGAGAATATAAGAGAGAAGCAGGGGGTGACTTACTCCCCATAAAATATAGTCAGTAGGATAGGTATGTATCAAAAAACTTTTGTTTACATGTTGCCAAGTAAAAAAAATAAAAAATGAACTTACTCTGATAAATATAACAATTGTTTTCTGGTCTTTATACAAATTTCCAAACTTAATTTTTTTGTCAGACCTATCAAGGACTTCATAATCCTCAACTCCATCTAAATCAATCACAAATTCTTCTTTCTCAGTTCTCGACATTTCAACATCTTGAACTTCTGAAATATTTTCTTCCTCATTTCTATCTTCCATTTTGAATCTTTAATTGGTTCTCTAAGTGAAACTTATTTGAAACGAAAACATTAAAACATTGGTACATGATATTTCATCACAGTTGATGATATATTTTCAGACTATTTTCAGTGTAATAAATATTAATAACTGACAAATAACATGAGAAATAACACTCTGACATCGTAATATTTTTATTTTCCGTATTCTCTTGTTCCTGTAAGAGTTTGTTCTTTCAGTCGTCATTCTCCTTTACAGAGCTTTTGGTATCCAAACTTTGTAGGAAATCCAATCAAATGAAATGGAGATTGTGGTAGATATATGAGGTCACGTTGACTTGTTTATCGGGCCTGCTTGTTTAACCCATGATAGGAAAACAGTGAGTTATTTCTCATTTTTATGTAATACAGTAGTCAGGAATCAGAAATAGATAGAATTAATTCCTCATCACAGGATGGTATTCATTGTAGAGAATTGGCTATACTGTGTAAAGTCTACATAGTGCATAGGTCCACTGTAGGTCTATATAAATTTTTACTTTTGTAATACAAATTTTTGCACCGGTTTAGTAGGTTAGAGGGTTAGATTACCATGACTTTGAAGACTTATTAGTTTTAGTCCAGGTACGAATATAAATGGCCAAAAGTACAATTAAATAAGGGAGATGTGTACGTTTCCTAGGCCCGAAGGATTTCCTAAGAGGGGGCGGGGCGATGGCTTTTCCGTAATGAGTTTTTTTTTCCACCGATACGTCCGACAAAGCATTGACGGTGCGGAGTGTCGCAAACTAGAAAAGAAATCAAAATTTAGACGCTCCACAGTACATTCTGAGTTTGCATATAATTAAATACTTCAAGTATACTCTCTACACAACTCATTTCATATACGATTCACTGGCGGATCTTACTAAATTTGCACATAGCCATCTTTTAGATAGATGGCTATCTCTCAGGAGATAGCTTTGTATAAACTAAGTAAGGCGGATCCAGGGCCCAGGGCCCTCCCCCTTGGATGGCTTCAATTAGTGTGCCTTTTGGGCATTACTTGGCCATTTTTGGGCCTTTTTAAGCCAAATTGCAAAAAATCGGCGTAAATTTTTTAGATTTAGAGGCCCAACATTTTTTGTACTTTTAAAAACTGAATTTTATCATTTTTCATACATTTTATAAACAAAATATTCTGCACCCTCTTTTCTAGGTATATTAGGGCACTATGTCTGCAAAAGTGGAAGATGTAGACAGTGTGGAAGGAGGAGTGTATTTTAAGAAGTACGACAAATAACAATAACAAATCGTAACAAATATAGTGATTTTGTAAGATAATAGATAAATGCTCATTTCAATATAATTTCGATCTATGATTTTCGCTAGCATAGCAATATAAATTGAATTCGTGAAATTGAAAAATTGGGAGTAGGGGAAAATAAAATAAAAACTATATCTAAAATTGGGAGAGGTTTATCATTATAATTCTGGTACCACAGTTTACATAAGCATTACGGAACATTCACAAAAATTAACTAAAATCAATTTTTATCTAATAAAGCAGAAAGAGAAAGAGTTAGAAAGAGAATTCAATCTGTTAAATTAGTACTTTCTACCAAACAGAGCAATAATGATTAATTTGTATTTTGTACAGTATTAGAAACAATGTGACTATCATATCAATATTTTACAAATTTCATTTTTATTGGCTTAAACTTCAGACTATCATAACTTTGCTCCTCGACCCCAAATCACCTTGATTTTTACGCCAAAAAGTGTCATTTATCTGTGGCCTAAGCTAGAAAAATAACACAGGTATTTGATTTTCAATCAACTGGTATTAGTGGACAACTTTTCTATCCGCAAAACAAACAAATCATCTGATTGGTGCACATTAAATCCAGCGCACAATCAGATGATTTGTTTGTTTTACTCTAGGATCTCATTGGTCAGACTCCTTTTAAACCAATGGTTAATGTTAATGGCCCCAAATTATTGACTAATGAGGTTGACTGCTCAGCTTCTATTTACCTAATACATAAGAATTAACATAATGTAGGCTGGATAAGATCAGATGATATCTCATTCAACAGAATCCTCAATCTATGACAAATAACTAGGGTTTTGGGCAGAAATTATAGCCTGATATTCCAAGGTATAAAAACATCATACCTTGGAAATCCATATTACATGGTGTCCAAAAACATTTCTTTACAGTACATGATTGTGTACCTTATAAGCATTTATATTGAGCTTAATTATCCCAACGAACTTCAGTTCGTTAAGGATATAGTGAAGCCCTCCGTCCGTCCGTCTGTCTGTCCGTCAGTCAGTCCGTCCGTCTGTCCGGAAGATAACTCAAATACTAGTTGACAGATTTTCTTCATATTTAGTGGAAAGATGTATATTGGTGAATAGTTTTACGCAAAAAAAACATTTTTCAAGATGGCCGCCGCTTTAAAAATGACGGGACTTTTTCGCAAAAATCATAAACTTTTCATTCTAAACCAAAGTAATTAATATTAATGTTTGAAATTTTGGTAGTGTATTCACAACATTTATCTATTTCACATATATTCTGTGTTTTTCATCCTGACCCCCAGGGGCCATGTATGGGGGGACAGGAAAACAGAAATTTTCGCTAATTTTTAGATCTTTCTAAAGTATAGCTTTATTATACTCAAATGAAAGGCAATTAAGAGTAGATTGCAAATATTGTATCTTTTTTCTGATTCGAGCCTCGTAAAATTCAAAATGGCCGTCTAATGTACGATTTCTCAATAATTTTTCGATCCCTTCAAAGTATGGCTATATTATACTCAAATTGAAGGAATTTTGGAGTAGATCACAATTATGATATTATTTTTGAGATTGGTACCTCAGAAAATTCAAAATGGCTGCTTTGCAGGAATTCGCAATTCTAAAATCTAATTTTTTCATTTTCAACCAAAGTAATGAGTATAATTGATTGGAATTCGGTAATTGATATTTTGTTCGTTGGGATTTGCTACTCCACAGAGTTGCCGTTATCTAGTTAGTAATGCTTCCCCACTACACTACACTGCACTACACTAATATATACAATTTATACAAAAAACTTATTATTTACATGATATGTTATAATATACTTTAAGTGTGATGCACCCAAAATGTTAATCTCCAGGCAAGTTTAAGTTTTGAATGATTTTGTAATAAAACTTCCAACTTGCTTTTGCACATATTTATCTTTTGAAGAAATTAACATAATTAATGTATTTTCAGGATCATGTTGATCAACATTAATTTCGCTAGTGATGTTGTCAAACAATATTTTTTCTATTTTCTCTATGTATTTGGCATTTAATCATGAAATTAACCTCATTTTCTATTTCTCCACAAAAGTTACATAATGTTTCATATTCAGGTTTTGGCAGTGTCTACCCAGTTCTATTTGTAACTTATGTGAACTTAATCTCAGTTGTGAAAATGATTGCCTGTAATTTTTGTTTTGAAGGCTTAAATATTGTTTTGAATTTAACTACTTGTGTATTGAAATCTTAATGTTGAAATTCAGCTGGATTAATGGCTATTTAGATAAAATTCAGCTTTGTGTCAACTACAAATAAGGTTTTTCAACTGAAAGATTTCAATACACAAATAGTTTTGGGGGTAAGTATTAATTAATTTGCTGGTTACCTAAATCAACCAATATGTGAGGAGGAGCAGATTTTGGGCCCTAATTTTTTTTGGCCTCATCAATTTCTTTTGGCACCCAAGGCTCAATACATTGCTATTAAATTTTAATTTTTTAAGTGTTGAACTACCTAAAGGTTGTCTATGGGTCAATATGGCATTAGCACTTACTGTTTGTTTAGTTCAGGGCATGTCATTGGCTGAAATCTGTGCTGTTATGTACATACCCATACACACCCCTCTCTTTCGACCTTGGAATGTAAACAAAGAGGAGGTATATTCTGATAAGACTGGTTGAGTGTGTGTAATTTATATCACTTATCGTGCGTTATGTACTGTTATCATTAAACATTTAAGCGTACACTTAACAGTCATATGCCTATTCTTAGTCTTGTATCATGCCTTCGTGATTCCCTTACAGATCTCACCTCTAGTATGTATTGTGTTGGGGTTCATTCCAGGGGCTTTGTGCAAGACTTCTGAAAATTATACCACATAAATGATGGAGGGGTAGACAAGAACTGAAATTGGTCACTCTTTTCAGTTATTTTCCATCCAGTCTTCTTCAACCAAGTATTAGAGTCCATTGATTCAGTTTGATTGATTTAACTTATTTATAATAATTATGCAATGAAATACTTTGCAGGTGACATTATTCCTTGTATTTATACCTGTACAGTGTACATGTTGTTCAAATATATGGGAAAGGACCCATGGTGATAACCAGGTAAAATGCTTTACTGTATAGGTGCTGTATAATAATCCTATAATGTTCTCCTCTTGTATTATAGATTGATGTTAGCAGCCATATCGCAAACACATGTGCAAATCCCCAATAGGAACAGTGATTCAGCAAAATTTAATTGTTGATCCTGCCTGTTATTTCCTCCTTAGAGTGGATAAGGGAGCAGAACGTTGAATCAAAGCATTTGGAACACTTGTCAGGTATGATTTTTTACTCTTGTATATATTAAAACATAATTTGAAGTTTCACTGAAGAGGTTCATTGTGTACATGTAGGTTATCTTATGTATAAAGCTAGTAATTGTCTTTACACTACCCGAAAAGACTTATATTTTTGACGTTTCGGCCACCTCCGGTTGCCATCATCAGAACTTTGATTTAAGGTACAGCTGGAAAATAACATTTTGGTAAAAAATTGCTATACCTGCACATGTTATTTTCTGGTACAAAATAGAGTATTGTTGGGTTTTTCTTCGTCATACCAGGTTTCAATTCTTGCATAAAGATGGCAGCATAGCTGTGCATCAAGACTTTACAAAATCATTGAAGCCAAAAGCCACAACTCTGTTCAATCTTTTCACTCATCATATAGGCAACACTTAGTCATTTCTCATAACCAGACTAGCTGGACTCCCCCCCCCCCCAGATTCGCCAGTGAGTACAGTAGCTCAGTAATGTACATCTTGTAAATAGATAATGCAGTTTGACTTTTATAATAAAGAAGCCTATGTTACTCTAACTCTGAAGTTTGTCATATCATATTGGCGTCATCGTTTCGTAGAGACCCAACAGTATGGATGGAATGATGGTCCTTCTTCCATATTGCTTTGAAATCTTGTTAAAGTCTTGTTTTTAATGAGACTTAGAGAGATCTGCATTTTTAACCATTAAAGACTAACACTTTCTTCTATTTGAAGCTATATTTGAATTCTGTGTGTAATTTTCTATCAAAACAACCACTTTAACCCAAATTCAACCACATGCAGATAAGTCATTTGCATCATGTTCCTGTTGAAGTGTTTGTTCCAAACCTTAGAAGTTGAAAATGAGCAAAAAAAACGTTTACTGTATATTATATTTATCTAAAAGGACTGTTAATATAGCAGCTGAATGTTCCAATATTAAATGCATTTCAAAAGCTATTCAATTATCACTGTTCCACAACTAGTTACATGTACTTTGACGGAACGTCAATGTAACAAAATGGATGAACTTCCCGGATACAAGTTTTTTGTTCTCTCGATTTAAACTTACATATCATGTCAAGTCATGTTGAGGATTGTCATTTGGCACAAAGTTAGACAATATAGTCTAGCTTTTAGAAATGCTCTCGGTTTAGAATGTGATTTTTAAATAAAGCTGTATAATTCATGCATTTAGATCATCGCTTTTGTTACATTGACGTAAGTCGTCAAAGTAACATACATATAACGGACTTTCATCAATGTAACAAAAGCAAGGTGCTAAATAAAATATATGAAGTGCAACTTCATTTACAAGACAAATTCCAAATCGAAGAAACTTATTAAAACTACTATACTATTTTATAAATTTGTTCCAAATTATAATCTGCAACTTGACTTATAAGTAGCTTTAAATCAAGAAAACAAAAAACTTGTAACCAGGAAGTTCACCCATTTTGATACATTGACGTTCCGTCAAAGTAACTAGTTGCGGATCAGTGATTATTAAATGGTCTTTTATAATCCAGATCTACTTACAAAACTTACAAGGTATAGTTCACATATTGCTACTAACTACAAGGAAGAAGATACCTTAACCCAAATCCAACTGACACCATGAAGACCAATGTGCTTACTGGGAAACTGACCTTTGTGTCTCAAAAGCCGTGTGATTTGTCTCGATGCACTAAAAGGTAAATATTTGTTCCTTTTTATTTGATCGAATGTTGTTGTTTTTTTAAATGTCACTTGTATATCTTACATAATTTACAATCAAAAAAAAAATCCCATGCCAAGTATTGCACAATAAAAAAACTATTGTGTCAAAATGCAAAAGAAATCAAATATAATGAATAAATTAATAAGATAAAAAAAGATAAAAAATCAGTCTTTCTTTATCCATCCTCCAATCACAGGGCTTCGAGTTAGGTATTCTAAACTTTCAAAATAAAGCAATATTGTTGGCCTATCAAGGTTGAAAATAAGTTTTTGTCACATTTCATTATTATGTATCATAGGATTCAATGAGAACTAAAATTTTTAATTGCTTTTTCTCTCAACCACCTTTCTGCGGTCATTAGTTAATTTTTGCTTATTTTTCAACCAATTTTCTTAATTTTTCAACACAAAATATACTATGTGTTGATGTAAATTATATCTATGTGCATGACAATTTGAATTTTATTTATTTGAAACAAATTCACAATCTTTCGAATAAAAACTTTTTGAAACTTCAAAATCAACCTTTTGAAATTAAATCAGGGGTGTCACTAGAATTTCTCACAACAGGTTAAATAAATGAAGACAAGAGGCAAAATTAATGGATATTATAAATTTAACATGGAATTGAGAAGTCCCTAAAAACAACAGGCGATTTTGTGAAAACAACCGGTGAAAATAGCCTGTTGCCTGCTGCTAATGAAACCCCTGTAAATTGAAAAGTTTCACATACCACATTTTTATAACAACGATATAAGCCAAAATAGTTAACTTTATATCGTAAATGGGGCCTTTAAATATTATCAGATGAACTCACTGGGTGTGTATCCATTATATCCCAACTGACAGTTGCTAATAGAATCCACTCTTGATTCTATGGTCTTATTAAAAATTGAGTAGGTTTTCTTGTTTTGAATAGAAACGTTATTGGTTTGAAATTAAACAATGCAATTTTTGATTTGATCTCAATTGTAAGGCTTATGTGATGCTATCAGCAGAGTAATAAATATGTAGATATCTAACATCATCTTTGGTACTTGGTAGAAGCATCAATATTATTTAGCTGTTCAAATATTAAATGTTAAATATTACATGTAGTTCGATCATATATGTGATATATAAAAATTCAGATACATAAAAAGGATTGAAAGATATATTTAATTCCTATGGTGATGTCATCACCAGATAACCAAATGCATAACTAAACAATTCTTGACAAGGCATTATAGATGTTACTTAATTGCCACATAAAGTTTCATTTGGATCCAAACTTCATTGGTATTGTATTTGCATAGGTACAATAATCTTTTGTCACAAAGCTTTTTATAGCACCCTTTCAGGGATTCATCTGAAATTTTCATGGATGTTTCTACAAATGAAAGTTTGATTAGTTTTTGGGCATTCTGGGTTAGTATAAAGGTGACCATTTTGACATTTTCATCCTAAAATCTTGTCTGCTGAGGCTTGTCTATAGGGTTAAACTATTTGAGGGGTTCATTTGAAATTTTCAGAGATTTTTATGAATGAAAGTTAAGGAACTGATTATTTTTAGGGATTTGTCTTTACATTAATATTATATTTTTCAATTGACATTTAATTTGCTGTTTTATGTTACAGTCAACATTTGTGAGCTCATGATACAAGGATGTACTTATATTTATAAAGGTCCAATGTCATAATTTTGTATAATTTATTTTTATTTTTTATTTATCATACATGTAATCTTTCCTAATTTCTATGTTTGAAAAGTGTGATACATGTACTTAAGAGGTGTTCCTGACAATTTTAAGATGTTATGTTCACATATATACAGGCCATAATATAGAGATATTTCCAATAGCCTCCTCCCATTCTGATCCAAGGTGGATCTGATGTAAACTTATTTCTTTCAGTGAGATAAGAGCCTACTTTGAAAACAGCTATGACCTGAATGAGAGCCTTTTCACATCACTTAAAGGTAAATTATTCTGATTATAAATTATAAATTATAATATTTATCATTATTAATTGTTATGGATTGTAACAGGAGGAAGGGAACAATCATCAATGTTAAGAACAATCAATCTAAAAGTATCGTTAGTGGTGTCATGGAGAGAAATAAGCATTAATCATTACATGTATTATAAATTATTCTGATTATACTTCTGCGTCATGTCATTTTTTTAATGTATAAAAAAGTTAACATCTTCATAAGGTTTTTTATTTTTATGCTTGTGCTAAATGTCAAGTCATCGAGGCTTCTATACATATGCAATGAAGTAAATATATCTAAAAATCAACAATTAGGAACCATGACAATTTTGATGGAATCTTCTTGAAATCTCTGTGTAATAAGAGAGTTTAATGAGAGAGTTTATTGGAGCAAACATTACTGTACTTCTACATGTTCCTCTAGGATTTTGAGAAACCTTGTTTTTTGTCTAGGTACTGTACCATGTTTGAAGGAATTTTTTATATGGCATCATGTAAAGTCAAAAGTGTAGAGTTTACCAAAAGAAGGCAATATTACCAATAACAGTAATTCTGCAATTTTCATTATGAAATATGCCAAACAATGACTGATTTGATCATGTTTTGGTGGGATTTGCATCTGCAGGAAGTTGCCATTTTCTAGTTAACATTTCCTAGAATGACTTTGTTAATGATTATAAATTGACCTATCTGATAAAAAGTGACAAATACAGAATAGGGAAATTAGTTTTTTATGATTTGACATGAGAGTATGCCTAGATGGAAAACACGATCTCTCGAATGTTAAAATTGTAAATACTATTGTCTGCTCCTTTGGAGACTATCTACACAAGAAAATTCAAGAAGATTGAATAATTTGAGAAACTTAGATTTATCATTTTGTCCAAAGATGAAACTCATTCATTTGAAGCAACCCTAATTTTATCGTCAGGACAGTTTTATTCATTTAAGATATCAGGAAAAACTTAATTGTAAAAATCAATTAATTGTAGGATATGTTTATTTTATGTCAAGTTGGTAACATATGTTGATTCTGTCTTTATCTTGAATTGAGATTTGAATATACTGGTAGGAATATTCTTCTCTCTTAAGAGCATTGTTCATGTTATTTTAGATGATTCAGTGTTTTACCTCTGCCCAGATAGACTCCGCCTTCCCCTGGTCTTCTACTTTGCCCATACAGCAGTGGTTTATGTGAATAAACTAAAATTAGCTGGACTGATTAAAGTAAGTTGCTACCATATCAGGATTAATTTTTAACAACCCTTGGGTTCTATATTGTGATCAGTGTGCGGGGTTAATTGCTGGATGGGTGGATGTATTGGTTTCATAATTTTAGGGATGTTTCATTATGTACATCTAGAACTGATTAGTTTTTAGGTAATCAGACATTTTCGATTTTCTGTCCTAGAATCTTGTTTGTTAAGTCTTATCTTGACGTTTCAAGCAAAACTGTTTGATGGATTGATTTGAAATTTTCAGGGATGATTCTTTGTAAAATGTTCTCAAACTGACTAGTCATGGGTCATGCTGGGTACGATATTTTGTCTAAAATCCTGTCTGTAAAGTCTTGTCGATGCATTTGCATGAGAACCATTTGACCATATGAAATCAACTTTTATATCATAGTATACCAGATTATAAGTTTGTCAATTGAGAAGTTTTACCTTGGCTGAGTTTAAGTTACATTGGTTGATATTTACTGGGGTCTAGTTTACTAAGGATTGAGTTTTACTGTGTTGAGATGACTTGGGGTTTACATGAACTGTCGTCTCAGGATACGTGGGTTTAGTCACATGTGAATAGAATATTGTTACTTGCAGGGCAATAAATTTCCTTTGAAACTTAATGGCAAGGTGACTTATTTAGTTTACTTTATTTGAATATTTTACAATCAACACATTGTGTCCACGGTGTTTTTTAAGTGAGTGGGAACATAAAAGGTATAGATTTTGTATATTAACATCATTTGAAAGTGGCGACATATCTTGAGAATTTGAATGAAATATTGAACTAAAGTGAATACTGTACTCCTGGGAACTTTTGCGTTTCTTTATTTCACTTTCTTTAGATCTCTTTTAAGAAGGGAAGTCAAACAAATGTAAAGGGTACAAAAGTAAAATGATTCATCTTAGTTAATATTTTGTGTGGGATATATAACAAAAATGTTTATGCCTACATACACACTGTGGAGGAACTCATAAAGCGAGTTACGTAAACGGGTCTGTTTTTGTACCAAAATGGTGCAATCGATTTTGATACTTTTTGTTTTTCCATGATTTCACGAGATATAAGCAGAACCGGGGTCAACCCAGTTGTCCGAAACCCACTTGTCCGAAACCCAATTCTCCGAAACCCAGTCTTCCGAAACCCAGTTCTCCGAAAATTAGGGGGATCTTATTTAAAGAATACAATTTCTTTGAACGAATCTTGTCGCAACCTCTGCGAATCACGACAACATAACATTGGAATCACATTGACATCATTGCAAAATTAGGCTAAATATGCTAAGTCAAGACGTAAATTGTTTAATGTTTAGCCTACAAAAGTTCATAGGGGTAACTCACACCGGAATAGGTTGACAAAGGTAAAGTCAGATACCGTTGTCATAAATGGCGGACATAACCGTCGCTTCAATGAGATTTCCATGAACTATATGTTTAATAGAGCACCTAGCACCTATTCCTTTGGAACAACAATCAATCAAAGTGTCTTGATACTCATTGTACAGTTAATAATGTTCTACCAACGAAATAACAGTATCTCCCAAAAGATTCACAATGCGTTATAAATTGGTGAAGTTATTAATGATTCATAGTGCAAAAATGGGTAAAAAATGTTTTAATTCTCCCAAATAATAAAGTAACCATTCTTATAGAAAAATAATACATCTTTAGTTTTCCTGGAATAAAGTATGCACTTTTGTGATTTTTAGAAAAGAGACATGACAAGTAATGACATGAGCCAAAAATATTCTAAAATTGAAACAATTTTTTGTTTAGCCTGCTCACTATATCTGATTCTCTCTCTTTAAATCTTCAGTACATATTTGATAGGATACCTCAGTTTGTATTTTAGATGAATAAGTATTGTAAGAAAAAAGTTTGCATGCTTTTTTAAGAGGTTGCTTCAAGCATTGAATACTCTCCATTCATTGCTGCAATTTTGAATGTTAAACATTGAGCAAATGTTTTGGCAGATATAATATATATCTACATTTCAGGAGCGGGTCAACTTTGACTTTGAGACTTTGTTTGAGACTGGAGTTGATGAGATGGCATGGGATGATACGGTAAATTGTTTTGACAAGTTTTAAACCAGTGATTCATGTTGCATATAATTTGTACCAAGAAAATAAATGTTTCCTTTTATGCTAAAGAATAGTAAACGAAAACCATATTATGCTCTTTAGTGTACATTTCCAAAGCTCACTCAATGTGCAATTTCCTTCATTATTTTGATTGTTCCAATAAACAAAATTATATAATAATTATTGTATAAAGACTAAAATTTATCTTTAGGAGAACTATCGTATGGGAGGGAGCTATAAATGGCCTTCTATAGCTGAGGTGGTAGATTATCGTCGCAGGGTCCGTCACATCATTCTCGATGTTATTAACCATACCCCGCTTACACTGCCTGTTACCATGGAGAGCCCCTGGGTAAGTCAGTATTGACACCCTTTTTATATTTTTTTCACATATTAAATTTGTTGGTGTATATGCTTTAAAATGCAAAATTGAGAAAAGGCAAAAAGTCAAGGTAACTTTCAATGCCTTTGTCAGTTCCCAAGGGTGCCTCGAATACATGCATAGCATTGGTTCAGGACACAGAGACATTTCTATCACTCAATGTTATACCAGTTCTTAACTGTATCACTTTAAATGTGTCATAGTGTCAAAAATCCATCTCAAATAATTATATAATATCATATGAGGCAAATGTCTCTCTACTGTACAGAACACAAAGTGTTCAGTTTTAAAGTGCTGTATGATATCAACCATGAGGAATATATGAGTGTCCCATATTTGTAAAAAGCTAACCATGTCATTGCTGATTTGGGTGAACAACTGAATATCTACATACTCTTACATATATTTTTATGTGTTTCTCTTTTTATCGCACTTTGAAAAAGTGCTATATTGTCGTTGTCTTGTGCTGTTGGGCGGGCGGGCGTGCGGTCGGGCGGGCGGGCGGGACTTAAACCAAATCTTGTCATCAAATTTCCAGGATAACTGCTTACCTGTTCAACTTGAAATTTTTACAGATGCAAGAGCAGACTAGTACCAAGATCTGATTAGGTTAAGGGCCTGCTGGGTAAACTACGTGGCGGCCATTTTGAATTTTTCAACAAATCTTGTCATCCAAATTCCAGGAAAACCACTTATCCGTTCAACTTGAAATTTTTACAGATGCAAGAGCAGACTATTGCCAAGATCTGATTAGATTTTGGGTATGCTGGCTGAATTACATGGTGGCCATTTTGAATTTTTCAATTTGGTGGCCATTTTGAATTTTTCAACTTGCTCCAAATTGACCAAATTTTTTTTTTAAAAACATCTACAAGTTCTCAGAAGTTCAAATCTGACCTTAGATTTCAGATTTGACCTTTCATTCACCTTCAGTGACCTTGAAAAGGTCAAAAAAGTTGATTTTCTAAATTGATATTTTGGATTTAAATTTAGGTCAGCTTAATTACAAAACACCTACTGAGGTCTGAAAAAGTTAAATTTTCAAGGTCGAAGGTCAAGGTCATTAAACTAGGTCACAAATGATGTTATCCAAGTTTCTCAAAGTTTGAGACTACAAATCAATTCTTGTCATCAAAATTCCAAGAAAACCGCTAACCTGTTCAACTTGAAATTTTTACAAATGCAATAGCAGACTAGCCAAGATCTGATTAGGTTTAGGGCATGCTGGGTAAACTACGTGGTGGCCATTTTGAATTTTTCAACAAATCTTGTCATCAAAATTCCAGGAAAACCACTTATCCGTTCAACTTGAAATTTTTACAGATGCAAGAGCAGACTATTGCCAAGATCTGATTAGGTTTTGGGTATGCTGGCTGAATTACATGGTGGCCATTTTGAATTTTTCAATTTGGCGGCCATTTTGAATTTTTCAACTTGCTCCAAATTGACCAAATTTTTTTTTTAAAAACATCTACAAGTTCTCAGAAGTTCAAATCTGACCTTAGATTTCAGATTTGACCTTTCGTTGACCTTCAGTGACCTTGAAAAGGTCAAAAATTTGATTTTCTAAATTGATATTTTGGATTTAAATTTAGGTCAGCTTAATTACATTACACCTACTGAGGTCTGAAAAAGTGAAATTTTCAAGGTCGAAGGTCATCAAATTAGGTCACAAACAATGTTATCTAAATTTTCCCAAAGTTCAAGACTACAAATAAATTCTTGTCATCAAAATTACAGGAAAACCGCTAACCTTGTCAACTTGAAATGTTTACAGATGCAAGAGCAGACTATAGTGCCAAGGTCTGATTAGGTTTTGGCCATACTGGGTAAATTGCATGGTGGCCAGTTTGCTCTTCAAAGTGCGATATTTATCACTGTGTGTCTTGTTTATCGTACCTAACAAGAGGTACGATATTGTAGTCAGCTTAACGGGCGGGCGGGCGGCGTCTCACTTTTCAGCCTGTCTACAGGTTTCCAGCCAAATCATTTCAGGGATTCATCTGAAATTTTCAGGGATGTTTCTACATATCAACGTCAAGAACTGATTAGTTTTTGGGCATTCTGGGTAAATCTTAAGGTGGCCATTTTGGATTTTCCGTCCTAAAATCTTCACTTTCAAGACTTGTCTACAGGTTTCCAGCCAAACCATTTGAGGGATTTACTGAAATTTTCAGGGATGTTTCTACATATCAACGTCAAGAACTGATTAGTTTTTGGGCATTCTTGGTAAATTTTAAGGTGGCCATTTTGGATTTTCCGTCCTAAAATCTTCACTTTCAAGACTTGTCTACATGTTTTCAGCCAAACCATTTGAGGGATTCATCTGAAATTTTCAGGGATGTTTCTACATATTAACGTCAAGAACTGATTAGTTTTTGGGCATTCTGGGTAAATTTTAAGGTGGCCATTTTAGATTTTCCGTCCTAAAATCTTTACTTTCAAGACTTGTCTACAGGTTTCCAGCCAAACCTTTTGAGGGATTCATCTGAAATTTTCAGGGATGTTTCTACATATCAACGTCAAGAACTGATTAGTTTTGGGGCATTCTGGTTAAATTTTAAGGTGGCCATTTTGGATTTTCTGTCCTAAAATCTTCACTTTCAAGACTTGTCTACAGATTTTCAGCCAAACCATTTGAGGGATTCATCTGAAATTTTCAGGGATGTTTCTACATATCAACGTCAAGAACTGATTGGTTTCGGCATTCTGGGTAAATTTTAAGGTGGCCATTTTGGATTTTCCCTCCTAAAATCTTGTCTATCGAGGCTTGTCTACAGGTTTCCAGCCAAACCGTTCAAATTTTTTACATATGTTACACAGTGATAAGTTCTAGAGCTGATTAACTTTTCTGCGGCCATCTTGCTTTCTTGGTCAACAAGACCACAATGCTGTGTTTTAGGTACGATATTGTTCACGTCTGTGCCTTGTCTTTTACTTTTAGTGGGCTCTTTTTATGGGAATGGAACATGAGCGTATTCACATTGAAACATCATCTGTTTTGATTCGCCAAATGCCCGTTGACAAGGTAACCAAGCCAGAGGAATGGCAATATGGACCAATCACCTATGGTTAGTATTTTGTCCTGTTGTAACATGTTACTACATTGAAAAGAAATAAATGAATGATCAAAATGTTGAGGGTATATCAAGATGAGAAAATTATACACAAATTACATGAATTTACATCATAGAATTTTCCAACCTGTGAACATGTCATTATTTTAAAAATGCTTCATTTGTACATGTACAAATAATTATGTAAATTATTGAAAAATCACTGTTAGTATATATTAAATCTTTGGTTTGTTAACTCTGGTGGCTGGCTACTTTCTGGTGGAATTTCGTTGATATGATGTCCCTTGTTTGATGATTATACTGCATAGATGAATTTCTAAAAAAGTTATTGTGTAATGTACTAAAAATGTAACAAATATATATAATAAGAAAATGAAATAGCCAATAGACCATTACTTGAAGCTACTTGTTTTTCAATTTGTATAATTTTCATATGTTTAGAAACGTTTATTTTTTTGCTTAACAGGTGAAGGTATGCATAAAAATCCCTTGGTCCACATTGACACACAGAACATTACAATTGGGAAACCACGTGATTTTGGTTCATTTGGTTGGGACAATGAATATGGCACACTGACCACAAAGTAGGTTGATTCTTAGTTTAATTTTTCATATCTCATTAGTCACAAAATGTGCAGTTTTATTTTGCCTTCACCAAAAGTGTTGACATATTGTTGTAGTTTCCAACTTTTTTGTGGACGGTGTTTGGCGATTGGCAAGGTGTTCGTGGTTTTGTGTATTATATTGAGTGTGTGGTGTCGTTCACCATAATGAGTTGAGTATTGTGTTTTATGAGTGTGTTTTGTTGTTTATGTGTGTGTTGACTAGTTTAGTAGTGTTGTTTATTATATTGAATTTGTAGTATTGTGTAGATTAATGAGTCCAAATGTGTAGCATATCAAATGTATAGTATGTAGTGTTGTGTAGTGTAAAATATATAGTATAATGGAGTATTATAGTGTGTAGTGTCAAATATAATTGAGTATGATAGTGTGTAGTGTTGGGCAGCATAATGAGTGTGTACTGTCTTGTATTATAATGAGTAATTACTGTTGTGTTGTGTCATATATTAAGATATAGCATTATGGAGTATAATCATGTGAAGCATAATGAATGAATGTGTAATGTTGTGGATTATATTATAATAATGAGTGTGAAGTGCTGTAAAGTGTCAAATATTTTGCATAGTGGAATAATTGTGTGTAGTTGTATAGAATAATGAGTGTGTAGTGTTGTGTCATATATAGTTGTAAATCATTATCATAAACATTTTTTAAATTATTTAAAGGGGCAACAAGGCCTGTAGGGAGAAAATAGGAAAATCAAAAAAATTCTGAGCTATCAAGGCAACATTTGGCTTAACATCTTCTTTGACATACCTATTTTCTTAAAATGTATGGATAAACTATCAATTTCAGCCTTAAGAAGTGTAAATTCAGTTCAAAGCTTGAAAAAGGGGAAATCCACTTTTATATTTTTAAGATCCACCATGTTTCAAGAGGAATATCAGCTGAAATAATGTTTATCTAGGGGGTTTCTTTGTAGATAATAAAAATAGTTGTTAGTCTTGATGAAATATCCAAACTTAAATATATTTTGGCACTGGTCCATGATCGTTGAATGGCCCCTCTGCACTAATTGTTGCACCTTTAACTGAAATTATTTGTACATTACATTCACTCTAAAAGGGCATATCAGTTTATCAAAGTACTTTATTAATAATCCAATTCAATAATAATAATATAATTAGAAAGTTAATAAATCTATTTTCAGAGTGTCTGCATTCAAAGTCTGTAAGTATATGATCACTAACCGTGAGTTTCTAGCATTCGTGCATGCAGGTGGTTACAAGCAAGAGGAGTATTGGAGTGCTGAGGCTTGGAAGTGGTTACAATATCGCAAGGCCAAGCACCCTACTTTCTGGGTCTGTGACCAGGGTTGCATGTGAGCATTTTTTGGTTATGTTATTTACTACAGGGTATCACGAAAACAGAACACATGAAAACTTTTCTGACCATTCGGTTAATAATACATTTCTCCGTACAATCATAAAATTGACACCATAAATGTAAAGGTCAGTATCTGACGTTGACATGTAGATGGATGAACCATTTCTTACATCTCATAATTCAAAAATATCAATGGGTACTTGTGATTCTATCAGACACTGTCTCTTTAAATAGAGTAATATCAACTCATATATTCATCATAATAATCCAAAATTCTAAATGTTAACACCTAGACCTATGTTTATGCTAAAATCATAAATGCTAACATATGAGTATAATTGTATCTAGCTCTGGATGTGGCGGTATCATAGCTGGATATGTTCATTGTAAGCCAGCTCAGGCAGAGCAGCACAATGGTGTGAGTGGCTACTGCAATGGTCACATGGCGGTGGATGGCAATGGTCACCAAGGCAGTGATGAGGGAGGTGGTCATAATCACCATGGAAACCATCATCATCAGGGTCAACAGCAAAATGGAGATAATCATAATGTGAGCAATGGAGCCCATACAGAAACCAATGGATCCACTGCTGAGTACAAGTAAGATGATACAATCTGATACACCTTTAAAAACAATGACATTTCACCTTAAATGAAACATGAATATTTATGTTCTGTCAAAATAAGCAATTAAAAGAGGCCTAAATAGGCTCAGTATTTAGGCAATCTACTTTAGATAGATACGTTTTATATAAAAAAGATTTTTCAGTTAAATAGAGTTCTCACTTGTGTCACAGTTAAAAAGTTTCCACCAAATGCAAACTGTACTTGAATCTATTTAAAAAATATATATATAAGTATGGGACTACATAATAATTGTTTGGTGAATTATTTTCTTTCTGTAGATACCGAACAATGTTTGATGAAATTGATCTGCCTCTTGATTGGCCAGTAGATGTGAACTACCATGAGGCAAAGGCTTATTGTGCGTGGAAGGGTGAGGGATTCAGGCTGCCTGGGGAGGCAGAGCATCAGGCCATGAAGGGAACACTGGTAAATATTCCTCACATAAACGACCTAGTCGAAGTAACTTTGGATGATCTTAACAATGATGCATATTGTATAACACTCACTTATCTCTCTATGCCAAACCCTTTTTGTTAAGGCCTCATCCAGTTCTGTAATATATCACAGGTCTAAGAATTACGTTTTTACATTACATGGTGCGTTCTAATTTTGCATAATTTTGAATTTCTAGAAATGCTGCATAATTCATTCACCAGCGCATAATTTTTGCATAATTTAAACTTTTCTCAAAGAATATCTCACCTGATGTTTCACTACTTCATCATCTTCATAATTATTAGGTAAATAATGCCTAAACTTAACAAAAAGTCTCAAATAGTTTAAAATTGCCTAAAGGCCAAAGGGGAAGTGGAGGTACATATGCTGAGATGGTGTCGGTGGTTTTACCAAATTTTAGAAGGCTTTTATTTTACTTGAATGTGGGTTTTTTGAATTTTTGCACTAATACGGTTGCATAATTTGCCCTTTCCCTCACATAATTTCATGTTTTTTGCTGCATAATTTGAATTTTTTGTCTGCATAATTCTGGGATCTGTGGTATGTATAGCGGACGGCCCATATATCACATACAATAGGAGTTGTATCGTAAGTACAATGTATCTAATTGCAGAAATCAGTCACAGAGGGCACTGAGAGTGACATCATATACCAGGACAAGATTGAAGCCAATCTTAACTTACAGTACGGATCTTCTACAGTGAGTCGTCACTTTACAATATAGAGTATACATCAGATGAGAATTGAATGTTTTTAATATAAGGAATACAAAATCTCGTTTATACATGTGGTAAATATCTGCGAAGCATATTTTAAGTTTATCATGATCTGTCTGAAAAACCATGAGTACATGAAGTATCGCTATGTGAAAATTTTGTTCAAACTACTCATGTATTTTGAAAGATGATTACATATTCTAATTTCTATACATTCTGTGTGATATTCTTTTACAGCCCGTAAACATGTACCCTTCCAATGAGCTCGGACTGTGTGATGTGTCTGGCAATGTGTGGGAGTGGATGGAAGACCACTTCAATGGTCTGCCAGGCTACCAATCCTCATTTCTTTATGATGATTTCTCATCTCCATGCTTTGATGGTCGCCATAATATGATTTTGGTAAGCCAGCTTATTTGGTAGTACATATTTTGTAAACACCCATCAAGATCATGGACTCTCTTGGGACAGTATTCCAAAGGAAGGAAATCTGTGTTCAGTGAAATTAAATCCAATGTGTATTTTGAAAATACTTACTCAGTGAAATTATCATTCATGGAATTCATTGTAAAACGATGAGCTGGTTATGAGTTACCATGTTGGCTCATCCTCTTAATTTGGTTATATTAGTTAATGACATTTAGTTATACACATAACATTGGGCAGACCACATGCCCATAATACACATACAGCACATCGAATGGAACCTATGCCCCATAATTTGAGAATTTCTATTGCGGTTTGTTATTGCAGGGGGGATCATGGATATCAACAGGGGACGAGGCATCAAGATTTGCCAGATTTGCTTTCCGTCGCCATTTCTTTCAACATGCTGGCTTTAGAATGGTGAAGACTGAGCCATTGAATGCTGAGAGGGTAGAGGTGCCTATAAGGCTAGTGGACACAGAGGTCTACATACTCGGGGCTGATGTCCCAGGTAACATGAGTAACCTTCCAAGCTAAACATCTTTTGAGAAAAGGCAAAAATATTTTTTAGAACATCAAGAAATCAAGAAATAAAGCATTTGTCCAGAGTGTTTCAGAATATGTGGAGAATATTTCCAACATTAATAAGATTAGTAATTTAACAGTTTCTATAACTAATTTAAGTATGTCAAGTATGTTGAGCTAAAGGTCATATTTCCAGCCAAAAAACATAATGCCTGAATTTCACACATTTGGCGATGAGATCTCTCACCTCAAAGGCTTTTTTGCTCCTCATCTCATCATCATCATCAAAAGTAACATAACAAATATGGATTAGAGTGTTTAGTTGTTACACATATATAGATATTTTGACAATTGAGATAAGTATTTGATTTTTCTATATGGCAAAGTGTAAAAACCTGTGAGAGGTAATTATTTAAACATCATTTTCACAGCTCTTTCAATTAGTCAAAAAACCCTAAATCTCTTGTAATATCAGTGTTCAAAACAGAATGCAGTTCATTGTGGAGGTACATGTATTTGGACAATTAGAGACAATGCAAACTTGGATTTGCTGTCAGTAATTTTGATTTCCTCCTTCCAGACAATCCGGTTCTTCTCGATGAAGAGAGTTTTAAAGTTGACAAGGTTCCTTCAACTTGTTCTCAACTACACTGGGAAGATTATGATATTTTGGCTAAGAGGTTCAAGGAAGAGTATGAAACTAATGCTACATATTATACTGAGCTAGCAGGCTTATGCAGGGATGTTTCAGCATTACATTCCAACAATAAAAGATTGCTCACCATTGGATGCGGAGTTGGGAAAATTGCTTTTGAGATGGCTGGTGACTATCAACAGGTATATTCCAAATCCAGAGTAATCTACTTAGAAGCAATAAAAAAAGTTAGGGCAAATGTTGTCCAAAAGAAAAAGATTTATTGCACAATAATTTACAGTAGCATTGATTTCTTGTTAAATTAGTATGATATTCATTGCCAAATAAGTGAGAAATTAGTGCTATTGTATGATCAAATATGTAGGGTTAAACTTTGATATGTAAAGGATAGCCTATCATTTTATCCATGAATTGATACCACGTAAAAAAGTATGCAAAATATGTTAAATACATATTGTATTTGCAGAAGTTTCCAAATCATAGGAATACTACATACATTTAGATATTGCATTTTCCTGGCATTTAAAAAATAAATATTATTGTATTTTATCATTCTGACTTGACCTCAGTCAGTTATGGGATACTCCTTTATTTATCCAAAACAAAAAGTTTCTCAACATAAAAGAAATGTTTTGAATTTAGATGTTGGCCATAGATTTTGTGGCAAGATTTGTCGAGACAGCTTTGAACCTGCAGAAAACAGGACAACTGGCAATAGAGGGCGCTACAGCACAACTGAAGCAGTTGGATTACACCAATATTATATTCAAGCAGGTAAAAATCATTTTGTCTGAAAAATAGTGACATACAGGCCTGTAGTTAGGGGCGGGGGAGGTCGTAAAGTGAACCCCCTCGGCAAAAGCTGGTACGAGCCTAATATATAGAACTATGTGAATGATGAATGAGTATGACATGTAATGAATAAGTTGTAAGTGTAACATAGTATGAGCAAAGCTCACGTGCATCAGTGTGTCTGACATGCAAAGAAAAATTATGACAAATATTGTACTTATTAATTGTATAAAAAGTTGGGGGTTATAAAGACAAGGATGTTCTTTGTTGCAGTTGACATGGCTACCAAATGAAGTGGACTTTTTCGACTTTGTTTTGATGAATGATGTTGATCGTCTCATGAATCCACATGGTGAGGAATATATTATATCATATATTTGTTTCTAATCATATCTTTGTACCAATATACAGGGTGGGCCATGAAAATGGGATGCTAAATATCATATAATATGAGGTTATATAATGGTTGATTCTGTATATCGTGTTTATACTCAAGTGTGTATATGATATATTCACGAGTGACTGAAGGGAACGAGTGAATATATCATATACTCACGAGAGGATAACGATATACAGAATCAAACATGATCTTATTATCCCATCCTTATCTTTGATCAATAAAAGGTTAATCTAAATTCAGCAGTTGTATGTCAAGTCGAAGAGTTGTATATGCTGCCCAGGAGTTGTATACGCTATCCAGGAGTTGTACAGTATATTGTTCTCAAGAGTTGTATACGATGAGTGTTGGTTTTATATTGCAGTTATACAATGCTATTATACAATCATATAAAGCACTTAGGGTGGGATCAATATAAATATATATCTAAATATGGAAATCCCAACATTTTCATCAATTTTAAGGAATCCCAAAGATATCTTGCAAAAAGGATGATATGAAAACATCCATCATTTTACTTGAAATGTAAAATTTGTTCCCAGATGCATAAATTTTTTACTTTTAAATTAGTTTAAAGGACGATTCTCGGTTTGGAGAACGAAGTTCATCAATCTAAATGAGCATTATCCCTGCTTCGGACAAATTTGATTTTTTTTACATAATAAAGATTTGAATGTCTTCTTTTGAATAGTCATAATTTAATTTGGGTAATATTCGCAAAAAAATATTAGTGCAGTACACTGATGAACTTCTTTCCCCGAATCGAGACTTGTATTTATATTGAATCGGTCTATTTGAGCATTATCCCTGCTTCAGACCAATTTGTTATCTTTACATCTTGTAGATTTAGATGTCCTCTTTTGAATATTCATAGTTTAATTTGGGTAATATTTCTATATTTTTCATGAAAAAAATTATTAGCCCAGGAGACTGTTCTCCAAACCGAGAATTAAATCATCCTTTTAAACTTTCATATCTGCTTGTAAATATGATGTGCATATGTGTCTCATTTTTGGCCTACCCTGTATATCCATTTACATGCTCAATAATAATCACTAATTTTTACTACTGGAAAGGAAAGGAATAACTAATGAAACAGAGATTATTAACTTGCCTAAGAGATTCTCTAATAAATCTTTGAACATTATGTTTCAGCATGGTTTATAAGATTTGGAGAAATTCTCCAAAAGGATGGCATTCTTGTTGCAGTGTCCAGCAAGTTCACGGTTGACAAAATAGAAGAGATGCTAAGACACTGGTAAGTTACATTTTTATTCTTAGTCAATGGCCCTGTCGATATTTTATGACTAATATATAGTGCTAATTAAAATATAGAGATTATTACGATTTTTTCTTTATTATTTTCTTTAAATTGGTACTCTTTGAGACTTGACTTAATACTTATGCCATTTGCTGTCAGTTATTGGCATGCACCATTTTTGTATATAATTTTTTCTAAAAGAGTAAATGAAATAGATAAAAATTCACTTGACAGCAGACTACATGGTAAGAGCTTCTTAACTAAATCAGTCATTGAAACTTCATTTAGCAACCTAATCATGAAATCATCTGATTGATATTTTTATTTAGATTATTTAGAATTAAAACAAGATTTGATGTAATGTACACATTATATTTCCAGTTTTACACTACTTGAGACCAAAAGTCTGCGTAACAGGGCCGACTCCAAGGGCTACTCTTTAGTTAGTATCTGGAAACATGTCTAAATGAAACATCACCAAGCATAAACTATATAGACACAATATTAGAGGATCTAATGGACATAGATCATTCTTTTATGAGTGTGTCATTTTTGATCTACTATGGAATTTAATATCATTGATGGAAGAAATGTTCATGGCCCTATGTTCCGGTGTATGAAATGTCCACATAATTTTTCATTGATTAATTGCTTATGGTCGTGTAACTTTGTTTTTGAAATATTGTGGTAGAATCAAAGTATATTGTAGTTTTGACAACATTAGGGGAGGCATCAAAAGTTCAATGTCGGATTGGAAACTAAATAAATCTAGTTTTGACTCTGACCCCCCCCCCTCCCCCAAAAACTAAATACCATGAAAGTTGATCGCTGACTTCCGGTTTGAGAATTTGAAAAATTATTGCTAAACACGATCAATTTTTTGTTAATTCCTATCGTAATTTGCGGATTTTAACAACTATTGATAGAATAGAATCCTTTGGAATGATCTTGACGAAGAAAGCATCAGGTAAAATCTTTATTTTTAAACCATTTCAAGGCATTCTGAGTCAAAATTGCCAAAAATTTGAAATGTTGAAATTTGTCGGATAGCAAACTGAAATGGGTTTGAACCCCCTCCCCCCCTTACTAGATTTATTTAGTTTTCTATCCGACATCGAACTTTTGATGCCTCCCCTTATAGGTGTATAAAAGTCAATTGTCCAAATTAATCACAATGTATCAATTTGGGACAAGACAAAGACTGGTCTGAATAAAAAGTTGTGCAGTTTTTTATTTAATTTTTATGTGTGTAAATCAAATTTTGGGAAATTTCTTTTTCTCAGCATTACTTCAATCTTTGAAAGAATAAGAAATAAAGCATTTGTCCAGAGTGTTTCAGAATATGTGGAGAATATTTCAAACATTGATAAGTAATTTAACAGTTTCTATAAACTATCGACATGCATGTAGTGTAGGGAAATAACAGCTAGGATTCAGCATGAATTATGTAACAATTTATTTTGAACTATTTTCTTACTTTCTTACATCTCTATATATACGAGTATGTTTATAAGCAGTATTTTATAAGCAAGGATAGCAGAGATTTTTCTCTACTAATGCTAATTAATTATACACTTTAAAGGGGCAACAGCATATAGAAAGACAGAATAGCACCACCAATTTTAGAGTGTTCATTATATATTTGTGTGCTATAAGCAGTTTTGTTCCATATGTTGTGAAATATGCCAGTGTTGTGAAAAATGCCTGAGAACTGCCATTGGAGCCCAACACTGATCTTAGAAGGCTCTAAAGACATATTTCACATCATAGATACAAACATGTACGTGATGTACTTTATACATTTATTCCCATGGCAAGACCATGTGTGGTAGGGGGTAATGACAAGTACTTTATACATTTATTCCAATGGCAAGACCATGTGTGGTAGGGGGTAATGACAAGTACTTTATACATTTATTCCAATGGCAAGACCATGTGTGGTAGGGGGTAATGACAAGTACTTTATACATTTATTCCAATGGCAAGACCACGTGTGGTAGGGGGTAATGACAAGTACTTTATACATTTATTCCAATGGCAAGACCATGTGTGGTAGGGGGTAATGACAAGTACTTTATACATTTATTCCCATGGCAAGACCATGTGTGGTAGGGGGTAATGACAAGTACTTTATACATTTATTCCAATGGCAAGACCATGTGTGGTAGGGGGTAATGACAAGTACTTTATACATTTATTCCAATGGCAAGACCAAGTGTAGTAGGGGGTAATGACAAGTACTTTATACATTTATTCCAATGGCAAGACCAAGTGTAGTAGGGGGTAATGACAAGTACTTTATACATTTATTCCAATGGCAAGACCAAGTGTAGTAGGGGGTAATGACAAGTACTTTATACATTTATTCCAATGGCAAGACCAAGTGTAGTAGGGGGTAATGACAAGTACTTTATACATTTATTCCAATGGCAAGACCAAGTGTAGTAGGGGGTAATGACAAGTACTTTATACATTTATTCCAATGGCAAGACCAAGTGTAGTAGGGGGTAATGACAAGTACTTTATACATTTATTCCAATGGCAAGACCACGTGTGGTAGGGGGTAATGACAAGTACTTTATACATTTATTCCAATGGCAAGACCAAGTGTAGTAGGGAGTAATGACAAGTACTTTATACATTTATTCCAATGGCAAGACCAAGTGTAGTAGGGGGTAATGACAAGTACTTTATACATTTATTCCAATGGCAAGACCAAGTGTAGTAGGGAGTAATGACAAATGGTTTAAGGCAGTCAGATCTTTGACCACATGTATTTTCTAATCATAAATACAACATTTTCATAAAACTACAGCCCATTTCACTGTTTTATTTCATCAGTAGAACCCCAAAAATAAGAAATCGGGAGACCATTGTGCAATAATATATGGAAAAGTATATTCATATTGTACATGAATGACATTTGTATATTTCAGATTATTTAGCTTTTTGTGCAATAAGCCTTAGTGTCCTCTTGTAATTTAAAGAATTTCAGCCATGTTAATCTTTTTGAAAATACTATGGCAGAGAAGCATCAAAATATAAGAGGCCACATACTTTATTAGCTTAACTAGATGCAATGCAAGATATACAAATGTCATTTATGTATAATAGGAATATATTTTTTCATATATTATTGCACAATGATATTTTGATTTCTTATTTTTTAGGTTTTACTGATGCAATAAAATTTGGGCCATTAATAAATAAGTAGTCCATTTTCTTCTATCACCATTTCCAAACCATGGTGGTTTGAAAGCTCATGGTTTCCAATAACGTCTAGATACACACCCCCTAAAATTTGTATATTTTACATTTTGTGTGATCTCATCCACTGATGTATGGCCTCTTGAAAATTCTCTAATATTTAACATTGCAAATTCTCACTTCAGCAAATCCAGCTAATTATTTATTGCCCAAATTGTAGTTAAGGTCCCTAAAATATCAATCTAGGACTATCAGCTACCATACCATACATGGTCCTTTGTAAGACATCACATATATGAGTACACATACATGCATATGAGTTAATTTGATGCAAATGAAAAAGATGTGGGAAGATTTATTAATTATTAGGCAAACTATGAACTATGGCTTATCAGAACTGTATATTTCTACTACATTTCCATTTATTTTTCCTTTTTTTTTTTTTTTTGGTATGCAATGCAAACAGAAATGTATGTGAAAAGATTATGATCTTTCAAATTGTTTCATTAGTACTTTTTGTAATACTGTACTTTAATGACGTAGTATATATTGAAGGAATTATGAATCACATGTATTTCATATTGAAATGTAGAGATGTCTGATTCTGATAAATATTCTATTTTTCTAAAACATGTATCATGTAGGATTAGCATTTGTAATGACCCAGTTGCTATTACAGCTCAGCCGTATTGACAGTCTTGATAGCTCAGTTTGTAGAGCCTCAGACTCTGAACTCGAATGTCCTGGCTTCGATTCTCCTATGGGGCATTGAATTTAGCACACTCCTTTTCAGGTCTGTATCTGGCTTTTTACACCACAGCTCCTGGGGGTGCCTGGGTCATTACACATTCATGCTTATTGACTTTTCATAAGGATGAAGATTGCATCAAATAGCCAGGGGATACTAATATTTTGAATACTGTCTTCTTATATTTATAACTAAATGACGTTTATATCTAAAGAAATCCAGCTGGGTTCTGTAGATGTTGGTCTTACATCAAGTTCTTGTGCATCTCCATCCCACTTCCAACACCTTTTATACTACTCATATGTGTAGTTTCATCATACTTTAATAAAAAGATTTTGCCATTGCATATCTACTTTTCCAATAATAAATAAATCATGTTGTACATTGTACTACTAATATTTATAATGCTTTTTTCTATTTTGGTTCAAAGATTGGTCATTTTGCCCTGTTGCAAGGATTATACCTCGATTTGAGTATGATACAACATATCCATATTTTCACATGTGATTCATTATAAAGTGTTTGGAGACCATGGACTTGATCCATAGACAAGAAGTTATTTTGTACATCATATATTCTTATTTTTCTACAACTTGTGTTATATTGAACAATATTTTGTGACTGAATTTGCTGGTCATATTATAAACAGGGTAAACAGTGTAAGATACAAAATGTTAGGAAGGGGTTGATGCCAGGGGCACACATTGGTACTCTTAATACAATGGTACTATTATAAGTGCAAAAGTACTATTATTCAGTTCACATGAGTTCTGATCAAGAGTCATATTAAAGAAAACAAATTACAACTTATACATACCAACATAAAGGTACAATGTAGGCCTAGTAGTTTACTTTTGAATTACTATGTACTTACTAGAATGTGTAAAGGATTATGGTGAATTCAAGAGTTGCAGATTTAAAGTTTTTGTTATTATGTATTTGTTAGATGTGTTTGTGTACACCATATGTGTAAGTATATATGCACCATATTATCAACTCAATCACTTTACAAATATGGAATAAATTGTTAATAATAAATTATATCTGGATGTTATTTTTAGGTTTTAGTTTAAGGAATATTTAGTTCTTGAAATATATAAAATAGATATGATGAGATCTTTGACAGAAAAATTAAATCAGTAAGGATTATCTGAAATTTACATGTCAGTCAATTTTAAAGCAATATTCAAGTGTCTGCAGATTTGGCAGTGTTGAGGCTCTAACCATGTTGGCGTGGTGATTGGCAACTATGAATGTATGTGAATATGGAAAACTATGTTATCAATTCTTTTATTTATTCATAGATGTCATCATACTGATAGGCCCATGATTATTATAATTCAAGAAGTTATTTAATCAATTGACGAGTTGATGTAGGGCCATAGCTAGGATTTACGGGTTTTATACAGGCGTTGATAAAGTTTCAAGCAATAGAGAACTCATGATTTCATTTTCTCTGTATCATGCTTGTTTACACCTATGCACGTATTGCAATATTTTTTCATCATCTATCATTGAACTGTTTTGTATTATATTAATGTATACACAGGAGTACCTCAGCTTCAAGGCTGTAATTACATGTATAACTTTCCTACTTACATATGTATAACTTTCCTACTAACATTGATGTAAAGCACTGCTTTTCTATATAGTTAGCAGTAGGAAATATAATTCTAAACTGTTCAGAGAATATCTTTTGTTTTATATTTGACTAAATATACAGGGTGGGCTAAAAAAACAATACCCAACAAAGGCGTCACATAAATAATGTATCATATTAAAGATTCCAATATTTTGGTATATAACATTATTAATTTGAAAGTAACATACTGGTTTCTGAGGTAGGGTCAGTTTTATGATTTATCTGATTTACAAAAAACAGATATATCTATTGGCCTCTATTGCATTATCATTTAATTGATTTATGCGTCAACTGTTTAGTAGACAAGATGAAATGATTGCCTCATGGAATACTTACTTCTAAAATACAGTGTACTTATGTATAACATTTGCTTACTAAAAACATGTAAATTTCATATCTCAATGCATTATTTTACATTAACAAAGACTTCCCCAGATGAAATGGGACCTACCGAAAGGGTATGCCCTCCATCATTTTTGTTACTGGTGATCATTGTCAGCATTTTACCCACTTGTTACGTTAATCCCTTGTGTCCTTCCTTTCAGCATTCAAATATTATTATGGCAAAAAGTTGTTCAGGGACATTCTGAAAAAAGTTTTGAATTTTGATTGTGTTTCATGATATCAGTATAAAAAATTCAATAATATATTTTTTGAATTGCTTGTATCATGGACTTCATACATATAGCAACAGTGTTCACTAAGAACTGAAATTTTAGATAGATGGCATCACGTTAGAATATTCTAAAATCAGATGATATTTATATAGTCCAATATAATCATTAAAATTGAATTTGATTTACTATATGCACCGAGTTCACATGCTTCCTGTCTCATTCAAATTGTCTAGACAACTAATAAACATACATGATAAAGACATGTTTATTAGAAAACAAGGGAAGAAGAACAAATAATATTACTTACACCCGTTATTTATCAACAAACGGGGAAAGTTATTATGAGCCAGCAACCTTGAAAATTTTAAAACAAGACATAATAATTAACAGCATAGTACCATTGTACCTTAGAATGCTTAGATATTAAAGGGATATATTGCAGGGACAATCAAGGTTAATTGCATGTTTAATGTCCTGTTTAGGGACTGAATCTTAGGAGGGTGGGAGGTGAAAAATTATGAAAAACAAAACACTCATTGTATTTCTTTATGGTTTCATGTATTTTTCAATGGTGAACAATACAATACTATACAAAAAGACACTCCATTGCATTGACACTCCATTTCAATTCATGTAAATGTTATTAATGAAGGCAATATCAAAACTGAAATACAGGTAGTTTTGTATATTCATATAATGCTTTCAATATTTTATCGCAAATGTATTCAAAATCTCAAAGTTCCACTTGTCATTTTGATTTGTTACAAGCACATATCACTTAGCAATTAGAAATGTGTTTTCTGAAAATCCTCAGTCTTATGAGTGTGGGGATGTTAAACCTAATATTGTATCCTTTTCAGAATCTACATTTTCACCTAGTTTTATGTAAAGCTCTTGGCATCTAAATAATGCAACATCTATGTTACCATGAAGTTTTCTAATGTAACAAAATATCAAAAAATAGTTGGCAAATATATTTATAATAATGTAAAATGAGACACAATTTTTGATTCATACAATAAGTTCAGATGTGTAATCCTTGATTAATTCCAAGATTGACGTAGGACTTTCGTTGCGGTACACCCACCTCTCATTCTTTCATAATTCTGAATTCCAATTGATCAGAATGCACAAATCTCTAGAGCTATTGTGAGCACAGTTCAAAATGCCATCCGCCAAGAGTATTACAATATAGCACCTCTTGGTGACAAATGTGGAGGTTCATCATTTTTATGATCTTGTTTTTAAAAATCTGTTAATGATAGGTTAAATCCATTTCTTTCTACTTGTTTTTGTCATTCTATGCTAATCTGTCCCCAATTGACACAATTTGTATGGCATTTTTTAACCTTGGGCAATATGTTTATGCTCCTAGAGGATGTCATGACAACTAGAATTTACTCTACTCACTAGTCTTGCATCAAGTCTTTGGACACTCCTTTATACTAATCTCCAGCTCCAGGTAAGGTGTATAGGAGATGGGGGGATCACAAGGGCCTGATGCAAGACTATATCTTCAATACTTATTCATGATAATAGGACTTTTTGTGGAAGTAGGGGCAAGAAAGAACTAGTCAGACAGACCAGAATGTGTGGTTGGCGAGCACAGATCTCTGTTCGTGAGTGAAGAAATATGTCCGGGAGCTAGGAAATGGTGGTGCGCGACAAGATTTCACATTTGTGATATAAGAATCATGGTCCGAGTGCAAGGAAGTCTAGAAAGCCTGATACTCGAGGGCACAAAGTTCTACTCAAGACAAATATTGTGGAGGATTTGCTTGATTAAGTTGAATATGTGTGAAGCTCCACTAGTGTTTCTCTACTAATAGATAGGTTCATTATTAAATCAATGGATCAGATTATGATCCATTTTTGGTATGTATTCCACCATTCCATTCCATAGTGTTTGTTAATATATTTGGGATATGATTTGGGAACTTTTTGGGCATTGTCTTGAAGTCACAATTGGCAAGCAATAAATACTAATATAAGTATAATAAGTATAACAACAAATACATTTTGATTTAGTTTTACATTTTGGTGGTTCTATTTATTTATTCCCTTTTTTACAAGCACTACAATATTGTTTCTAAACAGCAAAAGTGGCCCAAGTTCATAACCTCCAGTAGGAGTAGCATTGTGAATAACAGAAAAAGCCACATTCTCTTTAATCCAATTCAGTAATATCTTATACTGACTGAGAAACAGTTGTATGATGTAATAGGAAATGACGTGTGAATCAAGAGTATGTGGGTAGTTGATCTGTTCATGTAAAGCAATGCTTCCCCGCTGGAGTCATTAATAAATAAAGCTGGCCCATATGGTGCCGACATAGAGAGACGTAATGAGCATCAATGGGAATTCTTGATCCTGGACTACAATGACGATCTTAACAGAGGTAGGCAAGTTTCCAACATAAAGTTCTCAGAATATAGGCACCCTATAGACAACATAAGGAACAAATGACTGTGGATACCCAATAAAATACATATGGCATATCTCCAACTGACATTACTTTCTAATGTAGATCTCAATATACATACATAAAGTATACACCAAATTGTTTCCACAAACTTATAATTATTACATTCACATTTGGCAAAATCTGTATATACAAAGCATTTTGGGTGCACATAATATGACAAATTATTTACAAGTCACTGAAAAATAAAAATGGATTATAAAGATGGTCTGAGATTGAGGTACAGTACTTATATAACATGTATAAGGCCATGTATAAGGCCATGTATGAGACTGGTCATTACAGAGAATGAATATTAACAACTTCTTAGAAGTGTCACGGCAGCTGTTCGTTTAATATCGCACTTAAAATGAGAATCCTTTTCATAGTCATTTTATGGTCAGTGAAAAGGAACATACCAACTTCTTAAAAAGTTACAACAGCTGTTTTTCAAAACTTTAAATATCACAATTTTTAGATGAGATATTGTTCTTAGATTTAGCCAGTTTTTTAATATCACATTAAATGAGACAATTTTTGTGACCGGCCAGACAATGAAAATTTAAATCAGCTGTTTTCTTAATATCAAATTTAAATGAGATAGTGTACATTCTTTTACGAAGCCAGTCTTATAGCCAGTATATACAATTGTTGTTGAATACATTCAAACATTTGATTAGCTGTGTTTTATGAAAATATGTACAAATACAACTAATGGATGGATTGAAGAAATCTGGATTGCACCCATTTAACAACAATTTGCTTGATTCATTTCTATAGTTCAGTGTTTCTGATTGCAGCACATTATTTCAGAGTCTGGTCAATATCTCCCCAGAACATGATCTTAACAGTCATATCCAGTTGAGCCATCAACCTTACCCTAGTATTTTATAATATTTTCTTTTATACATACAACATTTCATTTTAGAACACTTGAGGTGTAATGTACAAGTTCATACAAAACATTTACAACTTCATTTTTTGGATACATCCAGATGAAACCAGGGCTGATATGAATGGATGAAATGATGGCGACAATGAGTTTAATGATTATATACAAGAGATGATGGGAGCAGATGATATAAATGAACCTGGTTTGATCTGTATGTTACTGTACAGGGATACCTTGGTAGTTATGGTTCTACCACACAGTCACTACCTACTACAGCTAGAACTAGGGGACACTGGAGTTTGTGTCAAATCTCCAGGCACTAGCACAAACTATTTCCACCATTCCCATCTAATATTGCAACATATGGTTATGCTCAAACATAAATTAACAAGCTATAACAAATATAGAAAACAGATGAAGTAAAAGAACACAAAATAATAATATCAGTTGTTTACAGCGTGAACTATAGACTACTGTGAGAACATAAGTATATACAAACAAAATGACTTAAAGTCGTCCGAACAAGGACAGTCAAACTGTGCTACAGAGTCATTTAAGCAATAAATAACATTCCTCCTCAAACTTTGATATCTCAATGCACAGTTCTAAGGCCCATGATCATTGCTCCTCAGAATAGTTCTAAAATCAGAGGGTTCATCCGACCGTAAAACTGTATCTGACAGCAATGACATCAATAACAAATAAAACATACAAAACAAAAATGGAAACCTTAACTTTAGGCTGCCTGATGAATGGTTTGCTCTTGGCGAGTCCAGTTTTGAGCAATAGAGGGGTGGCAGCAGCAGCAGTAGAGTATCCATTATCCAAGTCTGGCCGCATAGACTGCATGCATTTGAACACTTCCAGTTGCATATGCCAATGATTGTTATTTGGTTGTTCAATTGAGCATTTGAATGTATTTGGTTGTGTGTCTAGGCACTGCTAGCCCTTGCTGTAATACTGGCTTTGGAATACTTGATGCCCGACTTCACTCACATTTACAGTCCATGTGCCCTGTTGACCGTGTTCAGGTTGGACTTGGACACCATACAAACATTCTCATACTTTCTCTCATAGCTGCTCTCTGGGATTTTATATTGCAACACTGCCCACTCTCTCTCACACTAACTCTGTGCCTGGTGCTGTCAATGGTTCTAAAGTCTGCAAAACAAGACACATATACATGAATAGAGAGCCTCTCAGTTAGCTTTTGAGTCAATTATTGCAAAGAACTTCTTTGAAAGTTTACCGAGTCCATTCGACTTCGATAATTATTTTATATTTTAAGATTAAATATACAAGAGTTTTTTTTAAGTTGACAACATTCACATTAACACAATACGATACAACAAGCGACAACTGAGGTCTATGATGACCATGCAGGACCCAATAGGAGGTTGACTACATGCTTTCATGAATGAATACATTCACAGAAAATCATACAAAATTAACTACATAAAAATTAAACAAGGATGACTATAGACATAAATAGTAATAACAAAGCTAGGTTTACAAAATAGACAAAAATAAAAATAAATAAAACTAAAATAATAGATGCTCATGCTGCACCACACACTTACAGAATCACGACTTACAGCACTATGATGGTGTGTTGACTGTCTAGCTGGCTGGTATTGATTTTTCTCTAAACTAAATTGATCTTCTGTAGTTTTCCTATACACTGGATTGTCAAAGTTCATGCTCTTTGTTGCTTTCCTCCTGTAGTTACGCCATACAAGAACGCCAATCTGGAATTCAGATTAACATAAGTAAAATAATGGCTAATGATTAAATCACATAAGTGTATTTTACAAATAAATTGTTTTTAAAAGAAATATAACAATGACTATCATTTGCGCTTTTCATAATCAACGTAAATACACGTGTTGCTTCACTTCTGATTTTTATTTTTGATGGATGCAAGATATTTGAATAGTTCTATTTTATAACACCATGCAATACTTACAATTACAACTATGATGAGCACTCCAACAACGACTCCAACAATGATGCCAATGAGTTGTCCACTGTTTGAATCTTCGGCTTCTGGAGTTTTGATATGTGTCTTAGGGGTAGTAGTACCATTCATCACAACAACTGGTGGGTGGTGTGGGTCTGGTTTGTAGGTAACGGTGTGTTCTGAAGATATAGAAAGTAACAATTGAGCATGGTGTGTTAACCAATTAAAATAAAAATGACAAGAGGCTGAGTTCAAATCACACCCTGCATTGATGATGGATGAAAAGACCTTATTCAAAAACAGAAATTGAAAGGACTTCAATTTCTGTAAACATGCTTTCAAATATGCAAATCAACTTAAAGTTGGTTGTAAAAACCAAATAACACATTCAGATTTATATTATAAAACTCTAATGGTCTCCGTGGGTCCTTCATCTGATCTGTGTCACAGCATGAGGCCTTTGGTGCTCCAACTAATAACAGTGCAATTCTAATAGAATAAAACTACCATACATAGTGCAATACACGATTTGCTTAGGAAAGTCATGTTCACAAAAAGTGTAGAACAAATGCTTTATTTTTAGCCAAATATTTGATTGTACAACAAATATGTGTATTTTGCAAGATGTGTTGGTATAAAAACTAAACATTATCAATTGGTTGTATCTAAGCATGCAACTTAAATAGTGAAGCCACCACACAGACAAGCACATGATGATGATCAAAGTGATGAAAATGAACCTTTTATAATCATTACTTTCACAAAGAAGAAATTATAACTTCAGGACTACTATTAGGGGTTACCATTTTAGGTACATCACTCAAATGGCTAAAATTACAATATTAACTTATGATTAAGACGAGTTTGCACATGTGAGACTAACACTAAGTGACCATCACTAAAATATAAGCCAAACAAAGAAGGTTCAAAATGTTTGAGAACAGAACTTCTTCTCACCACTGGGAATTTGGGCAGTAATAGCTGATACTGTATTTGGCTGTGTGATGGCAGGGGACTGACTAGGATTAGCACTACTCGACTCAACCGACTCAGTGGTCACTGCTGCAGCAACTGTTGTTGGCCCTAAATCGCAAAACGATCCAAAAAATGAAGCATATTAGTGATGTGTTAATCTTAAAACTAAGGAACATCCCATCAGAAGTCTCCTTTTTAGTAACGACGTTATCATAACAACTCGGCAAACACAAAACAAACATAAATTTCTGGGCACACAACTCCAGATCAGAGTTAAGAAGATTGACAGACTTATCTAGTAAAACGTATCTGTAAGACTGAAACTCACTTGTATCTCTGCATGTCTGTTGGTCTTCTGCAAGCTCCCAGCCAGATGGGCAGGCACAGGCCACCTTGGCTGATCTTGCATTCAAACGCGCTTTGGGCAGGCACAAATGAGAACATTTCATGGATTGTGCTTCACAATAATTGGTTCCAGCAACCTGTTTGAGAGGATGGTACACATGGATATCCATGGGGGAGAACAGATTCTTGGCCACCTGGGTGTAGTTCTTGCCAGTGAATTTGTTCATTTTGCTAATGGATTCCAGTTTCCAATCTGTCCAGTAGACATAGTCCTCGAAAACTGTGATGGAGAATGGATGTTTGAGTGTATTCTCATCAGTTAGTAAAAGTTGTCTATGGAGTCCATCAAGGTCAGACGAGTCAATACTGTGTCTCTTGGCATCCACCCAGAAGAGTCTGCGGCTCACATAATCTACAACACATTACAAATACAGTTAAATATGAGAGCCAATATGTATTTTGGTAAACAAGATTTAAAGTCTGTAATTTGAGACTTACAAAATAGAACTAAACATACAACTAGTGCTAAGATGGGATTTGGTGCTTAGTACTGCTTACCTATAGTGAGACCATTGGGCCACTGGATGTTATGTGTGACGATTTGTTCACGGGTAGTACTGAGGCCATCCATAGAGATCTTCTCAATTCTTGGTTTGCTTCCCCAGTCACTCCAGTACATCCATCCCTCATGTGGGTCGACCACAATAGCTCTTGGTTCATCCAGGTCAGTGCTCACAAGAACAGAACGCTTGGTGTTGTCATCTATATGTACCACCTCAATAGTGTCCTTGCCAGTGTCTGTCCAGTAGAGGAGATGATGAATCCAGTCATAAGCCATGCCATCGGGGGTTGCAATATCACTATTGATCAGCTCCATACGATTTTCATTTCCGATATCTTTGCGGTAAATTCTCTCTTCTGCAACATCGGACCAGAATACTAATTGGCGAGCATGATCGTAATCTGTAGCAACAGCACTTCTGGTTCCATCCACAAATGACTTGTAATCTTTAGTAGAGTCTAATTTGAGAACTCTGACATCACGTCGATTACTAAACAATAAGGATGGCACGTCTCCATTAGCTTTACAGAAGTGTGGTCTGTTGTTAGTATTACGCTCCAGTGTATATCCATCATAGCAGTCACACTTGAATGAACCAATTAAGTTCTTGCATAGTTGAGAGCAAGTACCCGGAATAAGGCACTCGTCAATGTCTTCACAGCTCTTACCATCAGCTCCTAATTTGTAGCCCTTATTACAAGAACAGAAGACGTGGGTGAAGGCATTGGTACATGTGTGGGCACAACCTCCATTATTGGTTTTACACTCATTATGTTCAGCTGAAAGTAGAATACATTTACATTACAATCAATGATAACATAGTTAATGGTTCGGCTTATGTCATACATTTATACACTATTTTGGGGTTTCAACATTGGATTGTATGACAAACTAGTGATGATAAAACTTTGAACCTTACCAGTCTGACAGAAGGAGTCGGTTCCTCGAGGTTCATCTTCACCACTTCCACAGTTAGCTGTTCCATCACAGACCTGACTGAGTTGAATACATTCACTGCCATCTCCCAGACAATCAAACTCGGTTTGTTCATCACAGTGAGTGGTTGGGGTTGGACAATCATCCTCATCTGACCCATCCTCACAATCAACAGAGCCGTCACACTGAAGCTGACCAGAGATGCAATCATTGGGACCACATTGGAACTGATCAGGTTTACAAGTGATCTCCCCGCAATCACGCTCATCACTTCCATCATCACAATCCTCATCACCGTCACATTTCCAGGCGATGTGGATACAAGAGCCAACAGCACATTGGAACTCCTGTTCCATGCATTGGGCGCCAGGGGGTGTAGAGGGACAGTTTTCTTCATCGCTGTTATCTGTACAGTCTTGGTCCACGTCACAGCGCCATTTCAGGGGGATGCAACGACGGGTCTTGTTGCACATGAACTCTTCGGGAGAGCAAGTTGGAGGAGCTGTAACCACATAGAGAATACAATCAATTTATCATTTAATGTAAAATGTATACAAGATTCATTATAAACATTCATTTAAAACTACAACATCATTAACGTCATTAAAAAATATCTTTTTGGGACTTGTCTTAAAATATCACAGGATTTAAGGTTAAGCAGTGAACAACTTCAAAAATGAACTTACCACAGTTATGCTCATCTGAATTGTCTTCACAGTCATCATCACGATCGCAGACCCACCTCATGGTGATACAATTGCCATTGGCACAAGTGAACTCATCATCTTTGCATGTAAAGTTTTCTGCAATATAAGAATGGAAATAATAAGGCAAGTGAACAGTACAATTTCAAGAATACAGAATATATTATACAGGGTGGTGGAACATGGTCCATTTGGAATAGTAAATTTCACATCGGGCAAAGTGAAAGAATTGATTCATTCTGCATATTATTAGGTTCTCCACTATGAGGCTCACATTCAGCCATGTATAATCTTTTAATAATGTTAAAAATTTCAACTTACGGCATCCTTGTTCATCCTCCCCATTTGGGCAGTCTGCTTGTTCGTCACATCTCCAGGCCTTTGGAATACACTGTCCATTGTCCCCACATGCAAATTGTTCCTCATCACATGAGCGGCTTTCTGCAAACAGAATGCATTGATATTTTGAAGGAGTGTATGGCACTCAACACATTTATAGAACAACAGTAAAAGTTAACTGATAGTTTGTCATGACCTTCTACTCAAATCATGCTTTTAAGGGATGGCACTTTTCTATTCAATGAACTTTTAAACAAATATACTAATATTTCATCATCTTTTAGAGGCTTCATAAATTCTGCGGTTTTAAAAATTCCATTTAAACAAATGACTGGCTGGTTTACCAGTCAGGAAGTTTAAAAAAATCCTCTTTTATTAGAAAGAAGGTAATTAAGTATGCTGGTAACCACACATTTATAATCTAGTCCAGGATATAGTTCATGTTAATTTCCTCAATTCCAACATTTCAAACATCAGGCCATATCCAGGAAACCAAATAGAACATTTTCTCTTTACGTAGATCATACTGTCACCTATACACAGTTTCTAGAACCCAAAATTTGATTCATTATTCAGTGCATAAAGAGTATATAAAATATTGACTTAAAGGCTCGACAGTTTGGTATTTTTCAAAGATTTGACAAGGCACTGTTTACATTTGTTTATTCTCAATGTTTATATAGTTTTAGCGACCACCCTAACTAACACAGGTAAATCATTTATCATTTATTGATTATCTATTGTCCCAGATCAGGCCATATTAACTTCCAAAAATGGATGAAAATAGAAGGAAAGTGGACATAAGTTAATGATTATTAATTTTTATCTTAAGTACTATAGTAAGTTCAGTATTAAGTTTTGATTGACTGTTAACATAAACCTTTAGCTTTAGTTTCTAGATACCCATATTGAGCTGCATAGTTGTAGTATGAATGGATTTTATGTGTTTGAGTGTGTATGTAAACAGGCAGGCACTCCCGAGTATCACACCATATTACTGCATGAATAGCTGCCTGCTATGTTAACTGAGCTTCCCAGGTCAAAAATAAGCTCACAATTTAAATGTTGAAAAGTGAACATTTGAGATAATGAAATGAACTTGTATTGTGAGGAAAAGAACAGACATCAACAATAAAAACTTTAGAATTACTTCAGGTACTCCTAAATGTCAACTGAATTATTTTGCTCTTTTCAAATCAACACTATCGCTGAAAGTTAACAATTTCGACAAGGCATTAACATGCAAAATGTCACTATCTGCCATTTCTTACAGGAGCCAAACACTGTCAACAAAAAAGTTGGAGACAATAACTATATGTCACCATTTGTGTAGGTGACATAAAATGAAAAAAATGATATTGAATTGTGAGAAAACAACAAACAAAGCAATAGTTGCTCTTTTCAAGGTTTGGGCAAATGTACACTTCCTGCCAGACACGATTATGATAAACATCACGCATATCTTACGAAATATGTTTTATAATAAATGATGTGTTTACCAACAAAAACTTTAGAATTACTAAGGGTACTTCTAAACATCAAGTGCATATCAATAGAATTTATTTTCTGAAGCGGCTCGTCTTTTCAAATCATAACAATCAGTATTATGTCTGAAAGCGACTGTTCATTTCAAAACAACTACCCTCCTCTCACATTGCATAAAATGACATTACAAAAACTTATGTTAGCAAAGAATCCTTTGAAGTAATTGTTTTTATGTTTAAAAAAGAAAATAATTTAGATAATTTATAAATTAAATAAATCTTTTTCAAGCAAAAGACAAAAGTTCTTCAATCATGACATAAGATGAGTATTATTGAATTACAAGAATGACTCAATTTCCATGTCATGCTAAAAAGAAGTTTCAGAAGTTCAGGATAATACCACAAACACAATGCCTGCTCAATCTTGTCACAAACAGGTTCTAAGAAAAACAACTCTGATGATATTACACTACATCATTTTCCTATAATCCATTAACACAAATAAGTGTGAGAATGACGTATCAGTAAGCTCAAGCAGCAAAATAAGCCAATGAGGTTAACTACAATGACATGACATCACTGAGCTTATAGAGACTTGAGCTAAACTCGCAAAGGAGAAAACTGCAGTTGTAATATACAATAAGACGGTTGATCCTGATTCCAATAGAGAAACCACGTACGACACAACATGTTATGGAAATAGGAGTGACTTGTTAACACCATGAATGAAATCTAGTTAAATACATGTACTATTGAATAATTTCAAATGATGAATTGTAAAAACTTCCAAAACAAGATTGAAATGCTTAACTGCAAATTAAAGTGTGTATACATGAATAAAATTCTATGGTTTCCTATGAAGTGTAGAAAAGAGTTACAAGAATCAAAAACCTCCCCCTAAACATACCATCATCAGGTGATGTTTAACCGCTCTTTTTGACATTGTTAACATTTAGTTCTCATGACAGTGACAGAATACCAGCGTATAAGCGACTTCATTATCAGGAACCAGTACAAGACTATTTGTGTTAACTTGATCAAATGCTCTAACTGTTAAGATAAGTAAAGTTATATTGGGTACTTAGACAATGATAGTAAAATCTTTGTGAATAGTAGCAATGCCATCATCAACCTTATCATATCTAAGAACAACAATAGATATCACATTGAAGAGCAAGAGCATGTCTTTACCACTTATCTTGTCATTGAAATAGATATAGTCCAACATTATAGATATTAATGTCATTACTGTCATTTCATGTTATAACGCTCTAACTTTTAAGATAAAAGTCAAGTGTCAGGAGGTTTTGATTGCCTGCTCAATGAAAACAAAAAATTGATAAGCTCACACTTAGTTAAGACTTGAAGACTTTTATGAGAAAGCAAACACTTCAAACAAAAAACATGCTCTTGATATTGCCATATATAGTGCTGAACAGTATATGGGGTGATTAATTGGAGAACTGGGAGTGTCAATATTTAGTGCAAAAGTTACCTCCTCGGAGTCCTTCCACTGACAATTATTCTCTAACATGATCTTCACATTCATAGTTATTTTAAGGTTTCTTACCACAGAGTTCTGGAGCTTCATCAGTTCCATTCTGACAGTCAGAATCATTGTCACACATCCATCTAGTTGGGATACATTTGGTTTCACCTGGGCAGGAAAATTCATTCTCACTACATGTCCTGGGTGCTGCAATCACAAAGCAACAATATTATTATATTATTAATCACCAGTCTATCACAATATCGCACTGAGATTATGGGACATGCATCAAAACTGTTGATGCTTAAAAAGTATGTACAAATTCAAAAATAACCTGGCCAGAAATCAGTAGCATGTGGTTTAATTACATATATTGCTTAAATATGGTCATGAGTATACAGCATTTCTACATTTTTACAGCATAATATATAGCCCAAATATCCCCCAATTCAATCACATGTACCAATTTCATAACAGGCTAGGTTTTCAAACCGTGATATAATTTAGTAAGACGTCATGCAAAGTCACCAAAGTAAACAACATTAAAAAATGAGTCAATTGATCCTAGTTTAACTTGAAGTGGAAAACACAGCCTGACCCTCTGTGCCAATATAGAGACAGTGTGGGACATGTGATATGAAGTATGAATGACATTGAGGTGCAGTGAGGGCGATGCATTATAAAAAGCCATTCATAGATAAACAATTTTAAAACAACCAGATTGTAAGAAAATGACTGACAGGAATGCGTAAGGTGGCCTGATCCAAAACTCAAGTAGAGTTATTTTTACCATTATAAAATTAACCCAAAACTATCAACTTGTCAGACAAGAAATGATCTTTTTTACACTATCTTAAACCTTGGAATAAATCACGGCTATGTAGTATGCCCTGAAATAACCATAAACCATCACACCACCATACCGAATGTGCAGATTGGGTTGAAGCTCATACCTAAATACATTTCCATAACATTGACTAACCATCAATCTTGTTCAAGCTTCAAAGGAAGTAGTGCTGTCCCTAGGTCTGATTTCGTTACTCGGCTCGGAAAAAAGGTTTGTGGGTATCATTTTGTTCCAGACACTCTCTAGAATAAATTCATCTTGGGTGGAGTAAAAATGTGTGGTAAACGAATTTGCTATGGGCAATTAAAGTGGCGCCATCTATTCATTTTCAAACATGGGGGTAGGGGTATAAAATGATTTTTTAACAACGTTTAGAAGTAAAATGTAACTGAAATACTAAAATTATCTTATGGCAAACATAAAGTTCAATTAACATGAATTATTTCATGTGGATTGGGCTGACAATAAGATCACAATTTGAAATTCACTACAGTGGCGCCACCTATTTTCGTACTTCTACCACAAATAATAACTTATTTTAGCTTCATTAAGGGTCAGATATTTTTTAGTTATTATGAATAAAATAGGGGGAGGTAGGGGACATATGATGCAGGGGTAGTTATCCTCCTGAGATATTATAACAAGGTAATATAAATTAATTAGATAAACATGGTGTTTTCCCCATATTTTTTATTTTCAAAAATTACTTTACATTTTTAGTGTGTTTATATTGTTCATATTATGGTAATGAAAAATGCTACTATATTATGTGATCATGTTTCAATCAAGAGTTAGGATAAGATCTTGTATAGTTTTAGAAAAATTGTCATTTAATATTGAAAAATGCTCACTTCCATTGGTTCTCATCTCTATTAGTTCATTCGAACCCTTGGGTTTAAATATATAGCACATGTGTTCTTACATCATACATCTCTTTACATCATAAATATTTTTACATTATCTACATAATCTGTATCCCATTATAATAAGCTTATAATTATTGGAAGAAAGTATTTGCTTATTTATAAACAACTTTTTTATGCCCTACCCAAGAAAACTTTTCAAAAGTAGGTATGGTCAAAACATGTACTTGCTCAAGGCAATCTATAGTTTTATATAATAACAATCAAATAATATACTGGTTATGTATAGTATGAACTGGGTGATGGAACACAAGAGTAGTTTCATATTTGTTCATTAAGTTCACATTTAGTTAGTATATATACTCAAGTAAAACCAGAAATAACATACCATACTATCTTACAATTTAACTTCTACTTTATACACTTTATACTGTGCATGATATTATGTCACTTTCTTTATTCTTGTGCATCTGTCAGAATTGCATTCAACAGATCACTGTCTTTTACAAAAGGATTTCTGCATTTGTTTGGTTCAATGCTGGAACATTTGCAAAATGAAATGCAAAATTCCCCACTTGCTCTACAAGTACACGACGCCTGGCTACATGAAGTACAGTTGCATTCTGGTACCAAATCACTTGGCATAATCCTGGTATTTTGAATTGGCAAGAGTGTATCACCTGAATGGGATTTTTCAAACCCAAAGCTCAAGGGGTCTAGTTTGATGGCTTCCTTGTTTAATACTGTCAACATCTGTTGAGTGGCAAGAAAAGCTCTTTTCAGGTGATCTGCTATCAAATGAGATGTAGGTGGTAAACTACTAATGGTTGCAGATTTGGTGTGATGATATATCCATACCCTAAGATCATTCATATTTGTGGCTCTACTTTTTGGTTTAATTACTTTCACCAAGTAAGCTTCTGCATGAGCATAAGTAGCCTCAGATGGATCTCTTCCAAATTCACTGAGATTCAACATGAACTCTTGTTTGACTTTGAGTGCTGCCGGTTTTGTCCCAACTTTACTAGTTACGTCTGACCCTGTTAGGAAATGAATGGCAGGGAGAATTCCACACATTTCCTTTCCTACTCTCCCTGCTAAAGTATGAATGGGTATAAGTCTTGTGGTGTTGCCAACCCCTGCTCTTACCCATACTTCAGAAGCACCATTGTTAACAAGTGCATCTGCATAGTTCAGGAGCATCACTATGACATCAGTGTCGTTTGATAACACTATTATCCTTGTATATCCCACCAATGCAGCATTGTTACAGTGTGGTAAGATTCTAAGGTCAGCCTCTTCAACAGGGCTTTCAATATTGGGGATATTTTGTGTTGGATTTTCATTGAAGCTTTGACTTTTGAGGGGGTTTTCGCCAATCGTACCACTCAAAACAAATGTAATATACTTGTTGAGCTCAGCTTGTTCCTCAATGGTGTCTCTGAGAAGGCATTGTAGTTTTTCCTTGTTTATGTTTGATGTCCAAAAGTTTTCCATGTTATTTGGCATAGGGGTAGAGTTGGTCATGGTTCTTAGCTCCATTGGTTGTTTCATGCCTCTGCGTTCTCTCTCTGAATCCTTTATAGATCCTTTGACATATGAGTCAAATATATAATCAATTCGGTTTGCCTTCATCGCCTTGCAGCAGTTGATGGTATGCCTGACAATGGTCTGACAGAAATCTCCAAATGTTTTGGACATTTTGCCTGCTGGGGTAGAGGATATCCTTCTAATCTGGCCCATGACATCAATTATGCATGCTGTTTGTGCTGATCTCCATTTGTTTGGTTCAGTCATGTCCTCTTCAATCAAGAATTTGGTTTCTAATTCTCTGATAAGTTGGGATTTTGTTGCTTGCTTCATTTGATTGTTCTCATCAAATAAAGCATTCTGATGCATGAGGTCATATTGGAGCAATTTTCTTGTATCGTAGTTCCTTTCCTTAGCAACAGCAATAGTTCTTTGGGATTTATCTTTCTTCTTTGGGTCTATTTTTCTTCCTTTCTTGGCTTCTCTTTCCTCGATGCTTTCAAATGTTTTCACATTTAACCTGTGAATTGGAGCTGTGATGTCAGTCTTTTTCTCAATGAACCTCTCTTGCCTTATGGTTTGATATGCATCACCTCCAGTTTGTTGAATATTCAGGAGACTCTTTCTTACATCATCAGGCATTATCTCCTGTGTCAGGATGTTATGAAGACGCGGTTCAGATTTCATGGATTTAATCAGAAAAGGATTGTTTTGCTCTTCAATATATGCAACTATTTTGTTGACATGTGAGTTCATTGTTGATGTTTGAGCAGATGTAAACTCATGGTGCAGGTAAAGGTCATTGCCATCTGTTTTGGTTAACCCTAAGAGATCTTTAAAGACTGAAGAAACCAGTAACATCTCATGATGGATAAGCTGCCACTCCGTAACATAGTCTTTTTGCCTTGTGCTGCCTATTATGCCTGATGCACTCTTACCAGAACGATTGATTGTTTGTTCTAAGGCCATGTCAGCTGCAACAGCATTGAACCCACCTTCAGTGCGTTTAACAACAAAGCCTCCATTCATGAAATAATCATGAACTTCAGGTGCCACATCTGGAAGTCGGCGCATATCCTCCAAATAAATGGAGGCCCATTTGACATAGTTGGTACTGTCAAATGCTGCGAAAAGTGGCAAAGCATCTTGTACTGCTTGTAGATGAAGTGGCCAGTCTCCTGTACGGTCAGCACGGATCATATTCTTCAATGTATTTGTCATTGTGACAAATTGATTCCAATACTTGACGGTTTCTGATGCTTCACATGATTCACGTTTGAACTGACAAAAATCTCTGAGTAACTTTTGTCCCTCTTGCTTTACATCTTCTAGAGCCTGGATTGATTTGTCTTGTTCCTTAGCTTTCACTCTTTCCTTTAGGATCTCCACTAAGGCCAACTCCTTGCTGTATACGTCTGTTCCAGTTAGCCTTAAGAATTCGTTCCATTGGAGCCTTTCAATAGCCTCAGCTAACAGGAAGAACCCAGTGACAGATCTTGTGTAATGCTTCCCCTTTAATACTGAGATGTCAACTACTTTTTTGCCAAATATACCTGCTTCAGTCAGAATTATATCAGCACCACTCCCACGCAAATATTTTCCGATATTTCCACACAAAATTTTTGTCATATGGAATGTACCTAGGCATAGAACAAGGGACTGGAACATTTCAGGGTGATGCAACTGAAGTGGTTTTGCAAGGCAATAAACTCCCTCGTCACAGAATGTTGGTAAGAACTGTTGTGCTTTGAGTTTGGTCAATACACTAATGAAATTTTTCATGGCAGTGAAAACAGTACCAAAATCAGTTACAGGGTATGGAAGGACAGGTGGGAATCCTACAATCTTGACAATGAGACCATCTTTATTTGTTATAGAACAGAATGAAGCCCAGGAAGGCATTCCCTGGTCTTCATTGATTGCACTTGGTGTTTGATTTAATGGCATATTTTGGTCATTATTATTGATGTCTGACTCTTGACTTGATGGAATGTCTTTGTCTTTAGTTTTGGTATCATTCTGAGTTAATGTGCAGGTTCCCAACCTGGAGAGACTCCAAACTATGTTTGCATCCTCTATTTCTTTCAGATCTTTCGGGTCCATTCTATATTTTGATTCTTGTACTTTGTAATCATCAGGGAGCTTAGGTTTTGAGGTTGGTTTTACATAATCCTGAAGGATCTGGCAAGGAAGTTGACCGAATTTTTTGGGGTCGACCTGATCTATTTCCACAGCTGAAATATTTGGTTTGAGACCTTCCTCCCTTGGGGAATCTTGAAATAAGACACTAACTGTGTCATGTGTACCTTTTTTGCCACTTAGGGTAGACTCCTCGTGGTCAAAATTATCAAGTGCTGCAATAGTGTACCCATTAGGGTCAAAATTGCAAGGGAGTGGCATGCCTTCTTCAGTATTGGTTGCTACTGCATACTTAGCGATGTTAAGGTGGTACTTGTCCAATTCATTGTAACTCATGCAAATACCCTGATGATTGAACCCTGTTATTAATGATTTACTCTTGCAAACCTGATGAATCATTTCAGCATTCAATACAACAAGAGGGGATTTTACAGTGCCACTGTTAATAATATAGTGAATGAACTGATAAACTGAGAGCACTTTTCTAGATTTAGAATTTGATTCATTTACACCATTAATGTCATCCTTGGATACATTAAACAATGTGGCAAAGAATGTCAAACAAGGTTCTGGAATTGATATGTCGAGCCAGGCTTCTTCAAGGTCCTTGCTGTCCATAAATCTGTCTTCCAGGCCAAAGTCAATATCTAGAAATGTGGTTCTGAGCTGCTGACTGCACTTGACTACAGGATCTTCATCTTCGATCAAGCTTGTGTTCTAAAATCAATAAATTGAATAGCCTTGATTAGTTCAGAAAACGTTTTAATACATCTCTTACATGTGAAACAAGGGACTGTGAATGGCATTACATGATAAGATGGACATGAAGGAATATACACGAATCAGTTCAAAAACTTGTCCTGTTCAAGTTTGGTTTCAAACCAATATATCAATCATGATTCTTTATCTAACCATCCTGAGAAAGAGTACCATTAAAAGATTATAGTATTCATCATGGTATTATAGTATTATCGCATTCATTCATGGAGTAAGGCTGATATAAGTGTATATAAGTGTTAATGAGAAGCTGATATAGTTTTCACTGGACAATTAATATTTATGGAAATTCCAATTATACACACCAATTCAACAGGGTTCAGCTTATGTGGTAGAAAAAAGACTTCTGACTTGAACCGGCTTTTTGGTTTGCAGAAATACACCTCATTGCCATACTTTTCCTTAAGATACCGTTTTACAAGTCTTTGTTGAACAACCTGTGTATCGCCCATCAAAGTACACATTTTTGAACACACATCAGCTATTGAATATGCTCTACCATCATTGAGGTGTGGTAAAATGTCATTTAAAACTGATTGGAATGCCTCTTTGGGTGTTTGGCATTTACCAGATACAGTAGGTGTACATGTTGATTGTTTTCTAATGCTGGCTTTATAGTTGGCATCATATTGTTTGTAACATGCTAGATGATAGAACAAGTCAGCTGCAAAGACATCTTCAGGTTCGGTTAAATCACATGTTCTTGTATACACAACATCTTTCAAATGTCTTGTTTGCTCTAGGAACTCTTGTGCTTTAACTTCAGAGCAAATACGAGATTTTTTATATACTTTGTTTTTTGAAGCTTGATTGCAGTAAATGCACTTAGAATGGAACTCTGATACATTTTTTGCTCCAATTGGGAGGGGACGGGGACATGTGGAGCGCCTTGTTATCCTGGACTTGCTATTACTCTTTGTCACATCTTCTTCTGAAGTACATTTGAAGAAGTTCAGCGAAGATTTGTTGACATAGTTTTTATAGCAGTTATTTGTCAAGTGGTAAAATATTGGGCATTCTTTACTTTCAGCAATTTTCAACCTCTTGGAGACAATATCCTGTCGTATTTTGCTTGCCTCAAGTATACGTTTCTGAACAACAGTTGATTTTGTTGGAGGAACAATTTGCCCATTCTCATTAATTTGCTGGTCTTGACAGATAATACATTTGCTAATGTCAAAATCCACGATTGGACTAGATGTCATATTGATATGAGGTCCTGAAAGATAAATAATGATGAACAAATAAATATATGCCAATGTATACATTGTGACAAATAAAAATCTTGTAAGCTTATTTTCATAAAAAATAAAATGCTACCAGAACATATTGTATTGCTAATTACGTAATATGCTGTCTCATTGAAAAATATAAATACTCATTTTGAGGATTTTGACTTAATTTTGTTTTGAAAAATAAAATAGGATAGAAATTTACCTCAAATAGGTAAGAATGAATCATTTCTTCCATGCTGAGTATACTGTTCCTTCTTTTTGAAGAGTCATGACATGCCCCAAAGAATATTTTGGAGTATGTGTAATCAGTTGCCACATTTCTCTTCTAAGAGATATGTTTTGATTTTTTGATTTTTACCATGTATACATTGGCATTGTAAGATGGGAAATAAGTATTGGCAGATTATAGTATGTTTCTGTACAAGGTTTGATAATTCATCGCAAACAATATTTAGGAAGTATAAAAAATAGAGCCTAAAATACACCTGAAAATAAAATGAGAATAAGTGTATAATATTTGATAGAATTTAATAGAATTTAAATCTAGATCAATACACTTTACAGGAATAATGACATAACAGGTTGTACGGAATGAACATAAGAGGATATATGAATTACAGTATGTATATTCTCCTCTAAGTTGCCACACCCACTTGTATGACTTTTAAGGGTGGGGAAACATGGGGACTTCTAAAATTAAGTAGAAATGAGATAATATAGATCTTAAACTGCATATAGTAGCATTTTTCATTTTCATAAAATGAACAATAAAAACAGTTAAACACACTAAAAATGTAAAGTAATTTTTGAAAATAAAAAATATGGGGAAAACACCATGTTTATCTAATTAATTTATATTACCTTGTTATAATATCTCAGGAGGATAACTACCCCTGCATCATATGTCCCCTACCTCCCCCTATTTTATTCATAATAACTAAAAAATATCTGACCCTTAATGAAGCCAAAATAAGTTATTATTTGTGGTAGAAGTACGAAAATAGGTGGCGCCACTGTAGTGAATTTCAAATTGTGACCTTATTGTCAGCCCAATCCACATGAAATAATTCATGTTAATTGAACTTTATGTTTGCCATAAGATAATTTTAGTATTTCAGTTACATTTTACTTCTAAACGTTGTTAAAAAATCATTTTATACCCCTACCCCCATGTTTGAAAATGAATAGATGGCGCCACTTTAATTGCCCATAGCAAATTCATTTACCACACATTTTTACTCCACCCAAGGTGAATTTATTCTAGAGAGTGTCTGGAACAAAATGATACCCACAAACCTTTTTTCCGAGCCGAGTAACGAAATCAGACCTAGGGACAGCACTAAAGCACAAATACAACTATTTAAAGTAAAAAAAATATGGGTACTGCTTGCAAGAGCTGGATATACAGTTTTACTTGGAAATTTAGTCATTCCAACTTTTCAACATAGCATATCATAAACCGTAATCCAGAACCAGGAGTAAGAGTTTGTTAACCCCACAACTTGAAACACAATTGACTCTGACCTCTTTAACGAGGGAAAGCAATATAATATGCTGGAAAACATATATCATGAACTCTTAAAATTATAGTCAATTAAATTCTACAAAATGACTGCACAGTTGATATTATATCTGATTTCATTTCAATAATGGTTTGATCATACAAAATTAAATGAGTTTTTTTTAATTACAAAAGAACTAGTTAACCCGTTTGTTATCTATGTGATAGGTTAAATGTAGTAAATTATTCGGTACATCAGAGTTTACAGTCACTCTTTTTTGGCAAAAACAAGGTGAATCAATTTATATCGGATGATTTTGAGCTTGCATTATCATTGCAAATGAATCATTCCTCCTCTCGCAAATGCTCAAATAACTTGGCAATAAATTAAAACTATAAATATGATTGTATATTTCTTTGGAATTGATGTTTCACAATTATATATTGAAGAACTAGAATGAGAGTTATGAACCCATGAACCAATTTTTATAAGCGATAATAATACTAAGGGCCAATCCAAGGTAACCACATCCTTTCATTTGCTATGGTTATCAACATCAGCAGTTTTCTACTGACCAATCAGCTTTCTAGATGAAGAGGGGTTTGGTGTATTATAATATTAGATCACCTTACACTGGCGGTAATTCAATGAATGATCCTGCTGATATTTGCTTTATCCTGTTTGGCATTTTGAGCTGCATGGTATGCATGTAATGTTTCATGCGTCTTGAAAGTGAGAAATGATCCTCTTGACATTTCATGTTCAGACACCGACACATATATTTCAGGGCTTACAAATACCCCTGAATTCAAAGAAACCCAACTTTGTATCAAATCTACATTGAAAATTTTATCAATTTAAGTATAAAAAAAATATGAACTTCATTCATATATAAAAAATTATAGCACATTTATCTGGTTTGGATAGTTTTTCAAGCAACTAATCCATATTACACGTATCGAACATATAATAGTTGTAAAATATGTACAACATGATTCAGATATTGATTTTGTTATACCAATATGGCCTGATCTTATTATCATGTTGTCTGGGTAGACAGTCAGGGGAATTCACACAATATTGCCAAGTGCATATCAATGAAAATGGGTTTGGTGCAAGCAAAGGTTTCTATCTTTACTGCCTTCAGTAATCTCCCCCCACTATTAGTCAGTTTTTGGGTTGGTAGTTTCAAGTATCCATTACTCACTGGCAGATATATCACATGCAATTATATACACATTCTCATTCATAAGATGCCAGAGATACTTAGGAAGGGTGTAGCTGTAACCAGATCTACATCACCCCATCGCCATATATTCCATTTATCAGCTCTCAGATATTTCATCTATAAAATTCTTTAGTTTTTACTGTAGATTTTGAGACTGCCTAGAGGCAATGAAGGCATAATGAGCTCAATATCTATTTACATATGGCCTGATCCTGTTCAGGTGATCAGACTGTTATATAGGCCTACACAATAATGTGAATTATTGATTTCTCTACGGGAACAGTTTTTTCTATTCTATCCTGAAATGCCCCATAAGTCACCTTTAATAAAAAGAATCAAATCAACAAGTCCATTTTGAAATTTGTATGCCAAAGAGATGGAACTTTTCTAATATTTAATATTCTGAAATAGGCAAAAGTTTTTACAATACCAAGATAATTTGTATTACTGGTTTAAAATATTTTCTATTTTAAAACGGTCTTAATAACAGATTTCATCATCTTTTTATAAAAGGATGATTTTATTTGTCCAGATGTTTCAATGATGCCACGTGCAATGACGTAGATATAAACCAAGTAGTAGGTGTATTTACTATTTTGTTTTAATGAATGAACCAATAATGATTGATCAATAATATGGTGCGATGTCTGCCTTCATATTTTAATTTTTCCAATAAAGCTGCACTGCCCGTACATTATTCCATTTTCCCATATTGATTTGCCAATGTAAATAATGGAAGTAAAATATATAAAAAAAATATCCTATGGAAAAGAAGAGACAATTCTATGTCATACTTAAAGTATTTTAAAGAATCACTCTATTGAAGTAACTGGATTGATATAAATTATTACAAAATATGTTGAGAGATCTCCTGATCAAATGTAATATGATAATGGAAGGGTGGCTTGAGGAGTATCACGCCATAAAGAATGTTGACCTCTACAGGACACAGCTTCAGCAGCAGCTGATCATGGGGTCACACAAGGTCTCAATCCCAGACTGTATAATTAAGGATTCCAACTAAATACCAGCTTTTTTATCAAGATTGAGCCCAACCAATTTAAATTCAATTGTTTTCACTAAGACCTAGTACTGAAGATGGTTAAATATTAGTGCGGTCACTTGTCAGTAAATACCCAATTCTTACCCCCTATTACTTTCAATGCAACATGACAAAGCCGACTAATGTCTCCCAAAATGTCTAGATACTAAACAAACAATAAAAATGAACAACAAATCATTCCAACTATCTATGAAGACCAGACAATGATAACCTTGTAAACACGAAACAACATTCAACATCCTCAGACAAACTGGCATGTACAACTAGTAGTTATACAAACAAATACAAATAGGTTGTAGAACAACTACATAATTGACGTTTTAAGAATGATTAAATTTGTAGACTATGGAAAGCAAGTTTGAAATATGAACAGATAAGTCTGAAGCACTACATAATTTACTTTTTAAAAACATATCAAATTTGCAGATTTTGGAAAGCAAGTTTGAAATATGAAGATTTTGAAAGCAAGCCTCAAACAAAGCAAGAATGACATATTCAAAGTGTCAGTTATGAACCAACCATTTAAATCAAAAATGATGTCTAGTGTTTTGAGAGTTCCACATGTATATTTCAAATGGCATTTGGATTAGTCGTTTGCTTTAAGTCTTAGCAATGATATTTTTCTCAATAGAAATTTGATCAAGATCGGCGGGCTGGCAAGGTACCAGTCTATAAATGGATCTAAATGGTATAATAGCAATAGGAATGACTTTCACAATACAGATTATAGTTAATCCAGTTTAATCTGAGCAGCCATCACAACAAAATATTTACAAGGTCAATTGAACAACTTTTGGATTAAAACAATTTGAAATGATTTTCAGTTATGCCATGCTTTGTCTGCATCTTGTCTTTGAGATTCAAGAAGAATGCAATATTTGAATTTGAGCCAAAATTTGTATTTATTTTATAGCCATGCAAACAAAGATGGACACACCTTTCTTATTGACCAATCAGCCAAGAACGAAGATTTTTTTCAAATCGATTGATGTAACAATGAAAATCAGGACTTCATAATATGTGAACAAAACTTAGAAACCATCTTTGACAAATTGTAATATACCCTTCAATCTGTCACTTTTTGAATTTTTTGGGTCTTGACAGATTTAGATTAAAAAAAACAGATTGCCAGGAAATGTCTTTGTTTTTGTTACTAGGCTCAAATTTAAAACACACATATTATACCAGGCGATCTTCATCTTTCTTTTTATATAAAATTATACTCCCTCCAAAACAGTAAAAATGCACCAAAGTTGTAAAAATAAGTTTGTATTAAACTTTTCATCTGCTATACTGGGAACGATAATACTTGACTATTCCAAATGCTATTCAATGGTCTACATTGCAGACAATAAATTTCAAATCTTATGATATCAGATCTTGTACAACTACAAAATACAGTGAAATTTTCATTATTTCAATTCTATAACAGGCTAATTAAGGCAGATCTGCATGAGAAATTTTAGCAATTTTGAAAAGACCACCCAATTTTCTAGTTATTTATACATTCTCATATCCCGTGCCAGGACTATAGTCCTGGACCGAGCGCACTTACGATACCTACTTCAATAGATTCCTTGGTTTTTAGCATTCTTTTCATGTAGTTGAATCCACAATTGTCTGGGTTTATCGGCAGAAAGAAGAAATTTTCGTTTTTGATCGCAATATTTGCGTGAAATATTTAACTTATTTCAACCGTCAAATTCCTCCATTTATTGGTACTTCCGGGCCAGTCAAACAGGATATTCCCTTTCAAATCCAACTGCCATCTTGAAAAGTGATGGAATCTCACTCGATGAAAAAGAAAAATGTTCCCATTCTGCCGATAGACCCAGACAATTGTGGATTCAACTATACGAAAAGAATGCTAAAATACCCAGGAATCTATTGAAGTAGGTATCTTATAGTGTAAGAGGCGTAGATAATGTCCCAAGTTGTAATTGTACAGGCAAAAGATTGTGCTCGTTCCAGGTCTATAGTCCTGGCACGGGATAAGGCACCTTTTATTAAAAAACTTAAGATTTAGGCAGTGTTTGGAATGAGCTATGTTCAGCTGAAAAAGCACATGGTCATCAAAATGGCAGAAAGTGCAATCTGACCTTAGGCCTAATTTAAAAAAAACTATGGATCAAATTATTAAAATGTTTAACATTTTGTACAATTCTTACATATCAATTTGTGAGACTCTGATAAATTTGGGGTGTGTCTTCCTGAAAGATTATAAGGATTCCTTCAGTCTTCATATTTCCATTATTTATGCTAACTATACATACCACACGATTCTTCATCAGAGTTATCTCCACAATCATCATCTTCATCACATCGCCAAGAGAGAGGGATACATTTTCCGTTACCACAAGGATATTGTGAACTGGCACATCGACCTAAAACATGATAATAAAAAATATAACAGATTTGGTCACAAATATGATATAAAAACTCTACTAAAATGATTTTGATTCCAAGTTATTGTACAACACTTCATGAAAATAAGTTTTTGACACCAAATTAGGAAAAATCTACAATGTGAAATTGTGAACACACCCCTTCCTCAGAGGTCAAATCCTCACTCATGTGCTGAGTGAAAAATCATCAGATATTCTTGGCAACTTCCCAAATTCAATTTATAATGAAAAATCAAATGGGAACAATTGAATATATCATTCGGAATGTTAAGAGTATACACAACTGAAGACTTTGGTGAATTTTGGTGATCGAGATCCTCATATTTCATGTTTTATTTCATAAAATAGCAGAAATAATGATATGGAAAAAACCGGCATCTCAACATGGCCGGTATTCAAAATTTATACTCACTTTCCACGGCAGAAATACTCCAGAAAACCGTCACTAGAATTCCCGATAGCACCAGAAGTGCTCTGGACGCAATCTTCATACTTCTTACGATTAAATTTTGTGTCTCTTCTATCTGTATTTACTAATGTTCAACTAGAATTTTAACTTTATCAGAGGACTCTACTCTCAACTGCTCAATCTGTTGTCATGCAAGTAATGCCGTGGCGCGAACTACTAAATATCTAGAAACTGTTTTTATTGGCTGTTGTGTCTCACACCACCAGCCCGCTGAGTCATGACGTGTTAAATTAATTTGTAATAGATAGAATATAAATCGGTTAATAACAAATATTCAAATCACATTTAAATAAATAATTAAAAAATTCACAAGCATCACCAATGTAAATAGTAATGTTTAATATTATTGCTTTTAAATATTTTTTGAAATTTCAAAATATAATGGGGGTGATGCCGTCAAATGGGTCGGCAGTAAACTTCATATCACGCCACACTGAATGCAACGTACATTGGGGATTATATTCCTTGAAGTTTCACAACTTCTGCATTTTGGTCTTAAAAGTCACAATATTGAGCATCTATGCTTTAAAAAATCAAGAAGTTAGGATATTTTGTCGAATTATAATAGTTTTACTCGTTTTAACTGAAGAACATTTGAAACCAATCCATTTTTAAAAGTCTCCATTCATAAAATTTTCACTCACTTATTTGTAAAATCAACCAATGAGATTCCCCGAAAATCTCCTGATTCTTACATTTATGAATTGTTGTGTATTAGTCCGCACAATATTTACTATCAAATACTACGAATCTCCAACACGTCAGAATTCCTTGTTTATGTTTATATTTGGTGCAAGGGATTGTCACCCACCATCAATTGACTCAGAGGCATTACCAATTGGATATCTAGGGTCAAGATCTGGGTGTTCAACTCAAAAACACATAATATCAGACAGCAGACAGCGAAAGGTTCTGGCCATGGAAATCACCCGGGGAAGAATCACCTTATGAGTCTTATGCAACAAGCTATCAGCAGGCTTCAAGTCCATGTCTTAACTGACTCATTTCACGAGACGTTTGTCAGATGTACAGGATCTCCATTTATTTTTTACGCATGTATATGTCCCAAAGGCACAGGAAAGAGTTCAACCCTTACCCCCCCCCTCCACTCACTGTGCTCAAAAAACACATATAACTGAATCCATATATATTTATTAGAGTGAGGGAGTACACAATCGTGCTTTAAGTTTTATTATACCAGGTCTGGGAGGGTATGGGAGGATGTGGGTGTTCATTGTATTGGACATATGAAAAATATCTTTTATTCTGGATCTGCGAATTTGGGATTTTCTAATCCATATTACAATATATTAGTGCTGCCATCTTTAGATGACAGAAAAATAATTTTCTTATTTGAGACATATTCTCATTACTCTTACTAGTGAGGTTCTAATAAGTGTTAATGACTCCAGGGCTGTAGCCAGCAGTCAAGAAGCGGTGCCATTTTTGGGTTTGCATCAGTGCCTCAACCCCAAAAATATATATAAAAATGATTGGTATCGATATGATGATGATTGGTTAAGAGAAATGTCTGTTTAAAAAGTTCACCATATCGATATCAATCCTTTACATTGTATATGGTTCATTTTGAGCATTTCAAACTATTCTTTGTTAATGTTTTTTCAATTTTTTTTTACAAAATTGCTTTTTCTTTTTTGTAGGGTTAGGTCGAGGGGCTGTATTCGCACCCATCACACCAATATCTGTCTTATGTATGATCAAGGACAAATCAATCAATCAATCTATGGGGGATCCCATGGAGTCCGAAACCACACCATTGGTGCGGAACAAATGGCAGGCCACTTTTGAATTTGTGATATTTTATACTGAGCTGCGTTGAGTCTTGAATTACATCCATTGACTAGTGGAAATAGCTATGCAGTTCATTCTCCAGCATACTTTATCAGATATGAGCTACCTAAAACATGATGCGGATAAATGGGAACTTTATAATTATATGATATCATGATGTTTATATTAGTGGAGTCAATTACGGCAGTAAAACCCTAGAATTCCACATGCACCATTTCTTGACATAAGTATCACTAATACAATATATTTTTCATATCTCACGAAGTGGTGTTGAAAAGTGGCCTCATTTGATAACACATGTAGCAGGCCTTGAATATTTTGGACATTTACATTGAGCTCCATGTTAATTTATCAATCTTCAAAAGATCACCAGCAGAACAATTTTAGAGTAATAAAGCCCATATTCCCAGGATGTTACAATAACATGATTATATTCAAAATAAGAAGGGTTAAATATTTTCTTTTTCCAAAAGGTTTCACCAAATTAATCCTTGAAATGGTAATTGATACATGGACCAATAATTTCTGCCATATATGGGTATGTCGTGATTACAAAATTTGAATTCAAATAGCCCCCATTTTGTTCACTTCAACATTTGAATCGTGAATTTTGGTCTTATTTTCAAACCCAAAATTTCAAAAACTTACAAGAAATGATTGAGATATTGGTTCGAATCTTTTGGTCTGTTTATTTTAAATTAATAGTCGGTTATAATTTCAGAAAATAACAACATTTTGACGTTTTGATTGTTGGAAAATATCGAGTTTTGATCCTGGGAGCCAATTCTCCTTGGGTGAATAATGAGAGTAAAATTGGTGGTGGGTTCTACTCATGAACCTTGCATGGAAATTGTATACTTCCATTTTTACAGTGAAGGGGACCATTGTAATTATTGAATGATTGTCATTTATTGAGTAAAATTAGTATAAACCTTACAAATGTACAAGATCACGATTCAAAAAAGAAAATAAAGTCTATTTATTCCATAATACTACTGTTTTCCCAGGGAAATATGAAGGAATAAAAATCGTATTGAATCGTATTACATGAAAAAATCGTATTGTCCCCGGGAAAAAAATCGTATTGGAGCGTATCACATGAAAAAATCGTATTGTCCCCGGGAAAAATCGTATTGGAACGTACTAACCTATTTTTGGTTTTTCCTGTTATTTCTAACCTTAGCTAATTGATAAAAGCATTTTCAAAATGTAACATTTTAGAGGAATGTATCATGGAATAAATAGGTTATTTCTGGTCGGGATTGAATATGGGTTTCATTCCTCGGAAAATATGATATTGACCTTGGGAAATATCATATTGACACTCGGTCGCTGCGCTCCCTCGGTCAATATCATATTACCCTTCGGTCAATATCATATTGTCCCTCGGAATAAAACCCATATTCAATCCCTCCCAGTAAATAACCTATATGTCTTCTCACATGCAAAATTTGCATAATAAAGAACTTTATTAGAGGCGTCTGATATACTTTCAAAAAGGATAGGTATTGATATGGTGAACTGAATTCAACATATTTTTCTCTTAAACCAATAAACATTCTGTAAAAAACACGGTCCTTTATGTAATGTTGACTGATTGGCAACAATTTAATGCAAAAGTTATTTATATATATTATATATAACTGTTTTGGTTAACATTTTTTTTTTTTAGTGCAATTGTTTTTTGTTCCTTTCTACCAATTCTTGAGAATAAAATAAAATGTCTTTCCAAACCTGGTTGGAACAAAATAGGATATACAACATTTTCTTAGACCTCTCAATATTATATCTTTACAAAGGAAATTTTGGTTGATTTCACAAAAAGTATGCAAAACCCCCTAAAATAGATAAAAATAGATAAAAAATAAGATAAACCTTTTATTTCAATAACAAGATTCTTTTTTGAAATCAACCAAACTTTCCTTTGAACAACTACAATATTGAGAGACCTAAACAGGACTTGGATGTCGTTTTGTTCCAATGAGGTTCGGATAGATGTTTCATTTCATTCCGAACATATGATATCAAGAATAAAAGAAGTGTCTCGTGTGTGTTTTTAAAACAATATAGAGATAGAGAAAAGGATATATATTTCAAATTATAATGTAACCATCCAAAAGATGACCATTACATACATTGACGATGTGTAAACTTTTCAGGATGTTTTGATGACTGGTTTAAGAGAAACGCACGTTCAAAAAGTTCACCATATCGATACCACACACTCCTTTCCCACAATTGTCAGTAAATTCTGAGACATGCAATTCCCATTAATCTAGTATTTAGAGATCAGTTTTAAAAAAGGTTACAAAACATATGACTTGAATTGGGTATTTCTTACAGTAGAACTAATAGAATAGAATGTTTATCTCACTATGACAGACTGTGGAACAATGTTTTTATGGTTTTGAACTTTAGAATACAGTTTTGCAAGATAAGTAAATAGTAGATGAATGGTACTGTCACGTTACTCCCAGGGTGACGTGACTTGCGTCAAGGACATTTATCAGGTGACATATGGGCTTGCTTGCGTTCAGTACTATTCAATTTACTTAAAATTCATTCATTCAGAGGTGATATATGAATAATATTGTAATAAAATGAAATAAGGTGACACATCAAAAGAACCAAAATAAACTAACAAGATATCTATTGTGAAATGCCACTGTCAATTGTTAAACGTCTCGCTGTCAATCATTGCAGGAGATGTTGTAATTTAAAAATAAACAACAACAATGAGGTGACTCATGGCCTGGGATTGCTTTCCTGTTTGCTAATCTTGACTTTTTGAATGTATGTAATAATAAGTACAGAGTTCTTGTTTTGCCTCTTTTGCAAATGTATGCACAGAGCCTTGATTTTGGATAAGCAGGGATTCCTTCTGGTCTTTCACATGGCAAAAAAGCAGTGAAAGTACACCCTGGCTGCACCGAACATTTTTTCTTGGCAAAAAAATGTTCACTATAATACAATACACTTTTTATCTCAATAAAGACAAATTCAGTAAAACATACAAAACAAAATACAACAATAACCCAACAATTCTATTTTTATGCATATCTTCAATTTCATTTTATTTTTCCTTATAGTCAAATTACAAAGATATAATATGTACATCAAAAATTATATCATTGGTAATACTTCAAAATTCTCTCACAGATTTTCCCAATTTTTTTCACATATTAAGCTAAATATTTTCTGTAAAGGATGCATATTACAAATTCTGTATTCCTTTCATTGGTCAAATTAATTTGTCAAAGTCAAGCTTATACATTGTGAAAATGATGTCTTCAACAAAGTATAAAAGTTTGTGAAAAAGTCACACAAATTAGAGCTGTGGGTACCGAAATCTTTTTATGGGGCTGTTTCACAGACCTCACTGGATAGGCCTCATTTTAGAAAAAATTGACCAATGGGCAAAAATGGATCTTGGTTTTAATTAAAACTGTTAAAAGCTTCAAAAATGGTTTGACATTTTTTTCAATGTCAGCTTAAGAGAATCTGGTACAATCAAAAAATGTTTTCTTGCATCTCGTTTTCCAAAAATATCACAGCTATACTTTTGTTCGTTACCAAGATGACATTTTGCTGAAATTTGCTTGGTAGGATTCTGTTATTAACCATTATGAACTTGAAGTTGACCATTTTTGCTTCTTTACATTATATGTTTGTCTCAATAATTTCCCAATATTATCTATCAGTCAATTTACCATGATAACATTGCAAAATTGTATTACTTATGTTCATGTATCGTTGCATTTTTTGTAACTAGTTTTTGTATTTATGGCTCACTTTTTATTAATGGTTGCGTGGGATCACCAGTAAAATACAATGAATTCAGTATTTCTTTTTAACAAAACAGTCATTCAAAAATTAGTTTTTGAGTTGAGTACAACATGTAACTGTAAATTGTCATAATTTTACAACCTTTTTTTGCTCACAACATTCGATGCCATTCTGAATTTGAACATTTCTGCATCTTGAATCTTATAAATAACTTCCACATGTCATCAGTTATTTTTTCAGATGATAAAATTACAATTGATTCCTGATTCGACTTTTCATGCTGATCCCTTCATCAAACAAGGCATTACTATTTGTTACAGACACCAACCGCCCAACACCAACTGGCATCACAAAAAAGGAGACCATAACAATGTCACCACTTTTTGATGGTGACATAAAATCAACTATGATGACAATTACCAATTATTTCATTTAAAAGTAAAGTACAGTACAGTCATTGAAATGTTGATGCAGGTGCTTTTATTTAATTTCAAAAGTTGATTCATTAGTTTATCCTTCAAAAACATTTGCTTTGAAGCCCTTGAAACCAAGTCCTGTTATGCGGAACACAGATCCTGTCAAAGGATATTTTTCTAATTCCTCAGGTGTTGAATTATTAGCAGCGCAGGTCACATAGAGAATGTCCTTATTTGGACCCCCGAAGCAGCAAGACGTTGTACGAAGTGCAGGAATATCAACTACCATCAACTGTTTGCCTGAAAATAAAAATTAAATTTCATAGTTGTACTGCCTTGTTTCTTCAACCTTAAAGGCAACAAGTATACTTGGCTTTGTTGTATTTTTAAACAATTTACAATAGATATGATTTACTGAAATTCACAAAATAAAATCCTGGAATCAAGGCTATAGAAATGAACAATTTACATCCCCACAATTAAAATAACATGTACTTGACTTTTTCTTTCTCAATTATTGCTATCTTCCATAGTCAAATCTTTAACTGAGGCTGATGCAATGCTTTCTGGTAAGACATTATTCATGTCCTGGTCCTGAAAAATTGGAATACCTAGGACAACACCACATATCTATAAAAATGTCTAAAACCAAAGTAAAGATAATTGTAATGACTCCCACTAACAATTATTGATCAATGTACTTACCTGTTTCGGGGTCAAATCTGACAATACGGGCTCCAAAGTAACAAGCTACCCAGAGTTTTCCTTCCGTGTCAATACACATACCGTCAGGAACACCCTTCTCATCACACTTCTCAAAGTCTATCACCACACGACGATTGCCTTTAAGCAAAAATTATTCAGTGTAATTGAATATTATACAACAAATATCAACAATAATAAGACACATTGATAAAGGTCATTTGTGAAAAGAAAATTCACTCTTCATGATCATTTTATTATTGTTGCCTTAAAATAGGTAAATGAACGAATTAACAAAATATAAGAATATAAGTGAGTTGGAAATCTCTCAACTGCATCATGTCAGTTTCTTGATTATGCCTTTTAACTTCTCAAAATTCTCTCAACTATGTAGTCCAGATTAAGATAATAGAGAGATTTCGCACATAAGTGAAAGTACAACTTATATGTATACGTATACTTTAAAGGGTCATGTCGAACTATTATATTTACTAAAATCAATTTTAAATTGCACTTAATGGAACATAACTATTCCCGATATAGAAAAGCTCCATCAACTAGAGACTGTGGATGCACTGTCATCTGCACGTGTAGATTATGCAAAGTTATAATTAAATGCTTGCTTCCGTGTCCTAGTAGTTGTAGTGTATTATAAACACGATCCTTTAAAGTGACTCATGATCCTTTAGAGTGAGTCATTACATAAACAAGTTGATTATTTCAAAGTTTTCATGATCAGTATAAGTTCAATGAACTTACAAAACGGTATATATACGAGATGATAAACGTATACAGTTGGATCTCCGTATAAAGCTTTACCTACATGTGTGTGGAACAATTGACCGCAAGTATTTTTTAAAATTAATTGGCTGAGTAGGAACAGTATCCAATCAAATACTTTAACCATCAATTTGAAACACCAATCAAACCAGTAGGTTCTAGCAATTACTGGAAACGATCCATTCAGTAGCTCAACAAATGACATACAGGGTGTTTCATAACCAACATCTCCAAAAAGCCAATTTGAGAAGAGATGGGTTCCTAACCTATGTTCTATATATGAGCCTATTTTATTCTAGACAAACACATTTGGGTCAACTAAACATGCTACAATTCAAGAAAGTACAAATGGCATCCCTTTGACCTTTATTTATTACAGTCCGAGAAGATCTTTCCTGACGAAAAGCCCACATTATGAAACACCTTGTACGTTTACCTATAAGTATAAGTATACGTTATAAGTTGACTTTCACGTATGTGCGAAATCTCTCTATTGACATTGTAACACTTACTTATATCACCAGAGTCATTATCATAGTCAAAGGCATAAATCTGCTTGGGGATGGAATCTATGTAATACATGGTCTTTTTATCATCCGTCCAAGCAAGGCCATTGGAAATAGTGACTTTCTCCACTTGTTCAGTGAGAACTTTATTTGTGTCCAGTCTGTACAGGCTTCCAAGTTCAGGGGCTACTACAGCAGGCTTAATCTCATTGCCCATAGTGCCTAAATAATTATTCAATGTTTGACTTCATATCCTAAATGTCAAGTATATCTTGTAACCTGCTTTATAATAATTATGCTCAAATGAAGTGAAATAAATAAATTTAAAAAAAAGTGAAAAAAAATAACCTATATACTTGCACATGTAGATTTTGGAGTCATTAAAGATCCAAATAATATAGATACCCTGTAATGTGCCTTTAAATGTACTTTTATGATACAGCAAAATGCTAATATAATTCTTAAATTACAGAAACAATTTATATAAGAAAATGTCACACCTTGGTTAGAAAAGTGTAACAATACGTTACAACTCACAGAGGCTAATGTACCCAGATCACAAAAATAAGCTGAATTAATTGAATAACTCTATCTCAAACTTTTCTCTAATAGGTTTAGACTGTGCTTATATATAACACTACGAATATTATATACCTGCCCAAATTCTCCCTTTAGGATCACATTTTCCATCATTGAATCGAGCATCAAGCCCAGCTCCCACCTCCTCAGAAAGACGTGTTGTGGTTTTCGTCTCAAAATCCAAATGGTGCAATCCCTTGTTGATGCTGATGACATAGCCTCCAGATTTTCGTGGAACAATCAAGCTAACTGTTCCATCTAAAACACAGTTATTTATACATGTATTAAAATTTGAACTTGCACAATCAAATTTTGCCACTAAATCTCAATATTTCTAATATGGAAGGAAGTGAATTCTTGAAGACTTGATTTTCTCATTTAAATACAAAAAGGGATATGTAGTATAAGAGTTTTTCAATCCTAGATCACTGCAATTATAGTAGAGTTCAAGAGCAGAGAAATACTACAGCTATGCAATACTAGTGGTATGTAATTCTAAAGCAGTGCAATACTAATGGTATGCAATTCTAAAGCAGTGCAATACTAGTGGTATGCAATTTTGAAGCAGTGCAATACTTGTGGTATGCAATTCTTAAGTAGTGCAATACTGGTGGTAGGCAATTCTAAAGCAGTGCAATACTAGAGGTAGGCAATTCTAAAGCAGTGCAATACTAGTGGCATGCAATTCTAAAACAGTGCAATACTAGTAGTATGCAATTCTAAAGCAGTGCAATACTAGTGGTATGCAATTTTGAAGCAGTGCAATACTAGTGGTATGCAATTCTTAAGCAGTGCAATACTAGTGGTAGGCAATTCTAAAGCAGTGCAATACTAGAGGTAGGCAATTCTAAAGCAGTACAATACTAGTGTCATGCAATTCTAAAACAGTGCAATACTAGTGGTATGCAATTCTAAAGCAGTGCAATACTAGTGGTATGCAATTCTAAAACAGTGCAATACTAGTGGTAGGCAATTCTAAAACAGTGCAATACTAGAGCTCTGTAGTAATTGCTTAGATGCAGTAATTACAAAAGCTATTATATGCATCATCCACAAAGACAACAACAACAATGCATGCTTATTGACAAGAGTGGATTTTATTTGCATACTCATGATTTATATCATAATGTAGGGACAAAAAGTCATTGTCCAACAAAGTGTGGGGAAAAGGCTAAAGTGACTGTAGTGTGAGGTGTTTTAAAATGAGCTCAGAATTTGTCATCTCTGCATCGAAAAAACTAAAAATTAGTACCGTGGGTACTGGGCTCACATGGTGACAGAAAAAAACGGATATAATTTTTTGCTGATTTTTTGTAACAAAATTATTTCAAGCCACTTGCCGCTATTTTGGACTGACTGAGAGACAGATGGACAAATCGATGTTAAGGAAAATGGCTGAAAAAAAACGGATATAATTTTTTGCCAATTATTTGGAACAAAATTATTTCATACAACTACTCTTTACAGTGACATGGCTTTTTGCAATGCAAGACACCTGAAATTATTTGTAAAGCTAGGAAATGGGCCAAAATTGAATTTCGCGAGACAAAAATGGCGACCATTTTGAAATCAGGCAAGCTTTTGAACCAGGAGTCAAAGGGGACTTTTTTTGTATTGATGTTGAACAAAAATAACGTGAAACTGGAATCCTATCAACAGAGGTTTTAAGTAAATGGTCCAAAAGAGGATTTTGCGAGACAGATGAACAAATCAATGTTAACTAAAATGGCTGAAAATAAAAAAACAGATATCATATTTTGCTGATTTTTTGTAACAAAATTATTTCATACAACTACTCTTTACAGTGACATGGCTTTTTACAATGCAGGACAGCTGAAATTATTTGTAAAGCTAGGAAATGGGCAAAAAGTGAATTTCGCGAAACAAGAATGGCGACCATTTTGAAAATAGGCCAGCTTTTGAACCAAGAGTCATAGGAGAGTTTTTTGTATTGATGTTGAACAAAATTAACTTAAAACAGGAATCCTATCGACAGACGTTTTAAAACGTGCCACTGTTATTGACGAAAAGTGGATTTCGCGAGTCAGATAGACAAATCAATGTTAACTAAAATGGCTGAAAATAAAAAAATGGATATAATTTTTCGCTGATTTTTTGTAACAATATTATAACATATATCTACTCTTTACATTGACATGGATTTTTACAGTGTAGGACAGCTGAAATTATTTGTAAAGCTAGGAAATGGGTCAAAAGTGAATTTCGCGAGACAAAAGTGACAGCCATTTTGAAAATAGGCGAGCTTTTGAACCAGGAGTCATAGGGGAGTTTCCTGTATTGATCTTGAACAGAAATAACTTAAAACAGGAATCCTATCGACAGAGGTTTTAAAACGTGCCACTATTGTTGACGGACAGACAGACAGACGGACAGACAGACGGACAAGTGAGTGATTGCAAAAGCTCACCATGTGAGCTAAAAACATTACTTTAAAATGCCATAAATGTTTGTCCTCAAATCTTGACACTGATGTCATAATTATATAAAATATACCTGCAGGGTTCGTACACCTTTTTCAGAATGAATTTCCCTGACATTTCCCTGACATTTCCAGGCAAAAAAGGAAATTTCCAGATCTAGTTTTCCTTGCACGACCTCTAAAAAGTCTCAAACAACTGTGTTATATAAAAGGCAAGACTTAATATGAAACATTTTGGGTTTGTCCCCAAAATGTTTGTCCTTTAGTACCATTTCTCATGACTTAGGCCATCTTATACACCAATTTATTCCTGATAAATTATATTCTCAATTTTACATATTTACATTGCATAAGGCCAAAGGTAAACATACATTTACAGGGGGCATAGCCAACAAGTGTCAAGGGGGTGCATCTTTTGAGGTTTGCATCACTGCGAGCGAAGGAAACCCAAAAGGGGGGTACGGGGGTTCACCCCCGAAAAATTTTCAAAATTGACAATTGTATATGGTGCATTCTAACTTTCTAAGCATTTCAAACTATAATCTGTTAATGTTTTGTAATGAATCCAAATAAAAACTGAAACTTAAAAATGTTGATCTAAAGAAAAATAGCAACTCCCTTGAGGGGCAATTCCCACCTAATGATACACATTTTATCGAATACTATCATTGTGAACATTGTATGAAAAATGGCAACTGTCTTCTTGGGCAGAGGCTCTATATATACAGTAACAAAAGCATTGGTATATAAAAGGTGTGGTGTCGATATGGTGAACTTTATGAACGCACGTTTCTCTTAAACCAGTCATAAAAAAAATCTAAAAATTTAACACATCGTCAATTTAATGGTCATCTATTTTGTTTTAGAAAACACACCAAACACTTGTTTTGTTCTTGGTATCATGTTTCTAGAGTTAAATGAAACATCTTTCCAAACCTCCTTGGAACAAAACAACATAAACACAACATGTTTAGGTCTCTCAATATTGTAATTGTACAAAAGTAATTTTAGTTGATTTTCAAAAAGTATCTTGTTAATGAAATAAAAGGTTTATCTTGATTTTTATCTATTTTGGGGGGATTTTGTTTTAATTTTTTGAAGACTTTTTTAAAATCAACCAAAAATTCCTTTGTATAACTATAATATTGAGAAATCTAAAAACATGTTGTATTTACCATTCTGTTCCAACAAGGTTTGGAAAAACATTTTATTTCATTTCAAAAAAGTTAACAAAAACAATTATATAAAAAATATTTCTAAATAATATTTTGCATTAAATTGTTGTCAATCAGTCAACATTACATAAAATACTGTGTTCTTTTACAGAATGTTTTCAATAATTGGTTTAAGAGAAAAACATTGTTTAATTCAGTTCACCATATCGATACCTATCCTTTTAACCAATTCTGTCAACTGATTTTTGAGTTATCGCTATATAGATAAATAGACTGAATACGACCGGACTGTCGAACAGACAGCTCCTTATATGAACACAATTTTAAACCGTAAAGAGTTCACAGATTTTTGTGCTTTTCACCTCCCACCCTCCTCAGATTAACCCCTCAACAAACCACATACATATACCAGTAATTAACTTTCAATGGCCTAAGACTAACTTACTAATACATGTAAAAGCATAATTGGCCATAATTGTATTGAATCATTTATAGCATTAATTATTTTATACATTTATATATTTATTCTTCATTCGGTTTCAGTATAATGTTCACACCGTTCTTACAAATAGACAAAACCAGATTTAATGTCATTCAATCAACCCTAATGAAAAGATTTACAATTAGTGGAAACAGCTAAATATTAGATTCTGGATTTCATTGATATCCTGTCACTAAGCCTTAAAATGTATTTTGCTGGAACATTCTTTTTTCAACAATGATACAAAATTCCCTGACATTTCCCTGACACATCTACTGTTTCAAAATTCCCTGACATTTTTGGCTCTTTTTGACCCAATTTTAAAATTCCCTGACATTTCCAGCACCTGGAAAAATAAATCAATTTCCCTGACATTTCCAGGTGTGTACGAACCCTGTTACCTGCATGGAATTTCTCCACTTTGCCTGTCTTAGAATCCCATCCATAGGCATCACCATCATTTATATCAACAAACAACAAAGACTCCGTCGCATCATCCCAGTGCGGACCCTCCCCTATAGACTTGGTAATATTTTCAAGTCCTGGCACAACTTCAACCTTGTAGGACATGTTTCAATGGAATAAGGTCGCCTTGGCTGCAAAGGAAAGATTGTTATAAATACAAATAAACATTACACTTTCAAAATTATTTCTTTGTTCTATCAAACATGTTTATGAATATTACAAGTGTTCAATAATTGTAAAGGTATTGTAACAGTTTATGATTTCCTCCAACTCAAAAATAAACATAACACAGAATATGTATATTAAAATTCTTTATATTGAATAAATCAGATGTACTGTATGTAAAATTTTGTAATGTCTGTTTGAAAATTGTTAAGTTTAAAATGAGAATACATTTTTACCTTATCTTTTTTCTTGAGCCTAATGGTTAGATTAGGCAAAATCAAACTACTACAGTATTGGAAAGTGTACCATGTCTTTTAGATTGTGTTTATTCAATGAATTTCTTGTTTGAATTGTCTATTTTTAGACAGTAAATATTTTCTTCCCTTCACATTTTGTTGTAGTTATGTTCAAAATGTTCAATTGATTTTATCATTGTTTGGATATTTTTCAGGTTCAACACAATAGTTGTGATTACACATGAAACAATCCAAGGTGATGCATTGTAGGTTGTGCAGTACCGTGGGGGTTGATTTTATAATAAGGATCAAACAAAACATATATGTTTGAGGTAAAGAATAATCAGAATTCTATTGTTTGAAGGCCCTGTGTAAAGTTTGAAAATATAGTCGAATCATTCAAATATTCCTTTTTATGACTTGAAATCATCAAATACACACTTAACACTGTAAAGCACATTATTTTCTCTACTGATTGAGCAGATTGGGCAAAAGTCATATCATTTCAACCATTCAATCTTAATATTGAATTATTTCAACACAATATAGTTTTGGATGTATGTTATTAATTTGTGTAAATTATTACTTAAAGGGACATTCCTGGCCAGACCATTCCTGTCCTGATATGTAGCTATTATCATATATGTACTTTCCATATTTAGTAAATCACAGGAAAAAGTTTTAATGTAGTCAATATTGATCATTTAAAAATAAAGTGCTCATTTCCAGAAAACTGCCATGTCATCAACTCTCAACTTAGCACAACATCACTTCTACACAAGTGGTCCTTATTTATTTTATGTGCAAAAATATTTTCAGAACTTATCAGCTTAGAAAAAAAGAATAGTCAGCTGGTTTTGTAATTCTTAATAGCTCCTAACTAATGCATATGCAAAGTTGAGAGTCAAGACATCACTTCCTGAGTGAAATCTTAAACAAGTCACAGGGTGAACAGAATCGCACCCTTGAACAGAATACACTTTCCGGGATGGAAAATCCAAAATGGCCGCCTTAACATTTACCCAGAATGCAGAAAAACTAATGAGTTATAAACATTCATAGGTAGAAACATCCCTGAGAATTTCAAATGAATCCCTCAAATGGTTTGGCTGGAAACCTGTAGACAAGCCTTGACAGACAAGATTTTAGGACGGAAAATCCAAAATGGCCGCCTTAACATTTACCCAGAATGTCGAAAAACTAATCAGTTCTAAACTTTCATAGGTAGAAACATCCCTGAGAATTTCAAATGAATCCCTCAAATGGTTTGGCTGGAAACCTGTAGACAAGCCTTGACAGACAAGATTTTAGGACGGAAAATCCAAAATGGCAGCCTTAACATTTACCCAGAATCCCGAAAATGTAATCAGTTCTAAACTTTCATAGGTAGAAACATCCCTGAGAATTTTAAATGAATCCCTCAAACAGTTTGGCTGGAAACCTGCAGACCTGTAGACAAGATTATTCGGGACGCCCACCCGCCCGCCCGGCAAACTGATTACAATACATAGCCGTAGGGACCGGGGGTTCGATGGGTTCGGACGAACCCCCGGTTGGGATTTCTCCCAAAAAAATATTTGTGGAAAAATCCATTGCAATAACCAGAAACATATATTCAATTTATACGACCAGTAGGAAAAAATAGTAAAGGAAGAGGTTTGAGTATTGGCAAATATCCCTATGGTCAAAATGAATCATTCTTAGGTGTAACATGAAGAATAGAATGTCATAATACTTTGGAAAATATTAAAGTGCTGGGGCACACATAAGCTGAGATAGGGATCATTTCATGATTCTCGTCATTAATGATAAAATCAGCGGAACTGTGATAGAAAACGGAATGTCTTCAAAGTTTTTATTTTCAATTCAAAGAAAGCACAACAAATAAGTTTTTCAGCATTAGTTGTTCTTTATTTGTTGCAAGGCATTGAAATTTAAGAGAGATGTTTAATGTTAGAGCCTACAGAGCACAGTGGATATTTTGTTATTTCAATTTTTTTTTTATTTCAGCCTATGTTTCATTCCATTAATACAATACTATTTGTCATCTGTCACTTCTATCGTCAGTACCAATTGAGAGTATTCATGCAGCCATTACGACTTTTATTGTGCGCCATGATTAAATAAGTATTACATTCTTCAAAAATATTTGCTTTTGAATATACTAGTATTCAGAAACTAACTGTAAGTTCATGAGGTCATTATGAACTCCTCTATTACAAAATGAAATGGCAGATAAAATTCTTTTGATTTGGATTCTTTTCAAAAATCATCTAAAAGTGTGGGAATAGCATGCCAGAATTTGACATTTCTATGAATGATGAATCGGGAATGACGATTTTTCAATGGTAGCTCGTTAAAAAATATGTTCCTTAGAGATATGTTGTAATTTGCCCTTTACAAACGTTGTCTCAATGTATGCTAACCCTTGATTTGGATTTCATTGAACAATTAAACAATTGTTATATAAAATGTATGATTTTGCTACCAGATTTCAATATCTTTCAGTAAAAGATTCACCAAAAACTATTTCAATATAGAAAATCAAATTGTTGCCAAACTTTTGGAGGGGTGTAAATTGTATGTACAAAAAATACTTTTATGTGAGGTACACAAATGAAGGGGGAGATTTGTGGATACATAAAAAATCGAACCCCTGGTCACCAATTGCTGGCTACGCCACTGCAATATAGCATCTTAGGGTGCGATAAAGATGGGAGCCTACTGGAATTGAGCACTATATACATTTTAAGTGATCAATATTGACCACATCAAAACATTTTTCTGTGTTTTGGAAAGTGTGTATATGGTTATAGTTACCATAAGATAGATGGTCTGGAAAAATATGTGTGTGAGAACTAAAATTTTATTTGAAATTTTAGAATTTTTTGAACAAAAAGTCCTTAAAAATCAACTTAATGAAATTACATGTAAATTGAAAAGTTTCACATAGCACATTTTAAGAACATTGATTACAGTGGGTAGGACTTTAATACAGAGTGAGCCAAAAAAGGTAACCCAAACAAATGTTAATAACTCATGATAATAACAGCATGGATTCAAAATCATATTTGGCACAATTGCACCTTGTTCTATGGTCTTTCATTCTATATACGTTTCATTGACCTATTTTTAATGGTTGCGAAATACTGATCAATCAAATTACTGAAACATGCCAAAATCACCCGATATGAATCCCCAAACTTTTATCTTTGGAGCTATTTCAAGGATATTGTCCATACTTGCAATTCTAGAAGCAAGGAGGTAGTAGAAGAGGGGGTTCATGGGACTCGTGCGAACCCTCTTCACCTCAAACCCCCCTTTTGTATAAAATGACCCCCTGGCTGGGAACAACCCCCTTTTCTGAAAGATCAACGAACCCCTGACAGGGAATGAACTCCACTCTCAGAAAGATGACTATTTTTGTGCGAACAATGAATCACACGTTTATACTAGCTATTTGATGATGCACAAACTATATTCCATAATTTGATTGTTTCGTTGAAACTGTTTTCTTTGTGCAAACCACCATCCCTGTACCCCCTTCAGCTTTTCATTATGAAACAAATCCACAGCTGTACAAAAAATAGAACCTTAGTAAATTGGTACATTCAAATTATCCTCCAGAGATGAGATAGGCATTTTTAGGAAGTTTCGCTAAATAGCCATAACATTTTGGTCATTTGAAATAGACCAATGAAACTTGGAAGAAGGAACATTGTACAAGGTTTGAGTTTGCCAAATATGACTTTAAACATATGCTGGATGACCGAGTAATTAGCATATGTTTGGGTTACCTTTTTGGCTCACGCTGTATAAGCCATAGGGTTTATAACTTTATATTGGGCCTTGAATAAGTCATCAAAGAAATAAATATTAATTTTACATAAGAAATGCATACAAATACAACCTCAATATTAATTAAATCTAAAGTAAAACACCCAGCATTTTTCCCAATGTAGTGTAACTTCTATTTCACGTTTATACTACCACCTAATTATAATGCAAAATCTTACCTAGATCTGGCAAATTATGACAGTTGTTCTCACTGCTACTCAGTCTGTACAGAGACTAACATAAAAAATTTTATGTTAGTCTCAGGTCTGTATAGATTTGATAAAACATCTTCACAAAGACAAAGATAGATAAGGATGGACCATTTTGTAATTGGGGTCAAATTTACACTTTCTTACACATTGAATCTTATTTTGGGAGATAATAAGGTAAAGAACACATTTGATAGGCCAACTGCAAATACTTAGTGTTACTTAGTCTGATAAAAATAAATGCATAAAACAATTCAAAAACAGTATTGAGAAAATTAACTGATCAAGTTTTCAAGTACATTCACGATGTATTTGGTGAAACATTCAATGCATTACTAATATTTTTAGTCTCAAAAATGCTTCTTTCAAAATTTGACTAACTAGTTTAAATCTTTTAATTATGATAAGAGCTTAATCATCCATATGAAGTTTATCATTCATTGGTTCACCCCTTATCAGAAAGTTTGACAAGAATGTGTACTTTGATTTCAAAGTATTATCAACTGTACACGTACTTGTAAAATAACACACATAAAAATGGTGGCCATTTTTCAAAATGGCCAACTACTCCCCAAAGTTTTATTAGACAATGTGCCAGGCTTAAAGTATTCACATGTCAAATATGAACAAAATCGCTCCACTACTTTTCGAGTTATAGTAAAATACGTTAAAATGGCGGCCATTTTTCAAAATGGCCACCTTCTTCCAAAAGCGTCATTAGAAATAGACAGTGTGTCATGCTTATAGTATTCACATACCAAATATGAACAAAATCGCTCCACTACTTTTCGAGTTATAGTAAAATACGTTAAAATGGCGGCCATTTTTCAAAATTGTTTTCAAAATGGCCACCTTCTACCAAAAGTGTCATAGGACAGTGTGCCATGCTTATAGTATTCACATACCAAATATGAACAAAATCGCTCCACTACTTTTCGAGTTATAGTAAAATACGTTAAAATGGCAGCCATTTTTCAAAATGGCCGCCTTCTACCAAAAGTGTCTTTAGACAGTGTGCAATGCTTATAGTATTCACATACCAAATATGAACAAAATCGCTCCACTATTTTTTGAGTTACAGCCAAAATCGTAAAATGACGAGTAAAGGCCGCCATTTTTCAAGATGGCTGCCATGTGCTTCTTTAATATTTACATTTGTAGCATTATTAATGTCCTTTATAATTTTTTTACATTTAAAACATATTGCTATTACAGTTTTACATATAGCACCTAAATTACTGTAAAATCATCACTAAAATGGCCGCCATTTTGAAATGAGCGGCCATTTTGAAAATCGGCTTTTCGAGCAGAACTTCTACCCCCATAGGGTATATGTGTACAAAATATGAACAAAATCGGTCCAACGGTATTTGAGTTATTGCCCGGACGGACGGACAGACGGACGGACGGACGTACGTACGTACGGACGGACGTACGTACGGACGGACGTACGGACGGACGGAGGCGTTCCCTATATCCCTCCGAACTTCGTTCGATGGGATAATTATTCATGAATACCTTATGGAGTATTTTCAGTTCAAACCAATCATTCAAATCTCAATTTTTTCTTGTTGATGGATATGTCAGGGAATAAAAATCTTTAAACATCTCTAAAAGGCTGTATATTGACAATCCAAGGGTGCCTCCTAGGCCAATTGCCAAGCATAGTGAACATTACAAGCCAGACACAGACATGAAAGAGTGTGTCAATATGTTGTATTGAAAAGTATATTTAAAATACACATGCATATAATTGTTATGTTATCTGTAACAATTAATGCACATCCCCAATGAGGTGGGTCAATCAAAAAAGACAAAATGGCCTACTTACCAATATCACCAGTTATGTCATCATAATCAAATGCATAAACATTTTTTGTTTCGGTATCAATGTAATACATTGTCTTTCTATCTTTGCTCCATGCCAAACCATTAGACACTGTCACCCTTTCAACCATTTTTGTCAATGTAAGGTTTGTATCAAGTCTATATAGATTGCCGCTCTCTTTGTTTAATCTCTCAAAAGTCTCTTTTTCCATTTGTGTGTCCATTGTACCTGAAAAAATTATTTTTATACACTAGGATTTGGATTTCTAAATGGGGTGGGGGGGGGCTGGGGTATGTGACAAGGTGGCCATTCTGAACTTTTGAAAATCGGCATTTGTAATAGAGGCAAAAATGATTGTTCAGTTAGTCAGGTACTCACCAACCCATAACCGACCCTGTGGATCACACTTCCCATCATTAAATCTGTTAGTTGTGTTTGCTTCTACTTCTTCTGAAAGGGCTTGTCGCAGGGTCTGTCTGTCTGAGTGAAGGTGATACAACTGACGTCCTATGGTAATTACATAGCCACCTGACCTGCGAGGTACAATCAAGCTTATTGGCCCTATGTCTGAAAAAAACAATATATCAAGTATTCAAGTCATATATTTAGTAATCTAATACCCAATAGAATTACGAAGTGTGTTCAAAACCCCAAAAATTTAACCCCCACAATTTTAATTTGTATTGCGATTACTACAGAAAAATAAAATGTTCCTGCATATTGTTTGCTCTCAGAAAAAACATCTCAATAACATTAGAACTTAAATCTTGAAGACCTGGTTTATAATTCAGAAAGGTGTCAAGAAACAAACAAAAGGGGATGGGTCATGATTAAGAGCGGAAACCAATTATTGTGACCCTTTATTTATACCCCCATCAACTCGGTGAAATCTTACCAGTTCTGAATCGATCCACTTTTTTAGTATGAAAGCTCCACCAGATGACAGCATAATCATCAATGTCAACGAACATGAGAGTCTTAGTAACATCATCCCAATGTGGACCTTCACCAACGGTCTTAGCAATATTCCTTAATTGAGGTACGGGAACAACCACATGTCCAGCGACCACCTTTAAGTAAAAATGTTGAGTATTTACCTAAACGAATTAAATATTGTTGAACTGTTAACTACAACTCAACTCTTGACTACTGTCAAACTAAGGTTTTACTATTTTAGAAAAATAATCCAGTCAGTATTTTTAGTGCAGCATAAATTGCGATGACAGGTATTTTCCAACCATTCTGTCCTGCAGTACAAGATGATCGCAATACATGAATATAACATTGCAATATATACTACATTGTAGTAACTTTAAGTGCGATAAATTGCAGTTACACATTATAAATACCATACCTGCATAAGTGAAACAGCAGTTATAACAGCACAAAACAACAGCATAGTGTCAATCTTGGGGCAACTCTCTATTGTAACTCTCTAATTGTAGTCACACTGTAACAATCTTAGTATTCCATAAATACTATCATTTATCTGAGATATCTCAATATTTTATCATTGTGACAGAAAATGCAGGGTCGTACCATTTTTACACAATTTAAATGGCAATTTTAAGTCTTGATATAAAATATTGCTTGAAAATAAATTGTCAAATAAATGTTCCATCCATGACACACATTCTGTACTACATATTGAACTTGAAATGACTTACATGAAACGACTCATGACTTTCTTCAATGAAATAAGAGAGATAAAATGTTTTAAAGCCAGTTACCTTGGTTTTCCTCATCTGTTTGTTTCTTTCAATTACTTTCATTTATTACAAATAGTGTTGAATTCTATACGTACTACTTCATTTAAAATGGCAACATATCATCCAGTAATCATTTCTAAACTATTTTATAACCAAAAATATGTTGGACAACAAGTGAAATCAAATACATTTAGATGAAGTATATATCTGGTTCAAAATCGACTGATTGTTATATTCGGAGATTCATTTAAATATAATACGTCTCTTTTATCACAGTATATTTTATTTTTTTGTCATATTCTGACTGTCTTAAAATGTTGATGCTTAACATAATACATACAAATGTTTTTGACAAAATTGTACAGACACTATACAACCAATGAAAACAATAAAAATTATCAAAAATATATCAAATTTTCAATTTGAGGAAACACTTTGAATTTCATTAAGGAGTTATCTGTGCTTGGCAATGGGAAATTTAAAATACCTACAAATATGCTAAATATTCAAGAATTTACATTTTCCCCAACCATCGATTTATACCATGACAAGAACTGTTTTAATCTAGTTATCCATGTGAAAAATGTTAATCATTTTACATACCCAAGCTACCAGTAAGTTCATGCATCCATTCCATTCTAATACATGTAGTTCATTTGTGAATTGGTTAATATAAAAAAGTAGACATCTAGATGGCAGAAATTTTATGGAGGCCCTTAAGACTTGTTTGCCATTTTTTAAGTGAACAAAAGGAGGAAAAATCCCAATATAATACAACTCTTTGTCAATTGTAGATAGCACAAGCTTTCAATTGAAAGTCCATGTAGATAGTTTTCAGAAAAAATCAATGAAAGGTCATATCTCAAATCTGGCAACTCTTAGATGATTATAAAAAAAGAGATTAGTTTGAACATTTTAGTTTGAACTCTGTTAACTTTGAATATCTCTAGTCATTTATGCCCTTAGTCAAGTAAATTCCATAAAATAAGTAGAAACGAATGTGTTGAATAATAATAAATGGTAATAAAAAATTGACAAAGATAAGGGCCTCCTAATAACATATGTACAGCAAGAAGAACAGCTTTGCATCAAAAGAAACTGCTGGTAAGTATAGCACATATAGAATGAACATGAAAATACCAGCATCAAGAAAGTTCTATACCTTACTATAGTCTTTTAGACTATAATGAGAAAATTAATATGAATAATACCACCTTGCGAGGCCTATTCTTAGGGTATGACTACTACTGTTCTACAGTACATGTAGTTTAGAAGGCTAATATTTTAAGTTATTGAATGATTTGAAGTGCAAAACAGGATATATTTTGCTCGAGAAATCCTGTATTGGAACGAGACGAAGTTGAGTGGCAATACAGAATATCGAGAAAATAATAATGTTGTCATTGCATCAGTTCAGTCATATATTGTATATCACAGGTTCATTTCATTTATCCTTCATAAACATTAGCTGTACACCCCTTCACACCCAATCCTGTCACTTGGAACACAGAGCCAGTTGACGGATATTTTTTCCATTCATTCTCATCTACTTGAAAGGCTGAGCATGTCACATAAAGTATGTCCATATTTGGGCCCCCGAAGCAGCAAGATGTCACCCTTGCAGCAGGGATTGGAATGGTTTGAAGCATCTTTCCTAGAAATATATAAATGAAGAAATTATTCAAATATATCAATACTTCAAATCAGCAACTATCTTGGATTCTAAAACGGATATTACTATCAACACATGGGTAAAATATTCTGAAACAAATCGACATCCTTCTTTGTGAAAATGATGAAAAATAAAAATTTCCTCCGACAAAAGTTCATACATTTCAATCACTGAAAATCTACTAGTATTTCAGTTTCTGCATTGAGAACGCAAATGGGCAATAAACCTCCTATAGATTCTAAATTGTTTGGTTTATGTATAATGTCCACACTGTTCCCACAAACAAAAAACATCAGTAAGAATCAAGAATAAAATGAAAAGATTTCTATGAATTTGAATGTTAGATTTTTAATTTTATGATATTCTGTCAAAGCCCAAAAATGTATTTTGCATTATTTTTTCAACACTGATACAAAATTTCCTGACATTTCCCTAACACATCTACTGTTTCAAATTCCCTGACATTTTTGGGCCTTTTTGACAAAATTTTGCTGTACGTTTTTTCAACACTGATACAAAATTCACACATCTACTGTTTCAAAACTCCTGACATTTCTAGCACCTGGAACCCTGTTGCACACAAATATTTTTTCTTCAATAAATTTACAACATCTTCTATGTAATTTTATCAAGACTACCTCATCAATACTGGTAATTTGGTGACATTTTGTAAATCATAATAGTTGATGCTAAGTATACATAAGAACACAACTATTTTCTGCATTGACCTATAGTTGACAAAATTATTCAGAAGTCACCTTGTACATTACATCCAATAAAATATTGCTAAAATCTTTGCTAAATAAGCAGCAGTAACTAGAATAAATGTTTTTCACTTTGGTATCAAATGTTGTACTCAAAGTTAGTCAAAGCTATGCGATCACAGATGTAACTAAGTGTGTGCACAACAATGTTTAAAGGTAAATGTGCAAGGAAAATAAAATCCAAAAGAACATCTAATGAATTTGTAATGTAGTGACTGAGTGATAATATATAGTTATACCTGTTTGGGGATCAAATCTAATGACTCTTGCCCCAAAGAAACAAGCAACCCAGAGCTTTCCTTCTGTGTCAATACACATGCCATCTGGCACCCCTAGTTCCTTTGGATCTCCTGACTCCAAACATTTAGAGTAATCTATCGCTGTACGACGGTTACCTATGAACAATGCATTTAAAATTATAGGCATGCCAATGTCATTAAAGTTTACAAGAAAAGTCACATATAAACAGTCAACTTATACAAACAATGTAGTCTTGCGCCAAGTCTCTGGACCCCTCCCCTCCACTCTTTATCTACTTCAACTCCTTCGTTCCAGAATTTAGAGGAGGTGAGGTATGTTTAAGCAAATCTACATGTACTAGCAACAATGTTAAAGTTTCAGATTTCCCATTGCCAAAGGTGGCTAAAAGTGTTCAAATTTAGAAGTGTTTTCATTACATCAGATCTAGTATACAAAGTGTTCAAATTATTGGTGTGTTTACATTCAAGAAAGAAAGTTTTTACATACGTTAAAATAGTCAAATGACAATGACTCACTTATGTCACCCGTTTTGTTGTCATAATCAAAAGCATATACAACTTTCGGAATGGAGTCTATGTAGTACATGGTGCTTTTCTCTAGATCCCATGCTAGACCATTAGAAATTGAGACTTTCTCTACCCATTTAGTCAACTGCCCCTCTAAGTCTAGTCTATACAAGCTGCCCATCTCTAGCTCAAGTTGAGTGGGCACTGGTTCATGACCCATTGTACCTGGATCAAGGTGTAGATTGATAAATATGCACCAATATAAAGGCATAGTTCATGTGACCCTAAGATTTGCAGGCTAACAGTAAACACTACCTTTGGTAGGACAAAATAAATACATATTACATGTAAAGTCATGTATTTGATATTACTTTATTTGAGAACTTGACACAATATCTAAAAATAAAGGTAGATGCATAAATAATAAATAATGATTAATCATCAAACTTTTAGGTGAACCTTATTCGGGGTCACCCTTTATTGTAATATACCTGCCCATAGTCTTCCTTTGGGGTCACATTTTCCATCATTGAACCTGTTTTGTGTACCCTGATCCACTTCCTCAGCTAGTGGAGTAACAGTGGTTCTATCAGCTTGTAGATGGTTCAGTTTACGACCTGTACTGATCACATAACCACCAGATCGTCGAGGGACAACCAATGTAACTGGACCCTCATCTAAAAGAGTCATCATTGTAAATCTTATTATACTGCAGTACTGATTAATGCAATAATACCAACTGTGTCTAAGCAAATAGCATAAGAGGGGGCCCCCATAAGAGGGGTCTTACAGCACAGGGATTAACATATATTTACAGATGTAGAATACAGTAAAACCAGTGTAAAGTGAACACCAATAGAGCCACAAAAATGTGTTCACTGTGGTAGGTGTTCAATACAGAGACGGATATTCATACAGAAGTCACTACATTATGTGCGGAAGAAGGGTTTCCTTTAGACACAGGTGTTCACTGGAGAGAAGTGTTCACTGAGACACGTTTTACTGTATAAGAAAATACCTCACGTGTCTTTGAGGGCCAGAAACCAGTTACCTTCTACATGTATCTGAGTCCACACCTATCATGCACATACATGTACAGATCTATACATTATGGTTCAGCTGGAAAGTAACATTTTGGTAAAAAATTGCTATACCTGCACATGTTATTTTCTGGTACAGAATTAAGTATGAATGCATATGTGTATTTCCTTGCTTTTTTCAGGAAAGTATCATTACACTGTCTACTTTTAGTAAACCTGGAAACAGGTCAATGGTAGCTCCTGTGTTGTCTGGAAACTTTGAAAGAAAATTTGGAAAAACAGGAAGTGTGAAATATCAGAATTCCCTGGAGTTCCCTTTGAACGCCTACCAGATATTCTAAAAGAAGACAATGTAATGATACTTTCCTGAAAAAAGCAAGGAAATTGATACATGCCTTCATACTTTATTTTGTACCAGAAAATAACATGTGCAGGTATAGCAATTTTTTACCAAAATGTTACTTTCCAGCTGTACCTTATATAGAAAATATCAGGCATAAAATTGTATAAAGTAGACTCCAAGCTTATGAGTACTGACCTGTCTTATATCTGTTCACAATTGCACCAGTTTTATAGTCCCACCAAATAATTGTTCCCTCCATAATGTCTACAAACATGAGAGTCTGTGAGGCATCATCCCAATGTGGACCTTCACCGACTGTTTTTGCAACTTTCTCAAGACCAGGCACAACCTCTACTTTGTAAGACATTGCGCTGAAAATAATGATTTACAAAATATTATTTACTTACGTAAAAACAAAACAGTTTATTATGACGATGCGTATATGGTTCGTGGTTGTAATTTTTACAAGGATGATTGGCTCCCAGAATGCAACACCGATATTCTGCAAAACAATCACCTAGCGATAGCTTTGTAGGGGAGAGTCTCGGGTCATGCTCCATGCAGTCGTACAAATAATATAGACACGAATAGCAAATGACGCATGCGTGGAGATTAAAGAATATCGAGTTGGAACCCTGGCTTCCAATCCTCCTTGAATTTTTAAAAACTTTATTTTTAGGAGTCTATTATCACCCACCGGTAAATTAGAATTACTTCAATTGTTATTTGTCTTACAACAAGCGCGGTTCAGATTTAAAATACTGTATAAAGATTGCCTATTTATATATATAAAGACTACTTTACATGCTATAAGACTGAACAGTGCTACTAACTGATGTAAATCAACAAATAATACCTACCAACAATTTTTTACAAGTTCAGGAAAGCTATATAAAAGATGGCGCCAAAGCTATAGTAGCAAAACTCCTTTTTAGTATTCTGTATTTGTCAGGCTTCATATCTGCTCAACATACAGCAAAACAAATTGCTTATACCTGTCTTTGAACCTCATTAGAGTTCCTCAAAACATTTCTGTAGCTTATCAGTGAGATTGTGCATGATTGACTGTCTGCTTTTAGTACACCTTATACAATACAGTGCACGAGTGAGAGGTTCATGGTCGATCTATGTTGTAAAAAATCTGTATAGCGACAGGCCCATCCACAGAGGGGAGGGTGTTGGCACTCTTTTCCAGAAATTTATTTTAGTTTTGATTTTACTGGTGCAAATATGGCTCTCAGGTATGCTCAGAATGCACCAGAGGATCTAAATTTCATGACTACTCTAGCTTGCGCCACTCCCCACCTGCAAGTCGCCCCACTCCCTTTGAAAAATCCTTCAGACAGGCATGTGTCTAGATTTGTTTTTTTTTCATATTGGATAGTAAGATTTGATCATTTATGATATAGGCATAATATTATATTAAGGGGGGGAAAGAAAAATTAACAACAATGTTTGAATTATATTTTAAAAAGTTTATTTCATATTCCATAAATATAGAACTTTACAAATATTTTAGGAGTCTCTACACTAATAACTACATATATGCTTCCACCATGTCACCAAAATCATCATTATAATTCTAACAGAACACTTTGTGTAAAATTATATATCACAACAATTCAAAACTTCAATTTGATTCAATATAAAAACATAAAGATCACAAATAAAAAAAATAGTGCAATGGCAGCTTACCATCTAATGCTTAAGGTAAAATTAAAGGTATTTCCGTATGTTCAGACATTTGGAGTCCCAATGTTATTTTCAGTACAGATAAATCATTCCATACTGAGTACATAAGTCTATCAATTATTAGTAAGGGTTCATAATATTCTACAATGTATGAAAGTTCAGTGATCTACTTTTTGAAAGTACAACAAACATATTTCACCGAATCTGGGTACATTTCTGGGTACATTCTTTTGTCTTATTATGTGTACCTGAAAATAACATGGAATTCCTAGGAAACCATTAGAAAACATACCAAATTACCTGAATTTAAATGACCTTATTTAGCACTGATTGACTTGGGCAGAGGGGCAATGCCTTTTTGAGGTTTCATTCTGAAAAATCTTGAATGAAATAGACGCCCATCTTCAATTTCCAGGTACACCACTGCTCAGAGTTATTTGAAATAAAGAAAGTAATCCCTGAACTAAGTTCACCTGTATAGTTATTATGAATGTGTACTTATTAAATGGCTGAAGTGAATAACTGCAAACATATAATAAAAGAAAAATATTTTAGATGCCAATGAAGAGGAGGATGAACAATATAATGTTCATCAATATGAAACAATTTTCAATCTGTCATTATACAAGTCTACACCAAAAACATTTGCCACACGATTAGCCTGTTAACATGACTTTGTAATAAATGTTATAAGAAATGAATCTGTAAATGTTCTGAAGCAAATGAAAGCATTTACAGATGAGCCAAAACATTTGAAAATAAAATGAATTCTTCCACATTTACAATATTCATACACATTTTTAAAATATATATTAAAAGATAATATTGGTGAATGAAATTCATTTGTACATTCATCATATGGCTTCAAGTTACTTTGGAATAATAGGTCTACTTGGCATGATGGGCAAGTCTGCAACTTTTAGTGAACATTAGCAAACATCAATATTTTAATTATTCATCGATTCAAACTACAAAAAGACTTGTTGAGGAAAACATTTGACTGCAAATAACAGAATATTTTATCTTTAAGTTAAATACACACATGTTAAAATAATTACATTTCAATATGAAACAATTTTCATGAAGAAACTAGAAAAATGAACTCCCATACTCGTAGCAAATCCCACTAATTATAACATATTTTATGAAACCACTTGTAGAAATTCCTTCTTGAGTAGAAGTCCAATGTCACACCAGTCTCTAAAATTTGGTCCAAACTGGTGGGAATTTTAAATTGATATTAAAAATTCATTTTTGAATAGAATATTCCCATAGTATTACTGAATATGAAATTTCTATAAAGACACTGGTCTATAGACTTTGGACCAAATCCAATATCTGGTATGTGTCATGAAAAATTGGGATCATTTTGAATTTAGTGGCCATCTTGAAAATTTCTTGAGTTATTAGACCGACAAATGAACTTCTATACACTACCCAAACATTAATTGTTGGATCATAAAACATGTCCAGCGTCATCATATGTCCTGACTGATTAAAGGACCAGTAGCATCATAAATAACCCAACAAGATTTCAAATGAATTCTAGAATATGATACAATGACATTCAAGTTCACAAATTCCATAGATGAAACTTATCCTTTTTAATATTAAAATTTGAAAATATATGAGTACAGAAAGTTTATATTTGATCATGGGTACTTATAACTTCATAAACTACATCTCTTTTTAATTATCTCTCGAATCCCTTCCTCTACATTTTTTGAAGAAAAAATAAATATTCATTATTGGTGAAAATGTAGTGTTTACAATAAGTAATACATTTAAGTCAGACCAAATGTGAAACATGGGTCACATCTAAAATAAAATGATGATACACAGACCCTTTAAAATTGTCATACTTCAAAGAATAATTATTCCATTACACATTCTTTATTTTTGCCTTTTTGTTACTTATTAATGCATGAGATCTAAGCAGGAACACAGAGCTGAACATGGAGAATAAAAGCACTTTTTTCCACAACATAAATGTCCTTTGGCCAGTCAAAGTTAAATATATGTTTAACATCCTCTTAGCTTCCCCTTAAGATTGAAGCAATCAGGGCCCAAATGCAAAAAATTTTGGGCCCCTAAAACCGAAAAGTGGGCCAAAACTTTGAGGCCCATTTTCTTCAAAATTTGGCCTGAAATTAAAAATAAGGCCTAGTAATGACCAAAAAGGCCCACTTTTTGGGGCCTTAAGGCCGAGTTTTTTTCTGGGCCCAACTTAGGGGGAGGAGGCCCCATGGGCCCCCCCCCCCCGGATCCGCCACTGCCTCCCTCCCTCCTAAAATAAATCCTTTGATGTGATGTTAAAGATATAATCAACTTTGAATGGCCTAATAGTATTAATATATACAAATATACAGCCAATCCTATTCCAATTATGTGATCCATGAATTCCCATTTGCTCCATCAGTATTGTTACATCCATGTAAACAAATTGTCCATTATTTATACTAAAATATCACCTCTCCAATAGATGGGTGTCCAATATGTACACATTTTGAGACCTGTTAGATCAATATCAGGATATTATCTAAAATAAATAACATTTAGTCATAATCATTTCGTAAATGAGAAATTCAAAAACATTTTTTGATTAAGCCATTTATACAAAAACTAGGTTTTTAAAGGTTTAAATTGATATTATTTAATATATTTAGGCTATGATCTACTGGTGATCATGAAACGTCTTAGACTTCTTAGCATGCAGAAAATATCAGCTAGACTAATTTGATTGATTACTGGCTGATGAACCAGTGTTCACACTATGTCATTGTTTTGTCAAAGTCTTACAGAAATGCTTACCTGTTTTACAGTCTGTTTTATAAAATCTTTTTTATGTGTTAGGTCAAACTTGGGATATTTTGCATACACCTGCAAGCAAGGAATCATTTATCAACATATGTGATTTAGACATTAACTTTTCTTTTTATATACATTTTAGTTTTACTGGAACTTACGATAGGAAAAAATGTTGACAGTAAATTTTTTATCTATCTATAAATCATCTTAGTTTGACTATGGACAATTTTCACCTTTTCTAATATTTATAGAGTTTGTTGTAAAGAAGATTGTTTTAGCAAGATACTCACTGATTTACACACAGTTTTCATAGTGACCTCTTCCAGATTGGCACCTTCAAGAATTTTTTTTACAACTTTCTTTATCTCTTCTTCCTGAAAAATATGGAAAATAATGAATTGGGAGCCAAGAGGGCTAAAATATTTCTCCATAATCAATCATGTTTTTTTAGGTACTTTTGGTAAATTGCAATGTTTACTAAACTTTTGAAAGTTTTGCAGCACACAAGAAATGTCTTTCTGGGAAAAATATGACCTCTAATATTAGATCATTATTAATGGCAAACAATGAACAAATTAGCAATACGCATTAATCTATCATTTTGAACAAAAATCAGTGATCGAACCACTTAAATCTTAATCCTACATGTTTTGGTCAAAATATCTCAATATCTTAAATTTTTACAGGGTAGTAAAACATTTTCAACTGAGTGTCATCGAATTCGTTGCTCTATTACTATGATCATAAGCTACTAATCATGGATATCAATATCAGTTCACTTACTGATGGCGGAGCTTCAGGTTTTTTTACTAAGGGTTCGTCGTCAGAATCTTCTGAGTCTGTGTCTGTACTTAACTCTAGAGGAGCTGAAAAATATTGAATAACTTTTATCAAAAGTAATAATTTGACAAGGCATTAACATGACAAAATGTCACCACCTAAAACAATTTGGTCAATTTAAAGCAAGTTGGAAAATACCTTTTGACCTTAAGAATGTTTTTGAAGATTTGAGCTTCTGGGATCTTGTAGATGATTTTGAAAAAAGAAATTGTTCAATCTGAAGCAAGTTAAAACTAGTTGCACACAAATCTTAAGTCAGATTTGAACTTCTTAGAACATGTAGATGATTTTGAAAAAAAAATTCGTCAATTTGAAGCAAGTTGAAAAAATACCTCTTTGACTTTTTTTGACATTGATAAGGTCATTGAAGGTCAAATGTCAAATGTAAAGTCAGATTTGAACTTCTGAGAACATGTAGATGATTTTGAAAAAAAATTAAGTAAATTTGAAGCAAGTTGAAAAAAGACCTTTTTGACCTTGAAAAGGTCATTGAAGGTCAAATGTCAAATCTAAAGTCAGATTTGAACTTCTGAGAACATGTAGATGATTTTGAAAAAAAATTAGTCAATTTGAAGCAAGTTGAAAAAAGACCTTTTTGACCTTGAGAAGGTCATTGAAGGTCAAAGGTCAAATCTAAAGTCAGATTTGAATTTCTGAGAAAATGTAGATGATTTTGAAAAAAAAAATTAGTCAATTTGAAGCAAGTTGAAAAAAGACCTTTTTGACCTTTTTTGACCTTCAGAAGGTCATTGAAGGTCAAATGTCAAATCTAAAGTCAAATCTAAAGTCATATTTGAATTTCTGAGAACATGTAGATGATTTTGAAAAAAAAATTTAGTCAATTTGAAGCAAGTTGAAAACAGACCTTTTTGACCTTTTTTGACCTTGAGAAGGTCATTAAAGGTCAAATGTCAAATCGAAAAGGCAGATTTGAATTTCTGAGAACATGTAGATGATTTTGAAAAAAAAATTAGTCAATTTGAAGCAAGTTGAAAAAAGACCTTTTTGACCTTTTTTGACCTTGAGAAGGTCATTGAAGGTCAAATGTCAAATCTTAAGTCAGATTTGAATTTCTGAGAACACGTAGATGATTTTGAAAAAAAAATTTAGTCAATTTGAAGCAAGTTGAAAACAGACCTTTTTGACCTTTTTTGACCTTGAGAAGGTCATTGAAGGTCAAATGTCAAATCTAAAGTCAGATTTGAAGGTCAAATGTCAAATCTAAAGTCAAATCTAAAGTCAAATCTAAAGTCAGATTTGAATTTCTGAGAACATGTAGATGATTTTGAAAAAAAAATTAGTCAATGTGAAGCAAGTTGAAAAAAGACCTTTTTGACCTTGAGAAGGTCATTGAAGGTCAAATGTCAAATCTTAAGTCAGATTTGAATTTCTGAGAACACGTAGATGATTTTGAAAAAAAAATTTAGTCAATTTGAAGCAAGTTGAAAACAGACCTTTTTGACCTTTTTTGACCTTGAGAAGGTCATTGAAGGTCAAATGTCAAATCTTAAGTCAGATTTGAAGGTCAAATGTCAAATCTAAAGTCAGATTTGAATTTCTGAGAACATGTAGATGATTTTGAAAAAAAAATTAGTCAATGTGAAGCAAGTTGAAAAAAGACCTTTTTGACCTTGAGAAGGTCATTGAAGGTCAAATGTCAAATCTAAAGTCAGATTTGAACTTCTGAGAACATGTAGATGATTTAGAAAAAAATTGAAGTCAGTCTAAACAGTATTTGTTAAGTTATAGGAAGTTGTAAGAAATTGTTACAGACGCCAACCGCCGGACGCCAACCTCCAACCTCCAACCGCCGGACGCCGTCGCAAAAAAAACGGAGACCATAACAATATGTCACCACTTTTGGTGGTGACATAATAAAAATGATAATAACTAGTCCGTAATTATCTGATGTTAAATTAGTTATTGTAATTATAAAAGGTGGCTTGGCTTGGACAAGGCTGATTCAGATCAGTTGAGAAACTCCAAGAAGAGTTGTCGTAATGATAGTCAATCAACAATGGGGTCATGGGGAGTCAAGACTCAGGCTCCCCTATTAATAATACATTGATATTTCACCACAGGTGCAAAAGGGAGAATGACCAATTTGGTATATCGTTGCTAATATATACTAATCTTTTCTCATAAATACTGACTTAATGTTTTAAAACATTGGTCTGGGAAATCTTTCTCTTGATAAAGATCGATATAGTAAAAATATTGTTCTGCATGGGTGAATCTTTATTTTGTTAACTCTTTAATTTACTCTGTACAGTTTAAATCTATGTCACAGCAATCAATATTTGTTTCTTATTAAATGAAAACAGATAAGTGTAATTCAAATGTAACCAGTTATAAACACAATTAGATTACAGATGAGGAAGTTCCACATCATTTTTATCTATTCTCTTACTTTATATTTTGAGTGGATTGGGCAAAAATAACTTATATGATCTTTATCAGTTTACAGTAATAATAATAATAATAAAAAACAAACATTCATAATGAGGCTTACGTTTCTTTTTAGGTGTTGATTTCTTGGGTGTTGTTTTCTTGGGTGTTTTTTTCTTCTCCGTCTTTTTCTTGGCTGACTTTGACGGTGACTTGATTTTAGGTTTTTCTAATTTCTTCTTTTTCTTTGGGGGTCCCTAAAAATGTTAATACTCTTTATAAAATAAATAAAATAACAAGTAGGCATAAACATTCAAAATGTCACCACCTACCATTTGTTACAGATGCCAAACTCCAAATGCCAACTGCCGCCACAAAAAAGTTGGAGACTATAACAATATGGCAATAATAATAGCTACAATTAACTAATATAAGGTTATTCCTAAAACCAATTCAATTGTCTCACATTTTTAAACCAGTAATGACTACATAAAGCACATATACATAAATTGGTTGATCTCTCTGAAAACACTTGTTGGAATCTAACTTACTGCATCACAATCTTACTTATGAAGTAATTGCAAATACCTCAGCAGAATCAGCCTCTGCTTCACTACCAGCTTCCTCCTCATCACTTCCAACATCAGCTCCATCTTCTGATTTCTTCACCTTTGGTTTCCTTTTCCTCTTCTTATTAGTCTTCTTCTTCGCAGACCCCTTCTCTTAAAAAACACAATTCAGCATGTGCTTAATTTCACTAAAAGAGGATCTCCTTTATGTTGGGATTCAATTCCACTAAGATGGTTTCTTTCCTTTGGCCGTTATATTAGTATAATATTTTCTCTGATTCTTAAATGACCAAATTTGACCATAATTAATTCATTTAATTTATCCCTCAGATTTCCATAATTATAACTTACTCTTAGGTTGGGGTGGGGACTTTCCAGTGTCTTTAGGGGCCATTATAAAATCCATTAACCTCTTAACGATAACATCCTTGGTACCACTCTTCTCTACATCCATCACTTCACACATCAGCTTAATCTGTGCCAAGTGGTATCTGAAGCCATAAAGAAACATGAATTTGTCAAAAATTGTACATGAAGTTACAAAATACTTGAACCATTCCCAACTGGATCGCAAATCGATTTTCCACTCGTGCAAGAAATGCAGATCGTATGGACTGAACTTTTCAGGAGATGATCTTTATTTTTGATTATGATTGAATTCTACATAAAGGACCTCACATAAACTGATAACATATTCTCACTTTTTTATGAACTCTGTTTTCTTCTCATACTCTGGACTTCCTTCCTCAAAAGCAAATCCACAGAATTTCCTGATATTTTTTTTCACCTCCGGAGTCTAAATAAAAACAGAAATATGAAATTTTAATGTGACTAAAAATATGACCTCATATTTTTACTTTGCAAAATACAACATCTGATTTTATGCTAAATGGTAAATTGATTAAGTGAATTTTCTTATTTCAAGTACAGTACACTGTTAAGTACAGCGTACAGCACAGGATACAGTAATGTCAGGTAATTTTCAAGGGCAAAGCAACTGGGCCTATGGTTTTTTGATAAAAACTGCATCCAATGCTACTTAAAATAAAATTATCTTACAAACAAGGAAAAGAGTGTGTTCACCATGCACACGTACACATCAAGAAATATAAGCTTTATTTTAATTTTGAAGATAATTTGTATGCTATAGTCACTGGCTGGTATCGAAAGATTTGTCCGCATTGACGGAGCATGCTATTTTTTATAAAAACACTAAGAATGCTTCACGATTTATTTTTTAACTCATATGTTTCGTTATATCAAAGATAATAACTTACTCCATGCAATGGATATATCATTTGCGTGTAACCTTCACTTCTGTTTGAAGTCCAATAACGCTAGGAGTAAAATCTATTGAAAACGGCGCCAGAGTATCAAACTCTAAAATGTACCATTTCTTTTTTAACTTTTTAATGGCATGATATAGTGACACGATAATATTAACATATATTTTCAGCATAACTCTGAATGTATTAATGATATATTAATGCATTGGGTCTTTTTAATTTTTTTATAAAAAATAATATTAATATTTTTTGTCCGCTGTGACGGAGCATTTTCACAGTTCACATTTGCAACTGCTCCGTCACAGCGGACAAAAAAAATTAAGCATTATAAAAGAATTAAAAAGACCAAATACATCAACATCTCATTTATACCTTCAGAGTTATGCTGAAAGCATGTGTAAATATTATCGTGTCACTTTATCATGCCATTAAAAAGTTAAACAAGAAATGGTACATTTTGAAGTATGATACTCCGGCGCCATTTTCAATAGCTTTTCTTCCCAGCGTAATTGGACTTCAAACAGAAGTGAAAGTTACCCGCAAATGATATATCCATTGCATGGAGTAAGTACTTTTGTATGGTATAACGAAAGATATGAGTTTAAAAATAAATCGTGAAGTATTCTAAGTGTTTTTATGGAAAATAGCATGCTCCGTCACAGCGGACAAATATTTCGATACCAGCCTGTGATAGAATCGATAAAAAAATAAAATGACTTACTTTTCCAATGACTCCAAATAGTAACTTGTGTAGAACTTTCAGATCTTCTGCCTTGTTCCTGTTTAGGTGATATTCAACTGTAAAGGGAATAAAAAAATGTTGGCACTATTAAGTAAAGTGAAATTCCATTCAAAAATGTGAAGTGTATTTAGGTGAAATAAACTTTAAAGAATGTGCTTGTTTTTTAAATTATTTATCTAATAACTCTATCTCTATCGCATACAAATATTTTAGAACTTAAAAGTGAATAACCAATACAGTACGAAATGAACCGACAAAAAAATTCACAATTTTGAAATAGCACTGAGCAGATAATGTAAGATGTTACAACAACTTGTCCAAGTAGTTCATCTGGAGGTACTGTTAGAGACCAAGTCAAACATCACTGTACATGTATAAAACGCATATAAGAACACAAATGTGTACAAAATGTCCCCACCAATGGGTGATCCTGTCAAATGGTTATCCTGAAAATGAGTAGACAAGACTTTACCGACACAATTTGAGGACGGGAAATCCAAATGGCCACCTTAAATTTTAACCAGAATGCCATAAAGTTAGTCAGTTCTAGATTTTCATACTATGAACCACCCCAGAAAATTTGAAATTGATCTGTCAAACAGTTATCCAGAAAACGGGTAGACAAGTCTTTACAGACAAGATCTAAGGATGGAAAATCCAAAATGGCTGCCTTGAAATTTACCCAGAATGTCAAAAAACTAATCAGTTCTAGATTTTCATACTAAGAATCATCCCTGAAAATTTGAAAATGATCTACCAAACGGCTCACCTGAAAACGCGTAGACAAGACTTTACTGACAAGATTTTAGAACGGAAAATCCAAAATGGCTGCCTTGACATTTACCCAGAATGCCAAAAAACTAATCATATCTAGATTGTTGTACTAAGAATCATCCCTTAAAATTTGAAATTGATCTACCAAACGGTTCACCTGAAAACGTGTAGACAAGACTTTACTGACAAGATTTTAGGACGGAAAATCCAAAATGGCTGCCTAGACATTTACCCAGAATGCCAAAAAACTAATCAGATCTAGATTTTCATACTAAAAATCATCCCTGAAAATTTGAAATTGATCTACCAAACGGTTCACCTGAAAACGTGTAGACAAGACTTTACTGACAAGATTTTAGGACGGAAAATCCAAAATGGCCGCCTTGACATATACCCAGAATGCCAAAAAACTAATCATATCTAGATTGTTGTACTAAGAATCATCCCTGAAAATTTGAAGTTGATCTACCAAACAGTTCACCTGAAAAGGTGTAGACAAGACTTTACAAACAAGATTTTAGGACGAAAAAATGCAAAATGGCCGATAATAAAAAAGTGATAATGAGTTTTTGCTGATTTCTTTTTACAAAATTATCACATATAACTACCATTAACAATAACATAGGCTTTTACAACAAAGTATACCTGAAAGTATTTATAAAGCTACAAAATAGTTAAAGTATGAAAACTCAAAAACACCATTCAATATGATACAAAGTATTATCGCACGCTAACTTTTCTTAAGACATTAAAAATGGCTGCTATGACTGAGCTAACAGGTCCAAAACCTAATCAGATGTAGAATGAAGTGAGCTGAACAAGATGTTAAAGTTTGAAAAGCAACTGTGAAGCCGTTTTCCTTAGAGTTTGCGGACAAGGATTTTAGCATTTTACTTCAAAATGGCCGACAGGAAGTAGGTATTGAGTTAAAAAAATTTCATCCACATCTGTATGCACTCATAAGTTATCCCTGAAAATTTGAAGGTGATATCTGTAGCGGTTTTGGAGAAAACTGCCGGACGTACAGACGGACGGACGGACAGACGGACGCGCCTAGGCCGACAATATGGCCCCACACTATGTGAACAGACGGACGCGCCTAGGCCGACAATATGGCCCCACACTATGTGGTGGGGACATAAAAACTAATTCATGGGGGAGAAAATGACACATATAGAAAACTGAAATGATAAGTTTGATAAGCTCCAATGAACAAGAGGCAGGTATGCAACTGTTCTTCAAAAATACTGATATCTAACTTCAAACATGTACTCACTTATTGCACAATCTCCACATTTGTCTCCCTTGCCTTCTGGTATTTCAACAACTTTTTTCTCAGCAGATGTTGTTGTCATTTCTGTAGCTAGGCGGACTACCTTCTTACGCTCTCTCTTACCAAGATTTGTCTCAATAGGCTTTTCTAGAGTCCCCACTGCAGGTAAAAGAAATGTATTTATAAGTAGGCTACAGTGGTAGAACAAGCGACTTGATATCTAGAATTTTACTGTCAAATAATCTGCTAAGCAAGGGATACCATCTCAGTTTTTCATATCATATTTTCAATTTCAAATCCTTTTATTCACTGCAACCAACACTTATCTTTGTGATTAATGAAACCAACTTGAAAGCAGCAAAAGATGCATGAGGGCCATAAAGAAACAAGCAGAATCTTACATTCCATTTCTTCTTCACTCTCATCTTCCTCATCCTCTTCTCCCTGATCTTCAGATTTTGCTGGTGACTTTATAGGGGTTTTCACAGGGGTTTCTGCTTTTGCAGGAGTTGAGGCTTTCTCAGGGGTCGCAACTTTAGCAGGAGTCACATCTTTTACAGGGGTTGTTAATTTTGCAGGAGTTGTAGCTTTTACAGGGGAGGTATCTTTCACTGGGGTTGAATTCTCTGAGGTGTCTTTGTGCTCATCATCCATTTTTTTCTCTGTTGACTGTAACCGAGAAATAGTAATAGCAAATATTTCAAGACATTTTGGACAACCCTCATATATGATTCAACTCTTTTGGAGTTTTCTTTAAACAATAGGTTTACATGTATTTCATTACAGATTTGTCAGATTTGGTATATATTTGGTAGAACACGGTAAAGTCGCCATTTTTTAACTTTCAGTTTCGAAACTTCTAATTTCATGCATCTTTTTGCGTATAGCAGTCGTTATAGGTTGTCCTTCGTTAAAAATAACATACGGGAATGAACCTAAGGAAACAAAGAACTCTGGGAACTACCAATTTTTAACAGTGGACGTGTCTTGGGGAAGAAATCGACTCTGGAGGTAATAATTTGGCTGCAAAAATTTTCGGTACTTGCATTGTAATCACTTCTTTACATATTCTTCAGATTTCTCAGCAACTAGTGGATGGATTTCTACCATTTTGGGTAACTTTACTCTGCAGAGTTGTTTGAATCAGCATGTCGATTATTGAAAGGATTCCACTTATTTTTACTGGATATACCTAGTAACAATCATTTTCTACAAATTTCAGGAAGCATCAACATCGACCACCCTTATACTCTTAATAAGCAGTACACACTCATCGGAGGGCTTGCCCGACGCCTCGAGACAAGCCCCTGTGGTCCCGCGAGAAAATCTTTGGGGGGGTTGACAGTACTGCCCTTGTGTCGGAAAATATAATATAGGAAGGTAATGATAGCATGTGCATGATTAATTTGAATACATCATACAGTCATATGAATGGATTGGATTGCCAACTTCAACTTGGTTCAATGATTAGGGATTTGAATCATAGATCCCGGCCAGATTCTTTTGTAGTAGGATCAGTAGCTCAATAAATATTCCTCAAGATGAGACACCTTAGAAAATTTCAAATTTTAAAATGACGATTATGGAGCCATTTCTGAAAAATATGAGACAAATCATACCTCATTCGAAGCATCTTGTTATTCTTTAACTTTTTTATCACCAATGATCGATATTCAAGCAATGCTGCGTTGATAAGAGGCCAAAACAGTGATATTTTATTGCCGGACTCTTGTCTGTCCAAATCTGAATGGTGCTCCCGTGGTTCCAGAAATGTGACGTCATCAGTTCAATGATATTTGGACACACAAGAGTCCGGATCTCGTGAAAAATATTCACCGTATTAAAAGTCAAATTACTGCATCCATAGGTTATTTACCCGAACCAAACAAGTAAAAATAGAAAGATGAAGATCTCAGCTATAAAATAAGTGCAAAATCTGTCATGAGGAAGCAGGTACCATTTTGTATAAGGAACATTTTTAAAAGGTGGTCATATTTTTTTGAAATTTTCCAATTTAGTGTCGTATCTTGTGAATTATTCTTTGAGCCTATGAGATCCTACTATAAACCGATCTGGCCAATATCTGTGATTTGAATGATTGTTGTTGTTTGCATGGTGGAACAAACTTGAATAATTTTTAGTTGTTTTCCAAGTTTGGGACCATGCCACAGAGAAATCTGTAGATCTGCTGCACCAGTACAACAGCCTGGGGAATCTTATAGAATTCTTCTTAACATGGCGGTAATTAAAAATGCTCGAGCATACCTCTTGTCCAAGTACAACGTCTCTATCTTCAGGATTTTGCGTCTCAGACATGGCGATAATGGCGGTAAAGCAGGCGCGCACAAACGAACCAATCAAAATCGATTTGACATTCCAAAGGTGAAATATGACGGCAATTCTCATTGGAACATTTGTTGACCTACTTTTGAGAGGAAGTGAACAAAATTTGACAAAAACACTTCGCTGCTCATATTTTGATAATTTCCAGCGATGAACGCGACTGAAAGGCACTTTACGTTAAAGTATACAGACCAGTGAAAACTCCAAAGAAGTTCTAGGAAGTTGTAACCGTATTGCTAATTTTAAAGATCAAAAAGGTGAGTTTTATCTCTAGACTCTAGTCTAGGCCTAGATCTACAAATAAAAATAATGAAAATAATTTCTAATTCTATCTGTTTGTTTGTTTGTAAAAGGATACAAACAAACAAACAGAGATGAAAATAATGAAACAAGGGAGGGTTTCGCTTTTGAATAATTAGAAATACTGCCGCATAGTTGATAGCCTCTATTTTTCCAACATTGGCATGTGCGTAGTAAATGTTATCTCAGGGATGTTATCTGCACCATGGGCTCTAGAGCCCATGTCTGCACACTACATGGTAGAGGTGTCACGGGTACCCACTTTTGTCCCGATCCGTGGAATTATGCCCCCAGAACGGAACACGGAACTAAAATTAAGAATTTTGGTTCGGTTCCGGAACAAGAACATTTTACCCTTTCACAACTTCTGGCCCTTGAATCGCCACAAAACAGCATTTTTCTTTCAATATTTTCACCATTCTTTTTACTCCTTCTCTTTGAAGAGTTTTGAAGAGCTTTTCGCTTCCAAATAAACCTAGATGATCAAACTATTTTAATCGAATACACGCAGTCACTCTGTTCCGAACCATTCCAAAATTGTTCCATTCCGAAGCGAAATGTTCTGAACCGATCTGATAGAACAGCCTTTGGATGCCCCTATCACCCGCTACAGAATCGAGATGGCTAAAACCGAAATCCTGAAATGAGCTACTGTACTTACTGAAACATATTACGACAAAATAAACTTAACAAGATTCAAAATTCCTTGTAATAACCCCCCGGAATAACCCTAGGGGTTTCACTCCAATATACCTCTTAATACCTATGTGCCGCGCCAAAGATCCCCTTTTTGAGCATTTTTTCCATGTCAGTTTCCTCTGGAGATTGAAAGTTGCCATATATACTTCCTCTCAGATTTATAAAAACTGTTTAAGGATTTAAGCCCTGGACTTAATGCAATGTGGAATGACCATTCATCGAAGGTCTTGTGTTAATTATAAGATACAACTCCTGAACAGAATGGTCATTACACAATGCATTGAGTCTTTGTTAGGGTTAAATTCTTTTCACACATTGCAAAATATGTTCTACAAAATCACTTAAAGAACATATTTTCAATAAAACTTTTTGCAAGGGTCAAGTTAGCAAGTTATCAATTTCAATCTGAGGAGTCCAGTCATCAACTTGACAACCATTTAACTAGTGACCTTGAGTTGGTTATTGGTTATATAATAGAATGCAGTTATGTGAAATTGTGTCTACTGATTGGCTGGAATCGAACACACCTTGCCTACTGATGTGTGCATATCATATTAGTCTATCACATATTAATCCTAGTAGAACCATGTTTTTTTAGTATCCCATCGAACAAAGTTCAGAGGGATATAGGGAACGTCTCTGTCCGTCTGTACATCCGTCTGTCTGGGCAATAACTCAAATACTGTTGGCCCAATTTTGTTCATATTTTGTACACATATACCCTATGGGGGTAGAAGTTCTGCTCAAAAGCCGATTTTCAAAATGGCTGCTCATTGAAAAATGGCAGCTATTCTAGTGCCTATTTTACAGTAATTTAGGTGCATTATGTAAAACTGTAATAGGAATATGTTTTAAATGTAAAAAAAATTATGTAGAACATTTATAAAACTAAAAATGTAGATATTAATGGTTATTTGCTTGCATTTTGAAAAATGGCCACCATTTTCACTTATTTTACTATAACTCGAAAAGTAATGGAGCGATTTTGTTCATATTGGTATGTGAATACTATAAGCATGGCACACTGTCTAATGAGACTTTTGGTAGACAGTGGCCATTTTTGCTATATACTTTGTTTGTAAAAATGCCAGCCATAGCTGTTCCATGGGATTTGCTACGCTTTGGCGTTGCTGTTGTCTAGTTACAAACATTTGTACCATATGGAATAAAGATTTGGCAGTGCTAAAACATATAGGGGTTGACTTTTAAATTGAAGCTGAGTTGAGTTTGGGTTGAGTTTTACTGGGTTTTGTTGACTATGAATATCCTATTTGTCTCACATATTAATCCTAGTAGGACCATGTTGACAGTTTGGAGCTTTTTTTATTCAACAAACTTGTATACCACATGGAATAAAAATTTGTCAGCCCTAAAATATATAGGGTTTAAGTTATATTGGGGTTGGGTTGACTTGGGGTTGAATTTTACTGGGTTGAGTTGACTTGGGATTGAGACAACCAGAAAGCTACAAAAACATGTGAAAAGATAATGTTAATCTCTGATATTTATCTTTAAGAAAACGATATGAATGCAGCAAGGATATAGAAAAGTCCTTTTGACTGTCTATCAGTCTATCAATGTAATAATTCAAATATCAGCATATGCAAAGTAAAGTTAAATCTCAACAGAAATATCAAATGCCTTATAGATGGTCGCTAAGTGGTATGTGGATGTTTCTACCTAAAATGCAAGACAGCCAGGACAGATTGGCATTAATTTTTTTATTACAGTTAAAAATTGCTATATTTTATATTTGGCAAACGTTTTGTGTCAACTCTTACAGTATAGCATATTATGCCATTCAATGAATACGACATTCAAGCATGTTTATTTGCAGTAGCTCAATAGTTGAAATAAATGGTAAGGATATATTGCGTGTACAAGGATAAATATTTGTTGAATGCAAGCCGACTTATTTCTTGAAAATCATTATTAGTTCTCGCATATAATTACTGAACATTATTGCATATGAAAAAAGAGATAGAGGTAATGCACCAACAGAGAGGAACTAAATCAATGTGCCTGGTATGTGAGGGTCACAACCCATCTGTATGCAAAGGTCACAACCACCTTTGGAATGGAAAATCCTTCGACTGGGCTTGGACTGATCACCTTTGATTGGGTTCATGTTCAGAGCACAGTAAAAAACAACTGCATAGCCCCCAAAGCTCTATAAAGAAGACTACTAATGATGCTTCTTGGAAGCTAATATGTACTGATGAGCACTTCGTGTTTGTTTATCAGGAAGTATTTCCCAGTTGAGCTATGTAAAATACCAGGTAGGGATGACCTCGTATAAAATACAATATAAACAACAACTCACGATTACTGAAGACTCTGATGAAACAGACATAGGTTCAATATGACCCCTAGTAGAATAAGATCAGATGCACTTTATCATGCCTTAGCATCTCACTTTCTTGTCATCACGATTCCAGGAAAACCACTTGACGGATTTACTTCAAATTTTCACACATGTTACATGATAAGAATTTCTAGAGATTATTGACTTTTTGGTGGCCATCTTGCATTCTGGTGGCCATCTTGGAAGTTTTTAGATAAATCTTGTCATCGCGATTTCATGAAAACCACTTAACAGAATTACTTCAAATTTTCACACATGTTACATGGTAAGTTCTAGAGCCAAGGAGGATTGGCTCCCAGGATCGAAACTCGATATTTTCCAACAATGAAATCGTCGAAATGTCGTTATTTTCTGAAATTATAACCAACTATAAATTCAAAATAAACAGTCCAAAAGATTCGAACCAATATCTCGATCATTTCTCCTGAGTTTTGGAATTTTTCGTTCGGAAACAAGACCAAAATTCACGATTCAAATGCTGAAGTGAACAAAATGGTGGCTGTTTGAATTCAAATTTTGTATCACGACATGCCCATATATGGGACAGAATATCGATGTTGCACTCTGGGAGCCAATCCTCCTTGTTCTAGAGCTGATTAATTTTTCGGCAGCCATCTTGCATTCTGGTGGCCATCTTGGAAGTTTTTAGATCAATCTTGTCATCACGATTCCAGAAAAACCAATTAACGGATCTGCTTCAAATTTTCACATATGTTACATGGTAAGAAGCTGATTTACTTTTTCGGTAGCCATCTTGCATTCTGGTGGCCATCTTGGAAGTTTTTTGGTAAATCTTTTCATTGCGATTCCATTCTGGTGTGCATTTTGGAAGTTCTAAAGATAAATCTTTTTTCATCGCGATTCCAGGAAAACCACTTAGCGGATTTGTTTCAAATTTTTACACATGTTACATGGTAAGAAGTTCTAGAACTGATTAACTTTTCAGCGGCCATCTTGCTTTCTGGGTCATCAAATCCACACTGGTATGTTTTAGGTACGATATTGTTCATTTGTGCCTTGTTTACAAGAATAAGCCATTATTTTCAATATAAGGGGCCCAAATTCTTGCCTAAATTATATATTTTGCTACGAGTCATCCATTTGTATAGCTTTGTGTTGAATCACCATAAGGTTTTAAAATAGTATCATTTCCTTTAGGTTGTTTTGTATCAAATGAAGAATAGAGAAACAGCTCAAGCTATGGCATTTTTGATTCCATTTAATTACATATCATTACTCCATCATGAGAAATCATGGCCTTCTAATAAACATTATTTTTTAGAAAGCCATGAGTCATTTGGAGTCTACTTTCGATTAAGCACGCACTGTTTTGCTGAAAATGTTACAGACCAATTAAATAAATTACAGAGATCAGGTGATCATGAGTATTACAGGAACGCATAACCTGGAGTAAGACTCCACCAATCGAATCGCTTTAAAGACTATAGATATGATACAACTTGTATTGAGACTCATGACAGTGACAATAGAAAGTACATACCACTTTGTAATGTCATAATTGAAATATTTCCTCCTATCTGATGATATCAGAACGCAAAATATAACTAAGATTTTCGACATCTAAAAAGTCACTCGACTTTTTTGTGATTTTGAATCACAGAAAGCATTCTGAAGTTTCAAATTGGCGCCACGTTTAATTTTTGGCATCCACCTAATGTATACCACTTACCTTTTATTGATTCTTTCATAAGTTTCGTCATAAACTCAGTTTGACCAGAAGTATCTTTGTTGCTGCTCGATTTTTAAAAAATCACCCGGATGGTATTCCTATTACTGGGAATATGTTATATGTTATTTTGCATGTTATTTTTCCATGCATCAGGTTAGAGTATAGGGACGTGACATCAGGTCAGTGCAACATTTTGTCGTTCAAAAAGCAACAAGCTTAATGTCTATGTCTGGGTAGGATGATCTGGTCAACAAAAATGCAAAAAACTGTCACTCTTGAATGTCTTAAGTAATATGATAAAACCCAGTTTTAACTGGTTGGTTTGTTCATCACACGATTTCTGCTGTAACTTGAAAAGTAAGGTAGCAAGTGAAGTAAATATTGCTCTCTACTATTGGTATAAGGTTGCTTTTCACCTATGGAGATAATATGGTGAATATCCATCTGATGATATGATTAGTTCCCTTGGTCTATACATGCCCTCAGGAAACATTGATATCAGCCAGGATATTTCTCATATCAAATACATCTTGGTGAATAACTACTTTTTCCCATTTGCCTAATGAAAAATGTAATAGAGCAATTTTACTTAAATTTTATATGTACATGCATATGGAAAAATTAAAAATTATCTGTTGATAGTTTGTACAATATGACAGCCATTTTATATAAAATGTTAGAGTAAAGGAGTGATTCAGTATATGGCCACTATTTTTGCACTGATCTCCCCAGGATTTTTTCAAAGCTTCGCTCGCATGATTTTTGGGTCAATTTTTGATGCTCACATCACTCGCTTTGTCAAATGTACTTCAGCAGCTCACAGGATGTTACTATTTCTTCAAGCAGGGGAAACGGGGGGGGGGGGGGGGGTAAATTGAGTGAGCAGGGGGGAGCGCCATGCAATTAGATTCTGGGGAGAACCCAGCTTTGAAAGTGGCTGAAAAAATGTTGCCATCACCATCTTGTGATGTATTACAACGCCTCTCTATATAATATTGTTTTTTTCATTTTATTTCATTTTATATGAAGCAATATATTAAAAAATATACAATTGTATTTGCAGATGTGAGAATCCTATTATCACCATACTGCTTCCTGCTGTGCTCTTACTGCTATTACCATATACAACAACGCCAACTTGTCACAATGACTGAATTGCTGATGCTTATTAATGGCCAGGAGTAACTTCTCAATTGGTAAGTAATTCACAGTGCTACTTTCACTGTAGTATAGTTTACTTAAACAAGATACAATAAAGGGATAAGATGCATTATGTGAATACATATTGACATTTTCTGATTGATATTCAAACAATGGTATGATGAGAGTGATGATATATTGATGATAAATCACCCAACTTCAGCGATGTAATATGTTGGGTACTTGTAGATTATCATGATTATTGTTAAACAGAAATTGTTTTTGCAGTTAAGAGTTAATGACTGATGTGATATAACATTTTCTCATATGACTAACAAAGATACAGCCATCTTTACCCCATGCAAGATATTGCCATCTTTCATCCTAAAAAGTCATACGTCAGTGAGAGACAAATTGTGGCATTTAATAATACTAATTACCAGTATTATGTTTTCCCAAGTAAAAATACATGGTTAGAACATATTTTATAAAGATTATAGAAATGTATCAGAAATTCGGTGTACCAATTTGACACACAGAAATATATATAAGAAAAATGTAAAAACTTGAAGTCCGCAATAGGCTAATCAGTGAAATGGAAACTCTAGAATATATATGATACTACAGGATAATGAAGCTGTATACTGCAATATGAAAATGTAAGAAAAAAATTTCAAATTAAATTATAAAAAACCTGTTTTAAATCAAAAATAAAACTAGAGGTTATGCATATAACATGTATAAAATAGAGAGAAATATCATTTACTAAGATTCTGATTGAATTGCATGATTTAAATAAAGTATGATTTGATATTTTTTAAACTGGTTATATATTATATTTTAACACCTCAGCTGGAGTATATTTTTAGAGAAACCAATGCAAAGATGTGGGCAAAATGTGCTAATTGTTTTGTTGTATCTTATTGCCATTAATATAAAGGAGATACATGTATACAAATTATGTAAATGTAGAATTGGAAAAAAGGAAAAAGATCACTATTTGCCAAAAAACACTCATTGTTTTTTTACTGCCGACGACGCCTAGCTACCGCATGGAAGCATGCTGCCAACCAAGATAGGCCTTGGAACTAATTTTAACACAATTGGAAAAATTACTATTGTGTATTTTTCAGAGTGTGCCATATAGCAGTGGAGATGGCTGTTTATACATGTAGTAAGAACCAAGTTGATTTGGCCATTGACCCTATCATCACCTGTAAACTATGTTTGATGGAATGCAGTCCAGAAGACATGTATGAACTGAGGGAATGCAAATGTCTCTACTGCGAAATGGTATGTGCTACTTGCAATACACAAATTCATTATTTAAGTTATAAATGTAGACCTATCTAGAGATGGCAGGTATGTGCTACTTGCAATACACAAATTCATTATTTAAGTTATAAATGTAGACCTATCTAGAGATGGCAGGTATGTGCTACTTGCAATACACAAATTCATTATTTAAGTTATAAATGTAGACCTATCTAGAGATGGCAGGTATGTGCTACTTGCAATACACAAATTCATTATTTAAGTTATAAATGTAGACCTATCTAGAGATAGCAAAATTGTATATTTCCACCCCGATTTCCACTGTAAACTAAGATTTAAACTATTTACCAGACGGCATACAGAGGTCAACAGTAAACCTAACCATGAAATATTAAAGAGAATCAATATATACAGTGGTTGACATATTTAGGAAATGTTTGATAAGACTTGTTCACTTTTCAAAATGCTATTTAAAGCATATTAAAAAGTGGAGATTCATGTGAACATCTGGTATATAATTTCAAAAGACCATACATTCTTAAAATTGACCTATACAAAATGCTTATATTTGTATGGATTGTACATGAATTGTAAAAAGATTTTCATAAAGAGGTCTACTTTCTTTATTTTTCATAAATCTTTGCAAATGGTTAACAGACAAAAAACATTTCCTGTTTTTTGTAAAGCTTGGGATTCTGACAAAAAATAGACATAAATAGAATTGAAGTCTACATGTAAAATTACATCTAGACATGTGGTTTACAAAATCATTTATCAACTTTGTCATTTATTTTTATTTGAAAGTATGACTTGTAGGCCGGGTAGATTCTCCATGGACCACATGTTATAAAATCAAGAAAAGTGAAATACCTTTCCTTGTGTTGGCCAGATAATATTTTCTTTTCCTGGAAGGGTTACATCGTACGAAAATTGATCCACTTAAATAGATGAATATTCAAGTTTAAAGCGGCTACAAGGACTGTGAAGAGAAAAATGGATAAATTTGATCTTTTCTGAGCTATCAGGGCGAAGTTTTGTCTAACATCTTCTTCCTTATTATTATCGCACTTTGAAAAAGTGCTATATTGTCGTCGTCTTGTGCTGTTGGGCGGGCGTGTGGGCGTGCGGGCGGGCGGCACATAAACCAAATCTTGTCATCAAATTTCCAGGATAACTGCTTACCTGTTCAACTTGAAATTTTTACAGATGCAAGAGCAGACTAGTACCAAGATCTGATTAGGTTAAGGGCATGCTGGGTAAACTACGTAGTGGCCATTTTGAATTTTTCAACAAATCTTGTCATCAAAATTCCAGGAAAACCACTTTACCGTTCAACTTGAAATTTTTACAGATACAAGAGCAGACTATTGCCAAGATCTGATTAGGTTTTGGGTATGCTGGCTGAATTACAAGGTGGCCATTTTGAATTTTTCAATTTGGCGGCCATTTTGAATTTTTCAAAAACATCTACAAGTTCTCAGAAGTTCAAATGTGACCTTAGATTTCAGATTTGACCTTTCCTTCACCTTCAGTGACCTTGAAAAGGTCAAAAAAGTTGATTTTCTAAATTGATATTTTTGATTTAAATTTAGGTCAGCTTAATTACAAAAGACCTACTGAGGTCTGAAAAAGTGAAATTTTTAAGGTCGAAGGTCAAGGTCATTAAACAAAGTCACAAATGATGTTATCCAAGTTTTTTCAAAGTTTGAGACTACAAATCAATTCTTGTCATCAAAATTCCAAGAAAACCGCTAACCTGTTCAACTTGAAATTTTTACACATGCAATAGCAGACTAGTGCCAAGATCTGATTAGGTTTAGGGCATGCTGGGTAAACTATGTGGCGGCCATTTTGAATTTTTCAACAAATCTTGTCATCAAAATTTCAGGAAAACCACTTATCCGTTCAACTTGAAATTTTTACAGATGCAAGAGCAGACTATTGCCAAGATCTGATTAGGTTTTGGGTATGCTGGCTGAATTACATGGTGGTCATTTTGAATTTTTCAATTTGGCGGCCATTTTGAATTTTTCAACTTGCTCCAAATTGACCAATTTTTTTTTTTTTTTAAAAACGTCTACAAGATTTGACCTTTCGTTCACCTTCAAGAGAACTAACTAGTTTGGTGTGATAGGGGGGTAAAATTGAAACTAATTTTTCTGGCTGCTTGAGTCGATAAAATCTCTGATAGTGTGAGTGCCTTATTATATGAGCTCAAGGTACACTCTTGTCAATGCCTTATTATATGAACTCAAGGTACACTCTTGTCAATGCCTTATTATATGAACTTAAGGTACACTCTTGTCATCGCCTTATATGAACTTAAGGTACACTCTTGTCAATGCCTTATTATATGAACTTAAGGTACACTCTTGTCATCGCCTTTTTTTTGATTTTTGATTTCAAAATCTTGTCTGTAAGTATATGCTTAACAGATTTATTTGAGATTTTCAGGAATGTGTCTTTGTGGTCCAAAGGCTCTAGATCTTATTAAATACAGTAATTCTCTATTTGATATTTGTTTTCTATGCGGAGTTGAAATGTTAGCAAATTATGTTAGAAATTTTGTTCATGGTGTTTCAAAGAGCTTTAAAAAGTATATTCATGTATATGAAACATAAAAACAAAGTATATAAAGCTTGGTTATATTTATCAGAAAATAGTTAAAGAATCACATTGAAGACGTAAATGTGTCAGTCATTTGTGGTCGAATATATTCAAAGCATTAAAAAGTGTCATGATTACATGAGTTATGAACTAGAATTATATTTGTATGCATCCATTTAAAAACCTTATTTTGAAATATATGTTTTTAAAATTCCTAATACAGCCATATTTGAATAGAATGTTGATGCACTTTAGTTAAATACAATGTTGTGTCATAAAAGAACAACTTGTATTTTTACATCATATTTTATTAGTCAGTTATATGATAGCATATTTGCTCCCATATTCTATCTTCGCTGATAAGTCTACTTGTGATCAAAGAGTAATAAAACCATAAACTCACCATTGTAGAGACTTATCAGAGAATATAGATAACAACCCAGGTGCTGAGGGGCGTAAGCCAGTCTAGAGATGAACCTCAATTAAGCAACACAACTAAAGTTTTCTGTTCAGTTTGTTAGCCAAAACATGCTAATTACCGACTCTGATACCTATTAGTAACCAATCCACAAATCCTCTCAAAGCCAGCACAACAACATTTCCATTAGTGGTGTCAATTTACAACTTGGACATTAAATGATTATCTGAGGGTTTTAACCGATTAAAGTTGATTCACTGACAGGAAGTTCAACTTGATGATTTCATACGAGATCTTGAAAATTGAAAAAAAAATTGTGTAACATTCTTAAAATGAAATAAATAATATCTCAGGTTCCTTCCAAGGTTAAATGTTCCCATACACCTGATTTTTTACCTGTGTTTTCATGGTTGTAGAATATTACATAGTATCTCAGCAATGGCGGATGGGGGTGGGGCTCACCCTAAGATGTAAAGATGGCCCCAGAAAAAAATATGTGCCCAAAATACACACTGTACTCCTGGTAATTTTCGTGCGCTACTATATTTCGTGCTTTTCGCGACTTTTGGAAAATTCGCTATATTAGCCGAGAAATTCAAAAAGTTCTAATTTGCAAAATATAATACATGTAGTCGCTAAATTCTGGGGAATTTATTTCACTGAGTGTGGAGGATATTTTCATCCAGTTAGTATAAAAGGTAGGGACGTCACTGTACATTCTTACATTCAGGTTCTGAATGATCGTTATTAATTCTCAGAAAATGGTTCAAGATGAAGCCAAAATCTTTTGGTCAATGGAAAAGTATAGCTGATATTGAAGTGGAAAGCATGGTTTTGCATGACAAATCCACTAAAACTCTTAAAAACGCACTTAAAGGAATTGCCAATTTGAAAAAGGATGTCACATATATGGGAAAATTGATAGCTGCAGAATTTAAAAATTTGAAATTAGTGAAATTTAATAGCCGTGAAATTTAAAAATCGCAAAAAACGTAAAATATGATAGCGTCAAATATTAGCTGGAGTACAATAGTTATTTGGATATGTCAACAATTCACCTAATATTCCCCTGTAAAAAGTGTTGTATCTCTAGGTACAGATGAAAAAAGATACTGTATTTATTGCAACAAGGACCTTTAATACAACCTAATCTAGCTATTGTTTATTTCAGTGTGTAAAACAGTATTTGTCTGTCATGATTGCTGAGGGAAATGTCCTGCTTATTACATGCCCTGATGCTGCTTGTCTTAAACAAGGCAGAATGGAGGCTTCTGAGGTGAGAAATGAGAAATTAATCAGATATAGGCAGGTCACGACAACCTATACACCTACTCTGCTTGCTCTAAGAATTAATGAAATTACTGACACAGACTGTGGGTAGAATGAATTTTAAAGTCATTGACATATTAACCAAGGTCTTTGTTACAATATGAAATTAACCTGTTTGGAATTCTTTTTTCTATACCTCCAAATCAAATTTTTTGTGTCACCTCCAATAAGTGGTGACATGTTTTTAAAGCATCATAACTTGAAAATAAATTCAGAATAATGGTCAGTAAATATCGAAAGACATGTCAAGAAAATCTACATATTTTTCATAACATGTTACTTTGACAACATATTTTAGTTCCTTTGTGTTGTATTTGTATTCTATTACTGTGTGTATAGCAAGTGGTCAAAAGTAGTCAAAATAAAACTGTTAAAACCCTTATACTGTGTGCAGCTAGCTGTCATGTTTTTTATGCCTTGTTTCTGTGAAATGTCACATGTAATCTCAAAAATGTGTTACTATTGAGATTGAAGAATAGGCAAATGTTGTTCTGCAAGTCATGTTCTGTTATGAAGGAGTTGACATTTAAATGGCACATAAACTAAGATTGTGAATTTTTTATTTAATTTACCTCGTCTTCCGTGTTTCATTTAAAAAAAGGCAATATGGGTTTAGTATATCTTGATTGACAGCTGACATTTCAAAGTAGTTAATTTTTAAATAACATATACTGTACTGTACATAATTAATCAATTTGCCACCTGTAAACTAAGAATGAAAATGCAGAATGGCATTTAATAGAAAATGTTAAAACCAGCCTAATATACAATATAAATTCCTCACATTCTAGATTGATTAAAAAAAGTACATTTATCAGTACATTTACATCAGCATTCTACAACTTCATAATTGATGATCAACACTAAAAAATTTCCACTCAAAAATAAAGCTTGTATGGGAGTACAGTTAAACTTGTAAAGTGGAATACCCCTAGAGGTGGAACTCTTCTGTAAGTGGAACTTACAAGACCAACTAGCTTATGTTAAATGAACCCCAATAAGTGGAACACCTCCCAAGTGGAGCATTTTTGATAAGTACCAAAGGTGTTCCACTTACAGAGGTTTTACTGTGTATTGATTTAAGATGTTTCATATCATGTTCTTCAGATTCAAGCTCTGGTAAATGCAGAGGAATATGACAGATATCTGCGCTTGAAATTTGAAAGAGGTACAGTCACCACTATTATGTAATTTTTACTTGCATTTAAAGACAGAAATCAGGAAATTAAAAGCAATAATGTACTTGTTAATAACCCTAAGGTAATGGCTTATAGCGATAAGTGTTCCACTGCTAATTTGAATGCGTAAGAATTGCAAATGCCTTCGTCACATGCTAATATTTTTCTTCATGTTGCTATGGCAATTGTTCAAGGGGTACAACCATATAAGTGTCAGACATTAATTGTTGTTGAAGAAGTTCTACAATATACACCGGGTAATTAACTAGTAGAAATGAAGTAATACTATTCAAGTAGTGAAATGATAGCCTCAAAACAATCTAGGCTCTCATTAGGAGTAAGGAGAATAGATATTACTCTAAATTACATACAATGGCTCACCAAAAACAAAATTCATGAAATTGAAATTCTTGAAATGAAATGTGACAACTGTGCCATTAACTGCAAGTTAATGTACTCTTCATGTTTACCAAATTACGCCATTCACTGTGTTGCTATGGTAACCACAATTAGAATTGTATTGTGTAAAGTGATAAATGTAATATATAAAGTGAAGCCTAAAATCGGATCTTTGTCTTCATTATTTAGAGCATTAAATCACTGATACTTATGTGACACCCAGTACTCTTCTTGATTGCTTTACTCAATGTTTTCAGAAGTTGCATTAGACCCTAATCGTACATTCTGTCCAGAAGCTGGTTGTGAGACAGTGTGCCATGTTTGTTCAGCCAGCACTAGCGCTGCTAAGGTTGCTCCGGTGAAATGTGTAAATTGTCCAACTGTAAGTTTTGATTTATAGAAGTATATATTTAAAGAATATACAGTTAATGTGGTAATCTGTTTTGATTTAGACCTTCAGCATGTGTAGCATCTTTGTTTGAAGTTCAGGCGCAAGTTTAGACAATATTTTGGACTCATCAATCCATGTCATGCTTATTTTCTTAAAAGTCCAACAGGTCTAACTTTTTCTATTTCAGGATGATTCTTTGATACTTTAGTTTTTTTTCAAACGGCAATATTTATGGAGTGTATATTATATTATATATTTGATATGTGCAGCATGTGGTTGTTTGTGTTGTAGTGTGGGCTGCAGTTCTGCTCAGTATGTAAATCCAAGTGGCACGCCAACAAAACATGTGATGAGGTGTTTCTGAGTTCCACAAAGGAGGAACAAGGGTATGTAGAACAGAAAGTGTTATAATTTACATGACCTCACCACAGGGGTGTGTACAGGGTGTTTCATATGTATGCACCCCCCTATCACCCTATCATGTTATATATCATTTTGTTACCAATGTAAAGTTACATAAGATTGGAAATGTATCAAAGTATGTAGGTATGGGTTATTGAGAGAGCAATTTCTGGTTATTTTGAGGGTAATTTGAAGGACTTTATTTTCCATATTGCACATTTCTAGCAGTTGTCATCATGGCAGAGTTCAGTCCACATGTTTGTCACAGTTATGCACAAAGATATATTCCAAGGATTCATGCAGTGGCTTTATAGGGAGGCCAGGGACCACAATACCACCTTATCACTAAAAATGGCCAGGGGACAAAGTGAACAGATCACTGGACTGGGTCCAAAAATGCACATGAAAACGCTTTTAAATGGCCCTGTACCCGCATACTTTGATACATCTTTCCATAAGGAACAAAATAATATATAACATGATGTGGTGGTAATGCCACATGTATGAGTTAAGAGGGGTGTACATACATATGAAACACCCTGTAGAAACTGTTTCATTTTACATTACCTCACCACAAGGGTTATGTTGAAATTATTTTATCTTACATGACCTCACCACAGGGGTATGTAGTAACTGTTTCATTTTACCCAGGGGATTGTTTTTGGAACTGCCATAATTTACTGTTTGCAAGCTGTTGCTCATGTATCAAAACGTGGGTAACGTTTTCATAGGAATTGTAAGTTACAATAGTACAGTACCAAAACACACTCAATGGTCCCTTCAAGGAGTTTAAATACAATGTCCAGGTGAGGTCAACATCCAGCTCTGTCCAGTCTGTCACATGCCTATATGGAGAAATGATGATTTTGGGCTTTTTCCAGAATCCCATTCAGTGCTGAAGAGGATGCTAATATAAAGCGCTGTCCAGTATGCCATGTGCCTATAGAAAGAAATGATGGTTGTGCTCAGATGATGTGTAAACGCTGTAAGCATGTATTCTGCTGGTATTGCCTAGCATCATTAGATGTAAGTTGTTTCTTCATACTTCAATATTCAAATGTCTATTTCCAAACATTGTTCATGTTTTTCTACTTACATTCTTACATTAAGTATGAGCCATTTGTGGATTAAGGGAAGTCATCAGAATGCAGTGCCAAATGTCATGCAAGAGACATTAACAAAAGAATGAGATGAAATTCAGTAATATATCTCAACCCTGTCTAATATGAACACCTCTCAATGTGACTGCTGTTTGGTCTCATCTTTAATCTGCCTGTAAACTAGTAGTAGTGTTTGAATTAGACAGGTTTACTGTACATAAAAAGTACTGTGTGTAAAAACTGCTAAAAGTTCACTTTTTGAGAGGCTCTAGTCCCATCAAGACGTTTTGATATTAATGCAATTGTAAACATAGGACTTGAAATGTTCTTACTTTTTGATGTTTTAATTTAAGATGTATTCAGACTTTTACTTGGTCATTAATGAAACTGAAATCTGCAATACTAGTAAACTTAATGGAGGCTTACTCCAATGATAAGTGGCATATGCATTGATATACACATGCACTGTATCTGATTATTTACAATATTTGGCTGGTGGCTGTTCTGTTTGTAATATTGATGTACTCCTTGCAGGATGATTTTCTACTGCGTCACTATGACAGAGGTCCATGTAAGAATAAACTAGGCCATTCTAGAGCATCTGTTATCTGGCATAGAACACAGGTAGGTCCATGTAAGAATAAATTAGGACATTCTAGAGCATCTGTTATCTGGCATAGAACACAGGTAGGTCCATGTAAGAATAAACTAGGCCATTCTAGAGCATCTGTTATCTGGCATAGAACACAGGTAGGTCCATGTAAGAATAAACGAGGACATTCTAGAGCATCTGTTATCTGGCATAGAACACAGGTAGGTCCATGTAAGAATAAACTAGGACATTCTAGAGCATCTGTTATCTGGCATAGAACACAGGTAGGTCCATGTAAGAATAAACTAGGACATTCTAGAGCATCTGTTATCTGGCATAGAACACAGGTAGGTCCATGTAAGAATAAACTAGGACATTCTAGAGCATCTGTTATCTGGCATAGAACACAGGTAGGTCCATGTAAGAATAAACTAGGCCATTCTAGAGCATCTGTTATCTGGCATAGAACACAAGTAGGTCCATGTAAGAATAAACTAGGCCATTCTAGAGCATCTGTTATCTGGCATAGAACACAGGTAGGTCCATGTAAGAATAAAAAACTAGGACATTCTAGGGCATCTGTTATCTGGCATAGAACACAAGTAGGCCCATGTAAGAATAAATTAGGCCATTCTAGAGCATCTGTTATCTGGCATAGAACACAGGTAGGTCCATGTAAGAATAAACTAGGACATTCTAGAGCATCTGTTATCTGGCATAGAACACAGGTATATTAATGATCTAAATATTGAAAGCATCTGCATTTAACTTTGAAATTAATATAATATGATTTTACACCTTTCTATTGACACATGTTTTATTAAATGATGATGAATTTTACTTGTATACATCAATAGAATAAATGAAATAGATATAACAGATAGACCCAATCAACTGTAATAAATATAAGAATTAAATATGTTTCACTTTATAGTATTGATATAGTCTACAGTTATTGACCTCCCCAGAGATTGATAGTCAAAATTGTACTCCCATACTGTAAACCAAGACTGTATACTAGTATTGTTAACATAGGAGGGACATGACTATAAAATTTAATGTGTTGTGACTATTGATGACTTTATTTTCATAGAGTATTTAGATTATTAGATCATTTTTCATTATCAGGGGTTTCACTAGTTTCTCACAACAGGCTAAATAAATGAAAACTTCAGGCAAAATTAATGGAAATCATGAATTTAACATGGAAAAGTTTGAAAAGTCCCTTAAAACAACAGGCGATTTTTATATGTGAAAACAACCGGTGAAAATTGCCTGTTGCCTGCTGCTAATGAAACCCCTGATTATTTTATCTGCAATTTGTTGTTGGTATATTTGCTTTGAGTGTTGTGCCATGTATTCTATGATGGAATGTTTAAAAATCCAAATGACAAGATTTATGTTCATAGTCTTAGTTGTAACGCGGAATATGTCATATATTCATGGTTGCGTGGTATTTGTGATACGGATGAATGTGCCATACTCACCTGCGGTATATGGCATATTCCGCAGGTGAGTATGGCATATTCCGCAGTGAATACTGTAGATTGGGTTAATTTGGCGCCCGCTTTAATTTGGCGAATTTGGCGAAATTGAAAAATTCGCCAATATAAATCTTCGCCAAAATTTAGAATGAATCCCCGGGAATTATCTAGGGTATTTCGTCCAGTGTATTTAGGTCACTTCCGGTTAAGTTTTTTCCAAAAATATGAAAAAATGTCTCTCCTATATTGGCTTAGAACTGGTCAGTCACTCATTAATACTCAGGGAAAAGGTGATGTATAGTAGCAGCATCGATCGAGGTGCAAAATGTAAAGGATGATCTCACAAAAATGTACAAACGTGGTGAATATCGCCAGTAGTCCTCAACTTTTGAGGACTTTTAAAAAATGAACATGCCCATTTACATAGTAATTCGCTAACAGCGCGCAAGTATAACATTGTATTAAATTTTTTTGCATATCCGCCAAATTAAATAGCCGCCAATATGCCAAAAATGGCAAAATCGCCAAATTAAGTAGCGCCAAATTAACCCAATCTACAGTATGTGATATATTGATTTCAGTGAATACCGGATACTCACCGGCAGAATATATCATACTCATTTGCGGAATATGCCATATACCGCAGGTGAGTATGACATATACCGCAGGTGAAAACGTGATACAGAGAGCCTTGATTTGATTGTTTGCGAAAATCGACTCTAAATGTAAAACTATGCTTGATTACCAATATTGTTAGTGCCTCGAGTACTAATATATGAATCCTTGATTTATTGAATAAGTTTATTACGTGATATTGCCGAGTGATACTTCTGCATTAGCTGATATATTCAATGCAGTTGAACTGTTGATTCAGTAATCATTATGATAAATTATGAACTTTTACCTGTTTTTTCATTCGATGCAATTGCGTACTTCCGTATCACATTCTCATTGGTTAGTGAGTATGCCGTATACCGCAGGTGAATCTGTCATGCACCGCAAGTGAATATGCCATATTCGTTGGGGAATATGACATATATTTGTATCGTGTTTACCACGTAACATTAATTTACACTGTTTTTTTTTCAGGTTGTTGGAATATTTGCTGGCTTTGGCGTGCTGCTCCTTGTCGCATCTCCGTTCCTCCTTCTAGCAGCACCTTGTATTCTATGCTGTAAATGTAAGACTTGTAAATGTTGTGATGAAGACTCAGATGAAGTTGTGACGTGATACTCACCTGTGTTCAGAATAATTTTGCATAAGATGTATAAGATATGGAATGTATCCACTGCAGGACTGTGTATACACAAATGAATGTGCAAAATACTTTGAAATGGACTATGGCATGTAATAACTAATAACAGATCAGAGTTTTAATACTCTGCAGACAAATGAAATTTCTTTAGGCCTAGTGCCCAGGCAACTTGATCTCCATGACAGTGCAGACATAATGCAGAGACAGAATGTACGAGATGGTATGAGACGTATATTATGAAATGAATGTTTATCAGTCAAATATCATGTGCAGAATGTGTGATATCATATGAGACAAATATCATGTACAGAATATGTGATATGAGACAAATATCATATTCAGAATGTGTGATATCAGTCAAATATCAGACGTATATCGTATACAAAATGTATGATGGAAGACAAATATTGTGTACAATGAATGACGCTAGACATATATCATGTACAGAATGTATGTCACAGGCCTTTGAATTTTTTACATGATCTTATTGTGTAAATCTGTTGACACATTGCATGCTATTACATATATTAGTAAATATGTATTGGGCAAATGGATTCATATCGCAAACCTGGTGCTAATAGTTTACGAGGAGGTTCCCCACAATATTTGCAACCCAGCATATTTTGGACTATGTCATTTTGGATTGGTCATCTTATAGATACGAGATGAAGTGCTCAAAGGTCTTGAAATGTAACATTTCGCAGTACAGGAAACATTTGCCAAAGTGGCAGCACAAAACAAAAATTAAAAAGGTAGATCCGAGAGCCAGGTAATTATTTCAGTACTAATTTAGGATTCAGAATAAATGAAAAGGGATTGTGTGATATTTTTGTAGTTTGCAAACTCCTCATAGATTCATTATCAGTTTTTGATGTCCTTAAAATTTGTCATCAAAATTTGCTTCCGATGTGTTTCCAAATAAGGTACGTAGTTATTTCTGAGTTAACAGTGCAATAGTATTGCAGTAATTTCCATTCAAAATATTCATATAAAATGTTTATTTCGGCAAACATCTCGATAAGGGAAGGCATCAAAAGATCAATGTCTGATAGAAAACTAAATAAATCTAGTTTGGGGGGGAGGGGTCAAAGCTATTTCAGTTTGCTATCCGACAAATTTCAACATTTAAATTTTTTCTCAATTTCGACTCGAAATGCCTTGGAATGGTTTAAAAATAAAGACTTTACTGCCTTCTTTACCAAGATGCATGCAACATGGAATATTATGCCTATTGTTGGCACATGTTTTAAGAATCATAAATAAGTTATAGTACTGGCCCCATGAAAGTCCAAATTGAGTCGCTATTAAAACATGTGAAAAGTACGCGATCAACTTTCATTGTATTTAGTTTTGAGGGGGGGGTCCAACTCAAAACTAGATTTATTTAGTTTCCTATCAGACATTGAACTTTTGATGCCTCCCCTAACTCATGTGATGATTTATTACCTACAGTGCCATTGTGTGTTCTTTGAGAGTATTGCATGATTTGATTGGCTGCCTTGTTTTGCATCAATTCCCTGTACACACCTCATACCCCCTACCCACTGACAGAGGGAATGTGGGATACATACAGGGTCTTGGTGCAAGACCATCTGGCTGCCCTGATCTAAGTTCAAAATACTTGAGTAAATAATATCAAATAATTGTGGGGATTTTTTCTGCTGCTAGAGTTGAGCAACAGTTTGTTTAAAAAAGAAAAAAATCAGTTGATGGAGAGATATAAGTTATTATATATATATATGGTACACACTTTGATTTAATACATACTCTACTCCTGGTAAGTTTTTGCTAGATATTTGATATGTTTACCACATGCAGGGGTTTCACTAGAATTTCCCACAACAGGCTTTAAATGAATACAACAGGCAAAATTAATGGAAATCATGGAAAACATGGAAAAGTTGAAAAATCCCTGAAAAACAACAGTGATTTTGTGAAAACAACTCGTGAAAATCGCCTGTTGCCTGCTGCTAATGAAACCCCTGGCATGCTTTTAGCATAGAAAAATTAAGAATTTTGCACTTTGAGTTAGAGGGACAGTATCTAATTGTCAGTAGTTGCGGAAAAAAATATTCCCCATTTACTCAAATTTAAAAAAATCATAGCTACAGTATTAAGTATAACTAATGAAATTCTCATTACCTCTCTCATAATGAAATTAAGTTCATCTTCCCACAAATTTTGATGATTGGACACCGTCTCTTAGTTTAACAAATTATGACATTTGAAAAACATTAATGCTAAATTGCCAGGAGTATAGTATGATTTACCTTATATCTTTACTGTATAGTGTTTAACACAAGTACTGGTATAATGGTTAATTGTGCAGATTTATGTATTTAAAAATTAGTATATATTTTTTAGAGTTTATATACAATCATGCGAAAATATTATTATCAATATACATTTATGTTCTATTCATGTGATCCCACCGAACAAAGTTCGAGTAGGGATTTAGAGAAGCCTTAATTTGTCTGTCTGTGCATTTTTCTGGATGATTGATAACTCAAATACCATTGGATTTTGCTGAATTTGAAATGGCCACCATTTTAAAATATTTTTAATAACTCTAACATCAGTGATGAGATTTGGCCTAAATATTTGGATATAGTGAAATAATGATGAAAAGAAACAATTACATATTACTATGTCCCATTGACTTATAATCTGTGGATAATGTAAATGTTGCCAAAAGGAAACAAAACTGCTGGTTATTTCTATCATGAAATGTTCAAAATGACGAGTGATTTGATCTCATATGTCTTATTTGCCCTGTAAATATTTGGTGGGAATTGCTCCTCTGGGGAGTTGCTAATTTTCTAGTTAATAGAATTAGAAAAAAGGGATATTTATAGAATAAAAAAGATAATTATTTGTAAATAATTATTTTGTCAGTGGAATGTAATGTGGTTATATGCTGACTTGTTAAATGAAAATCAAAAATGTATAACTAGTAGCCTGGTCAGATGAGTTAGTGGTCACTTCAAAAATTCAAAATTAAAACTAATGTTACTTCAAAATTAGAGTGAAATGTGTATATTCTTAACAAATATAGTTGTAGTCTCAGGAGTCCTATGTTTATATTTTGCTAAATGAAACCAACTTTTACAAGAGAAATGTTAAACTTTACTCAATCCACACATTTATGATACAGCAATACAAGACATGCTCATTATGAAGTGCTTTTAATAATCCATATATTTAAAGAGTTATGTAGTGACCAGTCAAGTTATCTGTTTGGGCCACTTTGTTTTACAATTATGTATGAAAATAATAATATACCTCATGGTACAATGAAAAGAGGTAACATATGTGAAAATAATCATATCATGGGGTATATTTGGCTTATGGTATCTTGTATGTACATACATCTATCATAAAATATATGTATTGGCAACATTTTGATTTGTCTGTAAATGTGAAAACATGGAAATCATAGTTGTTGAAGCTGAGTATGAATAAATCACTCTGATAATATAATTCAATATTACTGGAGTAAAAACACTACAAGGTGCAACTGTAAAGATATGACTTTGGATTGCATTGCAACACAAAGAAACATGTATGGCTAAATGTTACCACCTGGAACGAAAAGTGTAACATATGTTACAGACACTGTTGCTAATGCTAGTCTAAAAAAACTGGTTGTAACAATTTCACGAATTCTTTGGTGGTGACATAAAAGCCTGGTTTTTGATTTAGTTTATTTTAAAATAGTTTATTTTAGTGTCACGCGTATACAAATTACACAATTTAGTTATATAGTTCAATTTAGATATATAGTTCCACTATTTTCATGAATATGATTTTAACAAATTTTATGCCAGGCATATATTTTGTTCATATCAAATTCCAAACTCCCGTGCAGTGATATATCACTGCGGCGGGCAGGTATTTCACCGTAAGCATGGTAACGTCGTAATAAACAGTTGACGTGATTGGTTCTGGTCCCATGCTCAGGTCGCGTGATTGTAAAATTTAGACAATTTCATTGGTTGAATTGCGTGTATTAACTAATATACAACACGTGCGGTAAACTATTATCAACACAACTTTTACTCAGAATTCGTTCCGCGGTGATTTCTTCTCATATTTCAATAATTTTGAGATATTTTGACAAAATAATGATTGGGGAACATTCATGAATACATATTTTATAAGTTGTGTGAAAATTGACCACATATACGATGAAAAGGGGAACTATTTTCACCAAATTTTGGGGATTTTCTTCATCTGCCCGCCGCAGTGTCTATACCGAGACACTGCATGGGAGTTCGCTCAAATTCATAAAATAGTGGAACACATTCTGACTATTTGATCCATAATCATTTCAAAAACCAGGCTGTTGTATATAAACTGTCTGTTCTCGAGGGGGATGTTGCAATAGAGCCAAAATGTGATAAAGTAGATGGAAGAATAAAGTGTAAAGGACAATAAAATGATATACAACGTAGGTAAAGATTTGTGATTAAACCATACTGCACTCATGAAATAAATGACAATGGGTGTTTATCATAACCTGGGTAATAAAATAGAAAATTGGATCTTTTGATTAAAAATCTGGGATTAGATGCAAAAAGCATTATCATTATATATGAAGTGCCACATCTTTCCACTTGTAAATTCTGGAATTAAGTTTTAGGTTTCCTAAAAAAAGATGTTTGAGTGTAAATCAAAAAACATCTGATGAATTTTACATGATATACTTTTTTGGAACAAAATTTCATTAATAGGGAGACCATGTATATCATTACGAGTCAAGACATGTGGTACAACATACACTGTACATTTAATCCATTTTATCGAGAAATGGGACAGGTTTCTTCCGTATCAGTTGAGAGACTGTGATGAAAATGAATAGTATGCGTTTGTGATTTCCCAGCTTAGGTTAATGTCCCCACTCTTGTGTTTGTTTTACTGTTTATCATTTATGTATCCAAATGTTAATTAAATCAATATAAGTTTTATATATATCACTATTCTGACTTGTTCTTTTTGTTGTATCAGAGGTTACACTCTAGTCATCCATCAAAACCGACATGCTCCATCGATTCAGTACTTTGTCCAAAAATGAATGCAATTCTGAACAAAATACTCAATTTGCCAGGCACTGGCCGATGAATCGTAGCTTATGTGAGCTATATCATACAGAAAAAAGTTTAAGGAGGGATATAAAGAATGTGTCCACTTGTCTGTTGGGGGAATTAAAATTACCTGTCGCCAGATTTGGTTCACATTTATAAGCTGATGTCTTAGGGGAATAGGACTACTCAAAGATGAACTTCCATCAGGCACACAATACAGAATGGCTGCTGCTTCATACACAATGTTTTAAAGATGGCTGTTGAATTCAAAATGTCTCTACTTTTAATTTTGTCTTAATTTATCAAATTTTCAAGTCCATCCAATCAAGGAAACATCTTACAGCAATATGTTGACCAAATTGAATTTTATGATTCAACAGTTAATATTCCCGAAATAGGACTTCTTCATCTGGATAATGGAGGGCAGTTACTAAGGTGAGAGTAAGTAGTTCAAAATTTCACTGCTACATGGTCAATTCAGGTAAGATAACATGACGGGCATAGAAAAAGTTCCAATAAATCACAAGATCAATTTTCATAGTTTTATTAAAATGGGTGAATTTCCCCGACAAAGAAATTGCCTTTTCAAAGAAAACTAAATTGTCAAAGTTGATAAGCAATCTTTAAATCTTCATTTCAAGATGGTATTTTGGATGTAGGCTAAATTTAGAGTGTTTACTGATCAAAATGAAGATTATTTTTAATATCTTAATCACAAACAAACACCCACCATAGACACACAACCTACGAGGTGGTTAAGTTCCAGGGCAGAAAAATTATCAACTGCAAAGTACAAGATTATAAATCTTGTCGACATATCCATATTCCTTCGATTCACCAAAAATTGTCATGATTCAAATGGAAAGGTATATTGGATCTAACTAAATCAAACTGAACATGTATGTTCCTTTAATAATAATATATTACACTAAAATTTATACATCATACATTAATAAATGAGGTACAACTCTGTACTAAAACTCTGCTCATCATTATCAATACATGAATAATGGACATGATCAGCAATTGATCTGGCTTGACTCATTTCCCAAGCTACAAAGCTTAGGGTTTCTAAACATTGATTAGTTGAACTTTTAGACATTCCGAACGATTATCACTTCTATACATGTACATATTTAGCATATGACTGCTGAGCATTTTGTATAAACACGTAACGTAAATGTGACAAAGTGAATATACATAGATAGATGCAAAGTAAAAACAGTATAATATAACAAAGGTATGAAATGTAAATTATAACATAAAATTAAGGTAAAATCAAATGTTAAAATCTATGACAAGAGTACAAGATCAAAGTTGATTTAAAATTACATCATTTAAGCTACCATTGTTATATTTCACTGAATAACAATATTCACTCTGAGTTATTCTCACCAGTTGAAACATCCCAACTAAAACATTCCACATGCCTTTTCAATGCACTAAAATATGAGAGAACTATCAATTTGAATGATCTAAGAAGTGTCCCGTCCTGATACAAGACGAACCATTCAACATCAAGGGGCCCAATAAGGCGACACTAAAATCCTCCGACAAACTCCTAATGTTGGCGACGGCTATGTCAGAGATTCTATCCTATCCTAGAGTCCCAAATTTAGAAGTCCTCGTCAACTGTGAAGTTATGATTACTAGTTCCACTATTTCCAGCCATGACACCCATTTTCTGATATTCGCCTACTCGCTTCTCAAAAAAGTTGGTTTTGCCTTCTAATGAGATATTGTCCATAAAATCAAAGGGATTCTCTACATTGTAGATCTGGAAAAGAAGAATTCATACAGATATACCATTTGAAACCCACTCAATATTTTTCTGCCTTTTTATCCAATAAATGGGCAATGAAGTACTGCATTGAGTTATGAATCTGTAATTGACCTTTAATTATTTGACAAATTACTTGTCCCTAGAGTAGTCTAGATATTGGCAACGCCATGATGGAGTAGCTAATCTCAACGAACAAAATATTCATGAATCGCAATGTAATTTTACCATCTACTCTACCAACAATAACATAGAATTCATGGACACATTAAGCCATTTCCTGATACACAAACAATAACAATTTGGAGTTACTCTAAAATTCCTTCAATTCAAGTATAAATATAGTCTTTCTGAAGAGCTCAGAAAATTTCATTAGAGGCAATATCTGTGAGATTCCATTTTTTTATTGTTTTTTTTGTGCATTAGTTCAAATTATTTAGACACATGCGCAATTAATAATGATGACCAATCTCAAGACTCGTACTGATTACTGCTTTTGCATGCCTCATTTTTTTTTAGAAATAGAATATCATCCGTAAGTTAGCAGATTTTGACCAAATAAAAGACTGAAGGTAAGATATTTATCGATACATTCATCCAGCGTTGATTTTTTGGATATGAATTTGGGACGGCGTTAATGAAAGCACAGCCAAGGGGCTCAGACAGAATATGTCAAACTTATTTCATTGGGATAATAAGGAGAAAAGGATGATAAAACCAACCAGATGCAAGTTTTACTTACCTTTGGCACTTCTAGTTCAAGGAGGAGTCTGTCTGCAACAAACTCGATATATTGCTTCATGAGATCACAGTTCATTCCAATCATCCTGCATGGTAGTGCTACTGTCAGGAACTCCTGTTCTACTTTGACAGCTTCAGTGATGATCTCCAGTATTCGCTCCCTTGAAGGTTTCTTGTTCAGATGTTTAAACATGAGGCAGGCAAAGTCACAATGGAGACCCTGTAATAGAGAATACAAAATTGTGATCAAAGTATTCAAAAATATGTAAGTTTAGCACCTGTTATAATCAGACTGATAAAGGTCATTTTCAAATCAAAACACATTTTTTGACGGTTCAGGACCAGCTCTTTCTTATAATTCTTCTATGGAAAAGCCCTTGAAAAATTGAAACCTACCTCATCCCGACTAATGAGCTCATTGCTGAAGGTAAGACCAGGCATCACCCCTCGTTTCTTCAACCAGAATATGCTAGCGAAAGAGCCTGAGAAGAAGATACCCTCCACTGCGGCAAATGCAACGATTCGCTCCCCAAAGGCTGCATTTTCGTCAGCAATCCAGTTGAGTGCCCAGTCAGCTTTCTTTTTAACACATGGCAGGTTTTCTATTGCATTGAAGAGGAAGTCCCTGGAAGCAATTCAGTACAAATGTATGATTTGATTGGTCTAGTTCAGAAATAACAAATTAAAGAAATGGAAGAGCATGTGCCAATTGCAAATGAAAACAGCATTTGCACATCATGACAAAATGCCAATCAACTATCTTGATGCATTTTTGTAAAACACAAAAGTATATAAAATACAAAATAAGTCAAAAAATGGAGTCTAATGTTCTTTTTTATTTTAGCCTGTAAGTAATATGTTAATAAGTGTTAAAACAAAACAAAATGTTGAGATTTAAAAATGTTCAATGTATTCATACATCTTCATCAGGTTGACTGATTTTCATACAATTATGACAACACAATATACACAGGTACTGTTTAATTTAAATTACAAGAATTATGATCATTAATGGCATTGTTGTGTAATCATTAGGAAACAAAAGTATTCATTTGAGAAGAATAAGAGAAAGTTTTTGGATAAAACTTAACACTTTAGAGCCTAATGGTCTAAATATTCTCGACTAGATTACTTTTTATCTTCTGAGCCATAGTAATATCATATATTGTTATTTTATATGAGGTCATAGTGATTTTTATAAAAAAAAAAAAATTTTCATATTTATTACACAACAATGCCATTAATTTCTAATTACGTCATCACCCTATGCAGACAGAGCCTGTGGGAAATATTGGGTGCGGAGCAAATGAGCGGAGGGTGCGGAGCTAACGGTTATTTTTGAATTTAAATTTGGGATATTTCTGAAACTAAGCCGTTTTGGGACTTCAAATATACCAAGATATGTGTATTTGACACCAAATATCAATACAATTGTGAAAATAGTAGCGCAATTCATTCTATAGCGACGCAGTGTGCCTTAAACCTTTCCCAGACCTATATATTTTGAAATTATCCTTTTAATACTGAGTCCCCAGCATTCATAAAAAATGGTGTTCAAGGTGCACTATCTATACAAATTATTTTTGCATCTTGGAAGCCAGGCAGTATCTGTGTGATTTTATAAAAATTCGGAAATTTTTTCAGATATGAACCCCCTCTAAATATTGGGTGCGGAGCAGCTCCATAAACGTAGCTCCGCACCCAATATTAAGAGGGGCTCATATCTGAAGAACATTTCCGAATTTTTATAAAATCACACAGATACTGCCTGGCTTCCAAGATGCAAAAATAATTTGCATGGGTAGTGTATCTTGAACACCATTTTTTATGAATGCTGGGGACGCAGTATTAAAAGGATAGTCTCAAAATATATAGGTCTGGGAAATGTTTAAGGCATACTGCGTCGCTATGAAATGAATTGCACTACTATTTTCACAATTTTATTGATATTTGGTGTCAAATACACATATCTTGGTATATTTGAAGTCCCAAAACGGCTTAGTTTCAGAAATATCCCAATTTTAAATTCAAAAATAACCGTTAGCTCCGCACCCTCCGCTCATTTGCGCCGCACCCAATATTTCCCACAGGCTCTGTCTGCATAGGGTGGTCATTGAGAAATCAATAGATAAAAATAAACTTACCTCTGTTTGGGGTCTTTGATGTAAGAATCTATGAGCAAACTGTACATTTCAGAGTGGATATTCTCTATGGCAATTTGGAATCCATAGAAACATTTGGCCTCTGTCACTTGGACCTCTTTGCTGAACCTTTCCACCTGGAAACATAAACGAAACCTCAATAATTTTCCCTTAAATATGCATTAGAATGAAAGACAATTTTGTTCTTACTGCTAACTAGTGAAATATTACTAACAATAATTGTAAATCTTCAATTTATTATTCCTGTTTTGAATGAGTATTTTTTTTATTTAGCCTAGTGTCAAACTTACCAGATTTTCATTGACTATGCCATCACTAGCTGCAAAGAAGGCTAATATATGTGAGATAAAGTCACGTTCTTCATCTTTAAGATTGTCCCAATGAGTGAAATCTTTGGTGAGATCAACTTCATCAACTGTCCAAAATGAGGCAACTGCTTTTTTGTACATTTGCCAAATGTCATTGTATTGAATTGGGAAGGTCACATAACGTGATGGATTCTCCCTGAGAAGAGGCTCATCTTCTTCGAACTTTGGTCTTTCTACTTTGGTCTTTTCTTTCTTAATTATCTGTACACCCTGGAAGCAGGAAAAGAAAACTGCTTGAAAACAATTACACACATAATTCTTACAAAGTAAACTAAACAGTTGTCCACATGAATTTTGAATATGATTGAAACACTTTATGAACATAATTTTCATTTACAATGTCCTCAGCATATTTACAACTTATGAGCTTCCAATCCACAAGAGCAAAGAAAAAATGTTGATGTATAACTGTAACCATGGCTTTCAATATCTATTAAAAGCTGTAACAAAGCAACTAGACCTTATTTCAGTGGGTCATTAACAACTGAGCTTACAAACTTTATAAAGTATGATCTGAGAAGCGAGCCATAAATTGTTTCATATTAAAACACTCAGACATGTATCAAAAAAATATTGAAGTGTTCTCAGAATAATTTAAGTGTAGGTGTATTTCATTTGTCTATGTCAATAATCTGCAAAAGGCTAATAAGCCCATATAAAGCCGATATATAATTTAACAGTGATAGAATGTGAATAGAATATAATTTAAGGTTGCTGGAAAATAACATTTTGGTAAAAATTGCTACGCCTGCAAATGTTATTTTCTGGTACAAAAGAAAGTATGAAGGCATGTGTCAATTCCTTGCCTTTTTCAGGAAAGTATCATTACGTTGCCTTCTTTTAGAATATCTGGTAGGAGTTCAATGGGAACTCCTGGAAATTATGATATTTCACACTATCTATTTTTCCAATTTTTTTTCAAAGTATCCAGACAACAAAGGAGCTACAATTGACCTTTTCCAGGTTTACTAAAAGAGGACAGTGTAATGATACTTTCCTAAAAGCAAGGAAATACACACATGCCTTCATAATTAATTTTATGTTGAAATAGCCTTGTGGTTTTATCCTGGCTTGGGTCCAAATCTCCCGCCAGTTTGACTACTTCAATTGAGTGAAATAAAATGCTTTTAGAAATTATGAAATACTTACGTCTGTCTGGATTGGTTGGACATTCTGAAAAAATCAAATGAACAAAATTTAGTACTCTATAGAAAGTGAAATAGATCAGTGGATTTGGTGATTCGAAAAATGAGCACAAATTTCGCGGAATTTTTTTGCCGCGAAAAGTCAAGTGTCAACGGTTTTCTGTGGGAATACATCTTCTATGACAACAAAACGCATGATTATCATATCAAATTATGTATTTTGTAATTCTAACTTACTGGTGATTGAGATTCTCCCAAGACTTTGATGTTCTTTTTAACGAAATGAGAACCACTGTTTGGCACCTGAAAATAAGCAAAGGGCAAGCGATGTCAATTTTCTGATAGTCCATGTTACGTCCTATTTCCCAGTCTCAATGATGTATTCATTTCACAAGATGTATATCCAATATCATAGAAATCTTCAAAAATAGTTGTTTTTGCAGATATAGTTCTTTACTGAACAAGGCAATAAGACCATTTCCGCGCCATTCTTTGTTTGAAAGAAAAATTCCTTACCTGATTCTCATCGTTGATGCTGGATTTTTTCATATCTGCGGTCATTCCGTCCACATGGAATGCGTTTGTAGAGTTTACTGGATGTACTGTAAGCATTTTGTGTAATAAATATGACTAAAAAGCGTAAAAACGGTTAGTGTTATGAGACAAACAGTTCCTAATTGTAGACTATTCAGTTCAACGAAGCCAAGCCAACTAAAATTTTCGCACAAAAAAATCAAAATATTCCGCGAAAACTTCAACGGCCAATCACAGTTAAGTCCAATGGTCATCTCGATTCTGATTGGTCGAAATATAAACTCTTCCAAACATACGTGTGGTCAGCATATTGATCTCTAAAATATCAATTTCGTTCAAGATGTACTTGACTCATCTCCCAGATAATCAAATAGGACTTATCAAATATGATAAATTTAAACTATTTTCAAATGTTATGTGGAATCAAAATCGAATTGTGATCACTGTGAAATTTTACCTATTTACATAACCGAGGATGACACCCCTATCAAAAAATGATGCAGTCGAGAATAGTTACACAACTGTCAATAAACGAAAGTTATGCAACCAATTAATCTAATTATCCAATTATAGCATATTATATATTTCTACAATCAAAATATTCAGGATCTATTGAATGACAACTAATATAAAATATTGTACTGATATTATTCAGCGGTATTTTCGATCCAAAATGGCTAGCAAAAGTTTGACATTTGTTGTCAAGGCAATGTAACAAAAGATTAATCCGCATAAATATACATTTATTATCAATTATTTTCTCATTATCGAAAGCAATATTAGTTTATATCTGTTGTTTTTTCATATGTTATGACTCTACATTTACATTCATCTAAGTAAACATGAAGAAAAGGTCCGAATACTGATGTACATAGTGAACTATATGTCATTAAATCTCCAATGTAATCATTTCCTGTTTACTGAGTTATTAGGCAAAGTGGAAAAAATGATGGACAGTGTACAACTTCTGGACAGCAATTATGCTCGTCAATTACAATCAAAATACACACAGGGGAGATTACATAAAGGTAAACCTTATCATGAAGTATTATAGATTATTTAGATCTCATTTTTATAATATGTTGATTTCCTGTGGTCCAGCAATTAATGAAAGAAAATTGAAATTTAGATAAAAATTAAAAAGTATGAGACACTGACTGAGCACATTGCTAATATAAAATCATATGTGTATGGTCAACTTTGAGAATCAGTGATTAGTATCCTGTAATTCCAATTAAGGTTAAACATGATAGAATACCCTATAGAATGACAAATAACTAGTCTTAAACACTCCATCAATGTGTACCATAAATACAAATGGGCAACACTAACTTACTACAGTTTGGAACATAAATAAATGACAGGTGGATTTGGTGAAGTGAGGATTTTCCATTTTAAAAATAAGAGAATTTCAAGAGGCCATATATCAGTGGATGAGATTATACAAAATGTAAAATATACAAATTTTAAGGGATATGTATCCAGACAATATTAGAAATTATGGGCTTTCAGACGACCATGATTAGGAAATGGTGATCGAAAATCGACAAGTCATTTATTTTTGTCCCCAACTGTATATTTGCACATAGCTTACCTTATTCTTTAGCAAGTGATTATCGGCCAAGTAATTTGGCTAGAGACTCAGATTCTAAAGATGGCTATGTGCAAATATAGTAAACACTAGTTATTATTGTTTTGTTTGTGCATTGACATATATGACAAAGATAATCATATACCTTCATGATTTGTGCAAATCCATTGAATCAAAATATTTAATTAAATTAGCTGATCCTTTTTCATTCATTAGGTCACAGTATAGCAGCAGCCTCTGCCTCCATCCCAAGTAAATACCAAACAGTTGTGCTCGATAACTCTGACAGAAAAGGATTTGGAGCAAGAGCAAAACGATTTAACTATGAAGCTGTAAGTAAAAGTATTTACATGTTACACCACATCGGTTCATTGCTCAATAGGTAACTTATTTTTTGGCTTTCTGTCAGCATGTGATCTTGGTAGTAGAAACCACTATGTGTCAGTCCTTCATCGATCGTTTAAAAATAGCTCTTTCCAGGCTAAATATGAAGGCTTGAAAGTCAATGAGAATAGAACCATTGCTGCAGCTTCAGCAGGCAGTGATGAAGTGGTGTTTGGATCCCCAAAGTACTATGCCCTCTGTGGATTTGGAGGTATCCTCAGTTGTGGTCTCACACATATAGCCATCCTGCCACTAGATCTGGTGAAATGTCGCATTCAAGTGGACCCTGCTAAGTACAAGGGCATCATAACTGGCTTCAGGGTGTCTCTATCAGAGGGTGGCATGAGAGAGCTTGGGAGAGGATGGGCCCCCACTCTAATAGGCTATTCCATGCAGGGACTATGCAAGTTTGGTTTCTATGAACTATTCAAGAATGTTTATGCCAATATCTTAGGAGAGGAGAAAACCTTCCTTTGGAGAACAGGTCTTTATTTGGCTGCAAGTGCATCTGCAGAGTTCTTAGCTAATATTACACTGTGCCCAATGGAGGCAATCAAGGTGCGTGTACAGACCAACCCATCCTGGGGTAGGACACTTAGAGAGGGATTCCCCAAGCTCATGAAAGAAGAGGGAGTGAATGGTTTCTACAAAGGACTTGTCCCACTTTGGAGCAGACAGATCCCATACACAATGGTGAAGTTTGCATGCTTTGAAAGGACAGTAGAAGCACTGTATAGATATGTAGTACCAAAACCAAGATCAGAATGTAACAAACAAGAACAACTTGTTGTAACATTTGTTGCTGGTTACATTGCTGGTGTATTCTGTGCTGTTGTGTCCCATCCTGCTGACACCATTGTATCAAAACTCAACCAAGAGAAAGGAAGTACATTCATTAAAGTTGGCAAGAAACTGGGCCTTCTTGGAATGTGGAAAGGACTATTCCCTCGTATCATAATGATTGGTACACCGACTGCCCTGCAATGGTTCATCTATGATGGAGTAAAGGTTTATTTCAAGCTGCCACGTCCCCCTCCCCTATCCATGCCAGAGAGCCTCAAATCTAAAATTACTGCAAAGGAACAATAACTTGTGTGGACTTTCAATATTACATATTTTGTATAATTAGCCAATAGGCCAAGTGAATTTGATACATCCATGTACTCATCACTGGTGACAGCCAACTTTCAAAATTTATCAACCAGACTTTTATCCATTTCCTCAACACAATTTTAACAGTGAATCCAATGGCTTGTTATTTTAGACCAACCAAAAAACAAAGTTTGTCTGCATGAAATTGTAAATTATTTTGGCATCAATAAAGTAAAGGATCAATAAAGCAAAAACAAAACAAACTTCCCTTTCAAGAGTTAAAAGTGATTGCCATTGGCCAGGCAGCTGTGGTTGCGAACCAAAACACATTATTATTGTCTAACAGCAATAGCAGATGGTTATTGATTTACAATTCAGAATTTGCCAATGTAACAACATGAAATTTCTGACATCTTCAGATTACTTTTGACGATACATGATAATTATTATGGCATGGTTATTAAATCCATATTCATTTAACTTTCAGGGTGATAATCCAGGACCTGGAAATTACCTCAACCACACTGGAATGGACAAAGTCAGCAGCTCATATTCGAAGAAAGGAACAGGTGGCTTTGCATCAAAGGTATGTTGCCGTTGTCTAATTGCATTCTTAAAACTCCATATAAACATAAATCAATTGTAATAAGGGGAAAAAACTTTGCTTCAATACAAAAAAGTGCTCTTTAGTAGGGCCAACCTTTTTATTACGGTATGTACACGTATGTCTCAACTTGTGCTTTTGATTTGTTGAAATAGGTCTACTGGTATGTTTATTCAAATGTTTTTTCATTATTTCTGTAACTTCCCTTGTGGTGCTAAAACTTATCCTCTCTTGTGCTATCATGTATTCCCACTGTCTTTTCTAGGCAAGAAGGGCACCTAAACATGAGTCAACATGTGGACCAGGAGCCGCAGCATATGGTCTCCCTAGTCTACTAACTACAAAGAAAGATTACAACAAAATGACAAGCACCAGCTCATTCCACAAACCTATTGCAGTACAGAAAGAGAAACCTGGGGTTCCAGCTCCAAACAATTATGAGGTTAGTGCAATTTCTATAATTTTATTGATATATTGTTGGTACTTCAATATAGTATTGCATTGATATATTTCATTGTTTTTTGTTTATATTATAGTTTTTATGTTGCTTTGTGTGTAAACACAATATAATACATTCATTTCATTTGTTTGTAATCAGAAGTCTAATTGGCAGTTAAGAACAAAATGTTATTTGAGAAGAACGGTATGTATAGTATTACTGTATGAATATATGTTTAATTCATAATCAATTAAAAATACATATTATCAACTTCAGGTGAACAAATCCAGGGGTCTTCAATCAAAGAACAGTGTCATTAGTGCCAATGCAGCATTCAAGTCACAATCAAAACGTGAAGTGATTAATGTAAATGAAGCTAGCAAAAAACCAGCTCCATGTAAGTAATCAGCATTATATATTGTCTCAGATTTGTTTAGGAACTTGAATTTCTTTATCTCCTAGCCTGTACCTGTATTGTCTGTAGAATACCATTGAAATTGAGTTTATGTATGAATATGATAAAAAATTCAAGTAATTGAGAAAGAAGTGAAAAATTTAATAAATGTTTGTTACTTTCCTTTCAGGTCATTATCAGATCAATGATGAGCTAACAAGAGACAGAGTTAAAGTACCAGAATCCAGTTTCAAATCTAAGACAAAAAGGCAGATTGCTCCAGATAGTTACCCAAACCCAGGTCCAGGAACATACAAACCCCACGAACCAACTGACCCTGCAAATAAACAGCTCCTCCCCAGGAAACACTACCTCGGTATCAGTGCACCTGCTATGCCCCTCCCCCCAGGTCTCCCCAACCCCGGACCTGGAAGTTATGAACTGGTTAATTACGAGGGTCCAATGAAGCACTATATGTCCAGCTCCCAATTTGTCTCCAATACAAGTAGATGGGCAGGTGATGTGAACACACAACCAGGAGATCACCCAGGACCAGGTATGTACATATAGAGGGCAGCACAAAAATATACTGTCTGAGGTGTTCATATAATGGATGACATGCATCTAAATGGAAATTTTAATAAGGCTCCAAACATTCTGAAATATTCATATAGAACTATGTAATATTCATTGTGCATTCAAAGCAAATTAAACTTCATATAACTTCAAAAGTTAATTAGAAAAGCCGAAGAACAGATTCAATGTTATTTAAACCGTGGAATGAATGTTGTTGTCAAATAGGCCTATTCCAATGGTATATCACTCATAGGCATATTCCAATGGTATATCACTCAAAGAATGGAAATCTTAACAATGAAACAATCAATGAGTATGTAGTTAAATCGTTGTTCTTTTATTTGCAGCTCATTATCACCCACAAGGAGGGAACAAGACTTCGTTTATCTACAATGCATCATCACGGTGGATATAACACTACATCACTAGTCAACCAGATGTGACAGCATCAACCAAACCATGTGCAGTATTTCAATAGCTGAACACTATTGAACAAAAAATCTCAAATGACTCTGGGACTATATTTCTTGTATGAAATGAATGCAGTGAGCTACCAATCGTGTAGAGCTCATCAAAAGTAATGGATTCAAATAGAATAGATCAATGACAATGGATGGCAAGCTGTGATTATATTGTCTTTGATGTATTAATACTAGAATACCATACACATTACACATGTATTTGTGAAACTGTGATCAGATAGATGTCTATGTATTATAAGATGGGGTTATCTAGCTAGTATACAATTACTTTTTAAGAGTTTGTGATTAAAGTCAAGAACCCCAGGTTTGAGTTTCAAGAATTGTAGGATCCTATGATGAAAACACATTCATGAATGCTACAAGATAGATAAGTTCCACAGTGTAAATACTTGTATATAATAAAAAGAAAAATGCCAAAGGAAATTGTACAAAAAAGATACAAAGAACAGTATGTAAATAAGTTAGTCAAAGCTTTTTATTATTTAAAAAACATTGTCTTAGATAACATAAAAAAATGTGTAAATTACACTCAACATATGTATAGACATGCATGTACATTGATAGGTAATAATATATTTTATATAAAATATGAAGATTCTTTTGTGATAACATATTGTAATGTATGACAGTATGAGTGAGTACTGACCTACTATAAGGTGAAATTTTCCATAACATTTTTTAACGAATTTGGTTTTCAGAAATCAATCAATGCTTATTGAAGTCCTGTAAAATTTTATTGAGCACACACCTTTTTCAACATTTTCAAAAAGATACAAGAACACAAATGTGTACAAAATGTCCCCACCAAGTGGTGATCCCGTCAAATGGTTATCCTGAAAATGAGTAGACAAGACTTTACCAACACAATTTGAGGACGGAAAATCCAAAGTGGCCACCTTAAAATTTACCCAGAATGCCAAAAATTTCTAGATTTTCATACTAAGAACCACCCCTGAAAATTTGAAATTGATCCGTCACACAGTTAACCAGAAAACATGTAAACAAGACTTTACAGACAAGATTTCAGGATGGTAAATCCAAAATGGCTGCCTTGACATTTACCCAGAATGTCAAAAAACTAATCTGTTTGTAGATTTTCATACTAAGAATCATCCCTGAAAATATGAAATTGATCTACCAAACGGTTCACCTGAAAACAGGAAGACAAGACTTTATAGACAAGATTTTAGGACAGAAAATCCAAAATGGCTGCCTTAACATTTACGCAGAATGCAAAAAAACTAATCAGATGTAGATTTTGATATAAAGAATCATCCCTGAAAATTTGAAATTGATCTATCAAACCGTTCACCTAAAAACGCGTAGACAAGACTTTACAGGCAAGATTTTAAGACGGAAAATCCAAAATGGCTGCCTTGACATTTACCCAGAATGCAAAAAAACTAATCAGTTCTAGATTTTCATACTAAGAATCATTCCTGAAAATTTGAAATTGATCTACCAAACAGTTCACCTGAAAACGAGTAGACAAGACTTTACAGACAAGATTTTAGGACGGAAAATCCAAAATGGCTGCCTTAACATTTACCCAGAATGCCCAAAAACTAATCAGATCTAGATTTTTATACTAAGAATCATCCCTGAAAATTTGAAATTGATCCACCAAACGGTTCACCTGAAAACGCGCAGACAAGACTTCACAGACATGATTTTAGGACCGAAAAATCCAAAATGGCCGACAATAAAAAAGTCCTTATGAATTTTTGCTGATTTCTTTTTACAAAATTATCACATATAACTACTGTTAATAATAAAGTAGGCTTTTACAACAAAGTACATCTGAAATTATTTATAAAGCTACTAAATAGTTAAAGTATGAAAACTCAAAAACACCATTCAATATGATACAAAGTATTATCGCGCGCTAACTTTTCTTAAGACATTCAAAATGGCTGACATGACTGAGCTAGCAGGTCCAAAACCTAATCAGATCTAGAATGAAGTGAGCTGAATAAGATGTTAAAGTTTTAAAAGCAACTGTGAAGCAGTTTTTCTTAAAGTTTGCAGACAAGGATTTTAGCATTTGACTTCAAAATGGCCGACAGGAAGTAGGTTTCGAGTTAAATTTTTTTCATCCACATCTATAGGCACTCATAAGTTATCCCTGAAAATTTGAAGGTGATATCTGTAGCGGTTTTGGAGAAAACTCCCGGACGTACGGACGGACAGACAGACGGACAGACAGACGGACAGACAGACGGACGGACAGACGGACGCGCCTAGGCCGACAATATGGCCCCACACTATGTATGTGGTGGGGACATAATAAAATGATAAACACAATCATGAAAAACATTGGCAACATTTGGAAATTTTGGGAAAATTGGCAATTTGAGGCTCCCCTAGAATTTAAGAATTTTGCTTACTTTTTAAAGGCTGGTTATTACGATCATAATAAATACATTATTTTCTCAGACCTCTTAACAACCAAATCTCAGCACTGAATCCCACATGTAAAACATTTTACAGTTTCCATCTTTATTTCTTAATTAAACAAACTACTTGCGAATGCATCTTTTTAGATCAAAAATGGTTCCACTTTATTTAGTTTAAAAAAATTCAGCCTCACAGATGTACATCTTAACAAAAATTGCTTTCACATAGAGTTTATTGCAAAACATTTTTGATAACATCTAATTCGTCAAACACCTGCTACCTAAACTGCACTGTTAAAGAATTACTTTCTCTTTGAAGTTCATTAGGAGCAAGTTCTAAGTCTTTATCAATCCAAGGTTTAAGATCATCTGAGGGTGTACAGTCCAGTAATATCAATGTCGTGAGATGCTCTAGAGCATGGCCAACATTCCGTATCCTGGCCAATGAAGTGTTATCTCCAGAGAGGGTCAGCTTCACAATGTTGGGACAGTACTGAAAGAGATAGAGGCCGTTGATTTACAAAATACTGAACATGAGTTGAACATAAGGTCAGTTACTTAGATAAGCTTGTTTCTTCTTAAAAAATTGTTTCAAGTCAATTCAAGTTGAATATTTGTGATGTTATATACGTAGACTAAACAAAATGTATTGAACTAAAAAACGGCAACTCTACGGAGTAGCAAATCCCGACAAACATTATATAAATCTGACCAGTCAGATTGTAATATTAACCATCTACTCTTCCCTTTAATAAATATTTGAGATCATTGTAGTATCATGTAACCATACTTAAAAGATATCTCTAAGTAATGGCGAATTCCTGCTCTAGGCAGCCATTTTGAATTTTCTGAGGCACAAATCAGAAAAACAATACCATAATTGTGATCTACTCTAAAATTCCTTCAATTTGAATATAGTATAGCCATACTTTTAAGAGATCGGAAAATAATTGCAAAATCCCACATTAGGCGGCCATTTTATATTTTACGGGGCCCAAATCAGAAAAACGATAAAATATTTGCAATCTACTCTAAATTGCCTTTCTATTGAAAGAATTCACGCCCCCTGATATCAGGGTGAAAAACATGGGATATATGCGAAGTAGATAAAATGTTGTGAATATACAACCAAAATTTCAAATAATAATATTCATATGGTTTAAAATGATAAAAACAAGATTTGCGAAAAATTCCCCCCATTTTTAATTTTTCTCGTAAAACTATTCACCAATGTACATCTTTCCACCAAATATGAAGAAAATCTGTCAACTAGTACTCGAGTTATCTTCCAGATGGACGGACTGACGGACAGAGGGCTTCACTATATCCCTACTGAACTTCGTTCGTTGGGATAATAAAACTGATAATAAACAAATACTGGATGATCAGGAGCTGGATATGGCAGAATACCTATTCGAGAAAAAATATTGGGCGAGGCGGTAGCCGAGCCCAATATTTTTTCGAGGATAGGTATTCTGGCCATATCCAGCTCCTGATCATCCAGTATTTGTTTTATTATGCACCTCCCAATCAAAGTTAAGTGGAGTACTTACTGGAGTACAGGCTTAAACTGTCGTTTAGTTGACATTATTTTGACATTTATTTATTTTTTCTTTCAAAACTCAGACGACTTCCGGACAGTTTATTCGCTACACTGGACGAAAATATTTGCCCCGGGAATTTAATTTTTATTTATTCGAGACGTTCTTGCAGACTTATATGTAACTTGAATGATAAGGGTAATTGTGATTGATTAAGTGCATTTTTTTCTTCTATTTTCCGCCAGTTTCAGATGTAAGCTTTAAGTAGTACTCCAGTTATTAAGAAATAAAACTCTGAAGTGGGAATGTTGCAAAAACATTGAAAAAAATATCCGACCCTTTTTCTCGAAAGGGGCAGATATTAAAAAAATATCCGGCAGTTTTCAGAAAAGAGCAGAGTATTGCCAAATTACAAGCAACTAAGAACCAATCAGATTTGAGTATTTTAATGAGGTGCATAATAATATATTATATATACCAAGAAGCTTGAGATGAATCAACTCGTATCTGAGAACCTTACTTACATATCTGAGTACTCTACCAAGGAACTTGACATTGTGAGAGGTGAGATGTAGGTGCTGCAGGGCTATCAGGGGGGAACTGTGGTCCACCTGTAGCAGGGGGAGCTCTTCAATGTGTAGTCCAAGCTCCTTCAGGTTGGGACATCCTTGTATTCTCAGGTACTGCAGTTTGGGACATATGATCTCTGAAGCAGAAATGCATACACGTCACTATGTCATCATGTGATTCATATCAGCTCTACTTTATTTATATATTTATCCTTCACAAAACTAAATATCTTTAAAATATGTAAAGGAATGGGGCAGAGGTTTATAATTTTGATGAAGTTTTCAAACAAAAGCTTTTAATTATTCTTCCCTTATTTAATTTACACAGAGTACACACTGCTTGTTCATATCACAAGTACATGTACAGTATGTGTAATCAAAATATGTTTCAACAGCATAGGAAGTCCCTGTTTGCAATTTCATGTTTGGAATTGTGTCATTTTGCAATGCCATGCATGTCTCAAACTTCCTGTTTGTGGTAAACTGTATTTTATATCATAAATCATTCCCTATTCATATATTCATATTCACATGTCATATGTAACATATACGATTATACATTGGAGTTGTAAATGTATACTTTTCAGCCCCTAGCCAGGGGGGGTTCGATGGGTTCAAGTAAACCCCCCCTGGCCAAAAAATCTTTCAAAATCATGCAGTTTTTCACCATTCTGAGCACTTTTTAAGTGATTTTGGCCATTTCTGGACCAAAATTATCACAAGTGAACCCCTCCTGGAATTTTTCAAAAAGTGAACCCCCTTGGCAAATCCTGGCTACGGGCCTGCTTTTTTACAGAATTAAATGGCCTGGTCAGGAGAGATAAAAAGCAATGTTTTGTAAAGAATATTGAGGAATCAGTGGGTAATTATGACAAACTTCAAATATTTCAACAAACAAGGGCAAGGGGGTCTGACAAGTTTGACCAAGTGGTCCTATCCAAATATGCCCCCCCCCCGTGTCTCTATCGATTTATAAAGTGACCCAATATAACATCTCTTTTCCTTATTAGTTTATACTCAGTCAGGGCTAGCAAGGACCTACATGTAGTAGAAAGGGACCATTATCCCTGGATACCATAATTTTGCTCACTCTAGCCCTGAGTAACTTACTGATTTGTTTGAGGTGTATACCCTGGTCCAATGTTAGATGTGACAGGTTTGGAAGACTTAGGGTGAGATCTGTTTCTTTAGCAAGAGCTCGCACTTCTACAATTCTTAAAGTGTCCTTATGTTGCTCAAAAAGGCATCTTCTTAACTTTGGAGTTATCTGAAATGAAAATATTTGGACATGAACACACTCTCACATCTAGCGCTTGGAAATGCATAAGGTACCTGGCCCTTTTGGTCTGGTTGGAATCAGGGCTTGAGTGTTTTAATTTTTTAAATCACCTTACAAACATTAGGTAAACCTATAATAAGGAAAACATGTGTGAGAACAATCAGTATAATGATAAGTGATGCAATTAGTATTTACACAGGTAAGTGTCTAAATTACGTGCTTTATCAATCTAAATCAATTATCGCCGCATTAAAGTTAATGAATTTCTCTTCTAATAAAGGCATATTGTTACACATCAGTAATGGGTGGTTTACTTAATTTACTATTAATTTCATGGCAACTATGAATAAATCAGTGAGACCACTTAGTCAATTATTAGATCCACAATTCTTAACAAATGGAGGGTGTTACCCAGGCATCTCACCTTGGGCAAGTTATGTAAGACTAGCTCTCTGATTGGACAAGGCCTCCCAAGGGATGGGTCTACTATAATATTCTCCAGTCTCCTCAGGCTGATTAATTTCAGAACTTCTATGTTCTGTGTTATTGTGAGAGAACTGAAAAAAACATCCCATGCATATAAATATGTACAACTATTCTGCAGCAGGGGAGCAAAATGCTTGTGTGAAACACCCCATATGAAAACATTTCTGTTTACTTGTTGCATAATATAAAGGATCCAGGTTTGAGCAAACCTCCCCCTGGCCAAAAATGCTTTCAAAATCATGCAGTTTTTCACCATTCTGAGTAATTTCAAGTGATTTTGGGCATTTTTAAAAAGTGAACCCCCTAGGCAAATCCTGGATCCTGGCTACAGGCCTGGTGGCATGTAGTATTTCAATTCAACGGGATGTAGCTTACAGCTGCTCAAATGCTGGCGAGAGAATTGCTGAACTAACAAGCTGCCATCATTTACTTTCACGCAAATATGAATCAAGATATCTGATCGACAATTAAACATCATAACAGGTCCAACTTCCAATTCCAAGTAAAAGTCATCGGAAATTGAATGTAAATAGCTTCCTTAATTATGAATTCCCTCATGTCAACACCCACTTCTATGATAAGTAACTTGCATTAGTATTCTATTTGTAAAGGTATGATATAATAATACTAGGATTTATTACACATCTTACTTTATTTTATTGCATGCTGACAGTTGAAGATTTGAGATCTTGGGGCAGTCCCTCAATATTGCATCTAAGTATAGGGTTGAACAGCCACATTGCTTCAATACTAATGTGTACAGGTTGGGGCATCTGCAAATAAACATGTCACATAATTTTTACTACTATATGATCATATGATCTGACAACCCCATGAACAGTCAGCCAGTTTTTTTGAGTTTGGGTTTTGAATTGGCCATTTTTGCCGAAAATGTTGTGGAATTACATGTAATCTCATAATTAACACTCTGATTCTAAACAGATGTACAGTACATTATGTATACAGGAGCATTATTTGTACATATTGGACATTTTTACATACTATCTTATTAAATAGCACTCACTTAATAACTGCGGTGTGGTCAGGGTTAAAACAAATCCCATTTATCTCAAGTGTCCTTAGATGTTGTGCATCAAGGAAAAAGTATTCAAAGTTGGATCCCTTGAGGTCGATTTCCCGTAAAGAGGGAGTGCTGATGCTACAATGTTGGACCACACCACACCACTGGAAAAACATGAACAATATTCACGCCAAAAGAATGACATTATAGCAAGCTAAGGAGTTGTTGGTACGACGGGGTTTGGTAAATCAGAATAAGGATCTCATGACACATAAACCAAAGCATCAAATTAATAACCAGGCAGTAGTATTGTCTGTCTTGGCAAAATCTATCCATTATGTGATATCATCTGGCATATCATCAAATATCAAGTTTCATTTTCTATTGAAAATCATGCCTTATTTGCATTTAAATTCACAAAACTTGCAAAAATGCGAATTTTTGTGTAAGAATCTTTATCCCTACGAGATTTCATTTTATTTTCTCAAATGAGATGATGTGATACTTTTTGTCCGGTATCATATACTTCATGAATAAAACAACTATACAATCTTTCCATATGAATAACCTCTAGATTAGTTACCTAATCATCTTCAATTACCTTACGCAAGAGAGAAAAAATACAAGTAGATGTATTTTATATCATCTTCATTTCAATTAAGTAAAAAACAGGATATATATAATGAAGGTTTCTTAAAATACAATCCTTGCGGAGTACTTGACCTAATCCTTTTGTTAAACATAAGACAATTCAAAGAAAGGATTTTCAAAATAATCTCAACTCCAGGCTCTAAATATACATGGACCATAATCTGTCTTCTTAATCATATTCAATGAGATTTATTCAAAGGCAACTCACATTTTCTAGAATTCTGAAGATGTAAGATAATACATTAATAACTTCCTTGTTGCTTGTAAATTACAATGTTTTCTGAAAAACAGCTCTTATTTTAATGAGTAGCTACTTTACAAGCCAACCATTCCCAATAAGTGGAATTCAAACACATCAAATATCATAGCAAATGTTATTTATAAAACTAGAGTTCAATGAATGCACTAAATGGAAATACACTGAAGGAATATTATGTATCAGTCATACTCATAGTGACAAAGGAGTTTTGAGCTATTGTATTACGACCATTAACCCTATTAATTAACTAATAAAAAAAACAGCAACTCCCTGGAGTAGCAACTCCCACTGAACAAAACAAAATTTATCAAATCACTCATTGTGAACATTATATGGTAAAACCAAAGCATTAACATGCAAAAGGTCACCACCTACCATTTGTTATATATGCCAAACACCAACCATTGAACACCAACCACCAAATGGCAAACACCAACCACTGCCACTTGTGGTGGTGACATAATAACCAGGCAGTAGTATTGTCTGTCTTGGCAAAATCAATCCATTATGTGATGCCATGCCATGTTAGAAATATCTTTTTGAGGAAACAAGTTCTTTATTTGTTAATAGACCATTAAAAAGTCCCAAAATACTATTCTGTTAGACATGTATAATACTACAAGTGATGCCCATGCCAATTGGTCTCTAGAATGATGGAATATTTTCATCTTCATCCTTAGCACTTCAAGATATAGAATTTTGTATTCTAAAATGCATTTATTACAGATGACTCTAGATGACTGTTAAAATATGGGTATTTTTTCTTAAATACTCCCTTCCTTTTAACCAAATCCAACAACTGGTATTTGAGGTATCAGAAACGGCACCTCAGAAATTATATTTTTTCTGAAAAACTGTGGCCATTTTGAATTCAGCAGCTATCATGAACTGACCCAAACCTGATAATTTGTGTTCAGGTCATCAAGAATTATTTATTTCATAAAAAAGTAGTTGTGGCCATTATGAATCAATTCTGAACACTTCTGTAACACTGAGCTGTATCAATACCATATTTGGTAAGAAAGACATAAATATTACAATTGAGCACATTTCTGGGCGCTATGGTTCCTTTGTAGATAAAATGCACAAAATTAATTAATTTGTCAAAGTCAAGATGATCATGGGTCATAAAGTGAGATTATGCAGGCAAATGCTTTTGTTTATTTATATTATGATGATCAAATCAAACTGAAACAAAGCACACACTAATCTGCCAGATTGCGTTGGGTCTATCCAACGTGAACATTAACAATCCAAGCAACAGGGTAAGATGTTTGTGCCATTTAAGCATGATACATCAGTTCAATTGTTGCACTTTTAATTAAATTATTCATAAATACAATCATCAATCATTGTGATGTTATTTGAAAAGCACAATTCAATGCTACATCACGATTCAATATAATATTCCATTTATCCGTCCTTTTTGCTGATATCATCTGCTATTCATTCCATCATGAAACTTTAAAAACAACATAGTGTAAAACCTGCCAAATCTGAATGTCTCTGGGACAAGCCAAAAGTGTTCGGAAAAATGCAAGTCAATTTGAGAGAGAGAAAAGTGTTCACACTGAGAGGTGTTCAGATTTAAGGTGTTCAGATTCACTTCAGGTGTTCAGTTATATTGTACATACATTTGAATCCTGGTACAAATAACTACATACAGGATACACCTGCATTTACACTTTACTAGAAGTATACACAGAGTGTAATATGTGTATTAAACAACCATAATAGGTGACTGTGTTTGTTACATACATATAAAATATCAATATTTTTACCTAATCATATCAAAGGCTCTCTGGAGAACAATCATAACGACTTTAAACTGACATAATATTCAAAATTCATAAATAAATAACTTCTTTCGAAAATTAGTTTGATGTGATAGCTCCTTATAAAATAAAATAATATTGTAGTCGTTTAGGGGCTATAAGAACAAATTGAAGACCTCATTCATACGCTTTTTGTGGGACTGTATTTTTAAAGTTATGCCTTTTTTAAATGACTATCATCAATATAATATCAGTACTGTCAACCCCTAAAGATTTTCTCGCGGGACAGATTTTTTAGACCCAGTGCCCAAAATTCGCGGGATTTTGCGGGACATCTACTAAATTCGCGGGATTTTGCGGGATATTTAAGGGATTTGCGTGATTGCGCTAATAGGAGATTTTTTTTTATCAAATTCGCGGGATTTCGCGGGACCATTCGAGGGACAAACACCCTAATTGCGGGACAGTTAACAGGTGTACCACCAAAAACTTCATAGAGGGACAGATTTTTTAGACAAAGTGCCCTAAATTTGCGGGATTTCGCGGGACATCCACCTAAATTTGCAGGATGTCCCGGGACAATCAAGGGATTTGCGTGATTGGGACTAATGTAAAAGCGTGTAGAAGTACTTAAATCAAACATTCAGATACTGATTAATCAAATATAATGCACCGTTACATTGTAACTTAAATAAACGTCAACACAATTTCACAAAATACGCATAGGAATATTATTAAACTTTATTGTAATTTATCAAAAACAAAAACCATGCTTCAGGTGTGATTACCGTAATCTAACACGAAATTCAAAAATTCGGAACAATACTTTGCACTTCTGGCGTCGTGACCAACTATGAAACGCTTACCCCCATAATGTTATATATTAAAATGTACCTATTCATATACTGTAGGCACGGGCTTTCAATTGAAAGCCCATGATATAGGGGTTCGATTAATCTACATCAAATTATAGGGAATGAGGTTAATTTTCTAGATAGGGTTTGTATAAAAAACCGGGTACCGGGTAGTAAATCCTCCATGCTGGGTTCAAACTTGGTACCCGGTCGAAAAAACCAAAAAACGAAATATACGAATACACAACATAATTAGATCATTAGAAAACGTGTAAGATTTGTTTTGAATTTACAAAAATGTATGTAACTTCCTTCAAAATTGAGCTAGAAGCTTCAAATAAAAAGCATTTTAAGGCTCTTTTCTTCCTCTATCATCTTGGTCATATTTCCATTGGTAATTCGCACCCCCTCCTGGCTACGCCAATGACATTGTAAGACGATTTGAAAAACAAGACAAATCAATCTTACTCTATTTTCAATAGTCCGTATGTTGGTACGTGAATTGTTTTGATTATGATTTAAATCTGTAAATAGCTATCGTTGCTTTAGCAGAGAGGTGACGTGTGTTAATTTGCATGATGCAACGTGTAAGATTTTGATTATTAATCATAATTTAAGTTATCCCAATTTATGACAAAATGTCCACTGAATTGTAAATTGTTATGTCTTACAATGTCATAGGCGTAGCCAGGAGAGGGTGCGATGGTGCGATCGCACCCCCCCCCCCATAACCAATGAAAATATGGCCATAACGATAGAGGAAGAAAAGTGCCTTAAAATATGCTTTTTATTTGAAGCTTCTAGCTCAATTTTGAATCATGTTACATACATTTTTGCAAATTCAAAACAAATCGTACACGTTTTCTCATAATCTATTTGTATTTTTCGTTTTTTTGGGTACCCGTTTTTTTTGACCGGGTACCAAGTTTGAACCCAGCATGGAGGATTTACTACCCGGTACCCGGTTTTTTATACAAACCCTTTCTAGATATCAGCGTACATTTATTGTAACTCGCGTTTGCTAACATTTGCTCAGTTCTGAGATGAAGGCCACACGGGTAGTAAAAAGGCCAACGTTGGAACTATTTGTGACCTACATCCCTATTTTCGTAATTAAAATGAAAGTTGAACCCTTCCCCTTTATTTTGATACCAAACAACAGCATGCTGGGTACTTAAAATTAGGTAAACTTTACTCCTCAAAAGTGCAAAAACTTAGCTTCTTATATAAGATAAGAAAATCAAAATATAGGGGATTGCAACAATTTCGGAAATTCGCGGAGGTCAAAGCCACATTTTGCGGGACTTCGCGGGACAATGCGGGACACGCGAATTAGCCTAATTTTGATCAAATTCGCGGGATAATCCCGCCATTCGCGGGACACTTGACAGCTCTGTAATATGGAGATGAAGATGGATATGATCATTTTTTAAATATTTATGATCTAAAAATGGCTGATCTAAGAGGTATATTGTATTTATAGTGTAATTACATTTTTTAATAAGTGTCATGTTTTCCTTATTCTGAAATAAGTACAAAGAAAAGTTGCACTTTTGAGATTCTAGAAATGACGGATGGTGATAAATAATAAACAACTAACAAATGAGGACATTCACAGACAATAGACTGCTTTCTCCCATTGTTCTTTAGAGTGACGTACATCATTAGTAATATATAAATAAATATGACAACACAAGAGGAAGTTGACTCTAATTTTTCATCACCAATCATTGCGTGAGGGGTCACATCAATACACCAATTTGTGATTTAAAAAAAAGCTATTGCATTGAGGGTTTTCATCTCCCTCTCAAAATGAGTTGATCAATGTTGTGAAATTATGGGTATATGTATCATACATACATATAGAGACATTCTTATTCTTGTTTATTATACTTTATATGAGATTCCAACATAATTTTTTACAATACTGGCCCCTCTAATCCTCTGCCAAACTAATTGCTTCCAGTTTTAGTGAAACCAACATAAAAGTTCTCTCAACAATGGACAATATAAGCACAGCAATAATAATTGACAGCTTGAATTGGAGGAAGGGCAAATGATCGGTCCCTGAAGAATTATCACACTGTATTCAGTAATTCCGATAAGAAGCATATAAAAGGATTAAATCCAATTAATATGTTTTAATTTAAGCATTCGCTGAAATGAATCTGAATGGAAACAGGAAATGATACATTTGTCCGAATAAAAGAGAAGTTCAGTTTTTGATTTTCTAAAGCAGACAAGGGGCATTTGCTGATCAACAAACTGCACATTTACATGACTGTAAAAGGTAAACACATGAATATAATGCGCATGTTAAAATCAACAGAAAATATGGGAATAAAATATATGAAATGCATAGAGAGTTTTATGAAAAAAATGATACATTCTAACATAAATCATAATATGATTGCTTAAAAAATATTATATTAAAAGTTTGTTTAGATACTAGTATGTGTTTATTCATTTAAACAAATATAACCAGCTATATGCACTACTGATTATCAATAAAATAAATAATTCCTTTTTGTTTGTGATAGTGGATTGAAAACAAGTACATTTTATTAGATATGTTATATTCATATCTGGTAGTCATATTTGAAACACATCTGACAGAAACAAGTATTACCACAGGCTTCCAAGTGACAGGTATGCTATTCAAAGTAGTTCATAGGCAAAAACTAAACAAGGCATTAACATGACAAAATGTCACCACCTAGTTGCTCACAATATTTTCAGTTCAATCTTAAGTCAGATTTGAATTTCTGAGAACTTGTAGATGATTTTGAAAAAAAGAATTAGTCAACATGAAGCAAGTTGAAAAAATAACTTTTTGACCTTGAGAAAGGCATTGAAGGTCATTTATTTTTTGACCTTTAGAATATCATTGAAGGTCAAATCTATATACAATAGTCAGATATGACCTTTTGAGAACTTGAGAAATTGGTCAATTTGAAACAAGTTAAAAAAATACCTTTTTGACCTCCTTTTAACCTTGAAAAGGTCATTGAAGGTCAAATCTCAAATCTAAAGTCAGATTTGAACTTCTGACTTTTGATGGTGACATAAATATGAAATGAAAAATGCCACATTGGGCTAATTTGAGCAAAATCAATTTTTTTTTGCAAATACATCCCTGGAGGATAATAAATCGATCAAAAAACTCATACCATTTCAGACAAGTAACTTTTTGGGAAATGACAGAATAAATTCTAGTCAGTAAATGATTCAGCAACAAATCACTGTCAATAAATAAGTGTTTTTAAGTCAAAGTAGTCTTTAGTAGATATTAACGCTTACACTAGTGACCAATTACAAGCTTTTTGTCATCAGCCTGTGGCCCTTTAAGAAATTTCTATTGCTATTACGATATATAAGAGCAGGAGGGGATATTGATTTCAATAAAATGTTGTTTAGGATTTCTAATCAGCAAAGTATAACATGAAATCTGAAAAATGGATGGAAATTATGTTCCTGCGATGATATAGTAGCTAAGAGCTAATAATTCTAATGGATCAACACCATTAATTGTGGCGGGTAAGGTTTTTTAATTTTCTATAAAACAGTAATTTTCAATAAAATCATAATAACATGTGATCGATGTGATTTTATACCATTAGATAATATATGTATGATTGACACCATATTATCAAGCTAATGGGAAACACAAAAACAAATATCTTATAATTTTATTATGAATAATATCTGGAAAATAAAATTAAACCAGTCTCATATTTGGATTATCTGATTAAAGAGAACAGAAACTAAAATGTCTGGGACATCTAACTCATATCCTGTTTAATAAGTAGTGATCTGTTTGGATTTGCATAGATATGATGTATTAATTGTGTATTAATTACAATTTATCTCATTTACAATTCAGCCAGAACGGCAACGGGGTGCACTTTCTCAAGAATAGACAATTCCTAAATAAACCTATCAACGACAAAATTTGATTTGTTGAATCACACAAACATTTGAAGCATCACCATGGTGACCTGCTGCAAACTTAAGTGGTATCTAATGGCGATTGCAGTAATCGGAAGAGGAATATGCACATTTGCAACTGAAGGACAAGCAAATTATACAGAGACTTCAACAATTTATGTGAATACAACTGAATACATTGACAGTACAATGTCAACAAACAATACAGAGACAACTACAAGTTTTGTTAATACAGCACAATACAAAGACAAAACAATCTCAGTGAACAATACAGAGGCGACCACAAGTAAAGTCAATACAACGCAATTTATTGATGATACAACATTGGCAAGTGACAGTAGTGACACGAACCATACAACATTGGAGCCAAGAGGAACAATGGGTAAATCTCGGACTGCCATGTTAATACCATTAGAACGATCTCGGTATGATATCATGACTTACAGAGCAAAATGTGAGAACAGCCCCGTGGTACCAATATTTATCAATGAGACAAGGGTTGTATTAACCAGCGATCACTTCAGATGGCTCATCCTATGTGTAAACTCAGTCAATGCAAATAAGGTATGTGCTCCACCATTTAATCGTATCAGTAGAAAGTATGAAGACTACACCATAATGGGTATCGTAATTGACATCTATATTTGTATCCCCTTATGTGTGCTTGGAATCATTGGCAACATTCTCTCATTCGTCACCCTTTCTCGTGAAAAGCCAAACACAAGTATAATTATTTTAAAATCACTCGCTGTCATTGACAGCATATATCTATTGCTTGTGGTCGTGTTTAAACCCTACCACATTGCATACCACGACACTGAGTGGCTGAATAAATCATCACATGACGAATTCTCTCATCAGTTTGAAATAGCCTCAAGTCATGCAGCTCCTGTCATTAATATGGCCCAGATGTGTAGCTCTTGGCTTGTGGTCCTTCTCACCATTGATCGCTTTATTGCTATCTGCCATCCATTTAAGGCACTCACCTATTGCACTATAAAACGTGTGAGGGTTGGGATTTTAAGCATCATCGTGATCTCTATTGTGTATAACATCCCTGAATTTTGGGGGATCAGCTACAAGTGGATCTACCACGAATGCCTGAAGTTATGGATGGTGGCAACTGGAACGATCCGAGGCTCAATTGGTCAGCATATCCTCTACAGAACCATCTACGGTTTCGCAGGGAATCTCTTATTCAGGAATCTTCTCCCAGTTGTATTAGTTGTTTCACTCAATGGTCGTCTTGTTCATTCCTTGAGGGTCTCTCTTCAAAACCGAGACAAAATAATGGCAAACACAGAACACAACAACGAGCACCGAGATAAAAATATCACGGTCACCCTTTTAACCATCTCTTTTGTCTATCTAATTTGCATCCTACCGATGCTGGCTTTGAGTGTCCTTGACATTTATTTCTCATCTGTGCTTACAAATAAACACAGTGATACGCTTATCTATTATACATCAGATAATGCATCATTTCAGATCTACATGAAGTTTGCACTGGTTGTTCAATTGTTAGTTAGGCTCAACTCTGCTATTAACTTTCTTGTGTATTGTTTTGTAAGAAAAGGATTCAGAGGGAAATTATGTAGCGCTTTCAAAATGGTGGTTCAAAGAGAAGGATCGCGTCAGACCGTATCCAGTAGATATAAAACCTCTGATAAGTCAAAACAAAGTTATTAAATTGACAAATTGATTAATAACATTTATCTAATGTTATCCAGATTCACTTGCTATCAAATTAATGGACTCGTTCTCTATTATTATTCAAGATGTGTATGGTAGAATGAGTTTTATTCAAATTTGCAAGACAGATGTTGCCTAGTCTATTTACAGTTATGCCTGATGTAATATTTACCTTAGATACTAGAGGATGTGTGGTTTGTGTTCTCTAGTATATCTTTTGCTAACAATGAATTAAATGGCAATCAGAGAGTCATTACCCAATATTGTAAATGTATTCTTTGCACACTTAGAGGAGGAAACAGCCCTAACTCCATTATTGGCTGATTATGTACCTTGTGTATATTATCTGTATATATTGACTGATTATGTGCCTAATTCTAGAGTAGATTTGTATATATTGACTGATTATGTGCCTATTCTAGAGTATCTTATCAGTATATATTGCCTGATTATGTGCCTAATTCTAGAGTAGATTTGTATATATTGACTGATTATGTGCCTTGAATTCTAGAGTAGATTTATATATCGACTGATTATGTACCTTGAGTTCTAGAGTATATAATCTGTATATATTGCCTGATTATGTGCCTATTTCTAGAGTAGATTTGTATATATTGACTGATTATGTACCTTGAGTTCTAGTGTATATTATCTGTTTATATTGCCTGATTATGTACCTTGAGTTCTAGAGTATATTATCTGTATATATTGCCTGATTATGTGCCTAATTCTAGAGTAGATTTGTATATATTGACTGATTATGTGCCTATTCTAGAGTATCTTATCAGTATGTATTACATACCCAGCGAAGCATTTGTATTGAAGTCAATGGAGCTGAAGGTCGGCTATATATTCCTGTATAGCCGCCAAACCTTTTACCATGACAATCTTATGACGTCATTTTGACGTCATGTTTCATTTCTTCCTAATTTCACTCGCACACAGACACGTGGCGTCATTGATATAACGTAGCCATGATATAAAAGTATGTAGTACAACAGTTATGTCCGTATCATTGAATATATGCCTTCGGTCTGTCGTAATATAACCCTCGCAAGCTCGGGCTATATTGGTGACAGACCTCAGGCATATATTCAATGATAGGGACATAACTGCTAAATATTGCCTGATTATGTGCCTAGTTCTAGAGTAGATTTGTATATATTGACTGATTATGTGTCTTGAATTCTAGAGTAGATTTATATATCGACTGATTATGTACCTTGAGTTCTAGAGTATATAATCTGTATATATTGCCTGATTATGTGCCTAATTCTAGAGTATATTTGTATACTAGTATATTGACTGATTATGTGCCTTGAATTCTAGAGTAGATTTATATATTAACTGATTATGTGCCTTGAATTCTAGAGTAGATTTATATATTGACTGATTATGTACCTTGAGTTCTAGAGTATGTATTGTTTTCCCTGTGGCCACAACAGTTTGCAACTTGCTACAACTATTCACTGTCACTTGTTGTAAATTGAGCCATGTAGATAGGTCCAATCTGGAAAATATAATGAAAATATAAATATATACAATACAAATTTCATGGGAAATATTGTCTTAAAAAGAGTGTGTTCTTCTCATTATTTTCAGACTTAAATCCAATTGCATTAATCTTGAATTTGAAAAAATGATTTCGAGGAACTATCTTAGACAGGTTCAATAAGTTAATGACGAGTACGGACATTCAAGTTGCACCACAATAAAAACCCTTTGTAGAAAAAACACATGTACACTTTCATTATGTTTTATGATTTGCAATCATTTAATTTTGTGTGTTCTTGAGTATAAAACAGAGACACTGTTCTAGATAAGAACAGTATTTGAACAAGTTCTATTTCATCGATATAAAGATTCAAATTACCAATGTTAAATATATTTGATTTATCATTTATTTGTTGACCATATAAATATCTAGTGGAAGTATTCCTTTGTGTACTTCTGAAAGTATAATGAGGGGCACTCAACCAAATCATATCTAAACAACTGACTGACAGTTTACTCAGTTAGGCCTGTCAGTGTAGGATTTGAGTATAGAATAATGTGTTTATTGTAGGCTCGGGGAACAAAGAAAGCAGATGGTCTCATTATATTATTGAAAACATTGACCCTCTTGTATAGTAGACAGTGTACGAGGGTTGTCCCAGAAGTAATGCACTATATGGTCTAACTTTATCAATAATTGATATGTTTCCATGAAATTTTCAGTAAATGTTCCTTAAAGACATTTTGATTATTCTACAAATTTTCATGTTGACTGATAAAACTATATTGATGTTATAATAAAATCAAGTTGGTGTGTTCGGGTAGGATGGGGCAGGTTATACAGTCAAGTCAAATGGAATAAAAAATTGAAAATATGAAATAATTAATCAACAAATACCATTTTGTGTAGCTATATGAAGTTGTCTCAAAAATAAATTATAAGATACTAAATTACTATGAGCACATCTTAGATTTAATTGATGTTTATTGCACAGTGTCCCATTACACATTTTCTCAAAATATTGCCCTTTGCATGTTATGTACTTTTGATGCCTGCCAGGTCAAACACTCTTGGCAATTTCTTCCACTGTGGCTTGTGGAGTTTTTGCCTCCCATGTTTGGAGTTGCCATCCAGAGTCCAATCATCTCTCTTAAATCTCTTCTGCCACCTCATGATTGTAGTTCTATCTGGTATATACTCCTTATATAATTTTTTCATGGTAGCATAAGTTTTGCGTGGCTTTGAGTCCAAATGAAGTATGAAATTAGGCCACCAAACGCAAAGCCTTCTGTTATCAGGTGAGAATTGCAGCCATTTTTGCAATTTGTTGACCGTGACTGTATTTGAATTTGTGACCATTGAACTGTGGGATTATGACATCACAGTGCTAAATGTCATTATTTGTACTTGGGTAACATCATGCTGAATAAATTTAACAATTTCCCAAACATTTTGATCATTTAAAAGAAAGAAATATTAATAAAATAACACTTTGGATCTTTTCATAATTAGAAAAATTGGTACCTGCCCCGCCCACCCCTACCCCTATGTTGCTATAGCAACCATATTAAGACTTAATATTAATGTTTGATGCTGAAACTTCAGGATATAATAGAAAAAACTTCAATGCTATATACACAAAATTTCAGCTGAATTGAAGTATATCCAAGAAAGTTAGAGCATATAGTGCATTACTTCTGGGACAACCCTCGTATATATGCATCTAGTGGGCATTTCCCATAAATGTATTGTAAAGCCAATATACAAACTAATAAATATTGAAACATCAACGCTATATTTGTAGACTTACTTTCTTAAAAATGCACATTTGTTGATCTCTAAGTGTGTCAGTTGGTTGAGCCTGCATGCAGTGCAGGACAGAAGGTTGCCCTGTATGTTTGGCAGCATACTTAGGGAGAGAGACTTCAAGTTCACTGCACCAAACTGTGGGTCTAGTTCCCCTGAATAGCTATCAGCCTCCTCAGCAGTTACCAGGCCTTGATACCTGGCCACCTGGAAGGGTAAATGGATATGCTTCACATAAATTGTTAGGTTCTACAGCAAATCTGGGGGCCATTAACAGAAATTTTGTAAAGTTAAGAATTATTAAAGTTCATTGTTCTCTTTAGTATGATGTCATTATATCCATGGTAACAATGTTAATGATCTCCAGGTTAAATTATACACTTATCAAGGTAGACAGAAAAAGTTTTCAATGTTGACTGAGATTGAGGTTGACAGTGAAATGGACATATATTATATACCAAATGGCCGTGATTTTGTACGACCTATAATCTGAACTGGATAATTTTCGTCATGGTAATGATGCATTGTAGGATTATTCTTGTAATTTATCTGAACATTGGTGAATTCAAACAATTCCCCCAAAATACGAGGATTGTACCAATTCACCAAATATTCATCTGGATCAATAATTCAAGTTTTATTGCCTATAATATTTGAAATACAACTTTTTGAAATCTTGACATTTTGAATAATATGTACTGACTAGTAAGTCATAATTATCTCTCCTCCAATAAAGACAATTAACCCTTTTACCGTATTAATCAAAATGCATCAATTTGCATCATCTTAACACATAACAATCTATATGCTCTCGACTCCTCCTAATAAACACATAGACCTACCTTTCTCCCTAGTAGTATCCCATCCACCAGTTCATTCTCAGTGATAACTGGACAGTTGTATACAGAGAGGTCTTTCAGCCCAGGCATCCGCAACAATATACCACTGGCATTTGTAAGATGCTATGAAAATGTGACTGTATATGTGTTAAGTGTATTGAGAAATTTTATAAATTTTTGGTACAAGTATCATTGAACGTTTATTTTGTAAAATCAAGGATTTAAAACCTTCATTTTGAAAAGTGGTCTGCGACTTCTTTTTGATTCGAACAGCCACTGAAACATCATTTTTGCCTTAAAATGTACACTACGATACCCAAAGCTACCTTCGTGTTGATTTTCTCTGGCGATCAAGCTCAATAAATCACTATGATATACAAGGCATTAACATGTAAAATGTCACCACCTGCCATTTGTCACAGATGCTGACTGCCGAACACCAAATGTCAAATTCCAACTGCAGAACACAAAAAATGTTGGAGACAACAACAATATCTCCCTTGTGGTGGTGACATAAAAATGACATGTACTCACACTTAAAGCCAGTGTCTGTAATGTTTTTGACCAAAGCTCAACATAAGTCCAGTCATGGCCACCATGGTGTAATACTCGGAGATTTGTCATAGATGGCAGCACTTGCTTACTGATGTCAGTTGGAGGCATACGTTTACATCCTGTGAGGTACAATTTCTCAACCTGATTTAATTGCTGTATTTGCAGAAGTTGATCTATCTTCAGACTAAAACATAATGCCACCATTATACATATGAACAAGATGCTTCATTTCATGAAATAATGAATAGTTACAGACATATTTATTTGGTTTGAAAATTATAATTATCATTGCAACTTATGCCTCGGTCACATTTGATCTTCGGCAACTGTACTGTGCCTGTAGGTTCCCAAAATCGAGAGAAATATGCAGCACAATCAAAACTGAAGCTTAACTTTGAAAAACTCAATTGAATTTTGTATGTAAACATTGCTACATACAACCTCTGACATCATGTACCTGGCTAATATATATTCTGGCATCTCTTGCGCAGCAAAAGGTGAATGGGTTTATTGAAAAGACCTATTCATACACTTACCTAGGACTATAAGAGAGATTGACATCAGAAAGTGACAGACAGTGTATAGTGCACTTACCTAGGACTATAAGAGAGATTGACATCAGAAAGTGACGGACAGTGTATAGTGCACTTACCTAGGACTATGAGAGAGATTAACATCAGTAAGTGACGGACAGTGTATAGTGCACTTACCTAGGACTATGAGAGAGATTGACATCAGTAAGTGATTGACAGTGTATAGTGCACTTACCTAGGACTATGGGAGAGAGTGACATCAGTATGACGTACAGTGTATAGTGCACTTACCTAGGACTATGAGAGAGATTGACATCAGTAAGTGACGGACAGTGTATAGTGCACTTACCTAGGACTATGAGAGAGATTGACACCAGTAAGTGACGGACAGTGTATAGTGCACTTACCTAGGACTATGAGAGAGATTGACATCAGAAAGTGACGGACAGTGTATAGTGCACTTACCTAGGACTATGAGAGAGATTGACATCAGTAAGTGACGGACAGTGTATAGTGCACTTACCTAGGACTATGAGAGAGATTGACATCAGTAAGTGACGGACAGCAGTGGGGTAGGAACAATGTACGCCAAAACGCCAGTGCGTAGTGTTGAAAAGTGAGAATAAAAATTTTCCTATGTTCTTTAGTCATATTTTCTCATTGTTCATAAATTGTAAAAGTAATCTCGAGCACACTAGCCTAAAGAAATGTTTTGTGGATACCATATCATTATTGGTCTGTCTGGCAAATATCATTTAACAGATTGAATTCCCTTACCAACATGTTTTATTTCATGAAAATCGAGACTATCTTGAATTTTAAAAGTAAAATCGCGTTCTCTTCACGAATTTGAGAGAAAAACTGTTTTTTCATTTTTTCTGCATGTTCCGTAATGCTTATGCAAACTATGGTATCGTATGATATGATTATAATGATGAACCTCTTTAAAAGATGTATATTTTTTTATTCTCCCCTACCCCGATTTTTCAATTTCACTACATCGATTTATATTCCGTTGCTATGCAAAATCATAGACAGAAATTATAGTTAAGTCAGCAATTATCTATTTTCTTACTAAATCACCAATTGTTATTGGTAGTACTTCTTGAAATATGAATGTTAAAGACAAAAACAACTTGAAAATGCTGATTATTCAATAACACGTTTCATTGATTTCAGTTCTAGAAAAGCGATTACCTAGTTTTTTTTCATTTGAAAAATAATAGATTCTTGTTTTATAACATTTTGGGCACCCCCTAAGTCACGTTGACCTCGATTTGACCTTTGTTGTGGGGGTGTTTTTTGTTTCATTGATCACGAATGCGTTTCTTCATATCAATTGATCAAACTAGTTTCTTTAATCTGTACGTATTGTATTGCACAGTACACGATGGAATCAGACAATACTATATATCTAAATTCAATTATTCGAAAATTATTAAAAAATCTCTTATTGTTTTGGAAATTGGTCGTCTCAATCGTTCAAGACATTAGCAAAGTGAGAATGATTTGTGTCGAGATTTAAAAGATAGGCTTTCCAAGGTGATTTTAAATGATGAAAATCATTCGAACATTTTAAAGCACATTAAAAAGGTATCAGGGATTTAAAGCTTGCATATAAAATCGAAACGCCAACCTATACGTATGACCAATCGCCCATACAAATGCATCGCTTTAGTATTTCCGTTCACATTTAGGTTGTGAAAAACATTGCAAGCTTAAAATCTCTGTTTTCATAAAATGACATTTTACGAGCATAAAATAGGCGTTTTGATATAGAATATTGACACAATTGTTTCATATTTTTGGCGGGATTTTTGGCGTAGTGTTGAATTTACACCTTCCTACGCCCCTGGACAGTGTATAGTGCACTTACCTAGGACTATGAGAGAGATTGACATCAGTAAGTGACGGACAGTGTATAGTGCACTTACCTAGGACTATGAGAGAGATTGACATCAGTAAGTGACGGACAGTGTATAGAGATCACAGAAAGGGAATCAAGCCTACTAAGGTTCAACTGGGTCATGTTGGAGGAGAGAATGGACACCTCTGCTAAATGTTCACATCCATCTGTTTTTAACTCAGATACTGGAAAAAGAAACATTGGGAAATGTAGGAAAATTCTTTTAAGTATATGGGGATAGGTGGTCAAATTAACATGTCAAACATTTGTTCAAGAAAACACAGAAATTCAATCTTAGTACAACAATTGAAGAACAGACACAAGACCTGTTTTTTTTAGGTTTACTTAATATCATTTTGGGGATGGATTGACTATCATACTATTTTATGCAACACTTTCATTAGCAGCAGGTTAGCAACAAGTGATTTTCTCATGTTGCTTTTACAAAAATCACCTGTTTTTTGAGGAATTTTGCGAATGTTAACATGTTAAAATTATAACTTTGAATGATTTTGCCTGTTGTTTCCATTTGCTTTGCCTGTTGTCAAATATACATGCTCTAATGAAACCCTTGTATATGTCAAATAAATTGTTTTAGAACTAACAGTTCATATTTACCTTAATGAGGGTTGCAAATAAGAGTTACATGGACATAGCGAGACTTCTCAACATTTTTATTATTTAATGCTTCATATATAAATCCACTTACATGATTCACAGTTGAGGTGAATATGTCTAATGTTCTTACAATACGAGACATCAACACATTGTAGCTCAGCAGCACCACTAGACAAGTGGAGCATTTCAAAACCTATAACAATTAAATAATAATAATACATGTATATCAAAATGGAAACACAAAGAGTAACATTAGAAACCAAGAATACTTCAGAGCTGACAGTATGTTGGTCCATCAGTGTAATTAAGCCAATTGCATCTGAGGAAAAAATTATTTGAAAAGTAATTGAAACTGAAAACAAAACAAAAACACCTCTTGGCTGTGAGGAATATTATTTGTGAAAGATGCACTCAATAGAATGGAATATTTGTTTTATATTCCAGATACATTTTTGAGATCAATTATCCAGACTGCCTGGTCTTACACAAGGATTTATATTTATAAAAACAAATGTGAGATTGTGCAATTGTCAATTACCTGTACAGTTGTTGAGAATGAGTGTTTTTAAACAGGAGATCTCCAACTGTTGCTGAAAACAGAGCAGAACAGGTTTGTATTAACATTTTGTGATATATGCATAACATGTAAAGTGGTTAATGATACAATATATAATAGGAATGAGCATATGGATACATTTGAGTCATAGAGAAGTGCTTCCATAAAATAATTTATATGTATTATCACGACTTTCAAGAAATTTATTGGAAGTCAAAAACTATAGTCATTGACATTGTAACAGTTACTCCACTAGGACTCTCTAGGGCATAATTTAACCTACCAGATCTGTGGAGATACCCCTCAGGCGCTTCGAACCTGATAAATCAAGGTGTTCCAGACAAGGGCAGTTCTTACACATCACCTCTATGTTAGGGCCCTCCAGATATAAACCATGTAACCTACAATATAACTCAGGCCTTTATAATGTTGCTTTCTAATGAACCTTCTCAAAACATCCCCTCTTCTATCGGAAACTTTCTAAAGACTAAGTATTTGTAGACCATTATACCAAGAAACATCCCTGAAAGTTTCAGATTGATCCGTGAAAAAGAAAAGAAAGTATTTTGCATTTTTAGACATTTTTTGAACAAAGATAACAGAATTCTGGTTTGACCTCCAGTCAATTTAACTATTTCCACATATCATTTACATGACCAGGATCACAATGTGCATGGTCAGAATGACCCTAAACATGATGAAATAACCTTTTTAGCCCTTTGAAAGTGTGACTGAAAAAAAGCTAAAAGTTAATTAACCTTTTCTAACCTTGAAAGGGTCATTGAAGGTCAAACCATACATGTAAAGTCAGATTTGAACTTCTGAAAACTTGTATATGATTTGGAAAAAAATTGAAGTCAGTCTAAACAATATTTGTTAAGTTATTGGAATTTTTAAGAATTTGTTACAGACCCCAACCACCACCCGCCGATCACCAACCACCAACCGCCAACCACCAACCGCTGACACTTTGTGGATATGGGGTGATTTCGTGAAAGATAATGTATTGAGAGCTCTTAAAGCGTAACTTATATATAGGCTTCATAGATGCCAATAATTTCTAAAATTATGTAAACCAAACACATTCTTCAACCCCTTGAATATTCTCTTTGAGGAATTTCTCTTAAAAATCCAATGATATAGTTTCAAGCAGATTTTTAAATAACAGGAAAGTAAATATTGAATTCACACCTTATTGGATTGTGATATAAACGAACAAAAATAAAAGTGAGTTACGCTTTCAGAGCTCTAAATACATGATCTTTCACTATATTACCCCATATCCACAAAGTGCCGAGTGGACACTATGATAGAATTCTAAGTGTTTTGAATATAAGTACATAGGCACTTTACATAGTTCTCATTTTAGATTTTTCCACACTTTGGACCTCTTCAAATTCTCATAAATCAAAATCAGTATTGCTTATCAATACTGTACTTTAATCTGCACACATTCTTTATATCACGATGATCAAAACTAAAGAATACATTTTGCACACATTCCCACCATAGTATATTGATTAAATCAAGAATGCAGACATAACCAGCAATAGTTAAATACCACCACAGTTTCCAATATGTCCACTCAGCCTAAACGAGCCAGGATTCAAGATGAATTTAGTGAGCAAGATGAAACTGCTGAGAAAAAAGAGAAAGATGGAGTATCATCACTGATGGAAGACTTTAATATACAGGATGATGAAAAACAAAGAACAGGACAGCCAGATGATTCAGGTTGGTGTAGGTTGTTTTATTCATCAAATCATTGATATGTATCCCCCAGTGCTAAATGGAAAGGACCAAAAATTATTACAGAACCCAGCAAGAAAAAGAAAATATCTAAGTGTACATCAGTTTAAGAAAACAAACCCCAACCATCCAAATCAGAATCCAACGTGAAAAGAAACAATGTCTAAAACCCCCTCCCACCATTCAAGTTCCATTATCACAATCCAAGAGCACAACACCAAGGGACATCAAGGTGGAGTCACTGGTATTGGGATTTATGAATTTTCTGTGGGAGACTTTCAGATGAAAAAATAAAAGATTTTACAGACAGTTAATGAATGTTTATGCATACATTAAAACACTCATGGTTTTAAGGGATTTCTTCCCTGACGTTTTCCAATTTAATACCTGTAGACCTTTCAAATACTAGATTATAGTAAATCCTGAGCCTTTTTGGTGAACCATTGAAATTGGGAAAAGATCTTACTTTGCTGGGGAAATCTTTTTAGACAAATGTAAGACATTTTTGAGAATAAGTAAATCTCTACCTTGAAACTGTAAAAGTTTCAAACTGTGAACACTGGTTATGTGGGCCATTACTTTCTCAGATTCGAGATGTTTTTAATGTTTAAAGTCAAATATCAGGCCTCTTAAACTTCCACAAACTCGATCATCAGTTCCAACCTCGTTAACAACATTCTTCCACCTGAACTACAGTTCGCACAATGCGAACATCTATTCTTTAGTCGCGAACCATCAATTCCTCTCTCCCAAACACATTTCTCAATTCCCGCACAGCATCCAGGTGGTTGGGATTCCAAATCATATCCCAATATGTCAGATGATATCACCGAACGGAGTGAAAAACATGGTTGTGCGCAGGATCACAAAGTTGACCCAATATTTTGTGTTTCTTAGAGCTTGAAAATGCTTTTATTAGACTCCAGATTGAAAATTTTTATTAAGGTCAAACGTCAAAATCTAGGTCAAATTTTCAAGTTTCCCAAATTTTCAATTTTCTTTCTAAACTTTTAGAACATATTCCTTGGAATCATTTTCTACATTTATCTAAGTATTTCAAACAATCCCCCTTCTATTTTTTGATGAAATTTTACAAATTAATCTTAATTAATTAATTAAGGGTTTTTCAGAATTCCAAATCTGGTTGACCCTCTATGACCTTTTAAAATAAAAAAGTCAAAATTTTTAAATCTTTATTTTGAATTTTAAATTCATTAAATCATTATAAAAAGATCTTACCTCCAAAGGTCAGGAAACTCAAACTTTTGAGTGTCAAAGGTCAAGATTAAAATCTAGGTCAAATTTCCAAGTGTCAATGGCCAAGATCTGAAACTCTGGGCTCGAATGGAGATAGGAACTGGTGATTTGCGACTAAAGAATCAATGTTTGTGTCGTCGGAACTGATGATCAGGTTATTGGGAGGCCTGAATTTGTACATGTATAGTAAAACCTTTTTTGCACTGCATAAGATTCTTCTTTTCCACTACGATAGTAGGTGTTCACTGTAATAGTGAGATTTTGTTCCATCTATCTTTAGTTCATTCTCAAATGTCCACTTCAAGGGGAAGGGGGGTGTTAGACATTATTTCTTTTCGCGTTAGATCATGGTTTTGGTGTATATAGGGTCTATTTTTTGCATGACAGGTTTAGAATTAGAATTTTCTTTTCTTTCAAAGTATCTTTACAGTTTTTAGTCCTCTCCATTTTGCACTTGTGCTTAGATATTCAGATGCTGAAGGATGTAAGAATTGTTTAAGAAACCGGCACTGAAATCACAATTTTTTCATAGGGATCGAAACCAGCATAGTTTTCTCTTTATGACCATTGTGTTTGTGTTTTACGGAATATGAAGATGGCTTTGCGAATGGATGTTAACCCTTTAAAATGCCTATGGACTTTGAGACTGGATTTTGTCTATCCCATATCATTTTCGACTGAAAGGGGACATTGTTTCTTTTCGTGTTAGATCGTGGTTTTGGGATACATGGGGTTTGTTTTTCTCATGACCAGTATACACTTAGAGTTTGATTTTTCTTGAAAGGTTACTGTAACAGTTTCTAGGTTCTATCAAGATTTGTCTTAATAATGACTGGTATGCACTTAGAGTTTTTCTTGCAAGGTTCCATTACAACTTTTGGTCCTTTCTTTTTGGCACTAGTGCTTAGATATATTATGATATGGCTGGATTATGATCTAGTTACTGTTTAAGAAAGTATCAAATGAAATTTGTGAGAATTGAAGCTTACATGTCTGCTTTACTAATGTTGATATATATATGTTGATCTCTGGTGTGTTAATCAATATGATACCTTGTTTCACATTAAGATAAAGAAAGGTGTAAGGAATACGCTTTCATCAATTAAAACATAACAACAATGTGTCATATTCAAAAACTAACTGGTGAGAATTTGCGCGAACGAAGGTGGTAAGAAGAGACGTAATTATATAACTTTTGGCCCTGAGGTTTTCCCTCCTCTTAACCTCAACTAATAATCTAGGCATGCACTATTTGTGCAAGACTAAAAATTGTAGACAATGTATGGTATGAATTAATATGTACCCAAGGAGGATTGGCTCCCAGGGTCTCAACTCGATATTCGACCTTGATCTTGATCGATGACAACATTGAAAATGTTGTTATTTTTTATATCATAACAACTGACAATTAATTCATAATCCGCAGTCCAAAAGATTTGAACTTATACTGATCATTTCTTGTTTGTTTTGATTTTTATGTTTAGAAATAAGACCAAAACTTGCAATTCCAATTTTGCAGTGAAAAAATGGGGGACATTTGAATTTTGTAATCATGACATGACAACGTGATAATAGGTCAAGGTCATAATACCATATATGACAATAATATCAATGTTGCATTCTGGAAGCCAATCCTCCTTGTATGTACCTGAATATATCATGGCACTCCCAAACTTTCTTAACATATGGAACTACCTTAATAAGTAGGTCAATCTTTAAAAATATTTTTGATGACCAAATCTAGTAACAGAAATAGGAGGTGCTTACAGACAGAAGTTTCACTGTACAAGTATTATGCTCTGAAATAAAATTTCAAGATATTACTACTTGAACATTATGGCAAAACATTGAAACATTCTTTTAAATAGCCCCCCTTGATGCAGCAAAGGGTAAAGAACGATTTCTACAAAGATCTCAATCACGTAAAGAAGCGAAAGAAAAGACAAAATTGACCCTCAATGACACTGGAGGTGAGACCAGCCAAAGTGATAAATAATGTCAAAAACAGTAATGAAGGACAGTTAAGTACTTTATACACACATACTACTAGGGGTCCCACGATACACGATACATATTTTGAATAGCGATACAAGCAACAACATTTACCTCACGATACAATACAAATGATATGAGCAAATAAAATATGGTAAATAAAGTTTGTGAAAATTTTCACAAGAAAATCAAAACCATTCAATCTTCCAGTTCTTATTTGATTTTAACATTATTTAATAACTGCTAGAATCTAGTTTTGCTTTATTTCAAGTCCCATTGTTGAATATTGAATGATGTTACCATGATATTTGTTCTCTCATGTCTTGACCATCAGCCATTTTTGTTGTTGTTTATCAATACGTATTCTAATTAAGGGAAATATATATGGTCACAATTTTCTTCAGCAAAGCTTGTGTCATAAACTTATAAATGAACGTTTTTTGTTTTGTCTTATATGTAGTTTTTGAAACAAATTGTAATCACGTTTTCGTAAACCAATACAGAAGCTGTATTTTAAAATAACGAATTGCCCATGTAATTTTAAAGCTAATGAGAGAATCAGCCCATTCTGATGATGCTTTCAACATTATTATTTCCTAATACTTAGAATGAAAGAGATTCCCCCGTTTAATCGCCCAATAGTTTTGACAGAAAAGGATGAAACAGGCATGGTTTCAACAGTTTTACGGTATGCTAAGTGGCTAATCAGGTTGAATATTGGTATCCTCGTATCGTAATCAATTGTTTCGCGGGACCCCTAATACTGACCAACAAAGTACAAGAATTCATAACTTCAATAGACAGTTTCTAATGTACTATGTTTATTTTTTATTATTGAAGTATTATTTAATGATCAGGATGTTTCAACAACCTAGTAATTGGGTAAAATGGTTCAAATAACAGGGCTTCATTTTTTTCTCTCTTGTCATTATGCTGATTCATTTCAGAAACATCTAACTACATGTACAAACTAGGCCAAAAGATTGCTAAATTTGGCAAAGAGAAGAACAGCAAACAGATTAAACAACAGGCCAAAGACATGTGTGCACTGGCTGAAGAATACCTCAAGCTCACCGAGACATCAGCAGAAGGCTGGTACTTTGTAAAAGCATGTTGTCTCTTTAATGCTGCACTGAGGAGATACCAAAAGATTCAATGGGACATCAAGGATCAGGAAAACACTACAGGTAGTCAAGAAACTTATATCAAAAAAAGACTCCAGGTTATAGAGACAGAATTTTTAAAAAAAGTACCAAGCAACCCAAAGGTTAGCAATATGTCGACCTCAGAAAGTGCAATTAAATTTAGGTCATTGATAAATGAGGTGCGTGAATATGAGACAAACACTATCAACCATATTCATGAGAATGTAATGAAAATAGATTTGTCTGGCACGGCAGATATGAGTGAAGATGCCGAGATTCAAACAATTGAAGAAAGCAATATATTTTACAATACAGTAACTGACAAGATAAAGGGTTTTCACAACTCAGTTATTGAGGATTGTATGAAGGTTTTAGGTGTCCCTCAATGTCGATATGCCATCTTAGGTCATGGCTCGTTGGCTCGTAAAGAGGCAACAGCCTGGTCAGATTTAGAGTTTTCTGTACTTTATGATCCAACAGAGAAATCCCCAGAACATGTTGAGGATATCAAAGCATATTTTAGAGTACTTGCCCACTACATTCATATCAAAATCCTCAATCTAGCTGAAACACTTCCTTACTGTCTTAGCATCCCAGTTCTCAATGATCACAATAAGCTTCTTGGGGGAGTAAAAGATAATAACTTTTATGATGACATTACACCACAGGGTATCTCATTTGATGGTGCCTCTCCCTGGGCAAGCAAGACTCCACTGGGCCGCAAAGCGACTGCAAACAGACCTGAACCTATTGAACTCATTATGACCCTAACAGAGATGGCTGAATGCCAACAGGAGGAGAAGTCAGAGAAGGAGGGCTATCATCTAAGTGATGTCCTCCAGTCAAAGACTCTCTTACATGGGGATGGAGAGTTAGTTAATGAGTACACATCAATGATTAATAAAATCCTTGCCTCTCCATCAAAGGGTACCCAGAAGTCAATAGCTTATGAACGAGGTATGGAGACCATGAAAGAAGATCTCGAGAACTTCTCTAAACATCCTTTTACTCCAGAATCCCTCTCATCCCAAATACACACTAAGAAAGATATCTATAGGTTTGCAACAATATCTATCAATACATTAAAATTAAAGTATGAATGCAAGTTTGATGCCCCCCTTGATATCCTAAGTGAACTCGAAAAGAAAGGTATAATTGAATCAAAGGCTTGCAGAGACCTAAAACTCATGGTATGCATTGCTATTAACCTCCGTCACTTGGTATACAGCAGGTATAACAGACAACATGATGATATCTGCTTCACCCGATCACGAGATGAAAATGATCCATCAAAGTCAATGTCAGTTCGTGATTATAGTGCAATATTTCGGTTTTATTACACCTTTAAGCCTTGGCTAAATTTCCTTCAAGTCGAATGTAAAACCAGCCACCAAAAAGACTCTGACAATTGGAACTGGAAAAAAAGGTACTTTGAAAATTCCAACAATGTTAAAGGGGAAATTTTCCAAAATATGAATAATTTTGACAGTGCAATCGAGGCTTTTGAAAAAGAACATAATTCATTACAAGTTAAGGGCACTTTAAAACAAAGGAGTGACATAAAACATACATTGGGAATTTTGTATAAGAGCATAGGCAAGCATGATATTTCTTTAACTTATTCTGAAGAAAGTTTTCAAATTATAAAACAAGTTCATGGTGATGCTCCACACTCAGATGTATCCATCTCTTTACACACACTAGGTATAGTCAACCAGGCTAAAGGTGATTACATAAAAGCTCTGAAGTACTTCACTGACAGCCTAGAGATAGATAGGCAGATACATGGTGATGCTCCACATCCAGATGTAGCTATCTCTTTAAGCCAGCTAGGTACAGCCTACCTGGCTAAAGGTGATAATATTAGAGCTCTAGAGTGCTGCATTGACAGCCTTGATATGAACAGACAGATACATGGTGATGCCCCAGACCCAGATGTAGCTGGCTCTTTACACCAGCTAAGTACAGTCTACCTGGCTAAAGGTGATAATATTAGAGCTCTAGAGTGCTGCATTGACAGCCTTGATATGAACAGACAGATACATGGTGATGCCCCAGACCCAGATGTAGCTGGCTCTTTACACCAGCTAAGTACAGTCTACCTGGCTAAAGGTGATAATATTAGAGCTCTAGAGTGCTGCATTGACAGCCTTGATATGAACAGACAGATACATGGTGATGCCCCAGACCCAGATGTAGCTGGCTCTTTACACCAGCTAAGTACAGTCTACCTGGCTAAAGGTGATAATATTAGAGCTCTAGAGTGCTGCATTGACAGCCTTGATATGAACAGACAGATACATGGTGATGCCCCACACCCAGATGTAGCTGACTCTTTACACCAGTTAGGTACAGTCTACCAGAATAAAGGTGATTACATTAGAGCTCTAAAACACTTCACAGACAGCCTTGAGATGAAGAAGCAGGTCCATGGTGATGCTCCACACCCAGATGTAGCTGCCTCTTTCGCCCAGATTGGTGTAGTCTACCAGGCTACAGGTGATAACACCAAAGCACTGGAGTACTTCACTGCTGGCCTGAAATTGAACAGACAGATACATAGTGATGCTCCACACCCAGATGTAGCTGCCTCTTTTGACCAGCTAGGTACAGTCTACCTGGCTAAAGGTGATAATATTAGAGCTTTACAATACTTCACTGATAGCCTAGAGATGTACAGACAGGTTCACGGTGATGCTCCACATACATCTGTAGCTGTCTCCTTAGACCGGCTAGGTACAGTCTACCAGGCTAAAGGTGATAACACCAAAGCACTGGAGTACTTCACTGCTGGCCTGAAATTGAATAGACAGATACATAGTGATGCTCCACACCCAGATGTAGCTGCCTCTTTTAACCAGCTAGGTACAGTCTACCAGGCTAAAGGTGATAATATTAGAGCTTTACAATACTTCACTGATAGCCTAGAGATGTACAGACAGGTTCACGGTGATGCTCCACATCCATCTGTAGCTGTCTCCTTAGACGGGCTAGGTACAGTCTACCAGGCTAATGGTGATAACATTAGAGCTTTACAATACTTCACTGATAGCCTAGAGATGTACAGACAGGTTCATGGTGATGCTCCACACCCATCTGTAGCCGCTTCTTTAGACCGGCTAGGTACAGTCTACCAGGCTAATGGTGATAACATTAGAGCTTTACAATACTTCACTGATTGCCTAGAGATGTACAGACAGGTTCATGGTGATGCTCCACACCCATCTGTAGCTGTCTCTTTAGACCGGCTAGGTACAGTCTACCAGGCTAATGGTGATAACATTAGAGCTTTACAATACTTCACTGATAGCCTTGAGATGGATAGACAGGTTCATGGTGAGGCTCCACACCAATCTGTAGCTGTCTCTTTACACCAACTAGGTACAGTCTACCAAGCGAAAGGTGATTACAATAGAGCTCTAGAGTACTTCATTGATAGCCTAGAGGTATACAGACGGGTTCACGGTGATGTTCCACACCCGTCTGTAGCTATCTCTTTACACCAACTAGGTACAGTCTACCAAGCGAAAGGTGATTACAATAGAGCTCTAGAGTACTTCATTGATAGCCTAGAGGTATACAGACAGGTTCATGGTGAGGCTCCACACCAATCTGTAGCTGTCTCTTTACACCAAATAGGTACAGCCTACCAAGCGAAAGGTGATTACAATAAAGCTCTAGAGTACTTCACTGATAGCCTAGAGATGGATAGACAGGTTCACGGTGATGCTCCACACACAGATGTAGCTGCCTCTTTAGTCTACATTGGAACAGTCTACTATTATAGAAATGATTACAGAACATCATTAGACTATTTGAATAAATCATATGAGATGTATATGACTGTATTCAATGATGAAACCCATCCTGACATTGTTAACACTGCAAAGTGGATTCAGCTCTGCAAACAGCAATTAACTTAATCAATTAAGCATATCTGATATATCTAAATGAAGTGAATGAAAAAGCATAGTATTAAAGTGATAATAGAGGAAATTATAGTTAAAGCAACACGGCATTAATGTGACAAAATGTCACCACCTGCAAATTGTTACAGAAGTGAAACAATTGTCACAGTTGAAGGTCAAACATAGGTCAAATCTGAATTTAAATCAAATTTAAACTACAAGGACTTTTAATTAGAAAGACCATTTTGACCTTTTTCTACCTTGAGATGGTGATCAAAGGTCAAATATCAAATCTAAAGGTAGGTACAAAATATTTCAAAGCAAATGCAAGACATATACGGAATTCGTGTGAAAAGTCTGAACGGAATGCGTTCGCTATTTTTCGACGTTTGTTTTTTTACCATATCGGCATTTTATAAAAGCAACCTTTTTAGATATCAACATGATGCCATGTTTAACAGACACATTCATCAGGTAATCGATCATCCCTAGCCCTTTTATCACATTACCAACTTTAAATCTGACCATACTGACCTATTATTATTAGAAAATGTTGTTATATTAGGGTCACAATTTGTAGATTTTACTTGAGTATACCAGAGTGCATTTACTACTGTTCTTATACTGCATATGCAAAGTAATGTAATGTATAGTCTAAACTAAATCCGGTTGACAAGAAATTGATGCAGGCCCTTTATCAAGAAGTATAACCTACCATGCTATCTGACCCGAATTAGCCACCTGGTGATGAAACTGATAACTACATACTACCACCTGGGTTAATAATAAATTAGGACAACAACTTTGCATAATTATGAATTGTAACATTTGTTTTTTAAAAATATATAGCATCTAGAACTCACTGAACATGAGATAGTGAAAGGGTTAAGATTTGATAGAGCCAAGTAGGCAACATAGCGTTCCTAGTGTTTATATTTTTTACTTTAGCCACTTACCTCTCTCTTACCCCTTTTATAATAGATTAGCATAACATGAAAAAAATCTGCCACAGATAGGTTGAAGTGAAATCAGTGAAGTTATTGTGATGAAGAAACTCATGCTTTCTGTTATATATAAATGACCTTCATGAAGTCATAAATCATAGTCAACTTTACCTTTATGCAGATGATAGTTCAATCTTTATGCCATTTAATAGGAAAGCTAATATCATTGAACAAAACCAGCATTTACAAGCTGACTTAGTTAATTTATGGGAATGGTCCCAGAAATGGAAGCTTAAATTTAAACCTTCTAAAAGTCAAGATATGATTTTTAAAGGCTCAAGGAGATGCAATCTCTTATATCCTCCTCTCTACCTAGGAAATGAGGTAATAAATAGAACCAGAACCCATAAACACTTAGGAGTCATTCTAGATGAGCATTTGAATTTTGAAGCCCATTTACAGGATATCATAAAAGCATGTAATATAATGTTAAATCCATTGAAACTTCTCAAGAACAAGATTCGAGCTAAACACTTAGAGAGGATGTATCTATCATTTATTCTCCCAAACTTAGAGTATGGAAGTATATTATTTGAAAAATCCACTAAGTATAATATTATGAAACTAGACCAAGTTCACTATAGAGCAGCATTATAAGTAAGTGACTGCATTCATGGAACATCCACTGTTAAGGTTTCGAAATGTCTAAATTGGAATACCCTGTCTGAGCGGAGAAAGGAGAAACGCTTACGTTTAATGTATGATGTATAATGTATGACAGAAATTGGTTCCACCTTATGTCCAAAAATTTTTTGATAGTTATCAAAATAAGCAACATAATATTAATCTAAGAAAGTTAAGAGAATACACTATTCCAAAGTTAACTACACGTTCACAAAAGTCACCAATAATAAATGCCATAAGTGAATGGGAAGCCATTCCAAATTATCTAATAAGTTCACCATCAAGAGTTACTTTCAAAACCAATTTACGTAAATTTTCAGGGAAAACGAAGCAATTAACAACCACAAACCTGGATCTTACAAGAAAAGAAGAAATTTTATTGAATAGAACAAGATGTGATTTCATTTTTACTGGTCATCTTTTCCAACATAATTTTCAAGGTATTGACAGTCCCAAATGCATCTGTGGTTTTGAACAACAAACCACAAAGCATCTAATCTTCAAATGCCCTCTGTTGAATGTTATAAGAGAGAAACTTTGGGGGGAACCATGGGCTTTCAACTAGAGTTGAAAGCCCATGGGGGAACTCAGGAACATGCCAGAAATGAACATTTTCTTTACAGGATGCTCTATAGAGCAAAAGCAGAATATCTTAATGTATGGCAGAGATGGAGTTAGCATAACATGCAATTCTTCAATATTGAAGCATTTTACATCCTTTTTGTGTGAATGCATTGATATAATTATATAGTTTTAACACATTCCTGCCATGCATACATACATGTTGGTAGTCATTTTTGTTGCTATTTTGTAAATTTGAATAAACTTTGTACTAACAGGGCCAATAATGCTGAATTTCAGCCTCGGCCCTGTCATTTGTAAATCATATTGTAAAGTAAAATAAAGAAACCATAAAAACTAAGAAACTCATGTATTTTTGGCATATATTTAATACTTGTGCTGGACAAATATAAAGCTGTGTGTAAATGCTAAATGGTGCATCTTATTGTTTCAAATATCTATGATAGGGATGTAAGTGTCATCTCCTCGAGCTGACATAATCAAGCTAGGTACAAAGTTTAATCTCTTAGATAGAATGAAGACCTATATCTCCACAAAAAATGATCGTTCATACAGGTATGTTCTCCACTTTTGATGAACAGATACAAACCAAGGGTAAAACCATGTCCCTCTCGGCTCATTTTTGTCAAAACTTTCAGTTTCGCTGTTTGGGAAAACGTCATAAAATGGACTGTATTCTCATTAACTTTTAATTTCGCAGGTAATTGCGTCATTTAAAAAGCTGCTTCTCTATTGGTTATATGTAAATCGTAAGTGAACTTCACATTCATAAATTAATTGTAGCATGTGTAGTGGACTTTCCGCGAAGAATCTTATTACCATACGAGGGGTGATCCAAAAGTCTTGGATGCCCTGCTCTAATTTTGTTGGTTTTTGATAGAATAGCTTTAAACTTTCAATAATAAAGACCAATAACCGAACTACTTTGTGCATTATTTTATGGAGAAACGATATATTTTATGAAGTTTTCTAGATAGTTTTTGATATAGGGACCCTGCCACCCTGAACAGTATTCGCACATGGCATCTTTCAGTCTTAAATGTTGCCGCCATTTGACTTGTTTCGGCGCGCAAGTCTTGACCACTATCCTTCTTTGAATTTCGAATGTTAAACCATGTTAGTTTACTTCCTTTGTTACTTGGCAACCAATTAATTGTGCTTTAATTATAATGTCCCATATGACAATGGCCGTATATGTCAAATTCTAAGAAAATGAAATCAGACAAGCAACCCTCATTCTGGTATCATATTTTGCTCCAAGATGGCTGTTGAAATGCAGATTATGAAAGAAATCAAAGTGGAACAAAGAATACTATAAGATATTCTCACTATTATTGACCTTTAGCAGCTACCATATTCACGATACAGTCTAGATATGGCTCCGTGTGATTTTCTTCCTTTTCTCCAAGTTGAAAAAAGGGTTGAATGAAAATGTCTTTTACTCATTCGATCAGGTTTAGAGTGGCACTCCAGCAGCATTTGTAGATACATAAGCAATGGCGGTTTCATAAATGTCTTTCATTCATTGGTAAAGCGATATAAAAATGTGTTCAAATTCATGGAAAATATGTTGAAAAGTAGGTCTTAATATGTGAAGATGATGATGGCAGATGACACTCAGATTGAAAATTGGAAATTCTCTCATATCATATCAACCCTCGTATATGGTGTCTCTAATTAAAACATTGACATAAACAAAGTATTGCACTGTATCCCTCAACATTCACGAGCATCAGTCTACTAACAAGGAAATCTGATGTTTAAAAATAGATTTCAAATGGTGGAAGGACCCGGGGGTCACGAATATTTGACCAGATTTATTGCTTCAAGGTTAGGGAAATTGACACATTTATTTGGCCCCGGGGTAAGGAATTAGACAGGCCAAATTTTTTTTGTCAAATTCCCCACCCATGCCCGCGTGGGGGTCTCTCGCAAACTTTTGAATGGTGCATAAGACTCAAAGTGACTGTGAGCATTCTGATTTATCCATTGATACAGGAGGAAGATAAAGATAAGAGGCATGGCTTTAGCTAATGACATTGGATTGTTTTAATTATTGAAAAAGATGTCACCTTACCTTAGTGTAGTGATGTTGGAGAGAAGAATATTGCTGTCTTTGTGGGCTAAATCCAGATTGTACACATTGATACATCTAAACAAAACAAAACATGTACACAAACTAGTGAATAACTATTGAAGCAATCGATATACATGTAGGCTATGACAAGAGCATGGTAGAAATGGCTTCTTCACATTATAATTTTCTTCACATTTCTACTTTAACTCTATTTGATGGGATAACAAGTATTAAAATCATTGATATATACATAACTTCTCAGTTAAAATAAACAAAACAAGACACAGGGTGAACAATTTTGCATCCCTCGAGTAGAATATCAATATGTACTATTAATACAAAGAAGCCAAGTTCAAAATTTGATGACATCATTATTGCCTTGTTGCAGAAAGGATTTTAAGAAAAATGACAACAATAGCCACCTTAAAAAACAGCATGATAAAAAAACAAATCACATCCAGATATTCATACCAAAAAGTATCACTGAAAATATAAAATGAATCCACGAAATGGTTTGCTTCAACTTTGACATGATCAAGGTTTTCTTCTAAATTCTAAGAGTCTGCTGTAAAGAAATGTAGGTGTATTCCTACTCACCTTGAGATTGTGAGAGAGTTGAGATGGCTCAATGTTGATACGAGGTCAACAATGACATGATTGCCTATCTGCTCACTCTCCCCAATGCTAAGAGTCTTTAATTTGTCACACTTTGCTGCAACTGCTTCAACTATGCAATGTAAATAAGAATCGGTGTGTCTGTCATGAGATAACATGGGAGTTGTTGAAATTAATACTGGCTCCTTATAAACGCATAAAATTGTTAGACTCTGATTGGTAGCTGAATTGCGATCAACCAAATTCAATTGGGTAAGGTTAGCTCAAGTAAGTCTTATTCAAAGGATGTAGATAAAGCTCCCTTTTATTGAAAAGGGTACCTCAATATACAGCATATACATATATGTACATTTAATCCACTGACCAGGTACAGATAAGGATGTTTTTCTACATTTGACCTAACTACACAAGGTGAGTGATCCTGATGCTGTGTTTAAAATTCTTCACTTTGCTCCTTTTTCTTGTAAATCTATATAATTGCTTTCCAAACACTCATAAATATTAAATACCTGATCTATTAGTCATGCCATCATTTGCCAAGTCTATATGTCTCAGGTTGGGACAGAGTCTCAAAATCTCAAGTATCATTAAATCATATGGTTGCCATGGAGACTCTGCTTCTTCTTCTTCTTCATTTTGCCCATCTTAGAAAAAAAATCATCATAAATCTAATATGATATGTGATATCACAACTAGAAGGTCTGCTTGAATAGAGTACATATATCAACAAAGTTTCATCAGAGACCAAAAAATAAAAATTGTCTGTTCAGTTTGTTTAGCATATAGCTGACCTTATATTTTATTCTGCACATTGCCAAAGACTTCAATATTGCTTCAGATTTCTGTATTTTAAAAATTACATTGCACAATACGCAATTACTATATTCTTAACTTGTAAAACTGTTCAAAGTTGGTCATACACTGTAAATTCTTATAAAACTCCATGAAGTTGATTTAAAGAAAACAAGTTAAAATACAGGCAACTCACCTCCTAGATCTGGCATGTGATTAGCTCCTTCATCACCTGCCACTCCTGCAGGTCCTTCAGCATCTACTATATCATTATTAGCAGCTGCATCATTAGCAGCTACATTATTGTCAGCAGCCAAATCATCACCTAAAGTGACATCATCATCTGCTGCATCACCAGATTCTACACCATTAACTGGTATGTCGCTTGGAGCTGTGGCACCATGATCTTCATCTTCAGGAAAGTCTACACTCCCCAACTTCAGAAACCCTTTAATAACAGAGAAAAGATAATTGAGAGCTTAAATATATTAATTTCCATGACAACAATTTATGACTTCAACTAAAAGGCCATGTGGTAATAACTTCAAAATGGTCAGAGGGAAAAGTTTCATCATAATGGGATTGACCTGGTTAATTGTCACCAACAGATGAACATCGGATACAAAAGTGTAATCTTTTATCACAGACACTGACCACCGATGCATAAAACTAATTACAAAAATGGTAAGTAAAACAAAAATTCAGAAACCATTTTGATGTAAAATGATTTCAACTGGTACCTGCATTAGGACACCTGGCTGCTACATGCATAATGTGCTTTTTCTGTGGGCTTTGGCAGTTGGTAAAGTCCAGTTTCCACAGTCTGTGCCTGGAACAAACAAGATAAATGCTATTTCAATTACAAGGATCACTAGGATTGTAAAATTTTGAACACAAGCTACAATGTTTTACAGGGTGACGAAAAATGCCACCCACAAATTTTGGAATAACATTTTCAATAATTAGGGAACCTTCATGAATTTTTGTGTAGAGAGAGTGTGCATGTTCAATACATAAAAGGATGTTGTACTTATAAAGCATCAACATTTAATTTAAAGATATCACATTTGCAGTCCAGATATGTTCTCTGTGAAATCATCAAAAAATGTTCAAAAATACAATTTTCTGATATTGGGATTTCTCTATCGCCATAATTTGAATCATTTGGATCACTTTTACATAGTACTTATTTTACTTTATTTTCAATAATATGTCATATCTACCCATTTTTCCTTAGTATTTTGTCTTTGATGAGCTGACTCACTTATTAGCTAAGAAATAAAAATACAGATTTTCTAATTTACATTTTTGAGTGATTTGGTGTCAAAGCGTGCTTCCATTAAAAATTCAAAATATCTAAGTTACTGATGCTATGCAAGCACACCAATTTTCATACAGTGAATACTCTAGCTACACATAAAACATGAAGATCCAATTATTATTGAGAAAATTATTCCTAAGTTTAGTGGGTGGCATTTTTTGAGTCACCCTGTATAATGAAGGCCAGATCAAAATTAAAATAAAAAATCAACAATCACCTGGATAAAGTGTATTAACAAGTGGTTTTGAAATAAATAAGACATACACAAAAACAACCCTAGAGTAGCAAATCCCATAGAAAAAAACTTTTTCATCTTATCACTCATCATTTTTTTAAAATAAAGATTCATCGAGACTTCTTCGTGAAAAGTCACGTGAATTTCGGCTTTTGCTCGGTCATATCCGGGCATCTCGGCTCCAAACCCAATCAGAAGTTTCAATTTTGAGTGACAATGCATATTAATTCTCAAGTCTCGCCCAATATATTTATGTATACGTTAACCAGGAAGTTGCGCTGACTACTTTTTGACAAGATCTACACCAATCATTTTACATGGCTCCATAGTGTATTAGAAATTCCCTTTCAAGTTAAGAGCACAATAGGATGATAGGATCTCTACTTGAATTTTAGCTATATTTGAAAATTCCTCATTGAGCGCAGTCCCGGATACTCGTAAGTCACTCGTACTCAAGCAGAGGTCCTATTCCCATAAGATATTAATCTATACAATCTAGACAAAGATTGGGTCAATTGAATTCAGTGACCATCATAGAAATTTTTTTCTTATGCATAGGTCGTTAGCTTCAATCAAATTTATCAACTTTCCCTGAAGTCATCTGCAAATAAAATTTGAACTAAATCCATTAGCCAGTATTTGTGTTGCCAAAGATCATATTTCTTATAAAAATTAATAACTAGCTCTAATGGCACTGAAGACTAATTTTTTACCATGAATAATCTAAAACGACACTGACATTTTTAATCTTGGTCAACATCAAGGAGCATGTCACTTTTACAAGAATTTTTTTTTCACACAATTTACTTTTTAACTCAAAACTTACATAATCACAGGGTAAATGAACCAGCACATCCAATGGCAGAGTCATTGATGCTTCTTCTATTCAGGATAGTTATTAGAACCCATTCTGTGATTTTGAGGTGTTCTACTTACACAGGTTCAATATTTCATAATGGTGCATTCCACATTCAAGTTTGGAGGTGTTCCACTTACACAGGTTAATTTTACATTAAGTCAGTGGGTTATAAAAATGAACTTTGAAAGTGTTTCACTTTCTGAGGTATTCCACCTTACAGAAATTTTCCAAACAGGTTTTATTGTATAATATTAGCAGATGGCTTTGTATAAAAAACCTCCTACCTCATACCCACCTACCCACAGATGTGGGACATGATACAGTCTTTGAAGGGTTCAACTTTAAAGATCTTAATTTATTAAATCTTAGTTTATGATGGATTATAGATGCATTTGTAACGACCCTTGATAACAAGTTGCTACTACATCCCAGCTGGGTTGGATTCCCACTTGGGGCATCGAATTTAGCACACTTTCTTACAATTTCTTTATCTGACTTGTTGGACCTATGCTCGCAGTCGTCAGTTATTTATTCCCCTGGGGCGCCCTTAGGTCAATACACATAAAAATGCATCCATATGCCTTTATTTATGGATCTGTCATCTGTCTAGTCTTCAATGACTGTATCATGTTCCACGTAGGTGGGTATGTGGGTATGAGGTAGGAGGTTTTTTATACAAAGCCTTAGCAGATAGTGTATAAAGTATTTTAGCAAATGGATAACATGTATATCTTTTAATGAAGATTTTATCTCAACAGAAGTATCTGCCCAAATCATTAATCAAGGGTCTATCTCTGCAAGGATTTACTTGATGACATTGGCCAATCTTTGCACCATTAGTGATGTCAACAGGTGTGAAGATAATGACATTTAAATGGATATAGTGAACTTTTTACTTGTTTGAAAGATTAGACAAAGGCTTCAATGAAAAGAATGAGTTGACATTTTTTTATAAAAAAAATACAACAAAACATATTTCTACAGTACCATTAAATAATTTTATTTTGGTAATTTAACAAGTTAAATAACAGAGAAAAATTTCTATAACTATTATAGAGTTATTCTACAAAAAATGGAGATAACATCTTAAAGACAGTTTAAATAAATAGTCATGTAAGTATTCTACATTAACTCTAAGTGTCTACCACTCATAAGAAAACAAAATCCATATATCCAAAAACCATGATCTTACATGAAAAGAAACTGGTATAACAATAATAATATGGACAGGTCGAAATGACCCTCTTCTTGCCTGAAATTGGATTTCAACTATACATTATATTGTTTTTCAGCATAATGGTAGTTGCAACCATCATTATATTCACATGGACTGCTTAATTCATGATTCCGATAGTTTCTGGTCGATAAATTGCATTTCCTTATTTCTGCACGTCTTCCTGAAGGGCAGGTAACATATTCCAGGGATTTGCAATTTGGATTTGAGTTACATTTGTTTCTACATTCAGCATAATTAACCACATCTAGGTCTTCTTCAATGTTGTCATACCCAAGTATGCAAGTGTTCTGGATATCCAACCAATATCCTATTAAGATATAATTAAAATGTTTAAGTGACACAAAATAAAGAGATGAGTCTATTATAATCTCATAGTTTTGCACATATTTCCTAAAAAATCCAAAAGCTCTGATTTTATTCAATGAAATGACTTGATTTTTAGAGGTCACATGCAACTGTTTAATACTGTTTTGTTATTGTTGTTTATTATTTTCATGACTTTAAAAGAAAAATATGAACAAAGTCTGGTTTGAAAAACAATTTTCATAAAATTGTTTTTAGAAACTATTATACTCATAGCTTGGTCATTTCAAAATAATTTTCTTTGCTCAATATATTGACATACTCAGCATTACTTTCTTTTCCATTTCTTTCCAACTGTATACCTACCAATTGGGTATATCTGTCTATACTGGTAAGGTCCTCCTGGAATCAGACAAGGTACTTCGAAACTAGAAGTCTGAGAATTTTCCCCATAGAGCCAACACTCCATACCAGATGTGGAATATCTCACAGACTTGCATTGACTATAATATCCACAATACATCCAACATCTCCATATGTATGGCACACCATAAGACACTGCTAACACTGCACCAGGATTAGTAAGACAAGCATTTGGTAGAGTTAGCAAATTAACTTGAGCTTTAGCATCTGCAATAAAAGACAAACATCAAATACAATACTCAATTATCAAAAACTGTCAACAAAACACGCTGTTTTGACATACAACAAGAATGTCAGACAACATGGATTTAAAAATGCTTTTCAAAGTTGCTTGACTAGAAAAACAGCAACTCCCCAGTACATAAGCCTACAACATGTGACTGGTATTTGAGTTACCAATTATACCAATTGGTGGTCAACATGGCCATCTTGATAAAAAAAAAAAAGTTTATTAATTCTCTCATTATTTACTTACTGCAATAAGCAATGAGTGTCGTCAATATGGCAGCAAATACTGCAAAAAACAAAACAACATGATATTAGTTTTTACCAATTTTTTTCTCATGTACAGATGTAAGGTAAGCAGAGCCAGGAGGTGTTGTACTAGTAAAACACTAAATAACTGAAGATCAAATCAATCAATCAAATGGGAATGAATGGGAATATATGGGAGTGAATGAACAAATACAAAGTTTATCAGTCTACTGGGCTAATAATTTTTTATTGAAAAATGGAAATAACATCCAAATTAAAGTATGAATATTCAAAAGAGGACATTTTCATCTCTGTAAAATATCAAAATTGTCCAAAGCAGGTGTAACGTGCAGTAAACCGATTCAATAAAAGACAAGTCTCGGTTTGCAGAACGAAGTTCATCAGTCTACTGCGCTAATAATTTTTTTAATGAAAAATATAGAAATAAAACCCAAATTAAATTATGAATATTCAGAAGAGGACATATTTGTAAAAATATCAACAGAATGAAAGAAGAAATATGACAAAGTATGAACTGAAAATATAAGATAATAGTTTACCTTTCATTCCATTCATTTCTGCTTCCAATTTGCAGTCCTGCAGTCAAACTGATTGCTCCGGTGCTATTGAGTTTTAAACCAATAACCATTTAGATAAATTATGATACTTTTATATTTAAAGGCTGTTCTCACTCCAGGACCCCACCAAAAAATGTAATGAAAATGCCATGAAATACAATTATTACAACAGAGGTTGACTCATAGTTGTAAAGATGCCGTTGCAAAATACAGTGAAAACTGTAAGTGGAATACCCCCGTTAGTGGATTCAGTGGAACACCTCTATAAGTGTAACACTCTAGAGTTCCAAGATCAATTGACTTAATGTTAAATGAGCCTCTATATGTGGAACACCTCCCAAATGGTACACTTTTTAGAGGTGTTTAAGTGTTCTACTTAGACAGGTTTTTCTGTACAAGACAAAAATGTCAAGAATGACTCATATGAAATCTCTCCAAATTTGCTTAATTAGACTCTGGAGTCTTTAGCACTACTTGCCTTTGTGGAAAAAAGTTTACCAGTACATTTCCTTGGAAAAGTTAGATTATTTGAGACCGGGTATATTATTTGCCATATAATTATACTTTAATGACAGGTCCATGGATCATGTTAATATTGAAGTCATTATAAGCAAATCTTTAAATTAAAAAAACATTTTCAAAAAGCTGGTACCTCAAACTCAGGTTTGTGACTGTAAAGACAAGCCTTTGAATCAAATGGAGACCCATCAGTTTATGGTGCATTTTTATAGTTTTGATATATGAAACTCCATTGTGGGATCCACAGCCTTTACTATCCTTTTGGAATAGTTCTCTCAAAAGCGTTAGGTAAAGAAGGGCTCTGATAAATCAGAATGATTAAACTCCTATATACTGTTATGTCTAATGTAACCAATACATCCTTGTACAAACTAGTGAGTATAATGTTGTTGAAGACATACAAGTACGATGATTATATATCCTTGTACATTTTGTAGGAAGTATTTCAGTACATGTTTATCAATGCTATCTTTCTGCAGCAAGGATGACTCAAAGAACTCAATTTATTTTCAGAATTTTTAATTACCACGCAGCATTCAAAATCAAATGTAATATGGCGGATCATCAATTTGCAATCATGCTTTAAGGGCTCTTTGATTTAAAAACATGCTCAGCAATAAAAATTTTCAGATAATGCAGACATAAAATTGTTTCAACAATAAACATTTTCACTAAATGCAGACATAAAATTGAATTAAGTGTTCTTTGTGCAAATATTTTGTTGAGAATCATGGGATGAGGATGTGAGTTTATGCACATATCAATGTTGCCTTGTGGAACTTACAGGCCTGTCAACTGTCCCGCATTTTGCGTATTTGTCACGCATTTGCTGAAGAATTTGAAGGCACGCCAGTTATTTTTGCGTGACAGAAAATGTCACTTAAATACGCATTTTACCTGGTAATTGTCAAGCAAAAATATTTCTGTAGAAAAATTTCTAAAAAAGTTCGTCTACACAGCAAAAATACGAACGCCGAAAAAAACGTACGCATTTCGTTCGGACCTTTCACGCAAATTATGTATATGTCACGCATTCCGTTCGAAATTTTTCGTCCCCCCCCCCCGTTGATGGATGTCTTTAACCGCGAGCGTATTGAGCGCGAAAAATTTGAGGTGTACAAAATTTGGCAAGATGTAATAAAATTTAAACCAAGGTGTTCAAAATTTGGATCAAGGAGTTCAGATTTGGACCAAGGTGTCCACATTTTGAGGGCGAGGTGTTCAACATTTCCAAGTCACTCATGTTAGGTGTTCCCAAGTTGACAGGCCTGAACTTATCACATACCCCACAACATTGAACTTGTTTTACGTGCATTTACTCTGGCCACCTTACATGTATGCTCCTGTAATCAGGTTTACATATGTATCTGTTCAATAAAGCATGTTATTGATGCATAAACATAAATTCTCATAATTATGGATAAGTTTCAGCGTATAAGGTTTGATCACATCAACTAACAGAGTATTAACATAGAAGGCCATGACATGAGTCATGTTATGACATGTCTCATATTATTGCAAATTAAACTTGCAAATGATTACAAAAGTGTAACAAGTGTACAGATACCAAATGGCAACCACTGGTCATAAATAGGAGCTTTATTTTCTTGGTGATAATGTAACCAATAAGATTAGATCAACAAAGCTTCAGGGATTCTTCCATTACAAATATGTGGCCTTGGATGTGACCATGACCTCTGGATCAAATATAACCTTGACCTTCCTGGACTACAATAAAGGGCATGAAGGGAGTGTATCTAATTACATAGTAAAAGAAGGTACCAGTAACTAGTTTTTGCTCTGGGTATCGCTGACTAATCTATTAGATCTATTTGAGCACTGCAATTAAAATACTACGAGTCATTCAGATACATTCAGATATTTATCAGGAGTTGCCCAAATAGGACTGAATAGGACTTGGGTGAATCATGGACCTATATCTCTTGAGGATTGAGGTCCATGGGTGAATGGTACACTGAGTACGGTGCATAACTTTTACAAGCAAACTTTTGTTATGAGAAACAAATGTAAGATAACAATGCTCAAAAGTCCAAAACTATAATAAAAAGCTTGTGTGTACATATACATCTGTGCACCCCTAAAGTTACAAGCAACCTTCAAAGAGGGATCTATGACTTTCTGGGTCTGACTGATTGGAAAATGTTATTCCTCATCACTAATATACAAAACAACATATTTTTTCCACCTCGAAGTTCAAGACAGGAACTTAAGATGAACAAAGCTAACCGACATAATGCAGATAAACACTCTACTTACCATAGTGTGGCGCAGGCGACTATGTCTCTTAGTGTCGTACATGTCTGGGCTACTCTGGTCAAGTCCTGCCACTTGAGATGACTGAGGATCTCAACAAGCATCTCAGATGAGAACACTTCTAACAGAGAGTAGTGTGTATAATATCTAAAAAATAAAGGAAATACTTACAAGAAGCTGAAGATAGCCACCAACAAAAACTTAACAGACTCTCTCAGGGAGACAAAGAATTCCTTTGAAAATCCCATCTCGGAGAAAACATTATATTTCGAAGAAAATACCTTTTCTTGTAATTTACACGGGATGTCATCGCCTGATTTGGTCAATGTTAGGGAGCAGGTCGTTTTTACAATAAATTTCAATATTTTCACACAAAATATTTTTTTACTGAAAAACTGCTCATTCGCAGAGAAAATGTACTAGCACATGCAATGACAATGTCAATCACGCTTCTGTACTAAATTCGGCGGAAGTCTTTTATAATCTAATACGAAGTTACTAAAAAAGGCGCGAACGCCCTACACTCAAAATGATCCATTATAACTTTTTAACGTAATTTAACGAAGGCTTCTAATTATTATCCAAGATAGTCTAAATACCGATTAAAATATTTCTTACTTCAAACAGATACGCCGTCTTTTATTCAATTTTTTAAAAAATAATAAAAAATAACTCTTGTCAATGTTAGGGAGCAGTCAATGTTAGGGAGCAAAATGATTTTATCAGAATATTAAAAATGTAGCAAATGGCCATTTAAAATATGTATGGCATTTATAAACTGAACAATTTTGTTTGTATGATTATTTGATACCCTTTGGGGAGGAAAGCGTTAAAATTGTAAGAAAATCATTGAAAAGGTTATTTTGCATTTTTTATTTTCAGCTAAATCCTGTTTACGTTCGTTTTAGAAATATTTAGATGCGAACCATTCCTTCTTTATTCGTTGACCTCTAACTGTAAATGAATGGATGTATCGTTATATACACTTTTTGATGATGTCATCAGTTCACAATCCTAAATTGTGGATGATAAATTATCTGAACTGATATATAGGCTTGAGAAATCTCCGACATCCTTCAGTTCTATGATTTGATATTTTCCTAGTATTAAAATAAGAGAGTTAGTTTCGCACTTATCTTTACGACCGGGTATCACCTGATAGCTGGCACAAACGCTATGAAGGGCTCATTGCGCAGTTACATGTATGATAGTAGATTTTTACACGTATACTTCAATTTGTCAATACTCAGACAATGCAGTATATAACCGATCTCTGTTATATGTGTACCACTTGCTAATGATACTCTAAAGCCCGGTATACACCAATGGGACAAGTTTTATTATTCTAACATTTCTAAAATATGATTGGACAAAGTTTTAGACTTTCTTTAAGTGTTACCGGTCTATTTCAAAACAATAATTTATATACAAAGATGAGCTCATTTATTTAAATACAATATCATGAATAAAGGGAGATGTCATGTAATTATTGTATCTGGTTAAATTGTGTATATTGTGCTGAGCAATACTGTATGCTTGTAAGGTTTATACCAAGGGGTATAAAACAATCATACAATCTTGTCTAGTTTATAAATGACATACATGTTTGTAAAGGCCAATTACTCTGATATTCTGATAAAACCATTTCGCCCCACTGCATTGTTTGCTCCGCCACATTGATCATACTTATTTTTTATTATTTAAAAAAAATTAAAGAAAGGTGTACCTGTTTGAAGTAAGAAATATTTCAATATGTACTGAGATTATCCATGATAATAATTAACTTTCCTTCGTCAAAAATCTTTGAGAGTCCATTTTCTGAAGATAACAAAAATGCAAAACAATTTTTTTTATCGATTTTGTTAAATTTTGTTAAGGCAAGGGGTTTAAAATAATCATTCAAACAATATTGTTTAGTTTATAAATGCCATACATATTTTAAATGGCCATTTGCTACATTTTTAATATTCTGATAAAATCATTTTGCTCCCTAACATTGACTGCTCCCTAACATTGACAAGAGTTATTTTTTATTATTTTTTAAAAAATTGAATAAAAGACGGCGTATCTGTTTGAAGTAAGAAATATTTTAATCGGTATTTAGACTATCTTGGATAATAATTAGAAGCCTTCGTTAAATTACGTTAAAAAGTTATAATGGAAAAACGATCATTTTGAGTGTAGGGCGTTCGCGCCTTTTTTAGTAACTTCGTATTAGATTATAAAAGACTTCCGCCGAATTTCGTACAGAAGCGTGATTGACATTGTCATTGCATGTGCTAGTACATTTTCTCTGCGAATGAGCAGTTTTTCAGTAAAAAAATATTTTGTGTGAAAATATTGAAATTTATTGTAAAAACGACCTGCTCCCTAACATTGACCAAATCAGGCGATGACATCCCGTGATTTAATGACCCCTGTATCTGTAATTGTAGCTTTTACTTACCCATCCTCGAGGAATTCTTCTCTATCCAAGCTCGAGTACGTCTTAACACCTTTTATATCTGATGCCATTCTACTGAAAAGAAAATGCATGATGAGAATGAAGGCTTAAATATTAAAGGTTGTTTAAAACTACCGTATTTAAGTGTTTTTCACTCCTTTTCAAAACATTAATACAGCATGTTGCTGCTTATATTTAATACTGACTTTTACTTACATATTTGAAGTAGATATTTCATGCCATGTAAAGATAACAGAAATTGATTACATATTGACGGAATATGAGATGTTACAAGCAATGACTCCTACTTTTAGCAATTTTCAGAGACATTTTGTCCAGTATAATTAAGGTGCCATGGAAGTTAACAGGAAATGACAAAACAAAAAGTGACAAAACCATGCTGGATTTTGAAATTTTTTTGAACCAAGATAACAGAGTTCTGTTTGGACCTCCAGTCAGTTTAACTAGTTCCACATGTTATTTACATGAGCGGGAACACAATGAAAATGGTCAGAATGACCATAAACATGATGAAATAACCCTTTCCGCCCTCTGAAAATGTGACTGAAAAATAGCTAAAAGTAGGTGCTCAGGAAAGGTCAATGAACAGAATCTTGTGATTTTTTCAGTAAATGTGTCCAATATATTGCTCTAAATGATACAATCTTTGAAATTTTAAAATATTGTCTGAAACAATAATGGCAGAAAAAAGGAAAATAGATCGATTTTCAATTAAGTTTTTCTAATTTTTTTCTTTTTCTAAGAATGATATCAAATTTTTTTAAATTGTATCATTTAGGGCAATATATTGGGCACATTTTCTGAAAAAGTCAAAAGATTCTGTTCGGTGACCTTTCCTGAGCACCTTCTCTTAGCTATTTTTCAGTCACCTTTTCAGAGGGATGAAAAGGGTTATCTTCATCATGTTTATGGTCATTCTGACCATTTCCATTGTGTTCCTGGTCATGTAAATGATATGTGGAACGAGTTAAACTGACTGTAGGTCCAAACAGAACTCTGTTATCTTTGTTCAAAAAAATTTCAAAATCCAGCATGGTTTTGTCACTTTTTGTTTTGTCATTTCCTGTTAACTTCCATGGCACCTTAATGAGGGGGCACTCAATTTAAAAGTACAATAACATTGCTGTTGCAATGGAAACGATTTCAAAGAACCAATCAAATTACGGAATAGTACATGCCTATTAAGGTCAGGGTGCATGATGGGAAATTTTCTGCATTCCTCAATTGAGTCACATGTTATTTTTCTAACAAGAATCACTCCTTCCCCACATTGTCTATATCTTCCAGTTTTGCAAAAAGAGCGCACTTATGTGCCTAGAAAAGACTTGTGAGAAGAATGTTTTGATAAAGTGTATAAAAACAAGAAAATTCAGTGAAAAAATTCAGAAAATTTTCAAAACAAATCTTCTCACAAGTCTTTTCTAGGCACATACGTGCATTCTTTGTGCAAAACTGGAAGATATAGACAATGTGTGGAAGGAGTGATTCTTGTTTGAAAAATAACGTGACTCAATTGAGTAATGCAGAAAATTTCCCATCATGCACCCTGTCCTTTACATCCTGGTTGCTGAAGTGAGTAAAATCAAGGATGAAGAAATGAAATCATTCTTCATCCTAGGTAAAATATATGGACACAAATCCATCTTCTTCTTAGTGAAAGTGATGAAAATAAAAAAATTCTCAGACAGAAGTGTCTTTATATCTACGTCTTTATAAGCAGGTGGGGACCATTGACTATGATATCCCAGATCTTGAAGGGATGTAACCAAACATTTCAGAATCAAGTAGTAGATAACTGGGCCAGACGAGTTTGGTTAGAACATGAGATCCATGGTTAGATATACAAGTACACTCAAATTTTTTATTCTGTGAACCAGTTCATATGGTTAAAATAACGAAGGAATGTGATGTAACCACATGTCTACTTAGCAGTTTGTTCTTTGTCATCCATCGGACGACGGACTAGGTTACATCGTGGAACGCAGCCAAACACGACACTGAAGGCAACAGCATATCGATCTTGATCTTAGCAGAATTTTTGGAAATTTAGATCGTCCATTTTGCAAGCTCACGTGACTGATCATGGTGTCACGTGTCTGATCACGTGACTAGTTACTGTATCGATCATGTAACTAAATGACGTGTTACCAAACCATGTCTTCATTGGAAAACGGTAGTAAATATTTTTGAAAATGTTTTGCGAGCATTTGCTACTGATTATAGAAGGCCTAATTACGCAATGAACAAAACTGCTAAATTGTTTTTCGTGCCTAACAGGCCTAGTACGACACGAACGAAACTGCTAAATTTGAATTTTTAGTCTGCTTATTGATCTATTGATTCATAAACACCTGAAATGATGCATTCAAATAAGACAGCCTCCTAAATGAAAACACTACACATAAAGTGGTGAAAAACAACGAACTAAAGTTGATGAAAGATCGCAACGTTTGCTACTTTGTTCAATTAATAAAAAATTTGAGTCCATTTCACTGTTAAATTGCGTCAGTAAAAGCTAAAAAATAAGAAATCAAAATATCATTTTGCAATAAAAAATGGAAAAATATATTTCTATTGTACATGAATGACATTTGTATATCTTGGATTGCTTCTAGTTTGGCTTATAAAGTGTGTGGCCTCTTATATTTGGATGCTTCTCTGCCATGTTATTTTCAATAAGATTAACATGGCTGAAATTCTTCAAATTACAAGACGGCACAGGCTTATTGCACAAAAAACTAAAAAATCTGAAATATACAAATGTCATTCATGTACATTATGAATATACTTTTCCATATATTATTGCACAATGGTCTCTCAATTTCTTATTTTTGCCGTTCTACTGACGCAATGAACCAGCAGCCAGTGAAATGTAGAGGGATGCAGAATCAACAAAACTTTATCAAATAAATAAGAAGGTTGTCTCAAGCTGTTTATATCCCATTATGATAAACAAATGGATCAAACATTGTATAAGTAAGTAAAGTAGATTGCACTGATTGTAATGGGTGCTCATTTGGGTAAACAAATCTAGAGCTAGAGACTCAGTAATAAAACAATTTTGATTGTTGGGCGATAATAGGGTAGAAACGATGACGCTTTCGTTTATTTCAAAAGTTTCAAGAAAATTCTTATGTCATTTCCAATAAAAACATTTCTGTCGTTTTGATTGATGTAAAATCATTCATACAAACATACCTTAGTCTATGTGAGGTAACCAGACGAGCAATCAATCAACATAAGTATAAGACTCTACTTTTTCATTTTCAATTTAGTAATTCACTGTCACGTGACTACTGTCAAGGTCAAGTTTGTTTTGAACTTGAGGGGGAGGGGCATGACCATCAATCTGTCATCTTGAAGTGTCTATCCCGGGTATCTATGCATTTAAAATATTGATCATCAAAATATAATTTGTCAATACAAATTAAGGAAACACTTTTCGAAAAAAGGTGATTGGTCTATTTAAAGTTTAGTATATTTGAATTTCCCGCCCATTATAATATAGCAAAAGTTATAAAGTTCATCTTATACAATATACTATTTTCTATACACCCTGGAAAGATCAAGTTAAAGTATTATATCTACCATTTGATATCATGTTCATCCATACATTAGATCTAATAACATTTTTAAAATTTTCATGAGTTGGTGCGTTGTCCGAAGGGTGCATAATTTTCAAAATTAAGCCTAGCCTATTAGTGTTTATCATGTTTCGATTAATTTTCTCGTTTCTTTCAACTCAAAATAAATTAAGATGTACATTATCATCGTAAAGTATTGCTAATTGATTAATTAATACGTAAAGTCATTATTTTATGTAAATTAACAATTTTTCAAACAAAGTCCTTTAAAACAGCTTTTTGAAATTCAAAACTGGGGTAAGAGTTTCTCAGTCACGGTCACTGTAATCAATAGAGAAGAGAAGAATGCAAAAATTAAAGAGAATACAGTTCGAAGAAGTCCATCCTTTATTACAAACAGACCATTCGGAATCCGAATTTTACTCACCTGAAATTGAAGCCTCGTCGATATCGACCCTTGGCACCATTTTGGATGAGACAAACTCCATCGTCCGAACGCAGGGTTCCAGACATCATCCACTCACCACTAGGTTCCTTCCTTCCCCTCGTTCTAGCAGCGTTTTGGTCCCCAGCTGTAAGAAGGCCTTCTTACAGCTGGGGACCAAAATGCCGCTTGAAGTAGGGACTCTGTTTAAGAGAATAATGTACCAGCAGAAAGGGATTTTTGTTATGCTTTGAATGGAACGAGTTTGAAGAAAAACGGTGCAGTACGAGACTCGTAATCCTTGATTTTCAAACATCCGGTAGGTCAAAAATTCAAATTAACGGTCGAAGTTAGTACCGCGTGTGAACATGTAAATCACAGGTTGACGTCGCAGGTCGTTTTTACAAAAAAGTTCTCACAGTTTATTTTTTAACTCAAAAGCTGCTGATTCGCAGATAAAATAAAATGGTAATGTCAATCATTCTTCTGCACGAAATTGATCGGAACCCTATTATCATAATTAAGAGCTTATCGTTATTATATTATGATTATAATAGTATACGAAGTTTTGAAAGAATAAACGTCATACACTCGAAATGATCGTTTTTCCATTATAACTTTTTATCGACATCTCTAAACGAAGCCTATAATAAATATCCTGTGTGGATAGTCAAAAAACCGATCAAAATATTTGATACTCCCAAAAAGTACGACTTCCTTTACGTAATTGAAAAATACAAACAACTCTAAGAGCAGTCAACGTAAAGGAGCAAAAATATTTCATTTAGAGCTTTTTTTGGATTCAGGTTGTGATGCTCTTTGCTCTTAAATTCCGTATTTCTTTACATCATTCTGACATCTGATAGATCTGTGAAAAATATGTGAAAACGCCATTCATATTCATCAATTAGAATTTAAGAATATATTGAAATCTATTGACATTCCATAATTACGGTCAAAGTTTTTGATTAGGTGTAGTGATTAAATATATTAGTCAGCAAATAATTTTCAAAAATTCTAAATTGTTTGGAATTTTGCTTAAAATTGAATCCATTATTTAAGTATGCTAAGACAATGAACTTTCTTGTTTAGAGTTAAATGCCCTTCGATATCAACTGTAACATTTTGTTTTGCTTGTGAGTTATAAATATCAATCAATGGAAAACAATTATTCCTTCTCACCTTCCCATCGACTTTGTCAATTCCCAGATCCAATTTAGAATTTGTAAAAATTACATGCTCAGTAATATTAATAACTACAATCAGTTTAAGAGTTAAAATGAGTTAGATTTATGTAATCATTAAGATTTGTGACACTAGCCTTGCCCAGGTCGGTATTTTTTATTTATCTGATCTTGAATTATTACCTAGAAATCAAGATAAGTAAAAGAGACCGACTTGGGGAAGGCTATTGTGACACTTACTTTATTTTAATATTTCAATTCGCCAGTATACAATTCATTTATTATTGAGATGTTTTCTAAAAACATTGGTTACCATACTTATTTCGCCATGGTCAAAAGTGATCATTTTTTAGAAATGCAGTACTCGTTTTAAGTACAGTAAAACCTGTCTAAACTGAACGCCATTAGCACCAGCTAAAAGTGTTCGCAATAAGAGGTATTCACTGCATTCGAGGTTCTTGCATTCGCGAAACTATGGATTTTGATGTGAACACATTCTCAATAAATATTTATAGTTCTTTTGACCACATGCTTTACGGCACTCCAATAATATGAAAATCTGATTCAAATTAATTCAACAAGACATTAATATGATTGGGGCCTGTTTTTCAAAAAGTTTTGATTTCATAATAAACCGGTGATTTATAAAAAACATTTCACCAATGTTGTATGAAACATGTGATGTTTTATGAAAAATGTTCAGATTAGACAGGTTAATTTTTCTGATATGACTGTTCACAGTTCAAATTGGGAGGTGTGCAGATTTCAATCTTTTAATATGGGGGTCAATGGGAGGACAAAATTGGACAGAAAAGTGTTCAGATTGGGAGGTGTTCATACAGATGTTCGGATATACAGGTTTTACTGTTTTACTGTTGGTTGTCACTTGCAAATAAGCTGTCAAAGTTGATTGACCTAACCCAAAACTGTAATTGTTGATTATAGCAACCCTATGAAACCAGCAACAGGCTAGTAAGAAATGTCCACAAATAAATCGCACTTTCAATATTGTTCTTGGAAATCAAATGTAAGGCAGGACCCAGAACACAATTGTTGAATTGAATAACAATGTTGGGACAGTGGCTTAGGATTAAAATGTACATATTACAATGGTTTACTAGAAACTGGGTGCTGAATGAGACATTAAATGTACAGCAACAATAGCATACACATGGAAGTTTAGAAAAGCTAAATCTTAAAATAAGGCTGACAAAAAAGAATTCCTAACTCATCAACATGCGTTTACACATGAACCGAATTATAATTTTAATTGCAATTATAATTGGAGCATTGGTAATTTTATCAAACTATAGCAGGCTTAAAACATGGGATTTGTACCGGAGAAATGATCCAAGAGAGTTAAAAATGTTATCTAAGAGATACTCAATCAATGGATATTTCCACACTGAACGCTCACGCATCACCAAGGTGATTATATTAACATACTACAGAAGTGGCTCCAGTTTCTTTGGAGAAATTTTCAAGAATAACAAGGAAATATTGTACATGTATGAACCACTCAAGTTTTTGGAGGTTAAATACGGCAATTTAAATCTACAAATTGTTGGCCAACCTTTCCTTAGAGAAATCCTCAATTGTAACTTTGAGAGTAGCACCTTCCTGGACATATGTAAGGAAAGTTATAAAATGGCATGGAAGAATATCTTCAAGGCTAACAACATATCTGACATATTTGACAGATGCAAAAACCGGAGTCTCAAAGTGGCTAAGATCATCCGACTGAATGATCTAGAACTTTTGGCATCCTATTTTGGCAGTGACACTGCGATTATACATTTAATGCGGGACCCTAGAGGTGTATTCAATTCTCGGAAATCACTCAGTGTAAAACATGCACCAAATCAGACTCCTCATCAGTTCAGAATAGCCGATATTACAAACACATGTAAGAGCATTGTTATGAATATGAAATTCATCGCAACCTTAAGGGATTCAGTATACAAGCATCCAATTGATGGACCTATTGTTAAACAATACAAGTACAACGAATATGCATATGATCCACTTAACACAGCAAAAGGTGTTTATGAAACTCTGAATATGTCTCTCCCAACAGCTGTTGAGAAATGGATTGATGACCACACCAAAATTACTACAGATCATGATGCAAGTTCCACAAAACGTAACTCAAGTAGTGTCCCTACTAGGTGGATGCATGAACTTAATAAAAATATTATTCATGAGATCCAAAATATAAGTTACTGTGCAGAGGCAATAAAAATGATGGGGTTTGAAATAATGAATTGAGAAATTCCCCCATAATTCATTGAACAAATTGAAAATGGGTTCTAAATTAAGACAGATTCACCAGATTTTGAATGCATTAAACACATGGTTTGAAACCGACATTGGAACAGTACTTCATTTGCAAATGTAACAGTCTTTTGAATCTATAGGCCTACTATGTAAATGCAAAGACATAGTATAATGGATTATATTTATATATGAAGTGGTATTTCTTGTTGGCTAGAAAGCAACAGATCAATCCAAACCTGCTGGTTATGATGTCATTCTAGCAGATACATGTACAGTACAGGGATTAACTGGCTGCTCATTTTGAAATCTTCTTACAATTTTGTTGACGGACAAACATTGTTGCCGGACATCATACATCTAGTTACCTAGTTACCACGGTTCAGCAAAAGGGGTCAGGATTGATTGAGAAACTCTATACTGAACTGTATTTGTGCCATTAATATTTGTAGATCAAATTCTTCTCATAAAGGAAAATACTAGACAGAAATGCTGAATTTCACTAAAACAGGAACTTCCTTTTAAAGTGTTTTATAGGGGTGTTTGAGTAGATATAGATTTTACAATCAAATTGTGAACTCTACCTAGTATATGAATTTGTAAAGAGCAATGCGCAATAATAATAATAAAGTTCATGTAATTATAATGCTTATTTTTATGATTAGATGGCTGTTATGATGATTTTTAAAGGCACTCTTCCATTATTAATGAAACACAATGTCACTCATCGGTATAAAAATAACCAGAACAACGGCAACGCCAAAGCGTAGCGAATCCCATCAAACAGAAATGGCTGGCATTTTTACAAACAAATAGCAAATATCATAAAACAACACACCAGAAAGGCCACCATTTTCAAAATGGTTGCTCACTAGCCAAGTTGTCATCAGAAGAAATAATATGCTTTTAAGTAGCCACCTCTAAAATTTTTGAAAAATCGCTCACGAACTTGTAAAATAACACACATAAAAATGGTGGCCATTTTTCAAAATGGCCGACTACTCCCCAAAGTTTTATTAGACAATGTGCCATGTTTAAAGTATTCACATATCAAATATGAACAAAATCGCTCCACTACTTTTCGAGTTATAGTAAAATACGTTAAAATGGTGGCCATTTTTCGAAATTGTTTTCAAAATGGCCGCCTTCTACCAAAAGTGTCATAGGACAGTGTGCCATGCTTATAGTATTCACATACCAAATATGAACAAAATCGCTCCACTACTTTTCGAGTTTTAGTAAAATACGTAAAAATGGCGGCCATTTTTCAATTTTCTTTTCAAAATGGCCGCCTTCTACCAAAAGTGTCATAGGACAGTGTGCCATGCTTAAAGTATTCCCATACCAAATATGAACAAAATCCCTCCACTACTTTTCGAGTTATAGTAAAATACGTTAAAATGGCAGCCATTTTTCAAAATTGTTTTCAAAATGGCCGCCTTCTACCAAAAGTGTCATAGGACAGTGTGCCATGCTTATAGTATTCACATACCAAATATGAACAAAATCGCTCCACTACTTTTCGAGTTATAGTAAAATACGTAAAAATGGAGGCCATTTTTCAATTTTCTTTTCAAAATGGCCGCCTTCTACCAAAAGTGTCATAGGACAGTGTGCCATGCTTATAGTATTCCCATACCAAATATGAACAAAATCGCTCCACTACTTTTCGAGTTATAGTAAAATATGTTAAAATGGCCGCCATTTTTCAAAATGGCCGCCTTCTACTAAAAGTGTCTATAGACAGTGTGCAATGCTTATAGTATTCACATACCAAATATGAACAAAATCGCTCCACTATTTTTTGAGTTATAGCAAAAATCGTAAAATGACGAGTAAAGGCCGCCATTTTTCAAGATGGCTGCCATGTGCTTCTTTAATATCTACATTTGTAGCATTATTAATGTCCTTTATAATTTTTTCACATTTAAAACATATTGCTATTACAGTTTTACATATTACACCTAAATTACTGTAAAATCGGCACTAAAATGGCCGCCATTTTGAAATGAGCGGCCATTTTGAAAATCGGCTTTCGAGCAGAACTTCTACCCCCATAGGGTATATGTGTACAAAATATGAACAAAATCGGGCCAACGGTATTTGAGTTATTGCCCGGACGGACGGACGTACGTACGAACGTACGGACGTACGTACGAACGTACGGACGTACGTACGTACGTATGGACGGAGGCGTTCCCTATATCCCTCCGAACTTTGTTCGATGGGATAATTAGATTATGTGCGGGTATGCATGGCTTCTTCTTTCAATGTCAAAAACAGTTATCCTCTATAAACTCAAATTTCTGGCCTAAATATCAAATAATAACAACAACATTTATATATATATATGATTTACACATCCTATTATATTTGCAAAGCAATAGTTATCAGCCCTAAATTTAATATATCATAATTATTAACAGATATTCTAGCAAGTCATGAGACACAATGTACATAATTATATCTCTTTCCCTAACCCATAGTTAATGCCACATTTTAAGAGAAGTAAATATATAAAGTGTGTGCTGAAATAAAATTTATAAACAATCTGAAACACATGATTTCACATTTCTTTCTCAGTGGAAGTATTAACTTTCTAAGTTCTGTTTGAAGTATAATAACATCAACTAATGATTTCACTGCCTTCATAACATTAATTCCCATATACATACAAACATGATTGTCAAAATAGCAACTTTAAATTTACACTGTGCATCCATTAGAGTTCATACCAGGCAAAGGTTTTAAAATAGAGTCTGTATTAGTAATGGATTATAACAGGATTTACCTTAAATTATAAATTGAACTACACGTTGAAACATCTCAAATTAAAAATAGGCCTTGATTGTGGACCTTTAATGTTCCAATTATGACAGTCTGAATCAAGAACAGTAAGATGAGAAGTAAATTGTGCAATGTAGCCTAGTTCTAACTCAAGAAAACATGATTACCAGTACTACAAAATGTATAATATCCAGAATTGACCTATCATTATGTCATGGATACAATATGTAATGGGAGAAAATGTTTCTGCATATGTCTACATGCAGTATGTAGTCTAGTACAAGTCCAATATGCTACAACTGACAGAAGTCCATTTGAACCCGTGACCTCAAATTGTTGGGAAGAATACCTGAATAATAGTACATAATAGTTTACTCCTTATACCAAATGAACAACCAAATGACAAATCCATAAAATGTAACTTCAAAATTGTGTCAAAACAGACTTTGTATTTTAATTGTAAAGAGACTTAATGAGCATCCTGTCCAAGATTCAATACCTGATTATTTACACGGATTAAATACTTTAATATCAGATAATTTTATTGATAAAGTAAGTTGTAAGTAATCCATCACGATGTTCCAACTTGCTAGAAAATGATAATTTTAAACCTAACTTGATTATATTGACCCTAACTTTACCTGAGGGTGATAATTATTAGTGATTACATTACAAGTTGTATACATACAAAAATAATCATTCCATTTGTTTGTACAATGTTCAATTTAGTAATAATACACATTTTCTGATATGTGTGTAAAAATACTCATAACCCTTCTTTAAATACACTTACACAAAATATCTCTGGACCATAGAAGCTTGTATTGCTATACGTTTGTACAGAATAATCAGGTTAAGGAATCAATTAATATAATATAAGTATGTACAAGTATAAGACACTTTGTGCTCTATCATATACAGTCTATTGATATATTACTATTTTGGCCATTTTCACATAGCCATTTTTAAAACACCACTGTACTCATAATAAAATCAACTCTAAGATGCTACACAAGCTTTCTATATAACGTAACAGATAGAATAGCAATACTCGATTTACATATGATTGAATGTACATAATATAAATGAAAGATAAAAACAATCTAAAACTCAGAATTCATGCAAACATACAATTTTTACAAGTTGAAAAAAACAGTGCATATAATTCCAATCACCTAATAAAATACAATGTGTATGAAATGCACAATGTTGCATAACGATACACAAGTGAATCAAAACTCTTGAATATATTCAATTATTTACAAATGGTCGAATCAATGAATTTTTACATTAAATTATACATACACTTTGCAATGTGTAATGGTTAGAAAAAATCATGCTAAAATATACATAAAATTCATTACACACTAAAATTATTGTAATATGGACTAAAAATACACCAGGTATATGACACATTGAATTTCTGTAAGTTAGATTCATTCTCTGTATATACATGTTATACACATATTTTTCATAGCTCAGCAGTACACAAATGTTTCTGTATGTGATACCTCATGGTAATTGAATATCTGAGAAAATATAATTTTAAAATTTCATTGCTCAATGTCACTGCAATGCTATATGTTCACACCTCTACTGTTCACGAATGACAGGTCCCCATACTGTTGTTGTACAGGATTGTTGAATTAATAATCTAAGATGATCGATCCCTGTGATGTCCTACTTTGGTCAACAACAAGCTCTCTTCTTCATCACACAGTTAAACTAAAATCACTGTCTTTTCACTTTATTATAATCTGTAAAACATTTCATAAAGCATCCTCCTAATTAAGATATTCACGATTAATCCTCCAAGACCATAAGTACCTTAACTATTGCCTTATATGGATGGATGGTGTTGCATAGGGGAATACACTATAACTTGGTAAATGTTACGTCATCTGAGAGATGAGCTCCTAGTAGTATGAGTGCGAATGGATCTGAAGAACAAAACATTCAATCAATGTCAGCCATCTTGGATTTAATCAATCGGCCATCTTGGATTTGCAGACCAAAGCTCCCTTTAAGCCAGTATATGTACTTAACTGGGTAAGGGGTTAGTACTTGTAGGTAGTGTCATACAGGTAGTTACTGCCAACCTTGGTTACCCTGGAATAAAGCAGAAGCATGCAGTTACCAGGCAACAGCGAAGCAACATAACAACACAACGGACTTAATTATAAGAAATGGAATGGAATCTCTCAGTGATTTGACAAAAGAATTTTCAATCCAAAGGGGACCACAAAAATTTCTCATGCAAACATCTCAGTTTAGTTTTAACAATTAATCCTCTGAGAGATTCTCCATTTCATGACAATACGCAACAAGGCATGATTTGCCCGCATGAACATGCAAAATGCCAGCACCACCATTTGTTACAGATGCCATTTGATACAGACACTAAACTCCAAACACCAATATCCAGACACTGTCCAAAGTGCTTGTGGTAGTGACATAACAACTAAAATAATGCCATCATGCCTTTTTCTCATGAAATATTTTCCTTCAATTTAAATGAATAAAACTGAAAGTACTTTTCATGAGAAAAGAACAAAAAATCTTATGTTCTGTTTAAAGCAGCATGCAATATTTGAGATTTTTTTAATAATGAGCAGAATTGTTCATCATGTTAAATTGTTAAGCATAAATCATCATGAATTAATGAACACGTGCAATGGCCCAGCAAATGCGTGCAATAGCAACCACACCAAAATCTTATAACCTGTAAAACAACACATGCCAAAGAGATGTTAGAATTTAATGTTAGAGGTAAAATCTGAAATGAACAAATACATTCAATTAATCATTAAACAAACAGTATGAAATGTGAGATTCCACCACCAAAGCTAAAAGACAAATTACAAAAGGTTATTTTAAATAGAATTATCACATATCTGACAAATAGTAATTTCAGATTCTAAGATAGATTTTCTCGATACACTTTGATTTATTCAAGAATTTAGAAAACAGAAAAGCGATTGATTTTGTTGGTTTTGTGAAGTACATACAGTAACGGAATATAGATTGCGCAGAAACACAAAAGTAGTTTAGACAGAATATTAATAAAATGTCCAAGCAATGATACTATAGTATAGTATTTTTGTATAGTTTTAAATTGCAAGTTCCCTTAACTACGGGTACTCACAAAATGTTCCTGTTATAGTGAGGGACAATAGGGAGTTGTTTATTAAAGAATAGATGATATCATGAGGAGATCCTTGCAGGTAATACGTCGTGAATATACACCTAGTCTCCTTCCACTACTCTACAGTCCATGAAACATATGACAAAGAATGTGGATTAGACACAATGGATAGATTCCTAACTACAGCCTACACACATACAAGTGCTATGAATACACGGATCAGATATACTCCAGAGATGCATCAATGTGAAAAGATTCAGCATTTGTATATATGTTAATGATGTGGAGAGACATATACCAGAGATATAGTATCTGCAATTGTACTCATATTCACAAGGCTGTGATGCCCTCACCCTAGCCCGATATAGTAAAGTGTAAGAGAAAGAATAAAGATTGAAGAAGTAGGGTATGAACCCTTAGTCATCTTGGAGCCATTCATAAAGCAAGCTGCATTCAGATACATCCCTATATACACTGACTGCTATATACAAAAAATATAGAAGCATCTCTCAATATATGAAGGATAGAATGATGATTGAAACTCTATGACAAAACAACATAATGATTGATAACTAAAATTTGAAATGATACAACAACGAAAGATGAAATTAAAATTAAACAAAACAAAAATCTGGATTTGTATAATTAAATTTGAAATGATACAACAACGAAAGATGAAATTAAAATTAAACAAAACAAAAATCTGGATATGCATAATTAAATTTGAAATGATACAACAATGAAAGATGAAATTAAAATTAAACAAAACAAAAATCTGGATGAATATAAAAGGTGTTATAACATTAGATTATGGTATGATACGTGACGTTTTACATTGACACTGAGCATGCATCTTACTTACTGTAGAATTGCGATATTTCAGTGAGGAACGTGACAAGTAGTCCCGTGGTTTATAATGGTCCACAGAACGTGTGTAATAACGTGGAATTCTATAGCTGTATTCTTTATTTTCCATGTTTTCAGCATAGTCTGATGTTAGCCTATCCATACTACAGATAAAGTATGATAGGTGTAAATATCTCAAACTTTTGGGATATCATTAACTTAACTATCCATTAATTAACTACTGGTTGATGTCCATGTTAATTGTTAATTGACATTCCGCTTAATGAAAATATTAAACTAACCTTGCATAGCTTTTTTTAATATTTAATCGTGGCTATTGTATTTATAATTCATTGTTAATTAGAAATAATATTAAACATATACACTAATGATTTGTTATAACAGTTAGCTTCTACAAGTTAACTATACGGTAAATATCATGCCATATAATACTGTACACATATTTTGACAGTTGCAAATTTTCAAACTGAAACAAAACTTAAAAAACTTTTGACACACATTCACTGCAACTGGATTTGGAGATCTTAGTAGATATCTAATGTTACATCTAGCATAAAATGGAGACAAACTTGAGGAGGGAAACATGCCACGAGTTTACTTCTCACTAACATAAACACAAATCTACATTAAATGGATGAACTTAAACATTGGTGACCAAATCATGCAGAACGTATGCTGTATATTGCTGTATTATGTTTTTATATCTAGGAAAAAAGGATTGTATAAATGCAGAACTATTAAATCTTAATCAAGTATGATGGATATCAGATCTTTCTAAAATAGAAAATATGTTATGTACCAATTTGATCTAAAATTGCCAATATCTCGAATTACTTCTACTAATAAATATATGAACAAGAATATATGAATCAGGAAGCACATTTCTTCTGAAGTTCATTAACTCATAAAAACAGGAAACAAAGTATATAGACAAGTTGAGGGTAACACATTGGAATGCAAAGTATATTATAATGTAATTCCCGTGTTTAAGTTGAATATTTGAGATTTAAGTGTTACTAATTTAGAAAATTCCTGTGTTCAAGATTAGCGATTTCATGCTATAAAGAGAAAAACATAGAATATAAGAAGTGCATTAATAAACAATTACCAAGACAGTAGGTAGGATAGGAGGGGGGGAGGCTCTACAATGCATAATGAACAAATCATATAAATGGGTCTCATTCATTTTTAAACTTAAAGAAGCATTTTAAGATTAGAATATTCCAGACTTCAAACAATGCGTGGGTATCATGATTTCATGACAAGCTTACAAAAACAGCTACATGGCATATTATAGCACAAGATGGCATAATATAGCAACATTGACAATGTTAAACAAATACACAAAATAAAACATCAATGGTGTATGCACTAGGAGTGAATCAAATAGTCAAATACTTGGGAGCAAATAGGCTCGAGGTATGGTAATACATGTATTCGAATGGCAAAAGAATATTTGTGGAATTCAAATATAATGACCATTGTGAGTGCTCATGCGCGCTGATTTTAATTACTTGTTTCCCGCTTCCATAAAACCACTGATTTCAGCATTTTAAATGAATTCTTCGAACAAACAGACATGTCATTTACATAACACATACTCCAAATTTGCAATAGGTAAAAACTTCTTTAGGGTTTTCACTTAGCGATTGTTTGGGGCTGGCAGAATATTCAGGATGAGAATTTCCTATTTGTTTCATCCCTAGTATTAACAGAAACAATTATTTTGAACATGTTTAATAGTGTATACAAACAAAAGGATAAAACAATGTGGGGTATTCACACAAATCTAAACTGTGATTTTAAATGATGTACAATTGTAATGTTGTAGTTAGAATTGTAAAGGTATACCTCTTTAATGAGCTAGATGATGTTGTTGTTGAATTTCTTGTAGTCCTCTTTGGCACTCCTGCTGATGTTGTGTGATTTTGAGATGATGATGTCACAACTTTAGATGACTTCAATGGAGACATTGAACCAGCTGCGGTTTTTGAGCCAGTTATTTGACGAAGTGGTTGGGTTGTCGTCCTTTTATGTATCTTACCATCATCACTAAAATATGGATATTTATTTTTTACGTTTTTATTTTAATCATTTCACACCATAATGACAGAAACAATACAACACATTGACATACAAAATGTCACCACCTGCCATTTGTTACAGACACTGACCACCGAATGCCATTTGCTACAATATAATGTGCTGTCATATAAATGACAAAAACATCATCTCAAGCATCATCACCTAACAATGAAAACGTTGCTTTAATTTGTCAAACCAACCAAAATTAAATAAAACATTAAAACCACTATTCATTATACAAAAATGGGTTCAGACTACAACATTAAAGTAAATATCTTACGCCAGGTGTCCTGTGGTAGCAGAGCGGGCATGTTTGCGGGAGTGTTGAAGCTTGATCTGGTTCAACTTGTCTCCTTGTGTCATAACTGCTGAACTACGTGTGGTTGGGCCACTATACTGCTTACAAATAATGACAACATATTAGTTGAACAGCAAAATTAAGTCATTGTGTATTTTTACTTTAAATGTCAAAACGATGAAATATGGTGGTCTATATATAATTTGTATATGAGTAGTGAGGCTACTTTACAGTTGATGTCAATTATCAATCAATTGTCCATTCAAATTGCAACTGATATCATTGTTATGTAGCACACATCGAGACTTATAAAATGTACAGTCAAATATGGAACGATAAAACAAAGAATGCCTTGCCCTATATACTTGTACAGGACATCTATGGATGTGTTTTTCATCCAACAAACTTTTATAAATCTCTTAATGAGTTTACTTTAGGTGAATAATAGACTACATTTGCAAGATATTTCATTTTGGCCAACATCCTTCAGTATTATGAATTAACAATTACTCTAAATAAGTTATTATGCAATATCCTTGTGATGACCTAATTCGGATGGTCCGTTTACGTCATTGCAATAAACCAACAGAAGAAATCTCTATAGAAGCTCATAAATAAATCAGGATTTGGCTAGAAAATCTCAGTCTGGTAATTCAATTATGTAACATCAGACAGGCATATGTAGATCAATCAAGCAACTCGTAAAATCCATTCATTACTGAAATGCTATAACTTTATCTATAAAATTAATAGATTAGCTGGAAAGACAATGTCAGTGTTCTATTTATAAGAATCTAATGCAATTGATTAATCAAGAGGTGAATATGACCTTTCATTGAAGGTACAATTGAGAAAGACACATGCTGATAAATATTGCACTTGCAGATTAAAACAACCAGCACGATGAATAACTAGGTCAAAAACAGGTCGAGATCTACACACACATATGAGAATCATGTACATATGTGTATGCTTTTGAAATCTTACACTCCTGCAAAATAGCATACCTCAGCCTCTGCATCTATAGTGTCATACTTATTGTAGTTGGCATCTAGTTTGGAATAATCGTTTATCTTCATATCATCCATTCCCCCGAGTATTCTAGTCACGCTAGATGTGTGTTTCTCCCTACTGTGCCTGTCTTTGTCTTTGGATTTGGCTCTGTGAATGTCACCCTGCATCCAACACCATGCCTGCTTCCTATAATACCAACATTCAGTCATTAAGATTGAGTTAAGATGGCATTTTGAGTAATCAAGGCAGGTAATAGGGAGTTTAAGTTTGCATATAAAATCGAAAAGCCAACCTATATATATCACCAATCATCCACACAAATGCATCGCTTAAATATTTTCCTTTCCGCTTAGGTTGTGAAAAACATTGCAAGCTTAAACTCCCTATTGTTAAAACAGCCTAGTGAAACCAGTCCAGGCCGTCATTATCTATCACATGTAGCCTCATCTTGCTTCATATAAATATGATAAAAATAAACATTGTATCAGTTTTATTCTCTCTAGGGTTCTTTTTCAACTGAGAGCAGAACGCTTAATTTACCCATTCTAAGTAAGAAATGTCGAAATTGGTAAAAATCCAACGTTTCATAATTTTGTAAAATTTCAACTAGATGAAAAATAGTTTCAAATTAGTACAAGTCAATTTTAAATTGTGTGAAAATCAACAATTCTAATAATGGATCTCAGCTCAGTGTATTGTAATCCTATTGAAACTTCAGCAAGAAGTACATGCTACTTACTCTTCCAGAAAGTTTTGCTGAGGTCCTATAATAGACCCAGGACGGCATATTCTAAGCCAGCCTATACATTCTGCAGCAGTGAACTTATAGTGCTTCATGATATAGCAGGCTATCAGAGTACCAGTGCGTCCAAGACCAGCTGAAACACATATGAATGATACATAATATGTATGTAATACACCGACTATATATATATGTGCGCAAAACATACTTTATGAATATGTGCATTACTTAAGAAAATCAAATTAGATATCTATGCTTGGAAAGATATATCTTGTTACACATAAACACAGCCTCTGGGGTCTGAGGCCAAGTATGATGCTCAAAAATACTGTACATTTGTTTCAAAATAGGTGAAAATCTAGTGAAGTTGGATTATATTATTGATCAATGATCAGTTTGTGCCATTGTTAGGCACTAACAAACTCATAACTCATGCTAATTGGTCATAACTGTGAATAAAACAGCCAAAAATTCCACTTCAACACATTCAAGTTTTCATGTAACAAATTCTGAAACAGTTTCTTTGGGAAATGTTAAAGGTACCTTTGGCAGACTCAAAAGCTAATTCCTTAATAATTGCAAGTTAAAGTTACTTTCTGACTTACATCTTGCTTCATCAGGCTTCAGACCTGTCCTCAAGAGATATAATGTAGTGATTGAATGTGTGAACCGACGATACATTTTTAAGCAATCCACAGAAATGAAAAACTGCGATTACTGTTGATAAAAAAACAATTAAGGAATGTACCTACCTTTACAATGCACTGCTATTCCTCCTTCTGCATGTTCGGATATTTCTAAAAACTGCCGAACAATATTATCACTAGGGGTGCTGCCATCTATGAAGAAGAGATCTTGATGGTCGAAACCGGCGTCAGTAAACCGTCGTGCATCATACAGCTTTTTGTTTAGACGTACTATAGTTGTGACATTGTGCTTTCTGAAGTAGGGGAAGTATGCCTCAGGCGCATGGAGGGGGTAGCCTAAAATATGATAATATGTCTTGTGTGAGGATTGTAAATAATAAATATTATTTTTATCATTATCAAGTTAGTGACACATGATTCAGTAAAAATGTGATGAATATTTTAGATTTTGGAAGAATTGTAAATAATTCCAAAGTTGATTATAAAAGAAATTGTAAAACAAAGCTATTATAGTTATAACCTGCCACGTGACAATATTTGCCTGAAAGTAGCCTATTCTAAAAGAACAGTGAATTTGAAAAAAACATGTGGTAAGTCTTAAAGAAATTCAAACGAAAAAACAACATATATTTCTGTACAAATCTATCAGTCAACGATGTGATTGTGCATATTGGATTTATAATTTACATAGAGTCTAAGTGCGCTACCCTAAGATTTCTTCTAAATTGGTAAAAGAAATTTTAAACTTCCTTTTTGGTTAATTTTAAGTTCTCACAAGGGTCTCAACAACAGCAGGCAACATTTTACATAGTTCTAGTTGTCTTCGCCCAAATCACCTGTGCGTTTTGAGGAATTTTGCAACTGTTTCCATATTAAAACTAACAAGGCATTAACATGCAAAATGTCACCACCTAACATTTGTTACAGACACCAACCGTCAAATGCTGAATGCTGACCGCTGAATGCCGAAGACCATCCATAAAAACTTGGGAGACTCTAAAAATATGTCACCACTTTTGGTGGTGAAAAAGTGGTGACATAATAATGCTGAATTTCTTGTCAGAAAAACTAAGGACCCCAACTAAATCCTGGGGAGACCACTGAGTTATAAAGATATAAAGGTAGACAGACAAAAAATCTGCATCAAATTATTAACATTAGGAATGGTTTCAACAGTTGTAGAAAATGATAATCTAATCAGTGAAAAATAATTTTCAAGTTAAATTCAAGTTAACCACAAATCAACTTTTGTGAGGGATCGAAAATCAAAATAAACTTCATTTTTCTACAACTCTCAACATTTGGAGACCAACCCTAATGTTAACTGATTGTGTGTGTTGTATCAAATAAATCACCAAAAGGTATATTAGTCTATATGGTTTCACTGTACAGTATAAAGTTAAACTAGAAGAGGAAATTTGTTGGTTTTACTGTACAGTGGATGGTTTAACTAGAAGAGGAAATTGGTTGGTTTCACTGTACAGTAGATAGTTTAACTAGAAGAGGAAACAGGAAAACAAACATAAGGACACTTCTACACAAACGCATCAAGTAAATATGATAATGAAGTTTGTTATTTAAATAGTATAGAACTATCATATTTACAAATATATCATATCATAAATCTAAAAGCTCAACTATAAAATATTCAAAATACTGTATATACAACTTGAAATACTGTACACTACAAAACAATAATAAGCAAACATGTGCAATTGCGCATCAACAAAACACATGCTAAATTCTAGATTCTGTTACCATTCTCAATTTTGCTCTTTGGATGCGGTCCGCTGAATGCTAGAAATTTATCGGGTACTAGCCAGTTTAAATCTCCATTTTCAACTCGCTATATGAGAGAAAAGACAACACAGTGTTATAATCAAGTTATTAATCAAGATTAATCTTATCTAAGTAAGTAATCCACAGTCCTATTGAGGCGACACCCTGTTCCATTAAAATGAGCCAATAGGGGACTGTACATTACTATCTACTACAAACTCCATGCCCCATTGTGAAGAACATCTCCAAGTTGCAGACACTTCTCAATATACCTAGACAGTTGGTGACATTCTTCACTAAATAAGCATATGGTGCTTTCTTACAACAAAGTGTATTGTATTATTCTATAGGTATTGGTCAGTACAAGAATACAATTGTTTGGTGCATGTATTGTTCAATGCAAGTCTTGTTCAGTTCATGTCATAATCTAAATGATCAATGATTTCAACTGCAATAGTACTGCTCCATTGAAATACTTTGTACTGTATTGATCTATTTAGCAGAAATTTAATACTGTAAGAAAACACCATTCATGCATACAAGACCCTTCTCCATCAGCGCATATACATTGCTACATGGCCTACCATTTTCAATTTTGCTTTTGGGATGTGGACCGCAAAATGCCAGAAATTTGTTTGGTATAAGCCAGTTGAAATCGCCATTTTCTACCCTCTGTAAAATTGTCACATATCAAATGAAATAGAATTAAACTAGCAAAATTGCCAAATCTAATAATTCGCACTGTTTATTGAAATTCGTCATTATCAATTATTCAAAATGTGAAATTCTAGAACTGAATAAATAGGAAATAATTCTTGGAGTAAATTGAATGCAAACATCATTATAAAGTGTACTGTAGTTCTACATATAACACATACCTCGTAATGCTCATACTCATCCACATCAAATGTGTCAAAGTTGAAGAACCCATTTATCAGAGCCTGGAAGACAAAACAAACTGAATTAACATGAAATAAATCTTAAAATTGCAATATATTGGATAGCTTCGAATTAGCAAATACATGTATATAATACAGTAAAACCGGTATATCTGAACATCTCCCTAATCTGAATATCTCTCAATGTTATTTCTCCCCATTTTTCCAATCTGCTATAGACTTCTATGTTAAAAAAACCTCAAAATGTGAGCATCTGACATTAATGAATACTTTTGGCCAGTTCCAGTGGTGTTCTTACTGTACTAGACTGGCTTCACTGTAATTAAGATATTAAACCGAATAGCAGGGGTACATACACCCCACAGGGCTAGGCACAAACATTTTCTGTTTGAAAGCTTTTGTGCCTAGCCCTAAAGGGTGTGTTCGACAATATTACACCTGCTCTGAGGCCTACATTACGATTCAAACATGAAAACTCACCAAATGTTTAGAATATATTCATTATGGTATGCCATTATGACGTCACACATTACTTGTATTACCAGGGTTATTGTTCGCAGATATAACCTGGGTGAAATATTGACTTTGTTCACAGTTTATAGAAGGCCTGAATACAGTTCTAATACTCTATACAAATCATTGTCTACATGTGGCCAACTCCTGTCGATGACATTCATGGAACTATATTTTGTTACCGGTCCTTTCATAGCAGCAGGTAACAGGAGAACAGGTGTTTTTCATGATATCGTCTGTTATTTTTAACAATTCTTCAATACATTCCATATTCATATTATTCAATAAATCTGCCTCTTGTTTTCTACCAGGAATCCTGTTGTCAGAAATCCTATGTGGCGTGTAGTATTTGTACATCATGATAAACCATGTCATCTCGATTCTTACCATCCATGAGATGTTTTTAGCGAAATAGAGAGATGTGATGAAGTGTGCCACTAATGCAAGTACATGTATAAACCAATGTAAACTAATAACTTAACATATGTAAAGTGTACCTTATTTAATCCATGTAGGACATCTAACAGTGTAAGGTTGTATGTACATGCTCCAAATGAGGCATCCCTGGAAACAAATGAAAGTTATATTAACAGTTCGGTACATTAGTATAATACATGTATGTAAGTACATGCAAATATCAATACATATTTGTGACATAAAGTGCTTTGGTAATAAACCAAATGGACTTGCAAAATCTGCACAATGCCAGCTTGAGGAAATGTAAATGTTAGGGTTGGGTGGCTCCTGGTATGGGCCCAGCCCACACAGGCCAGGTAGAGTGGCTTCAGGCCACACAGGCCAGGTAGAGTGGCTTCAGGCCACACAGGCCAGGTAGAGTGGGTTCAGCCCACACAGGCCAGGTAGAGTGGCCACACAGGCCAGGTAGAGTGGCTTCAGGCCACACAGGCCAGGTAGAGTGGCTTCAGGCCACACAGGCCAGGTAGAGTGGCTTCAGGCCACACAGGCCAGGTAGAGTGGGTTCAGCCCACACAGGCCAGGTAGAGTGGCTTCAGGCCACACAGGCCAGGTAGAGTGGCTTCAGGCCACACAGGCCAGGTAGAGTGGCTTCAGGCCACACAGGCCAGGTAGAGTGGCTTCAGCCCACACAGGCCAGGTAGAGTAGCTTCAGGCCACACAGTCCAGGTAGAGTGGCTTCAGGCCACACAGGCCAGGTAGAGTAGCTTCAGGCCACACAGGCCAGGTAGAGTGGCTTCAGGCCACACAGGCCAGGTAGAGTGGCTTCAGGCCACACAGGCCAGGTAGAGTGGCTTCAGGCCACACAGGCCAGGTAGAGTGGCTTCAGGCCACACAGGCCAGGTAGAGTGGCTTCAGGCCACACAGGCCAGGTAGAGTGGCTTCAGGCCACACAGGCCAGGTAGAGTGGCTTCAGGCCACACAGGCCAGGTAGAGTAGCTTCAGGCCACACAGTCCAGGTAGAGTGGCTTCAGGCCACACAGGCCAGGTAGAGTAGCTTCAGGCCACACAGGCCAGGTAGAGTGGCTTCAGGCCACACAGGCCAGGTAGAGTGGCTTCAGGCCACACAGGCCAGGTAGAGTGGCTTCAGGCCACACAGGCCAGGTAGAGTGGCTTCAGGCCACACAGGCCAGGTAGAGTGGCTTCAGGCCACACAGGCTAGGTAGAGTGGCTTCAGGCCACACAGGCCAGGTAGAGTGGCTTCAGGCCACACAGGCCAGGTAGAGTGGCTTCAGGCCACAGATCGTGCCAGGTTAGTTGTTTGAAAGCCAAACACCTTCCACAGAGGATTTTTCAGTGTTTCAAAGTAAATCTCTGAAGCCAGCCCAGCCCATGAGACCAATACCCACGGGCCCTCAGTATGATATGGGCCCCCGTTATGATATGGGCCACCAGATCCAACCCTAGCAACTGTACACATGTGTGCATGGACTAAATATTCTTTCTTTTCAACTAGATCAGCATGGATCAATCTGATGGTTGACATGCAATGAGTTTATGATTTATACATTGCATGATACACATATACACAGGATATACATATTTTATGAAATATGAAATATAGCATCCACTTGGGATTAAGAAACTCCATGCATATTTCTGGCAATAGATCGAACTGGATACTGTATACACAAGAACGGTAGCATGCAACCAGTGGTTAATGCTGTCTAGGATTGTGCAACTATTGTTTTCATCAATTGCATATATTGTAAATATTATGCCCTTGAGAGTCATATACACATATGATTCAAATTGAATTAACATTGCACCTGATTTGAACTTGTTATTAAAATAATCTACTTCATAATTGAAATAATCCACTTTAATCCTCTTTCACTACGGTACTGATCCTAATGAGCTTCAAACAGATAAAGGTTTTCAAATATGAAATCATTCACCTCAAATTTTAAGTGAGCATATTAAATGTAACATTTAACAAATCGAGGGACTCAGCAACAAGTAAAATCGTTTGATTCTAAAAAATAGTATTTTAATATGAGAGGTATAGGTTACATCAAAATAAGTAGCTTTTTGTAGGTGAATGGCTATATACAAGTACACAATAATCAAAGGGCAACATTCAGAAAGTAAAATTGCACCAAATCAATAAAACAAATTATTAATAATACCACTTTTGCACAATAATGTAGAAGCTTTTAATAAATAAGTAATTCTGATTTTTAACAGTGTAGCACTAGGTGTAAAAAATAGAACAAACTGACAGTATTACAATGAATTCAAAGAAACTGTCTTTAGGCAGTTGTACAATCCAAAGTGGCAGGAATTCATGTTTAATTCCTGATAAATTGGACTATAATACCTGATAAATTGGATTTGTAGTATGTCAGTGTTAAATTGTATTTAGAGTTGAATACTATTGATGCAAGATTAATCTCTGTAATAAGTGGACCAAGAATTATAGAAAAATCAATTGAGAATATATAGGATCTAATAATAAAGACACTATCCACTGTTCCTTTCTGGCAATGGATCCCCATTGGCTTTACACATTACCCTTTGATTATTACCAATGATTTAAGATTTGATGCTGCTAAAATTTTATCCCTTCCATTGTTCGAATTTCCTTTTTAAAAGAGAGCTTCATCTTCACCTTTACATTTTACAATAAATCTCTGAACTCCCCGAGCCAAATTAGAGTTTGTCATCGAAATATGGAAGACTTTCTACGTATGGTCATTTTCTCTGACATCACTGTTTGGTTAAGAAAAGGTCAGGATGTAAGATTTGAAATTATTTATGACCTGGGCTGTCACGGGCTCCAGTCTTGGGGTGGCGCTGCTAAACTGCAATATAATCTATGCTAGACAGAGGGTAGCTATTATGGCACTTGAAATGTGAAATGAATGTTAGCAAACATTATTTAAGGGTGAAGAATATAGTTGGTGATTTTCTGACAACATATTTTGATTGGATGTTTGGTCTGAAAATCATCATTAATCTAAGAGTTTAGACCAAATCAAGCTATTGTGAAGGGTGATGAAATGGAAAACCGCTGAATGAATTTAATTGCAAAACTCCAAAAAACAGAAGCATGCAAGATTAATAATCAAGACAATGTTACTCTGAACTGAAAATCAATTATTCCATACACACTACACCTGTTGGGATAAAACAAACTGGCATATTAAAATATATTTTTGATCTAAATCTAAATCTTGAAGGATAACTCAAACACTCAAAACTCGATTTTGTTTGGTAAATCATATAGAAATTGTGACGTATAAATAGTTCCTTAAGTAAATAAGGTATTCAGTCGATATGCAACTCAACGGTTTAGGTGACCATGAACTTGTTTCCTGAAAGTTATGTACATAAGGGATTACCTGCAAAACTGATAAATATTTGATGGATTTAGATTACTTCTAGGCATGTAATATAATGAGGACAAACTGTTGTGTAACATTCTGTTTAGAACTAGTCAACACTGACATTCATGATGGAAACTATATTTTTCAGTATAACTAACAATTATTGAAACACTCATTTGGACAGTGAAACCTTTAATCTCACAGTCATACAGTACAGAATAAAGAATTTGTTAAACTATTCTCTTTTCTTTTGGGCAGTGCCCTAGACTAGAATTTTAAGGACATCATGTTTTGTGATGGAAAATAAGGTCATTTTCTTCCCACAGGTAAAGGAAACAAGTTCTTGTAGATGTACCTCAAATTAATTTGCTTCAGGTTTATTAATTATTGAGCATAAATGACCATAGCACTCAATAAAGGCAACATATAAAATATTTATAGCTTCAACAGTTCATCATTTATTTCTATAATATACAAATTATCAAAATTGCAAGTTTATCGCAGCAAAATGTGATTTGAGGAAATATTGAGAGTATTCAGGTGATTAGATGGTAATAACCTTGTAGATGCCATCGAATAGACTCTAAGATGCGAGAGGAAATAATCTTGATTTACGTCATTAAATATTCAAAATCAAAGTGATGTCATATTTGAAATCTACATGTAAAAGTACATCTAGACATATGGTTTCGAAAATTGTTTATCAACTTTTTGAAAATGTGACTTTTAGTTCGGGAAAATTCCCTATAGACCCCATGTTACAAAATCACAAAAAGTGAAATATCTTTTTTTGAATTGGACAGTCAGATAACAATCAGGACACATTTTAATTTGCATAACTATTAAATACATATGGGTGATATGAAAATTGAACCACTGAAACGGATGAATATTTAAGCTAGACAGAGGGAACTTTCTACCATACCCGCCATGCTATCTGACCCGAACGAGCCACCAGGTGGTGAAAATGGTAACTACCTCCTCACATGTGAGTTATTGAATTGAAAATTCAGTGGGGATTACCAAGATATTTAAATGATATTCCTGCAAGTTCTTACTCTAAGGCAAATCTTGAGAGCAAGATCTTCTGCAAGGGTATGATTGCTAGCAATATAGAAGTCATATTTAGACCTGTATCAATTAACCAATACCACTTTTATCTCAACTTCTCATCCATACAAATTAGATACAGAATTAGATAAAATTGTTTCATCCCACAAGAGTTATGCAATTAACCCAATGTCTGAACTGTATTTAGTGTTGTATAAAATACATGCTGATGATACACTGCAATTTCCTGAATAGGTTATTCAAGGTGACTCAATCCCAGTTCTGCATTGAAAGCATTTAACAAGATAATTCATATGATGATATAACTTATCAATTTGAAGTCCTGTATCCCATATACAGGGTCATACAAGGCTATGCTAAATTAATGCTGATTAAAGGGACCTGTTTGCAATAAACAAGGTCATCTTCAATAATCTGATTAATGACATACAAAATGTAGTTGAATATTTATATGAGAGGGCTCAACACAAGGGATTAAAGCCTGTAGCCATCTTTTCATGATTTAATGACCAGTATTTCCTGATAAAGCATATATGGTTTACATCAAATGAATTATTTTAAGCATAGGGAATGAAATATGTAAGCTTTAATGAGTAAATTCAACACTCATTGATTCTGTAATGGTTATTACTAACTATAGCTTTCGTCCCATCACTTCATTCCAGTCTTGCACAAAATCCTGTTTCTCTACTACTGTAACCACAATGGGGTTTTCAGACTTCATGTCATCACCGAATACATGTTGGAAAATGGAAAACAGGGCCAGACCAGCAGAAACACAAGAATGGTTTTGAATGTGACCAATTTCATAACTCTTGTGCAGGGAGTTCTAGCATTGAAATTGATCATATAATGATAATTGGACTGTATTTGAATATGACTCAGGCCTGTCAACTTGGGAACACCTAACATGAGTGACTTGGAAATGTTGAACACCTCCCCTCAAAATGTGGACACCTTGGTCCAAATCTGAACACCTTGATCCAAATTTTGCACACCTTGGCAGAGATCACGATAGTTGAAAAAACTTGTTAGCCATTGTGGCTAAATCTTCCAAAAAATTTTTAGCCAACCAAAATATGAATAAGCCATTTTGAAAAACCATAAAAAAGGGAATTCGCAATAGAGGTGTCACGGTCCAAGAAAATTTCGGTACGTAACGGAACGGTACAAATGGTCTCGACACGTTACTTTCGGGACAGGACGGGACAGAACATTAAAAAAAATGATGCAATGTCTGATGATGACAGTTTCACTTTCAGTTTCACTTTTCAAAATCATATTCAGAAATAGAAAAACGTCAATTAAAATTGATTGTAAAGCATCTGCCGCGAATGTGATCGGAATTTCACATAGTCTGCACTGTGGAATATCACCAATTCGTTAAACCTTGTAATATAGGAGTCCCAAAATACTTCCAAACTGCCGACTTTTTCGACTTAGATGCCGGCTCGATTTTTCAATTTCTTTACATCCGGCATACTGATAATGCACTCGATTTGCGAACGACGATGAAGAAATTTACGAACAAGCATTACCATCTACCTGAAATCGCGGGTCCGTTAATAACACTTTTCAATGCAAAGAAGTGTAATCTAGGTACGAGGTAAGTGAAAATATTTAATTTTTCAGAACGAAATCGGAGATGTTCCTCGCTATTTATGCACGTTTTTATGTATTTTAGGGAAGGAATCTATGTACCGATATTAACCCTTTCTGTCCCATGTCCCGAACCGAAGCATCTGGACCGAAATTCGGTCCAATATCGGGAAACCGTGACACCTCTAATTCGCCATAACTGCGAAATACCTTTACATATTTTTCGCCACCTCTTTCGAAAATTCGCAATTGGCGACAATTGGTACGAAAAAATTCGAACGGAATGCGTGACATATACGTAATTCGCGTGAAAAGTCCGAACGAAATGCGTACATTTTTTTCCCGGCGTTCGTATTTTTGCTGTGTAGACGATCTTTTTTAGAAATTTTTCTACAGAAATATTTTTGCTTGACAATTACCAGGTAAAATGCGTATTTGCGTGACATTTTCTGTCACGCAAAAATAACTGGCGTGACTTCAAATTCTTCAGCAAATGCGTCACAAATACGCAAATTGCGGGACAGTTGACAGGCCTGATGACTATAACAATATGTTGCCACTTCTGGTGGTGACATAATAACTAAGAATTCTTTTGTCACAACATTTTCTATCTGTGGACAGTAAAGATCCTATTTAGCACATGCTTTATTCATCATACTACAGGTTCTTACCTGAATGGCAGGAATGGAGGGTTAGAGCCAGCTACTAGAGGTCTATATGCCTCTTCTGGAGTCTTCTTCAGGTAGATAATCTGGAAAAATCGACAAAGTAAAATTAATAAATCAAAAGATGATTGGAAAATCTTCTTTTTGGATTGATTTGTATCGTATAGTGACAGTTAAATCAATTTAAACATCCAGATAATAATGATTAGAAGATGATCAGAAGGTAGTTTATAACTAGACTCTATGCGCAGGGTAATTAAATGACTATGGTGTCATACATATGCTTGCTTACATAATATGATAATGAAATAATATACAAATCAACATTATCTGTACTGTCTGTAATTGTTTTTAGTAATTATTGTTTTATGAACTGTATTATACTATAAACAACATGTACTTGTATTATATGTTTTTAAAAGTGAATGCAATAAATTAATGAAAAGAAATCTTCAAGCATAGTTTACAATCAAGCTTTAAGACAGCTGTTGATGTCTTTAACAACACAGTAATCACATATTGTTAAGATGTATTGTCAATACATATTTCAAGTCCAACCTAAAGTACTCCAATATACTGATAAAGCGGCTGTGTTTATGGACTTTGAGAAAAGGTATCACATATCTAACTTTGATTAAATAGCAAATTGGCAAATGTTCAAATCTCACAAATACAATCTGTACTATTAATCATAGGTTCCTTGAATGACATACAAAGCATGATTTCTATTTCATGCTTGTTGACACTATCTGAACCATAATTTACAACAATTAACAATTATGTATAATTAACTAACAATAACATATATAAATTGGCAGAAGTATTAATATAGCAGTTTACTTATACTTAAAAATAACACTTGTACGTAAAATGATACCTACATAAATAGTAATACCAGTGGTAATATACCTTAATAGACATTTGTTTTATCACTATTTTTATAATTGATAAATTAATTGTACACAAGCCATACTTTAGTGATTTATAGTTTCAGTTCAAGACTGTCATGATTGATAGAAACAATTATTGAACTGTGAATTTATTAGCGGGCAATTAAGAGTGTATGGATTTTAATTGTGCATTCGTCAAGATCTCAAGTGATAATTTCTGGTAATACTAATCTCTCAATGTATGAGATAATCTACCCTTTGCATTCGTTTGACTTCACTTCTTAAAAGAGAGCTTCGTCTTCACTCTTTCAAACTAAAATAAACCTGTGAACTCACCGCGCCAATCAGTGTTCGTCGGCCAAATTTGACCGACGTTCTATATATGGTCATTCCTTCTGATGTCATCGTTGAGCCCGGAATTGACCAATGACATGAGCATATTTAATTAGAACGCATTTGGCGTGTGTTTCTTCAAGCTCGCTGAATGGTGGAAGAAAGGTCAGCGCGTAGGTCAGAAGTGATTTATTACTCAAACTGTCACCGGTACCCGTCGTGGGGGCGGGGCTACTAAACTGTAATATGGTCTCTACTAGGCAGAGTGTAGTTTAACTAGACTCTGCACGCAGGGTAGAGATAATCAGTTTTTAAATGCTTTTCGAAAAATATGTTTCTATTTAGTTTTCTTTTTAACAGTCAGGTCATTGACTGGTTTGCCAAATGAACAAAATGAAACCTCACAGCTTTCCTTGGAACTCAATCTTTCTCAGTTAAACAGGGTTAACCTAATATCCAAATGAATGTTAAACATTCTCAAGGGATCAGTAATAATTGTATCAAAAAGGGAAATGAAGTTAAGCATCCTTCACCGCTGTTGATACAATAATCTTATGAAATCTCTTGGTGAATCAAGATGGACGTTAATTCCATTATACCGATGTAAACTCAAAATATCATAATAAGATAATATAATCTAGGATCATTTCTCTGTTTATTGGGTTACTTCATGCATTGAGGTGATATCTAGAGATATAAGCTAAGAGTTTCTATCATTAGAACAAGTATATATCATCAGATATGTCAGCTTAAGCTTATAACATGTAGAAAAGCTGTGTATCAACAACAGGCACTGGCAGCTAGCCAAGTTAATTGACCTTCAACCTGAGAGAGATACTGGAGCATTTAGATGCCTAGCATGTTTACTTTACAGTATTGGTAAACTGTTTTTGATAATTTTTAATGATACTGAGATCTCATGATTATAAAATTACTTGCAAATATGACTAGCACAACTATGCTGATTAGTCTATCATCATTATCAGTTAATTCATAGAAAAATAAAAATAAAATGAAAAAACTGATTCACATTCCCAAGGTAATCACAAAATCTAAATACTGTCCAAAACCCAACAAACAGCAAATCCAAACATTTTCTAATCATTTAAGCATTTTTAGCGATTTAATATCCAATGATTCCTCATTTTAAATGTTGATTTCTAAAAATAACATGATATGATATAAAATAACAATATCTTTGTGATCAACTCTTCAAACCTTTCATTTGAATATAATAATTATAGGATATCCTATGATTTTGAGGAATATCATTTTTATCTTAGAGGTGATATTGATATATGCACGAGAGAGTGAAGCGAACGAGTGCATATATCAATATCACCGAGTAGATTGAAATGATATTCTGAAAAAATCATAGGATGTTCTTATTGTCCTACACTTACTAGTAGTGTACAAATCGGTATAATATGATTGAAAAATAAACTGTATGTAGTTCAAATAGTTCAATTTGGCGGGAAATCAACAAGCGGAGTATTTCCGGAGTATATCGTCACAATATCCTCCGCATATTGGTTTTCCAGAGTATATCGTGGCGATATCCTCCGGTTATTCATTTTGCCAATAGATATCAAATTTATTTTCTATTGTTATTATACATTTAGTACACTAAGTGTAGGATAATAGTAAATACAGACAGATGGACTGACTGTCCAATAGGGGCTTCACAATATTCCTACCAAACTTCATTCCTCAAGGTTAGAAAATACTTTAAGTGATTTATAAAACAAAACAAAAGAAAACTCGAGAAGGATCCCAATAACTGAGCAATCATTGCATGTCTCTGACAGTAGACACTCTATTTTATTACATTGTGCACTGAACATGAAATATCAACAATGCAAATCAAACAAAATGAGACCATTTCCCAACAAGTGCAGAACCTCTATTGTTAAAAGCTGTGCTTTTTACCAATATGTACTTATCAATTTATTAAAACAACCGTTAATAATAGGAACTGTTGCATTCCAATAGAGATTCAATACCCCCGTCCTTTCTATGCTGTATACCAGCAGAACAACTATTCCCAGAGCCGCATTGTAAGAAATCAATCATAACGTAGATCTATTGATTGGCTAGTCCCAAAGGAATATTCTACACGAGGATTATTGCTCCTCTGTGTGAGTTACAAGGCGGATGCAACCTAATACCTCAATTTCATATGGGTACAATTTATTTTATTGTATATTTGGTAATAAGTCATAACTCATGTTTTCCAATTATACGGATATTAAGACAGCTGAAGGATGTAACTGTTTCATTTAGCTTGCTTTCCTGAAACAAAGTACTGGGCAATCAAGATCTGCAAGATCTTTATTTTACCCATGGCCCATGTTTACCTTTCGTGGCTAATAAATACCCCAAACTATTCAAAATACAGTTTTTTCAATTTTTTTTGATTTTTTCCAATTCTTACCTTGATTTTTAAGTGAATTTGAGGTAATTTCAGAATTATCAACTTGATAAAATGCTTGGTTGCTGGGAATAGCATTGTTAGTAGATATAGGTCTACCAATACTCAGAAAGACAACATGCTAACCTCATTTATTTACCAGCTTCAGACAGAAATTAGTGTGAATCCAAGTTATAATGACTGACTTTAACTAAAATATAGGTTAAAATATGAGCTATTTTGAGGGAAACTTAGATGAAATGAGACGGACTTATGAATGTTGAAAAATGCCAGTTCCCTGTTATCTGTATGCACTGGGATAAAATGTGCTTTAATGAACATGGGATTCTTCAAATTAATTTTAAGATTATCATAAAGTATGCATCTACAAGAATTCATTCCTGATTGTGTCAATATTCTAACAAGGCATTAACATGCAAAATGTCACCACCTGCCATTTGTTACAGATGCTGACTGCTAAACACCAACCACTGAATGCCGAACACCAACCACTGAGCAAGTGCCAACAAAAAAGTTTTAGGCTAAGTAACAATATATCACCACTTCTGGTGGTGACATAATAATCGTATTTCGCTACATCACTACAGTATGATATTTCACCTATTAATTTCATAAATTTCAAGAATATTTTTGATCAAAAGAATGTAATCAGTTGCAGCATCTTTTATAGTTTGCTCATTTGTGCTAATATGAGCATCAGTCTACTTCTCAAAATAAAACCACTCAAAAATTATGAACACCACCATCAAACTATGACCTATATTCAGAGCTCATTTACTAGATATAATCTCATTTTAGCTTTAAAACATCTCACAGAAAAACTCTCTCGTTATAACATTCAAAAGTTTACGTTATTTACATACCAATTAAAGAATAAATGTTATCTAAATGTTCTAGTTTTCAGCCTATTTTAAAAAACAAGAAAGTGTAGCTGTCTTGTTAGCATGCTATGTTTGTTTTTTAACTAATGGAGAGTTTGATGGACCTTTGATACAAACACTATAAATCGATGGTTTATTGCTTAAAATTACTCTTTTCTCTATTCAAACTCTTACTTCAACCCTTTACTCTCACTTTACTTCAACAGCTTTACAACTGTACATGTATGTTTTAGTAACGCATATGAATTGAAAATATAGTGAAAAAATATATGATTTACCATTTATTGGTAGTTTGTTTATAAACAGCTGTGTAAATTCCAACATTATATTAATAATTTCTATGCAATGCATTACAGTTTATGCATTAATTTGGTTCTAATATGCATTAAATTGACCTTATTTATGCTTTATGAGCCATCACATCAACAAAACATTGAGTCATTCTGTATATGTCAAACTTTTGTATACCTGTCATGCATAAGTATCTGATGAAATAATTAGTATAAAAATCCTGGTGAATAACATTCATTTAGTATATGAGAGGTGTACTTACTGCATAGCAAGCTATTAATGTTGCTGCATTGGCACGTTTTCTTGCATCAAAACTTGTATAGTGGACAATCTTTTTCTTAGCTAAGGAAAATGACTGAAAAAGAGGGTACACATACGTTATACATTATGTGAGATTCTACGTATATCTGAAGCTAAACATAATGGAATGAGACACTTTAACATGTTGCAACCCTGTCCCTATGATACTCCCTTACATAAATGAAAATACAAACAAATTGTCAAATCCTGTTGATGGATGTACATTTGAGATGCCCTACTGATCACTACCCTTTGAAACAAACATCAACAAATAGAGTGCCACACTTACCTTGAGTTTTTTATTCAGTTTACAACAATATCTGTACAGGCAGCCTAAGTTAAGTGGACCGAAGTCAGCATAAAAACTGAAACAAATAAAACAATGTGACTGTCATAGTAAGTGATAATGCAATGAACATGTGCTTGAACTCGAACATGTGCTTGATATGATATTTAAAGTTTTACTTTTTGAATAATATTTGCTTTATGTTTTCTGCTCACAAAATCATATTTTCTGAGGATCTAATATTTCAAGATCATTGCAAGTGAGATCACTTAAACTATTTGAATTCTTAAAAAAAACAAATACAGAATCAAGTTTTAAACCAAACTTTCGGTAAAGATGCAAATGAAGACAAAAACACATAACATTTCATATTCAAAACCAGAACAACGGCAACGCCAAAGCGTAGCGAATCCCATCGAACAGAAATGGCTGGCATTTTTACAAACGAATAGCAAATATCATAAAACAACACACCAGAAAGGCCACCATTTTCAAAATGGTTGCTCACTAGCCAAGTTGTCATCAGAAGAAATAATATGCTTTTAAGTAGCCACCTCTAAAATTTTTGAAAAATCTCACACGTACTTGTAAAATTACACACATAAAAATGGTGGCCATTTTTCAAAATGGCCAACTACTCCCCAAAGTTTTATTAGACAATGTGCCATGCTTAAAGTATTCACATATCAAATATGAACAAAATCGCTCCACTACTTTTCGAGTTATAGTAAAATATGTTAAAATGGCGGCCATTTTTCAAAATGGCCACCGTCTACCAAAAGTGTCATTAGAAATAGACAGTGTGCCATGCTTATAGTATTCACATACCAAATATGAACAAAATCACTCCATTACTTTTCGAGTTATAGTAGAATACGTTAAAATGGCGGCCATTTTTCAAAATTTTTTTCAAAATGGCCGCGTCCTACCAAAAGTGTCATAGGACAGTGTGCCATACTTATAGTAATCACATACCAAATATGAACAAAATCGCTCCACTACTTTTCGAGTTATAGTAAAATACGTTACAATGGCGGCCATTTTTCAAAATGGCCGCCTTCTACCAAAACTGTCATAGGACAGTGTGCAATGCTTATTGTATTCACATACCATATATGAACAAAATCGCTCCACTATTTTTTGAGTTATAGCAAAAATCGTAAAATGACGAGTAAAGGCCGCCATTTTTCAAGATGGCTGCCATGTGCTTCTTTAATATCTACATTTGTAGCATTATTAATGTCCTTTATAATTTTTTTACATTTAAAACATATTGCTATTACAGTTTTACATATTACACCTAAATTACTGTAAAATCGGCACTAAAATGGCCGCCATTTTGAAATGAGCGGCCATTTTGAAAATCAGCTTTCGAGCAGAACTTCTACCCCCATAGGGTATATGTGTACAAAATATGAACAAAATTGGGCCAACGGTATTTGAGTTATTGCCCGGACGGACGGACGGACGGACGTACGGACGTACGTACGGACGGACGGACGGAGGTGTTCCCTATATCCCTCCGAACTTCGTTCGATGGGATAATTATGAAACCAGAACAACGGCAACGCCAAAGCGTAGCGAATCCCATCGAACAGAAATGGCTGGCATTTTTACAAACGAAATATATAGCAAATATCATAAAACAACACACCAGAAAGGCCACCATTTTCAAAATGGTTAGCCAAGTTGTCATCAGAAGAAATAATATGCTTTTAGAAGCCACCTATAAAATTTTTGAAAAATCGCACACATGTACTTGTGAAATAAGTAAAAAATGTAAAAATGACAGCCATTTTTTAAAATGGCCGCCTACTATCCGAAGTGTCATGAGACAGTGTGCAAGGCTCGTGAGTATTCACATATCAAATATGAACAAAATCGCTTCACTACTTTTCAAGTTATAGTAAAAACGGAAAAATGGTGGTCATTTTTCAAAATGGCCGCCTACTACCCAAAGTGTCATTAGACAATGTGCCATGCTTATAGTATTCACATATAAAATATGAAACATACCAAATATGAACAAAATCGCTGAACTAGTTTTCGAGTTATAGTAAAATACGTTAAAATGGCAGCCATTTTTCAAAATGGCCACCTTCTACCAAAAGTGTCATTAGACAATGTGACATGCTTATAGTATTCACATACCAAATATGAACAAAATTGCTTCACTACTTTTCGAGTTATTGTAAAATATGTTAAAATGGCGGCCATTTTTCAAAATGGCTGCCTTCTACCAAAAGTGTCATAGGACAGTGTGCCATGCTTATAGTATTCACATACCAAATATGAACAAAATTGCTTCCCTACTTTTCGAGTTATAGTAAAATACGTTAAAATGGCCGCCTTCTACCAAAAGTGTCATAGGACAGTGTGCCATGCTTATATAGTATTCACATACCAAATATGAACAAAATCGCTCCACTACTTTTCGAGTTATAGTAAAAAAAATATGTTAAAATGGCGGCCATTTTTCAAATTTTTTTTCAAAATGGCCACCTTCTACCAAAACTGTCATAGGACAGTGTGCCATGCTTATAGTATTCACATACCAAATATGAACAAAATCGCTCCACTACTTTTCGAGTTACAGCAAAAATCGTAATAAAATAACGAGTAAAGGCCGCCATTTTTCAAGATGGCTACCATGTGCTTTTTTAATATCTACATTTGTAGCTTTATTAATGTCCTTTATAATTTTTTTACACTTAAAACATATTGCTATTACAGTTTTACATATTGTACCTAAATTACTGTAAAATCGGCACGAAAATGGCCGCCATTTTGAAATGAGCGGCTATTTTGAAAATCGGCTTTCGAGCAGAACTTCTACCCCCATAGGGTATATGTGTACAAAATATGAACAAAATCGGGCCAACGGTATTTGAGTTATTGCCCGGACGGACGGACGTACGTACGTACGTACGGACGGACGGAGGCGTTCCCTATATCCCTCCGAACTTCGTTCGATGGGATAATGAATGAATTCAAAATAGAAAAATAGGACATGAATGTTTTGTTTTTGTTTTTGATGACTTAGTGAAAAACAAGTCACAGCTTAAATTCCAAACTGCCAATAATAACATTTTAAAAACTTACTTTTCATATACAAGTTCTTCATCTATAGTAAAGTAGTGAGTATGAGCAGTAGATCGTGGTTTTGTACGTAATGTTGCAAAGTACAATCGATCTGAAAGAGAAGAAACAAATTGTATAAAACATCATAGTTACAACATTGACATGGGTTCCAAGGCCAGCGTTCCTTTCTGTTAAGGGGACATACATTACATTTAATAGTAAAAGTATCCTGTTCAATCAACTTAATGTTCTGTTCCACCTCTAAATTGAATTTTGAACAGTTATGATTTTTGAGTATGATCCACAAGAGCATCTATTCTAAACAGAATGTCATCCGTAATCAATTTTAGGTTTACAGCACCCAGGACATCATAGACACATCAAAGTGGAATCCCATACTTCCATCGCATCATTTCAAAGTGAGATTACTAGATGAACTGATTCTGCATATACTAGGCTATTTAAAGTAAATTTCTTTAGGCTGCGTATTGATACCCAAAATGTATATTTTAGTCTTGGTCACAATTCGATAATACCAGGGGAAGTACAGTTAATAAAAAAGTCCTGGTAAAACAAATGAATTTCTGAGAAAACCATCATGTTCTTTATAAACTATTCGAACATGACTGTATTCACGCCTTCTATAAACTGTAAACAAAGTCAACATTTCACCCGGGATATATTCGCGACCAATACCCCTGGTTATACGTGTAATGTGTGACATCATAACGGTGAGTCGTAGTAATGGCGGACCATGATGAATATTCGAAACATGGTGAGTTTTCATGTTCCAATCGTAATATAGACCTCAGAGCAGGGGTGATATCGTTTAATATACCCCTTAGGGCTAGGCACAAAAGCTTTCGAACAGAAAACATTTGTGCCTAGCCCTGTGGGGTGTATTCGACAATATTACCCCTGCTTTTCAGTCTATATTTCTTAAATATGTAGGCATTAAAGGCATACTGTAACATATAGCCAACAAAGTGGTTTAAAAAACATTTTCTCAGCCTTTAGAGTTGATTTCATGGTTAAAAACCTTCTCTGGTGATTCTATTTTCGAACTATGCATGAAAGTCCATTCAAAGTCGCCTTTTGAACCTTGAAAATCGATATTCAGACTGACGATTGAAAGATGTTCAAGACAACTTTCAGCTCATCTTTATTACAACAGACCGAGGTGAATTTTCGAGTCGTGTAAATGGTGCTACTATTCTTTTTTATGAAGCAGGGAAGTCAAAACAATACTACGAAATCATAGTAAGCATTAGAAGATCATTCAGAAGCATTTAAAATCGAATCAACGGCAAAATCTGAATAATTGAAATATTCACATGTGGACATCACAGAACGCACTTCTGGTTTTATAATCAATGATTTTATCAATTAAAAAAAATGTTTTTATGAATATCTGCTTAAATATGCTATGTATACTTGCATTGATTGTTAAATTGAAAAATAGGTAGGGTGAATAATATGTCAAAGTCGTTTGATCTCGTCCTAGAAGCAATATTTTGTCACTTGTATCTCCCAGATTCCCTTTAATACAGATATTGAACAAGATATCATATCTTAATGAAGAGATCATGTTTTATATGTGGGGGAAATCTAATTAAATTTTGCACATTGACAACATTTTTACTTCTATGAATTGTAATTTGTGAAATACCAATTTTCAAATGATAAAAACTTATTTTTGATATACATGTTAAAGCTGTCGCTATGTGCCATATATCAATGCATCAGCAATTTTCTTGAGTAAAAATCAATGCACGTCGCGATGTATATCCGGAAAAGGTCGGAGAATAGTGCACTAAAATCCTGAACGCAAATGCATTAAAACACTGAATGCAACAAATAAGTAATACCTGTAGTACTTCAGTACTTCTGAGAAAGGGAAAACCTAAGTAACAGTTGGAGGTTATTGGTTCATTTTAGCAAACTAGAACATTTATATTAAGTGAAAAAATATCAGAGTACATTGGAAAATGAACTAGCAATGATAAAAGTAAGACATTTGCTTCAAAAGAGATAAGAAAAGGTAATTTTTAGCAGATTTTACTTTTTAAAAACATCAGTGTTTTGTTTCACTGGCATCAATGCATCACAAGTATCACCTTTGGTGATGTTTCGATTAATTGCAACAACACTAATACATGTATGTTTACCACTTCTCAAAGAAAATAAGATTTCCTTGAGATGATAATGTATGCTTGAAGATCGCTTCATGAAATCAATACAATAATTTGATGGAAATATTATGATTGACCCTTGAAATCAAGTACCATTCTGAAGCCGAAACAGCGTCGCAATTTATAGTGGTGCAAGAATTTCTAAGATTAAGGTAAGGAGCTCCGAGAAAAAGCAAAAACTCCAGGTCCAGACTTTTTCAATTTCTCAATTTAGCCAATTTTTTCAATGGTTGGTGATGCGCCTATGGGTCATGGCAAATCTCGGATTTATAAATGAAGCCCCAGAGTCGGATTAATGCGGCTAATTATTGTCAAGTATCTGTCGCACACTATCAAGGAAAATTGATTTCAATCGATCCAGATATTGCTGTTGATGAAAGGATAGCAAGGAAGTCAAATAACGGATCCAGGAAAATTCAGATAATAGAGAAAGTCGTACATTGGGTTTTAGCCTACAGTGCTGACAGTAAATAATGAAGGGTGGGTTTTCAAACTAAACAGAGTGCTCCTACCAAAATGGATTAGCCTATATACCCCTGACACTCTTATCTGATAGATGGAATGCACAAATAAAACAAAAGTTTTGCTATTATAGGTAAAAAGTTTTCTTAAATTTCGAAGTGATTTTACCTGTTAATTCTGTCACTAAAAAATTCTCCATCTAAAATGTCACTCGACTTTTTGGCAATTAAAAGTCTCTGCCTGCATTTAGTAGTCATATATTGTCATGTGCATAATTTTGAAACCATATCCTAATTATTTCACAAACCCTTTGTTGATTCTGCCATAGTTTCCAATTTGTGAACAGCATTTAGCCTTTTTAATTGGGAACTTTTTTGAAATTTCCAAAATGGCTGCCATGTGATTCCAGAATTAACATGAGTGTGACGTGACATCACAGTTGCTCGTTCCTAGGTAACAACAAGATCACAATTGCTCGTTTCTAGATAGCAACAAGATTTTTGATAAAATAGCACAGAATTACCCTGATTAACACCCTTAAAATCCGATTTTCAAAGAATATATTTGGAGAAACAATAAAAGGTAAGTGGAATAAATTAGAAGATGGTTTCAAGTTACCACAGAAGTCAATTTGAAACTCAAGAATGCTTTCTTTGACTCATAATCACAAAAAAGTCGAGTGACATTTTAGATGGAGAATTTCTTAGTCCGCCATTTTTGCGGAAGTTACACTGAAACACTAACTCCATGGAACGAAACGAAATCACTAGAAAAAAAACATCCCACACATCGTGCGCATGCATGGTAAAGTTAAAACCAATCAGATTATTTTGAGCACATATATTAATTTATTCTGAGCACTTACCATTCAAACCTAACCACAATAAACAAACCTGGCAGAGATTACCCTTGTAACTTCATTTTTGCGAAATTTCAGCTCAGACTCGAGACAAATGCATTGTGTATACACTGGTATGAAGCCTTGGAGACACTCATTTTGGTAAATATGATTTACGGTGTATAATTTTCTACAGTTTGGGGGAGTTTGGGACATTAAATATTCAAATTCAAGATAAAATGCCAACTCTATGACTTATCAATTAATTTGTATCAGCATTGTACTTGTTGAACTGCCCATACAAACAGACCTGAGAATGAAGTCTTGTTCAAGCTTTGGTACATTTTGAAAATGCTATGTACGAACCTTTTATGAATTCGGATGCACTTCCTATCACCTCGTTATCATCATGGGCCATTCTATCCCTGGAACAGTAACGATAATCCAATTCAAGAGCAGTCACTTTTGAATTTTTTTTAATTATGTTTGAGCTTATTAAACTATGTCCTTTTTTAGGCCACCAGGGCTACTTATTGATGAGAGCTTATCCAGTATTTAAAAACATGTGCTCCGGTGTCCATTTATTAAAAAATAAATATGTTAAAACGTAAAACCAAGCATAAAATTAGTAAAAACGGAGAGAAAATGTCAACAAAAATAGTCGGCCATGTTTGAACCAGTGAACTAATGTCACGTGACAATATTTTGACCAATGAAAATTAATCTCATCTTCTGATTGTTGTCATGACAAGAAACTTTTGTATGGTTAGCCAGTCCAGCATATTTGAACTGACTTGCCATCTTTTATAAAGAAAGTGTACTACATTTAGCTATGTCTGTATGTTGGTAACTAAAAGAAGTCCACAATGATGAAGAGTTTTTCATCTGATGAATATGTCAGAATCAGTCAGCAGTCTTTGACATAGGTAAGTCTGAAGGTTTTGTTTTGCTGTTTTTAAATAGCTACAAAATATAAACTAATAATACAGTGTGTGGTGAAAGAGCAAACATTTTAACATTCCAGGGAGGTGAAAACCATTTTCGTGAGCGATTGAGTGGTGAATACGATTTTCATGAGCGGGATTGGGCGGGACAATACGATTTCTATGGTTGGCCTATTAGTATAAAGAATGCATGCGTTGTTTACGGGTGTGTAGGCGTTAATTACGCTCGTGTAGATGTAAAATTACGCCCGTGCTGACGAAAAATTACGCCTGTGTAGGCGTAAATTACGCCCGTGAAGAAGTAAATTCTACGGGCGTTCAGAATACATTTACAGGCGTGAACTTACGGCGTTAAAATTATTAATTACGGGCGTTAAGACTGTTATTTTACACGCGCTGAGAAACATCTTCACGCCCGTGGAGTTTATTTTTAGCGCCGTAAATTATGAACCAATCAGAACCTTACTTACATGATGATTTAATGCATCCTTGCTAAAAGAGCAACTCCGAGATACTTGCGCTAGTAAACAACAATCAGAAGCCTGCTTACATTTTAGTGTATTGCATTGAGGTCCTTAAATATTCGCTCAAGATTAAACTAGATTTAACCAAAGAAGTATTCATTTTTAGAGCAAATTATATTAAAAGGCAAATTGAAGAGACATGTACTGTGTTGGCAGTTATCAACACCCATTGTAGAAACGACAAAATTGCAGAGTATTTTGAGAAGGTATACATGTTTGGTTTCTAAATACGATGATTTTTGGATAATTCTCCAATCTAGGCGTCGGCTTCAGAGGTAGGCTAGGTAGGGACTTATTAAGCTCACACGCATTGCAGCTTACAGTCTCATTATACAGTCAGATCGCTAATGTATCCCTCTAAAGGATGTGTCCAGATACTAGAATTATAGTATCTGATCAACTGCAAATTGACTCTAGACTATATCCTGCACATCTGGCATTCTTTGAAAATGTACTGAAAATGTCAAATGAGCCTATATACCTAGTATACCTAGCCAACATATGTTCAAATTTGGTGTTAGGGAAATGTGTACTTTTTGGAATCTGTATGCAGCCGTCTTTATATGTCACATGTTATTTCCAGGAATACATAACTCATTTAATATACGATGTAAATCTTTCACATTTGCACAAATAGTGCACCGAGATACCCAGAAAAGAAATAATATTTCATATGCCTCCAATTGCAACAGTTGTTCCTGGCACAATCATGAGTATGTTATTAACTTGCACAAGGATCTTGGAGTTGTACTTTTAGCTATAATGCATCGTATCATCATGTAAGCAAGATGCTGATTGGTTCATAATTCACGGCGCTAAAATGAACTCGACGGGCGTGAAGATGTTTCTCAGCGCGTGTAAAATAACAGTCCTAACGCCCGTAATTAATAATTTTAACGCCGTAAGTTCACGCCTGTAAATGTATTCTGAACGCCCGTAGAATTTACTTCTTCACGGGCGTAATTTACGCCTACACAGGCGTAATTTTTCGTCAGCACGGGCGTAATTTTACATCTACACGAGCGTAATTAACGCCTACACACCCGTAAACAACGCATGCATTCTTTATACTAATAGGCCAACCATAGATTTCTTTCAATATCAAAAAATCCCGGGTGTTAAACTTACTCACAGGGAACTAATAGTATCATGGGATAAATAAAGAAGAAAGAATATAGAGGGGCTTGTTCAGTATCAATAAAAAAAGTAACTGGTAGGCCAAATTCTAGCTGAATGAGTCAACATATTTTGGTTAGAAAGATGGCTAGAGCCACTCGATATTCGAACTTGACCGCCATCAACAACATTGAAAATGTCATTATTATCTGATATCTAAAATAGCTATAAATTCAAAATCAGCGATCCAAAAGATTTGAACAAATATCCTGATCACTTCGTCTTTTTAATTTTTTGTTTGGAAATAAGACCAGAACTCGCAATTCAAATTTTAAAGTGAAAAATGGCGGACGTTTTGAACATTTTTGAACGTGGAACATTGAATTGAAAATAAAACATGTTTTGATGAGCTTACTGTTACTCTGAAAGCTGTGTCTAATGAAGCTATTCCAAATAAGCGCTTTCAAAGACACTTAAAGCCATACTGGACAGATGTCCTGAATAATCTATCGGGTGAAAAAAAGGCAGCGCATAGGTTATGGAAATCAGAAGGCAGGCCAAGAGATGCGGGTAATGCTATTTGGATTAGGTACAAGGATACAAAGCGTAAGTTACGGAAAGAATTGAGGAGGGCGGAATATGCTTATGAGATGGAATGCCAAAATGAGATAGACAATGCAAATGAGATCAGTATGAATCATTTTTGGTTTATAGTTAAGAAACGCAGAAAAGGAAAGAATAATGGGAACTCGATCAGGAGTGACGATGGCACCATACTGACGCAGGATGATGAGATTCGTAATGAGTGGATGACGTATTTCAAAACCTTAATGTCTTCTAAAGACGATGATAATTTTGACAGTGAACATCAGCGATATGTCGATGGGATGGTTAATGAAATGATGGAGCAGAGTAAGTTGAATGAGGATGAAGCCTTTAAGGAACCAATTAGCGAAGATGAAATGATGACGCTGATCAACTGTCTCTCAAGAAATAAAGCCACCGGATGGGATGGTATAAGCTCTGAGCATATACGGTTTGGGGGGCAGGTTGTAGTCAGATTACTTGTTACTTTATACAATGGTATTGTAAGTCTGGAGTATATACCAAGCAGCTTCAAATTGGGAGTGCTTTTACCAATTTTTAAAGGTGGAAACAAGGACAGTTTGGATAAAGACAATCATAGAGGGATTACTCTCATGACTACTTTCATGAAGCTACTAGAGAGGCTTATGATCAATAGGAGTAGGCGTGCACCAAGGAGCGAACTTAGATGTAACATGCAAGCTGCAAATGAGAGTCAGGTGTCATGCCTCCATACGGCCTTTCTAACAAGGGAAGCAATAAGTCACGGCCTCGAGAATGGGGAGGATGTTATTATCGTGGCTATTGATATTAGAAAAGCATTCGACACCGTGTGGCACAATGGCTTAATGTTTAAAATGTACAATATCGGAATCAATGGTAAATTGTGGAGACTATTGAGATTGTGTTATAACGATTACAAATGCGCCGTAAGATGCAATGATATGAAGCTCTCTGACCCGTTTAGCATCACCCAGGGTGTCCACCAAGGCGGACTCTACTCCATGGAGCTGTATGGGCAATACATGAACAGGCTATTGCTGAACATCATACAGTGCTCTAAGGGCTGCTCTGTAGGAGATATAATCTGTACGTGTCCCTCGTATGCGGACGATACGGTAATTATTGGTTATCACAAGAAGTCTGTACAGGATGTGTTGAACTTAATGTACGATTATAGTTTGAAATGGCGTTTTAACTTCCACCCTGACAAGTGCAAAGTGATTGTGTTTAGCAACAGGAGGGTACATGATCTTAAAATGGACCTTTTCTTTGGTGATAATAAGCTTCAAACTGTAAACTCCACCCAACACGTTGGCCTCCCTCTTTCTAACTATAACAGCAACAAGGAGCTGATTGATACAGCCGTATCCAAAGGCAGGCGCGCTATGAATGCGTACGTAGGTACTACAACGCACATGAAAAATGCTACAAATCCACTTACAGCCTCTAAATTGTATTGGTCCGTAAGCATTCCGTCGATAACGTATGGCATGGAATTGGTGCCTCTTAGTGAGGCAGACTATAGAGCCTTAGACCAGGGCCATCGTAGCATATGTAAAAAGATACAAGGGTTACCAGTTCACACACCTGACGCAGCTGTTCTACCCCAGCTAGGATGGCAGACGATAACTTCAACAATTATAATCGCCAAATTGATGTTTTTGTGGCAGTTATTGTTTCTGATATCTGGGTCTGTGTATCGCAGCATTGCTATCAAGAGAATTACAATGTACAGACATGGTGTTAAACTTAACAAACTGTCACCGTTGCGAGACATAATGGAGCTTGTGAATCGATATGGAATGACAGACATGATATATCAAGTACTGGACAATGGTGCAAATCCATCAAAATTGACATGGAAACGCCATGTGCAGAATGTGATAAGGAATTGCGATTTGGATGGTTGGAGACACGAAGTTAACACGTATAAAGAACTAACACTCTATAAGGAAGTTATCCAATGTGTGAAACCCTGTATATGGTGGACAATAGCTAGGAGTGATTCAAGGTTCATTAAAAGATGTAACTTAATGGTACGCTTAATGGTCGGACAAGGCCGCTTAAGAATTAACACAGGCGAATGGGAGGGGATACCGTTGAGAGATAGGTTTTGTGAGAGCTGCTATGAGGAAATTGAAACGCTTGAACACTTTGTCTTAAAATGTAGACTGCACAATAGGGGCACATTAAATACAATTCTAGATGGAGTACCAAACATTAGTGCAATGTCAAATTCAATGAAACTGCGAGCTCTCTTCGGGGGAGACAACTGTATTAACGAAAGTGGACTTAAACGTGTGAGCACTATTATACAGAACATGTACCTCGCCCGGATTGGAGTCAATTAGATTTACTTGGGATAGCTATGGCCTAGTATAAGTTAATAGGCATATATAAACAGGCCGCCCCCCCCCCCCCCTACGATGAGTGTGTGATGGGCACCGTGTGTGACCAACGGAACGTCAGTTATCATAGAATACAGGTGTATTTTCATAAGGAAAATTTTTATTTTGTCAAATCATGTATAGCTCAATGAAGTGCATACAATATTTTAACACGTAGCAAGAATGACCACCTGGTCATGCAACATCGACCTTGGGGAAGATGTATGCGGTTCCAAGTTTTTCATAGCTTATATTCATATTTGTGTATTATACCTACTCTTATCAATTCTCAGATCTTACTTATAATGTTATTGGTGTTTATTAGAGTTCTATTTTGTCTATTGTTTATATTTTGATACGCATCCAATAATACTGTAATATATAATTATTATATTATCTCCAATCAATGGAGGGAAAATAAATCTAATAATAATAATAAAAGTTGCAGAATCAATCTAGCATAGCACTTGCTATTTCCTTACCAGAATTATCCAACAATCATGTTATATCAGTTTTCTTCAACTTATTTGACCCAATTTTAAATCATTTTTTGTCTTCAAAATAATCAACAATTAGAGTTCAAAATTATAGACTATAAAATTAGAAGAAATAGTGATTTTTTATTAACTGTTTATGAGTCAATAAAAAATCACTATTTCATAAAGCTCAGAAAGCACCAGATAGAATCTTAAAATTGTATGAAATTTTCAAGAGGGCTGCCCCCAAACCTCTAAAGATTAATTGAAACAATTCTGAATAGGCATAATCAAATAGCACCTTGATACGGTCAATCCCTCCTGGAGGGACAATCCCTATAAAAAGTACAGAATTTAAGTATCTAGAATGAGTAGCATCACTAAAAATGATTAAAAACTTTTAATTCAGTTTCATTTATCAGTTTATAGACTTAAACATATCTGAAGTGCAAAGAAGTCACCAAGTAACATCTTGAATTGGTATGAAGGGATTACCCCATGGAAAAAAAGAGAAGAAATTTGAAATTTTTGTGAGCTGTATTTGTTAAATTTAACTTCTAAAGTGGCCAGAAATCACCATTCAGGCACCCCACCCCAAAAAAACATTTATTTACTCAAACACATTGAACGTGCCCAGAAAGAACAAGACAGCAAGTTGAACTGATAAAAACTTCTGTCCAGATTTTTTTAGATTGATTCTAATGATTAAAACAGTTTTTTCAATTTCTTAAAATTTTTTAATTAACTCGCACTTTGAAAGTACCCAGAAACCACCAAGTGGACAACGTCTCGCTTAAAAATTCGAATTCCTATATTTTGACTTACTTATATAAAAATCATTTGAAGTGCAAAGAAATCATCTTTAAAAGTGCCCAGAAATCACCAAGTGACATACTAGAATCATCAAAATTTCTGGGTCTGTCCCCACCCCCCAAAAACATAAGCATTTATTTACTCAAACACATTAAAAGTGTTCAGAATTAATCATACAGCATCTTGAACTAGCAAAACTTTTCAGTGCTGCCCCTCGCTTACGTAAGAAAATGATAATGGTAAACGTTCTCGAGTATACGTTTGTGCCGGGGGTCCTTCTCATTTTAGCATATCCTTCCCCTATTCCAATGTTTCCCAAATTGCACATAATTTTCCACATAAGTCCAGAGTAAGCTTTCAGAAATTGTTATATTTTGTGTTTTCAAATTTTGCCCTTTGTGCTTCCTCATTGTGATGCGAAATAATAAATTCGGTATTTTACTGCCACTTTAATGCAAACTATATATATGCAATTGATCTCAAGAAAGCAGATCAATATATAATCGATTGATATGCATTTTCGACTTGTTAATTACTTCGTGTTTTTTAATTTTGCCCCTTGTTCTTTCTCATTGTGATGTAAATTAATAAACTTAATAATATTCTTTTCCAACACATTCCGAAACATCTCATTGAAGTATAAAGATCACAAGTCAACATTTTTTGCATTTTTACATGTTATGTGTTTTTGAAGGTTGCTTTGTCACTATTCACCAAGAAGATCAATTATAGTCAAAACAGTAATGTTTGTGAGTACTTTGAATTTAAAAAATAAGCAATCAAATGACTAAATTGAAACAGTTTATGTAAAAATATAAACCTTTATATTTATCCTAACTTTTCTATATTTCAGATTGTACTGTATGCAGCAAAGCTGTGGCCTTTTGTAATTTAGGGAGTTTCAGCCATGTTAATTTTTCCGAAAATAACGTGGCAGAGAAGTATCAAAATATAAGAGGACATAGATATGAAAACAAACTAAAATATACAAAAGTTAGGATGAATATAAACATGATAAATGTTTCTATTTTTATTACATAAATTGTTTCAATTTGATCATTTGATTGCTAATTTTAGTTTTGACTACAAGTCTAAAATGACTGTAAATACTAAATAAATAATGATCATTTTGATAATAAATATATGACAATAATGATGTGAAGAGTGATATTTCCTTCAAAAGGTCATTTCATACATGATGACCTATATTTTGAGATATAAAGGTCAGGATGACCTAATGTTTGAATCTGGTTATCAAACAAAGTCCCTTCTTTGATATCAAGTACAATTTTTTTAATTATCTTGGGGGCTAATATAGGGTCTTAAAGACACTCGTCCTTTGCTTTACTTCCTCTCATGGTTACTTTCATACCAGCAGATTCAAAATCCTTCCATGGTTGCCTGCACAGGAGATTTTATAGACTCATGTGAAATCTTGACTTACACCAACTTCTCAGTGGTAAAATAGAACAACGATTTGGAAGCATTCATTTTTATTCAAAGTTGAGGATTCATTCTGCAATTTTCTTATCCGTCTTCCACAAGGTCTCCATGCCTATCCACGCAAACATGAGCTGGTCTCAACATGTCTCAAGCACGTCTGATTAATAGCGGTCTTTATGTACCACAGTGACTTTGTAAATTTTCATCGGTCAGAATTTTCTTATTCTGTTATTGTACTAGCTATAGTATCTCATAATCCATGGGTGCTCATAACCAAATGTTCTGCCTTTACTTTTAAGGGATTAGCATAGTAGCCAAAATACTCACATGAGACGAGCATTTTTATCTGTAGAAATATTTTACATTGTTCCTTGTGTACAAGATTAGGTTGAGTAATATTTTATACTAAACACAAAACAAAAATTAGTATTAAATACAGAATCAACATTTATTTTATAACTGGCAGTTGTTCTTAAAACAGTATACTGTATTCTACATTCGCTGGCTGTACAATGTAACTTTACAAGTGATTTAGTAGTCACTGTCTGTATTATTGGCAATCTGTTCTACACATCAAACTCAAATGTTTTTTTGTAAAGGTATCACTTGAGCACACTACTCACGCAAACTCTGTGCATATGAATCATTAATTTAGTCCCACAGACGTTCCCTTTTTCTTAATAATTATGGATAATTTACTAATTTGCATTAACGTTAGAAGGCGAATAGAATCAAGAAAGCCATCATCAGACAAAACAGGCCCATGGCTTCAGACAAAGCAAATCCCAAGATGCAGTATGAGAAAAGTTGTTGTTTTAGGGATGGGTTCCTGGCATATCCAATTACTAAACTTCCAAACACACTTCCAATACCAGCCCCTGGAAATACACAAAAAACACCATAAGATATATATATGAACTGTAATGAAATTATACAATGCAACATAATTTAACAAGTTTCAAGGAATAAAGAATGATCTTTGAAGATGATGAAGTGACAGTACTGTAGATGCACTTAATTTGGCTCCTGTTTTAATTTGACAGATTGGCGAACTGGGAAAATCCGCCAAATTTCAGTTTGGAGTTTTTGCCCAATGCACTTCAGAAACTTCTGGGGAGCTTTTCCTGTCAACATGTCATCAATTCTACAATATTCCAAAAGAAATACAGAAAATATCTTAGTAAATACCTGCTTAATGTAATGACATAAACATAGACAAAAATTAAACTTCAGTCCTGAATCCGTCAAATTAAATAGCCACCAATATTTGAAATTGAGCAAATCCATTAAGTAGTGTCAAAATAATTGTATCTACAGTATATTGCATTTAAAAAAATTACTAGTATATGAAACAATGTTTTGTTCAGTGCAGCAACTAAGTAAATAAGTAAAAGATACAGTTCTCGGAACTAACTCAGACATCCTTAAAATATCTAGTATTATGGGAGTGGTTGTTAATTTTCAGGGCAATCCCTTTCCCCTCGAAGTTGACCTTGTTATCAGGTTATGGGAGAAACCAGAGCTAAAATAATTTTTTCATTTTGCAATTCTTGCTGGTCTTGACAGAAGACCAAAATCAGAGTGATTGGGGTCTTTTAGTGTATCTAGGGAATGGGATACTGTACTCCGGGTAAATTTCGACGCTATAAAATTTCGCTAATTTTCAAACTTGCAATTTCCCGGATTTAAGTTGGATCACATTTCGCAAAATGTTCGCTATTTCACTACATTCACGAACAAAGCGAAATTAAATCGCACGTGAACAATACCCGGAGTACAGTATATATTTTCTGTATCTATCCCGTAATACCCGAAATCATGGAAATACCATTCTGGTTCCACTCACCAAAGAAATGAATAATTGAAATTGATGTTACAGAAATACATTTTTGTAAATTTAGGATCTTAGAAGGTAGAACTATACAAAGTAGTTATGGAATACATCTGTGTACAGTTGGTGCTGTATCTAGGATTTATCCCTTGGTTCCTCAAGAAATACACATTTTCCCCAAGATAAAACCTGTGTTCAAACCTCCCAGTACATAACTCATATATCCTTATGAGGAATCAAAAGTCTTATTCGAATCAATGACCGTGTACATACCTGATCCAGCTGCGCCTACTGTGGCTGCGCCAGCGCCTATAAATTTAGCAGCCTGGTCAATGTCCCGCTGTGTTGCACTTGTTTGGAAACAACGGATCTGCAATGAGAGAAAATAGCAACTTTAGAGTAAGTAAAATATTTAAGCCTCATGCTGTACATGTAAATACTTAAATATTATGCAGAACGATAAAAAAAACAGCTCAGCTGGCTCCGGCTTACGAGACACTTAAAGTATATGTAAATAGATGTGGCATAAAATGTAATGTAATTAATGAGTATGTACAGTATAGTTAGAAAATTAAGTTCTGTTAAAATTTTATATGTGATCTTTGATTGGTCTTATGGTGGACATAAGGATAGAATTCTACAAGAAAACTTGCTTCAGAGCACATTTGATGTTTTTTATTACACACACTTTGCTACTCTGACTCAAATATCATTTTCTACCGTGTCTTTTTGATGCACATTTGACGCATGCTTGCTAAAAATGAACCAAGTATCTCGCTGACAATATTGCTGAAATCCCCATAAGAGCCTTAAGACTGAGAAGTTGAAACAAAACTTTTAATTTGAATATTTCCTTCATTTATTTTGAGAGAATATCAGTTTAGTATTGTGGGGAGAACTTGATGTTATCAGGAGGTTGCATCGACGCCAAGTTAATAGCATTTTGGTGCAAGTACTCGCCCACTTTATTTTTTCTTTAGAAATTCTGATGTTTTCATCAATACTTTGCCATTCTTTGATATTTCTTGAACTTTGTAGAGCAGGTAGACTCTTATTAAGGAGCTAAATACAGTGATTATGGTCACTGAATTAAGGTATATGAGCCATCAGATGTCTCAACTCTAAATAAGGTTATACTATCAGCGGTGGCGGTAGGCATATATTTTTGTGAGTCATCATGACTCAGGTAGTTTCAAAAAAGTGAGTCACAAGAAAAAAAGTTGAGTCAAAGCTATAAAAGTGTTTTTCTTGAGTAAAAATGCATACAAAATGTAGAAACCACATACAAAATCTATTTTTTGATTTTGTGCATACCTTTTATTGTACTCTTATAGCACGTTAACAACTAACAATTAATTAATTAGGCAATTGCAAGAAAAATGTCACTATTAATCATCTGATTATCTGGTCCAGCGAGTCATGGGTGTGAATGGAGTGGGAGAGGAGTTTCTCCCTGTGTGGAGTTACACAAATTGGGGTCAAAGCGTTTCATGTTGAAATTCAACATTTTTGCAATCATTCCAAAGTCTAAAACGGCAATATAAGTCCGACCACAATACTGGGCATCATTTAAATTGAATACGGTAGAATCTTGTAATTATAAAATGAAACCGAAAGTAGATTTGTTTTCATACCTAATTTATCATCATTACCCCCCTTAATGTGCGATCGACTGGATTTTCATGTGCCCATTATCTATCTTCATAGGATCAGCTTCAGATCTAGTGAATCGAAGATCTTAACTTGAGGGAGTTAATTGAAAATACTTGGTGAAAACTTACGATAGATCGGTCACTGTGAGCACCATTGATAAACCTACTGCGCATTACATCTGCGCATGCTGATGAAGGGGACGGCTGAAGGAAACTTGCTAACTTAGCGAAGGAATTTTGCGAACTTGCGAAGGAAACTAAAGGTTCGTAAATCTAGCGTGTGAACATTCAAGGAAAGATTTTATGCGGTAATTTAGATAAATATACGATCACTAAAATCCTTAGAAGGGAGTATGAAATTAATAAATTATTGTTCAATGTTATGTTCGTTTTATTGCATTTTTGATACGCCCCCTAGCACACGAGATAAACAAATCGAGGGATCGATCAATGTTTTCAAGTTTATCATTGAATCTGAATCACAGGGCTTTAAAAATTATATGAAATACCGAAATAAGAAAATGATCGGTAGGAAGGAGGCTCGATTGCGCTGAACGAAATGTTAGATTTCCGGAATTAGCAAAATTATAAATTTGATCAATCACGTATTTTCACGTATAGGGATCAATTTAACCAAGTACCAAGCGGGGATTTTGCATGTGAAACAAACGTGCGTCAGAAAGACTCGGTAGACAATGAATATTTGCGTCAGAGTTGCAAAAATGTGAGTAAAAAACGTAAAAAATTGCGTTAACGCCACCTCTGACTATGTTTAGAATTTTTGCAATTTTTACTCAAGAAAAACACTATTAAAATTTGGCTCAACCTTTTTCTAGCCGACTCACTTTTTGGAACTACCTATGATAACTCCCGTAATGTTAGTTGCTCTATTTTGCAAAGATCTGGCAAGTATTGAAATATGTCATGCAATTTTCTCTGGTCTCGGCACCTGTATCATTGAACAGTCACTTTTTGGCGAGAGATATTATTAAGAATTCTCAAGTATCCTATCAGGGGTTTTCTAATGCTTGTCTACATTACAACAAAATTTAGCGACAGTAGACCAATGAATGTCTCACTGAATTTTCTAGATTTTTATACATTTTATAAAAAATATTCTTCACACTCTTTTCTAGGTACAATAGTGCACTCTTTGTGCAAATCTGATGTGGGAAAGGAGTTATTCACCCTTGGTATACGCAGCTAACGAAAATTGACCGGTACGGGTCAAAAGCTGGACCGGTACGGGTTAACGGTTTTATTTGAATTTAAAATAGCCATAACTTGCTCAATATTGACTTCCTCGTGTCTAATTTGAAATATATGATGCCTCCCGATGCTTTTAAGTACCCCAATTTTTTACAGATTTTTAAACGGACCAAACTCTCTAAATGCGCATTTATGCTCTTTTCTCTCGAGAACGACTGTCTCATTTTCACGATAACTTTTATTTAGTACTTCTAACATATAAGATCTATTTTTCCCCATCAAGGTATGATGTAAATGACATGCTATTTACATCCTGTGCGTTTCAATGATGCGCGTTTGATTTTATAAAAAATACCAAACTTTGTGACAAAGAATTTCATCCTGCTTGCAGCGAGAAGACGGACCGGTTCGGGGCAATCTGCTTGCAGCGAGAAGACGGACCGGTTCGGGGCAATAGCTGATGAAATTCTTTGTCACAAAGTTTGGCATTTTTCATAAAATCAAACGCGCGTCATTGAAACTCACAAGATGTAAATAGCATGTCATTTACATCATACCTTGATGGGGAAAAATAGATCTTATATGTTAGAAGTACTAAATAAAAGTTAGAAAAGAGCATAAATGCGCATTTAGAGAGTTTTGGTCCGTTTAAAAATCTGTAAAAAATTGGGGTACTTAAAAGCATCGGGAGGCATCATATATTTCAAATTAGACACGAGGAAGTTAATATTGAGCAAGTTATGGCTGTTTTAAATTCAGATAAAACCGTTAACCCGTACCGGTCCAGCTTTTGACCTGTACCGGTCAATTTTCGTTAGCTGCGTATACCAAGGGTGTGATTGATCTTTGAAAAATGACATGTGACTCTATTCAAAATTCTGAACATACAATCTGACATTAATATCAGATACGTCGTTTTGAAGTCCACCCTAAGCAAAAATCACAATTTTTGCTATCTCATTCCAGAAATATTGTCAACAGTGTGGCAACATAATAACCCGATTATATGAATAAACAAGACTTACTTGACTATTTATAAAAGATGTAACATTTTGTGTATTTGGTGCTATGGTAAGTCCTGAAAGACCAGTGTATGTGCCTAGACCACAGGTGTTCTGTGGGGCCTGAAATATAAATTCACAAGATTTAGTGCAAATACAATTTACACTTATAAATTAAAATACTTTAAGTTAAATTAGTATATAGTAAATCATGAACTGTTTCATCAACAATTGTAGACCCCATAAGGGCAAACAACTGAGACCAGGTGTTAGTACATGGAATCTAAATGTCTATTTCATCCATAAATTTTTTTAATACAATGTTCTAATAAAGAAACATCAACATAATACTATTTGTTGAGACTAACCTGTTCTGTCTTGCCTGATAGAGTACTGCTGAGAGGTCTCAACACTGTTGACCTGGCCTGGAAATGAAGCAAAACATTACTATTTTGATGAGGTCAGGGTATGGAAGCTATACATATTTGAAATAGATATCCTCATACTGTACTGTATCACATGTAAGATTTAAAATTATTCTGATCAAACTGATGTGTAATACACGGTAAGAATTAATAAATAGTACAGTTGGTACTGAGCTCACATGATGTTGCTCAAGGAGAGAATGATACAGTTTGAATTACAATTAAATGGATGACAATAGAGAAGCGCTAAAGTGAATATATATTTTTGCAGATCTTGTTACGAAATTATTTCATAAAACTACTGTTTACATGGACATGGCTTTTTACAAATTATTTGTAAAGCTACTGCATGGTCCAAAAGTGAAATTTGCAAGACAAAAAAGCGTCCATTCTGAAAGTAAAGAAAATAGGCGATCTATTGAACTATCGATAGAGGTCTAAAGATGTGCAAACCTTGACAGCAACCTGACAGGATACCATTATCGTCAAAACAATTACGAAATAGGCAGACCAAAAGAATGTGAATTTCAATTTGATACTCTTACATTTTTGACAAACACACATGTTTATACATTCTGAGAAGTCTTTAGATAAAGCAAGCTTTATATAGATGAAACAAAGGACTATGAACTTTCATATAGAGCGAACTAAGGGTAGCCTTAATCATAGGCTAAAGATTTCTCAATAAAATTAGGTTCGGATCTGAGCGTTGGACCAGTGAACAGCGAGTTAAAAAACTGAAGTATCCCACACAAACATAGTTCGGCATATGTCACAACATACAAATGAACATAACAATGTCAACTTCCTACTAAAATAGATTAGAAAGAGGATGACCTTTGAAAGTTTAGTCAAATCCAAGATGGCGGACTAAATATTTTTGGGAGATTTTTGTCGAGTTTTTCCCTTCATCGACAACATAAATACTGACATGCTACAGTATTACAACTATGTGGAGAAAAATAAGTTATCAAAGTATACTTACCACAGTCCTGGCAGCAGGTGAAACGATCTTTGCACAATACATGATTGAAAGAGATGCACCTCGGAACTGAAAAAATCGGAAGAAGATTAGCCTTAGCCTACTCTAGCCGGTGTTTTTAAACTGGATTCATAACATATATTTCAGATGAAGATTACAATTTAAGGTAAAACTTAATTTGAGAATAATTCAGCTAGCGTATGGTACCAACCGTATGAGAGAATTATGTCTTGTTATGTGCGATTCAGTTCGATATTTCAGAGAACTATACAACTTTGGTAAAACTTACCGGCTACTTTGCAAGGAGAACAGAACTGCGCATGCGTGAACTCTTGATTCAATTCATGGCAGAGGGATATAGCAATGAAATATACCTGTAGTGAGTAATTCAAATTGTCCTGTATGGATTAATTTGAACATTATTTGGCGTCATCTGTCTCCTTTTAACTGTGCTATTTGTTTTTTCAACTTTTTCGGTTACCATATTATCAGATCATACAATTTGTACTAAACATTTACTGATAGAACTGATAAAAAATTAAGAGGTAATATTAAATTACTTGGTCCAGTACAGATATCAGGAACCTGATCATTTTGTATCAAGGTCGGATGGCAATTAACTTTCGATTTCTTTAAGATGCCTCGGATTTGCGTAATAGGTTTTTTTGGGGGGTTTGACATGAACTTCATTTGGTTCATGGACTATCTTATATTCAGTCACTGTATTACCAAAACAGTTACCAAACATGGACTAATAAGAAAATTGAGTGGGGTGAAAATCTCAATATGTGTTTTGGGGAATTGTAAAATATGTTGATTTGACAGCAATCTTGCACGTTGTATCATCAGCTTGTATCTACCAGCTGACTGCAATTCTAGGTACTAAACTTCTATTTAAGGACAAAAAATTTGGCTTCCGAAATTCAAACTACAAAGTGCGTGCGATAAAAGAGATTGACTGGTCCTTAGGTGTGAAAACGAGGCTTTATTGAAATGGCTGTGTTTCTGATGAACGTATGTAAGTTCCGTGATTGTGGGTTAAATTTCTCCACTTTAACGGATCTTATCCAACACATCGAGGACGCTCACATAGGTAATATGAATCGTTCTAATATTTTCTGAAAAAGAAATTACAATATTCCATCAGATTAGATCACAATCAGCTGTTGAATTAAGTGTTTACATTGTATAATAATCCAGGCACACTTCCAAATGACGTCATTTTGGGGACTACCACTTGTGCGGGAGGGGGATGATCAATTGCGTTTTAGTAATTCCTTCAAAAGGCTTAGGCGTCAAGTTCTTTCTTTGAAATAAATGATACACCATAAGTAAATCGTTGGAACCCGGAGTCTCATATCAGATCCAGAAAATTGAAATGCCATAGGAATTAGTCTGGCACAACCACAACACAATTTATAGGGCACAACCAAAGAATACCAATTTCTATATAAATTGCTTTTTCAGACACTGATCCCTGCACATTAGAAAAACAAGAATTGCAACAACCACCGGCGTTAGCTCTTAGTTATGTTTTGAGGTGAGTGATATGTTGTCTGAATGATAATGCAATGTAATTGTGATATTATTGATTGTTCCACTATCTTTCATTACCATCATGCTCTTGCAAGAGATCCATGTTATCATGTGCAGTTACTCAGTCTTCTATGGTACATAATATTTATTTACTGTCTCCTCTTGTAATTTACTTTGGAATTCATAGAATATCCTTATTCTTACATGTGATCTTAAAGCATACTCCATATTATTGAATATTTAATATTGATGATTGTGTTTTGTTTCTAGGGCATATTCTGATGCCACTAGAAGGGAAATCGAAGCTCAAAAGAAGAAAGTTGTTATATGTCAAGTCCAGTCACTGACATCGTTCACAGAATTAAACAGATCACAGACCCCTACTAGTCCAACAGGTATGAGTAATCAGTGGGGAGGAGGAGGGGAGGCATTGCCAATTTGGCCCAAAAAATTTAGAAGAGACAAGAAGTTGTAAATAATACAATAAGATATTTCAAGTCAATATTCTAGATATTAACTTGAATTTAACAAATTAAGATGTACATTTGTTTTTTCAGATTTACTAAGTGGTACAGACACATATCAGGGTAGTGACATTGCTGAGGACAGTGATGACTCATACACTACAAGGGATGACTTTACATCTGATAGTATACTCAGGTATATAAGAAAAGATTTAGTAATGATTTAGAGAGGGCACCATGGATTAATAATTAATAGGGATTAGTGTAATACCCAGACATGCTTTGAGTCCATGGTATGCTCTAAGTTTATTGATATATTGTAGATATGTATTATTTGTTGAAATAGAATCATAATAATTATATAGATGGCAGTGTGTTTATTTTTACTTTATTATCTGGAAAGTAACATATACTTGTAAACTAAGCAGATACTGCATCATCTTTCAATCAGTCTATTGTCCTTGAAGAACTTTTTTATGTCACTACCACAGCAAGATGTGACATATTATTATAGTCTCCAACTTCTTTGCAAAATGGCTGTTGGTGTTTGATGTTTGGTGTTCGGCAGTCAGTGTCTGTAACAAATGGCAGGTGGTGACATATTGCATGTTAGTGCCTTGTCTTATGCTGGTCTGATCATTTACTTTTTCCTTTATCAGTGGTGCTATGAATAGAGAAGGAAGCAGTGACAAGCCATATATATGTCCAGTCCCAAGCTGTAAGAAGCGATACAAGAATGTCAATGGTATAAAATACCATGCCAAACATGGCCATAAGACTGATGGAAGGTATATTGATTTAATATGTTCTATTGGATTATGTCTAAATGTAGTCCTCATTCTTATTGTTTTAACAATTGGTGCAACAATTAGTTCAACGATCATGGACCAGTGTCAAAATATATTTAAGTTTGGATCATCAAGACTTACATCTATTTTTATTATCTACAAAGAAACCCCCTAGATAAACATTATTTCAGCTGATATTCCTCTTGAAACATAGTGGATCTTAAAAATATAAAAGTGGATTTCCCCTTTTTGAAGCTTTGAACTGAATTTAAACACTTCTTAATGCTGAAATTGATAGTTTATCCATACATTTTAAGAAAATTGGTATGTCAAAGAAAATGTTAAGCCAAATGTTGCCTTGATAGCTCAGAAAAAGTTAAAATTTTCTCTCTACAGGCCGTGTTGCCCCTTTAAATACTTTACTTAATTACAGCATAAAAGTTCATTTGCAATCAAGATGATGTTGTCACTCAAAGATACTGATTAGTTTTAAATCAAAATTTTATTGTTTCTTGGGTAATGATTTTTTGTTAGTAACCCTAGATGGCTGTAGATACTTCAATTCTAATAAGAACCCTATCCCTAACCCATAACTGCATAACCCTAAATAAGAATCGGAATCTCGCTCAACCATCCCTTGTTGTGTGGCATCAGTGCTCTCTTATTGTTTCTCTCCATCTCTATACATTGGAACATGATCTTTTATTTTTGTGAATGGAAAATTTAGTTTTTATAGAAGAGAACTTGTAACAGGTAACATCCTATTTGAAACCTATGAACATTACAACCTTTTATATCCCTGATAGTTGAAGAGCTCAAAATAAAACACAAGATGTCATATAACAAAGTGCTCTTATTTGATTTTTCAAATGCAGAATAAAGAAATCTTACAAATGTCGCTGTGACAAAAGTTACTGTACAGCTTTTGCTCTCCGTCAACACATGATGGCAGCCCATCCCCCCGCAGAGCTCACAACTGTCAGCCATCCAACACCACCAAAGAAACAAGTCCTGGTCAGTGATATTCCAAAAATCTCAAACATTACACGACTTGCAATAGCTGTTCCAAACTCCATGTTTTCAACTTTACCGATTGGCGATATTCCTAGCGTTGAACTACCAGGGACATCTATTGTTCAAATGGAGTGTAAGGATAACACAGAACAAAGATTTGCTCAATAGATACAATAATGCTGACACAATCTAGAATACAATAATGGAGATTGTTGACACAATGCAGGACACAGCCAGATTTGAAACACAATGCAAGAAATCGTTGTGAAATTTAGAGACACAATGAAGGGAGAAAACAATGCTTACATCACGAGGCACAATATAGGTTGAAGATTGGGTAATTTAATATACTTAATTTATATGAACTCTGGTGATTTGTTTTATACTAGATAAATTGGTGCAATAAATAGGATGCACTAGATAGTGTAGTGTACAAGATGCACTAGAAAGATTAGTGCAATGTACATGGTGCATTGAATAGATTGGTACAATTGACATGACACAGTGTGCAGTATTAAAAGAAATGTGAAAAAGATTTAGTTAAAATCATGCATGCGCCATTTAAAAAAAAATTGGGATCAGTTCATGTTGGTTCATATGTTTTTTAATGATTGGTCTGATAATCAAGGAAAAATCTTAATTTCATACTTTTGAGATGCTTTTAACTAGAGGTGTCATGAATAGCAGATTTTGTTCCGACCCCCAGAATAAACAAAACAGCATTTTCTTTCAATTTTTTTGCCACAAAGGAAGTTCACTTTTTCACTCCTTCTCATTAAAGAGTTTTGAAGGGCTTTTTGCTCCCAGATAGACCTAGTGGATCAACTTATTTTAGAATTAAAGAAATTTTGTACATGCAGTCAATTTGTTCTGAAGTGTTCTCAAATTGTTCCGTTCTGAGGCCAAGTGTTCAGAACCGAACCCTTATGATTTTTTTTATACCATGACACCTCTATTAAATTACTATTATACAGATTAAGTAATGTTTAAATACGAGGTATAGTTGTAGTTTTAATATATGTGTAACTATATCTAGCATTTGCAGTTAATTCCATGACTTTGAAAATTGCAGTAAATATGGATGATTGTTTTTAAGACCAATGGACATTTGACCAGTGAATCTCAGGCATTAAGAATAATGCCACATTTGCAGTAAATCATATATATCAGGCTATCCTATATCTCTAAATGTATTTTGTAATCATATATTTTCAAATTATGTTTAATCAAGTTATTGTTTAACGTTATACATGTATTATATATATTTAGATATTGTAGATTTATGTATATAAAAGGTAAGGATATGGCTGAATACCTGTACAACATATTTTAATGATTGACTAAAATTTGAAAATCACTTTTCATCTTCTCTCATATTATTCTCCTAGCTTTTTCCAAAAGGAAGTCACTTAATATTATGTAGCTGATCATCAGATTATGTTATTATCACCACAATTTAAAAGCCACCTAGAATATGTTTTGTTGTAGAGTTTGCTTAAAGGTGCTGTTGTTGACCTAATAAAAAATTACTGAAAAAAGATAATTTTTGTTTAATTTATTTAATGATTTACTAAGACATGCCTTCAATGTCTTAATCGAGTACACTAGACAATATAAGTTCTCCAAATGTGAAAAAAAGTAATGGCACATGGTACAAATGCTACATCTTTGATTATTTTCCTTTGTTAAATGTTGGTATTACAGATAAAGCATCTCTATGAAAAGCAGAGGTAATGGGCAACACTTGGTGATAGAATTATATATCGAGTTACAAAGCCCCCTTGAAGCCCTTAGAATAGAGATCCATGTCTAAGAGATGGACTTTGGAAGAGATATCCACTTGTAATACAGGGTGTTAAAAAAAAACGCAACCCAAAGAAATCGCTATATCTTGAAAAATACTGGTTCAATCATGTTCATATTTTCAGGAAATAAAGAAGAGACTGTGTATGTATAGCTCCTGTCAATGGTTAGTTGTAAAACATGATGACTTGGACACCTGCTCAAAAAACAGTTGTTCTAGGAAAATACGAAAAACGCAGTAAGGGGTGACTGCAACCTCAAAAAAATTAAATAACTTTCTAACCATAGTGTTTTGGCTCTTCAAATTTGGCACAAATCAACTTCATTTACTTTATGGTAAATCTGTAGAGTGAAATCAAAATCACTTCAGGGACTTCACAGTTATGGTTGAAATGCTTTCAAATCGCAGTAAAACACCCTGGTTCAGGGAGACTTAAGAAGGCATTTTGACCATGACTGTAAAGTCCCTGGAGTGATGAAACTCCACAAATTCACCACACATTGAAAGAGGATAAGTTATGCCAAATCTGAAGTGCCAAAACACCATGGTTAGAAAGTTATTTGGTTTTATTGCTGTGGCAGTCACCTGTGACTGCGTTTTCATGTTTTCCTAGAACAACTGTCATTTGAGCAGGTGTCCAAGGCATCATGTTTTACAACTTACTGACAACAGGAGTTATACATACACAGTCTCTTCTTTCTTTTCCTGAAAAAATGAACATTATTGAATTAGTATTTTCGAAGATATAGTGATTTTCCATTCGCGTTTTTTGTATTTTGCTAGTACAACTGTCTTTTGAGCAAGTGTCCAAGACATCATGTTTTACAACTAACTAACAACAGGGGCTATGCATACACAGTCTCTTCTTTCTTTCCTGAAAATATGAACGTAATCGGATGAGTATTTTCCAAGATATAGCGATTTCCTGGCTTTGTATAAAAAACCTCCTACCCACGTACCCTCGTACCCACGTACGTGGGTCCTGACCCAGTCTTTAAAGAGTTAAATTTTTAAATGTTTAAAACATTATTCAATCTCAGTTTATCCTGAATTATAGATGAATTTATGCATCCATATGCCTTTATTTATAGGTCTGACATCAAGAATAGTAGGCCCGGGATAGTAGGCAAAGCCACAGTCTATATGCAGTTATGATTCCCAAAATCATAACGTTCTGCATAAAGATTGTGGGCCTAAACAACAAAGCCAATAAATTTTGAAAAAAATTAAGTCTGCCGGACTTGAGCCTAGATTATTGGCCTTTTACATCTACTGCAGACCTAACTCAAATTACATCTAAATTACATATGGACTTACCTTAGGCATGGACCTATATCCTGTTCAATAACGTATATAAAGGCAAACTAGGAGTATAACAAATTTCCAATGTGAATATTCAGACTTCTTCCGGGAAGTTTAGGCGGCTAATAACTACACGTGCATGACGCGTGAGATTCAAACTCAATAAAACTTGGATCTGCGCATCGATCTTTGTAACGTTATTTAGATTGTCATAGATATAATTACACTTCATTTATTCAAAATTCTATATACATTATAGGTATAGGACTATTAAAAGTATGACTGACGAAAATACTAAATATATGCGCTTGGTCGAATTTGCGCCAAGCAATAGATTGGTTGTACACTGTAAGACTGCCCGATCAACAAAAAATCGCTTCGATATATCAAAAACAACACTCAAATAGCTCAAATGAACATTATGCAATGCCGGCTTTATTTTATGACGAGACAGATGTCCGATCTAGAAATAAAGGCATATGGGTACATAAATTCATCCATAATTAAGCATACATTGAGATAGAATAATGTTTAAAAAATGTTTAAGATTTAACTCTTTAAAGACTGGGTCAGGACCCACGTACGTGGATACGAGGGTACGTGGGTAGGAGGTTTTTTATACAAAGCCCGATTTCCTTGGGTTGCGTTTTTTGAACACCCTGTAAAATACTTGTGAATAAATTTTAAATGATATTTGACTGTTTACCAAGATGATACATTCTATACAATCATTAAATTAACTTATCTTTTATAATGGTAGTCCATTTCCCTACAAACTTATACAAACTTAAATTTGTCCTAATTGAAAAATATAAATTGAGTGTCATAATAGATAGTGCCTCTTTAAATCATCAGAATATAATCACTGATTGAGCATTAATCTGCCTTTTCACTCATCTTGATTTGAATCAAAGATTTGGTACAAATTTTACAATGGTTCTCACTAGCTACTTACGATGGCTTTATTATTCTATACCAGGACCATAGTAAACAGTTTTTATTCCATGGGGAGTAAGCGGGGAGTTAGTTCAACAAGTTAAACCCAATACCACGGCTTTCATTTATTAATCTGAGTGTTCTTGTTGCCGTGGTTGGGTTTAACTTCTGTGCTATGCTTTCATTGGTTGCAAATTCTCACTATCAGTTATTAATACTACGCGCATGGCCGATTCCATGCGCTGCCATTGGCCACCATTCAAATTTTTTGCATCAAGGGCCAATAGGCATGGACATTAAACCTAGGGCGGGCCACAAGATATGTCAGATAAGAAATAAGGCCCAGACTAGGTTTAACTTACCCTGTGTGCAGAGTCTAGTTAAACTACACTCTGCCTAGTAGAGACCATATTACAGTTTAGTAGCCCCGCCCCACGACGGGTACCGGTGACAGTTTGGGTAATAAATCACTTTTGACCTACGCGCTGCCCTTTCTTCCACCAATCAGCGAGCTTGAAGAAACATACGTCAAATGCGTTCTAATTAAATATGCGCATGTCATTGGTCAATTCCGGGCTCAACGATGACGTCAGAAGGAATGACCATATATAGAACGTCGGTCAAATTTGGCCGACGAACACTGATTGGCGCGGTGAGTTCACAGGTTTATTTTAGTTTGAAAGAGTGAAGACAAAGCTCTCTTTTAAGAAGCGAAGTCAAACGAATGCAAAGGGTAGGTTTAACTTGTTGAACTAGCGGGGTAAGTCACCGGCCCTCAGTCTTCTGCCCTCGGTCTTATATTCTCTATATGGATAATAAAGAGAATATAAGAGGGAGGATGCCTCACTCCCTGTTTTTTTCTAGGGCTAATTCAATAGATTGTCTTTTCTAATGAGCAGTCTGATTACTGTGAAGCTCTGTGACTGCCAGATCTTAGTACTGGACAAACATGAATACAGGAATAATGAAATTGTTTAAGTAAGCTGATTATAGATGTCAGGACGATGACTATAGAAAATGTTGAATAAGGGGATTCCCCAAACTCGTTTTCAAATCAATTATGTCACGTGATTAAACCAAAAAGAAATTTCAAAAGTTGATGAAAGAGCGTGCTCCTCAGTAAATGGTCAAAATGTTGACGAAGGGAGCATTTTTCATACTCTTGTTGATTGTAGTTGCAGCAAATAATACAAAGAAAAGGTCTAAACCACCAAACATTGTTTTCATTTTGGCTGATGACTTGGGTAAGTTGACTTGTTACTCTTGTTGTTTCACTTTATTTTTTGCACAGTGAGCACTATCATACTTGTAAAAAGGCCTAGATTTGATTTATGATTTACAGCCAAACATTAATAAAAGTGCTGATTGTGATTTTTTGTCAATTACTGATTTGATTAAAATATTGGATAATCCTATATGTACGTAATGCAAGTGTCAGTTATGGCCGTCGCCGAGGAGTCGCTACGGGTGTCATTTCACCCCCTTAAGTTTTACCTTGTATTTTTTTAAAAAAACTGAGTTATAACTATTTTTTCAAGTGAATATTTTGTTTCAAGTTCTTTTTGACACTAGGCCTTCAGTCTGGGCCTTGGCAGTGGAGCTCATGTATTTACTGTGCAAATCTGTGCAAAGCTGAGAGGGTAATGTTTTCCTAAACTCTAGTTATTAGTTAATAACTAAGTTTGCGCATGATAGCTGTTCATGACAGTGCATAATAATGAAAACATCAGGGTCTATGCATCCCAGGCAAGGATGGACAAAAAAACTAACTTCAATGTAAAAATGTCTGGAGATCTGAATGGAGCCTCAGGGAAGATCTATAGCAGGGATGAAAATTCACAAGGCATGGGTCACAATTTTTTTTGAATATCTCTACGCCTATAGGAAAAAATATAGCATGAATGTAAAAATGTCCAATTTTTTCTTAATAAATTGAATATATTTTCTACCTTGTGCAATAATTTCTAGGGTTTTCTCTGGGTCAACTATAGTCTGTCATCTTACAGTCTATTTTAACTCTACCTCAATTTAAGGTATACAGTTCACTTGTGTTTGAGTATCGGATTCTTTGATGTCTACCTATTGCATTTTATATTGAGCAAACAATTTTATTATCGCACTCACATTCGTTATCATAGATTTGAAGAATTTATAAGTCTGTGTTATTATGCAATATAATTTAACTTTGATAAAGGTCAGGGTCATATGGCACCAGAAATTATTCAACCCATTAGATCTATGCAAGACTAAAGTATAGTATTGCCAATTATTAGTTCTTGATGGCTAACCTTTTTCCTTCAACAAACTTTTGAATCAATGGAAGGCATTTCTTTGCAATATGATCAAACTACAGTTTTATTGAATACTATAACTCGCTATTAGGTACAGATTCCTTTCTGCATGACTCAAACCCAAAACAGTTTTATTTCATTATTCCACAAACTTACTCTTTGTAAGTCCATGGTTATTCTTGGCTAGAATTTGCTTTTTTAGTCTTTCTCCTTGTACATAGTGAAACCTTTGAAAATGGAACACCTCTAGAATTTCAAAATACATGTAGTGTTCCATTTCAGTGTCTCCTTACAGAGGTTTATTCTGTATTAAGTTGATGGTTAACAGGACTTTATTGTACTGCCGTAAATAGTAATTTTGTCATAAATTCAACAAAGCAACACCTAAAGAATTTGTCAGAATCTGATAGTGGTACATGTATACGTAAACATGAAATTTACTTGCCCGTAGCCAGCTTTTACCAGGAGGGGGAGCTTTTTTCAAGGGGGGAGCTTTTTCACAATTTTGGCTAAAAATCATGCGAAGAATTCTCAGAATGGTGAAAAACTGCATGATTTTGAAAGAATTTCTGGCCAGGGGTGGGGGAGCTTCCGCTCTCCCAGCTCCCCCTCTGGCTACGGGCCTGCATGTGCATGTATTACATGTATAATCCAAATAGTAGAAAAATAGCAAGAGGTACCAACATTTTTCTCTCTTTAATGAGTTGGATTAGAGACCATCCTAAGGGACCATTTACTTATTTCATGAATGAGGTTTATGATGCTGAGCACAGTAATAAATTAATGGACTTTGACAGAATTTTGTGTTTTTCCTCATGCTCCTTAGAGGTTGTCGGCTAAATCTTGGCTGCGAAACTGCAAAACATTTAAGGCAAATGTAAAAGTGATTCTGTATCATTCATTTGGAGCATCTTAGCTTTCTTAGGTATGAAATTATTTTGGTATCCAAAACACACAATGAGGCAGTTTGTGTGTCTATATTTATCTCTAATAAATTACTGTACTGTCTGGGATCCCAAAAAATTGTACCCAAATTAAAATCAAAACTTTTTTTTCCTTCATTGAAAAAGCTGACTTTTTTCATGATGAAGAGAATTCATTTTCCAATTAGCAGTTAAAGTCCCTGTATAAAGTTTAAACCATTTTGGCTTATATTGTAGTGTTATCCAATGTTATCAAAGTGTGAATTTATTTAAAACTAACTTTTAGAGGTCACATATATTTTTTTAGTAAGCCACATAAAGCAAATACAATGGGTGATGATGCTAATACAAGTTTTTCTCTAAAACCAAATTGAATTATCTTGTGAAACTTTCAGATGTTTATGATAATTATTAATTCTCTGCCAATTTTCAAAAATAATCCTCCAACACTCAAAGACTTATTACTTATTGAAGAGTTGAGTACAAATGGTAGTTTACTAAACGATTCATTAATTATAAGTAAAACATTTGATTCAACAAACAACACATTTACATGGCACTGTGTCATATTATAATAAAAATGTCTGATGAGTTAAATCTTGAAGATAAGGTAAACATAGAGAGTTCTAATAAGCTTGTTATTAAGTCAAAAAGAAATTCATAGAGAGGTATCAAGTACATATTAAAAGAATCTGCTGACATGATAAATTATCTAATAATTGGTAGAGACAGGATTCTTATTTCAAAGTAACATTTTATCTGCATTTGAAGAATGTAATCCTAATTTCTTCACTTTATTGCTATTTTACTGTTAATGAAAATTGTATGTTGGATGTACGTTTGGCCCTAAAAGGGCATCAGTACAAATAAATCCCATTATTGTTATTATTTTATGTAAATTTGAAAAATGGTTGATGGTGCTAAAAATAATTTTTTGTTGAAACTTTCAGATCTTCATGATTATTAAATTTATTAAATTATTGTCTGTTAAGACTTCCCATTTCCTTCATCATTCAGTTCACAGAGTTATTCCATATTTGTCAAGGTACATTTTTTTGGGACACCCTGTATATAGAACATTTACAAAATCTTTAGAAAATTCTCAATTGTTGACTTGAAATTCATTGTTGATGTTGGTGATAAAATTTATGACATAAAATAAAGTGAATTGACCCTTCAATTCTGAATAAAGTGAAAGTTCTTGAACCCAATGACATCACAGCCTAAGGACAAGTGTTAAACTAATTTATCATCTGATACTTCATTGTGAGTGAACATCGCTGACACTTATGTGCTTTATATTGGCTAATTAGACACTTTACAAGTAATTCATGTCTATCAACACCAGGATATTTCTTGGGGGGGGGGGGTGCAGGGGGGGGGGGTTATAGCCAGATAAATGTTAGAACACTAAGAGTTCAAGACCTTATACCTTTACAATACCTCATTTTTGTAAGATACAGGATTTTCAAGAGCATAGATTCCGAAGAAAATCATAGATTTCATAATTTCTCAGTTCAAAGTCCAGATTAGTATGTTCTCTGGCTAAATATATGTAGTCATTATAGTTCTCACAAGAGATTTAGCTGTCAAGGAACAATTGTTTCAAACTTGTAACATTATCTAAAGCTGGAGATCATTTTTCTCATGAACATGCTTTTTCTGTTTTTGAATACAGTCTCAGAGAGAGTTTGAAAATAATACTTGTATAATTATACTTGTTCCATTCGTAGATTTAGTGATGAAGAGATTGAAATTTTACCCTGAGTTCAGAGGATAGTAGTAATAATACTGTCCTCTGATTAAAGCAGTTTTACAGTTTTAGTGCTGATTTAAGACCTTTATGATTTCTAACATAATTGTAATGGCCTCATGGGAAGGGACAGATTTGTAGATGAATCTTGAAGAGAAACCTAAATGAAGGGAGCCTCACAGAGATGAGTTTTTACTTGTGAAAATCTTACTGAAGCACTAAGGAGGATTGGCTCCCAGGGTTCCAACTCGATATTCGACCTTGACCTTGATCAATGACAACATTGACAAGATCGTTATTTTCTGACAATATGACTGACTAAATTCACAGTGATCCAAAAGATTTGAACTAATATCTTGTTCGCATCTCGCATGTTTTGAATTTTTTATTTGGAAATAAGACCAAAACTCAAGATTCAAATTCTGAAGTGAAAAATGAATTTTGAATTTTGTAATCTAGTCATGACTCCATATACATGTATAGCAGAATATTGAGTCAAAACCCTGGGAGCCATTCCTCCTTGCTGCAGCACCAGTGCACTATACTGTAGATTGATGGCTTTGGCAGAGAAATTGATAAAAACCAGGTATAACAATTACCAGAAGAGGCCATAGGACCAATAGGTTAATTTGTTGAAACGATTTGTCAGACATAAATAATTTCTGACATATTCTTACAAAAGCACAACTGTTTTCACATAATCTATACCACCTTGAAAATGCTATATGGGTTTTCCTTGTGGAAAACTGTTCTATAATTGGTGTCCAGAGATTCATTAAAACATACAGCATTTGTGGGTGGGGTAGGGTTATCGATCAAATTCAGACACAGAGCAAATTAGTCTTCAAACCACATTTTAGCAAAATACTAATTTTGTAGTTCTTTGAATGAAATAAAGTTTCCAGATACTTTGAGTATATTGAATGTATTTCAATTAGGCCTTTGAAAGGTCTTGTAGACATATTTTATACATTTAAAATTACTACTCTAATGTAACGTATTAACATACGTCTTTGTTTGACAAGACATGATGTCATATTTTGGAATGTTTTTTTTTTATTGTTTTGTGTTCTCCATGACAACCATGAGTTCATTTAATGGCTCTTAAATGGATGTCATCATGACCTGAGGTAGTTGTTTTATGATGGCATTTCCCACCTATGACAGAGAAATTCATTGATTTAATCTTTAAACAGTAGCGGATCCAGGAACTGAGATTTAGGGGAGGGGCTGGGTTGGTTAGAAAGGCTTTAAGAGGTAGAGCTCCTGTATCCGTCTATAGAGACATTTAAAATCCATTTGGTGAGGTTATAGTTCTTTTTGCTTTTTATGATGACGCACAAATGTTTTTGGACCAGAGGTTATGTTATCAAATAATAGTGTCACATATTCATCTCAATTGCAAACATATATCTATTTTTTGCATCTGGAAACATCTAGCTATTTTTGCATCTGCAAACATCTAGCTATTTTTGCGTCATATGGGTGCGTATATTTCATTTAACAGCACCTCCTTACTTGATCCTCCAGTATAAAGGCAACTGCCTGGTAATGTAACAAATATTTCTCAGGAAACTAATTATGTTGGAGGAGGGATAAAAACTCAGGTTTCGTTTTAGACTGATACCAAGTGAGCCATACTATATCTTCAACATCATGATAAACCATGACATCTCATTTTTCTAAGCCACAAGATCACATTTGTAATGAAACAAGAAACAGAAAGTGATAACTATTAGAATTGATCTTCAGTGTTTGATAAAAATTAAAAATAGAAGGAGGGAAGTGTTTTTTAAATAAAAAAATTTAAATAACAATTATTATTGATATCTACTAATTTAAGAGAGTCTGAATTTTGTGAAATCATGACATTCTTCTGTCAGTTTCCTTTCAAACAAATGAGAGGAGTGTCAGAATAGCACCCCTGAGAAGAATCACAGCAAGCAAAATGGCAATAGCAGAAATCTTACATAAAATCCGACTAAAATCCCAGCAACTCTGATTCATGACCCTTATTAGTTATTATTTTCATAACATAATATTTTTCGTATCATTAATATGAGGAGGGGGAGGGCTTAGGGTTCAAGAGCATTATTGAGTCAGATTGTATCTTGACTATGCTTTTGCTTGAGATCCCCCAAGAATGGGGAAAACTGAGTAGCTGTGGTTACCTGTATCTGAGAAATGAGAATGATTATCATATCACATCAGCCCTTAACATAGGATTTGATTCTATGTTTTCAGATTAACAAAGGTAAAAGTTACAATTTTTGGTCTGAATGTACAGAGTGTCCTAAAAGTTTTTTTTACAATTACAATACAAATCTGTAAAATGTAAAGAGACTTTATAGACACCCTGTATATTGATCAATATAATTTTCTAATTAGTTGCCAGATTTCAAAGGGATAAAGTACCAGACTTCTCATACTTTGGCAGAAATGGAAAAATTACCACTTATAGATTTTTAAGATCCATCACGTTTCAAGAGGAATATCAGCTGAAATAATGTTCATCTAGGGTTTTTTTGGAGAAAATAAGAATATATGTTAGTCTTGATGAAATATCCAAACTTGAATATATCTTGACACTGGTCCATGATCGTTGAGTGGCCCCTCTGCACTAATTGTTGCACCTTTAATTAACCTTACACAGGGCCTTGAACTGTCTTGCCCTAAAGGATTAGTAACATACATGTAAAGTTATAGATATACTGATACCATACAATTGTTAATACAATCATGCTTACAATTGCTACTAAAAGTAAATAATGAAATCACCAGTCTATCAGAGAAAATTGACATTGTACCAAGACCTCAGGAAATCCTCAAGGACAATTAAGTGCCAGATATATAATTAAGAAAAATCTGGACAATGGGTCTAATTAGTATTCACATAGTTTACATGTGAATACTAATTGTTTAGTTTAATGTAGTCTCAGAGAATTAACAAGTTGAATAAAGCCTTAAACCCCCTCTTCCTCCAGCATTTAAAACTTAACCATTTTTAAAAAAATGCAGTGGTATAAAGAGGGCAATTTTTACAATAGAGATTTGTTTTAAGGTAGAAAACTTTCTTACCAACCTCCACCCTCCCCCATCCACATTGATTCTGATTGTTTTCACGACGACCTTAATTAGAATGTTATTGACACAATTGCTTGAAAAAGTGATTTGTCTCAATCTGTATTTCTAGCAATGTTAATGAATGTAATCTATACATCTTTTAGGCAGAAAAACTTTGATCTACCATTTCTTGAAAATGTTTTTTGAGAATTTTTGGGGAAAAACAAGAATTTTCATCGAGGATCAAAATTTGGCAAAATGAACAAAGTCCGAATAATTTTGAATTCTGCTGAAAACTTAGAGCCCAACCCCCTAAAAAGCCCCTCTGAAATATAAGAGCTTTTTCATTCAGGAGAAATCAGATTCATTTTAAAAGATCCTATTTTAAGGATAGTATATTCTGTTGTATATAAATGTGGTGGATTCGGAACAAACAACAAACCTAATTGTGGTTTGAGGCTACTTTCTGTAGCGTTACACCAACGGTTATTTGTAGAGGAAATACCCCTGTAAGACTTGAAAATCCCGGAAATACTTAAATCTGTGTTTCCTCAGATGAATGTGATATCATTCCCTAGTATCTTACCATCTGACTTCATCTTTCCTTTCAATTTTTCATTATGTGTTTTTTTTTGTATAACTCATGCACAAATTAAGTGGACATAATATATTGGTAATATGTCCAGTAAGATGAGGCTACTCATAGAATACAGGAGGTTGATTTTTCAGAATCTTATCTTTCTTTCCCATGTAGAAGGAATTGTATTTGATGTTTGAACTGATAAAATGACACAATGTTGAGTTGTTTTTGGTTCTTACAAGTAGATTTTAGTCCCTGTTTAAAACAGAGATCTTTGACATTAGTTACCCCCTATGTATCAGACATATACCTGATAGATATTGGCATTTACGTGGATAATGCAGTTATGTAATTGCATAAACTGCTTTCTCTGTATAAGTATATCAACCAAGGGTCAAAACCCTTATGTATCAAAAACTTCTTCACATACCAATTGATGCTGTCAGAAATGCCTAGACATTCTATTGCAGTTTTGGGTAAATATGGGCCTACACAAGAGGCTTCATTTTAAAAAAGGACTTATTTTTAAAAATGGCCCCGAATTTTCAAGTAACAGTTTGTATTCACAAAAAAACAACTACCTGTATAGTTCATAAATTTTGTTTGAATACCTCTGCATCTCTGATTTATGCCCTAACGACGTGAACTTGGATGATCCCCATTTTCAGGATACATAAAGTGCATTTGGTTATAAAAACTGTGTTAATCGTATTTTAAGTTTTTATCTTTACTTGTCAATATGCAATATTATATGCCTGACATAGAAAACAAGAAAAGAATCTGGTTTTTGTTATTGATGTAAACTTTCCCACAATCATACCCTTTTCGGGCCAATTTGATTGACAGTAGCTAACATACACTGGCATAAAATATAGATAAAATCTCTTTAAGTTTTCCGCATGCCTAGTTAAAGGAGATCTCATCTTTTAAGTAACTAATAAAGAAAACATTTTTGTAGTAAACATGTCAAAATAACTTAAATTGTATCTGAGTTGCCCTGATCTTGAACTTGGTTGTTCAGCATATCAGCTGGCCTAGAGGAGAATTCAGTATGAAATAATGAATAGGCCAATCATTTTAGTACAGGCCATGGAAAGAACAACCAATCAAAATTTAGGCACAATCAGTGGTAATTAAGTTGAACTTTTATATTAAAGTGGCAGTCAAGAATAGAGCGTGTCAAATGTTTGAAAAACTTTTTTTGAAAACATGACATATGACCCTTTCAAAGTTAAAATCCCAAATATCTAAAAAATATTGAGATATCTGATCAAATACGGAAGATATTGAAGATTGAGAGAAACGTTTTAATGTGAACATTTCAAATAAAAAACTGTGTGAAATCTCAAAATATGAAATATATGTAGATGACTAAAAAAAGCTGAAAACATTGGAAACATTACTTTACAATATATGTCTCCAAGATGATATTACCTCTGAAAATGGTTATTTTGAATGGTTTTGGCTGTTAATAAATTTTGAAATAATTTTTTGCATAATTTTTCATGAAACTAAATCTTCTGAAATGAAAAATGATAGCCCTGATGTAAAAGTTGAAACATTTTATTTTCATCAAATACCATAACAAAAATCTTAATACCTTACTAAAGCAATAAAAATGATTAATTTGGAAACTGGGTAGTTATTAATATAAATGTGTGAACAAACAAGAAAAAGTGTTGTGTTAATGTCTTGTTAAGGAACTCATATGAATGAAAACATTATTTATTTGTCAGAGTTAAAAGAGAATGTTACGGAATGGGTCACATAGAGTTTACTTTAAGTAAACAACAAAGTAAATAAATAATAGTAATCTAGTATTTGAGGTGTAATCTAGGTGTCATGTTGGAGCAGATGTAGACACATATTATCTTTTATTTCGTAAAAAGACATGTTGACGATGATCCAGGAATATAAACAAAATAACAAAACAATTAAGAACCGGATATTTACAAATTTTTTTGACAACTTATCCAGAATTATAACTAATAAATGTATTTCTGCATTTATTGTTTGAAACATTATCATTTTCAATACTATCATCTTTTTCATTTGAAACCTGTATTGAAGACTTGAACAAATCTACAATAATTTTTGAAAGTCTCAAGTGTCGACTCAGAGCAACTCCAATCTCATTCTGTTCCTGTCCTCAACTTTGTAGCATATGTGATAAGTGCATGATATTTATTTGGACTCTCAGACCAAGTTTCCAAGGTTCAATTCCCACTTTTGGATAATATTTGTATGAAAATTTTCTCACTCTTTGTGTGCTATTTTTGAATCTAAGAATCCATCTCTTTGGCAACACGTTCATTTGCGGATTCATCTAGGGGCGTGAAATAGTAAAACATTATAGTTCAAATTCTCTGTGGCAAATAGAGGTCAGCCTTAAATGTCATGCTCAACCTTCAACATCTAAAGGATCCTGTGTTGAATATACTGATAGGATCACTGACACAAGATCTAGTTTAAAAGAGACTTCATTTGAACCTTTTGGCTGAAACAGCTCAAGGTTATACATGAATACAGTGTATGTGATGTCACATGTCAAACTTGACAATTGATTTGTGCAATTTCAGTCAGTTACATTTAAGTAAACCTTTTAGGATTTCTTCTTTGTTATTAATTCTTTAACATGATGAATAATAGATCCCCAGATTTAGATGATAAAATGACAGAGTGAGGCGTCAGTACTGGTTGTGCTGAATGGAGTGATTATATGCTTACTCGCTTGTAGATCCTCGCAGTAAATATATGTCAACACTCTCAATGAAGCCCTCTTATAGGCTCTTCAAAATATAATACATTATCACTTTGCTTGGTAAAGTTGTAGTAAATAGATATTATGCTTTTTGAAAGCTTGCATCAACTCCACCCCCACGCACAAAGTAATTCACAGGGTAAGGAAATAAGATAACACTGGGACCTGGGAACACAAGATACAATAGACTATTTAAAGTCACTCAATTGATGTCGTATATATCTTGGTTTCATATATATTTAATGCAGTAAATAGCATCTTACCTTTTTGAGACTCCAAACATGCCATGTATTGCATGTCTTTGCATGTCCTAAAGTTACCCAAAATGTAAAACTGCCTCTTGTGTCTGACACTTCTATAATTTCATTTTTATGTCACCATCACAAGTGGTGACATAATGTTATGTCACCATCACAAGTGGTGACATAATGTTACAGTCTCCACCTTTTTTTGTGGATGGTGCTTGGCAGCTGGCGTTCAGTGTTTGGCATTTGGTGGTTAGTGTTTAGAGTTTGGTATATGTAACAAATGGCAGGTGGTGACATTTTGCATGTTAATAGGTTGTTTGAATTATAAAGAAATAACTAATGAAAATTAGAGTTGGCTTGCCCATTTGAAGATTTTTATCCTATTGTACCCTTAAAATTATTGACAATGTAATTGTTTGCCCATGTGAAGATTTTTATCCTATTGTACCCTTTAAAATTATTGACAATGTAATTGCTTGGCAATTTGAAAATTATTATCCTATTGAACACTTTAAAATTATTGACAATGTAATTGTTTGCCCATGTGAAGATTTTTATCCTATTGTACCCTTTAAAATTATTGACAATGTAATTGCTTGCCCATTTGAAAATTATTATCCTATTGAACACTTTAAAATTGCTGACAATGTAATTGTTTGCCCATTTGAAGATTATTATCCTATTGAACACTTTAAAATTGCTGACAATGTAATTGTTTGCCCATTTGAAGATTATTATCCTATTGAACACTTTAAAATTATTGACAATGTAATTGTTTGCCCATTTGAAGATTATTATCCTATTGAACACTTTAAAATTATTGACAATGTAATTGTTTGCCCATTTGAAGATTATTATCCTATTGAACACTTTAAAATTATTGACAATGTAATTGTTTGCCCATTTGAAGATTTTCATCCTATTGTACACTTTAAAATTATTGACAATGTAATTGCAGGCTGGAATGATGTAGGATGGCACAACGTAGATGTAAAGACCCCAAATCTTAACAAACTGGCTTACGAAGGGGTCATATTTAACTATTCATATACCCAGCCAACTTGTTCTCCGTAAGTATTCTCTCTACTTCTTGAAATAATTGTTCTTGTTAAAACACATTTATTTTTGTTCCTTCAGAATATGGTTCGAATTTTATATGGTCTTTATCTGTTCTTTTTAACCCTTTTGCTATCACGAAGAAAATTTCCCGCAAAATAAATTATTTGCATCTTGTAACTTGTTGCTAAAACACCTGAACCCCCAAGTCTCTCATAATCTCTTTGTAGTTTTAAATGTAAATGAATTCAAAGATGAGATCACAGATATATATTACTAATTATAGAGTTATTTTGTATCTTTGATTAATAGCCTCAATAAAAGACCTATCAGTCCTCAATTATATTATTGTATTTTTAAGGGTTTATAGGGGTTTGGCCTGTTATGTGTTTTCTGTTTGTGCCCTTTGTATTGTCCATCATTTATCATATATATTTAGGGTAGAAGGTATAGTAGTTATGACAAGGCAAGTCATTGGCGCAGCATCTGTTACATTCCATCTCTTAGAAGCACAGCTGTTTGTGTGAAAACTCGAGGCCATAAACTTACACCTGAATCTATAGGAATTCACAAAGTTCTAATTTATCACAATCCAACTCCAAATTATGTTGTAAAATTATTTACACTGTCAATTTTTAACTTTGGGCTGTGTTTAACTTAAAAAAATTTATAGTCATGAACTACCATCATACTGAAATATTTGCTGACTTTGCTTTGATAATTTCACTTACAATTGTTCAAAGATGAATAAATGCTTTTTTATGTTTAGTTCAGTTTGTTTAAAAGTTGTCTGAAGTTGTAGGTTTACTTGAAAGTTGCTAGGTCTTGTATCGTGTGAAAGATTGTGGTTTCTTTCAAGTGTTATGTCTGGGGCTCGTGTTATTTTAGGAGGAAAAAAGAGTTTTAGTTTTTCTTGAGTTTTATGAGTGAATCCAGCAAGGTAACATCCCAATGATTGAGTTAAATATAGTATTTGATTTTAAAGGCACAATCTGTTCATCTACTGAATCTAAGAATCTTATGAGAAAATTCCTCCTAAGGTGATAACTGTATTTGCCAAAGTGATTGAATCATTTTGTTTTTAGTATGTGATTGTTTCATTTTCAGAACAATTTATTTATTTCAAACATAGCATCAAATCCTATTATAAGGGCTGATGTGCAAAGCCACTCTACATTGGTGGGAATCATACTAACAACCACCTGATTAGATAATGCTATAATCCCAAATGCCTTATGCTCAATGCTTATGCTGCCAGTTCTCCAGTTCACCAACCCAGCTGAAACTGATAAAAATTGTGAAAGGTCGTCCAAATACCGTAAACCTGTATAAAGTAAAACACCTTTAGTACCTCTAAAAATGCTCTATTTGAGAGGTTTCTCATATACTGTATAGAGGCTCATTTAACATTAAGTCAATTGGTCAGGGGACTCTGAAATCATTCTACATTCAGAGGTGTTCCACTTACTGAGATCAGTTCCACAAACAGAGGTGTTCCACTTCACAGGTTTTACTGTATATATGAAAATTATGAGATCTTAATGACCTCAAAAGTAACTGGCATGGCCTTTCATGGGACTTGAATATAAAATAAATACCAGCTATTTCTGAAAGTATAATGTGACAACAACTCTGATTGCATCCTCCTAAGCAGGTATCCAGAATCCGTACCTCCTTTTTCCCCCTGCTATAACCAATTTGGAAGCGCCCGATTAAACTGAATAACGTGATCTAATTATGCGCAATGACTTATATATGATTTCTGTTGCAGTGTTGCGACAGCCAATCAGATTGCGAGTTCTTAATCGGGGAAATGCTAACTGCTTTATCACAGGGGGTAAAAAGAAAGAATATATTCTTGATTTTGAAGCCCTCGTGATCGGAGGATGCTCTGATTGGGTAGCTCAATTCTGTGACCTAATCTGATTGTTCAAGGCTAGATTATCTCTTATTCAGAAACGAACTCTTTAAAATGGTATATTATTACATGATTCTTGATTGTGTTCCAGGTCTCGTGCCGCTATATTGACAGGAAGATATCCTTTCATGACAGGAACACAGGTAAATTAGATTGAATCCTGACGCTGTTCATCACAATTTTCAGAAATGTCAAATTAAATCTTGCAGTAGTATTTCATTTCTGTTTCAAAGGAAATATTTAGCAATCAGAAAAAATACCTTTGACATTATATAATCGCAGGATTTTCATAACCGAAATTTACTTTAATCGGAACTTTGATTGACCTTAATTATAAAGTGATTGTATCTGATTCAGCACTTTCCAAGAGTGAGTGTAACTAGCTTTGAGGAAGGTGATACAGCTGCCTTGTCAAAATTTTTTTGAAAAGTATTTTTGGCTGAAAATATGTACTATGGAATTATACTTTTCTCTTTGGTTTAAGTTTTGCCTCACCTGTTTAGATATGCCTCACCTTTTATTGATCCTGGTTACAGGCCTGTCAACTTGGGAACACCTAACATGAGTGACTTGGAAATGTTGAACACCTCCCCTCAAAATCTGGACACCTTGGTCCAAATCTGAACACCTTGTTCCAAATTTTGAACACCTTGGTTTAAATTTTATTACATCTTGCCAAATTTTGAACACCTCAAATTTTTCGCGCTCGCAATGGAATGCGTGACATATACGTAATTCGCGTGAAAAGACCGAACTAAATGCGTACTTTTTTTTCCAGGCGTTCATATTTTTGCTGTGTAGACGATCTTTTTGGGAAATTTTTCTACAGAAACATTTTTGCTTGACAATTACCAGGTAAAATGCGTATTTGCGTGACATTTTCTGTCACGCAAAAATAACTGGCGTGACTTCAAATTCTTCAGCAAATGCGTGACAAATACGCAAATTGCGGGACAGTTGACAGGCCTGTGGTTACACTCCTGTGTAATAGCCTACTGGCAAGATATAGATATATATCCCTTGTTTATGACTATCTAGGTAGGGTTAATTAGCTCACACTGTCACTCATTAGGCGACTCTTTTCCATAAGTTATTTCGACACACACCCTCCCATTTCATACCCTGAAGCCAATAGGCAAGTAATTCATAGATGAAATATCAAACCCTGGGAGTGGGAAGGGTACCCGGTGACTGCACCATTAAGTGCAATAAAGTATTTTATGTCACAAGCGTGTAAAGCTCAACAAAAGCACCAGTCAGACCTGCCTGCTATATTTGTTTCAATAGAGAAATTGTTTTCATAGCTCAGCTCATCTGAGTCCATGAGACAAAAAAATTATCTCAAAGAAAAATATATTTGAGCCTCAACTCAGGAAAACCAATCTTATCTCAAAATTTTAATTGTGCTACAGAGCCAAAAATGTGCCCAAAAGGAAAATATCCGTCTTTTTGGTCTACATCTGCAAGGAAAAATTGTTAAGACATAAGCCATGACTCCTATTAAAGGTCTCTTTGTGCTTTTTAAGATAAACAAAAAATCAAAATGCTGAAAAATGTGTGATAAGACCCCTTTCCTGTCCGCTGGCTCATTTACTGATGCATTAAGTATCAGTAAAGCACTCGTATTCCTTTAAAATTTTCTTTTAAAATAACATGATTTCTATATGCACATGTACAGGGTGTCCCGAAAGTATGGGGCCCCCCCTAGGCAGACATATACCAGTGCCGTCATAGTATGTGTTATACATCATTTTAAAGCTCATCCAAAGTTACATTGATTCACCAAGTATCATGGTTCAACTCTCAAATGTGAAAAAATTACAGACATTTCAAAATTTAGTGTTTGGTCAAAATTAAGTTCAATGTTACACCAAATCACTAGTCAATGTGTCCTTATGGGCCATCTTAACAGCAGCAATTTTTTTCGGATCGGATGGATATTGAGTTGGAAAAGGAGAACAGTGAGGGTAGAAATTCTAAGGAAACTCTTCTAAAGTGCCTTAACAGGTTTTAAGAGGGTTATAAAATTCCACACCCCTATTTGAAGGGCTATTAAGGTCATATCTGAAAATAATTGCTGCTGTTAACATGGCCAAGGGGGGACTCATTGACTAGAAATGTGGTGTAAAATTGAACTTTATTTTGACAAAACACTAACTTTTAAAATGACTGTAACTTTTTCCCATTTGGGAGCTAAACCATGATACTTGGCAAATCAATGTAACTTTGGATAAACTTTAAAATGATACATGACACATACTATGACGACACTGGAATATGTCTGCCTAGGGGGGGCCCCATACTTTCGGGACACCCTGTATATGATATAAAGTATGTGCTAGAGAGAGATGAAGAATTCAGTTTTTCTCATCCTTTGATAATTTACTCTAAATTCCCATTGGCTAGCCACTTTACACTTTTATTACTACAGAATGATTTTATAGTTTTTTTGCAGATAAGAGTTGAACCATCTGAAACCCAACAAGTACTAATATCCTTCTATTGGGTTTGACTACTTTTTGACAGGAAAAGTACAATCATAATTTTTTTTATGTCACCACCAGAAGTGTTATATAGTGTTATGGTTGCCAACTTTTTTTGTGAACGGTGTTTGGCGGGTGGTGTTCATCTGTATCTGTAACAAATGGCATGTTGTGGCATTTTGCATGTCAATGCGTTGTTACTGCATATATCATTGTTAGATAAAGGCTAGATGAAAGAATGTAATATACAAAGTCTTGATGAAATTGAGCCTTTGCAAAGGACACATACACTTAGACTGGTTTGTTTGAAGTAAGAAAGCATATAATATGACAAAATGCATAAGTTTGCTCTACTGCATTCTTTGTTTAAACCTAAACTATATTTGCTATGTCAAAATATAATATATTAGCTGCACTGAACTATACAAGTATGAGTTTCAATGAAAGTGTATTTTACAGAGGAAAGTGTTTTGTGTTGGGGGTCTATAGAAAGGGTTGTGTTTGGGCTCCAGGTGTGTCCCTGGGGCCTATTTTGGGTTTATTTGTTGTGTGAATGTTTCAAAACATCATTCATTGAAGCCAACACATTTACATGTTTTGCAGTGCTATACTTTTACATTCAAAAGTGATTTGAAAAATCTGTTTTCAGGAAGGTTCCCCCAAGGTATGCTGCCAGGGGAGGGGGTTCTGGTTCTGGTTCTAAAATTCATTTTCACCATCTTGAGCACTTTTCAAGTAATTTTGGGCCAACATTGTCAAATATAAATTCCCTTTGGGAAAAGCTGGCTATGTGCCTGGCCCCACCCCTTATCACTTCCATATTATAGCTAGCTGCGGGATATGTGGAGGAGGGGGTCACATAGCTGGGCTTTGAACTAGAAACCTTCATATATTTGTAATTAACAGATCATTCAATGATATCACTCATTCGTCATCGCTGAAGAGGTACAATAAACTTAGTCATGCATATAGCCCTGGAAGAGTGTTTAGATATGTGCTTATTTCAATTGCTATTAGATTTCATGGTTTATATGCAGGACTTTTCATGGAGGATATATACTATCACTTTTAAGGTATAATAGACACCTATTCATCATTCTTTTAGATAAATATACTGTTGCATTTCTTCAATAACATTAACTTACATTTCTTTTAACATTCAATTTAAGTCTAACATAAATGAAATATAAACCTTTCTAATAGGCTTTTTATGATTAATTTTGACACTAAAATGTCTAAAAAACTGGCGAACCTCAATATCAATCACTTTTCAAACTTAGGCGACACTGAGTAAACATAATGCCATTGTGTGTTGTATTTCTTGAGAACATAAGGCACACAATGTATATGCAAAAAGAAATGACTTGATGTTATACCTGATCAAAGAGGGGTGATTGACTCTTTCATAACTATTATTGAATTGAATTGAATCGAAATTCAAAGCATTTATCTATTGAGTGACCTTGATCTTTAAGCATAACCTGCATACTATTTACCATGACTTTCATAGACTTATCTAGGGACACAAAATAATGAAATACCTAGATATTGATATTTGAGCTTTAGATGACCTTGACCTAGAAAGTTGACCTTGTCATTCTGTGACCTTGACAACAGTATCATTCATTATGATTCCAATTTTAAATATTTTGAGCCAATCCGACCTAGATGACCTAAAAATTGAACACATACAATATAGACTGTTTTCTCTCTTTACTGGCATCATCATTTTTAGTTGCATCACCGAATTGACATTATTTAAAATATTTTCAATGACTTAAATACCTCTCCTATTATTGGATTGGATCGTGATCAATGTTCTGGATTTTACAATATCTTTTATTGGATGTGAAACTGTTCTAAATTGATTATGGTAAGGTGAAAATAGAAAAGTGAATTTTATACTGGTTCTTGGATTCCCACTGCATTTGGACAAAGCTAAAAGTTGATTTGAAAAAAAATTTGTTTTGTATTACTCATTGTAAAAAAGTACAATTTTTTATCATTCTATTTTATATTTGGGAAAATCAAAAATTAATGTATATTTTTAATATTGAATATTTCATGTAGAAATACTGTAGACATACTTTTTTTGGAGAAAATTTAAAAATTAGTTTTCTTTATTTTATGAAATCTTAAATGCGGTGTTTGCAACATCACATTGCTACATAGTGAGTTTTTTCTGCTTTAAGATAAATGTGATAAGGTTTTCAAACTCATGTTTTGACATTTTTGTAAGATAAAGTCTCAAATGAACATGCTAGATATAGAGGTGGCAGCCAGAAAAAATGTTTGATTAAATCAAGAGGAGATCGAGTTCAGTTTAAGTTTGATATTATCATTTGTCACTTCTGGGTTGAGAATATTCCAGTGTATGATGATGCTGTCTTCTGTATATTTGTAGGGGCTAAGAAATGAGTTATGAATAACCTTGAATTATATTTTCTGGGCTATTCCAGGTATTTTTGACAAAATGAATTATGTGCAAAGCATGCCATATCTATCAAATATGAGTGGCTCAGAATGTCTAATGTTGTCAGTTTTATGGGTAGTATTTTTCCAGGGTCTCCACCGAATGGGTAATGAAACTTTAATGTTCTTTGAAATATGTACTCTGCATGACTTATGCAGTATACTGTGAAGATTCAAGTGGAATCTTGAATGTTTATTTCTCCCTAAAAATTGCTATTATACCCTAGGGATAATATAGTATGTTAAAACTCTAATTAATTTTTGAGAAGTTTTCTGTTCATGAAAAATAAGTTTTTGAGTGCTTTCAGAAATGAAATTAAAACCACAAACTTTTATTACTGTGAGAAAAAAAGCAATATCTCAAATGTCATTAGAATAAAATTAAAAGTTGTAGCTGGGCTTCAAAATAAAATGTGTAGGTGGAGTATAACTTTCAAGGTTTTTGTAAAAGAAATCATTCATTATCAATAAAACCAGAGTTTTATTAACACAATAAGTGATTGAATGAAATAAAACACAATCTCATTGTTTTCAGAATTTTACAATGTACTTTATTTGTAGTTAGAAAATGTATCCAAGAATTATCACAAATTTAATCAGGTTCATTAATGCACCTCTGGATCTTTATTCATATATCTGAGATTTGTCACTGCCCCAGAGTTAGGCAAAACTCTGATAGTCACCAGGACCGTCGAGCGAATCCCCCCCCCCCGGTCAAAAAATCTTTCAAAATCATGCAGTTTTTCACCATTCTGAGCACTTTTTAAGTGATTTTGGCCATTTTTGGACCATAATTGTCTCAAGTGAAACCCCCCTGGAATTTTTCAAAAAGTGAACGGCTTCAACCCCCCCTTGGCAAATCCTGGCTACAGACCTGGTCAGAGTCACTATAGGCAGGGTACCCCCTTCTAGAAAAGTTTAGCTCTTGTGAAGGCTGCATGTAATATTTGTTGGCCAATTCTTTTCATGTAGAAACTCTATATTTCAGAGAGGCATAATTGGTGAAGAGAAACCATATGGTCTGCCATTGAAATATGAGTTAATGTCAGACAGACTAAAGAGACTTGGATACTCAACGCATATAGTTGGCAAGTAAGAGTACTGACAAATTAAAAAAACTAAAATGCCTTGATACATTTTGATAGAAAAGTGGCAATGACTTGATAGTCAATATTTTAAAGATTTTGATTTGTGTATATTTAATATCAAAACTGTTAATTAAATAAATATACATAGTTTACCTCATATACACTTGTAGTCTAAAATTATATGCAATAAGAATTATTTTCCTATGTTCTTTATATAGATGGCACCTTGGTTACTGTAAATGGGAGTACACACCAACGTTTCGTGGATTTGACTCATTTTATGGTTTCCTGAATGGGGCCCAGGATTACTACACTCATCTCAAAGGTAATTATTTCTATTTCTATTCCTAATCATGTACCAGGTCAGTAGAAAGATGGCAGCTTGTTTTTAGACAGACAGTATCTCCTCCACCTTGCTATCTTTCTTGCAACCCAGTAACTATGATAAGAATCTGAAATTTGAGGTAAAAATGAATAAACTATCAACTGAACTCATCCACTAAAACTACTATTCTTTTTTATTTTCAATTCATTACATTATTTGTTTGTAGGAGCAGTACATTCTGAGGGGGTTGACTTTAGAAATAACAAACGAGTTGTCATAGACCAGTTTGGAGTATACTCAACAGTAAGACTTATAAATATTAAGGTTACATCCCTCCTATTTTAAAATTCGAAACATCAAAAAACCTTTATTAATTGATTGTGCGGTGAAAAGTCAAGGTTGCCAAGCACTGCTAAATATTGCCCAATGTAGAATTGGTATGTAGAATATATGTTTTCCATTTGGTCTGTTATATTATTGCAACTTACTTGTCTCTGATATACATGTATATCCAAAGGATTAAATGCACCATTACATGGTATATTATGCTTTTGTTTTATAAAACATATGTTATAGGGTGTAGCACATTGTTTAGTGACTAATAGTTAGAGGCTTGGACATTACCTTTTCAATCGAAAGTTGTATAGGGCTCTAGATGTCATATACAGTCTTAAAAGTAATTTTTGATGAGGTCTGGACCCCTGTGAATCATCCTATGCAGTCCATAACTAGCACTGTTTATACTTCAAGCATTCCCACACCAAGCGGGCGGTGAAGGTTATAAAGCACCACAACAATGAGAAGCCTTTCTTTCTCTACCTACCATTCCAGGCAGTCCACACACCACTACAGGTAACACAGTTGTGTTTTGAATGACATGTCAGTCCGCTGCACTGTACCTTTGTTTATGCAATCAAGGCAGAAGTTACCTTGGACAAAAATTTTGTTCTAAAGTTTTTTCCAAATGTATGTTCAGTTTAAGTTTGATATTATCATTTGTCACTTCTGGAGTGAGAATATTCCAGTGTTTGACGATGCTGTCTTCTGTACATTTGTAGGGGCTAAAAAATGAGTTACAAATAACATTGAATTATATTTTCAAAATTCTATATCTGTAATATGACAATGATGGCTATCTTTCATTTTACATCTATAAAGCAAGAAAACATGTTTGACAGTAATTGCTATTTTAAAAATATGTCCTGGAAAACGGTTGATGCAGAAATATTATTAAAATGAAGGAATTCAAGAGTAAATTTCAAGTTTTAGAGATGTTGCCAAGGAGGATTGGCTCCCAGAGTGCACCACCGATATTCTGTCCCATATATGGGTATGTCGTAATACAAAATTCGAATTCAAACAGCCGCCATTTTGTTCACTTCAACATTTAAATCGTGAATTTTGGTCTTATTTCCAAACGAAAAATTCCAAAACTCACAAGAAACGATCGAGATATTGGTTCGAATCTTTTGAACTGTTTATTTTGAATTTATAGTCGGTTTTAATTTCAGAAAATAACGACATTTCGACGTTTTCATTGTTGGAAAATATCGAGTTTCGATCCTGGGAGCCAATCCTCCTTGAGATGTTGCCATTTTTCTAGTTTCTCTGCTTTATATTTTCAAGAATTCTTACATTTCTGCATTTTATCAAAAGCTTCCTTATTTTTTAACACATCATAGATTTTTATTTTAATTAATATGCATATATTACTTTCTGTATTATATTTTAAATGCTTTTTTATGGCCAAAGGAATCCGAATTGTGCTATCTATTTTTTGCATGTACAATATTATTTACATATTTTTACATGTGACATGTGGTATAAAGCCTCTCTGTCAGTCTCCTCTTAGTTCCCTTCTCTTCATATTGGTGCCCTGTTTTCATAATTATACTTCGAAACAACTAAAATAGTTATATTTTACTGGATTATCAGAGTAATGGTATTTTATTCATAACTATGATATATTTATGTACCTGTTGAACCCAAATTCTGATACAAAATTCTTTGACAAAACTGCCCTTTGAAATACTACTAAAATCTCTTATTTGTAAACACAATTTAGGTTAAAAAGTTCTAAAATCAATTAATATTGGATATTCATGAATGGTTTGAAAAGTCATTTTTACTAGAAATGTATTTTTACTGAGAAATGAAGGATTGAAATTGGTCATTTTTGGCCAGAAATCAATTTTTAAATTGTGTTAGAGAGTGGCAAGATCAACTTGACCTTGCTAATTTTGTACATGCTGTCAATTTCACTTTCCAAATATGGAAGGTGTAAAAATAGAGCTGTCAATCAAATATGGAATTGAACAAGAGTAAAGAGAAAGTGAAGCTTGATATGCTGCTCTGCTTCAGCATTTCTGTCATATGTTTAAGGATATGAGGCTTGTGGAAAATATTTCCAATAAATTAAAATTATATGTGAATACAATTAATGAATTTATGAAGTTGACCAAGTTGGAAATATTAATTCTTGAATTCCAAGTTTGAATATTAGCGGAATCAATTGGTGAATGATCTTGCGTTTTCATACTAAAGTTTGTTTTTGAGTTTTTTCTTATAGTTTTATGTATTTAAAGATATTTAAGAGACAGGGCCCTTTTTCTAAAGCCCTTTTTAGAAAAATAATTGAGATTACAGAGGATACCTGTTATTTCTGCTTTTTAACACAATTTTAATAGAAAATTCCAATTCCAGACTCCTTATCTCACTATAATTCACCCATGGAGAATGGGAATTGAGCAACCAAACTTGGCACAAAGTTAGATCCTAGGATAAACTCTAATCTTTGGGCTTTGATTTTTTGTGATATCATATATTTGCCTAGCAACCACATAGCAACCGCCTAAAATAACATATTTTACAATATCAATCCACTTAATATATGCTAGGATGCTATAAGACCATGACAAAAAAAGTATTCTTATCCTAAAATACAACAATTTTAACATTTACAGGAGTGACATCACCATGTTGCATAGCAACAACATGGCAACAGGTTATAACGCCCATTTTGACATTTGCAGACCATATATGGCATATATCTATTATATGTTCACTGCTTTTTGTTTGGATCTCTTCCACATTATTTCTTAACATATAGCAAATGTATTGATGCAGTTATGTCTGACCATTTTCCCTAGCAACGGCTTGAAATAAAGGTTAAATTTGCCTAGCAACGACCTAGCAATCTTAAACTAGCAATGTTTCTCATAAGAATTTCACTATATCCACTATATGTACTTGAAGAAAATCAGTATATATGTATTTTGTAGTTTATAAAGCTTTATAGTTGCTCACTTAAAAATCTTTAGTCTCTTGTGTAAAGCTTGATGGTACATTTCTTGTCTTTCTTGTCAAATTGCGATTCATGTTTCAGTTCTGAGATAAAGTAAACACGAAATATTCATCACATTGATACTTGATACATTTTCAGCATTGATTCTCCCATAAGATAATACTTTATTTTGGTGAATTGCCTCAATTTCCTTTGCAGGTGCATAGTTCGATGCAGTAGAATGCACCACAGCATTTGCAGTTCCCTTTGTAGTCACATTTGGTGCATCCACATTTAATTATGACTTTACATGCTTTGGATATTATCCATCTGGGCACCCACAATCCTGATGCGCTCCTAAACCATCCCCATAGGCTTGTTGAAGGAAGAACTGGATCCACTATTTACCATTACCACTGCCCCCATACATGTGCTTCTTGTCAAAAGGGCACTTGTAAGATCATTACATAAGTTCCATTGCTGGGAGCAGGAACTATTATGGCACAATTAGCAGGATTACTGATGCACTCTCCTTCAATGGTTGAGACGAAGATTCTATCGTCTGCCATAATATGTCTTGTAACAGTTGCTAGTAGTGCAAAGAACTCTATCTTGTTGTCATTGTTTCTGAGAAATCCTATCCTAACACCAAACTACCAAGCAAGACTTTCTTGAAAGATAGAGCTCTTTGCACAATTCCTACATCCTTCAGCATCTCAAGTTATACATATCAAGGTTTAGTAAAACTTGAAACTTTGAAATTAATGACTTGTATGTTTCAGCAAATCCCAGATAGGATTTTAAGCTTTTTACAAGTATAACCTTGACCTAACGATTTAATCAGTAGTGTCTTGATTTAAAATCTATATACTAAAGTATTTTGAACACGTCCTGCTGGGATACATAAACCCCATATGCTGGGTTCTGTAGAATATTACTATCCAAATGTGGAAAATTAACAATGTCATGAGGCAGATACATATATGTTTTTGCATGTGTCTCATGGTGTCGGAAAAGGTTGCAGGACATTTATGATAAGATCAGTGGAAAGTAATGTTATTGTGATAGCCTTAGGCTGTGCCTCTGAGCTACAGATTGAGGTGTATGTAGCATTTTCAAAATGCAAAACGCATCGCTAGATTCCAGTTCATGATATTGCTAGAGCACTAGGACCACAAAGATCATGTGCGTTGCCAATGTTCCACGCCCATATTGGAACTGATACCATGTCTGGATTTTACCATCAGAGCAAGGTGACAGTTTTCAAGCAATGGGACTTATGTAATGATCTAGCAGGTGTCCTTTTGACTCTAGTAGATCGCCCATCAACCGTAACAACAACAGAAGTTATGGGCACAATTGAGAGGTTCATTATCCTGGTTTACCAGCCTACAAACAGTGAGACAAATCTCAATACCATGCGTAGGCACATGTTCACTCATGACAGATCGATCCCGATAGATTAACTCCAACAAGCGATGCAGCACTCTATAATGTCATGGTCCAAGGAGCACATGTATGGGGGCAATGGCACATAGTGGATCAAATTCTTCCTTCAACAAACCTATGGGGATGGTTTAGGAGCGCATCAGGATTGTGTGTACCCAGATGGACAATACTGTCGCAAGCATCCGAGGCATGTAAAGTCATAATTAAATGTGGATGCACCAAATGTGACTGCAAAGGGAACTGCAAATGCCATGGTGCATTCTACTGCACCAAAAACTATGCAATTGCAAAGGAAATTGTAGCAATTAACCCAAATAGAGTATTATCTTAGGGGTATTAATGCTGAAAATGTAACAAGGATAAATATAATGAATATATTGTGTTTACTTTATCTCAGAACTGAAACATGAATTGCAGGACTTTTGCAGTTTGATAAACATAAGACAAGAAATGTCCCATCATGCTTTACACAAGAGACTACAGGTTTTTGAGTGTGCAGCAACAAAGCTTTATCAATTAAAAGACATACATATTACATAATAGTGGATATAGTGAGATTTTTATGAGAAACATTGCTATTTTAAGCTGTTGCTAGGTCATTGCTAGGCAAATTTAAGCATTATTTTAAGCCGTTGTTAGGGAAAATGGTCAGGCATAACTGCATCATTTATGCTTAAATACAATTTCTGTATGTTAAGAAATAATGTGGAAGGGATCCAAAAGCATACAAGTGAGCATATAATAGGAACATGGTGTGCAAATGTCAAAATGGGCATTGTAACCTGTTGCCATACTGTTGCTATGCAACATGGTGATGTCACTTCTGTAAATATGTTTGAATTATTGTATTTTAGGATAAGAAGACTTTTTGTAATGGTCTTATAGCATCCTAGCATATATTAAGTGGATTTATATTGCAAAATGTGTTATTTTAGATGGTTGCTATGTGGTTGCTAGGCAAATGTATGATTTCACAAAAGATCAAACCCCTCAGATTAGAGCTTATCTTAGGCTCCAACTTTGTGCCAAGTTTGGTTGCTCAACTTCCATTCTTCATTGGTGAATTATAGTGAGATAAAGAGTTTGAAATTTGAATTTTCTGTTCACATTGTGGTAAAAAGCAGTAATAATGGGTATCCTCTGTAATCTCAATTATTTTTCTAAAAAGGGCTTTAGAAAAAAGGCCCTGTCTCTAAAATGTCTTGAAATACATGGAACAATAAGAAAAAATTCCAAAACGAACTTTAGTATGAAAACGCAAGGTCCCTATGGGGGCCTTGCACCAATTGATTCCACTATATGTAAGAAAAGGGATAAAAATGAAACAAAATCAGCAGGGATTGGGAGTCATTAAAATGGATTTTTGTGAATTTTGATAATTCAAAAAATGGCTTTGTTATATGGAAATCAAAGGTATTGAATAGAATATCACAAAATCGTTCAAAAAGTGCCTTTGGAAGTTCGAAATGGTTGCTCAGATGTGGGACTTTGTGGAATATCTATCTATAAGAACTTAATGATCACAATTCAGTTTCCATAGCTATTTCATGGAAATGTGGTTGTTAAAGTATTTTGGGATTTTTTCCTGAATCCATATACTGAATGAATGTAATTTAGATCAAAGAAATATCTATAATTTAAAAAAGGATCCACTTTGTTTGCAGGTACCCAAGCAATATACAGATCAATATGGACACATCAAGGACAACAACAGACGCATATTCTTGGGTAAGGTTAGTAGATATGGAACAACACATCATTCAGTGTCAAATGATCCTATTTCAGGTTTATTCTCAGTTTATATTACACGATATGGCATCTCTAATCCATGGACTCAGTGGAGTTGCTGTTCTGACTAGTTTATCTTTCCCGTGAAGGTTTCCTACATAGTTTTGTGTTTGAAAATCTTAATTTGACCTTGACCTATATGGACTTCTCAACCTTTATTTCAGTGATATTGAGTCTATTTTTCGAAGCAACCATATGGTAACAGTATTGAAGTATATAATTGGGAGGTGAAATCAATGATTTTTTGCCCCAAGATGTAACATATAAAGTATTTTGTTTTGTAGTTTTTGGTCTCATACATTCAATTTTCTAATTTCCTCTCTTTATTCTAGGTATGGTGAGTGCTTTGGATGAGGCTGTTGGAAACATAACCAAGGCACTTAGGAAGAACCGCATGCTAAGAGACACACTCATCGTATTTACCTCTGATGTAAGTTTTTCATCACTCACAAAGATGATTTGGATTTTGTAATTACATATGTACAGCCAATCTCTAACAGTACTGTATCAGGCCCGTAGCCAGGATTTGTCAAGGGGAGGGGGTTCGATTTTCAAAAATTTCCAGGGGGGCTCACATTTGACAATTTTGGCCCAAATATGGCTTAAATCACTTGAGAAATGCTCAAAATGGTGAAAAACTGCATGATTTTGAAAGAATTTTTGGCCAGGGGGGGGGGCTTCGCCTGAACCCTGCGAACCCCCCTGGCTACGGGCCTGTGTATGGTACCATTTTGCCCATGGTATTGTAAGGTACTCTACATGTGGTATTGAAGACAAAAACAGTATTGTGCAGTACTGTGAACACTGTACAGCACCGTACTCAAATGATACCATGCAAGGGGTTGTATGTTCGGAGGATTTGTCAAAGGAGTTGATTTCTTTATGGAAGCAGTTATATACAGTAATTGACCTGTAATTGGTGATAATCATTTGTCATTTAAAGAGCATATAATATATTTTACACTGGGACGCCATTTTTCCAGACATGGCTTATTTGTGGTTGTTACATTTCAGAATGGTGGAAATGTACATGGTGGGGGAAATAACTGGCCTTTACGTGGTGGAAAGACGACGTTGTTTGAGGGTGGAACTCGTGTGCCCACATTTGTCTGGGGAAAAATGATAAAGCGACGAAGAAGGACAACAAATGGGTGAGATTATTTTTATAATTTAGAAATAAATTACATTTTTTTTGCAAAAACAAATTCACTCAGAATCACAATCACTTCAGTCTTACTCAGTTAAATCTAAAAAACCATAGTTCTTGACCTTCAAAATGTTCTCAACTTTTATTTGTTCCTGGTATGGTGATTCCCTTATACATGTAATAGGTCAAGTTGCAAAGTAGGTCAAATTGCAAAAGTAGGTCAAATTACAAATATATCATGGATAAGTATAACCCATACAATACAATTAGTATAATAGAACATCACCGATAAAATTAGCTCATTATGCAAACAGTGTGAGTAACATCGCAAAAATCCTGGCTCAACATTTTACAAAATTTGTTGAATGCCCAGAGAAACCCATAGAACCTGGGAATCTGAAACTGACACCAATACTCTTTGGGACACTAGAAATGATACAGGATTGTACTTTTAGTTTTGAAAAATGTATAACACTAGCTAATATCACTAATTGATTTTATCTGCCTTCTTTTAGGCTCTTCCATGCTGTAGACTGGGTACCCACATTACTACATTTTGCAGGTGGTAAAACAGGTAAAAGACCTTTAGCAACTTCACGGATGGTGTCCCATATTGTCAAAAGTTGTGGAGGAATATTAAGTCAGTTTACTCAAGAGATGAGTAAATGAAGATTTTGTCAGTGAAAAATGTTTAAAACGAGATTTAAGTAAATGCAAATGAACATTTTCAAAAATTCATTTTGTGAAGGGAGGGGTTTAAATCATACCAAAATAAATTTCATTTTTCCATAAATATCAGTATTTGTATTTATTATATCACTGTCATATTCCTCACTCTCCTATTGGTCCATGTCCTACACGTGACTAAAAAGTAACTAGCGATATTCAACGGAAGTCATGTGACTTCCGGTGAATATCAAATGATATTCAACGGTCATGAATGGACATTTGAAAAACATCCCCAACCCTGTTTCCCACATGGCCAATACTATGAGTATGAACGCAATGGTTCCTTTTCATTGACCCATTGCAATGTTACAATTAATTATAATGTTAACATGACACCTTAAATTAAAATACTACACTTAGGGAGTTGATATTTATTGACTATACAATTTGGTAGTTGATATTTATTGTATTTATTGTTATACTGTTAGAAGAAATATAAATGTATTTCAATTTTAACATATGACTTATTTAATTATAGAAGATGGTATGACAGTGATATAATAAAACAAATATTTAATTCTCTTTTCGGTGAATACCTGTGACACTTTCACAGGATGATATTCCACTAGCCCTTTGGGCTTCGTGGAATATCACTTGTGAAAGATGCACAGGTATTCACCTCAATAGAATTAAATATTTGTATAGTATCCCTTTAGAAATGTGAACATGCTGTAAATATTTTCCCAAGAATTCATGTTACCATCAGAAGTAGCAACATATTGTAAAAGTCTCCAACTTTTTTTGTGGCTGGTGTTTAGCGGTTGGTGTTCGGCATCTGTAACAGCATTTGGTGTTTGGTGTCTGTAACAAATGGCAAGTTGTGACATTTGCATATGCATATTCTAAGATGTGATGGCTTTTTTATTCATCATTTGATTTATCCATGAAACAGTTCTTGAACATTCCTATTGCAGAGAAAGAGCTTGATGGAGTGAATCAATGGAGCATGATAAACCAAAACAAGGCGTCAAATCGTAAAGAAATGGTTTACACTATCAATGAGGTTACAAAGGTTGCAGCCATAAGGTAATGGACAATCTTTTTATTCAGGTCCCACTTTGAAAACATTGAATATGTAACAGGAACTGACTGTGACTTTTTTCTTGTCATCAATTTTTATCATGTATAACACCTCCTGAACTCCAAAATACAAATGTTTAGGGAATCATGGATTATAAGATTTTCCTATTGATTTCCATGTTATGATAATGTATGTGATACTCTCCCCTCCAAATCCCCCTATTTAACCTACCTTCTGTAAATATTATTATTCTAGGATTGGTAAATACAAGCTGATAGAGGGTTTCCCTGGACGTTACAGAAGCTGGTATCCTCCTCCTCACTCCCCCATGAAATACTGGAAGAGTGTTTATTATAACCTGTTTTATGTTAGACACAACCATAGAAGAATATGGCTCTATAATGTTAAAGGTCAGTACAACTTATAATATGTATTATCTTGTGCTTTCATATGTACATATTCGCATAGGAAATCCCTATTAATGTGGGCTAAATAGAACAATATATCATCACTTGGTGGAGACCTAAGCTAAAAAAAGTATATCAACGTTGATGTTTTCCAGATGATCCGCAGGAAACTACAGACTTATCAAGAAAACTTTATTGGGTGGTTAAACGACTACGTAAGAAGTTGCGGGACTACAAGAAAGGACTTGTTCCTGCAATAGTGGCCAAATCAAGCCCCAAATCTAACCCAATATTCTGGGGAGGAGCCTGGAGCCCAGGGTGGTGTTGATGAAGGGACAAATTTATTTATTAATCCAGTGATGTATAGTAATGTAATTCAGTGATTTAAAAGGGCTTGTATGTACAGAACAGTACCAATTTTGAATTATATAAAATAACCAGTCTATCTCATCATCATTAAAGGACCAGGTAGAGTACTCTTCAGCGGCACACAATTTTTGACAGCAAATAATTTCTGTACAAATGTTACACATTCTACTAGCAACTAGACTGAAATGATGGATCTGATTAATATATTTCTAATCCTAGAACCGTCCAACAGTTTTAAAGTTGTGGCCTATTATTTTTGAAAACTCATATTCAATGCTACCACCTCCTTTTGTTTTATACGAATAATCCCTGAAAGAAGAAAACAACTTAAAATGCCAAAGGTATTTTGATTCTCATTTGGGATTTCTATATTAGTCAAATAAAGGCTGTGTAGGCTATTAAATGCTACCTGGCCCTTTTATAAAATATAAAATTGTTACTTCAAATATCAATTATATTCATACAAGTACATGCACATACTGTAAAAAAAGTATGCATTATACTATATTATCTATATATGAGCTTGATTATCCCAACGAATGAAGTTTGGAGGGGATATACTGTAGTGAAGGGTGCTGTCTTTTGAGAAAAGGATTGTACTGGATCCATAAATCTGAATTTTGCATTAATATTGAGAAATCTAGAAGATAAATCATAATTGTCATTCATTATTATCAAATTGAAAGTATTTTTAGACTAAATTACAAATATTAATCAGTTCACAGGGGCTGTTCAAATGCAAGAAATTGGACTTATACATTCCAATGAAAGGTGTTGAAGAGTATATTTACATTTCTGGAAAATCTTTGGGAAAACATTACGGTATGTAATATTACATATGTTCGTTGGGATTTGCTACTTCGTGGAGTTGCCATTTTCTAATTATACAAATATTTATCAATATTATATGACACAATGCAATGTAAATACATTTTATGGAGTACTGTATACCAGTGATTGAATTTTTATTTATAATATGTATTTAATATGCTGTATGGATTTATTATAAAAATTTACAAAAGTTATATATACAATTGCATTTACTTCTTCATAGCGAATTGTGCTTTACTTGTACCGTGTCACAATTAGCTGATTTCAAATAATGTACTAATATATTAGTGTTAGATGTACGAGTATAACTATAGTCAATTTTCATTTATCAAAGACCCAGTTTACATTGGGAATATTGTTTAAAAATATGATATACTGCAGTTAGAACCATTAATATTTCCTCAATACAATGTTTTATTTTATATTTTCTTGAAACTTGCATGATCATCCTTTAAAAAAAAGTTTTCTTCATAATTTACAAAAATCAGGCTACTACAGCATGCATGGCCTGTGAACCCATATATGAGTGACCTGTGAACCCATATATGAGTGACCTGTGAACCCATATATGAGTGGCCTGTGAACCCATAGCATATAAGTTAGTGATAGCTTTGTAAAACTTATGTTAAAATTTTTTGTCAAATATTCAAATATTCTTACTAGAGTAATGATAGCTGGCTTAACAGAACCTAGAAAAACTTGGAAGAAAAATTTCAAAATTGCTCACGAATTTGCCAAAATTGTCATACATTGTACATTAGAGAATCTTGAAATTGCTAAATAAATCACAGAATATCAAGACAATTTCTGCCAAGTTAAAAGTACTGGTTGTTGAAAATTGTAAATGTAGCTTACAGTTACTTCAGCATTTTGTAGTTACTTTGTTTAGATTCAACATATAGGTTTGTATATGCTCAACTAATTGTCATAATTGTAGCAGTAAACTCCCATCATTCTGTTAATACATGCATGCACTTTGATAGATAGACCAACAAATAAATTATGCTTTGAGAGTATGTTCAGTATTTTGTCATTTTTAAGGAGACAGGAAGAAGCACTATTTCACCAAAACACATCTTAATTTTTTACTCCTGTCAGATTTCCAAAGTATTTTGATTTTCCTAAAAGTTTACTGAACTTTCATTTTGATGATTCTTTTTAGATTTCATGGTTATATAAGCATTCAATAGCTCGCAGAACTTCTAATTTAATGGTAAAGGATTTCTATAAAACAGAGAGGACATGGGAAATAGAGATGGGAAATAAACAATAGGGATAGACATAACATGATTGTGTATATGATGTTACATGTACATGAGTAGTAGTGACACAAAAGTTAATGGACACCTACCAGGCAATCAAAAAAGGCTTAATTAGACTATAATGTATAAAATCCATTTTGGGTAACATTTTTGAAGATGTAGATTGGAAATATGACAAATTGCATTTTTAGTATGACATCTATATATTGCCCTGGTCCCTTAGTGACTAATCTGAATAACTATATGTTTTTAATTTTATATAAATAAGACATTTTTATTTACATTTCTCATTTTCTACATATTAGTACATTTAATAGCTAAGTAATCTTGGTGAATTCAATTTACAATTTTAATGGTCACAGAGAAAGACTGGTGTATGTGTTGACCCAATATTAAATATATGTAAAATCAATTAATATTAATAAATATACTGAAATAAAAATAAATACATGTAATATTACAGAGTTATTCAATAAATAATTGAGATGTGTTCTCCATTATGTATAGACCTATATTATAGAATATCAGGCATCCAACCTATGAGTATGGACTTTTGAACTATTTTTGCTCAAGTTTCTCACTAACAGGCCCATGGGCATTTATTTGAAAGAGGAATTTATCAAAATTCTAAAAACTTCTTAAATGTGCTTTCAACTAAATACCAAATGAGCTAAATTGAATAATATGCTCCGAATCATATGGCTATTAGGGACCTTTTAATACACCGTTTTCATTTTCTTTTGAGAACATGATGGAGTTTCAACAATAATGAGATGAAAATGTACGATAAATGCAATAATGTGGTAAACAATAAAAGACAAGGCATTAACATGCAAAATGTCACCACCTGCTATTTGTAACCAACACTGACCGCCAAACACCAAATGCCAAACACTGTCAACAAGAAAGTTGGAGACTATAGCAATATGTAACCACTTTGGGTGGTGACATAAACATGCTTTTAAAATGCAATACAATGGAATAAATGCAACTAAAAATCCAAAGGAATTTATAATATCAATATGTAAGTAGAGCTCAACTTGCAGTACTCCCTCATTATCTAACATGGATGTTAGATAAAATCAAATCTTATCATTGTCTAGGCCTAGAGAGTATCATTCACTGCCAGCCTTTGGACCCCATGGCCTCTTAACATTCTTGATGCAAGAAAATTGATAACACAGCAATTCCACACAAATGTCCTCAGAATAATGGCATAAATACTAAAACAACATCCATTTGCTATCTTTCAATAGAAATGTTCTCTCCAATTATATGAAATGTTAATTTGTGGGATACTGTGAAGGTCTCTTTAAGTGTATTGTAAATCTGAAAATAGAATTCTACAATGAATATCTCCAGTAGTCAGTGGACTGTTTAAGCTATACAGAGAAAATCTATAATATTGCTACATTCACGTACCGAAATCTTTCATCGCTATGTTGGGGAGAACTTGAATTATGAAGAGATAACCGTAATGTCTTTATACTGTGTTTTAATTTCTGAGCTATTACTTTGAAGATAAATTAGAGCATGGGCTTCAATTCTAGTTGAAAGGCCATGATTAGAGGTAACATTTAGAGATAGCTCAATAAGTATTGGGAAAATGTTTTTTTCACGTCTAAATTAGTTGTTTTGTTTTTTTCATGTCTAAATTAGTTGCTTTATTTTGTGGGTCATACATACCTTTATTGCATTGTTACAGTCACAATACACCCAGATATCCTGGTTTTCCTGGAAGGAAAATAACACAATTTTATAAAGTTCATTATTCCTTAAAAAACATTTTTTAAGAACCTTGAAAGGTGTCCTTTGTTTGATGTTTTCATCTTTATGCTTCTAAAGGTGGCCTCTCAATATTTAGCTAGATCAAGATTCTATGGTGGTAGTTAAAAGGTGATTTTGTTAACTTGAATGTTAAGATTATTTATAGAGAATCTTTTTTTAATTAAAAAAAACTTAAAAACAGGTTTGTGTGAACAATGGGCAATGGGTATAGTAGAGACATATAAAATGTTTTATATGTCTCTGGGTATAGCTATGGGTCAGGCCTTGCCAAAATTTTGCAGAATAGTTTTTGAACCATGAATATTCATGATATTACATGTAGGTGTACTCACTCTAAGGCAAGCATTACAGTGAGGGAGAAGCCCCTTAGTGATCATTACACACACTTCACTCCATATATTGGCCCCTCTATCTGGATTACCTGAAGAAAACAGAGATATTATAACATGGATGAAAATATAAGGTAAAAACTTACTGAACGTTATCATTTTATACATCATTTTTAAAATTCATGTCCTATAGAAGTATAATATCATATTAAGCCAAAATGTTGCTGCTTGAATCACATGTAATTTCATGCACAGCCCATGGTGCTATGTAACCACAAAACCCTTTGAACATTCAAAACATCTCTGTAAAGGTCTCATATTACTGTACAGTACACTGTGGTACATATCTTACCTATGTTGTCTAATGAGAAGATCCACTTGCCCCGCTGAAGTGGAGATATTTTCAGATGTGATATGTGTTGTGCTAAGTCTTGATGTGTCCACTTGGTTAGGTCCCATGTATCACACACTGCTGGACATTGGCTCCATTGCACCTATGAAGAATGAGTAGAAGGGGGAAACAATACATAGTGATAAATACAATTGTTTCTGAAACTCTGCTGAAGTTGGATTATTTAATTTGGCAACATTTCATCTATAGACTTTTCAAAGTTGGATAATTGAGGAATTATGGTCATGTGGTACAATAAAAAATGAAGATTCTCACTTAAGTTATAATGTGGTGCTTGATCTTGAAGGCACTACTCTCTGCTCCGTGCTCTCCGAGATAAAAACTGAATTAGCTCTGTATTATTTTTACCTTTTTGGTCTTGTTTGTTGAGTTTGGTTCTTCTTTTATCATGTTTCGCTTCCTTTGACTAGTTGCAGCTAGTTTCATGAGCAATGTTTCAGCAATGTTCTTGGACCTTGGTATACCTTTAGTCTTCCTCGGCACTAGAACACCTTTGGAAGGTGGAGTCCATGGCTTTTTAAAAACTGATTTTGCTGGGAGTCTGAAGTCCAGAGACGTGACATTGATTTTGGTTGGCTCATCAGGTTCTGAGACCTCAATGTCATCAACGAAATTTTCCTTGATTGTCGATGTGACAGATGTCACACTGAGACATTGAGTCATCGTTCAAGTTGTGTTACTGCATTGTCAAATACATTTAGAATTGAGCATTTTCAAGGATATCATGATATCATCATGATGTCTTCATCGGTATTAAACAGCAGTAAACACTATGGAGTATACTTAGTCCCTCAGACACGGTGCTCCTACATCTGTAACATTGTCAGTAAAACATTTGGTGTTTGATACTTTAACATGCTTGAATTTCTGGTAAATCTGCAACATAAAAATAAAATTCACTTAAGAGCACTTGAAAATTTGCCAAAACAAAAAGACAGGTACGTTATTGCAAGCTTTTTTAGACAGCTCTTACTTAGTTCTAATAATTAGTTGACCACAAAAACAAATGTGTTTGTTTGGCCAATATGTTATATTCAATAAGGGGCAATAGAATGAAAATAAAGTCGATTGGATTATCTCTGTCATTAATCCACCCATCATCACCAATTTTCACAAAAATGCAGCAATTTATTCCAATTTTGACTAAATTGAAAAAAAATTCGAACCAAATGCGTGACCATGGGCTTTCAACCAGTTGTCTAATTGAAAGCCCATGGCTTGACATATAAGGAATTCGCGTGAAAAGTCTGAATGCCTTCGCTTTTTTTTAGCATTCAATTTTTATGTATAGGCTATCATTTTTTGAAGTTCTTCTACACAAATATTTTAGCTTGACAATTATCAGGTAAAATGCATCACGCAAAAAAAAGCTGGCGTGACTTCAATTTCTTCAGTAAATGCGTGACAAATATGCAAATTGTTGGACAATTGGACGGCCTGGAATATCTGTCTTAGTGAGAATTTCTGAAAACCTGCATTTGTGTAGTAATTGACGTTTGAAACAAGTGATTTGATTGGTTTCTGCCAACCGCCTTTAGGTGACACTTTCAACTTGACCCTACGCCCCACAAATGTGTGCTCGGTTTGCGTTTTTCTAACTTTTGGCGGCAAACCACAGTCCGGCTTGTTAACCTATCTTTTTAGATTCAGCTTGCCAGTACTTTTCCCAAGGCTTATGGTCAGTTCAATTGAGATTTTCAGACTTCAAAAATCTATTCCAAAAAATATTGAAAAAAAATATTTACTTGCCTAAAATCCGTATATATGGTGGCTTTATGACGTAAATAACACGATTTTTGTATGTTATAGGTTTTATTGATTATGAATAATCTCAAACAAGCGTAATATAGCTTTTCATAACGTCATTATTGTTTAAATTTGCTGCCGCCAAAATTTAAATTTTTTATTTTCGCCTATTATCGCCCATGTATTTATTACCTTCTTCACAGGAGAGTTTCACACAAAAATTTTAAAAACTTTGAAGGACTTTGTTCAATATCTACGGTAGTGACTTACTAAACCATTTTAAGGACATGTAGCCTGAAAAATATGTAAGAGTTTTACTTATTCTATTATGGAATTTTCAGTTTTGTTTCATGTGGGCTAGATATACTTGGTTTTTAGCTTTAGACTCACAGTCAGAGAGAATGTTCTGGCGAAAGGAGATTCTGGGATTCCAAATTCTTGTTATTGATATAATTCCAGTTCGAAGAACGTATTTGATGTCCGAGTTTAGACTACATTTTTCTCAAAATCGTTGAGAATGATTTATCTATAAACAAGTGCAAGTTTCAAAGTGATATCACTGAAATATCTGTAGCCTGAGATGTTTTGCATGATGCCTTTACAGAAAGCCAAAACTAAAAGCCAAGTCTATTTATCATCTCAGTTTACCATTCCCTGGCACACAAGGGCTTGCCCGATGCCTCGAGACAACTGCCCTGTCAACCCTCACGCATAAGCCGTGATTGTCACGCATTTGCTGGAAAAATAGAAATCAAATATCACGCAAATCATGCATTTTGTTGAAATTTTAAAAATCGTTTTTTGTGGAATGCCGACACGGTAAAATACCGAATGGCGAAAAAAAGCGAACGCATTCCGTTCGGTCTTTGCACGCGATTGCCGTTTATGTCACGCATTTGTTACAAAATATGTGTATAAATCACGCATTTGTTTCGAAAATATTCACACCTACCCCCCCCCCCCCTGAGACAAGCCCCTGTGGCAGATCCCTTATCTCAATTTTAGGGCTGTCATTTCGTTTGTACTCTGTATTTTCTAATCAGGTTCAGTATCAAGGGCTATCACTTCATTTAGTCAATCAAACTGCTAAATTTTTCAATTGACCAATCACAAATCCAGTAATTTGGCCCTCATGGCCCCTAAGCAACATGTCTCGACATATTTCATATGAGCATGGGCATTCAATAGAAGGGTATGAAACTCTGTGTTAGATTATAACATGAGAACTTCAAAATGATTGGTGGCATGCTTTCTTTTTTTGGTAATATTTCGAAAAGAGATTTTGATTAAAGTATATGTTATAGCATTATCTTGAAGAAAAAACAAGACAAGGCTTGAAATATGGGAAAAAAAGTGGGCCCAAATTGTTATACATATTCCCAGGGCCTAGGGAATGTAAGGTAGCTTTGAAGATATCAATACACCCATTTGTCACATCTCAAACTAGAATGATGGACTGTAATTGGTCAGATCATGTCACATAACCCAGGCCTGTCAACTGTCCCGCAATTTGCGTATTTGTCACGCATTTGCTGAAGAATTTGAAGTCACGCCAGTTATTTTTGCGTGACAGAAAATGTCACGCAAATACGCATTTTACCTGGTAATTGTCAAGCAAAAATATTTCTGTAGAAAAATTTCTAAAAAAGATCGTCTACACAGCAAAAATACGAACGCGGGAAAAAAATGTACGCATTTCGTTCGGATTTTTCACGCGAATTACGTATATGTCACGCATTCCGTTCGAAATTTTTCGTACCTACCCCCCCCCCCCCCCCCCCCCCCCCCCCCCCGTTGACGGATGTTTGAAACGCGAGCGTAGCGATCGCGAAAAATTTGAGGTGTTCAAAATTTGGCAAGATGTAATAAAATTTAAACCAAGGTGTTCAAAATTTGGATCAAGGTGTCCAGATTTGGACCAAGGTGTCCACATTTTGAGGGGAGGTGTTCAACATTTCCAAGTCACTCATGTTAGGTGTTCCCAAGTTGACAGGCCTGCATAACCATTTAATAATTTAAAGTTCTGGATGTCCCATGTGATATTGTTGAAATACCCGGGTGAACCATGCGATAATGTCTAGGTGCCCGGATGAGTTATGTGATATTTTATAGATGATGCGTTCGTTTTCGTTATCGTGGCGTCATATAACAATCTTTCCACTGAATTTGTGTAATATGATGCGATCATTTGTGACGTCACAAATGTATCACCCCAGTGACAACTAAACAAACAAATGCCTAGACCTCACTGAGTTCATGACATCACAGACACGTTTCTTTTGCAGCAAATAATCCTGCAAATAATCAAGCATGTGTTTTTCCGCTAGCTCTAACTTCGGCTATTTTTTTTATTTCCAGTAGATCAGAATTTATGAAACAATTTGACCAATCAAAATCTAATGTAGGGCATGATAATAAGAGCCTGGACTTGGCTTTTTGAAAAAATAAATGTGTAGTTTACTGTATTGTTTTGTTGAATATGAATAGAAAAAGATGCATGTTGTTCAGAATTAAATTTTTTTTTTATATGTTTTAGTGTGATAAACGCATTATTACATGATGAGTGTGATATATCAATTGTTACACCCCCTGGGGTGTCTTTATCATTATTATGTAAATATGTTAATATGATTTTAATAAATAAATAAAAAAAAATTATCACCACTCGGAAAAAATATCACACTCGGCTCTACTACCTTGTACGATATTTTATCCCTCGAGATGATATTTCGATATACCTGAATATCATACATGTTTGATTTATGAATGAAGATGGATACAATTAGCAGTTACATGTAGTCGAAGACCATCCATATCTCTTTTTTCAGTGGAAATGTTGATGCCAGGGACCTTCCTTGACGCCAGATGGGCAGAAACACAAGAGGGAAGAGAAGTTCTTGCAACACTGACAAATAAAACAACACAACAGAGAAAAACATTTGGTAATAATTGTTTTTTGTAAGGGTGCTATAGTAATGTCTAGATCACTAGTATAAGGGGGCATAAGGTACCCAGGGCAAGAACAAAGGAAAGACGGTCCCATCCGATTCATCGCATGAATCCCATTTACACTGTAGTTCACTTAAATTAATGATTGGTATCCAATGTCAAGCATGTTTTAAACCTAGAACACCTAAAAGTCTAGGTATGGGGTAGAATTCTGTAAATATAACTTTTGAATATGACAAGGTCTCAGTTTTTCCGACTCATTTGTATATCTATTTTGCAGGACTTCTAGAACGTCCAAGTTTTCCTCCACAGGCAGCTCCTGACCTCTTCCAGTACAAGATATTTGTAGCAGGGAAATCAGGTGTTGGCAAGTCAAGTATGGTTGCAAATCTGACAGGGCATCCAGTGTCCCGATCCCATATAGAAACTGCTGGTGAGGAATTTTTTGATACATTGGTACTAATTTACTACTTGCAGTTATCTCTCTAGCAATGAAGCAAGGGGTGCTGCACCCATTTAAAATTTTGAAATTCTGCTTGCACCCACTTAAAAAATGATAAAAATCATTGGTCAAAATTGTGACAGTATATTGTACGGGTTGTACATGCATTTGTATTGTAGGTATCTGAGCCTACACATACCTACACTATATTATGTAGAAACTAGTTATATTGCAGGTATACAAGATTGTAATTCTTTGCAGGTATTCAGACCTACACAGTGTATTGGCCAGCAAAGCTTATAGAAATAGACAAAGTCATCATGTTTCAACTTCAGTTCTGGGATGCAGGAGAAAATGCAATCAAAAAGTTTGACCACATCTTACCTGTAAGTAAAAGGTCTATTTTATTACATTTTTATTTTTTTTTATTTATTTATTTAATTTTTTAAATTTTTTTATAACATTGTCAAACGGTGCTTTGGTTCTAATTCAAAGGCCTAGACTAAAACAAGGCCCATTTGGGTGTCATTGTCCCCAATTAGAATTAGACATTAACTCGTGTACTCTTAGATGTTTTCTTTTTCTTGCTGTCAGTATCAAAATGTTATACTAAATACGGAAAGAATTGGTCTGGCAAGGAATATCATTTTAAGCCCTCAAAATATGGCATATATTATTCATTATGTAAGATACAGATTACTAGCTGCCATACCCAATATTCATTTTTCAAGCTAAAACATGTAGGTCCCCAAAAAAGTAATAAAGTGTACAAGAGTTAAAAATAAGGTATTGGAAACCTTGACACTGATGGACCTTCAACTGACTCTTTCCTCACCAGATGAAATACATGTAGAACCAGAGGCTGGATGTGTTAGACTCCACAGGTACTATCCAGACCAAATCAAACTATGATACTGCACCAAGGTCACAGTATCATATCATACCTAATAAGAGTGGCTACACATGTGCAAGTGAAGTCCAGCTATGATCCATTGATCCCACACAAGCTAATTCACAGTATTATGGGGTCTGGCTTTAAATAGCATCCATGGCCTTTTTACAGTAAAAAGTATAATGTTTTATGGTGTCTGTTTCAGGCATGTAAAGACCGCAATGATGCAGTTCTCTTGACATTCTCTTTCACAGACAAGTCCAGTTTTCAGGATCTCCCGCAGTTAATCAACAGGGTCACTGATGGCCAGGAAAATGTTTGCAAGATAGCAGTTGGAACAAAGTATCCTTTAAATTATACACATTGCTGGTATTCATGAGGTGGGGCAAAATTGATGCATATTTAATTTTGGTTTGAGAATTATTCTAGGCAAAATAAAAATGCTTTTGTGCAGTTCTACTGCTAATGTTATTTGTCATTGTTGAATGTTTCTCAATGAGAATTCATCTGTTTTATTCAGTCATCAGTGGTAAAAGGTGACATTTAAAAAGAATCATGTATAGTTTGAAATATGTACATTTGAACGTATGTATTTAAAGAAATTAAAAAAATATCACAGAGATCAAAATTTCTAGAACTACTTTTCCAAATCTTTATCTTTTATATTCAGAAATTAATCTTAGGTTAAATCAGAGTGAAAAGCATTTATAAAAAATCCTTAACTTGTGATATATTTGACCAATATGCTCAAGGAGAAATCTCACAACTGAATATCAGGGACTTTGAACAAAACTTTAAAATTCCCGTTCTAAGGACTCAAAACATTCCCCGCACAGAAAGCGGATATAATAACCTGAAAGAGGTGACACCTATATTGAACAGCATATGTGAACACTTATGGCACAGAGACCAGATACTGGCTGGAAGGCTTGAACCAACTGATGCTAGGGCATCATATATATAAAGGACCGGTGCATGGATGATGGAGCCAAGTCATACTTGAGCATTCTGTACAGTGTAATTTGGCGGACTTGCAATATTGAATTTGGCAAACTTGAGATGTACTTTGAGCCCAATTTTATCCTTGTTGCTATCTGTTGACTTTCGATTGACGTTCAAATTGTCATTGGTTCTTTTATAGTTGAAAATAGACATATTGTTGTTGCTTTTGTTCAAAAGTGATGAATTTGAACAAATTTTGAAAGATATTATTCAGCCAGAAAATGTGTTAAAGGACAAGTCTCGGTTTGGAGAACAGTCTCCTGGGCTAATAAATTTTTTCATGAAAAATATAGAAAAATCACCTAAATTAGATTATGGATATTCAAAAGAGGATATTTAAATCTACAATATGTAAAAATATCAAAATTGTCCAAAGCAGGCGTAACGCACAGTAGACTGATGAACTTCGTTCTCCAAACAGAGAGTCTTTTTGTACAATTCCCGGGAATTTAAGAATTGGACTTTGTGGCAACTTAATCTGGTTGACTTTACAAAACAGCCGCAAAATTAAGTAGAAGTACAGTAGATGATAGCAAATCTGTATCCTACCATATTAATTATGATATCTCAAATAAGAGCCATGGCATAATATACTTTGAAATTAAAAATGTAAAATTATGAATCTGTTTATGTGACTTCTCCAAGATCAAGGCAACTGATATTATTCATTCTGATGTTCATAGCATCTCTCTTTGCATCGCAGATGGGCAGATATAGAGAGGGCGTGGCTTACCACGACGGATAATACTCCCTTTAATATAATGTAATATGAGTACAAACCCAATTACATAGCTCTCCTGATTGGACATCAATAAATTGTTAATAGTTCATGTGAAGAGCATAAAACTTGCTATTTACTTTACATGCTCCATGTTTCAGTCTGTTTTATGATGGGATAGACTATAATAAATCACAGATTGAGGCCATATAAGTCAAATTTACTTTATCATCCTAATGAATCCAATAAAAGACCATTTCTATGATGTACAACTTTTAAGGTCAGTTGTGACTCGTGTTATCATATAGATTGATTTTTTACTGGCAGTCTTTGTACTTTTGAAGAGTAAATTACTTATAAATTACTGATTTAATATTACCTCATTTTTCAACCCAATTAAATAACCTATTTTTTGATCTGAAATGTGCACAATGAAAGCTAACATGCAAGATTAAGCTGTAGATTATATTGATATTGTGTTTGTTATTGTTTATAAAAAGATAGGAATGTAAAAGCCTAGTACAACTTGTACAGCATAACACTGAAATGTGGTTTTACAAGAAAAAATATGGGTATCTATACATACCCTTGTTGTACATAGTTACCGATAATGGACTGGAAGGGTGCTAAAGTATAACCATGGGGGTACCAACAGTTAATTTTTAAACTTAAAAATTACCCATATCTTGATCAATATCGACTTTCTTGTGACAGATTTGAAATCTATAATATCTTGTATACCAATATTTGTGAATAGACTAGATGCGAGTAGAAATAATCTTTATTTCAAAAATCAGTCAAAGTGATGTCATATTTGAAATCTACATGTAAAAGTACATCTAGAAATATGGTTTTGAAAATTGATTACCAACTTTGAAAATTTAATTTTTTTTGAAAATGTAACTTCTAGTTTGGGTTGATTCCCCATAGACCCCATGTTACAAAATCACAAAAAGTGAAATATCTTTTCTTGAATTGGACAGATAACATTTTCTTTTACTGGACATATTTATAGGATGTCCTATGATTTTGAGGAATATCATTTTTATCTACGAGGTGATATTGATATGCGAACGAGTGCATAAATCAGTATCACCGAGTAGATTAAAATGATATTCTGAAAAAAATCATAGGATGTTCTTATTATCCTACACTTACAAGGAGTGTACTAAATGTATAATATCATTGCAAAATGAATTCCATGCCAAATAGAGTCAGTTTGGCGGGAAATCAACAAGCGGAGTATATCGTCACAATATCCTCCGCATATTGGGTTTTCCGGAGTATATCATCACGATATCCTCCGCCTGGAGTATATTGTTACGATATCCTCCGGATATTCATTTTGCCAATAAATATCAAATTTATTTTTTAATGTTATTATACATTGAGTACACTAAGTGTAGGATAATTTAATTTACAATTAGATACATAAGATTTATATGAAAATTGAACCACTAGAACAGATGTAATTTAAGTTAGAGGGAACTTTCTACTATACCCGCCATGCTATCTGACCCGAATGAGCCACCTGGTGGTGAAACTGGTAACTACTTACTCGCATCTGCATTATTTTAATCATTTACATTAACTTAGGAGAAGTTATAATGAAAATGAGCAAGTCCTTCGAGTCTGTTATTGGTAGCTGCATATACGAAGAGTGATAAATGTATTACTGAATTCCTGGGCCATATGAGCAGGATGTGTATACTGCCTGTTTCACCTATTTGCTATTTGATACTTTATCATATACTAGCAGAAAACATTATTGAAACAGGTCATCGAACAATATTCTGTTTTCATGTTCTTATTTGATTTGTATTCAATGATAATAACATGATTAATTCAAATCACACAGTTATTGTGTCCTGCACTGGTTGATTATTACGATATTAAACCACCAACTGGTACAAACATTATTTGCTGGCAATATTAGAGCTTTAAGATATTGCTCACATAATTTGTGAATTAAATGCATGACTGAAATTATAAAAGGTGCACACGCTCCATATATAATTTGCCTGATATGTCATGACTTTTTAGGTAAGAAATTCTTCCAGGCCTCCGATTTTCAGGAAATTAGCTTTCTATCAGTCTGTTAATGGTGAAAATTACAGACTATTACAATTTTATTTAGTTTTTAAATTTAAAAAATGAAAAAAAAAATCTGTTTATTCCAAATTCAGCCGCTATAGAAAATATATGGACTCTAACAAATACACTGTAGTTCAATGGTTCCAAACTTTTGTGTAGATTGATGCCCTATTGTCAAATTCATTGTAAAATTTACCAGTAAATGAAAATGTAAATCTATGTACAGCTTGTATATAATTGTGTAACAGAGTTATTTCTGTGAACAGTACAATATATTTTAAGTTGTTATATATATTGCAAGAGATTAATTGTTTTGTTCTGGTAAGAAATTAATGTACAGTGAAACCTGTGAAGTGGAACACCTCTAGAAGTAGAACACCTCACAAGTGGAACACTTTTTTGGATGTACCAAAGGTGTTCCACTTAGACAAGTTTTACTGTATTTATCTCTGAATAAGTTGAAAGAAAAAATGGAAACCTTTTTACGAATGTACTCTTATTTAAAAATGATGGATTTATATAAGTCATTGTCAATGTTCTCTGGTAGATAAGTGGGAGTGTTAGATTATTGAAGCAAGGTAGTTAGCAACACCTTTGAGACTCCCTTTAATTAATTGAACCTGACGTGTTTTTTGCTTTACAGCCTGTAATTTGTATTGCATTTTCATTTCCTAGATCACAAAGAAGGTCATTTGCTAATGGATTTATATTATAGTGTATCATTTCCAATGTTCCATTCCAATAAATTCAAATCAAATTGTGAATTTAATATCCGACTTGAATAGGTATACTAAAATTAGACGTGTCTCATATATACAATAGAACTGTATGTTTATCACGGGTTCAACGATTATGTATCCTGCTTCTTGCAAATAAAAAAGATTATTATAGCATTGCACAATGGACTTTTTTCTCAGATTGGATTTACGAGAACATTTGTTGACTCTGTATTTCTTTGTGTTAGCTAGGAAATGGCTAAAAAATGGAACAATAAACATGCATGGTGTCACATTCCCCACATAAATCTCACATTTTCCTACATTTTGTCGAGTTTATTGTTTCCTTTTGGATTAGTAGAGTTATTTTTGTAATATATGTATATTTGATGGGTTTAGGCAAGGAAATGTTACAAAATAAACCTTAGAACTTTAGATTACACAAAAATATTTCAGATGTTTTTTCAAATGAAACTGTGGAAATTATATCCCATAGTAGTATACCACCCTACATTTGTAAGTTCTACTTTGTATCAGTTGTACCAGAATTCCTGGATTTATGTTTGAGAAAACTAGTCATTTTCTTCATCTTGTTGAAACAGTTTTTCACTGATCCATCTGTTCACTTTTAATTATTTACTCAAATCTCTGTACCCATGTATCTAATTCAATCCTTTTAATTAATAATATTCTGTTTGGATATTTACATCGAAACCCATCTTGAATCTATAGTATTCTATTTGAATATCAGCATGAACACCCTTCTTGAATTGGATATCTGCATTGAAATCCTTTTTGAATCAGATATCTGCATGAAAACCCTTCTTGAATTCATAACATTCTGTTTTCATATCTGGACGGAAACTTCTCTTAAATTCATAACATTCTGTTTTTATATCAACACTAAAACCTTTATTGAATTCATAATATTTTGTTTGGGTAACCTATCTACATGGAAACCTTTTTTGAATTCATAACATTCTGTATGGCTATTTGCATGGAAACCCCGTCTCTAATTCATTGTAATTTAAGTGAAGTCAATGCCCGAGTAAACATTAGAAAATCTATAAAAATTCATTAGTAGCGATACAACTTTGATAAAAATTATCTCGGACATGAATGTTATTGGCTGCAGTGAATGAGCTCTTGTACTTACGGGTTTTATAATAAGGACATCTCAAAAGTGTCAAATGAGTATGGATAATCAAATATTTGGTTATATCATTTTGGAATATCTTTCACAACACAAGCATGTAAATCTTATGCAACATAAAGCAAAATGAGATACGCAATAAATGAAATCAACAATAACAATATCACATGATCGTAACCTTTTCTATCTCCCTGAGAGGTCTTCAGTTATTTAATAATACAGATTAGCACGGGATGACAATTGGATGTTAGTCTTATTACACCCCATAACTGCAAGTAATAGCAAGGTAGTACCTCATAGAGTGGCCAATACTAGCCATAGTGGATTGGAAAAATGGAAAATGTAACAAGGTGCTAGGAATAATGCAACTTTGTAAGTTTTATATTTTAAGTTTAGAATAATATTTTACGTAATATTTTATAATTGATTCATTCGTATATAGAAATAATGTAGAGAGTATAACAATATGTCACAACTTCTGATTGTGACATGAAAACTTAATTGTTCTTATTCTTGATTGCTGTCTTTTTACAGTTAGTAAGTGAAAATTAAATACATGAATATGAAAATTAAATACATGTATTTGAAAATTAAATACATGTATATGAAAATTAAATATATGTTATGAAAAATTAAATATATGTTATGAAAACTAAATACATGTATGTGAAAATTAAATACATGTATATGAAAATTAAATACATGTTATGAAAATTAAATACATGTATGTGAAAATTGAATACACAGTAATGCGCGCTTAATGTATAAAAAATCTGACTCTCATTTGAATATGAAGAAATTTAAAGGGAAAAATAACATCTTCTTTCAATAGTCAGTCTATTGTAGATTAGGAATTTATTTATTATTGAATGAAATGAAATATTAATCAAAATAATATCAGTAAACATGATATAAAAAAAAAATCTATTTACCAATACTACCAGAAGTATAAAAGGCTAGCCTTTTCTTTATCTTTATAGAGTTTTTACTCAAACCTGGTGGTGTTTTAAGATGTGTTGAGTGGTTTTCAGACATTTGTATGCATCAACATCTCAATATGTAATCTTGCTGTGTTAAATCCCCAGAATCAATGTATATTTCAAAGTACATTCACTCATAATATTTGAAACCAAGTTTTGTTTAATGAATAATGAATCATTTTACAGGTTTAAAACTTATAGAAATTGTCTCATCTGCTCATTTATCATGCTTGTTGACTAAACCAAACTTCCCATACTTTTCTTCTAAAAATATATGAATGTTTAATTTGCAAGTGCACAACCTTCAATAAACATTGTGGTCAGCCTTATTTTTTCCTATATTTTAGCAAGGACGTCTGAAGACCTTGATTTTATTATGGCAATTGCCTTACTTTCCTCCTATATTTTAGAAGACGTCCTTGATTTTAGTATGGCATTTGAAAGTGGCAACACTAATTAAACTGTTTTATGTCCATTGTTTGCAGAATATGATGCTTCCTGTTAGTTTTCCAAGTACACTCAGTATACAGCTCAATAATTGATATTTTGTTTTTCCAGTCTCTGAGCCTATTAAGTAATGGAAATCTTCATTACATACTTGATTTGAGGATGTTATACCATACATTAAACATTTCTCTGAATTGATTCAATGCAGATTCAGTTTTAATCAAAACACATTTGTGGCAAAACCAGGAACATTGGCACCCACGTTCATTCTGCTTACCATTACCTGGTAAATACATCTACAGGGTGGGCCAAAAAAAACACAACTTTTTTTCAAGACACTATAACTTTTTTCTTTTTTAAACTACATACCCCAAATTTTGCAGTTATATAATGCCAGGGGTTCTTAGTAATAATATCATGTAACAAATCCTTCAACTTGGATAATAATATTTGATCTAAAAGAGGATTTCAATTGGTCCGCCACCCTATTTGATGATAGATTTTAGTTTTAGTTGTCTTGATGATATGGCAGTATCAATGGAATGTTAGCTAAAGTTTTTCAACATGTCTTAATTGCCAGCTTTAGTTGAGCAATGGTTTTTGATTGGGTGCCTTCATACAATCTCCTGGGGACCTTCCCATACCCTATACTCACTGGGGTTTGCATCAGGACTATTAGCTTGGCGGTCATCAGGCCATATGAGTTCAGGAACATTTTGCAAATTATGCCTATTTCTCATGGCACACCACATGTTTAAGTGAGACGCTGGTGACATATCTTATTCAAGTAAAAGTGTACAATTCATGATCCATGGCTAGATAACAACTTTAAGTTTCATTTGGTATGCAAATTATGATTTTGAACCACAAATGAAAAGTTATAGCATTTTGAAAAAAAAGTGGCGTTTTTTTGGCCCACCCTGTATATCGCTTAAATGTACTTAAAACATTTTTAGATCAGTGTGGGTTAAGCGGATAAGATTGATATGTATAATGAAGAACATTGCACTGATACAAAACAACAATTGGATTAAAAAGATGAAAACTTACTGTAGATCTTTACCATTTACATTCCTTTGTAATATTATATGCAAATAGGTAGAAGATCATGTAACAATTTTTATGTAATGCAAAAAGTCCAACACTTGGAATGTAACTTTGACAAGTGTGAGCAATTGAAAAAGATTTTCTGTTCAGTTTGACATTTATACTAGAATTAATACAAGTATGTAAGTGATTGAGAAGCATCAGCTTATGTAATTAAACGTTACAATGACATACAACTTACAAGCGCTTGTGAATTTTTCTGTAGCTACATACTTGGTATACAGAGCTTACAATAATGACTGGTTGGGCTCAGTTAGAACTGGTAGGAAATGGAATCACAGTTAAGTTTGCATTTATATCATTCAAAATTCCCTTTTGATTTGATTCTTTGAACATTTCTAAATTTTTCAAGTTGTTATTAAGTTATTCCTTAATGTTATTTTCCCTGACAAAGAACACATTTTTAGTGTAACCTCTGATAGAGGTGCAGCAAACACAGATAAAAGACGAGGGTAATTATTTTCAAAAATTCACATTTTTACAATATATAAAAACTCTAGAACATCAGCACTTACTCATCTTATCTGATTAATTTTCAGTTTTATTTCCTTTCAAAAACCTTAACCTCAGGACAACCTAAAATTACCACATCAAGCATTTATATATATATCCTACGTTTGAGCCCCACCAGCCTATATTACAAGCTCTACATACCAAGGGTGAACTATATATTGATAACAATTCCATATTTATCAATTTGCTGTAATTGAGAACATCAGAGACATTTATTGACTAGTATTATATTATCCAATCCAAGTCAACAAATGAAGTGGCATTCACCAGTTAGCTGACTTGAAATGATTAAAATGATATGGCATTCTGCTCTGTAATGAAAAATAAAAAAGATTATCCAATAATCTCTAATAATCCAATAATCTTTTTAATAATCTATGAGAGTCACGAGTGTCAGGTTTTGAAACAGCCCAGACTGAAAAACTACAAATCCCATTCCTCCAAAATTCTTCACTTCTTTTAATAACTCCAAATTCAATTATCTGATTCAATAATGATGTCATTTTGACATTCTTTTATGATTTATTATTAAATTATAAACCAAAATTGGATTACAAGCATCAAAAAGCATGTCGATAATAATATCTGTGTTAACTCTAACAGTGATTATGTCACTCTAATTATGTCACTCTCATTATTTTTCCAGGTGAAAGATTTGAATCTCTGTAGCCATTGCCATATAAATTGAAGTAATTTAGAAAATTACAAAGGATTGGTATCGATATGGCGATATATTGTTTTTCTCTTAAACCAATTATTGAAAACATTCTGTAAAAACATGGTCCTTTATGCAATGGTCAGTGATTGACAACAATTTAACTTTTTGGGGATTTTTAGTGCAATTGTTTTTTGTTCTTTTCTACCAATTCTTGAGAATGAAATAAAATATCTTTCCAAACCTTGTTTGAACAAATAGCATATACAACATGTTCTAAGACCTCTCAATATTATAGTTATACAAAGGAAAATTTGGTTGATTTAACAAAACGTATTCAAAAAATTAAAACAAAAAACAAAAATAGATAAAATTTAAAGTAAACCTTTTATACAATTACAATATTGAGAAACCTGATGTGTTTTTTAAAACAATATAGAGAAAAGTATATATATGTTTTTTTCAAATTAAACTGTTACCATTCAAAAGATGATCAAGATTGACGATGTGTAAAATTTTCAAACTTTTTGATGACTGGTTAAAGAAAAACATGTGTTCAATTCAGTTTGCCATATGGAAACCAATCCTTTCTAAAAAATTCCTAACCAAACAAAGAGTAAACATACCATTGTTCAAAAAACTGCAAGTGCAGAGAGAGATGGATTAATAAAACAATTGCTTTTTTAGCTCCAACAAATCTGATATATATGTGATATCATTTATTTGTATTATCATGGGCTTTCAACTAGCTAGTTGAAAGCCCATGGTATTATGAACTAAATAAATGATGCTGATTAGCAATAAAACGAACATATCTCCTCAAAACAAAAAATTCTTTGATAAAGGCTATGTGTAATATTTCATCTTTGTTATTCACTCATACCTGCCTACCTAAAGTGATAAGAAATATGGTAGGCCTTTTTGTTTGAAAAATACAGTTGTTCTATGGTTGATTTATTCCAAAATGGTGTTTTTGAAAGATTTTTGTAAAACTAGATATTCCAGTGAATATTTAAATAGAAAATAGTAGGATATTTTTTAAATGATAACTTTTTCAAAAACAACTTGTTTCTTCCCAAAGTCTTGTCTTTTATTATTACAACACATAATAAGAGCCAAGACATCTTGAGTAGGATAAATGTACCTAACTGACACTGAATTATACTAATATAAATAATATAAGAAGTATAAAATAAGAGCTAACATTGTTAAGCTGACATCAGCAAAACAGCGTGTGTATAAGAATTTCAACGAAGTAATTATTCCAATGTCTTAATTATAAATATGCTAGTTGACACTGTAACAATCGAACACAGCAGTATTCTTAAACCACTAATAAAAAACAATCATTCATTATAATTCTAATGGATTGGGACATTATCCTATGATTGAAAGGTTGCAGATGGTCTAATTGTATTCACATCAAAGAATGAAAATATGGAGTCACATCAATTATTCTTATAAATAGTTTCTTGACACTTCAAAAGGATACCAACTACCTATAATCCTATAATATATCATAGTCATAAAAGCACAAACTCATCCAATCAAAATATTTTAACTTAACTTAATGAATTCATTGACTTACTTATTGTTCTAACATCTAATCATAATTATTACTTAATTTTATGTCTCCTAATCTCCAAAATATACTTAGATGTTAGTTAGAATAGATGTTAATTAGATCAAATCATGTACCGGGTGTCCCCCGAAAATTGTACCCAAATGAAACGGGAATAACTCTTTTTGTATCTAACAAATATTTCCATAAGTTAATAACTGTTATTAATGGGTTTAGTGACTGGAAAAACAAAATATCAATTATAAGTTTTATACTAAGATTTCTTTGAACCCAACAGGATATATCAGGTTTCTCAAACACTAGACATCTAATAAAGCAATTAATCAGCAGAATCTGATATTCAGAAACAGAAATTATTGAAAATAGATCCTAATAAAATTGTTAAGATGGAATTTTAAATCCCAAACAGCAATTAAATCTTCAGATCAATGATCCCAATTTGACTACAGTATACTTAATGAAGAAATTATGGCTTGATATCTCAGATATTTAGATTTTTCTAAAATACATGTTCATACAGTATGTATAGAATCATTGTTGGCCATTGTTACAAAGAAGTAATTTGTATTTTATGTCTTTTACGAGCTAAACGTAAAGTTTTTCAATAGACCTAATAGGTTTATCTTTTTCAGACGAGCTTGTGATCATCTACCTGCTCTTTGTTTATGTTGCTATGGAAACCACAGGTAAGACATTTATGAGATTATTATCAAATAGTGCAGATATCTGTGTGTGTTATAGTACAATACATTCCAATAATAGTATGATACTAAAAATTCACATATTGTTGGGAGATGTTTTCCATGTGTTCATCTAATATTTATTTGTATATCAAACAATCATTTCTTTAGCGTATAAGTCTAGGGATGGTCTAAGTCTAAGTCTAGGCAACGAATAAACAGTGCAAAATGTTGAGACATCTGATCAAATAAGTAATCAAAGCTTTAACAAGCAGATGAAATCATTACATTTGAAATGGATGCCCTTATTGCAAAAATGATCATTATGAAATATGTCAGAATCATGAACCTTTCCGAAAATAGTCATAACATAGGATGTGATTGGGCAGAACATTTTTTTTTAAATGTGACAATTTTTAGAAAGTTACTCTTAATTCATTTCAGTTGTTTAGTTTTTATCCTATCAGTGATATGCATTTCTATGGCAAGGCATTAACATGTGAAATGTCACCACCTGGCATTTGTTACAGATAGATGTCAAACACCAAACACAAACCACTGCCACAAAAAAGTTGGCAATGACAGCGTAGAAAGCCTAGAATTGTAGGATAATACCACAGTACCATGGTCAAAGACACAAACAATCTCCTAAATGAGAAACCAAACTGTTTATATCAACTCAACTTGTTGAGAGAAATGAATGTTGCATACCAATCTATTACAGACAGTCTATCTGTAAGGTACAATACGGACAAAAAGGTTTTTACTTTCAACTGCGTTAAATAGCCTTATTTGATTAGGACAAAGAAAGAAATTGTCTTTATAATTCTACACAACACTTGAAAGTATTCTTCATGATTAGAAAGTACAGTTGGTAAATGAGCAAATTGAACACTATGTTGTTCTGGTATTGCTTTCATTATAATGCAAATGGTCTTTCATTATTGTCTATCCACAGCTAGGATAATTATTTAAAACATGCAATTCCATCAACTTTGGAGGAAGTTTAGTTGATGCTCTGAAATGCAACCTATACTTTAGATGCTTTTTCAAAAGTGCAAAAGAAATGGGAAAAGAAAGGAGTTACTATCTAAAAAATGTCACAATTTTACAATATTCTTCCTCTCATCATTCCACGTCATAGACCTACCTTTTCACTCAATAAAACAGGAAAAATTATGCATACTTTTTAAAGATTTCTTCAGATATTTTAGACTTTATTTTTTGCTGCTACTTTAAGCATGTTGTCTCAAAACAATCATGAAAGCAATTTATCTCATGTTCACACCGGAATAGCCTGACAACGGTAATGTATTTCAAATTCAGATTCCGTTGTCATTGACGATATAGAAGATGCTATATTGTTGCGATTCACGACCCAATTTGATAGAAATTGAAATTTCATATGATACATCATCCGAGAGCTTAATCCATGCACAGAATTATCGACGATAAAATCCCATGAAATGAGGACCAAGTGATCAAAGAGTTGAAGCGACGGTTATATCTGCTATTCCAATGTGATGTCCGTTATTCCGGTGTGATGTTTATACCATCGTTATGGAAACATACATGTGATATAATTATTTCAATAACTTATGGTCCTTTTTTATACAATGCACATAAAACATGTTAAAGGATCTACTACAGTTTGTCTTTACGTAAATGCATATTAAAAATAATATCCTGATCATATCTGCTGAACCATATACTACCTCATACTTGCTAGTTAAGCAAGACTTTTTCAAATGTTATTTGTTTTTCAGAAAATGTTCACAGATGAAACCTAAACTGCTAAATGATACAGTCTTTTACATGTATTAACCACTCTCTAAATTAATGCAATATTGCTTTTTTGTACATTAGTATAAGAATCAGTTTTGTACATTAGATTTAGAATATGATTATGTTCTATTCTGTAGATATAGGTTGCAAGACAAGTCATACAGGCTCAGAATACGAAGGAGGACAATCAATTAGCAAAGAAGGCAACCCTTGTTATTCTTGGGCTGGCAGCTCCGTTGTGGACATGTTAAGTTATAGTGGAATGTCAATAGACAACAACGAATGTAGGAACCCTTACAACTATGAAGTTGCTCCATTCTGTAGGACATCTGATCCAGATGACCCTGATGAAATTTACCAGTTCTGCCAGGTTCCTTACTGTGGTAAGTTAACTAAATAGGTTTAAATATTCAGCGTGAATTAATCCAATGAGAATTTTTTAAATTAAAATTGAGACTTTACAATTTCTTACAATCACTTTAAAATGGAGACATTTTTATTTTTACTACATATTATGGGTTCAATTAATTTTAGGAGTATGAAAGGAGGGGGGTAAATCTGAAATGTAACTAATTACAATTTTTACAACATCAAAATATTGACCTAATCCCTGACTGATGTAGGTCTTACAGACTATAACAATTGTACTAAATAACCTGCTATGACTATGACCACATCAGCGCATGGCTATCTGATAACAGCTAATTTAGAAATATATTTATTATATGTATATTTATCCCATACTTGGACGTTACAGGTACATAAAGCCGGTTTGTAAAAACTTATATTTTCATCAGCGGGTAGATATAGCTTTACGTCCTGATAAACATATTATCCTATAGTCGGTTCAGGATATTGGGATTATCCCTTAGCCAATATAATATAATTTCCCTTGGGACCTGCCGCCCTCGAGCAGATATATTATATTAGCCTCGGGATAATCGCAATATCCTGAACCTCTATATATTATATATATATTTATTAATTACAATGTAATATTAGCTTTATATTTGATTTTCAGCAAATGTTAAATTGGAGACAGAGAGTGGTGTTCCATGTGTGTTTCCATTCACTGCAGGAGGTCTCCAGCACTCCTCTTGCATCAAGGACAACGACACAAAGTACTGGTGCTCTACTACCTCCAACTTTGACTTAGATGGACAACATGCTTATTGTAATGGTAGGTTACTTACTAAAGTTAAACACCTCTACAAGTTAAAATACCTCTGTTAGTGAAACCTGTAAAGTGAAACACCTCTATAGAGTTAAACACCGGAACAGCCCAAGGAACAATGGACTTGATTAACCTCTACAGTGTACAAGTGGAACACCTTTCAGATGTTCCAAAGGTATTCCATTTAGACAGGTTTTGCTGTACTTCTGTATCTCCTCAGAATTTAAACAATTACATGGGCACATAAAATTGCAATATTCACATCCATTTTGAAAATGACTAGAATCAAACAAAGGTGGTATGATACAATAATGATTAATACATGGTACTTTTTCCATTTCCTTGATTTTTTATAATCCGATGAAAACCCTCAAAAACAACAACAATATTCAGACTATATAACTTATACCAAATATAAGACATGTAACTGTAATTACTTTGTATTGATGCAAATCTACTTAATTGCTTGAGCCTAGTATGGGTGTATTGTTACCTTGCTAAATTAATAATTGTACCTTTTTTGTTTCATTTTCCACCCCAATTACTTCACTTGTTTGTATGGTATCATGAAGTAAATATCAGAGCACATATCAAAATTAAAAATTGTGCATTGTGGACCCATTTTCTTCTAGTGGTAATTACCATTATATTTCTCATTTCAAGTAGGGCAATTTCAAATTTCAGCTCCAATAATACTGACAACAATTCCTACAACTTCAACTACAACAATAGTTGACACAACAATAACTACAGTTGATACGACAATAGCTGATACAACTACAGTTGATACGACAATAAGTGATGCAACAACAATAATTGACACAACAACATTTGATACAACAATAGCTGCTACAACTACAGATGATACAACTATAGCTGCTACAACTACAGATGATACAACAATAGCTGCTACAACTACAGATGATACAACAATAGCTGCTACAACTACAGATGATACAACAATAGCTGCTACAACTACAGATGATACAACTATAGCTGCTACAACTACAGATGACACAACAATAGCTGCTACAATTACAGTTCATACAATAACTGATGCAAGTACAATAGAACATACAACAAGTACAACTAAAGCTGATGTAGTTGGCACAACTTCAGCAGTAGTTAACACAACAACTACAACTGATGCAAATAGTGTAACTAAGTTAACGTCATTGAAAGAATCAGATACTGAATCTTTCCATACAAGCTCAAGTACTGTCCAAACATCTACTGTTGAAAACAATTCAATAAATCAAGAAATATCAACGAATAACACTGTTACCATTGTGTACAACGGATCAGCAGTAAATATTACAATTAATTCAACAGATAACGTAACTACTACTTCAGGCCATGTTTATGATGCAAACAAGTACACTTCAACGACAACTGCAGTACCCATAATTCCCATACTGAATCTTACACACCATCAAGTCGCAGTTGGAATATTATTACCCATATTCGTTACTGTATATGGCAGTTGTTATGTTATTTACGGATGTGACAAGCTTCACAAATGCTTAAAAGTCACTGGACCATATAGACGTATGAGGCGATATATACGACATAAATATCGACATCGAAGAAATATCAAGACAAATTCTAGAGTTAAATTATTTGAGCAACCTCCAGTGAGACTAAGCCATTCTAACTCTCAGCGTGCATCAGCTCCAACAGATATAAGCTGCATTATTACAGAATTATAACAACTCACTTATTCTTCACAAATAATTGGTTTCTTCAATTTTGTTGGAATAAACAATGTCACATTTTTTAGAAAGTTTTAATAACAGTTTTATCTTATAAAAATATAACATTTATTTGAAAAATTAATAATCAATGTACAACTAGAAAAACAGCAACTCCACGGAGTAGCAAATCCCACCGAACAAAACATGTTTTGATAAATATCCTAGCGGCCATATAAAATTTGAGCCAAATTCATCCACTGGTATTTGAATTATCAAAGATTATGTTTTTATGAAACATGGTTGCCATTTTGAAATTCAGCTGTCATCTTTAGATTTCTTCTTTAGCAGAGCTCATATGTCCTAATGATAGAGTTTAATCCAAATCCGTCAATTGGTATTTGATTTATCTAAGATTACATGTTAAATGAAAAATGGCGGAGATTTCGATAAATAGCAGCCACCTTGGAAATTTCTTCTCAAGCAGAGCTCCTTTATCTCTAGGCATCAGTATATAAAATTTTAAGTAAATCCGTCCAATGGTATTTGAGTTATCAAAAATTACCTTTTTTATGAAAAATGGCAGCCATTTTGAGTTCAGCTGATGCCTTTGAAATTTCCTCTGAAGCAGATTTGCTTTTTCCCTAAACATCAGCATATAAAAATCCATCCACTGGTATTGAGTTATCTTATAACAACGTTTTTTTTATGAAAAATGGCGGCCATTTTAAAAGTCAGTGGCCATCTTGAAAATGTCTTATTGAGCAAGGCTCTTTTATACTCAGGCAAAAGCATATAAAATTTGAGCCAAATCCATCCACTTGTATTTGAGTTATCAAAGATTATATTTTTTCAGAAAAATGGCCGCCATTTAGAATTTAGTGGCCATATTGAAAATTCCTTCACGAGCTGAGGTCCTACACCCATAAGGCATAAGCCTATAAAATTTGAATGAAATCCGTCAACCGGTATTTGAGTTATTGCCCGGACACACGAACGGACGGACGGATGGACGAACGGCTTTTCTATATCCCCCTCGAACTTCGTAAGGTGGGATAATAAATTTCAATGTAAAAGTTCAGAGGCTCCTAAAATATTTTTAGATTTAGGATGCATGTATTATATATTATTTGGAATGATTTGAAGTCCATTGGCACCATTGTATAAGCTTCAATAGTGAGCATTATAATGCAGAAGGTTACGTTGGATCATAGTTCTGGAGAGGTATCAGACGGGAAATCTGGAACTTTTCTCGACACATCGGGCACTCCGCCTGGAATATAATAATAATGAATTAATAATATAATTGAATATTGATTGAGTGAATAATCCAGTGGAATGTAGGTGGAAGCTCAGTGTTATTATTTGTATCAAGATATCTTCAATGAGGTTACTACGGTTACGTTACCCTAGTTTATTATGCCCTCAAGGCTATCTATTGCTTATTTCTTCTTTTGATCTTTAAAATAGTTTTACACGTCAACTATAATTTTAACTTTAGTTAATTTACACATGTACTGTGCTAGTTTTATTATTTATGCAAGTATACTGTAATTTTAGCTCTCCCACTTGAAATATTTTATACATGTTCACAAATAATTTTAGGTTTTTACACTTTAACATAGTTTTATACATGTGTATTGTAATATGAGGTGTTAAACTTTAAAAACAGTTTCACACACAGTCCCATCCCCCTCTACAGCCAAAACCAAAATGCATGTTACCAAGTGTGATATATCATTGGAAAGATCATCAAAACTTATGTTGATTGGCATATATCTTTGAAAATAAGTACCATCTATTAAAGGTTTAGCTGTAGCAGAGGGGACAGGACTTATTTGACACCCTGTATATGTACACTTAATTTTAGCACTCTTTAAAATAGTTACATGGATGTGTTCAGTAATTTGAGCCCTCATGTTTTAAAACAATTGTATACATGATTACTGTAATTTTAGCTTTCCAATTTCAAATTAGGAATTTAAAACAGTCTAAGATTTAAGCTCTAACATTCAAACACATGTACAGTAGTATGATTTAGCTCTCCAACTTAATAAAATTCTACCCAAGTAAAGAAATCAAACAGATCAACCACAAATAGATTGAATAGTAAGGTTTTGCAGAAATAAGTCTCACTTGACAATTGAGGGGTTCAGATTTTTTCACCAATAGATGAATTCTATTGAACTAAAATTGTACAATGCCTGGGAAAATAAAGATAAGAGATTTTCATGTACTCCCAGTCCAATTTTATTGTCTTTCTTTATTGCTCTGTTTACATCTTAATATGGAATAAAATATGTAAAAAATAATTGAATTTCCATCTTCTATCACCAATACGCGACATGACATGAACTTCTATTGCTTAAATAGTAAACAGTGATTATATCCTGTGTACCATTACGCAAAAGAATACCTTTTGTTATGAAACATAATCAAGTCTAACGTTTTTTAATATTTATAGTATATCCTATGATTTTGAGGAATATCATTTTTATCTACGAGGTGATATTGATATCTGCACGAGAGAGCGAAGCGAACGAGTGCATATATCAATATCACCGAGTAGATTAAAATGATATTCTGAAAAAAATCATAGGATGTTCTTATTATCCTACACTTACAAGGTGTGTACTGAATGTATGATATCATTGTAAAATTAATTTCATGCCTAATAGAGTCAATTTGGCGGGAAATCAACAAGCGGAGTATATCGTCACAATATCCTCCGCATATTGGGTTTTCCGGAGTATATCGTCACGATATCCTCCGCCCGGAGTATATCGTAACGATATCCTCCGGATGTTCATTTTGCCAATAAATATCAAATTTATTTTTTCATGTTATTATACATTTAGTACACTAAGTGTAGGATAATTTTTGATATTATCTTTGAGCTCGAGGATAATATATAATAAATTATTATTGATTATTTCAGTATAAAAGGTAGCTTACTGTATGATATTTAATTGAGATCATGGTAGATGCGATATTGTGCCTCATACCATATAGCCATTAAATGGCAATTTCCGAGTGCCTATCAATTTTATTAACCTATACACAGTAAGATTATTTTCTGATTAGTACAGATGAAACATTACTTTATTTCTCATAACTTGTATTCATCTATTATTTTGTTGTCATCTCACAAGATCAATAACACAGTCCAATATTATCTCGCTTTTCCAATGAATTTAGTTTTATCTTAAAGCTTGTTTGTAAAATGATGATGCAACAACCAACCTTTATTAGATTGAAAACACAAAGCTAAATCAAATACTAGTAATAAATAGATTCATTTTCATTCATTATTTTCCTCCTGATGACCTTATAAGATATATCTAATTTCCTTTTTATTGTTATGATAACATCTAAATACCTTGCATTAACCATATGATTTATGAGTTTCATAACTGTGGGTACATCATCTATTTGAGAAAGTATACCTACCACATCTCAATTTAAATCAAAAGACCTCTCGGTTTTGGGACATTTTTACTTTATGATTCTTCATCTTTTTATTTCTTAATTTGTTATTTCTTTCAGTGGGGCACTTAAGGGTGGTTTGTTTTCTATACTATGAATTAGTATATTTCTCAATGAATACAAAATACAGGTTATTTCATATCTGCACATCCTTTCTAAACTCATACACAGATTTTTCAAGTGAAAGTGATATACATGATTGTAAAGCTGATTGTTAATGGAATATTCCCAAGAGGTATTGTTCACCTTCATCGGTCTGTAGGTGGTAAACAATAAAAAATAGTGTATACCTTAGTTGTGCACCACTCTGTAATACAATTCCAGCAGTACATATGGCCACAGGGTGTGGCAGTAGAGTTGCGCCTTGCTTCTAAGCACAGAGAACACTTCAGCTCAGCTGCAATGGGACCTTCTGTCATAAAGTCACCTTCACTAAAATATGAGATATATTACTAAACAATAGATGTGTTTACAACATTAAAGTATTCGAAAAGTGAATGCCAGCCTGTGACATAAGCCACATGTGGATCCAGGATTTTGTGCTAAAGGGGCTCTGATATATCCCAAAATACGCAAGAATGAATGTCAAGCATACGTTATGGAGGAGGGGGTGCACCTGATGTTTGAATTCTGAAACTAGAGCGCAATTTGGGTCAATCTGAGCATTTTCCCACGATTAAAATGTGAATGACTTGATGAAGAAAGGCTTCTTTTTGAGAAAAGTTTTTATTTATTATCTGGATAAATTTTCTGAGAAATTCTAGCACTATAACATGTATTTTATCAGATTGTTTTGTACAGTATCCGTTCTGGGAATAATCCCAGGTCCATGCCTTAAAAAAACTTTTTTTGAAAAATTTTAGTGACTGTATTTGACTCGACTACATAGGCCTGGGAACATGTATAATGTATATAGTTCAGTGGTCACTCGGCTTGATTTTTTATACATGTTCCCAGGCCTATGCCCAACTCAATCAATAGTATTTTCTAAATAGCTGAAAAGTGCTGAGATAATAGATGTCACCCTTGTTTGTCTTTGATTTTCTAGGGCCAGACCTCCACTCACTCCAATGCTAGAAACTTGCAACAGTCACTTAATTTCATGATTTATCAAAGAGTGTTGGTTGAATCTGTCTGAAACTTGAATGGGATACTATTGGATGACCCTGTCAATATACGTATTCGTGATTAACCATGAAAATATTGGCATATGAATACACCAAGGTTTTGATGAATTTCAGCATTGCACCAATGGAGATTTGGCCCAAGTTTTTTAAAAATGTCATGGAAAATGATTTAAATGACATATAATTGGAGAAAATTTGTCACTGAATCCAAATATGCTATCAAAAATAAAAAAAAGTAATTCATTAGAGGAAAAAAGTGCAAATCTCTTATAATCTCATGTAAAAACGAGAATTAACGAGATTTCAAAGCTATTTAGAAACTCCTCTATTGCTTCTCATATGCAATAATTACACACTGAAGCTAGCATTGGCAAATAACTACATTTGTATCAGGGCTCAGTATACAATGGTAAAAGGTTACTCAAGTCTAGCTTGTACCTAGAAGTGTGCATACTGTAAATTCCAAGTAATATTAAGTTTATCTTTGCACTGTAAATCAATTTTAATATCATCTCTTTATCCTAATGAGTGTTTATATTTCATTAAATTGAGCCTGTATATGCTATTTGTGGACTTGATTTTGCTTGTGATAATGTGAATTTGATATGCCATAATATAAATTGGATATGCCATAATGCAAGGGTTGATCAAGAAGTTTCTTACCGTTGGCTCTAGATTTTATAAGAGGAGTTGGATGCTCAAACTTTACCACGAGGCAGGGTAGTTAGTTTGCTTGAAACTGTATGAGTGTCCTATAAATTGGCTCATTGGTAGTGAGATAAAGTCAATACATTTTTTGAATGATTAAGTTAGGTTGAGCAGCGTGATTTATAAAAAATGTGCTAAGCTGCGGTTCTGGAAATTTCTGAACACTAAGTCAAGTGACATCTGTCTACAGACTAGTTTAATCATGTTTTAGTAGTTTTTATGCTCATATTCAATCTCCTTCAAAATAATCAACCCCAGCTGCAATGCATTTCCTATATCTGTCCACCCAGTCCAAGAACACTTGATTAAAGGCCTCCTTATGAGAGGTTGTAAATACTGTCAGTTAATTGCCAGAAGCACAACTCAGCAGATTTTTAAAAATCACACTGCTCCACCTAACTTAGTCATTGAAAATATGCATTGACTCTGTGTCACTGCCAATTGACCAATTTATTTGTAAATCACACAATTTTAAGCATTGACTAACTAGTGTCTCATCTTAAAGTTTGAGGATCCAACTCCTCTTATTATAAAATATAAAGCCAATGGTAAGAAACCTTTTGATCGACCCTTGTATAAATTGGATGTGCCATTATGTTTCCAGTTATCGCTAAAACCAAATGTGACTGAAAGATTTTCAAACAATTTCTTAAACAGTAGTTTACATTATTATCCAATGTACCTGATTTTACTTTCTTCCATCATTTCAAGTTCAGGAGCGTTGTGTCGTGTAGTCCAGAGTGTGTAGCCACCCCTAGCTATAGCATATACTAGCTGAATAATGGAGAGATAACCCAGGATACGGAAACTTGGCCTCTCATCTTCATTCATTATGCCACTCCGTACCAATAACTGGAAGAATAAATAAACACCATCCTTTAGACAGCTTTATACAAAAAATGACAACTTCGCTGAGTTGCATATCCCAAAAACATTATTTTGAATATGTTGATGATTAAAACTGATATAATGTTTCTTCTCCATTAGAGAACTAGAAAATGTTTGAAGGGGTTAAAAAAGTACTGGCAAATTTGTTTGCACAATCCTGTACTGTTCAAATATGGACAAACATGGTTCACTGGTATTTGAGTTGTTTCACAGGCCAAATGGACAAATGCATGCATAACTTTCAGACGGCACATTGACTGATTTACAGGCACATGGCATCCCATATCCCTACTATATAGAACATTGTTTGTTTGGATAGAGAACCTGCTTTAATTACAATATTCAATATGGCATGCTTATCCAACACTTTTGGCAGTTGTGACATTCAGGTCTTGCATAATATGCCTTTGGCATCAATTGTGAATATTGTCTAATAAAGCTAAGCCTGTAGGAAACACTTTCACACTCCTCTACCTCTGTTGATTAAACAATTAGGCCACACAAATTAAAACGAATGTTTCACTATTTCCAAAGATTAAATAAATCTGTTTTCTTCACTATAAAATCTTATTATGAAGTTTGAAAAATTAAGGGTTTGAGAGTCAAGGAGATGTATTGATGTTGTCATATTAAAAACAGCTAAACAAAGTGGGAATGCCAATCGCAAAACACATAATCAAAATCATAATCTTCATTGTAAAACTTCAATTCATTACCCGAATAAATTAACTAATTAATAACAAAATATGGTGACAAAATGGACCATCCTTTTTAAGAAGCATGGTATATAAGCTGGTGTTTTACATCCAGATTTTATCAGAGTTTGATCGTTCATAGCATCGACCAATCAAGAATCAACATGCTTAGTGCTGCCATCTTTGTAGCTGGACTGACTGCAGTTTTTGCCGAGGGATATGGATGTAAGTACACAGATAATATTTCTTGTATTCTTATTTAAATTATTAATCATTTATCAAAAGGTATATAAACACCTTTTTTATCAGTTTCTTTGTTGTACACATTCAATGATTGAAACAAACATTTGTTGTGCACATTCAGTAAAATGAAACATTTGTTATAGACATTTAGTTAAATCAAACAATCAAAGTGCAAAGTCAATCAAATCAAAAATCTGTTGTGCATATTAAGTCAAACATTTGTTGTACACATTCAGTCAAATAAAACATTTAATGTGTGCGTGTATTGTACAATATTTTACACATGTACCATATTTACTATTTTTTACATGTGTACAATATTTTACATGTGCAATGTACTATTTTTACATGTGTACAATATTTTACACATGTACCATATTTACTATTTTTTACATGTGTACAATATTTTATACATGTTCCATATTTACTATTTTTTACATGTGTACAATATTTTACATGTGCAAAGTACTATTTTTACATGTGCACAATATTTTACTCTATTCCATATTTCATTTCATTGAAACCATGAAAATTATAAAGTCATTTGTGTCATTACTTCTTGCAACATTTAATATTTCAGCCCGGTGCTTCGACTGCAACTATGCCCCATCAGGCTACAGCTACCACGTGAACTACTGGAAGCGTGTCTCCTCCAATGCTGGCTATGAGGGATGTGCTCTGACAGACAAAGATGATGCCGAGAGCCTTGACAAATGGCACTGCTCTTCAGGAACATGCTTCATCCGTAGAGACAAGAATGGACGTAAGTAATCAATCACATTGCAGATTTAAAGAAGGATTTTTTTTCATATTATCAAATTGATGAAAGTTTGCCAAAGTTTTACATTAGCAACAATTTAAAGAAGGAATGGGTGGGAAGTTTGGGAACAAATTTAATATTATATATGTAGATGACCTAAGGAATACAAATGCAAAGTACATACTTTTATACCCATATGTTCACTTTCTGAAAATCTAGATACAGGCACATATATAATTTTGAAGAATTTGCACAATACTGTATTAATACATTCCCTTTGATAGATAACATGGGTCATTTTTGAGATATCATAATGGGGATGTAATAGATATTTCTTGCAATTTGTTCGACTCCTCTGTGAAAGAGTTTATGTGTGATAAGGTCAACATGAGACAGGTTTTTCATATCTCCTGATCAATACATTCTAATTGTACAGAGACATGTGACAGAGATTAAGTGTGACAGTTAATGTGTGACAGAGTCTATATTTAATCAACTCTTTTATTCCAGTTGTTTACCGTGGATGTGCCAACCCAGAGAACCTCCCCCTTGGTGTATCTGCCTACAGACAGTGTGCCTACCAGGGAGAGTCCTTCTACTTCTTCTGCAAGGGAGATCTGTGCAATGCTGGACAACTGGGACAAGAAGGAGTCTGTGGCTACAAACCTGCATACTACGGACACTACAGTAAGTTGAGGAGACCAGTGACAAACTGAACAGCACAATACTTAAATAACAAAATACTTGAAGAGCCCTTAACTTGAATAACACAATACTTGTGAATAAAATGGTTGAATGCCACAATACTTCAACAATTTAGTTCACAGTTCAACTAAACAAAATAGTTCAATGACAAAATAGTTGAATAACACAATATTTAAAAATCTGCAATACTCCGAGGCTAATATGGCTACCCAATGGTGCTTGGATCTGAATCCATACATCTATTGGACAATAACAGATTATAATCTCTAACAATATTTATTCCAGACCCATGTGACGGCAAGTGTGCCTACAACCCAAGTGGTCTATTTGCTGACCATTACAACCACAATGGCTTCATCCAGTGTGGATGTGACAACAAGAATGGAAAGACATGTAGCTGCTGCAAGCCTTTCTACATGAGATGCCCATACGGTAAGACATTTTAACCACTACCTCTTCGAAGCCATAGCTGGCTTCCATCAGTTGAAGGAGGGACTGATAAGTACCAAATGAAAGTAGATTAAGAATGGACAAATTTGATTCAAAAGCATTTGCCAATTTTAAAATGCCTGGTGTGAATAATATTCCTGTCAATTATGACTAAGGTGAATGTTATGCTGTTTTCCCTTTCAGGAACTGCCTTTGATGACTCTACCAAGGTCTGCAGTAAGGCTGCTTACAATCCTCACTACGTACCAGCTCCCTATCACCCTGCTCCCCACCACCATGGCCACCACGCTCATGCCCACCGTGCCCATCACTACTAAAGTTGGATAATTGTATTTGATGGCTTATAATGTATTTGTACACCAAAGAGAACAATAAAACTTCCACTAATTGATAAATTTACTTTTTAGTTTTTTCTGTTTTGAATTGTTTTAAAGAGATATCTGAAAGTCAGTGACATTAATTCACTACAATTAAATAATCAGTCTGCAAAATTATAAAATTGTAGCAAATTTTTTATTCCCAAAAACAAACAAGATAATCATTATCTGTGTCAGTTTATATCCCTATTATTTTGGTGAGATAAAAATAGGTTCATGAATATGGTAAGGTCTTTCAAATTATTCCCAAAAAATATTGAGAAAGAAACATATGGCATATTGATGATCTCTCCAGCATTAAAGCACATGGGCGTTGCACACACCTGAGATTTTAACGTTGCACTCATTGAATCAATGAAATAATGAAAAAAATAGGCATATCTTGACCATAATTGATCTAAATTAAAGAATTTTGCACTCATGTCAGAAAAAAACCTGGGGAGAAAACTGCATAAACTTCAATTTACCATTCATGCACATCCCTAGTAGTGAAATGCTTCAGTGTGTGCAAAGTAACCAAATAACAGGGAAAGAGAGAAGTTACACTTACATACTGGACACCGGTGAGTCTCTTAGCAATATGATAGAAGACCTCCCTCATGTAGAACACACCCAGGTGACATCTATGTAGGAATGTGATGGTCTGTCTCACCATTGGAATCAGCTTCAATAGGCCTTCTTTGGCTTCACGTCTGAGCTTATATGTATTGTTCTTAAGTTGTTTTTCTAAATACTGCAATAACTTGTCCAGGAGGTATGGAGTCCCTATGTGGAGTAACACTAAGCTAATTCTCCTCTGCAATGGAAAATATCACGATTTAGAGATCAAGATTTCTAGCATATAAAGCTCTTATTTGCTGTGATATTTATAAACAAGACACACTTTGACAAATGCATATTGCACTTTGTAATTTTCCCAGCATGCCAAAAACGCTGCTCTTGTTTCTTAAAAAAATCTTGAGTTGAACAAGCGGTATTAATATTCTTCACCCGCCTACACTGCCAGACACACACACACACCCAGCAGCACAAGACAACAATCATCCTGCACTCTTTCAAAGTGTGATGAATGTATTTTTAAGAAGAGAAACTTCAATACATATTTTCCTATGAGATATATTCTCCTGAACTTATACTTTTTCTGTTTTACATTCTAAGACATTGAGGATATTGATCTGAATAATCCAATGCCAATATGGTAAAATTAGGATAATGATGGAAACACCTCCTTTTGATTGATATAACACACTTTACCAAAAATCAAACAAACAAGCACCTACCAAGGTTGATGGAATGGCTCGCTTTGTACTGTCTACTTGCACAATGTTAACATATTCTTCTCCCAGTGTTTGGAGACCTGCATATTGAAAAGTAATATATATGTTTATTTAATAAATAATTCAAAATTGTGGATGTATTGTATATATGATCCTGTTAAGGAGACACTAAAAATTCTCTGCACTTGTTATTTATTTAGCCGAGTGAAAAGTTATAATTGTAAGAAATGTCAACTGATTGAAGCATGGTAAGGTTACCAGGGAGTGACTAAAGCCAATAACTCATTGCAAACCTGGCTTTAACATCAACAGTATTCCTTGATGTACAGTACCCTGTTTCAATAAGTTGTTTACTTTTAACATATGCAATAGAAATTTATCAGTTTTGAATGTACTTTTAAATAAATACCTGTGACAGTTGTAAGACCAAAATATGTGAGATCTGCGATGACATCAAGTTCTTGGCGCCACTTGATCCACAAGCTTGAACCTGAAATGGTTAATATCCAGTAGACATAATTCCATGAAAATAGCAGTCATTTTAGAAATAAAAGGTGGTGAAAAATTCGACCCTCCTTTCTGGAATATCTTTATTAATAATGAAATAATATTTTTATATCATTGTTTTGCATGCAGATGGAGTGCTCATTGTAAAAACAGTGCTGTACTCATATAACATAAACGACTATGACTTTTAGATTTCAAGTTAAAGCATTCTACCTGTCTAAGCAAAATCAAAAAAAATCATTCATTGATCCACTTCATTCACGTTGAAGAGTTTAGCACATCATGAATTAATCCCTGTCTGCCAAATAAAAGTCTTAAATAACCTGTTTAGGGCTCTCGCTAGGCTTTTATACTGTGGCACAGCGCAACAGTCTATTTAACTCTCACCAAAATCTATTGGCAAATCATGATTGTTTTCACAGTGTAAACTTGACAAAATACACAACAATAGCATGTCAAAAGGATAAAATATAACATAAATATAATTTATCATGACTGAACTGTTATGCCAAAGATGTTTCCACCACACCTTGAATACATGTATTTCCTGTTGAGACCACAACAGTCAAATGACCTCTCAATTCACTTACCAAAAGCAGACTGAAATAAATCAGCAAGATTTGCTCTGAGATAGTGTGTGTAGTACTCATCCTTCTGATTGGATCGTATCACCTCTGGAGCACCTGCCCTATGAAGCCTGGCCATCACAGTATACAAACTGTGAGGGTATAATCTAGAAGCATAGTATAGTTTGTATGTAAGGGTCAGAGAGTCTACTTCTACTACGACGATTTACAAGATTTAGATGATACATAGAAATGTGTGGAATGTATTCTTGGTACTGAGATTCTGGGAACATAATGTGAAGAAATGTATATTGTATTTAGGAAGTGAGATGGATATTTATGTATCTATAACCAACATTCGGGACATATAGCCGTATCAATTCCCAGCCTGTTCCACAAGATTAATATTAATGGATTTTTAATATTAATTTTAAAATGTTAAATATGAATTAATTTTTCGCAATGTTTTTGAAAGGTTAAAAGTTTTGAAGTTGAAGTAAGAACTTTTTGACTACACTGTATTTCTAAAAAAGTTGCTTTTTGAAAGCTTCATCGTTTAAGTTTTGAAATCAATATTAAAAATCTGTTATTTAAAAAAAGTTGTAAAGAAATGTGTGTAGTCCTAAATCTAAATCACATTTTGCATCAATCAAGCCTAAAAACAGACAAATCACCTCAGAAATATCAAGGCTACTTATGATGGTCAAATGGGGCTATTTTTTATCATTCCAGTTCAGAGTTACCACAATTTTTTGTAACAATGTTTCTAAAATTTACTAATAACCATTATGCAGTAAATTAACTAAAGTAATCAAAGGTATTCCATAAATTAAGTGATGATGATGGACCTGAAATCAGTGCGTCTCTAAAGACATACATTTAGGCAGACATACATACATACTCCTTTTGGGAAAAGTGGCTGAAGGACCACAGCAGGCCTGTCAACTTGGGAACACCTAACATGAGTGACTTGGAAATGTTAAAAACACCTCCCCTCAAAATGTGGACACCTTGGTCCAAATCTGGACACCTTGATCCAAATTTTGAACACCTTGGTTTAAATTTTATTACATCTTGCCAAATTTTGTACACCTCAAATGGGGGGGTAGGTACGAAAAATTTCGAACGGAATGCGTGACATATACATAATTCGCGTGAAAAGTCCGAACGAAATGCGGACATTTTTTTCCAGCGTTCGTATTTTTGCTGTGTAGACGATCTTTTTTAGAAATTTTTCTACAGAAATATTTTTGCTTGACAATTACCAGGTAAAATGCGTATTTGCGTGACATTTTCTGTCACGCAAAAATAACTGGCGTGACTTCAAATTCTTCAGCAAATGCGTGACAAATACGCAAATTGCGGGACAGTTGACAGGCCTGCCACAGTGCAATAACATGTACAGTGCAATATTATGTAGAAAAAATAAATTAGTTTGAGGTGCAGTAAAAACCTATGGCCACTTGTAATATAGGAAGTTCAAGTCGATTATTTTTTGTAAAGAGCATCTCAGAGAAGTATCACGAAAACAAAAGGTTACACATTTCATTAGCCATTAGTCAGACCACCAGCAAGCCTACAATACAAAGATTTTGTATCATTAAAACTGCACTTTGGTTCTTTGGTTTTGAATGCTTTTTTTGTGATTGACATGGCACATAAAACATGATCGGATAGTAGTTTAGTATCATCACATTGAAATTGAGTTTATGCCATTATTGTATTTAGATGACAATGGATTTTTTATTCTTTATTGTGATATCGAGCTTATAACACTTCTTGAGATAAAATAATATTTATGCTTGGGCGATAATAGAGATATATATTTCTAAAACATTATCAACGACGTAATTCATGGCAATAACACATGAAAATAGTAGATCAAATGTATCAATTCGCTATTCATTATAATGATGTAAATTATCTATGAGTATTTGTCTGATATACGCGATATACTTACTTTTAATGAAGATTATTCTTTTTCAATTTTTTGGGAAAGTAAACTACGACGGCTTTTAAACAGTCACGAAATTAAAAAGCAGCGCTAGCTAAGTTGCACAGATGGTGGGGCGTTCTCCATAATACAACAGATACTTGAAATACCATTAGATATGGAGAACTTCCAGTGTACAGTTGATACCTCCAACGTTTGCTTCTAAGATAAACTATCAGAGAATCATTCTGCAATTCTATAAATACGAAACACAACTGAAACCAACACTGACTGAGACAAAACTTTTGTAACTACTTTTAGAGGCATTTTCTAGTTTCTCCACATTCCCATAAAAATACCCTTTTGCTTAAAATTAATTGTTTACTCTTCAATATTTTCAGAGCTTCATCTATACTTTGATTGCAGTTTTGTATGTTCAGAAATGATTAGAAACTTTGAGCAATTTAAAAATGGCCCCTTTTCCTAAAAGCACTCTCTCGAAAAAGGCTAATTTTAATGGCCTTTTTGACATTTGAAGATCTTTTCTCTACTATGGATTCCCATTAAAGAATAAATAACAGAAAAATGTTAGAACTAGAATATCCTCTTTGGCCTCTGAAGTTTTTCTTCTTTTCATTTTCTTCTTTTATTTTTGGATTCTGTGATGCCCCTGCATTGCACTTTTAGACTCTTCAATTTCTATGTCACATTTCTGATGTTTCCTGACGTCACATTTCTGATGTTTCTGACATGTAAGTCAATTTCTCACATATTGACATATTGAATGTTTAAAATGAGTTATCAAAACAAAATATAAAAACAAATACATGGTATAATATTTTCAATATTTATTGCACTTTATTGACATTTTCATACATTTGTGCAAAATCTTAAAATGTGTGTCAAATTATGTTGATTTTAAAATTATGACAGATTCAACACTTTCTAGAATATTAGAAACTTATTGTATCTGATTGGTTGACCTTTCTCATCATACAGTAAAACATGTGCATGTAGAACACTTTTGGTAATTCAAAATAATATCCCACTTTAGACTGGAAGGTGTTCCACTTACAGAGGTTCATTCTACATTAGGTTTATAAGTAACATGACTTTAAAAAGTGTTCGACTTATGGAGGTGTTCGACTTGCTGAGGTGTTCCATTTCACAGATTTCACTGTATTACATTTGAGAAACTGTTTAGTCCATTGATTCATTTATCCAAAGGGACAGCAGTTGTAATTATGATTCTAAGTAACCCAAAATGTTTCTTATTCATAATGATCTGTAAATTGCCCCATCAACAGACTTTGGTAGAGGTATCCACTTATAAGCAGCATGACAATCTCCAATTCTATTTTACTACTCAAACATTTTTCAATTCAAGAAAACGATTAATCCATTTTATACAAAAGTGATTTCTATAACCTTTCATATTTTAACAAAAATGATGTTTTAACCAAACTAAACTAATAAAAATAGGGAAAATTAAGGATCAGGATTACAGATAATGGCCTTTTAACATCTTAATGAATCAACAAGCTGTGTATGTTCATTTTTACTACTTGTGTTTTACACAACACAAGTGGAATACCAAGATAAACAAGATTTCTTTTTTAAAAGTTACTCAGTATGTAAAATACAATTACATTTCATGTAGGGTGAAATATGTGATTCAATACATCTTAATACATGTACATTTACATTGAACATGGAAGCTGCCCTGAAAGCAGTTTTAATACATCATATATACCATATATCAGATCAGGAGTATGTTCACATTTATATGAAATATAACATTTTCATTTTTTTGTAACATCCCATAAAACCCTTTATTGAACAAAGCAGTGTGTTAATTGAATATGTGACGTGTGAATTACAACATAACGTCTGTCAAAGTTTCTCATGATCAATGCCTTTTAAAACTGACGTTATCCCAATATGTGACGAATATCCCAAGTACAAGGCGACACTAAAAACAGAACCCACAAGCCTTTGAGTAAAGGGTTAGGTTCTGAATTTTTGGGTTACCCTGTATTTTATACTGACTGGCATTGATGTCAACAAGAAAGCATTTCTACAAAAATTCATCAAAATGTATTCAAGTCTCCAATTTTTGCATGTCCATTCAAACTGGCAAAAGTACTTGTACCAAACTACAAGTGATTCAACAACTTGACCTAAAACTATTGTTAATGCTTTTAGTATGTTAAAGCTAAAATGTCCATGTTTGAGCCTGCAGTTTCATACAATGTGAAGTTTTTGTAGTTACTATTGCTTCTGTTAATTGTCTAATTATGCTGTGGATGTTGAATTAGGGTTGTTTGTGTTGACTTTCTGTAACATAGTTGAAGCTTCCTCAAAAAGCTGAAATAAATGAGAACAGAATTTAAGTTTGAATGCACCAACCATATGTCCATGGCCTAACAGGAGTTCATTAAAACATAAATTACCAAGTACTCTCTATCCAATCAAAAAGTACATGTAAAAAGCATCAAAAGATGAATGGTAGGAACTAAAAAACTATATCGTTCATATATAAGAGCATAATAATGCCAATTAAGTCAAAATAACACTGTAACTAAAGGAAACACAAATAGGATCGAATGGTCTTTTAGAACAATACTCAAAATAATTGTGGCTGGAACAAAGTATGGGGTACCTTATCAAAACAAAATGGATAGCCCAGGATTTTCCTGGAATTTTAATTACAAGATTTATGTGCTGCCTACCCCCATGCCTACACACACGCACTGACGTATGTCCATCCACTCAAGACAACAACAACATAGCACCATAAAGTGTCATAAAAAGAATCCATATGCAATATACAATGTACATATAACTTGGTTTAACTAACCTCATCCATTGGGATATCCTGAAAGAGTTCTTGAATGAATCTCCTTGCATTGAGCCTGTAGATGTAGTTGGCCAGTATGTAGCACACCTCAGAGTAGAGGCACACATCCTGGAATGACTTGGGGAATTTCTGCTTTAATCTAGTAAAATAGAGGACATCACATTTAGTTTCAAAAGAATTTATGTGAACATAGATGTAGAGGTATGATTTTGATGTCAATATTCAATGTGATTCACATTGCTTACATATTGCAATAAAATATTGCATGTATTATTTTTCACATTTAGTTTCACAAGAATCCATGTGAATATAGATGTACAGGTATTATGTATTTAATGTAAACATCAGTATCTCATACTTGAGTGGGTTTGGGGTAGATATCACCTGGGAATATATATCGTATCTGAGGAGCGGGCAGGATATATTGTATATGTCCCGCTCCAGGCCAAATGCGGGCAGATATAATATATCCATCCCGCTCCCGGGAATTTTTCAAAAGTTTAAAAAAGTTTAAATATCAAAAGTTTTAATTTTTTAATTTTAAAATTTAATTTTTTAAGTTTAAATGTTACAATTTCATTGTATTGAACAAAAAGAATATTACGAAAATGTTCAATATAAATGTCTTGTCATTTGAAAAAGGTGGAAAAGGTTATATCTACCCTAAACCCACTCAAGTATGAGATACACCAGTTATGCACGGTCGGTTTGGATACATGGAATATCCCTTGGGATATACAATACATCTTCCCTCGGTCTCTTCGGTCCCTCGGGAAGATATATTGTATATCCCTCGGGATATTCCCTGTATCTAAAACCTCCCAGTGCATAACCCCTATATATCCAATGTGATTCACATTGCATACAAATTGCAATAAAATATTGCATGTATTATTTTTTTCACATCTAGTTTCACAAGAATCTATGTGAATGTAGATATGCAGGTATTATGTATTTAATGTAAACATCAATATCCAATGTGTTTCACATTGCATACAAATTGCAAAAACATGATATTAAATCTATTGCCTAACCCATTGTAGGGTCAAGGATTTCATAGAATTGTATTTTATATTTGAGATAGTAATTCAAAAGTGAAACTAGTAGAGGGAGAGGCCAAATATACATCATCAATATCATCTTTATTTAACCTTGATATGAGATAAAAACCAAAGTTTTGTATCAAAACATTGAGCATTGAGTTAGTTGGCAACAATATCACTTGGGTTTAAAATACAAGGAGTCTGAATCTTTATTGAATTAGTCTCATAAAACATTTATACTCTAACATGGCCTCTAAATATATTAATGAAATAATCTATTGACTTACGATAATAGTCCCTGCTCAGAGCTCTTTGTCCCTACTGAGCTACTCAGAATGATAATGAGCCTGAGAATCTCTTTTCTGATCAGAACACGACCACCAAAGCTATCCTCAGTCATCTGTTTGGTATCTTAAAGGTCAAAGAAGACAATGATTAATATCAAATTAATGTCATTTATATTTACCCAGCATGCCTAAAACTTAATCAGATCTTGGTACTAGTCTGCTCTTGCATTTGTCACAAGTTGAACATGTGAGCAATTTTTGCGGAATTATGATAACATGTGGTGCCTGCCTGCCTGTTCAGATAGACAGACAGATGCACATAAACCCATCAGCACATGACAACTAAAAGTGCAATTAGTGGATGGATGGATGTTGTCATTTTCATTGAATTATAAAGCAATATTTGATCAATTTTGAGTTTAGACTTATAGACATATGGATGTTGTCAGTTTCATGGAATTATGAAGCAATATTTGATCAATTTTGAGTTTACAATTATTATCTAATAAATCAATTCCATCATTATTTAAAATATGAGATCATGGTGATACTCACTAGAATCTATACTTGTGTTACTAGTGTAACTGCTGGTTATATCACCGCTGTCAGACCTAGGTTTGCTGGTATATGGACTACCTCCTCTGCTACCTCCTCTGCTGCCTGCCCTACTGCCTGCTCTAGACCGCTGTCCTTCATATTCCATACCGACTAAGAAAAAAAATAAAGTTTCAAGTATTAAAGTCAAATATGAACATGATGGAATATAAATGACTGCCAAAGATACACGTTCCAACAGAGCTGTTCACTGTTCTCTTCTGGAGTTCTCTTTAATGTGCATTAGATTCTCCTTTCAGCCATCAAGATAAAGAAATGTCCAAAGCAGTAAAAACAGTTTCATTTTTCATGATTCAAAAAGTGCTCAATTTAAAAATCTTCCATTTTCAAATGGGACCGGGTATGAAAAATATCTAATTACTCGCTGGGTACAAAAAAATCAACTAGACAACAGCAACACAAAAGCGTAGCAAATCCCATCGAACAGCCATGGCTGGCATTTTTACAAACAAAGTATATAGCAAAAAATGGCAGCCATTTTTCAAAATGGCCACCTTCTACCAAAACTGTCATTAGACAGTGTGCCATCCATGCTTATAGTATTCACAAACCAAATATGAACAAAAAAGCTCCACTACTTTTCGAATTACAGCAAAAATTGTGAAATAACGAGTAAAGGCCGCCATTTTTCAAGATGGCTGCAATGTGCTTCTTTAATATCTAAATTTCTTACAATAGTAGGATACACGATATATTCAAATTGTGTAAACTATTCAAACAATTTTGATAAATACAAAGAAACAAGTTTCTTTTCTCTGATTGTGTGTAAATTAACATTTTTTATTGAAAGTTTAAATATTTCAAAGAACAACAGAATATTAAGGTTAAAAGAAAGACTAAAATGTTTTACTGAAAAATTACAAAACCCAAATGTATAAGGATATGTGTACTTTATCTAAAATATTTTTGATTTACATACATCCATATATATAAATATTGTACATTGATATATCACATATTTTTGTAAATTGTAATCCATGCCTTGTAAATATGTTTATGAAATAAAATCTACATTTCTAGCTTTATAAATGTCCTACATAATTTTTTTACATTTAAAACATATTGCTATTACAGTTTTACATATTGCACCTAAATTACTGTAAAATCTGCACTAAAATGGCTGCCATTTTTAAATGAGTGGCCATTTTGAAAATCGGCTTTCAAGCAGAACTTCCACTATGTGTACAAAATATGAACAATATCGGGCCAACGGTATTTGAGTTATTGCCTGGACGGACAGATGGACAGACGGACGGAGGCATTCCCTATATCCCTCCGAATTTGTACGATGGGATAATTACTCAAATAGATGCAAGTCAATATCTAGTAATTACTCAGCTAAGTATTGCATGTATTTAATGTATTTTCAACTGGGTGAAAGGTAATATTCAATTTCTCAATCGAGTGCGTTAAGCTTCAATGCTGGAAAAATCACTGCACTTACTAAATGGCTCTTCCATGATTTCAACAAGGCTCACTGAGGTATCTGTGACTACCTTCTTGACACCTTTGGAACAGCCTATACATGTCTTATCATTGTGGTATTCAAGGCCATCATCCACCTGAGATGCACTACGTCTGAAGAACCCTACTCCTCCATCTGTAGCTGCAAGCATATAAAGAAGTTGTGAATGGTTTTAGATACAGGGTTTATCCCAAGAGAAATATGTGTTTTTATTTGCAATTTTGATTTTAAAAATGAAGGAGCAGGTTAGGGATGGACCCTAGGTCAAAGTGCCAGGGAAAAAGTACTAAGCTTAATAACAATAACAAAAAAATTGAGCTTAATACTACTTTTCCCTTACCCTATGCCAAATGTATATTTTCTACCTTGAACCTCAGTAGTTATGGGATAAGTAGTACAGTAGTACTATAAAACATTACTTGTAAGCATAAACATTTTATTTTTGTCACTGTCTCAATACAATCAATATTTTCCAGTTAACTCCGTGTAATAATATAAAAATATAAAAGTTCATGATTACTATCCTTTGCTGATAACATCAACTCACCTGATGCTGATTTTGGTGTGGTTGGGTCAACATTAGTTTCCTCTTTATCTACAGCTACTGCAGGACACCTGGGGTCTTCACCTTCTGTTACCTATAGACAATAAACACAATTAATTGTTTTTCATTGTTATGAGTCTGGGTGCTGGATGACTAATAATAGAACCACTCTCTGGACTACTCTCCTTATAGAGAATTATGCCTACGCTGAAGTATACACTTTAGGATAGGTGTGGAACTTGATATATCTCCTAAATCATAGACTAGAATATGCCTACAATAGTATATGCCTACAATAGTAGGACTATAGGGACATAATATTTGTCTCTCTAATCTTTAATACAGTTACTGTTGACACTTTATGGACATTGAACCCCTCTCTTCAAATTCGAGTGGTAAAATAGATGGCAGTGGGGCTGGACCATGTATACATTTTTATACTTTTTTACAATGTAATGTTTTTATTACAGTTTAACAGTAATGACTTACAAAATGATTAAATGAAGAACCATATATTAAAAACTTTTGATTGAATTTTTCAATTTTAATCTGTTTTAATAGAGTGAAATACAGAGTATGTCCCACATGGTCAAAAAATAAAGGTATGTCCCATTATTGCATCATTTAGACAAAGTGACACAGATTTTCAAACAATTGGCAAGTAATTTTCAATTTTTCAAAAGGATGCAGCCCCATTTGCTCTAATGCTGGGAGATCACTGGATTTACAATGGGAGATCACTGGATTTACAATGGAGAGATCACTGGATTTACAATGGGAGATCACTGGATTTACAATGGAGAGATCACTGGATTTACAATGGGAGATCACTGGATTTACAATGGAGAGATCACTGGATTTACAATGGGAGATCACTGGATTTACAATGGGAGATCACTGGATTTACAATGGAGAGATCACTGGATTTATAATGGGAGATCACTGGATTTACAATAGGAGATCACTGGATTTACAATGGGAGATCACTGGATTTACAATGGGAGATCACTGGATTTACAATGGAGAGATCACTGGATTTACAATGGGAGATCACTGGATTTACAATGGAGAGATCACTGGATTTACAATGGGAGATCACTGGATTTACAATGGAGAGATCACTGGATTTACAATGGGAGATCACTGGATTTACAATGGGAGATCACTGGATTTACAACTGGATTTACAATGGGAGATCACTGGATTTACAATGGAGAGATCACTGGATTTACATTGGAGAGATCACTGGATTTACAATGGGAGATCACTGGATTTACAATGGGAGATCACTGGATTTACAATGGAGAGATCACTGGATTTACAATGGGAGATCACTGGATTTACAATGGGAGATCACTGGATTTACAATGGGAGATCACTGGATTTACAATGGGAGATCACTGGATTTACAATGGAGAGATCACTGGATTTACAATGGGAGATCACTGGATTTACAATGGAGAGATCACTGGATTTACAATGGGAGATCACTGGATTTACAATGGTGAGATCACTGGATTTACAATGGGAGATCACTGGATTTACAATGGAGAGATCACTGGATTTACAATGGGAGATCACTGGATTTACAATGGGAGATCACTGGATTTACAATGGAGAGATCACTGGATTTACAATGGGAGATCACTGGATTTACAATGGAGAGATCACTGGATTTACAATGGGAGATCACTGGATTTACAATGGAGAGATCACTGGATTTACAATGGGAGATCACTGGATTTACAATGGGAGATCACTGGATTTACAATGGGAGATCACTGGATTTACAATGGAGAGATCACTGGATTTACAATGGGAGATCACTGGATTTACAATGGAGAGATCACTGGATTTACAATGGGAGATCACTGGATTTACAATGGGAGATCACTGGATTTACAATGGAGAGATCACTGGATTTACAATGGAAGATCACTGGATTTACAATGGAGAGATCACTGGATTTACAATGGGAGATCACTGGATTTACAATGGAGAGATCACTGGATTTACAATGGGAGATCACTGGATTTACAATGGAGAGATCACTGGATTTACAATGGGAGATCACTGGATTTACAATGGGAGATCACTGGATTTACAATGGGAGATCACTGGATTTACAATGGAGAGATCACTGGATTTACAATGGGAGATCACTGGATTTACAATGGGAGATCACTGGATTTACAATGGAGAGATCACTGGATTTACAATGGGAGATCACTGGATTTACAATGGAGAGATCACTGGATTTACAATGGGAGATCACTGGATTTACAATGGAGAGATCACTGGATTTACAATGGGAGATCACTGGATTTACAATGGGAGATCACTAGATTTACAATGGAGAGATCACTGGATTTACAATGGGAGATCACTGGATTTACAATGGAGAGATCACTGGATTTACAATGGGAGATCACTGGATTTACAATGCATTGAGTGAGATTGCATCTAAGACTGAGAGATATTTCAGGAACTTCCCATTGTGATACTCATCACATTTTTTTCCATGTCTCATAACAACAATCCAATCAAAGGTTCTTGAAGTTTTCTGGAAAAAGTTAGGTTCAATCCCCATTGATGCAATGTTAAAATTCTTTAAAAAGTTGATTTACTCTCAAAGATCATAATTAAATGGTAAAATCAAAATATGTCAGGGGGTTTCATATGTATGCACCCCCTCTAAACTCATACATGTAGCATTGCCACCCTATCATGTTATATACCACTCTGTTTATTGTGGAAAGTTACATAAGATTGCAAAGTTTCGGAATCAAAGGGTGTCCCTGAAAAAAGATGTAAGTACAATGTGTCAAAGTATGTGGGAACGGGTTATTGAGAAAGCAATGTCTGGTCATTTTGCACATTTCTAGCAGTTGTCATCGTGGCAGAGTTCAGTCCAAATGTCTGTGAAAGTTATGCACAAAGATATATTGCCAGGATTCATACAGTGGCTTATAAGGAGGTCAGGAACCATGATACTGCCTTTATCACTAAAAATGGGCTGTGTACAAAGTATATATATTACTGGACTGGGTGCAAAAATGCTCATAGGGTGCTTATAAATGACTGTACCCGCATACTTTGATACATCTTTGTTCTTTTTTCAGTGACATTCCTTGATTCTAAAACTTGTGATAAGTAACAAAATGATATATAATATGATAAGGTGGCAATGCTACATGTATGAGGTGCATACATATGAAACACCCTGTATATGTGAATAAGATCATCTAGTTGCACAATATTTGATTAATCAAAATATTAAAGTAACTTTTACTATATATTTATGTCAAAGTATTCTAGCCCAACCAAAGCTGCTCCTGCCATCTATTTATCAGACTACTTACCTATGTGGTCAATGAACAATCTGTATACTTCTTACTATTCACAATACATTATTGATATCAATATATGTTTTTAGTAACTGTCAACATTATTTTCACCGAAAAAAATTCAAATGGGATTGACAGATGCAGCATATTGAACACAATATTTTATTTATGCGTGCATTGAAACTAGAAATCATTGGTCTATTGATATATAGCAAATGAGAATTTTGTTTTTAGAGAATCTATACTCATACTTATGAATAAACAATAGCCCAATAAAAAGTTATGACACATAGCAAATGAGTATTTGCTATACTTATGAATTAATAATAGCCTAATAAAACACTAGAAAATGGCAACTCAACAGAGTATGAAATCTCAGCGAACGAACTCTTATTCATTAATGTGGATATAACATATAATTGTGTAGCAAGCCAGTAAGTGGTCACACATAAAATTTCAACAAAATCACTCCACTACTCTTTAAGTTAAAGAAAAATGTAACATAAGAAACCCACATAAAAATGGCAGCCAAAAATAAATAAAAATAACAAAAAACAAAAAAACTGGAATTGGATTGATGGAGGTTCTAAAACGTGCTACTATTGTTTTTTAAATCATTTTATTTAGCCTAGGATTTACAGTTTACACTATTATATCCCCTAGGGGTCTACATATAAAATTTTGAGATGTCATGCAATAAGTAAGACAGTTTTATATGGTTATAAAAATCTCCACTATTGTTGACAGACAGACGGACAAGTGAGGATTTGCAATAGCTCACCATGTGAGCTAAAAAATATGAGAACCTAGCATAAAGAAAAAAGTAAAATTTAGAACTAAGTATAAAGCAAAGGTAAGGTTTATCAAGTGTCTACAATGCTTAGAAAAAAGTATTTAATTGTTTTGGCAATTGTCGCAACAATAATAATTGAAAAATTAATTTTAGATTGGAATAAGTATGGAACGATATCAAATATACAAGGAAGTGGAAATCTGGATAAGAGTGTACTTACTCAGTACAAGAATCAAACAATACAATGTACTTCTGCACAAAATCATTCACAGGACCCAAAACCTAGACGTAAGTTTCTGACATTATTTACAACATTTGCAGATGCAGAACCTATTCGATATAAAGTGCAAAACAACACAATATGCAACTACTTGAACTTTCCAGAAGATTTAGTACATCTTGTTGCATTTGTTGACAAGGCTGCCTACCAATATCAGTTCAATGAAAACATCAGCGTATGTGGTAACCACAGTAATTTTGATATAAAAAGATGGCACTTGGTGGTCCTTCCAAAATCAAGTACTTATCTAGACAGGCCTTTCCTCAAAGACATGTTCATATATGTAATGAGAGAATTTGACAGTGAATTATACATGTATACAAATGGAGACATTCTTTATCCATGGGGTCACCTACAAAGAAGTTTCCAAGCTGTTACTTCATATGTAGAAACACATAAACTACATGAATATATCATATTTGGATTACGGAGAGAAGTGCCATTCTACTCAGGTTCAGGTTTGGATGTAAAACAACTTAATACTGGAGATGCTGAGGAAATTTTGAACATTGGAAATGACACTGAGCCTACACGACCATATGCCTTGGATTATTTCGTCACAAATAAAACAAGCTTTCCATGGCACACAATACCTGCATTTATAATTGGTTCAGTGAGATTTGATGACTGGTTAGTTATGTATGCAAACAAACTCAAAATTCCTATTTTTGACATAACACAGTCTACCCCAGTGGTACACCAGGCAGGCATCCCCAAAATTGGTGACAAAAGGGGTGAGGATGCTAATAAGTACAACACCAAGCTTTTTGAAGAATCTGTAGGTCCTTATAATAATGGAAAAATTAGTGAATGTGCGCATTTGAGGACACTGTTGATAAAGCAAGAAGTTGAAGTCATTAAAAACAAGGACTATCTCGCAAAATGCATTCATGCGAAAATTCTTTACATTCCAATATTATGACTGTACTTGATGCATTTTAGGGCTCCTATAGTGGCTGGCTGGCTTTTAATTCTTTAGGTGATATTCTATAGTATTCTCTCACTCATAGGTATCTACTATATACAGAAGTACAAACTTTGACTTGGAAGAAAATACTGAAATATGCTTGAAAATTATGAGTTCTAATTTGGTTATATCAGAGGCATTATCTGCTGACATTTGTCTGCCATTATGGCATTTATCTGTAAACTTGTATCTCAGCTATTATGTAATATTATGTCCAGTAAAGCTGTGGTCTTTCGTAATTTCTATCGCACCCTTGAATAGAATAGAGTTTTTGGGACAGAAAGTCCAAAATGGCCTCCTTAACATTTACCCAGGATGACTAAAAACTAAACTTTCATATCAAGAAGAATTCCTTTACATTTCAGATCAATCCATCAAACCGTTTGGCTTGAAATGTGTGGACTAACTTGACAGACGACTAACTTAGGACGAAAAAGCCAAGATGACTAATCAGTTTCTGGAGTTTCACACCAAGAAACATCTGTAAACGTTTCAGATCAATCCATCAAACAGCTTGGCTTAAAACATGTAAAATAGACTAACAGACAAGATTTTAATGTAAATGTTAATGGTGGCCATTTTGGACTTTCTGTCCCCAATTCTATCCAAGAGTTTGATACTGTTTACCTCTTGTCTTGTTTTTATCTTGATATAGACATTTAACCACAAATTGTGTTTTTTCCATATGTACAGTAGATAAATAATGACAGCTTAAGGCAGACGAAATAAGGCCTGCAACACTTGACATCAACCTTTGACAACCATTCAAATCAACCTTTGACACCAACCATTTATGTCAATATAGTTGTCATTTTACATGTAATTAAAAATACAGTAATTAAACTGTTTACGCAATGATAAACCAAGTTCAATACAGGGTGAGCAATAAAACTGGACACATTTTTAATGAAGGACCCACGGTCCTATGCTCACACAGTTTGGAACCTTCAGAGGAATTTATATCCTGACTTTCAAACAAAAATATTGATTTGGATTTGTAGTCTCGAACTTTGAGAAACTTAGATAGCATAGTTATGTGACCTAGTTTGATGACCTTTGACCTTGAAAATTTTACTTATTCAGAGCTCAGTAAGGTCTTTTGTGATTAAGCTGACCAAAATTTACATCCAAAAATCAATTTGAAAAATCAACTTTTTTGACCTTTCAAAGGTCACTGAAGGTCAAGTAAAGGTCAGATCCTAAAACTAATGTCAGATTTGAACTCCTGGCAACTTGTAGATGATTTTCCAAAAAAAATTGGTCAAATTGAAGCAAGTTGAAAAATAACTTATTTTTACTGTTTTTTGACGTCAAATATTTCAAAATGGTAAAAATTTGATGCTGACATATATTGAGAAATATGTAGGGAATGCTTAAATCTATTAATGATGTACTTTATTGCAGGAAATGATCAAGTATAAGGCAAACTTTAAGAATCTTGTCAATCACAAAACCTGCCATTGACTTTATACAAGAGAAAGTTTCCTGAAAATGATTAAGTCCTACTTTTTTTCAAATTTTATAGAGTAAACACCAAAAACCGTAATTCCAAGAGCTTTGAAATCTTCAGAGGACATAAGTTGCATATACACCAACTACTAAAAGTTATTTGAAAGTTCTACTTCAACAAAGTGTCTAGTTTTTACAGAAAAGTTGACTTTTTGACGTCAAAATCCGCAATTTCTCGGAAACCGGGCGAACTTGGGAAATGGCGATGATAGGTCAAATAGGCATTATGGATATGCATAAAATGAATGTGGATATGACTCAATCCGAATAGCAGTTTTAATTTGTGCGGCAAATGTTGACGGACGGACGGACCAACGGACGGATGGACAGACGGACCAACGGGCGGACGGACCAACGGACGGACGCCTGGTCAATCCCATAGGCTCACTGTGTGAGCCAAAAACAAACATTATATACCTACAGATTTGTAGAAGTTAGGACAGTTTGTGATTGTGGTGTCACAATTCACAGATTTTACAATCTAAAAAAAAAGAGTGTCTACTAAAATAAAACAATGGAAAAATAAGGAGAAATAAAGAATTGTACAAGAATTAGATAAATTGTAAAAGAATCTGCAATTTCAGAAGCTGTTTTTCCAGGCAACACATCACATTTCTTGCCAAACAATACATGTACAGAAATGTTCAAACTTTACACTCCCTAATTTTAATGATAATTGGTTCATATCTGCTCTTTTAAAAAGAATATTATATGAGTGTCCAATTTTTTGCCCATCCTGTATATTTTAATTAAAAATAACCTTACCTGGAATATCATCATGATGTCAACTGGTAATGCTAAGCCAACATACTCTGCAACTCCTGATGACTTCTTCCCTGTCTTGGGGAGATTGCTAACTATGGTATATCCCCCTGGACTAGCAGGACCCTGGAGATCTAATGGGTCTTGAAGCATACTGTCGTGTAGTGAGATATAGCTCAAGTTTTTGTTCCTATAGTATGAAAATACATTTACATGCACACACATTCAACAACCAATGTCTCATCGCATGTTTTTGTTTATATTATAGAACAGTGTGGGAAAACAATGTGTTTTCATTTATATTATAGAACAGTGTGGGAAATCAATGTGTTTTCATTTTTTATATTATAGAACAGTGTGGGAAAACAATGTGTTTTCATTTATATTATAGAACAGTGTGGGAAAACAATGTGTTTTCATTTATATTATAGAACAGTGTGGGAAATCAATGTGTTTTCATTTTTTATATTATAGAACAGTGTGGGAAAACAATGTGTTTTCATTTATATTATAGAACAGTGTGGGAAAACAATGTGTTTTCATTTATATTATTGGACATTGTGGAAAACAAGGTTAATTTTGTGATACCTTAACACCCCTCTCAAGCTCCCCATATGATAAAATAAGGCATTGACAAGCAAATTGTTACCACCTGCCATTTGTTACAGACATAGACTGCCAAACACTGTCCACAAAAAAATTGGGAGACTATTACAATATACCACTACTTGTGGTGGTGACATAAAAATATTGATTTGCCATTTACTGGATTTCGAGTTTTAATTGAAAATCAAAATTTTTTACGAATGAAATTATGATTTACCACTCCCTTTAGCGGATCTAACTTTGTTTTCCACGACTGTTGCCAATTGACAATCAATTACTCAATTAATAATTAATGATGTTTTTCTCTTTAGAAATGTATATTGTATTGAAATATGAAATTACATAATTGCTTTAAATATATCCCAATTTTCTGTTATTTAAGCTATTTAGTACACATAATGACAACACAAATTGTACTCACAAGTAAGGCATACATTAATCTAAGCTATGTTAAAGTGTGATTTCAACAGCAAGCAAACATCATCAATGTGGTGGCTAAAGGTTTCAAAATGAATCAAAGATTTTGAAATCAGTTATAATTCTAAATCTGGTCCCTAAAAATCATTTTAAAAAATGTGTTATTTGTGTCTATCACTGCATTGCAAAACACCATGCATTTAGAGAACAGGATGCAATGTTACCCATGTACATGTAGGTAATTGCTGGCCATTTAGAACAGCCATTTGTTAAACCTTTACCCACATAGACAGCCTGTCCTCTAAATAATCAAATGAAAAATTGGTAGTCAATATAATGCGTATTTGAAAGCATGTAGCTTGCGTTACTTCAAAATGGGCATAGTTTTACTGCAGACTTAATATATGAGAACTACACGAATCTCACACATATTAGAAAAAAACTTTTCACAGATTAACTACTTTACACATTGAGAAACTACTTTGCACATCTAGGAACTAATGAACACACACCATTCACATAGCAGAGATTAATAACACCTCACCTTTGCCACTCTAACCTGAAGTCTAAACTCCGTGTTTTCTTCATTGCATTGTCTAAGTCATCATATGGAATGTCTAAGTCTGGATCCTCATTTGTGCTTCTAGTTCGTTGTCTGTGACGTAATGTTTTTAATGTAGCATATCCCTGAGCATCCAATGTACTGGTGTATGAGAAGGTATCTGCACGTATTATGGGCTTACCTTCCTGTGTTTTTAAAGGGCTGGATAGATTGATTCCTGGGTTTGAAAAACGCCGCCTAAGACTAGGAACTCGTCTTAAATTGGCCAGCCTCCTGATTGGCTCTGATGGATGAATCGGTTCAGAATCTACGGAATATTTCTCATTGGTATTTATTGAAGTTAGACTAGGTATAGGTGTCAGCTCTGATGCTTCTATACACATCTTTGATTCACGTCCTGAGTCGTAAGAACTCACTCCACTGGTCGTGCTGTTATCAGTGTCTGATCGACTTTTAGATTTGGAGCTTTCATCACTATTGCTCCGCTCATCTCTGTAGCTACCACCCCTCCTTTTCAGCTCAGGGGTCCCGCCCACTGGCCTGCTTTCACAATTAATATTTGCACTTCTAGATTTCACACCATGAGAGGAATGTTTATGAGGGCTTCTCATTACAACTGGTAGTTCATCTGAAGCTGGTTCTTCATCCCCATTCAAGACATCAGTGCTTTCATAAAGCACTTGTAAGCCAGCTTTCAAGTCACTTTTATCACGTTTAGTCACTGGCAATGTGGCTGATTTCTGACTAGGAGTTAAATGATTTGTTTCCCTTGTTTCTGAATCCTCAGTGATTATGCTTGGCTGTGGAGGTAAACTACTCGATAGCGTGGTCGAGTCAGATCGATCTCTCAAGGATTCGCCATCAGCTTCAAAACTGAACACTGGCGGCTTACTACATGGACTGGTAGGAGCGGATGATCGCATACTACTTGAGCGTAAACGAATATCAGGGTCAAATATTGAGGGTATACTACTGCATGAGAGATTAATTGAACTTGCATTGGATGGGAATTCGCTGAGGACTTCATCGAAATAATCCTCTTCATCTGCTATGGGCCAGGGGCTGCAATGGCTATGGCGTACAGACTCCCAACCATACTCCTGTAATTTGTCAGCACCAGGAGAAGTGGAGCCAATCAAGCCAAGCACATAATACGCAGTCCTAAAATAACATTGAAATTTCTTAATGAATGAAAAAACAATTCTTTGAACAAAGTAAATGAGTTAAAGGAACTCAGACTTGAAATTGTCAAATAATATTTCAACCTATTGATGCACACCAATGTAGCGATGAAGTAGAAGCACAATGATCATGATCCAAATGACATTGAATGCTTGTAAAGAAATCATGACTGCCTTTCCTCTATAAGCAGTAATTAAAACATTTGAACAGAAAAAAAATCTGTCTGGTAATATTCACAAAAAAGCTTTTACACATTAACTAATTAATTTAATACTTTATGAATTTTCACTGTTTTTACTCATGCAAACTCTAAACCATTGTGTTCAGCCAAACCATTGTGTTCAGCCAAACCATTGTGTTCAGCCAAACCATTGTGTTCAGCCAAACCATTGTGTTCAGTCAAACCATTGTTTTCAGCCTGCTAAAACAGAACTCTTTCTGTAAGTATTTAATTATTTTAGTTAAAGGTGTATGAGACATAAATGTAAATCCTACCCTCTTATAGAGAAAACACCACACTCTTCCGCTAGCTTGATGATGTCTGTGATTACACTTTCCTCCTCAAGTAGTGAGATACCCCAAGATGACGTCCCGATGTGTCCCGTTACCCATAATGCAGTTTTCAATTTAAGAATGTCATCATCGGTAGCTAACATTTGAAATCGGACACATTGGAAATAGCCCGATAAATATGATTGTTTCTCTAGAAGTTGAGCACCCTCTTTATGTTGAATGAGCTGCCCATAGAGATGGACGGGAACATATACTGCCCTGCCACCTATTTGTTTGCCCGAGACACGGGTATATGAACCATCTGAGGCACGCTCATATGTTGTGAATGCTTCATTCAATTTCTCTTCAACAATCTTCACATACTTTGTATTGAAACTCTGAAATGAGATGATTTATGAAAATTTCAGTGCCTGTGATTCAGAAATGTAAAAATTACTAAAAATGATGAAAAATTGAACGAGTGAAATTAATTCATCAGATTCAGAATCTTTGGAAACAGCATGTCAGAATAAAACATAATGCATAAAAGATACAAAAATGAGAATTAATCTGGTCTACCTCGTGCCATTTATCAAGTTCGTTGTTGATGTAGTTGGCATCTCTAAGGAACTTGAATCCAGAGGGAATAGAGAGGAATCGACACAGAAGGAGTGCCCCTTTGTCTCCCAGGTGAAGCATGGAAGGACGCATCTGGACCAGTGATGCAAGATTGGCCTGAAAGACAATACAGATTAAGATTATGAGAATTTGTTAAAATCACATAAAATTCAGAATTTTTATTCACATATTTTTATCCCAATGGTGACAGAAGTAAATCAATTTTGTTATCTTTTAAGATAGACTGAGTTTCTTTTAATGATAAGAGCACATCAGCCTCAAAGCTGCACCTTAATCTGAAAGCCTATTGAACACTCTGCTAAATTCAAATCTCACCTCATTCTCACAGGCCTCATCCAAGACACTGATGGCTTCTAGAGCCACCATCTTGGACTGGTCATATAGCTGAGTAACCAACAGCTCCATTCCCCAGCTGCTTAGGAAAGGCACATTGGCTCGGAGTAGAACGCGTAAAAAGCTTGCTGTGTACAATCTTGCGTTCTGAAATATTACAAATAAAGGTTTAGTTCTTTAGAATAGTATGTGTATATGTACTGATGTGTTTTTTCTTATTCCTGTTAAATACATTCGAATATACAACAAATAGACTGCAAAAGTTAAAAACATCTGTGGTAGTACTGATGTGTCCATACTGATGAAATAGATTCAGATGGATATCATTTCTATTGAAGGTACCAATCAAAAACAGCCTGGTCAAACAGACCTGTTCCCCATCAAAATTAGGTGGTCCGTAACAAGATGTGCTGGTCAAAATGACCAGCATTTCAAAAAAGGTGCTGGTCTGTATAAAGTCTCACTGGTCAATAAATTCATGATTGTTTTAACCACTTAACACTGTTTCAACATCTCTATTGTAGGATTTATAATTGTAACACTAAGAAAATCAAAATCTGAGAATAAACATAGTTAGTTTATTTTTTGTACTCAAACGGTACATGTTTAGCGAACCCTCCCCCTCAAACAGTGATATCAGAGGTACAACCTCTTTCAGTTTTTAACCGAGTATTACATACAATTACCGAAGGCCCATAAGAAAAGCCCATAAAAAAGCTAGGCGTTCGGTAATTGTATGTAATACTCGGTTTAGCGAATTGATTCTAGCGAGAATTAAATGTTCTACTTCCTAAAGGAAGTTTTGAAAAATGAACCAGATATCTGCTGAATACGCTCATGTCAAGGTAAATATCGATCAAGACGACCACAAACAATAGAGTAAACCTGCGGACACATATTCTAGAGGTATGTAGGTATCATAAAAACAAGCTGGTCCAAAGGTCCAGCAACTGTGGAACTTTTGCCGGACCGGAGGACAATCAACTGGTCCCTGACCGCCGGTCCGCTCATTAATGTTAACACTGGTACCAATCTACATCAGTAAAACTGTTTTTTCAAGAGTAATAATTCATGTTAACATTTACAGCCATAATTAACAGTATGAGTTAATTTACATAATCATATCACAAAAACGATGTCTCCTTTATGGGTTAGAAGAATTATGAATGAGAATATCAGGAGTGGGCAGTAAATCTTATGTTTAAAAAGACACATTTCTAACAGACACATGTTGAAATGTGAACACTTTTCCAGTTTCATTTTCGGAATGCTACATTGATTCCCATGCTGGAAAAAAGCCTCAACACAGAAAAACCTTTTCAATCTTGATTAGCAGGTGTTGACTGAAAAAGGCGTTCACATTGAGAGTATTGGAGAGTTGTCCAGATTTTACATAATCTCACCTCAGAAGTAGCCGTCAGTGCCTTGGAGAGTATTATTCTAGTGATCCCATCTCTGGAGTAATCTAAGCTCGAGACTATCAGTTTCACATATGTATCATGTGTGGTAATGGTGACTAGGTCTAATAAACTGAAAGTATAATTTTTTAGTGTTTCTTACAACAGGTTATTTTCAAATAGTACCATGATATTTAAACACAAGTTCATTGTATTTAATTAGGCTATGGAACAAAGTGTTCATGCTGAATAATACTCTTGACAATATGAAAATGTACCTGGAAAAAAACATATTTGTTCCGTTCAAATAAATATCTTAAAAATGCGAAAAACTTTCCATAAAACATTACTTTCTCATTCTTATCACTCAAGTTATCAAATATATTTCTAAAAAGGAAAACATATATTCATCAGAAATCTTACTATTGAATCAAGCCTGTTTTCTGTAATATCTCCTCTCCTTTAGCTGAGAAAGTGAATCTTCCCATGAGAAGGAAATAATCTTGGCACAATGTGTTGATCACATTAGAGGGGGAGAGGAGAGCATCTAGTGGAGCACGCTCTGAGCGAATCTGAAATAGAGAGAGGATATAATATGATACATGCATGGACCCTGAGGCAATATCAATTCTGCTTACTGAATTTATCAACATATCTAGGAAAATACCATCGCAACTTATTTTTAAGTCAGAGAGGATACATTATTTGACGTAAATCTCTGGGGCAAGTGCAGTGAAGTAATGTAGACTCATTTCATATAATCTACTAATATGTATTAGAAATAATTAAAGGCACAAAAAGCTTCAACTTTGTTGCATATGGGACTGGTAAATTGTAACCCACACAAGGTTACAGGAAGAATGAACATTAATCATATCCACTTACCTCTGAAAGACAGCTAGCTATATCTAAAAACAATTCGTTGATATATGTTTGAGCCTCCGTCTCTTCACAGCTAAGAAGAAAGTCAACAAAATGGCACCCTGCGACCGAGAATAGCTTGGCATCCTTATGTGACTGTTCTATAGAGGCGTATTGTCTACTGCTAGGTTTTAAAAATTGTGTTAACCGCTGCACAAATCTTATACTAATCTGGTCATCTAATTTCTTTAGGTTATCATCTGGCCACTGAAAAAAGTATTTTTTGTATCTTAATGAGTAGAATGTGAGAACATATGCTTAGTAATCAATTGATTCATAGCCTAAAAACATAAGTCAGCAAATAGTTCGGCTTTGGTTACTGAAATTGGTGAGAAATAATAAGAGAAATGGCTCTGCTACTTGGTAGTATGTTTAACAAAGACAAAGTCAGTTTTTTGTTTAACGTAAAAAACATCATCCAGACAGTACAGGTGGTTTTGATCTATAAAGGCCTTCAACTAGATCATGGAAATGATTCTCTGAGCACTTGAGTTGAATTACATGAATATGATAGAAAATGGTGCGTTACTTACAGAAAGTATAGAGCTGATAAGTTGTATGTCCCACTTGTACCAATCTTGACTAGAGAGGATCTTGCTATCTTTGATTGCCTGGCTGACTAGGTCATCATTTTCCTAACAATCCAAAAACATACACTAAACATTTAGTTATTGAAAACATTGAAAAAATGTCTCCAGTTTAGGATGATTTTCTTTATAGTGTGAAACATACTTTTATTCAGTTGGGGTAGTTTTAGTAGGATACAACTAACTGTAGTCCATTTTTTATCTAACTAATAAAGTTTATCCAATTTGAAGCAGTCTTTTTGTTTTGGCTAACTGTATTCACAAAAAGTTATTTCATTTCATAGCTGAAATGTAAAGTGCATCAAAATAGGCTGAAGATAGCACTAACATGTTATGTTCTATGATAAATCATTGAAAGGAAACAAAAGAATAATCTAAAGTGTATATAAAGGAGATTAACATTAGTGCATATGTACAATCATGTCTCAGTAGATTATATAAACTAAAGTGAACTCCCAGATGCACAAATGAAAATCCTTTGAGTTGAAGATTTTGAAAATAGGATTTCATGAACATTGCTGTCTTGCTAAGATTAGGTTAATTAGAATTCTTAAAGAACACTACATGTCAATATTTCCAGTTGCATGTTATGTGTAAAGATTAAAGAATCAAAAAAGTGTCAGTAGTGTGGGTTAAACACAAAAATCCATCCTGTACCTCCACACACATTTCTATTTTGCTTTCTGATTGAACTTACCACTCGTACCTTTGAAATGCACTGCAAAAGGTTAAATTGTGTAAGTTTAAGTGGCCTGTTTTTCTCCTTTGGGGCAGCTGCTCTTGACTGTTGTAGAATTTGATCGAGATAAAGACTTGCTGGAACGGTACCCCGCTTCTTGAGGGCATGAATCTGACTTAACTGGTTAATAGCCATGCTAGCTTGTCTGAAACCAGAATACTTTTAATCATGACTTATTATAACATACACAATAAGTAAAATGGCCAATACTATTCATATACTAGTATGATTCAATAAACTATAGATTTTAAAGTTTAATTCACTGATCCGAATGACTTTAGGTGGAGTGGCTAGCTTTTTTCTATAGTTTCCCAACTGTGGAGAAGGTTGAACAATTAATTGGCATGGTCTCTTTTTTCACCCTACTTGTTCTAAATCAATGAACATAAAAATGGAAAATTGACATGATTAGCAAGAAAAGTATCTAGAATAAGACTATTAAGCTACATCTAGTTCCTTAGACTATGAGTTGACTTCTCTTGACCAATCTTTGTTGGTCTTCCTCACTTAAACCATGATACAAACAATGCAATACATACAATATATATCATATTTATAGTTAGAGGACACTGTGAATGAACTCACTGTCTAAGTTGAGATGTGACCTGGAAGGAACTTGCCACTGCAACCAAAGTTGGGAGACAGTGGCTGTGTTGACTGCACTCATGAGGAATCACTGAATTAGCCTACAAGAACAAAATATTTATGTGTGTCATCAATTGTGCAAAATGAATCAAACTTTATTTTGTATTATTGTGTCTTGTTCACTATAATTTTTGTTTTTGTCTTTTCTTACCTAATCTATTTTCTAACCAATTCAAAATCACATGATTAGAAGATCCAGAAGTTCATCCAACACATTGATATTTAAAATAAAATATTCACAAGTTTAGAACATAGAACTTCACCAATTAGAATGGTTGCCATGATAACAAATCAATATTTACTTACAAGATAAAGAAGTTCACCGAGCAGAATGGTTGCCCTGACAGCAAGGTGTTGATCCTGGGACACCACTACTTCAACAAGACCCTGAAAATATAGAACAGGTGCCAGTCACAGGTGGGGGTCCTGTTTCTGGGATATCAGGGTGATCAGGCTAAAAGGACCAACCTTGAGAAGTCTACCATTGGGATGTTCATAACTGAAATATATTTTACTTAATTTATGAAATTAAAATATATATTTTACTTAATAGCTACTGAATTTGTGATCAGAAAAATACACAGGTATTAAAATCAGTAGAATGAAAAGTTTATATAAGTACTAACTTGCGCCTACAAAATCTATATAAAATACAAATGCATTGAGTGAATATATGTGAATTTATTATATCACTGTCATATTCCTCACTCTCTTACTGGTCCATGTCCTACACATGACTAAAAAATAACTAGCGATATTCAACGGAAGTCACGTGACTACTGGTGAATATCAAATGATATTCAACGGTCATGACTTATACATAAATATTATACAAGTGTTAATGGCAGTGCTAACAAGGAGTCATCTCAGAATGGAGATTTGAAAAACATTCCCAACCCTGTTTCCCACATGGCAAATACTATTTTTATGGATATAGTCCTGAGTAAGGACACTGGCAGTTACCGTTAGTGATTTGGTTTTCTGTATAAAAAGTCATTTTTCTCCTTTCCTACCCCATTTGAGTGCCATCTGGCATTTGGGAAGTGAATCGGGACTAAATATTTATAAGGTAGGTCCTAATTTATCTGAAAACATGTCAAAGTTCAGTGGGAAATCTCATTTTAAGCTGGTGGCGGAGTGATTTTGACCTTGGTGATTTTACCAGAATTCTCTGAGAAATCTGACGATTGAGGGTGTTAGTGTCTTCAAGTTTATTTATCTCAAAATTTCAGTGGACAACCCATGGTACGATTGTTATAGCAGGCTAGGCGAGTCTCTCCCGAACACTGTGGTATGTTGCACTAGGCTTGGATACTAGTCGTTAATAAGATACAGGGTAAAATGTTATAATGGCCATCTATGGGAAACTCTACTGGAGTCTCCAAACTATAAGAAGGCGCTTTTTGGGGGTATTTTGTAGGTTTTATCCCCTTTTGAAGTTTTTAAGTTCATTAAGAAGCCTAATAGCGCATATCATATTAAAGGACTGTATCTTAGCTAAACAATGGTACCAAAATCGTGACATTTTGAAGCAACTTTGGTGTGTTTGGGGCGAGCCCATTGTGCCAAGTACCCCGAATTCCATTCTCCCGTGCCATTCAATTGTCTTCTGGGCAGTTTTGAATGAACCTGTTTCTCCCTACCGTTATGACGTCATAATATGCAATTGAACGCCTTGCCATGGATATCACTCAAAAGATAGTAGAAATCGCTTTCCAATGATACCCCATATGGCCATGTTCACCTCAGTTGGGTGTACTCAATCTGTGATGCAAACTGTAAGGTGTACCCCTACCCCAAAGAAATTTCAAGAAATCTCAAAATCAAATTTCCTGAATTTTGCTAAAAGGACCTGTGTCTATAAGGATTGAATCTTCCCCTGTGCATTTTCTCAAATATAGCATTGTTATATACCATTGTGAACAGAATAATGCCTACAATGCTAATATAACCATGTTGAAAGAAAACAAACTAATTCAGTTTACTATTAGGATATAGTCCTGAGTAAGGACACTAGCGGTTACCGTTAGTGATTTGGTTTTCTGTATAAAAAGTCATTTTTCTCCTTTCCTACCCCATTGGAGTGCCATCTGGCGTTTGGGAAGTGAATCGGGACTAAATATTTATAAGGTAGGTCCTAATTTATCTGAAAACATGTCAAAGTTCAGTGAGAAATCTCATTTTAAGCTGGTGGCGGAGTGATTTTGACCTTGGTGATTTTACCAGAATTCTCTGAGAAATCTGATGATATGGGGGTTAGTGTCTTCAAGTTTATTTATCTCAAAAATTCAGTGGACAACCCATGGTAAGATTGTTATGGCAGGCTAGGCAAGTCTCTTCCGAACACTGTGGTATGTTGCACCAGGCTTGGATACTAGTCGTTAATAAGATACAGGGTAAAATGTTACAATGGCCATCTATGGGAAACTCTACTGGAGTCTCCAACCTATGAGTATGAACACAATGGTTCCATTTTCATTGACCCATTGCAATGTTACAATTAATTATAATGTTAACATGAAACCTTAAATTAAAACACTACAATTTGGGAGTTGATATTTATTGACTATACAATTTGGTAGTTGATATTTATTGTATTTATTGTTATATTTTTAGAAGAAATATAAATGTATTTCAATGTCAACATATGACTTATTTAATTATAGAAGATGTTATGACAGTGATATAATAAAACAAATATTTAATTCTATTTTCGGTGAATACCTGTGACACTTTCACAAGATTATATTCCACTAGCCCTTCAGGCTTCAATAGAATTAAATATTTGTATAATATGTCACGAAGTTCTTTGTGTTCCATAAAATATTTTAACTTCCTGGTGCTGAAAACCTATCAAAAGTCGCTGTTTGGTTGTATTCAAATTCATCTTAATTCAATTTTATAAAAGGTCTACACATATTGCATGAAGAGGGTTCTGATGTGTCCAAAGTAAAGAATCGGGTAAAGATTTGAATTATTAATTAACAAAATGATTTAACTCATGGTATTAGATTTATGAGGAAAAAACTACAATATATGCACTTTAATATCATTGCAACAGTATTAATTCAATCAGTGTCATATTTGCGTAAATTGATTTGTAACATTTCTGCAAAGTTTTCAAACAACCGTATATCTTATTTGCTAAAACAATGATTGCCATGGTTACTCTGTTATTTTGTATTTATTCATGTACATGAACATTGACTGCATGCTGTTTGTCACTTAAATATAAATACTTCATAATTTTCAAAGACACTTTGAAAACATCTATTGTTACAATAAAATTGAATGTCTATTTGAATATAAGGCATTCACTCTCATGTTCTTTAAGTTATTAACTTTAGAATGTTATATATTAGAGAGATTTCGCTCATAAGTGAAAGTACAACTTATATGTATACGTATAGTTTAAAGGGCCATGTCGAACTATTATATTTACTAAAATCAATTTTAAATTGTACTTAATGGAACATAACTATTCCCGATACAGAAAAGCTCCATCAACCAGAGACTGTGAATGCACTGTCATCTGCACGTGTAGATTATGCACATTATAATTAAATGCTTGCTTCCGTGTCCTAGTAGTTGTAGTGTATTCTAAACACAATCCTTTAAAGTGAGTTATGATCCTTTCAACTGAGTCATTACATAAACAAGTAGATCATTTCGAAGTTTTCATGATCAGTATAAGTTCAATGAACTTACAAAATTGTATATACACGTAGATGATAAACGTATACAGTTGGATCTACGTATAAAGCTTTACCTACATGTGTGTGGAACAATTGACCGCAAGCATTTTCTAAATTAATCGGCTGAGTAGGAACAGTATCCAATCAAATACTTTAACCATCAATTTGAAACACCAATCAAACCAGTAGGTTCTAGCAATTCCTGGAAACGACCCATTCAGTAGCTCAACAAATGACATACAGGGTGTTTCATACAAGCATCTCCAAAAGGCAATTTGAGAAGAGATGGGTCTATATGTATGTACTATATATGAGCATTTTATTCTAGACAAACACATTTGGATCAACTAAACATGCTACAATTCAAGAAAGTACAAAAGGCATCCCTTTGACCTTTATTTATTACAGTCCGAGAAGATCTTTCCTGACGAAATACCCACATTATGAAACACCTTGTACGCTTCTTATAAGTATAAGTATACGTTATAAGTTGTATTTTACGTATGTGCGAAATCTCTCTATTATCTCTTTAACTTTTAAGTATGCCATCTCACCAAGGAAAGGGAATTTACGAGACAGATTTAGTTGGAGAGACACCTTCAACTGGAGACTACAGCAATGAACACATCTTCAATGATCTCAACAAGACTAATGGAGACAATATACCATCACTAAGGTAAAACAACATGATAGTTGATATTATCTTGTAAACCTACATTCAAAAACTTGAAATTGATTCACTTTCTACTCTGCATAAATAGACTTTTATATACAATGACATTAGGCTATTACTTCCATCATGAAATCAGACTTGACTTCGAAAGATCATTTCATTTGAAGTGACTCTGCAAATGTTTTAGTGTTCTTTTCAGAAACATAAAGACTCTTCATAGCCCAGCCCTATTATTTCCAATTGGTCGTTAATACGTATTCAATCTTTCATTGGACACCATAGAGAGTTAAAACAATTATAAAAATGAGCTAAAAATAATTTCAATCTGCCAAATTATACTTTGACTGACTACGCCATCGATTCATTCAAAAGTAATCTGAAAATATATGGGGTCAAAGTGTGTTTTGAAAAACATTTTGTACAAAGCACCTTCAAACACATTATTTATATCGAATAGTCATGATTGAAGTTTGAGTGCCTCTTGATATCTTTACATTGGGAGGTATGATTCAGGTTTATTTATCTAAATCTAAGCAATCAGCTTCTGACTTTTTTCAAATTGTCAAATACATCGTCAGCAGCACAATATGGTTACTATATTTTGATACAGTAAAGTTGAAATGTGTGTTGTAAATAAGTGTAAGGCATGATAACTCATGTTTCAGCTTGTTACATATACGTATAATATTCTTAAAGATGTCATTTTAAAAGCAAAAAAGGCTCCAAAACGTAATAAAATATGTAGTTTGGATGTTCATTTATGTCTGTGGATTATATTTTATACCACAAACACTTATAAATACCTGAAATTTGCAATAAAAGTGCCCAAAAATTGTTGTTTCGAAATTCCCCATTTTTCCTGTATCGCGCTAGTCACGTGACCCTTACGCGTAGCAGGCAATGCCTAGAATTACAGATATTACAGTACATATTTCAACATGTTCAATATGGCAAACATCAGCGATTCTGACTCCCGGGTTCTGGGAAATGGCTATATATAAATCGGCGAGAGGGTGTTATTTAAGGAGGACAATTTAAGGAGGGGAAATATGTCCAAGTATGCCAGTAAAAGAGCAGATATGGACTTTAGACAAGTACTATGACGGAGAATCAACTAAAAAAATGTGCGTTCTGGAATGAAGACCCGTTGCCATTGACTGAGAATCCCAGCGATCCTATAATCCTACTCAGTTTGAATTTAGACGCGGAAAACAGGTTATGAAAACGGGCTCTCTGCAAAGTTATCAAATTTAGAAAATATGGATCTTGTTTTTGAGTGGCTTAACAAGCATTCGGATACAAGACTTGGCGCTATCTCTTGTCAAATACACGCAGACTTGCAGTAAATTGGCCATTGCAAATTGCAAAATCAGATCGTCAAATTAATTGCTTCGTTTTTAAACGTATGCTTCATATCTTCATCCAAAACTTTAGGATTCGATAGAGATAAGTTAAAACTTGTACAGGAAGAAATGGGAGATCCTACCTTAATTTAGAATCGCTGATTTCTCTGGACAAATTCCGAGAAGAAATTGTTCAACATCGCGATCAGCTCAGACTAAACTTACATGTCGTGCATGTCACTCTGAACTCACGTGATAAAATACGGCATTTTGATTGGTTACTACTCGTGTTGTCATGAAGCGAAAAACAATAGTAAACACTGAATATGTTAATGAACTGTCATATATGGAGCAATTGTCTTTCTGATTGGTTAACTTTACACGCCTCCTAAATGAATATAGTAGTCGTAGTAAATGATTCATTGATAACTCTGAAAGTGGGCGTGACCAGCTTTATTTTGACACCAAATTCAAGATGTTTCAAATAAAAATGGCCTCGCAAGACGAGGTTGAAATATCGGCAGTTTGATACTGATATGGTCTACGATAGATCAAAATTGACTGCCCCGCGTCATATGTCACGTGAGCCTATATTTGTTGAAAAATGAAAGAGATAGTGACACTTTTTAATCTTAAGTTAATACCAATATTACAAACACATATCTATTTTTTTCATTAAATATTTATTTCTTCATTATACATACATTTGTTTTACACTGCATTGATTTATTTTTCCAAAACCTTTGCTATTAGATCTTTAAATACTATTTTATTTCAAGTATACCTTCTCACCAAGGAAAGGAAATTTACGAGATACCCTCAGTTAGAGAGACACCCTCAACTGGAGACTATAGCAATGTACACATCTATACTGGTCTCACAAAGACTAATGGAAACAAGAAGTAAGTTTATACATGTTGACATTGATATATTTCATTACATGAGTACACATTAAAATAGACTAACTACAGTATCTGTATGGTATTGAAACTGCCTATTTATTCAGTAAAGACTTTTGAATGTATTTACAGTTAATCAAAATCAGAACACTAATAAGAAATATCATGAATTATCGTAAAATGCTCCCAGCAAAAAAATTCAAACTTTAAGCTGGCCTGTTTTTTGTATACGCATAAATTACGAACAGAAAATAATTAATGGTACTTCTCAAATGATTTAAAGCTAAGTGTCTATCATATTTCCTTCATGAAAGCATAATATGCAGTAATGAAGTTATCAATATACTGTAAAACGGGTAATTTTGACACCGGTAAATTTTAGCGATTTTTCAATTTTAGGGGGTTTTAGCGCGGGAAATTTTAGCGAAATGAAGATTAATCTTTAAAAATCAAATTAGTGAAATGCATTAGAAATTTTATCATTTATGGCAGAAGAATGAATAACGGAAATGACAGAGGAATTATCAAAATGTAAGACTTCTAACGCACATGGTATTGGTCCAAACTACGGTAATCTCATGATGGATGGCTATTTATCCTTCAGATATTGAAAGAAACATACGATTTAAAAATATTTACCTTTTTCAAATTACAAACCGGAAGTCGAGCACTGAACGAAAAGCTCCTTAAATACTAGTATTTATGTAGTTTCCCGGGAATTCACAAATTTTAGCGCCCGGTTTATTTTAACCCCGGTTTATTTTAGCGAATTGAATTTTTAGCGAAACTATAGCGATCGCTAACAATACCTGTTTTACAGTATGTTAAATAAACTTGGTAAAGATAGTTGGACAATTAAGTCAAATTCATTTTTCTGTTTTCTTCTGACACGATCCAAATTACCCAACTCGCACACTTTTTTTCTGCCCAGAGCTGACCAAAAAGTATCTGACCTGTGACACCTCTAATAGAAACCTTATAATGGAGTTACCAAAAAAGAAAATTAGCGAACCTAAAAGCATATTTTGTATATTGAAAAATCCAAAAATAATTTTTAAACCACATGAACTATATTTCAGACAACCAGAATCACCAGACACTGAAAACATCTATGCTGAGATACATCCTGTTCCTAAATCTAGAGGACATGCTAAGATTATAGCAGTGGTAGTAGTGGCTCTGGTTATCGTTATAGCAGGTGCAATGGTCGGAATATATTTTGCAGGATTTTTAACAGGTATTTATCGGGGGAAAAAATCAGTATTTGTATTTTTTGAATTCTGTATCGATTGTACTGCATCAATCAATATAAATGATACATTAATGAATATAACATTATAAATAAGGTACGTGAGGCAAACAAAATCATACCATCAAGTAGCCACCCAGAAGTTAATCAAATTTAGAACTTGGTACACACTAACATGTGTTCGAATTTGAAGTAAATCAGATGAGCATATTTCCAGGAATGGCTATGATCACACCCAGTGATGCGGCGATTTCTGCTAGAAAATTCAACAAATCTGGAAACTTTATTTTTTCAATATGTTAGGTCTTCAGGATTATGAGATCTATTAAAAAAGGTGCAAAAGGTGTCTCATAGATACATTACTCCCACAATAAAAGTGGTGGCCATTTTGGTACACATTATCAATGACCTATAAATCAAGATATTTTATTTATGGGATATTTTATGTCCAAAAAGAGATTAAACCTGATTTTCCCACAATAAAACTGTTAGTCATTTTAAAGGATAGGTATCGATATGGTGAACTGAATTCAACAATGTTTTTCTCTTAAACCAATCACTGAAAACATTCTGTAGAAAACATGGTATTTTATGTAATGATTGACAACAATTTAATGCAAAAATTATTTATATATATTTTATGGAACTGTTTTTGTTAACATTTTTTGTTTTTTAGTGCAATTATTTTTTGTTCCTTTCTACCAATTCTTGAGAATGAAATAAAATGTCTTTTCGAACCTTGTTGGAACAAAATAGTATATACAACATTTTCTTAGACCTCACAATATTATAGTTTAAGCTATACAAAGGAAATTTTGGTTGATTTCACACATAGTATGCAAAAACTTAAAACAAACCCCACCCCCCAAAATAGATAATAAAAATTAAGACAAACCTTTTATTTCATTAACAAGATACTTTTTTTAATTCAACCAAACTTTCCTTTGTACAATTACAATATTGAGAGACCTAACACGTTGTGTTTATATCATTTTGTTCCAATGAGGTTCGGATAGATGTTTCATTTCATTCCTAACATACGATACCAAGAACAAAAGAAGTATCTGATGTGTTTTCTAAAACAATATAGAGAAAGTATATAAACATATTTCAAATTATAATGTTACCATTAAAAAAAGACCATTAAATTGACATTGTGTAAAATTTTCAAAATGTTTTGATGGCTGGTTTAAGAGAAATGTGTGTTCAAAAAGTTCACCATATCGATCCCACATTTTATGCAAAGGATGGGTATCGATATGGAGAACTTTTTGAACACACGTTACTCTAAAACCAGTCATCAAAAATTCTGAAAATTGTACACAGTGTCAATTTAATGGTCATCCTTTGAATGGTAACAATATAATTTGAAAAATATATATATACTTTCTTCTATATTGTTTTAGAAAACACATCAAACACTTGTTTTGTTCTTGGTATCATGTTTCCAGAGTGAAATGAAACATCTTTCCGAACTTCATTGGAACAAAATGACATAAACACAACATGTTTAGGTCTCTCAATATTGTAATTGTACAAAGAAAATTTTGGTTGATTTTAAAAAAGTATCTTGGTAATGAAATAAAAGGTTTATCTTGATTTTTATCTATTTTGGGGGGATTTTGTTTTAATTTTTTGAATACTTTTTTAAAATCGACCAAAAAATCCTTTGTATAATTATAATATTGAGAGGTCTAAAAACATGTTGTAGATGCTATTTTGTTCCAACAAGGTTGTGAAAGACATTTTATTTCATTCTGAAGAATTGGTAGAAAAGAGCAAAAACAGTTGCACTAAAAAACAAAAAATGTTAACAAAAACAGTTACATAAAATATATATAAATAATTTTTGCATTAAATTGTTGTCAATAAGTCAACATTACATAAAATACCGTGTTTTTTTACAGAATGTTTTCAATGATTGGTTTAAGAGAAAAACATTGTTGAATTCAGTTCTCCATATCGATACCAATCCTTTTGAGCTGCCATTTATGAGACAATTGACAATGTTATATGGACACATTTTATTAAGTGAAAACATCTGAATCTTCATGGCAGATTTTGAATTAGCTACCAATGTGTTGACGGAAAGACATACGGATGAATGGAAGGACAGACAGATGGACAGACGAAAAAGTGGGTGATAACTATAGCTCACCGTGACAATATACAGGGTGTCCCAAAAAAAGGAAACCAGCAAAAGATTGCTTATATCTCAAATATGAATAATGATAGGAAAATTTAACAGCTACAATCTGATAGATTATGATGTCCTCTTTCTTATGATACCAAAGTTGTCTATTTTCCTTCATGGATGACTGAGTTATAAGGGATTTAAGTGACCATGTCAGAAATGAGTTTGTACCACTTTCAGCCAAGTCAATTTTAATTTCACGAAGTGTGTGGAATTCCTACACCATTTCTTCTGGTAGAGATGTGGGGGTTTCTTTCGAGCTGGTCTTGGACAATCCTGATGTTTTCATCAGACCGAGCTGTTCTTCTTCTTCCAGAACGTCTCTTGTTGAGATTGAGACTTGTTCCTTCTCTCTGATACTTCTTGATATTCTTCCAGATTTTCGACTTAGCAGGTACATTTCTATCTGGGAAGCATACTCTAAACTGATCAGCAACCTGCTGAAGGCTCCCACTTCTGAGCCACTCACTTACTACGGATACTCTTTGATCTTGGGTCAGCTGCATGAACTTGCTATGTTGAATGCTTGTTCAGAAATGTGTATTTCGAATAGGACATGGTCTTGCATAGCCATTTTAATCCCTCATTGTTCAGCCATTCATGACAGAAAAAGTGGCACAAACCAATTTCTGACATGGTCACCTAAATCTCTTAGAACTCAGTCATCCGTGAAGAAAAATAAACACCTTTGGTATCATAAGAAAAAGGACATCATAAGCTATCAAATAGTAGCTGTGAAATTTTCCTATTATTATTCATATTTGAGAAATAAGTAATCTATTGCTGGTTTCCTTTTTTTTGGGACACACTGTAGTACGTTTTAAAATTGCAATGAAAAAATATCTAAAAATTCAAAATGGCCGTTTTCCATAGCATATATGTGATATCACGATACACAAAAGGGAGAGTGTCTTATTGTCTTTTAGCAGTTTCTAAGATGGAATTTTTACATAACAATATTTCCAGCAAATTCAACTAAGGAGAACACCACTAGTACTCCTGAGGCAAAGACCGCCATGGCAAACACTACTACTCCCATGGAAAGATTTGAAACAACAGAAATCAATGTTGCAAAAAATCCATTGACAACTACTACAACAACTGTTATGGCAACCACTGCTATACATCTCAACAAGAAAAACTCCAATGGCAACCACTACAATTCCCTTGGAAACAACAAAAACTGGTGAAACAAAAACTATTAATACTCTTCCCACGACAACAAGTGTTAAAACAACAAAAACAGGAACAACTCCAGTGACAACCAGTACTCTTCCCATGGCAATCACTACTCTTACTGTCGAAACAACAGAAACTGTTGAAACAACAAAAACAACCTCAATGGCAACCAGTACTCTTCCCATGCCAACCACTACTCTTCCCACGACAACAACTATAAATTCATCGTTTATATTCTTGTTGACCCCCAACTATACAGTGTGTACAATTGTATTTGACTGTATTACTGAATCATCCCTCTTTCCATTGATATGGTTTCCACAAGCTCCAACTGTATATTGGGCATGGTATATCAAAGTCAGAGTAGAGGTGTGGAGTGAGGGCTCAAATGGTGGAACACTCTTCCCAGATGAATCAAGGGTAATTGTAACAAGCTATGGAGGAACACATCCTGAAATAGTAGGTAAGTTGTTTGGTAGCAGAGAGGATGTCACAAGAGACAGGGCAGTTTGCTTGGAGTACAAGGGAAGTGGGGATATCTTGACATCAACATTTCAACAGGCCACAGATGAGACTGTAATTAAAGTGCTGACAGAAGGGGTTGATTGTGTATTTGATATTTCAGATGGACTGAAAGCTTATCAACATGTTCAGAATGAAGCCACATTTAAAATACAACAAGGAATATTAAATGCTGGCCCAAGTTCAGGGTTATATGTTGATGACAACTCAAATATGGAGACAGCGAGGCAGATAGCCAAAGCTGCATGTGAATGTAGTGATAGTACGCTTGACTCGGTGCGATGTAACATGCAACAACCAAAAACAGGATACGCTCTTCTGTACAAGTGCAAGAGATAAGAACGCTAATCAGATCAGATCTGAACAATTGGCTGATGATATTATGAAATGACCTTATACATGTACCTGTATTTATTAGATATGTAAGCATTTGTACATAATACAGGGTGGTCAAAAAATGGAAACCTACATTTTCCTAATATCTAAGTCATTTTAAAGAATTACTCCCTGATATTTCACACTTGTACATCATTCAATTTCCTACCACCCTACCAAATTTCATGATTTTACAGCACTTTGAATAACATGCTTCGAGTTTGGCCATCATCACGCTGTAGGCAAACCTGCACAGTTTTCAATGGGCTGAATGCATTCCTCAGCAGATATGGCCTGAATGATACAGATGATCTCACTTTTGAGGTTTGTGATTGTCCTGAGGTCAATCTCATACAATTTTCCTTGCCATATCCCCACAGGTAGGGACATTTTGGACAGCAAGTGCAGGTGGCCCGACAGCGCAATAGTGGCCACTAGGGCATGTTGTGTAAAGTGCTGTTACATTGTGACTATCAATCTGATGGTCATGAAATAAAGTAAGCTGGTAGGAAATTGTATAATGTACAAATGTACAAAATAACAGGGAGTTATTACTTAAAATGACAAATATATGAGGAAAATGGTGTAAGGGTTTCCATTTTTTTGACCACCCTGTACATATGATTTTATTTGAGCTTACAAAAATGTGATTAAATGTCAGTATTGTTGTTTTGTTGAGTTAAAAATCTTTAACTTTCAAAAATTAGCTGATATTATTATATTCTTGTTGACCCCTAACATTCAAAAACAAGGCATGACAAGACAAAATGTCATCTCCTGGTAAGTCACTGCAAATCGCTACAAAAGCTAAACAATTTCTTACAGATGAGATTCTAATTGAGCCTGACATCCATCCTACAATTATGTCCAAACTTGAAAGGGACATAATACTTTGGTTTACAATGTAAATTCCTGCATACTGCTGATTCAAAGTGAAAGAATTATTTGGAATGGAGGCATTAGCAGGAACTTTTGATTCAGAAGATTGGTCATATCAAACAATGCCTTGTTTAACCCATTAACCTGATATTCACCTTTCCCAAAGTCCAAAGTGTACTCATTTGACCGCTGCGCTGACGTCAGAGATTTCAGATTTGCTAATTATAATATTCATGAGCTGACTTTGGGGAAAGGGGAATAGGCAACACTTTTATACATATGTAAAATTGAATGGACCTTGCTGATTAAGATTCGGGTGTTTTTCAAATAAACTTCTACAAACATTTACAATATCTTGCATTTTTTTGTACCAGCCTGTATACATGTATACGGTATACATAGTAAAATCTGTATATTCAAACATGCCTCTATAGTACACACTTCAAAATGTAAACACTATTTTCCCAGGCTAACTTAGATGTCTCACTGGCTCAAAATGTTATCAGGAACAATATGAATATGGATCCCAGCCCAGTAGTGCAAACTTGAGACAGGGTTTTATTGAATCACTTTACTAACCTCCAACAGGCCAGCATGTATGAAAGCATTGAGCAGAAGAGCAAGGTGGTTCTCTAGAAGATTGGATCGTACAGCAGAAGTATGAGGCAATAAACATTTTCCCTCTTCCGCCACAAAACCTTCCATCAACTTCCAGCTATTCTGCATCTGAGATGGATCTTATAAAAGAAAATAGCAAGGGATACAATACCAGAACATTCTTAGCAGTGAAGATTAATTTCTAAAACTAATGGTGTAGCCATTAAAATCAAGATGTCATAGTTACAAATTTGAGAAGTATTGTTAACTTAACAAGTTCTCCTGTTAAGCTGACAATTATTTTCATGTTTACCTGAGCTGGCTAAAGCCCCATCAAAATTTGTAGTCCATGTTGGCACTTTGATATAAAACAAAGAAAATACTAGCTCCAGAACATTTTTCTGAAATGCAAACACATATTATAAATTACACATTTTAAGATTAGCAATTTAACTTATTTCTAGTTCATGATTGTAAGTAATTCCAATTGCCAATTGCAGTTACAATAAATCAAAATCAGTGTCATAAATAGATATAGTTGTGATAGTGAAATGCTTAATACTTAAAATACATCAATTGCATGCACTAGACAATACAGTACATCAGTGACGGGAGTTTGAATGTAAAAATGAATCTCACCTACCAGTGCAGAAAATGTAGGAATGTGAGATTCTGACTCTTAGTCAATAGTTTAATGTGATGCAGGCTTGATGAGTATTTGGGCTCTTGCAAAGGTTACATCACACTTACTTTGATATCAGGGTCATTGAGATAGAGGGTTCCCAGTAATGACTGTATTCCTGAGGCATCTGGACGACAAAGACGGATCATGCCTGGCCAGGATCTAATAATGGTAACTAGCGCTAAACGACATGCCTGGAACCTGGATTCTCGATCTTCGCTACATAAAAAAGATATAACAATTCCTATTATAAAACAAAAGAAAATAATTGCAGCATTTCAGTAGGCTATAGATTTCAAGAAGTAAGGACTCTAACGAGCTCAGTTTTCATGCAGGAAATAGAAGGCAGTAATTTGCACAACCTTCCGAGATAGAGCCAAATCAAATGAGGATATGAAATAAATATGATGTATATACCTCTACCTCTGTCATGAAAAACAGATGAAATAAATCAAGTCCCTAGATTTTTAACTTCATTTTCAAAAGTCAAATACATGTACCTATTAAAGGTGATGGATTACCTTACCTTAATCAAAATGTAAATTTTCATTGTACAATCTATACCAAGGCCCCCCTGAATTTCTTATTCTCTTTTTCAAATCAGACACTTAGGGGGGGGGGGCTTACCTCGAGAGACCCAAGTAATTAGATAAGGCATCACTTCCAAAACATTGCAATATAAGTCTCCATACATGTTGTCTTTATGCTCTTATAATCTCTTGTACTTTCTAACTTTTAGGTGTTAAATGTTATACAAGATGGGCAGCTTACCCTTTGGAATACTCTGATAGCTCTGCACTGAATCTGTAGTGGCAGTCTGTCAGTGGAGCCAATAATTGCTATAATAGGAAATATACACTATTAGTGAACAACAAACATAAACATAGAATAAACATGAAATATCTAAATAAAATTATTCTTGTAAATAGAAAACTAAATTGCTTTATGCTAAAGATATGTGTAAATTGTAGTTTATTGGCCTATTTATTACAGGATATCTCTTCTGTTATTCATAATGTCTTATGAGTATAATCTTCAACTGTTCAGATGTGATATCCCAATATACATCATGCCACCATTTCAAAATGAGGTTAACTGCGAGATGGCACTATTCAATGAAGAAATGACACTCAAAGGAAATGAAATCATCTATATCAACAAATCATGTTGAAAATATGCAGGGGCGTAGCCAGGATCTAAATCAGTGAAGAAGATCCAATAGCAGAGACAAAACTTAGTCAATAATAACATTTTTCAGCATAGGACATAGTTTTCAGTTTTAGTCAAAACAAAGCCCATAACTAAAGCAAACTCACCTCTAAATCTACATCAAGTTTGACAAAGTGCCTGTGACTGGGATGGTTTAGAAGGTACATTACAGACATAAGTAATGCCTCACAGATTCTTGGGTGTAAGTGATGGTCAAGTACATTACGTAGCAATGTTTTCACAGCACCACATTTAGCTGCCACAGTAGGATTACGCACAGCTGAAATATGAATGAAGATGGACCATTATGTTAGACAGAGCAGTATGTAGAAAATTCTTAAATTCTTTAATTTACAAAGTATACAAAGAAAATGGGTACTTGATTTATACAGAAGACATTACACTAAATTGCTAGTGTTCAAAAGGCATTAGAGGGTGGCATCAGCCTTTTAGAATATCGTTGCCTTTTGGTACAGTGTGTTTTTAGTACAATGAGATGTACCCAGTGATATCCTACCTAGTTCAGCTATAGTAGCTAGACAAACCCTGAGCATCCTATCACTTTCTTTAGCTCCATTGTTACCTATTGACACTAGGACATTGAGCAGGGAGGTGGGAAATTTGGCGGGGCAAGTGTCTACAATCTTCCTCATCAGACGGAGTGCATGGCTGCGCTCTAGTTCATTGTCCAAGCAAATATCCAGTGCTCTGAAAGATAGAGTATTTGAAGTAACTAAATGAGAACATACATACAGTATACAGGATCTAACTTACTGTCCAAATAAGAAAGATAAAATCTTTACTGAGTAATCAAGATTCTAAATTAAATATGTTTATATGCAGTGTATGTAGATCTGTATTTTATGTAGTTATAGCTTTAATTGTGTTTCACAACAAAAAAACTTGTGTACCTAGCGATGAAGTAGTCAATGTGGAGGTGAAGAATGATATCCATGGTATCAGGGTGCCTCAACATATATCTCAACACCCTCAGGCCAGCAGCCCTCACCTCTTTAGCTTCATGAAGCAGGGCCAGCCTGATACTGTAATATAAACAACAGAAAGTTTTAGTACAAAAATAAACATTCATAGATTCCTTTGAATTTTCATTGCACTTGTCATGTTTTGATAAAATTTTCTACTAAAAGCACTACACTTTATGCAACTAAATGCTTGCGTGCAATTATTCAAGAGTTTCCAAGTAAGATAAGATTTAGATTTTTATGGAATTCATGGTTTGAGCTTAGAAAAGACACATTTCCAATAAAACTTCAAATACATGTACAGTTGTATACTATGTGGTTTTAACTGGATGTTATATATAAAAATAATTATACTGATGAAAAGAATCTAATTTTGCCATTTTTAAAGTAGGTTTTAATTTTATCTAAACAACAAAAAGACTGTAAGATTGAGACCCTATCTGTTGCAAGACTAACGCCTGGCGTAACTGTCACCATGTTATTCAGTGTTTTTAAGTAGCGCAAGGATCCTGCCATGACCGTGGTAATGTTACCTTGAAAGCCTGGTATAACCGCGACAATGCTGTATTATATTGCAATGCCTGCCATGACCGTGACAATGTAATATAGTTCTGCAAGGCTTGGCATGACCGTGATAATGTAACATACTGTAGTACTGCAAGGATTGGCATGACTGTGACAATGTAATATAGTATTGCAAGTTCAGGTATGAGAGTGGTAATGTAGAAATTTACGATTAGGACTGCTATAACCGTGACAATGTGAATTGCAAAGCCTGGCATGAGCGTGCCAATGTAATATAGTACTGCAAGGCCTGGCATGCCCGTGACAATGTAATATAGTATCGCAAGGCTTGGTATGACCGCCGTGGCAATGTGATATAGTATTCCAAGTTCGGGTATGAGAGTGGTAATGTAGAAATGTATGATTGCTAGAAGTGACCATGACCATGTGTATTTGAAAACCTGGCATGACCGTGACAATGTTTTATGGGATCGTTAAGCCTGGTATGACCGTGACAATGTAATAAAGTATTGCAAGGCCAGGTATGAGGGTGGTAAATGTAGAAATTTAGGCTTAGTCCTACTATGACCGTTATAATGTATTGCAATGACTAGTAAATATGTATGACATTAATGCCAGGAATATCCTTAACAATTTTAAGTGATCGTCATTACAATTAAACAGTTGAACACTATGATCATGGCGTTTAACTACCTTAATCATGTCAAAATCAAAATTACTACTGTACATTAATGTTCGGATTCGCTTATAAACCACAATAAAGGCTACGGTCGCGCCAGGCTTCCACGATAACACTTCCAGGGTCATGACAGGCCTTGCAATATAATACAGCATTGTCACGGTTATACCAGCCTGTCATGGCTATACCAGGCTTACACGATAACACTACCACGGTCATGGCAGGATCCTTGCGCTACTTAAAAACACTGATTAACATGGCGACGGTTGTGGCAGGCGTAAGTCTTGCAATAGATAGCATGTGGTAAGATTGGCAAATCAACATTTTAAAAATTTTGTTTTATACAAATGTCCAAATTTTAGACACCATCCCTAACTGTAAAACATTTGAATGAAGAAACACCTACCAGCAAAGCAGTTCTTGGAGGCTGTACCCATAATCTGCTTCAGGTCCAAACTTGGACCAGAGTTTCACAAACCCATTGAGGTAGCCGAGGATCTTTGCTGTTGGAATATCTTTGCTTTTAGAAACATTAAGTAGAATTTCTCGAGTGAGGTCTGTTTTCTCTAAAATAACAAACAAAATGAATTGAATCATTTACATGATTTAAAACACATTGTGATTTATCATTTGACAGACACTATCATTATTTCGTAGTTCACGACTTGATTTGTTTTTTAAGGTCTCATGGAAGTTAACAGGAAGTGACAAAACAAAAAATGACAAAGCCATGCTGGATTTTGAAAAATTTTTGAACCAAGATAACAGAGTTCTGTTTGGACCTCCAGTCAGTTTAACTAGTTCCACATATCATTTACATGACCAGGAACACAGTTGAAATGGTCAGAATGACCATAAACATGATAGAATAACCTTTTCAGCCCTCTGAAAATGTGACTAAAAAATAGCTAAGAGTAGGTGCTCAGGAAAGGTCACTGAACAGAATATTTTGACTTTTTCAGAAAATGTGCCCAATATATTGCTCTAAATGATACAATTCAAAAAAATTTGATATCATTCTTAGAAAAAGAAAAAATTGAAAAAAACTGAATTGAAAATCGATCTATTTTCCTTTTTACTACAGCCATTATTGTTTCAGACGATTTTTTAAAATTTCAAAGATTGTGTCATTTAGAGCAATATATTGGACACATATTCTGAAAAAATCAAAAGATTCTGTTCATTGACCTTTCCTGAGCACCTACTTTTAGCTATTTTTCAGTCACATTTTCAGAGGGCTAAAAAGGTTATTTTATCATGTTTATGGTCATTCTGACCATTTCAATTGTGTTCCTGGTCATGTAAATGATATTTGGAACTAGTTAAACTGACTGGAGGTCCAAACAGAACTCTGTTATCTTGGTTCAAAAAATTTTCAAACTCCAGCATGGCTTTGTCATTTTTTGTTTTGTCATTTCCTGTTAACTTCCATGAGACCTTAAAAGACCCACTAACTTTTTCACTATGTATAAGAAAATAACAAGGCAACTGAATCTGGCAGCCATTTTGACCAGCTGCTTATGTTTCAAATGTAATGGGATATGAGATTTTAGAGTAATGCAGCCATTCAGTTATTACTACACTGAGAGATGTCAGAAACGTACATTTATACATTTGATGAATACAGGCAAAACAAACAAATGCAAAGTGTAAACTATTCAATTCCTACTGTATCTTTGATGTTTTAAGTGGCACACAGTGAAATCCACATATGCCACAATGATAAACACTGTAGACTGGTCTAAAAGCTAAATATATTGAAATCAGGAATAGACTTCAAAAAATGAAAAATCAGATGAATAAAAAATTTACCTCTACTAAAATCAAGTTGCAGGCATTCTTCACGACTTTCTCGCCGACCTGAAGAAATAAACACAAAATGATGTAATGTTACATTAGTAACATGGACAAAATGAGATGCAAAACAGTCAGAAATTGTTAGATTTTACCTCTAAATCGGCCTGCTCGTAAACTTCTCATCGCCACCGCCATTTTACTTCCTGTATTTCACGACAATAGTTGAGTAATATATACAAAGATTTGATTGAAATCTTATGAGATAAAGTCTAAATATTGCTTCATTTCAATCACATGAATAGAATGTTATAATTATGACTATTATAAAGACTAAATAATATATAAAATTACGACTTTCAATAAGTCTTACTTATTCACTTTCGGCAACCAACATGGCTACCAAAACTGAAATGAACTTTTTTGCAGCTGATTTTGTCAAAATACTAGACAATCAGCCAGGCTCAGAAGGTCCTGTTTTCACAATGGATGGAAAACTTTACATGGTTGCCCCTGAGGTTGAAGTTGATGGGAAACCTGCTGGTCAGATTCTCAGAATTGACCTCGAAATCAAGCAGGTATTTTTTAAAGATCTGTCGTCTGCAAAGATACATGTACGCCCACATTGCATATTTACATTTGTTTGCAGGTCATGGGGCTTGAAACGATAACATACAAAAAATTATCGATTTGATCATGGGCATATTATCAGACATTTTATTATGTAAGGCCCAAGTCACCTTTTCTCTGCATGTCTCAGATCAAATCTAAAACAGATGCGGCCTGGGGAATGCAATTAGACGTAGGGCATCATTAGGCTATCTTTTCCAAAGACCATCTCTCTGTTTTGGTCTTTCATACAATAGAGCTATATACTTATTTCAAAAGTCAAAACTATTGGCACTATTGACTCACATATTTCTTACATCAATCGTTGTTGTTGTTGTTGGTATCCTTATGGTACTTTTATGTCACCTATTAGTCTCTCTTTGCATGTTTATCACTAGGTTTCTGTAGCTCTATATTAATTGATTCAACACAAAAGCCCTAACATTCTCTTGAAGCCGAAAAAGTTGCGGCTGTCTCAAATTTTAGAGGTATACACACTTCAATCTTCAAATTGACCAGTACATGTATTTCTAAATGTCTGTCATCAAATTTGGGAATTTTTATTGAGTGCATTACGAACATATGCGATCGAGGTTCCATGACAGTCCAGGATTTTAATATCAAGTAACCTTATTTCGGTAATGTTCGTGATGTACTCGTCTACTGAAGATACCAGATGGAAAATATTTGATCTAATAGATTGGCTCCTTTGAATGAATGTTCATGTACAAATTTGTAAATTTTTTAAGTTTTCACCTCACTTTTATCACACCATCAGTGGGATATAGTCGTCGTGATCGTTCCGCTTTTTTTGTCATCGTCATTTCAGGAAAACTGCTCATTAGATTTTCTCCAAATTCAAACACATGATAGAGTTTGTCAAGTTCTAGAGCTGATTAACTTTTTGGTGGCCATCTTGTTTTTTGGTGGCCATTTTGAAGGTTTTTGGGAAAATCTTATCATTTCAGGAAACCACTCATCACATTTTCTACAAATTCGCACACATGATAGAGGGTATCAAGTTCTAGTTTATTTTGATATCAGATGAATGTACTTAAAGGCCCACTTGGCGTATCTTCAATATTTTTGGGCAAAATAAAGACTTTTATTTGAATTTTATGTAATACCCAATGTATTGATAAGAACCTTATTTTTCATTGACACCAACAACAGCTCAAATGGACCACATCAAAGCTTACAGTAATTAATCAAAAAATATTTTCGATCTGTCAAGCTTTATATGTCAAGTTTTTATCAATGTCATTGGAAGATGGTGGAGTTATTTGTATTACATGATACATTCATTTCTATAGAAGTGTCACCATCTTTTGAATCAAAAGTAATTTAAAACATGCACTTTGTTGAGCATGTGCATGCATTACTAATGATCTCTGAACTTCGAATGCTTTTTTCTATGTGAAATATTTTTTCTTGGTTCAATATTAAAGCAAATCAAACTTTGTTTCATATTTGAGCAAGTGTGTGAGTAACATGTTTCAGTGATTTTTTTTGATTTTTTCTTCTAAATTAAGTATAGTGGGCCTTTAAGAATAAGATCGGTAATCAATATTTTTTATGTCCCCAACAACTTCCATGAAACACTTTTTTAGTGGAACACTTATTGTTGCTCTAAGCCCTAAGTACATTCCATTTACAATGGGCTTGCATGTACAGTATTTTTCTTATATTTACAGGCTAGTGTGTTGGTCGCCCCTTCAGTGGATGGATTTGGAGGGATTCCTGCCGGGTGTCAATGTGACCTTGATAATAACATCTGGGTTGCTGACATGACACTTGGTATACTGAAAGTGAAACAAGATGGCACATTCCAACAAGTAAGCTTGTAAAATTATCCCTGTCAGAAGTTTCATTTTTCTTTAAAGAGAACTTCAGCTACTGACAGTAAATAACTGCTAGTCATACATGGAGGTTAAAATTGTCATCAGTGAGTGTTACCGCTGGTATTTCATCGATTTCAGCTTTATTTCCATTGATATAATATTATATACGAAGTATTACATGACACTCTTATGACTGTACAGAATAAACCAATGTTGTTTTAGAAAGTGACTACTGACATATGAACATGTAATATAGAGATACATGTAGACTATCAACTCATTCAATCTAGAGAAGTACACAGTTAAAGGAGACCAGCACTGTACATACAAATTCATAAAATTCACTGCTGTTTTGTAGGATCCTTTACATATCTTACAATAAAACAAGTTGTATGATATTCTAGATTTAATCATTTTTTCCATCTGTATGTAGCCTCTTTACCCAAGATCTATTTATTCGGTTGAATTTTTCTAATTTTCTCAAAATTCAAATTATGGCTTGCTTTGGTGACATTTATTATTCCTTTTTTCCAGATAGCAACTAAAGATAATAAGAATGAAGCCCTGCAAGGATGTAATGATCTTATATTTGACTGTGAAGGTAACCTGTGGATTACTGCACCAGCTGGTCCTATAGCACCTCATGCCTTCACAAGATCAGACAAGGTAAAATACCAGTCACATTTGTTTCTATTTCAGGTATATATAAATAAAGTGTTCCCTCAAGGAAAACAAAAAAGAAAATTGCAGTTATTTTCTTAATAGCAATGGAGTTGTGCAGCTATTTTTGTTTCCTTGAATTTTATTGTGTATACTAGTGAACAGAAAGTCCTATAATGATTTTTTAATTACATTCAGTACTTTGGGAATGTAATCATGTTGAATTATATCTGTTTTCTATGAAAATGTCCCATAGTTTTACAGTTTCAGTAGAATAACTTTTTTGTCTCCATGCCTTTTTAAATGTGATTCAATGTTTGAAAATGCTATTTATTTTGATAATTAGTTCTTTCTTTCTGTTTTACAGGAGGCATTTGGGAGTGCTTACTGTTATACCAAAGCTGGTGAAGTTATAAAAGTGGCAACTGGATTCAAGTTCTCTAATGGTATAGCTGTACAACATAACAGTAATGGGATTCCAGTTAAACTGATCGTTGCAGAGACATTCCATAACTCCTCCCTCTGGAGTTTTGATATTGTTGGCCCTGGACAGGTCAAGAACAAACAACTATGGGGAACTCTGCCTGGTAAGTACACAGTGGATTAGAGGAACAAATTAAAACTTCTATTTTCTATATATCATCATAAACATTTATTTAATGGGTATCCATAGTATCTATTTTACCTGTCATTACTATTTCGCATGTTCCCCAAGTTTTTGAGAAATGACGATTTTGGCATAAAAAGTCACATTTTTGTTAATATTTCAATGGTCATTTTGCTTTCTGGCAGCCATGATAGATAGATTGGAATTAAATTTTCTTCATATTTGTACATATGTTAGAAGATACAAAGTTCTACAGCTGATTTACCTTTGGGTGGCCATCTTATTTGCTTTAGCTGTTTTAGACATTTGTCAATAAATTTTGTCACCATCATTCAAGGAAGACCACTCATATGATTTTCTTCAAGGTGCCTATTTTGTTTTGTAATTTTGTTTATGTCATGTGCTTTGACCTTCAATCTAAATCATGTAGGCTCCCTTGCCACACTTAAAAATAAACATCTTTATTTCTTCAAATCTGAAAATACACTGTACATCGAAGGCTCATACTGGGAATATTTTATTTTTTTTAGGAAATCCTGGACCCGATGGTATGGATTTTGATGAAGAAGGGAACCTCATTGTTGCAAACCATGGCTCGGGTACTCTAGATGTGTTTGGTCCTAATGGAGGTGAACCAATATGTCGAATAAAGTGCCCATTTAAGCACCCTAGCAATGTTCACTTCAGGCCTGACTCCGATGAGCTGTATGTCACTGAGCATGAGTTTCATGGTTTGTGGAAGCTTAAGTGGAAAAACAAAGGAATGAAGCAGTTTTGCGAGAGAATTTAAAGATAGGCCTATTACAAGGAGAAAACTGCAGACAATCAATGGATATTTTGTACTAGATACATGGTTGTATCAAGGAATCAAGGAATGAGGCAGGCCTCACTAAAATTTTACTTAAATGTATTTCCAACTGAAACTGGAAATGAAGTCCAAGTACATTGATATACGACCTTAAGTCTTGCCTAATTACATTTGTCTCGCCAAATTTTTGATCCTGGCTTATTCCACGGATATATATATAAAACAATTTTTGTATTTTATTAATCAATATTTTAACAATGTGCAATTCATATTGATGATCAGGTGCTGTATCTAGATTGACCAATTCAAATGTACTGTATAAGAATTGTTATCATTCCACTTTATTGAAAACTTTTCATATTGTTTGGCTTACAGTGTGCAAAATTTATATTGTTTGGCTTACAGTTTGAAAGATTTATGGAGAAAAATTACCATGAGACAATTGATCGGCCTAAATCTTATTTTCATTAAAAACTATTGAAGATTGATTTTGATGGCACCAACCAGGAGTTACTACATTATGTTATGGCTGCAATTCTTTTTGTGTTCAAGTACAATTGTCTGCATCAGTGTTTGTTATATAGAAGTGATAAATTATTATTCTTTTCAATCATTCTAGGTGGTGTCATTTGGTCATATCGGCCTCATGCTTTGTTTACAAATAACATGCATTTTAGGAGTTATTTTATATATAAACATTGTAATTTTTATATCATATCATGTACTTTTATAGGCAATAGAAATGGATATTTTATATTTGAATGAATGTTATATGTTTATACACAGTTGGCTTATTTGTAAAGTTTATGAAATTTCAGATAAATATATTTCTATTAAAGCTATTTACATCCTGTTATATTTTGTAAATACATTTATACCACTCTAAGTCCAATTACAGTTGTATAACATGGGTCTATAACAACGATATACAGTGGAGAGTGGTATATCGTCATCGTATACAACTCCTCCGTATACACTCCAGCGTATACCACTGTAGAAGTGCATTCTGGGAACTAATGAATAAAAAAATCATGAAAATTTTCATGATTTCCTAGAATCAAGTGACGTCATAAATGGTTCGACATCAGCATTATTGAGTTGGCTATGGGATATTTTTATGGTTTTTAATTGTTATGATTGTGTTCGAATCAACTGTAATTGAACTTAGAGTGGCATAATAAGATTATATAATGGTTCATTCTGTATATCGTGCATTTTATACTCTCGTGAGAATATAATATATTCACTCGTTCGCTACGCTCACTTGTGAATATATCATATACTCACTCGAGTATAAACACGATATACAGAAGGAACCATTATATAACCTCATAGTACATTATATTATATTATACTAGAACAATGGTCCATTTATGGTGATGTAGCAACTTATTTTCACAAACAAGTTCTACTGAGTATGATTCTCCAATTTGAACTGTTTCAGCTGATGAGTTTCTTTCACCATGTAATTATTTGGCAGTTGTAGTTCCATCTTTGTTAAGTTTATAGTTGTAACTCACGTATAGCTTTCTTTTTCAAGGAAAGTCTATCTATTTTACCATTACCCAAAATTGGTAGGTCTTCCATGATTATGAAATATTTAGGGACCTTACTCAGTCCATCTGCTGTTCTGTCAGAGAACACACCATTACACCATTCCTTAATTTCATTCTTTGTTAGACTCTGATCATCTCGGACTTGAATACATGCGCAAAGTTCTTCATAAAGTCTTGGATCTGGTACCCCTATAACATACGCTTGCATCACAGCTGGATGTTGATGAAGTATTTTCTCAATTCCACCTGGGTGGACGATCACAGTGCCACGTTTGATGAATTCCTTTATTCGACCAACAACAGTGACATAACCATACGGGGTCAATGTACCTATGTCTCCAGTATGCACCCAGCCATCTGCATCTTTTGTTTCCCGGGTCTTTTCTTCATTGTTTAGATATCTGATGAAGTTGCTATATCCACGTACACATATCTCTCCTTCTGTATTGATCGGCACAATTTCGTTGGCTTTATCTTTTATTGCTATTTCTATGTTTGGAAAGCCATAACCAGTAGTGTTGTTTTGTTTCTTGTAGTCTCCAGAAGGGAATGTGGCACTTATCATTAGGGTTTCAGTCTGAGCAAACATAATGCTAAAGGCAATTGGGATGAGTGACTGGACACGGTCAAGCAAATCTGGTTCTATCCTCTGCCCACTCGTCCATACAACTTTCAATGATGATAGGTCATATGCTTTCACCTGTGCGGCAGCCATGTTTGACACATCATAAAGAAGATACGGCATCAACAATGCTTTTGTTACCTTTTCATTTTGCAACATTTTTAAAACATTGTCAGCATTGGAGTTCCCAACTGTAAAACATGCGTTAATAGTTATTATTTTCTCATGCATAGCCAATGCAAAGCCAAAACAGTGTGATCCACCAGCCCACGATAATGGTCGGTCATTAAAGTGGATGTCTCGGTCTGGTCCATTGGAAAGACGACGAGTTAGGCTGGATGAGCTATTTATGGCAGTTTTGTGGTTAATCACACAATACTTTGGCTTGCCTGTGCTGCCAGACGTTAAATTGATCCAACATGGACTGTCCATGGTAACGTGTTCATTTGCAGTTGGACCAATTTTCAACTTTTCCTCATCCGACTTCTCTGTAATTAATGCTCTATAATGAAGCGCACCTTTAGGGATCTCACTGTCACCTATCAGGATGACATGCCTAAGTTCAGGCATCCGAGGGTCAGTCTTCCCAGAAAGTACCTCTGTGAATAACTTTGTCATCAGGCCATTCATTGATGCATCATCACCAACATACATTATGGCAACTTTCGCATTGACATCTTTTATCTGTTCAACAATGTCCTCCCCACTTTTAAGTCCAAATGTAAGAAAGACAGGTACAGCAGCGCAATGGAGAAGACCCCCTACACAGACAACCATTTCCTCACAATTAGGTACACACACAACGACCATATCCCCAGGACGGACTCCAATCTCATCAAAACTGACAGCCAGGTTTTCTGACAGAGCCACCCATCTCTTGTATGTGATGCTACTGTGGCGGCTAGCATCAGGATTCATAAAGACAAACGCTTCTTCGTCATCATGTTTCAGTTCCTGCATGCATTCATTCAGTGTTAACCTGCTCAATGGGTGCTTGGAAGCAATGCTTATGTAACTCTCTTTAAGTGGCTCTTTAATTGGTTCAACATCAGGATCTATAACATCCAGATATTCCATATTCTGTTTTCCAAATGTGATCTAAAAGGAAAAGAAATGAATACATTTTAGGTACTAAATCCTTGATTCTCTGCTTTTCGATTTTAAATAGACTTCATTGTTTTTTTTATATCATGAAACCTGAAAGAATCAGAGATACATCACAATTCTTAGTTTGAGGATTTATGAATACATTTTAACCAACAAAATCACTGATGGTAAACAACAAGAAAAAATGCAGTGATAAATTGCAATACCAAGTGAGAAAACATTGTCTAAATGAATTTTGAACTTAACTTTAATAATCCCATAGAACATGTAATGAAAATAAGGAATCGTATTTGTCCTATTTTTATATGTAATCCTTACCTCAGTACAATTAAGATTGTATAATAATGAATTAATTCAGGATTGTTCTCTATTCATAAATGAAGTATTTCATTCACTTTTGTGGTCCAAGGATGCACTGAAATGACACTTGTAAACATTTGATAAAACATTGTACTTTAACAGATAAATGTATGTTTGTATCAGCCTATCTAATAATAAACCATTAGCATTGACCTTCAGCCAACGTTTGACATTGAGGCGGCTTCTTGTCACCTCAGACAATGTCAAAGTTAGACTATTGTAACTTCAAAACATTAGAATTTTTGAAACTGTCCAAATTGTTTCATATTTCAGTGTTTTAGGTTGGTCTGTTTTTATTAAAATATAGGCCTAACTTTATCTTAAAGTTCATTAAAGTTGTTTGTCCATAGAGATCAAATTCACTTTTGTTGAATGTGTGAAGTTATAGAGAGAGGTGTGTGACTTAAAGGAACTAAATGCGTATTATCGGCAAAATGAAGTTTTACTTTTGATCTTCATAGTATTTCCAGTGGAATAATAAGTACAGGGTACCTGATCTTTCATTTGACACCAAAAACACCTCAAACATCAGAGTTGACACTAGATTATCCAAAAAATAATATCTATCTAGCCTATCAATTTATATACTGTAAAACGGGTATTGTTAGCGAGGGGTAATTGTTAGCGATCGCTATAGTTTCGCTAAAAATTCAATTCGCTAAAATAAACCGGGGTTAAATAAACCGGGCGCTAAAATTTGCAAATTCCCGGGAAACTACATGAATACTTGTATTTAAGGAGCTTTTCGTTCAGTGCTCGACTTCCAGTTTGTAATTTGAAAAAGGTAAACATTTTTAAATCGTATGTTTCTTTCAATATCTGAAGGATAAATAGCCATCCATCAGTGAAATAGTATAAGTAGTAGTTTGGACCAATATCATGTGCGTTAGAAGTCTTACATTTTGATAATTCCTCTGTCATGTCCGTTATTCATTCTTCTGCCATAAATGATAAAATTTCTAATGCATTTCGCTAATTTGATTTTTTAAAGATTAATCTTCATTTCGCTATAATTTCCCGCGCTAAAACCCCCTAAAATTGAAAAATCGCTAAAATTTCCCGGTGTCAAAATTACCCGTTTTACAGTATGTCAAGTTTTAAGCAATGCCAATGAAAGCTGGCGAAGTTTTTTTTGCATGACATTATCAATTAATTTTTGAGAGAATTTACAGCAATACGCCATCCTTTAATCATTATTATGTTATTTAAAACATACACTTTGTGAAAAATTGGTACATTGTACTCCACTTTTTTCAATCTCTGAACTTCAAATGCTGTTTTCTATGTGAGTATTTTTTTTCACTTCAGTGTTATCCCAAATAAAAGATTTCATCATATTTGATTGAGTGTGAGAGTAACATGTCTCAAATAATATTTTATCCCCTTTTCTTCAAAAATAAGCATATTGCCTGTTTAATTGTTAAAGGTGAAATATTGATATCTATAAATCTTAAATCAAGGTCATTGAAGCTTTTTAACGCACCCTTGGGTGCCATATTGTGATCGGCTTTTTAGAATTTCATGTATACTTTAAAATCTCTACTGCTTGTGAATTTCAAGGATTTTAAGTGCTCAAGATTTCTTCTCAAACCTTGTTACAGCTTGGAATGGATTTTTGGGTTTCATAGACTTTTAATAGGTCTTGTTTGCTATTAATTTACTAAAAATGTTTGTAGGGGGCCTAACTTGGAATTGGCCTTTACCACTCCTCATAGTACTCAAATTAAATTAGGTATTTCATTTTGTCATTTTATCTAATCTTGAGAGCCTGTACCCCAGGAAATAGTACAGGCTTTGGATCCCACAATGTAAGTGGTTAAGAGCCTTCTCCTTTAAGAGACAATGGCATGTAGTTGTTCACTACTTTACCTAATTTTTGTACAAAGCTCTTGACCAGGTTAACAACCCCCTTGAGTAACATGTGATTGATAATGTTCAGGTGCACATGTGTCTATGACAGTAATAATATTGAACCTTTTCTATCCCCTTACAGATTTAACCTCAATAGATATGCATGTAAGTTCCATTGTATTAAGGCATCAAACTAACACGAACCAAATAAGAAAATACATGTATACTACATACTGAGTAAATAAAAAGTCAACAAAAGCTATAATCTGTTAGATAATCTGTCTATAATCTGGTATAGAGTTTGTATTTTAAGGTTTCCATGCCATTTGTTACAATCAATTATCACATGTTTGAACAACCTGATACAAGTCTATTATTAGTAAATTGAAAAATTCTACAGATCCTTTAAGCTGATCTTCATTTAGTTAGTAGAAAATTGTTTCTTGAACAAATAATTGCTTTATCCATGTTATCACACTTTTAACAATTTATCACATTTGTCTCTCAAAAACTGCTAGAACAGCTGACCTTTCTACCACCAATCAGCGAGCTTGAAGAAACCTACGCCAAAGGCGTTCTAAATAAATATGCGCATGTCATTGGTCAATTCCGGGCTCAACGATGACGTCAGAAGGAATGACCATATATAGAAGGTCGGTCAAATTTGGCCGACGAACACTGATTGGCGCGGTGAGTTCACAGGTTTATTTTAGTTTGAAAGAGTGAAGACGAAGCTCTCTTTTAAGAAGTGAAGTCAAACGAATGCAAAGGGTATTAGTTTACACCAATGAAACTAAATATGCCAAAACAATGGAAATATGCAATTAATATTGAGCCAATAATGAGTCATCATGATTATAATCAGTTTCTATTAATTCTGCAGTCAGACTGTCAAATGTACTGAATGAAATTATTTAAGAAGTCGAAGCAAAATATTTGACCAATGGGACTGATTCAAACTGTAGACATGTGATAAAAGCAAGTATTTACACATAAACATACTAGAAAAACAGCAACTCCATGGAGTAGCAAATCCCACCGAAAAAAAACATATTATGCTTATTATAGCTAGTGTAAATGTTAAAATGTTTGTGCACTTTGTGATAGAAGCATGAAATTTGGCACAAAGGTAGTTTATACTATTGTGAACTAGGCATCATCATAGAAAATTTGAACCAAATCCGTTCACTGGTATATGAGTTATCAAAGATTACGTTTTTTACGAAAATTGGCTGCCATCTTGAAAATTATTTCTTGAACAGAGCTACTGTGTCCCAAGGCATAATCATATAAAATTTGAACCAAATCTGTTCACTGGTATTTGAGTTATCAAAGATTACATTTTTACGAAAAATTGCCGCCATTTTGAAATTAAGCGGCCATCTTGAAATATTTTTGTCGAACATAGCTACTGTGTCCCTAAGCATCATCATATAAATTTGAACCAAATCCGTTCACTGGTATTTGAGTTATCAAAGATTAGATATTTTTACGAAAAATGGCCGCCATTTTGAAATTAAGCGGCCATCTTGAAAATCTCATTTTGTGCGAAACTCCTTTATCCCTAGGCATCAGCATATAAAATTTGAACCAAATCCGTTCACTGGTATATGAGTTATCAAAGATGTCGTTTTTTTACAAAAATTGGCGGCCATCTTGAAATTCAGCAGCCATCTTGAAAATCATTTGTTGAACAGAGCTACTGTGTCCCTAGGCATAATCATATAAAATTTCAACCAAATCTGTTCACTAGTATTTGAGTTATCAAAGATTACGTTTTTTACAAAAAATTGCCGCCATTTTGGAATTAAGTGGCCATCTTGAAAATTTGTTGTTAAACATAGCAACTGTGTCCCTAAGCATCATCATATGAAATTTGAACCAAATCCGTTCACTGGTATTTGAGTTATCAAAGATTACATATTTTTACGAAAAATGGCCGCCATTTTGAAATTAAGCAGCCATCTGTGAAAATCTCTTTTTGTGCGAAACTCCTTTGTCCCTAGGCATCAGCATATAAAATTTGAATCAAATCCGTCAACTTGTATTTGAGTTATTAAAGATTACATTTTTTACGAAAAATGGTGGCCATTTTGAAATCAGAGGCCATATTGAAAATTCCTTCTCGAGCAGAGGTCCTACATCCATAAGGCATAAGCCTATAAAATTTGAATCAAATCCGTGAAACGGTATTTGAGTTATCGCCCGGACAAACAGACGGACGGACAGACGAACGGACGGACGGCTTTCCTATATCCCTCTCGAACTTCGTTCGGTGGGATAATAAATAGCATATACAACCATTTACAAATGATACTTATACTTGTACATATAAGCAATGTTTCTTCTACCAAGTACATATAATAGAAAACATAAAAACAAGCCACAATAAGTATGCAATGTTCTGTTGCATTTGTATTAAATATAATCTTTTCCATCAACATTTACATTATAATAGGCACACACATAAGGAGAGGAGAGGGGATGAAAACATCAATGTTATTCATGAAATTAATTTAAAGAAGGCTGAATGCCTCTCTCACTGTTCATCAAGCCGAATTGAACATTGAACTATTCAATGTTTAATATTTTCTCATGATATTTCAACAAAACTTGGATTTCCTCAAAAGACTCATTGTTATTTGATCCCTCACCTTGGAACATGTTATGGACCTTTAAAATGTTCTTTGCATGTCGTGATCTGAGAGGCTTTGAAAACCGCCAATTTCTTGTTCATGAATCAAATTGTTTACACTATTTTATAATGCAAGTTCTAAACCACATCAAAACATGTATAAAAATATGTACATTCACATGATGATAACATAAAAGTTTTGGATTTGATCACAGATATATTAAATATATCTTTCTTACAATTAGAAACGTTTAGAAAATAAATCATTTTCTCCATTTGAAAACATTCTACAAAATTAAAAATAAATGTTTGGATGAAAGACATGAAAGAACAATAGCTGAGCTGATAGTCAGGAAATGTTAAACATATTGAAACATAACGAATTATCTATTTTCCACTCAAATACCTAAAACCAGTTGGATATCTTTGCTAATACTGGTAGAGATGCGTAAGGATGATTAAGGTCCTGCATGACATGATTGCATTGAGAACTTGGTAATAACTATAACTTTTGAATATATTGATCCAGTACAGAATATACTGTTCCAGTAAAACCTGTTTGTCTGAACACCTCTCTAATTTGAACAATTCATTCCAGTGTCAAATGACTGGCTTTTGTTAATAAACACTTTGGTGTTCCAAATGTATTGATGTTCAGATAAGACAAGTTTTACTGTACTTATATATAAACTAATAGATATACAATTACATTGCCTGATTAATCTTAATTTTATGTTAGTCAAATTGTCATACATGATTGGTATAAGAATCAAAATAAACCTATATTTATAATTAAGACTCTCATATGTGTAAGGATATACCCTAGCTACTTTCTAGCCATCTTACACTTCTATATAAAACAAAACCTAGGCTAGTGCTTTTCAGATTTTATCACAAATTAAGCGGTACAGACGTGGCTGCCACACAAGGTGTATGTATGTACAGTGAGTTATAAATCTAAGTCTACATAAGTCTTGCATGAGTCACCCATAGATTCTACCCTCTCCACTGTTAGAAGTCGATAAAAAGGGGGGGGGGGTAGACTCGATGCTGGACTAACCTCATGTTTATTTCAATAAATGACTTGTTTGATTACACTGTACACATCTAAAAAGCTTTCAAAAACATGAACAGGTTCTAACATTATCAAATCAAAATGTCTCTTATCAGATATAACTATAGGCCTACATTGTCTTCTTCACTAGAGCACATTTCCCCCTCTATTTGGCTGCAATGTGTCACAAGAAAATGTGTCAATTTAACTTTTACAACTAATTTCTCATATCAAATTCCTATATAGATTTACAGTACTAGTCTCTACTTGATTAAATCAAAAATATCTGTTTCATTGGAAAAATAGATTTTCTGTTCATACTTTAAATTTCAAATAAAATTATCCAAAGGTAGAAAAGAATCACTGACTGTACATGTATTATATTAATATTACTTAACTAAAACAATCCTCTTATTCTTAGTATGATATGCATGTCAGTTAAAGCAAGGAAAATTGCAGCTTATACTTTTTCTGTTCCCTGAAACCACAGATCATTTGTCGAAGAACACATTAGACATTAGTAGCTGTGCATCAAAGCCAAATAATATCAAAACTTTCAATCGAGATGGAACTTCAAAGTGGAGTTAGTGAAAATTGTAAATAAATAACCTTGACCTTAAGCATAACTGGGAATAGGACTTTTAGGGGAGTTAATAGAAATATGACTACACCTCTCCCAATTAGCCGTCATGCTACTATATACTTTAATGCTATATATTATTTCATTATAGGGGTGTATTCAAGCTAAATATATTGTCATATTCTTGGAAGTCAATGTCCAAATTGGCAAAAACTTGAAAAAGGCAAAGGCACTGTGCTTTGTGTCAAAGTAGCATGAAATCTGTCACTTTGTACATTTCAACATTGTTTTTTTGAGATGAGATACAAGAAAGTTTAAATACACATAAGGGTGAGGTAAGCGTGGAGTTAGAAAATCTTCTTTAAGTTTTGCCATAAATATCTTTTCCACATGATTACATGAACACATTTGGAGAATGAAGTTCAGAGTCTATGAGATGAATGTTCTACGAAATCTTCCAGACAACTCTCACTGCCTCTAATAATTGTTCATCCCATTTTGGGATTGTTAATTTAATGAAAAAGTCTTGTAAGGCAAATGTGATTGTCCTATGTCCCTCAGTATATGATTCATATTCCGAAATTCAGTGCTGTCAGATTGATACATCCAATAAATCCTATAGAAGCCTGATAGCTTCTATGCATGTGTCTTGAGCTTGTTTCTTAAATAAATACTAGTCTATTATCCAGCGAAATAAAAATATAGCCACCACATGCTGTATTATATACAAAATTAGTATAAAAAGTACTGAAGATTTAAAATAACTGGACCATCGTCACATACAACAATGGATTATGATGAGTGTTGGTTAGAGAAAGAAAGCTTCTAAATAAGGCTCTAGATAGCAGTTTTCTCTACCATAGGAACTGATTCAGGTTGTTCAAGTTCACCATCTGGCTGGTCAGTGCCAGCTTTCTTTTTCTGCAAGCGGGCAATGGCCTCGCTACTGTTCTTCACAAACTTCTGTAAATGACAAAGTGAAAAAGGATTGTAATAAATAAAACAAGGCATAACTAAACAACATGTCACCACCTGCCATTTGATACAGATGCCAATGGGCATTTGTGGTGGTGACATAACAGTAGTGAAAGAAGAATTAATATTGCTAAAGTTTTAACAACCCTTCCCCCTTTAACTGAATTCAAAAAGTTACTTTTCTTCTAAATTGCTCAGGTCAGATCTCAAGGATAATATAGATTTATAGTTACATAACGTGTATATTAAAGGGAGACTGAAACCAACACGGTTCAGACCTCTGTGATGGCGATTGTCAAACCTGAGTCCAACCCCTACATGGATGCTAAAACGTATGCATTTCATAAGACACATTGATAACTAGCTCAGTCCCTTTATTCACCCCCAAAATGCAATCTGATTTTCGACGCCGTTTCGGTGCCGGAACAGCGCCGAATTTTTTCGATGCCGAAATAGACATACTTTTCTATAACTATACCTACCATAAGAGACTGGCTCATAAAGTACTCTTTGCCTTCTGTGCCATCATTCATCTGGCAATCCTCACAGAAACACAACAGCAAACTGTCAATCACCATCTGTAAAATACATGGAGTACAATAATGTTAATTGTTTATATGGTCTCACGTGTGTTCTAAATTCTACATTTAATAAAGTTCACTTACAGCAAGGGTTATTTCATCAATTATGTGTGTGAAGTCTTTTTTTGGTGGAAAAAAAACTGCACCTCCAAAGAGTTTATAAAGTATCAAGGGTGGGTGGTCAAGCATGTAAAATTTACTAAAAAAAATTGAACAACTTAATGTTAGGAATCTTTTCATGATTTGCTCAGATTGGCAATGTTAACACCAGTAAAATGGTATTGACTCCATTTGCATGAATCCATTTGTCTTTCCAAAGTCTTACCTCATATACTGATAGGAAACAGTGGGCAATGAAGTAGGCAAAGACACACACCAGGAGGACTGGTATAGCGTAGTAATTCAGATCTTCTCTTGTCTGAAAATAAATCATCCAAAATAAATGAACAATAAAACAAGGTTTTATTCATTTGACAGTGACAGGTACTTTGATTGAGCTGATGATAATTTTCAATTGTCACAAGAAAAAGTTAAAAATTTTGGAAGGTTCATCATTTCCATTGTCTAACCTTAAACCAGATCATTCCTATTGCACATGTGGCAGCCATTACAGCTATCTTGCCGAGAAACAGTACAAAATCTCCCACACTGTTGATTGCAGCCACACGTAGAACGTTGGACACTAGAGTTGTAAATGCCTGCAAATATAAATACATTTACCTCTAAATAGGTTGATCAAATCAAATTGGCCACATGAAGAGTATAGATGAATGTGTTTTCCATCTCTGTTTATTTTACTGTCCACAGTTTTAAATATTGTATGGGGGTGGGGGGTTTGTCCATTCTCATCCTTCTGACTGACTACATGCTTTTAGATGTTTCTTATTCTAGTGTTTTGTAATATACACCTATACTGGTCTTTACCCGAATGGCACTGTTCTTAGATATTTGTCAAATTTATATGTTATATCAACATCCCTACCTTCTTAGCTGCAGAACAGAAGTTTGTGCCTTCTATGGCAATGACAGTATATGCGTTCTGGTTGAGATACTTGAGGCACTTCTCCAAACACCAGAGACAGCATATACAACACTTCATACAGAACTCAGCACACTTGTTTGTCTTACCCTTCAACCTGCAATACAACAACAAGGCATTAACTTGAGAAAATGTCACCACTTACTGAAATACCTAAAATACCGTTATCAATTCATTAAAATAAAATAAAAATAACTTTTTTATGCAAAATACCACAATCAGCATATACTTGAAGTTGATAAGACTCACTTTTGTTGCATCCACATGAGAATATAACGTGGCAGCTTCACCAATGTGATTATGAATGCTCCAAATGCAGTTGATCCAAGATGGTGGCTGATAAGACGACATATCGATTTACCCATAGTACAGCTCAGTTTCTTCTTGTCCCTACATATAAGGTAACACATTGAACACAACTTTTCAGTAGGCCAAAGCTAGCAGGCAACACTATGTCCATGTGTGCCTGCCTTTGATTTTGCAGGATGGCTTCTAATGAAATTTTGACAGCATTGCAAAAGGCATTTTATTATTAATGTATTGCTATAATAGGACTATCACAGTAGTATTTTATTTTGGTTACAATTATAATTTGGATAGATTCAAAACTTTCCATCTTGTTTTAAACGCATTCGCAACTGTGAGGGTTTTCAACGCCAAAGAATTTTGTCCATCCATCCAACTAAATATCAATATCACGAAACCAACACTATTGACATTAGTGTCAGAATCTGGCAGTTTCAGAGATAAATATACATGAATAAAACTCCAAACATAAAAATATGGAATCCTGCCCTACCTTGTGAAGAACCATGTGGCGACAGCTCCAGCTATTGCCATCTGCTGATTGGCCAGAATAAACTCGCTAGTCCATATCAATCCCACTACATGGTACCACCACATGTAGCGCACTGGGGCACGCTCATTGTACTTGATGAATCCAGTTTCCTGGTCTTGGTAAGGATCACCTGTAAAATTTTGGTTGGAATACTATTTTTAATTCATGAAGATTCATGAAGCAGTGACATTCCCATGTGAAATTACACCTTCATATTTAGGTTTCAATTACTAGTATAGTTTAGTGAGCTTACCAATTTTTACTGAGGTTTTTCAAAAAAGGGTTCTCAGGCGTGTCACAAATGGATTTAATATTAAACATCAAGAGGTATTGGTTACCAGGATATAATTTATTTTCCTAAACAGCACATTATGCCTACCTGCAGTTGAAAGATAAGCGAGGACAATCCCCCAGTAGATGAAGAAAATGAAAAGGGCAATGAAGGTCCAGATGGGCTGTATGAGGATCAGGGGCATTGAGGCAATACATTTGCCAGCCTCATGGAAGAGAGCCACAGTTAGAGCTATTCTCTTCCTCATCACAAGAATTATCAGAAGCAAAATAAGCTGCAAATAGATCATATAGAGCAAATAGAAACAGCATCATAACATATGCACATTATTGAGGAAAATATTGATTTTAAAAACACACAAAAATTTCCCAATATTGCAACCCATCAAGAATGAAACAAAAACCAATACAATTGCTTTACTGTAAATTATTGACACAATTATTGATTCAATAATAAACAATTCAATAAAAAACAACATCTGAATAAAGGATACGTCATTCATTGTGATACAAATTAATATTTTTGGGCTCTCAGAAGAAAAGATGTTGAGGTTTAATAATATGTGATTGATTTGGTTTTTCAGATTTTACAATTTCGATAATTTTTAAGTCAATATCCAGACCAAGCTTATCTGCCTCTTGTGGCTCATCTGACTCTTGCCTAACTACACCTCCAGACCTTATGGACCCTCACAAGAGGCTACTTACAGTTAGAACTGTTGCGATAATAGAATAGATGAGGAATAAGATCTCATTCTCCACTTCAATCCTAAGTATGGGAATGGTTGTCTTTTCCGCCTCATTCATCTGAGAGTGGTAGCCATAGAATGTCCACCAGAGAACCCCACAACAGGCTAAAGACAGAAGAGAACATGCACGTTAAGCATATCATAAAGGTGGGTGTTTTTCACAGGGATCAAGTGGAAACAAAGACATTATGTGGTAGCCTTAAACAAGGCTTTTAAATGTATATTCATCTTTATATCTAGAAAGAAAAGGACCTATGACATGAATATATCATTGATTTTACTATGGCAGTGAACTCCCCAGCATTGGAGCAACTGGTTGATGGATCCTATTGAAATTAATTGCCTTTTAAATATCTATTGCATTATGATAAGATCACTGCATATTTTATGTCACTTCTCACCTATGCTAGCCACAATGGACAGGGCAAGTATAAACCAGACCACACAGGCAGCAATGTATCGGATCAACAAGACCATCAAAAAGGCAAGCACTGTAAGAGAAACACATGTATCTGATATAACAAAGAAACCAGACCTTACACACATGCAGTTATGCTAAGAATTTCACTCTTATCATGCATATTTTAAACATTTTTCCTATATCTGAAAAACTAGAATTTTTTGCATTTTTAAAAATCATGCCGAATGGCTTATTTATCTTAATCTCCTTATTTACTTCATGTATAATGTCTTCACATGTGTCCATAATCATTTCAAACATTTTAAATCACATAAGGCTACAGAAGAAAAATACAAAGGACTCAAAGCCCTGCGAAGCACAAGAAACGAATTAGAAATTCTTAAAAGTGTAATCATAAATATTTAAAAAAATGTTAATCAATTAGTGTGCTTTATAAGAATACTATTTTCTAAAATATTAATCCCTAAGCTAGAGAGGCACTGCTAATTTGTGACATACACATCTTCAAGTGAATTGGGCTGGATTGGAGAGGTAGAAAGTGGTGGGGTTGGGGAACTATACACTACTCAAATATAAATGTGCAATATCATTCAAACAATGTGATTTAATGTAAGGTTCTTACTTGTATAAAGTAATATACACAAATTAAAAAACATGATTGCTTACACGAAACCTTCAATAACTCCTTTTTCTAAAATTTAACAGATACATTTTTATGAGTGAGTTTATTCCATTAGTTCACAATAGTAAACAAACAAATAATTGCCAAAGTTTATAAAAACATATATTGGAACTTGTTCACAAAATTCATAATTAATTGTAATTTTAGTACGACACCTACCACCCTTAATTACAATGTTAGTGGGGAGACTATCATTTTTCATAGCACCTGAGCCTGCACCGTACGTAGTCACAAATATACACAAATAAACTACAAATGGTTGTTGCTCTTACTGTGTGCTTACACTTGATACAAAGGGTGATATATCACAAATAGCAACATGAGAAAACACAAATCAAACTCCTATAAACCATAAAATGATAAAAAGGAAATATTATTTAAAAGTCTGTCATTTGATAGAAAGGTTGAAGTATGAGTGAGAAATAGGATATGAATGCATTGTTCTGATTGGTGAAGTTGATAATCGTTACATGAAAGAAACGGCAGCTTTTTGCAAATACTAATGTGATAAAAATTTTATAAGGTGAGTATAATATTTATTCAATGTGTTAACACCACTACTTTTCGATACTGACAATTATGTCACACAGGAGGGCATGTCTTGAAGATTTTTGAAATTAAAATTCATACTTTTATTCGTCCTTCACGATGGAACATAAGAATGCCGTAAAAGTAAAATAAATTATATTTTGAGATATTTTCGAGAAACAGCATCCTGGCATAAGTAAAAAGCTGCTTTCTACTATTCACAAACAGCGACACCTATCAGAGCAATGTATGAATAACAGGTGTACGTCCACAAACAACTGTGTATACATGTATATAGATAAGATATTCAGAAATAAGATGTTCACTTTTATCTAAGCAATTTATAATAATAATGAATCAAATGAATCTACAACGTGCTACAAAACACACAAAGGTGGACATGGAACCCATATTTGAAAATACAAATTTTACTCTAGAAATAAGTTCAAATAAGTTGAAATATGAACACTAATATTCAGATGTTCAATTCCATTTGAAATCAAAGTGTCAATAATTCTTAAAGGTACCAATACTGAGGCAGAAATGACATTTAAACAATAAGCTGTTGAACTTGTATCCCATGATAATGGCTATATACATGTATTTTTTGATGAGTGACCATATTAATATTTCTCAAGACATATGCCAACCTTCATCAAAGACAGCATGACTTAATTACCCAATGCTATGACACACAATATCATCATCTCAGGCCAACTAGCCACCAAGTCTGCTAGGAGTGTGTGAAATGCGTCAAATTGATTCAAATAACCAAAGACGTCTTTTCCTATTTTCACGACATCGGAAGGGATGCAATAGTGCAGGATCGAAGTGCTATGATAGAAAAAAGTTTCAGCCAATGAAAAGTTATATCACATCTGCATCATATTTATGCATGGTGCACCTAGAGAACTAACTAGCGGGTGCATCGCATTATCTTGTAAAGGTCTGATGCATCAAATACAACCTTTCAAGGCCTGAAAAGGAGATTTATGCATAGGTATTAATTACAACGCCCAAATGGAAGCCATAAAAATCATAGTGCTTCACCGATTACAAGCTAGCTGTAAAATGCAGTTTTATTAAGCTTATCATATAAAGTTGGTCCTCTGTATTATGTAGAATACAAAGAAAAAAAGCTCTGGAGAATAAAATAGATAAGAACTACCACACACATGGGCTTTCTCTCTCGAAAGTCCATGCTGCATGGTAGGTCTATTCCTTATTTTCCCAGTCCCAATTCTTTCGCTTCATATTTCCTGATAGCCTTCACCCAGCAGATACCTATGTGTGTGCACTACAATTTTTGATGGTGAAGCCTACAGGATTGGGTTCTTACCAAGAGCCAACCCACATAGCGCTATCATCATGGGCCAGCTAGCAAACAGGTCATGTAATATGTTCTTGAAAATATCAGAGTCGTTTAGGAAGTTAATGAGAGCTTGCCCATAGCTCTCCACAAAATCCTTCAAGACTGCAGGTACACATCGGAACAACACATCATGGCTGTAGGAAAATATTTACAATTGTTTAAGCATATTTAAGAATACTGTTCAAATGTCCCTATTGGAGATGAAGATATATCCTTTGGGATAAATCCAATATCAAAACCTCCCAGTATACAACATTTACAGGCATTATATGTAATATGGAAAATGTCACCACCTACCATTTGTTGCTTCAAATTGACCTTTTTTCAAAATCATCTACAAGTTCCGAGAAGATTTGAAATTTCACCTTCAATGACCCTCTCAGGGATATGTTACAGACGCAACCAAAAAATGGAGACCAAAACAACCACCAAAATGTGGTGACATAATAAAACCATTTAATTAATCATGATTCTTTACTTAAATTTTAATTTGCATGCAGTAATTGTGATCATATGATACACATTCTGTACGTAGCAGATCAAAGCTACTACCATAGTAAATAATCATTAAGATCTCATGAATACTGAAGTGGCATCAAAGGATAGAGAGTGGAAAATGTTGGAAGAAATCTTTTCAAAATCATGCCTTCTTACAATCCCAATTTAATATATGAATAAAAAAAATTTGTTCATGAACAATGGGATTTTCAACAATATTTAAAAAGTAATGTCAGGATTCTTGGATGTTTTATAAAACTAACAAGGAGTGCTGCAAAAGAATATTGTACTTTCTTTAAACGTTACTCAACGACATGTAGTCTCTATTATTCTTTGCTCCTTGTTTAATTGAACAAATTGAATTAATGTTCGTTTTACGACCTGGTCACATTTTATGTATGCCTTGCTTTCAAAGCAAAAATGAAATCAATAAAAATTAATTTTAAGTAACTGTTTGCAAAAATACTGATTAAAATGGTTTGCTAAAGGGTGATGTCCACTGGACTTTAACATACAACCTTTCTATTGAACTATTTACAAATGATTCATGCGTTTACTTACCTCCTAAATACAGGCAAAACAGGGCATGGGCCTATTTTGTCTGTTGTGCTATTACGGTAATGCTCAATGGGGGTGTCATAGCTACAGAGGTTGGACTTTGATGACCGAGCAAAGTCGAAAAGTTCCAGTTTGGAATCCAGCTTCTTATCTGGGCATTTGTCTACACATATTTGTAGTGAGTTAAATGGATCTTTAATATCCATGAAGAACACATATCTGAAAATAGGCAGAATTGCTTTAAAGGTTTTGTTCCCCTGTATAAACTTGGTAAGTCCAGTGTTCTCCCCAGCATTTGTATTGTATTGTATCTTGGTTACCGCCATATTTGGCGAGCAATACCTAACTGGTATATTCTGTATTTTACGTATTTTACACTCGAGGATATAGCCAGAAACCCCTCCTTGGAGGAGCCCTGTGTTCTTTTCTGTGCACGGGTACATAAACATATAAGTACACACCACAGCAATTATACGAGTTGTGAACCACTCAGTCGAACAACCAGAATTACATAACGCACAAACAAACTTGTCTGAACCGGGAATCGAACCCGGGGCCAAGCGATGGTGTTGAATCCATTTGCACCCACTTGAAAATGGAAAATCATGAAAATTAGGCAGATTTTGACCAAAGTTGGTCTTAATGGTGAAAATAAGAATTTTGCACCCACTTAAGAAGATCCTTGGAAGATCACTGATGTCAGTTACTGAGTAAGTTGTTCATACTTGGTGAACCATTTAATTGGTGATAGCTCATTGCCACGATCCATTCAAAAAACCTCATGCTGATCTCACTGGGCTTGGCAATAACATGTTGTCTAGTTTAATTACATTGCATATAGAAATGAAACCTTCATGGCTTATGGTATATTCAGCCTAACATTTAGAATATTAGCAATATCAAACAGACTTGTTTTTTCAATAAGCAATCAGGTTAGAGAGGAATCTAAATACTTAATAAATGAAACTACAGTACAACCTACTTTTTGCCTGTCATGTCTAAGCCACTGAGAGAGATATTTCCAATCTTCTGATTGGGTCTGTCACATGTGTTCCCATAGCTGTCATAGCCATATAGCAGCCTAAAGCCATCCCCGTTCAATATTGAGAATGCTGCAATGTAGACCTGCAAGAAACACCAACATAACTTAACCAGGGGGCCATGAACATAAACTTTGTAAAGTTAAGAATTCGTAAAATTCATTGTTCTCTAACTGTGACATCATTATATCCATGGTAACAGCAATTGATTTACAAATTCGTAACTTTACGAAGTTTCTGTTAATGACAATAGTGTGGTTAGCATGAGCGAAAAGCTTTATCCTCCCCCAACATCATTCTTGAAGACTGGGCCTTGCTGAGATTATGAAAAGAAGGGAGATACCCTTGGACTAAGGATGCATCGACATCTCCATTTGTATCAATAATAAAGTTTTACATGAAAGGGCTGAGGACACTCTTAGTTCTCATTGAATGATATTATAAAATACAGAGTTTCTACTTGTTAAACTCCATTCATCCTTAATGCTTTTTGAACTTTTAAAAAACTTGCACTAATTTTCCTTTTGATAATCTCTAAATATTTTTTATATATCCAATACGAGAAAACATTTGATTTATTTGATGTGGGAAAACTGGAAAGTGGAAATAAAGTATCCCATTTCATTTGCTATGGAGACCTCCATGGGAAAATAAGATAGGGTATGTTAAGTCATTAGATTATGTAAAATATGGTTTCATTGTGACAAATGGTAATCTGAAATCAAAATAAAAGATCACCTAAACATCGGAATCTTGAGATTTGTATTCACATTGACTCTATTGTCGTGCTTATTTACAACTTCTGTGTTATTGTATTGCTATTCACTCAAGCTTTGAGCTTGAACTGATAATTTGTGTGAATACAGGTATATATTGATCATCTTCCAACCAGACAACACATTATGCAATTTTGTTATGTACACATACATCAAATTCAATTACCAAAGTATGCTATATAAATTCAACCCTTTCTAAGGACACATGTTACATCATCATAGTAACATTTCAGGACAACAGTTCGTAAGTTCAGTGATTCTTCTAATGTTGCAGAGGAATATTATACACAACAAGACTACATAAACAAAGAAATATTCTCTGATATAAAACTTGATTTTTAACTTTTCCATTTATTTAAATAAATGATTTCCAATACTTACCATTCCGACCCAGAACAAGAAGAATATAACAAGAAATATAATATCTGTGCATCCTCTATTCTTAAGTGGATTTTTCTGTACAGGGGGACTTGACGGCTGAAATCATAAACAAAAAAATTAATGAGCACTTTAATTATAATTGCTCATGAGGAGAGGGGTATAAGAGAGCAAGTTTTGTTTTATAAATCATAATTTGTGATATTCGAGGTTTGTATTTTATTGGCCTCCCACTTTTGGATCTTCTGCTTACATAATACATATATATGTACATGTAAAGGGTGGGCAAAAACCCCCAGTTCTCAGTCTGGTGACTTTGGTTGTACAGGAAGCATACCTGGACCAGATATTCCTGCAACATTTTCCTACTGAGTGTGCTAGTGTTTAAATTATTAGGTAATCAAAACACTGGAGCAAACTGATTTATATGATTGAAAACTTTAATAGTGCCGAAAGTTGCCATTCACTCTAGATTGGAACAGGATAGAAGTTCATTTTTCTCAAGTTTTATATGGAGAACCAGAAAAGCAGTTTTTGCTATAGGCTTTATCAAACAGCAAGGCTTTTACTTAAACATTGCCAGAAATTGATAAATTTTTTTTTTCATTTCCAGGGTAATTACTGTAGCTATTATTAAAAGAACAAAAATGAGCATTCCTAGTTAGAATGTTATTACAAATGTCACAGTATTTCAGCCCTGACTGGAAAAACATATAAAATAGACTTTCCACCCTAACTTTTTCTGGTAATCTACTGTTATTAATTATACTGGCCTGTAATATTTATATTACAGTAAAAACAGTAGATTTTTTAAAAAACCTATCATTCTTTTACTGAAATCTCTCATAATTTTTCAAAATGTTCAATTAATTTCATCAATCACCCATATATCAATTCCCCATATAATATTGACAAGTTTATTACAATGATAATTTGAGTTGCACTTCTACTTTTTTCTTTTGGTCGTAGTTTCTAGCCTAAGAACATGGAGTGAACTTACATTTTCATTTTTGGGGCTATCCCCACAGCACCCACACATGGTGACTCCTGCTGTTCTGGAACAAAACGAACAAGAAATAAATGAACAAATGTCTAGCCTATGACTTTGCTGGAATAGGAGTGAAGTAGTTTAGACTGTACTCCTGGTATTTTTTGCCAGCGATTTAATTACGCGCTTTTCGCGATTGTGGTAAAATCACGAAAATTAATCTTCGCAAAATTGTCAATTAAATTACCAGGATTTGTAACACGATAACAATACCAAGGTCATGGCAGGATCCTTGCGAAACTTAAAACATGGTGACAGGCATAAGTCTTGCAATAGATAGCATGTGTAACATTCACAAACTTATCGCATCCTACGACCCCTTTAGATTGTGGTCGTACGCCCGATTCATTGGAAAGCCTGTCTTTCTACAATGTTGAAGAATGAACTACGCATTGCACTATTAAATGACCTACCTCGATACATTCCAGAGTATTTTAGAATTCTTTTTATGTTATTAGATCGCCAATTGTATGGGTTTATCGGCAGAACGAAGATATTTTTGTTTTTGATAGCAATATTTGCGTGTAATATTTAACTTATTTCAACCGTCAAATTCCTCCATTCAGTTCCCGGCATGCACCAGTCATAAGGGAAATCCCTGGGGAATTCCCCTTCCGACAATTTGAAAATTGCTGACAAATTTCCAATGTAAAAACTAAAATCTGTTCGTTCTGCCGATAAACCCATACAATTGGCGATCTAACAACATAAAAAGAATTCTAAAATACTCTGGAATGTATCAAGGTAGGTCATTTAATAGTGCAATCTATAGTTCATTCTCCGACATTGTAGAAAGACAGGCTTACCAATGAATCGGGCGGATGACCACAATCTAAAGGGGTCATATGCGATAATCACAAACTACGTCAACGGTGTAGGGGAGGGGGAAACAAGAAAATTGGAAACAAATGTGAGACATATAAGCCTACACAGTTCAAGTGAAAATTCAAATCAAAATGTGTTCGTTTTTTCAGCATTCGTTTTTTTACGTTCATTTTTTTGATGTTGTTCTCACTCAAATTATTTTGCAAAGCCAATTTCCTGATTTCAATTTTCAATGAGTTCAACTGCAAAGTAAATGCTTTCAAATATACTGTAGATTAGACGCAAAATGTAAAATAAATATTGGGCTTTCATAATTTAATATTTCATTTTCGATATGATCGTTAGAATATAGTTTATTATTAACAAATATACTTACAATATTAGGGAACTCCCATACAAAATGTACACAGCCTCGTTTTGAAAAACGATATCCCATCATTCATTGCAAAGAGGATTTCCCAAAATGAAAGATCAACATTGACAACTCAACACACAATTATTGATGAATACACCACATAATAACGGATAAATATGCGGTAAGTATGATCTTTTAATATTTTGATATACATTGAACTATATAAATGCCAAATAGAACAGTTATGATTCACCAATCCTGCGTTTATGACATTTTCATATTTATTTCAATATTTCATCCTAATTTTTTTGTGGGAGGCACAGACCTTACTTCCTGGGAAACAGGGAAAGCTATGAGGATTTTGATATAGTATATAGTATGGACTTGCCAACACGATCCTCAGAGACCCAGAGGGTGCATGAATGCACCTACACATCCAAGAAAGTGTCTGTTGATAAAAGCATAAAATAAGCGAGCTTATGTTTAATGGAGTGCTTCGGCTATTTTCGTTGTTCAAACGTTTATTCCCGAAGTCAAATGCCTTTTCTGAGAAATAAATATTGATCAATTAATGTCTGACAGATGGAAAAAATAAAGGTCAGTACGAGGGTCATATTTTTGGGTGGTCGTGTCTTTTCTTCCCATTTATCCTTCCAAATAATTCAGCACTCCAATACTTGCAAGGATGGATGATACTGATGTAGGACTCAGTTAAAGAACAAAAGTAAGCTGCTGATCACATTAATTCATGTTTTACAGGTCACTATTATTCAGCTGCCAATTGCTTTGTGGGAGAGCCATAAGTTTCAAAATCTAACATGGCTCTCAAAGTAAGTAACACAGACCTACAATTGTAGATTTTAATGAGAAAAGATTGTCCCTTTAATCCAATGATATGGTTCAATTAACACCAAATTGACATGTAAGTTATATTTGTCGATGCCTCTTCCTTTTTTGCCTCAGGAAGTGGGCAGTTATCAAATTACAAATCCATCTCTATGTTTCGGTATTGGGAGCCTTCATCATCACAATCACAACATATGACGTCGTGATCGTTGCCTTGATGATTTGCCATATAAGGTAATAATGGCGGACTTTTGGTCACGTGACTGGTCAAACTCCGGTCCATAGAACGAATGGCTCCGCCCACGGCACTTTGTGAGGAGCCTTCGCAAAAAATCAAAATATAAGTTAACCATGTAGTTGACATGTTGCTAGGTGAAATGCAAGGAAATCCCTATGGAGCCAAGGCTGAATGTTTCCACTCCTTCATTCATTTAAATATATAATATTACCATGAGTAAGCAAGTTAAAATAGTCCATTGATCGGAAGTGATGTCAATATAATCCCTGTCTGGAAGTTTCAAAGTTGTAGTGCTATAACCTCATGATTTGATTTTTTTGAATGGCATGTTCATTTTGTGAGGGTCTCCCATTTTATTCAAGTGTTGCAATCTGTAGCACTATGGGATCTTAAACCCTTGGGATATATATATACTGCATCATGATGAACCATGACATCTCATTCCTTCTCAGTCCTGAGATGTTTCAGGTTAAACAGAAAGATGCTATGAGTGTCAGAATGTATATACAGTACTGTCTAAAGTTGGAGTATTAACTAGATTAGTAAAATACATTTTATTTGCTATTGACAATAATTGACTATATCATATAAACTTTATCTCAACAAATGTCAATAAACATACATGTATTCTATAGATTTGATGTGAGGACAAGGGTTGAGTTGGATAATGTAACTCCTTTAGTAAGGACAAATTGATACTTAATCTATTGGTCTGTGAGGACAAAATTCTATGTTGCTTTGATTTTATTATACCATTTTGCTGATGTTGTGCACATACATGTAAATACATTTGGCTAACGTAACATTTTAATTTGAAGGATTGGTGGATTGAAAAAATCCGCCAAATTAAAGATCCGCCAATTTTCAGATCTATTTTGAAAAATCCCCAGAGCTTTTGTTATTTGCAATTGTTTCATTGGTGTAAGCATTCCTTTTTGGATGTCAGTGCATAGCCAAGACTTACTGAAAGCAGAACACATGAATTTGAAATGTTTATTTCCAGATCTATGATAAAACTTGAGCTCAGTCCTGACTCCGCCAAATTAAATATCCGGCAATATTTGAAATTGAGCAAATCCTCCAAATTAAGTAGCGTCAAATTAAGGTAACTTATAACTAAATCAAAAAATCCAAGATGGCCGAAACCAGGAAGCACATGGCATTTGAGTATAATCTGACCATCAAAATTAACTGTCTTTTGGTTGGATTTTCTCTCAATTTTTTAGTTCCACTTATTATTTATATAACCAGGCTCACTGTGGTAATGCAAATAGAAACAGTAAATATTTTGGAATGGGAATTTGAGTCCTCTGAAAATGTGACAGAAAAATTGACAAAAAGAGTAGCACGGCAAAGGTCCCTGAACATTTTTTTTTCTAATTTCTCTGAAACATCCCTTTAATATAGCCCAAAATGGAAGGAGCTTTAGAATTTTGAAATCTCTCATACAAATTAAAAAAATAGAAAATAACAATTTGAGAAGTGTACTTTTTTCCTTATTTTGATCCCAATTTTTTTATCGGGTATTTTTTCAAATTTCCGTTGCTCCTTCGTTTTTGATATTATGTTTGAAGTATATTTTCTGAAATGTTCAGATATTTTGAATCAGCGGTTTTTCACGGGCTACTCCTAGAAAAAAATCTCAAATTCTTTAAATGGCACTTTTTTTCTCAAACTAAAGTTTTTTGTTGTTCTTTGATGTCTTTGTAATGATTACAGTGCACAAGCATATGTGAAATAATAAAAACGACTTCTCAGGAAGAGTTTGAAAATTTCAAGATTGTGAAATTTTCAATTTTTTCTGAAAATCGATTAAGTTAACAGTCACCTTAAGTGTATCTACAGTAGTATAGACAGGTTCCAATTTCAGAATATCTCAAGGGAAAGGGTTTTTGAGGCATTTTTTAGAAAAAGCAACAGACCAATTTCTTCTGGATCAGTCTTTCATGCTGATAAAGATATTAAAAGATGACAGCTCAACGGTGTGGTCACGACACTGAATTTTAGCGTTTTTACCCCCCTAGGAAAATATTCTAGGGGGTACTATGAAACTAGTTCATAACTCAAAGGATATATAAACTATTGTTCTGAGTTCTACAGCATACATTGTTAGTACAGAGATGAATACTACCCTAAAGTTATAGGTTGATATCTTTGTTGGTTACGGAAAAATACAATTAATTAGAAAAAAATATTCAATTTTTGTCATTTCTTTCTTGCTTATTTTATATTTGTAGCTTCAAGCAAAATATGATTACTTAAACAGCTCAAAGTAGTATTCGAACAACATTCCTAAGCTATGTGTGATATTGTAATACATCAATTATAGTGATGAAGTACTATTTTGTAATTTTAATACGACTTTATAGTGCCCTACCCCTGGTAAATAGAAGAAAGTTGGTGTGGTTTTCTTCTAGTTTTATAACATTTTATTGTCTTCTTAGTTGAAGATACAATCAATTCTGTCAGTTAACCATGAGAAGCTTTACAATGGTTAACTATTCCCATGAATAGAGGGTTGGGACCTCAAAAATACTGTTAAGTGGCATCCTTGGGCAACCCTCTCCAGAGCATTTTCCTTATACTCCGATAAAATCTGCAGGGGATACTATAAGAAACCTATATATCTAAGATACTAATGAAGATACTGAATTCAAATTTTCAGGATTTGGTCCTGGTATGATAGGTAGTCTGTATGACAAAAATGACAAAAAGAAAAAACTCTGTTGCCATAGTAACAAGAATACGACACCATTTGTTTCCTAAGAAATGTGTTTTAAGAGGTTTTGTCATTCTCTTCATATTTTTAATTCTAAATAATGATTAAAATTATGGTAAAGTAATCTTTTCTAGTGTTCTATTGTTCTCTAAAACAGAAGTTGCTAGGGCGACACATAGATCAAAGAAAAAATCCTGAGATGATAGCTCTATTTGTCAGGAAATTAAAATGGAAACTGAAAAATGAGTTTCTTCCTACTGAATAGCAATTTGGTAGACCATGGCTGACACGCACAAGAGAAAACGTCTATCAGTTCTATGTCATTTTGTTGTTATTTTTATTTATTTATCGTGCTCTGGAACTTATAACACCTAATGCCGAATCTTTTCCAACTGCAAAGGAAGGCAAGATTTTAATAATGAACATTCAGATATCTCAACAAATATGGCCTAAGATTTGGACAATGATGATGAAACTCTGAGGGAAAATTAGACGAAAAATTAATGTGAGTGGTCCAAATATAACACTTACATGTTTTGAAAAAGTTATGCTCTCGGGTGAATCAGTGCTCATTTAAGGATAGTCTGAATCAGGTGAATTTTTTAACCTAATTGTACCCCTCCCCCAAAACCCCCAAATTTTAACAATTGTCGAAAAGTGGCAAACAACAATTAAACAAACATCATTAAAGTTCAATATGGCTATTTCGCTTCTATGTCATAAAGATGTGGTACGATCTCAGGTCAATCAATAAATTTCACAAGTGACACTCTATCTTATGAAGAAAATATTATCGTATTTGAAGACATGTCAAAAATTTGGTGGAAATAATTTTGTCACTCCTGATTTGACCTGGAAAGGTTCAGGTAAGTAATCACAAACAATTTCAGACAGTTATATCTTTGATTATGACTATTTTCTGACCATGAAGACAGGTATACAGGGATAATAAAGTCAATCGGACTCAGAGATATTTCACTAGCAATCAACCCATCAATATATTTTTTCAAAGTTGTTGACCTCATTTTCACCAAAAATGCCATCATTTTAACAATGTTAACAATTCGGTGTCTTTAAAGTCCCTGGAGCAATCCACTTTTCCTCTTAGGAAATAGAACATGTTTCAACGCATATTCTAATTATGCATTCAACAATATAATTAAAGGTTGCATCTTTGGTAAAAATTAGGTCAACATTTTTAGTAAAAAGTATGTTGATTGGGCCATTCCCTTTAATATCACTAAGGTCTGATTT